TTCGCTCACCATGAGGCTCCCGTGAGCGTATCCCTCACGAACTGAGTGCCACTCACATGAGCGAATATTCCCCAAACCAGTCACGGCTCATGGGAGCGGGTTTCTCTAGTACCCAGCCAACTCAAATGAGTGAATCTATCATGAACAGACGACTCTCAGTTGAGTGCTCCTGTCAACAGAGCACTCTAATGTAAGACTGCCCTCATATGAGCAAGCCTCTGCTCAACAGATTGACCTCAAATAAGGGAAGGCCATGTGAACAGACTGTTGCTCACATGAGCCTGTCTTTCATGCACAGGCTGACCTCATGTGAGCATGTCTCATGTGAAATGATGGCCGTCATATGAGCAGAGCACTCCTAAAAACACCTTCCTCAATTGAACTGATATTATGAAGGATTTCGGACATTTTGGGGGAGCACCTCACATGAGCAAAAGCACTGTCTACCACCATAAGCTCATATGAGCAGGAATATCGAAAACAGATGTCAAGCTCAATTGAGTGCATATAAGCAGAACATCTGCTTATTCCTGCACCGCAAATAAGCGCATCATGCGAATATATTATGGCACTGCACTGGCAAACCAGCGTGCACCACCCGTTCGTGCTGAGGATCCCGTTGAAGGCACATTGGACGAAGATCTTAACATGAGCGGTGATGGAGGCGGCGACATCAGTGAGCCAAACAGCAGTGGTGAAAGAAGAGGAAGAGGGAAATGCGTTAGGTGGAACGGAAACTCAAGTCGCGCGAACGCTCGAACGTGAGGTGAGTGGGCGCATCTGGAGTGTGGCTGCACGTCAACAGCCTGCGTGTCTTCTCGCTTCACACGTCCTGGCTCACATTCTCTTCTCAGACTGCCACCTTGCTCGGTGGGTCTGAGAGTGAAGATGACTCCCCACCTACCCTCTCTCGTATTCGTCGCTGCAACACAACCCTCCGACATTACTATGGGAAGAGGACGACACCTTGTATGCGGAACGGCCACAGGATACCAACATTCTGGAGAACTCGGATGCGGGCGATGGGAATGGGGAGCTTGATGACGACGACGTATTCCAGGTGTGTAGTTCGATGCTTTTATGCGCAGAGGATAAATACTGAGAGCAGTCTGGGGGTGTTGAAGCCATCGAAGGCTTCCAAGTCTAGACTAACACCAAAAACGAAGACGAAGTCCTCAAAGACGATCAGTGAGGTCACGGAGCAGTCAAACATGGAGGATCCCGACTCTGGATCACAGGTGAGCTCTAATTTTCTGTATTGCGATGCTACAATCGAACGAGACTGAGCACACGAGCCTTGGTGAAGGACGACCACGCACATGCAAAGGATGGTGGCGCGCAAACCAAGGGCGGCCGTTCGCGCGTAAAGGGTGGCCGTTCGCACGCAACGGATGGCCGCACGCACGCAACGGACGGCCACGCGCACACAACGGACGGCCGTGCGCACACAACGGACGGCGCGCACACACAACGGATGGCCACGCGCGTGCGCAGAATGGCAGCGCGCGTGCGAAGGTATGTTTTGCAGTCAGCTCTACTTGCAAATCGGTCTTGATGCGTAGCGAATAGCACACATCTACGCAGGTCTACGCTTCGGAAGCTACACCATCCTCAAATGCGCGAGGCTTGTCTCAGCAGAACGGCGGTGCTCCCAAGCGATCTCGCAAGCACAGGCTAAGCGACGATGAGGGCGATCTGATTGTGAGCGGGAACCAGGACGACTCTGACGACGACAAAAGGTCGAAGCCAGATGCAAAGGTATGACCTGGTTGTTTCATAATAGTCGGCACACATGCTGATCCACTCGAAAGCGTTCCCGTCTGTCTCAGGTGCGCATCGCAGACTTGTCACTTATTGTGTAAATGCATGACGACAACACAGGTTCACCGTGAGGACGCGAGGAACAGCGAGGACATGAGGAACAAGACCGCGATGAAGCCCTCAAGGCCTAGCAAGAGTACCGCGACTCAATCGCCCAATACTCCACGCTCTACGTCGACCTCTGGTGGCAAGGCGAACCCTGGCAAGACCGCTGCTCGCAAGAAGGATGCCGCACCAAAGCCGAAGACGCGTGTCATGGAACGGACTCTGGACTCGCCCTATGTATTATTTTTCGCCATTTCTCTGCCTTTTCTCTGCCTGTTACTATATTGGAAGGTTGTTCCCGCGCTTAAGCGCCCGTATCGCGGACTCTCTTAGCACTTGCACTTCGTGTCCTAGCCCTCATCTCGACCTCTTGGTCTTTGTGGGCTAGGTGAGTATCTCAATTGCCTGTATGTATGTAGAGCTATGTTAACTTGGTCTTTGTGGGCTAGACATCCCTCGTGTGACTCTAGTTTGCGTCTGCTTTGCGCCTAGTGCCGGCAACGCCTCTGCACCACTACATCGAGGTCATCCAACCTCCATCTACACCCATCCACCCCTCCCTCTCCTCCGATTGGCGTTCGCGGCCCGCTCCCGCGTCAACGCGCAAGGTTGATGAAGTAAGTGTCGCTCTTTTCAACTGTGTGATACATTATCGACATTCCCTGCAGCAACCGAAGATTCTTGACGACGCACCTGAAGCTGGCAGCCGTGAAAAGAAATCCACAGCCTCCCGGTCAGAGACGCCTGTCACCGTGAGTTTACCTGGTTTTTTTCGAACCGAAGTCATCTCATCTGGCGCACGCGACACTGATCAGAGCGACGCTTCGAGTGAAACTGAGACTGATGGGTCTGACACCGAACCCAAAATCGGCATCGAGCTCAAGATTGTCAACCAACGGCTTAATCTCGGCGACCAGACAGCTCGAGTTTCGAAGATTCTCAAGCTGTCCACGCCGGAGGCTCTCAAGCATGCACTCTTTGTTCACGCATTCCCCGACGGCCCGAAGAAGGACGATGCCATGCGCCCCATGCTCCTTGCGATCACCGAGCGCGAACGAGACCCCCAACTTGCTCGCCGAATCACTCGGGACGACGATTACAGTCAGAAGTTAGCCAAGCATGTACGTGTCTTCTCTATTCCTCTCGTTTATGCTAACCCTATGGCACGTTTATCAGCCTCTTCATCGCATCACACTTCTCCGCGGGAGGGTCAAGGCGACCGTTGCAAATGTTATGTGTGGCGCTTTTGGGGTCAGGATAATTGACGCTACGAAGGCTGCTTGGTTGCAGCACAATGAGCGGTATATCTATATCAAGGATCTCGCGGTCAGTCTCCGTTCTCTTACGCTATCTCGCCTTGCAGAGCTAACATGTGTTGGTAGACTGAGAATGTGGATACGGGTCGCCCGTTTGGTCACCCTATATACAGTCAGGTTCTGAACGCCTGCTTCTTCGACAAGGCTCGTTCATACGGCGAACGTTTCGCTTCGGAGTTCAAGTCATCGCTCCCCTCTCACCCTCACCAGAAGGAAATTCCCGCACCGATGCTCGCATTAGTCGCAACTGCGGTAAGGTCCACACTGCGCTGTGTCATGCTTATCTCATTCAAATATGCATTGTAGATCTTTGCAGTGCTCCAGGAGACGAAGAACCCTGACAAGCGCCGCAAGGGCCAAGACTTTGCTTCGAACTTGTTCACATCGAAGTATGAGGACATCATCGACCTCCTGTGCACTATCCAGCCTGACGACAAGAGATATCACTCTCTGATGCATGGTCTTTGGAAGCGGAGCGTCTCGTATGCTTCATTTTGAGTTTGATTGTCATTGCGTGCTAACACACCTTCGCTTCATAGCTCCGATGCCGTTGATCCCACTACCGATAAGACCTCCGAATTCACCACCAAGAAGCTCCTCGACTTATCTGCCATGTCCACCGACTTCTGACGCTGCTGCCAGCCCGCCTGCGCAGCCCTGTATATGATTGTGCTGTACATCGCTCTGACACGTATATAGGTTGACATGCCAGATATCTCCAGTGATACCCTATCGGCAGTCGGATCTCTCTGTTGATAGTGCTGTTCTTACCTTACTAGTGCATTCATTAATCCCACTAATTTGTTCGCTGTACTCGGAGAAGTGTGATAATGGCCCGATAGTAACTGATAAGCTGGTCTAATTGTGGTCTGTGTTCTGCTACTGCTGTGATATTCACTCAGTAAAAGCTGATATTGCGCAACTAATGAAGTCATAATCACGTTATCTCAGGCAGTATTGATGAAGCTATTGTGTGAGTATTCTGTAACTATTCTGTCTAATGGTCGTAATTAGGAGAGGACCGATCTAATTAGTGACTAACAGATAATCCGAGCTAATGACTGCTAATCAAGTAAATTAGTGCCATTAGTCCTAATTAGCATTTTGGGGTTTTCCTGATGCTGGCACTCTTCACTTTTGCGTTCCAGCACATCCCAGCCACAAGGGGGATTCCCCAGGACTCCCTGTCCCGTCGGCCGCCCGCTCCCGACGATTCGGACGAATCAGATGGTGAGAAGCACCTCGACGAGTTCTTCGGTCGTGCGGTTGCCCTCTTAAACCCACCGGCAGCTGCGCCTCGCCCCCGGTGCCCGTCCTCTGCCCGCTCAGTGCCCTCCCTTCGCCCCGCCGTCGTCTCCGCAGTTGTTTCATCTGGGACAGTCCACTCAATCCTCACGAGTCTCCGCACTATGGCTCAAGTACCGGCGGCCGACCTTCTCTGGCGACGCTCCAGCTGGGGCTACGACGCCTTCAACCCTTCCGTCGGCCTTACCTTTGGGGGGCTCTCACACACTGCGCCCGTGCACTTGAGTCAATTCTCTGTTTACACCGACGGCTGGAGCTCCACTTCCCCCTCGTCATCCATGTTGTCCTCCGCATCGATGGCGCCCTTCTTCAACGACTGGCGCATCCGCGCAGTGCCTTCAAAACCGGAGGAGTGCGAATGTGACCTCGGTGGCGAAGCGTGTGTCTTCCCAATCACCATCTACAGACCCATGCTCCGCGAGCCGCGACACTCTCTGCCCTCTGGCTTCTCCGCGCGCTCCTACTTCCCGCCAGCGGACTTGGACGGCCCCCACCATGCTCCGCAACAATTCGGCGACGAGATCCCGACGTTCACCTCGTCGCTACAGGCGAAGACGGTTCCCGCTCCCACGACAACTGTCTCTCCGGGGGACACCCTCCACGAGGCACATCTTGGCGACCGCGAACCTCCATGGGCCGCTTTCTGGCGCGCGGAAGTCGAGAACATCGAGCCCACCGACCCCGCCTTGAGGGCGCGGGTGGCCCGCATGCGTCGCTGCTACATCGTGGGGCATAGGCGCATCTGGCGCGTTCGCGCCAACCGGCACCCTCTCCTCGTGGTCACGGACACCCTCGCTCGAAAGCGAATCATAGCTGCGGCGCACAACACCACTGGCCATCGCGGCGCTGCGGCAACGTTCGCCTTGCTCCGCGAGCGCTACTTCTTCCCCAATCTTTATGCAGCTTGTGTCTGGTTCGTTCGCTCTTGTTTCAACTGCCAGTTCCGATCCCAGCACCGCGAGCTAGCGCCGCTGTCGTCCAAGACCAAGATCACCCCTTGTGTCCTCCGGCGTTTTCACATCGACACCATCTTCATGAACGGCAGCTTCCGTTACCTCCTCCACGCTGTCTGCGCCACTAGCCACTGGGAAGAGGCGAAGGCTGTCAAAGCGAACACGGCTGAAGCCTGGGCTGCCTTCTTGTGGGAGAATATTATCTGCCGCTTCGGCTGCATCCCGGTCATCGTCTGCGACAACGGCCCCGAGTTTGACGGCGCTTGCGCCATCCTTCTACGTCGCCATGGTGTGACAGTGATCCGTACATCTCCGTACAACCCGAAGGCCAACGGGATCGCAGAACGCTCTGGGCGTACTCTTCAACAAGCCATCTGGCGTGCTTGCGACCTCACGAAGTGTGACCGTTTCAGCTGGTACCGCTTTCTGAACTCCGCTCTGCTCTCCGTCCGCACTACGACTAGCCGCGCGACTGGGTACACGCCTTACTACCTCGTCTACGGTCAAGAGTGCATGTTCCCTTTCGACCTCGAAGATGCCACCTGGTTCGCGCTCGACTGGGCTGAAGCTACCGACGACGTGTCCCTTCTCGCGACACGTCTATTGCAGATCTCCCGCCACAAGTCCGTGTTGGACGATGCCGTACAGAAGCTGACCAAGAGCCGCCGGAAGGCGATCGACGACTTCCACCGCCGGTACGAGTCCCTCATCAACAAGGAAGGTTTCCAGCCCGGGTTCTGGGTCCTGCTGCTCGAGTCTTGGCTCGATACTCAGATGGGCATGAAGGGTGCTCTCCGCTGGGCCGGTCCCTACATCGTCGATGAACGCCTCACCTCGGGTTCCTACAAGCTGCGCGAGATCTCCGGCACGCCAATGCGTCATACCGCGCCAGGTGCGCGCTTGAAGCTCTTCTACTACCGCGACGACTACCAGGCCGTGAAGACGACGTTCCCTATCGTGCCTCGCTCCACTGCGGCTTCCAGCTACGTGAGCGCCTTCGCCGCGCCCATCGAAGTCCTCTCCCTCAGTAACCGCTTGCACTGCCCGCCGCGTTCCGAGCCCATCACCTACTCTTGCAACCCAGTCCAACATGCCTTCGGCGACGGTCGCGCGTCCGTAACCTGTGACGGCGCATGCCTCGCGGCGCCTGATATGGAACCTTACCTCCTTGATAGCGACGATGGTTCGGGCATCAATGTCGACCTGCGCCTGTCTTTCCCGCCAACGCTCTACACCACTACGTTCGACCCCGCAGTCGACCCTCTCGGCGCGACGCCCTGGCTCACTGTCAATTCCCCCTCCAACTTGATCGCTCTGGGTCGGCTCGCAAAGTCCTTCGTCGCGTGGCCCTACGCCGGTCCGTCCTTCGGCCCCCGACCGCCGACTCCGCCGCCACGTGCGCCCCGCCCCCAGGTCCGTGCTGTCTACGACGCAGTTTCCAGTCGCTTCACTCCCGATGGCGACACTCGCGAGGCTACCGCGATGGACGAGTCTCCTTGATGGTTGTCAGGATCTCGGGGTCGAGATCTCAAGGGCCCCCCAGTTGTAGGAGTCCCGCGCTCGCGGGCACTCTGAAGCACGTGCGTGCGCGACAGAACGCGGTCACGTGTCGTCCGAGCGGCCAGAAGTCACCGAGCACACTTGGTGAAGAAGTAGTACCTGCACATGTATAAAAGTAGTACGCACACACGAAGAATGTCAGTTCCTCTCCCCCACACTCACTCGGTTTCTGTCGTGTCCGCTGCTCGTTCTCCCCCGCGCATCCGTCTTATCCGTGCCCGTGTAACCGTCGTATCCGTCGTATCCGTCTTTCCGTTTATCCGTCGTATCAGCCAACGCGCGTCCGTCGCGCTCAGACTAGTCGCGTTCAACGCGAACATTTCTACAAGGTCTGAAGACTACGCGAAGGAATCCCCACACCGGTCGAACGAGGCGGCGGCGACCACGATTCCGGTCGTGGTGTCGAGGATCGCGAGCTCCTCGCCGCGCCCCTCGAAGCTCGTGAGTTGGAGGAGCCGGCGGCCGTCCGCAGAGAGCGCGAGCCGAGGTCCGAGCAGTCGTCGCGAGCGTGGTCGGCGCCCAGCAGCGGGACGCGGTCTGCGGGGTCGACAGCGGCGATCGTGACGGTAGTTCCGGAGCCGGCGACGAGCAGAGCCGCCGCGCTGGCAGGGTCCCGCCGGAAGGCGACCTCACAGCCATCGGGGAAGATCGTGAACTCGGTGGTGTCGGGGTTTGTGAAGGGGAAATGGTGAGCTCCCGGGGCAAGGTCGTGAACGAAGACGCATAGTGAGTTGTCGCCTACGTCCCAACCGTCCGGTATGAGGCATGCCCGACGGGACATCTGTCATTCGTGGCCTCGATGACCCCAAGTTCCCGGGCATGTTGGGTCCCCCCTTGACTCCGAGGGAACAGGGAGAAGATTCCGGTCTGACGACCGCGGCCCGAGATTGCGCACATTGACACCTTGGGCGAGTTCATGTTCCGCATCCCAGACGATATCTGATGTCGTCGAACGAATTGGGAATGCGACAACTGGCACCGCCAACGATCCATGGTTTAGCGCTGGCGTCCTTTTGGGCATTTGACGGACGGACCCTCGAGGCGATTCGTCGGAAAAGGCCTCTGTTGGCTTCCGACTTGGGCTGGAACAAGGAGGGGGAGGGGGCAGAGCAGCACTGTCGGTGCGATGAGGGGCAATCCCGGAGAATGCATGGGAAGGACGCACCTGTGTTTTGGAGAACAACACGCGAACGTCTGCGGGGGCACTTTCAAGTTAGACGTGTGGAGCTACGCGGAGGGTTCTTGAGGGCGATGTACCAGTCTGCTCATGAAGGTGTTCAGTGTCCACAGGGCTCGCACGGGAGGGAAGTCGACCACATCCAGGTCGCCCTGAACGTCGAAGCTCCACGACTGGACGCGTGTGAGGTCGAGGTAGGGTTCCAGCTCGACGGGCGTCGCGCCGCACAGACCTTGGCCGAGTCGTGGGGGGCGCGGAGCTGTCGACGTCGACTTGTCGACCACCGCGTGGACGCAGACGGCGCGGACGAGCGCGCGCAGCTCGGGTGTGCGGGCGAGCGCATCGCGGATTGCTGGCAGGTGGTCTTCGTCGACATCGAGGCCACGGCTGGCAGACGCGCGCGAGCGCAGGCGGCCAGTACGGCTTCGCGCCCGTCCAAGTTGGCGTCGAGCACGTCGATGATGGCCTCCCACAGCTCGATGGGGAGGCGAATGGGTGGCATGTCTGGCGCGTTCGGGCGGGTGCTCTAAACGCGAGGTACAGGGAATGGGGTTTGGGTGCGGGGAGACTTGCGTAGGCTGGGGGTTTGGAAGCTCGGGGGTGCAGTTTGGGAGTGACTCGGATGAGGACTTACGTAGCCAACCGGTCACCAGTCCGCAAGCATACTCTCTCCGGAGAAGATCCTGGCAGAAGATAGAGCTGATGTGCCGCCGCACTGTATCGCCGCAAGGTCCGAGGTACATACTGTTATGAAGCACACGAGTTTTTCTTCTTCCATCTCTCATATTTCGCCCGGGACCGCCATGAAGGAGAAACCGCCAGAGATGAGTGAGTGTGTGAGAGGACGAGTTGCCGAGGAAGAGCTCAGGCAAGACATCACGAAACGCGCGCGAGATAGAACGGGCACGATCTCCAAAGCGCTCGTTGATCACGGCATGAACTGTTTTCGTCATCGATATAACGCATGATCATGGTTCGTCGAGTAGACGAAATGTGATCAACTATTGTCTTGAGCTGAAAATTTTCAATCATTTTGTAATCTACCTGACAATTATTAGATCTGTCAATGTGCAAATGAACGCGGGGACACTGAGTGCAGAACATTAGATGATCAGTAAACGACCATTTGACGATCGGCTGCTGATCAAGCCCCAGTGACTGGGAAGTACCAGATACCACGTGATCTAATGCGCGTCGCAGGCTCTTCAGGCAGCGTCTGCCTGGTGCTTCAAGACGGATTCCTCTTCTCTGTGCCTACATCTTCGCTCTTCTACTCTAGAATAGCCCCCAATCCTTTCACCAATGGATGAGGCATTTCACACGGACTCTTGATGCGGCCAAAACCTGGTCGATGTCGTACTTGCAATCAAGTATTACAGTTTACGATTGCAAGTGCTACTACAAGCAGCATGCTCGCGCGCGGATTCATCTATGAGATGCAGAAGAGGCTTCAACGAGCTGAGGCTGACCGAGACAAGGACTGAAGTGCAGACAAAACCGGCAGAACAGGGCGAGAGAACATGCGTGAACGAATACCTGAGGGTGTGATTATGAGAGACAGAGGGCGTGGAACGGCAGAAGATCTGAATCATTGGCAGGGAAGGGCCCAGCCAGCGCTCGACCATGGCGGCGACGTGCTCCTGCTGGCGCTGCGGCGCCTGCGTGAGCGCAGCGGATTTCTGCGGCGGTTCGTGCGGCCAGCCCTTGAGCGTACGCGCGTACGTGAGCGCATCATAGAACACCTCAAAAGGCACGAGAAACGCCGGCTTCTGGCTCTTGTGCTGCGGCTGCGCGATAGCAGGCTTGCAGAGGCTTGCCCTTCCCGCACGCATGGGGCGAATCGCTGGGCGGCGCGGCCGGCGCATGCGCGTGCGCGGGGACGTGTAAACCCGGGCCCTGCGATAAGGTCGGTGAGCCGGGGTCACCGCGAGAGGAGAGCACACGGGGGACTCGACGTAGCGGAACTGTGGGCCATACCGCGCCCAACCTCGTGCTCCTTCACACTCGCGGAGGAAGTGGCAGCGATCGCGAGCCTGTTGAGAACCCACGTGGTGCGATGGACACGACCGCGATTGGGGGCCGCGATGAACCACTATCCCGCGTATTGTTGTGGATATATGAAAGGCACGGGCGTGTCGAGGGAGGAAGGGTGTCGGACATGGGAGACCACGAACTATTCGAAGCACAGAGTTTAAGATTAGAGGAGGATGGCGAGCCGCGAGCACCAGGAAGACGCACCAATCACTCCCAGCCTCCTTTGCAAAATGGCCCGGGACTTGTTCAAGCTTCGCCATGAGAGGTGTAGCCGAGAAGCTAGTAACCGAGAGCAATGGGTCAGCATACTGTAGAGACACAACTCCTGCCCTTTCTGAAGGACTGTGGGCGCATAAGTGCTGGTGTTGCCAAGGCCACCCAAGGGCATACGCACGCACACGCCGGGCACAGCACAGTGACACGGGCATGCAACCACCGATATCCTCACGAGACGTCTCCCAAAACGCAAGACTCACCGGCCGGCGGCCAATCATCCTCTTCTGTGTATGCAGCTCGTCTGCGAGGTCCATATACCACTTTCCATGTGACGCACACGATCTGGAACGCTCGATTAGGCTTCGGATACTGCATATACACACGGTGTGGATAGTGAGGGTGAGAGTCGGAGAGGAGCCGTTCAGAATAACTAGCGCCTGCCCGCGCGCGCGACGCGACACGACACGGACTGGCGTGCGCGCTTAGCCAGCCCCGCTTTCTCCTTCATCTCATGTCAACGTTCGTTCTATACGCCAATAGCTGCACTTCTTATCCCCGTCTGTCTGCTACAGTCTCCCTTGTCGTCGTATCTGAAGTTCATAGCACACAGTCATGCCCATTAGATTTCCCTGCCTCAGTTAGAATAACCCTGCTGCTGTCGCCCCAGTGTCACTGTTATCATCTGTCTCTCGCTCGTTCGCATCCATATTGTACCTCCCATGCTTTATAGACCTGAATAATACCGGATTTTGCGCATATATGGGTGTTTGTGGTCGACCGGCAACAGCGAAACATTTCGGCACATCTGAATCGGTCTTTTCAGGTCATTGCACCACCCGGAAATGATCATTTTGAAGTGAGCTCATGTTCATCTCATCCCTGTGCCACGAACTAGCCATGGTCATATCGTACCTCAGCATTGATCACTGCACACCTCGTCTCAGATCATCTATACACCCAAGGACGATCAGGCCAGATCGTCGCTCTCAGAGAACATGTTCATTGTCGAACATGGTGTCCCCTGCAGATGATCTGCCCCGTTCATCTCGGCCCGAGTGAACGACCGGCCCTGCTCAGCCCGACCCGGGTGGACGACCGGCTCCGTTCTATCTCCCGCATACAAATGATAACTGTAGAACTGTTCCAAGCCCAGCCATGATAACGTCCTATCGTTCATCCCCTTACAAATGTTCGTCACTGCTCATCATCCCAGTCTGGGATGCTCGGTCCTGTTCTACCATGACGATTTTCTGTCATAAATTGACACTGTCCGTTCGACAAAGAAAGGGATGATCTCCGCAGACTGTACATGACCTACCTCGACCATCTGTAGTTCTGGTCCGGGCGCGTTTCGTGATGGAGTCGAGACTGCTAGCGCTGTGGAAGCTCGCCCACGAATAAGCCCGGACCGTCGGACCGCCGAATCTCTAATCTCGAGCTTGAACTTGACTCCAACATTCCCCTGGTCAGACTGGACCAGGCGATCGGAGTGGAGTAGACACTTCCAGCCTCAAGCTTCAAGCTTGAACCTCAGTACGAACCCCGCGACTAGGAACTTGAACCTCCAGATCCGTTCAACTTAGGGGGCGCAAGCCTGAATGGGCGACTAAAAGCCAGCCGTACTAGTACTGCTCAAGCGGTGACTGCACCGAGCTCCACATCTGTGCGTTTTTTTCCCAATTCTTGGACATCCGCCATTCCATACTCGTTCAACACTTGTCCCGTAGACCCTGCGGTAGGAAAGGTGGCCGGCTTCGGCGTCGTCAGCCTGCCAGGGCTTTCGACAGGCTCTTGGCTTCGGCGCCCGAGAGATCGTCGAGACAACCCCGACGTCCGTTTCCATCACGTCTCTTGTCGACCGCCTCACCGTCAAGCTCAGCGACGCTCTCGAGGCGTCACGGCCCTGCGCGCGCGTCCGAGCACCAGGGCGAGGCGGAGGTGGCATTCGCCACGACGTGCGCTGCGAGCGGCATGGCGCGCAACGATTGCGATGCGCTGTGTTCGCTCCGCCAGGTCGCCAACGGGAGCGTGCGGACAGGTGGGTCTTCGGCGCGGGAGCGGGGTCTGCCAAGATTCAGAAAGGCGGAGAAGAACGAGCTACGACGAAAGACGTGTCATATGAATCTCTCCTCGCAGTGTTCTTTGGATACATCTGTATGAATGGTATCGTGAGTTTCAACTAGTAGTACTAGACCTGTCCGCGAACCACGTCCTGAACGTTATGGAACGAAACAGTCCCGTCAGAATATCCCAGTCCCAGCGTCGCGCCATCCCCGGAGAACGAAGCCACAGTCCACCCCCGGTGGCCCTTCGTGCCCTGGATCCGATGCAGAGTCCCTTCATCGACGTGCCACAGCCACATCCTGTGCCTCCCGTGAGACAACGCCAGCAACACCCCATGTTTGCCGTCCGGGGACAGCACCCCGTGGTGGTTGCCCTGGAGGGCGTTTTTGAACGAGACGGAGGCGACCGTCTGCCCGGTCCCGACGTCGAACACCGAGTACGTCGTGCTGACTACGGTGCCGTGCGTATGGAGGACGCGATGGCCGTGAGCAGAGACATGGAAGAGAAGCCCGCGGCTCGATCGTGTCGGCTCGACGTCGAGGGTCAATGAAAGAGCGGGCCCCGGGCCTTCGAGGGAAGAGTCGGTCGTGGCGTCGGCGAGCATGATGACGGGGGAGTCGTCCGGAAGGACCACGGCTTGATGAATGTGTGGACGAGTCGGGTCTCTCCGCAGGACGGCTTCGGTGACGGGTTCGAAGCAGAGCGGGGTGGGGGCGTCCGGGGAGGGGAATGGAGAATGGCAGATCCCGGTGACGAGGTCGTGGACGAGAATGCACCGATGTCGTGTGCCAGCCTTCGAAGTACACGTGCAGACGCGCAGGACGAGGCGGCCGTCGTTGGAGATCCGGATGAACGACGGGTCGTACGTGGGGTCATTGTTGATGCGGATCGGTAAGATGTGGCTCGGACTGGGAAATGACTGGACGAGGGTAAGAGTGACTGCGTCCCAGACCTCGAGGCTCCCGAACCTCGTCAACATCACCAGCTGCGTTCCATCTGGCCGCCAGGTGTGATCGACGTGGTGGTGGTGGTCACCAACCTTGATGCAACCGACCTTGCGCACCCTTTGTCCCTCCGCCACCTCACTTCGTGAAAGGAGCCTGAAGATATCTACTCCGCCGAAAGGGCTCGTGCACGCACACAGCGCCTCCGTAGGTGCGAACGAGATCGAGAACATCTTAACACCGACAACACCGTACCACTGCTCGAGTACCGGCTTTTCTGACTCGGTGTTCCAGATAATTAAGTCGAAGATCCAGCTGGGGGAGTTGCATCCGCCAACGCTTACGGCCCACACTCCTGAGGGGGAGAGAACAAGTCTTTCCACGTAATCAGTGTGCCCGTACAACCTTTTGATAGGCGGGTCTATAAAACGTGTTAGCTCAACCCACCGCCGTAGAGGAGCTGAAGGCTGACGGATGAACGTGCGGACAACCCGTAGAAGGTTCAATGAATGAAGCGGTGAGAAGACTTGTTGAACCACACTAGTGCACCCTTCCACGTGGTTCTCCTGCAGGTCTTCAAATATGCATGTTCCTCCTATCGCTCGCAGACGGCCGAGATCTTCCACCAGTCGTGCAGCCGTTTCAGACTCGGATCTGTTCACGTCATCGAGCTCCGTTTGTGGGGGGCAGAAAGCTTCTGGATAGACAACTTCGAAGGCAAGCAGGGAGCTAGGGAGGCCGTGGCGCAAGAACATATTGACATCCTTGACGGCGATGATACAGGAACTCAACACGGTTTCCCGACGGCCACACCGGAGAGCAAGATACTGCAATCTCGTTATTTCGCCAACGTCTGTGAGACAATGATGAAAATCGGATTCCACGCGGCCGGAGACAGTTAAGGCATCCTCACTGTGAGATTGGAACCGGCCACAGGGCAGTGTCAGGTGTGTGAGAGTCGTCGAACTGGCCTGATACAATGGCCGTAGTTGCTGAGCCACGTACAGATCTCCCATCTTTACGCGGGTCAACAACAACGTAAGGCCGGACTGAAACGCCTACTCACCTTGAGCTCCTGGAGGGACGCGATGCTCCTGCGTGAGCTCAACAGGGCGAGCTCCTCTGCATCACGTTCGCACCTGACGGAGGCCAACCGGAGCACCTGAAGTGTGGGAAAGCAGGCCGCGAGTCGATACAGGTGAAGAGGCGACGCCAAATGCACGTTATTGAGTTCCAAAGTCTTTATGGACGGGTATCGCCTGAAGCAGGCCATAGAAAAGCGCGAGAAGGATCGAAAACCGGGCACACCGGACTTGGCTCTGAATGCCTCGAATCGCCAGACTTCTACACCCGTGAGGTACGGCAGGAGAACCACCGGCGCGCTGTTGAACAGAGCGGGGTCTTGCCGTCCGCCGGGGGCGGGCAACAGATGGAGGTGCACTGAGTGGACGAGCCCGCGGAGCTGAGGGGTGCGTTCGAGGGCGTGGTGGACCGAGGCGAGCTGGTCCATGGTGCTCAGGTACAGCTCGCGCCAGATGTTGAGACGGCTCCGGGGGAGCCACTGCGTGCAGACCCGTGCGCAGACAGCGACCGATTCGTATTCGTATTCGGCGCCGAGGACGTCGATTATGGTATCCCATATCTCGACAGGGAGGGGAGGGGAGGGCATGGCTGATGTCAACGTCGGGGGGCAAAGTGGTCAGCAAAGAGCGTATCGCGCGGCGGCGGCTAACCGCTCTCAGCGCTTCCTGATCGATAAGGATCTTTTGCGGGAGATCTGCTAGAGCGCTGATGGTATGTAGTACAGAGCATGGTACGTATATCGAAGATATAGACAACGACTTGCAAAGGGACAGTTTGAAATGTGTGTTAATTTATAGTGAGATGGGAAGACTTGTGGGCATAAGTACAGTGTACACTTTTTGAATCGTAGCGGCCGCCGTACTATGTATCTCCCCTCCCACAGTCGCAAATCTCGCCCCCGCGCCACATACATACTACTCGTTCACCGTTTGGCCCATAGATCCTACTCCTGCCAGGAATTTCGGCTTTTCGCTTCGGCGCTCGGGCGATCGTCGAGGTAACCCCAACACCCGTCTCCATCACGCTCCTCGTTTTCCGCTCCGCCGTCATGCTCAGCGACGTGCGCACAAGCCCTGCGCGTGCCACGGCCACAGTCTTCCTAAAACCAGTTCGATTGCTCCTCCGATAAGTCAACGTCTTACTTCAAGGAGGCGATTGCTTCCTCCCACGACTTCAATTTCCCCTCCAACGACTTCATTTCTTCCTCCCACGAACTCGGATCTTCATCGTGTTGCATCCCCTTCCCCTCCGCCTCCGCCTCCGCCTTCCGCTCCATCAGCACTGCCATCTTCTCCCTAATCCGCGTCTGTATCAACCTTTCCCTCGAAGCTTTCATCTCCTTCGCCTCGGGCTCGTTCCGAAGAAGTGGCTTTGCCTTCGAAGTGCCTTCCTGACTGCGTGATGGCGAAGGTGCGCAGGACTCGGCCAACAGCGCCCGCGCCCGCCACATCGTCATGTCAGCCACCTTCGTCTGCAGCCCCTCCGCGATGCGAGCGAGGGCGTCGTCGGGGATACCGAACGCGGGAGGGTCCCAAGGGACTACTTGACCGTGAGAAGCGGAGAGGCAAACGTCTTCGCCCGAGGGTTAGCATAACCGCGTCGAGCACAGGTTCACTTACTAGGCTTGGAGTTCTCGTTCTCGCACAATTGCTCGCGGAGCTTTGTGCAGCCGTAACACGCCTTTCTGCTGGCCCCGATCGCTAACGATGGGTTTCCCTGCTAACGACGGGGAGGAAGTCAGCATCAAAAACAAAAATGGAGCGACTAGCCGATACGTACGACGAGGTCTTGGTATAGGTCCCGCACACTCTGGGGACTGTCGGGCGGTGGCTCGGTGTTGAGGAAAGACATCAGCTCGGCTTCAACGTGGACAAGCGGAACAGGGCCCTCGCGATTGTCGCGGAAGACGTCGCGTAGCCACGAGGTTGCTGTGCGGACCAGTTCCGGCGATGTATTGCACTTTGCGATGCGTGCTGAAAGAACTTTCAGGACTTCGTCGTAATCCTCTTGAGTGTTGGTTTTGGCTTCTTTCCTGAGCTCAAGAATCGATACCTGCGGGACGGATGGCAGCCGTGCGATGTTGTTTAGGATTGCGAGAGATGCTTTGAACGGGGAGACGACCATAAGAAGATATCGGAATACAACGTGTCCTGGAGTCTCGCCGGGTTCGGGAGTCAAGGCACAGCGGTCCTCGTTGTTTTCAAGCTCCTCTTGGCTGCCTTGGCTGCTGCCTTCGACGCCAGAAGTGCTGGCATCCTGCTGACAAGACGTTCTGGGCGCATACAAAGATGCGGGAGTGGGCTGAGTCGGCCACGGCGCATGCCTGGAGTCTGGTAGTCGGTATGTTTCACAAGCGTCAACGGCCGCGCAACCAAGGGAGGAATAAAAACATACCGACAGGCTTCGTGACAAATATGTCAGAGAGAGAAGGCAGCTGGAAGGCAACCTTGACAGCCTCGCATCCGAGGATAAGGAACATGAGACGCAAACACTGGACAAAGCAACAACGTTGATCTTCCATCTCGTCACGAGAGACCTTCTTTTTGGAGTCCTCGTAGGCGCACGCTAGGAGGAGACCAAGTATTTTAATCCATATGCCCGCAGCGTCTTCGGTAAAGTGGGTCTCAGGAAGAGCTTTCAAGTCGATGAGGGCTAAGACCCACTTCATGTCGTCAGGGAGCAGGTCGATCTTAGTGTCTCGGACACCAGCGAGCGTCTTGCTGTCGAGCTTCGTGGGCGTCCACTTTTGCATCTTCTCCCATACGGGCTCTGACCAGAATGAATGTCCCAAGTTGATGCGGCGAACAGCAGCGTCGTAACGGCGAGACGTGACCCACCCGCAGATGGTGAGCTCGTCGGTGTCCCGCGTTACCATCTTGGCCAGCCGACCCTCCTTGTAGCCAGTGAGAACGCGAAGGAAGTCACTGACATGACGACGCATGGGGATAGGAGTTTCATTCCTATACGCCGCGGAGGTTGGTGAAGGTATGGACAAAGTCACAAACGACTCATAGCGACTTACCAGTAGAATTTCACTAGGTCGACCTTCTCGTCACTGGGAGACACTGAATGCAATGGATGCCCTGTCCTTGTGACCTCTGAGGTGACACCAATGGCGAGGTGGACGCCATCGGGTAGTGTTTTCCCCGTGACAGCCACAGCACCGTCCTGGTGGATGGCGAGGGCGTTGGAGATAAGATCGTAGATTCCGACATTGCATTTATGGTCGTGAACCTTGTTGTGAAAGGCATGGTCGTGTTCACGAAGATATTTCGAGAATATCGAAGTGAGCACGCGAATGACGGTGCGAGGACTGGGATCAATGACGGCGGACGCTCTGTCAGGGACGGATGGCGGAGACGGAAAGTACGAGGCAAGCATTGAGAGAAGGAAGAAAATGGTTGAGAGCACCGAGGTCACCAAGGAACTCATAATGTCGAGACAGCGAGCGCGGCATAGAATATGGGATGCCTAGGGGAGACTACGAGCGCGGAGCTCCTTTCGAACAAGAGTCCATCGGAGTCAACTGCCTTCGGCCCGGGCTGAGCCTGGCAAGCGCCAAGCCTGCAGACCCAGTGGCTGCACTAGTGGCCCAGTCGTCGTCATTCGACTCTCTCACAACGCATACCCCTCTTGCCTAGGGGAGACTACTTCCTCACACCCGTCTGCGTTCATCACGGCGGCTACATCTTAACCTACCAACGGACCTATCCATGCAATGAACCCCGGTCACGATTCGACCACGGTAGCTCTTCGCGCAGACGACTCGGACGAGGATGTTGCAACCCTCTTGCCCGGAGAGACTGTGTCCGACGACACTTCCAAGTCAGGTACGTGCTACTTGGCCGGTGAGGGTGCTGTACGGAGGTGTGGTACCTGCTCTGCTATCAGTACTGGCCTTCATGCCCACCCCTGCGTCCTTCCCCGCTCATCTAACTCATATTTCCTTCGCGCAGAGTACAAGAAGCTCATGATCAAGCTCGGAGTGTCGTTCTTCTTGTTTGGTTTGATCAACAATGGTATGTGCCTGGCACCGTTCACGAGTTCTAGGTGTACTCAGCTCCCGCTTTAGTGCTCTATGTGATCATCCTCTCCGCTGCCTTGGATTTGGTTCCACCCTCCACTCCTAAAGGCATCATCGCCTTCTGCAACATCTTCCCCGCTCTTGTTGCGAAACTGGGATGGCCATATCTTCTCAAGGGAAGGATCCGCTATGCACGCCGGCTTATGGGCTGCACCGCAATTAGTGTAGGGGGGATGCTGGTACGCACATTTATCCGGTCTCTGGCTCACTGTCTGGTGACGTCGTCTACTGCAGGTCGTCTCGCTGTCCGATGGTTTATATATGCGCCTTTTAGGTATCTGCATGGCGTCGTTCTCGTCAGGTAAGCCTGCACAATCCGCGGCAACCAGATTCTTACAATGTCTCCTAGGCCTGGGCGAATTGACGTTCTTGCAACTTTCGACCGGGTACCACCCACCGTCTGTCGCCGGGCACAGCGTGGGGTACGTTTTTTCGGCATCCAGGCGATAGGTCTTTAACACCATCCATCCACTTGCAGATACTTCGCTTCAGGAACGGGTGGAGCGGGTCTTGTGGGTGCATTCCTCTGGTGGGAGCTTCGAGGCTTGGGGGTCCGTCTCGGTGTCGGACTGTCTTCGGTACGTTCTTTTCGCAAAATCTTTGGCGCATGCAGTTATCAAACACTGCTCTTAGATTCTACCCTTCATTATCCCTATCACATACTACTTCATCCTCCCTCGTCCCCACCAATTTGCCGTTGGTGCTTCCGACGACGACGACGCCGATGGAGCGCCTCTTTCTGCATCCTACACACGTCTCCCAAACGAAGAAGACCCCGATATCCCTATCACTGAGCCGGAAGCCAACGTGACTGCCATGATTGCTCTTACATTTCAAGACAAGTGGAGGCTCGCGAAGCCTATGCTTACGAGATATATGCTCCCTCTATGTGAGTGACCCATTCGTGTGTATGACGACGTAACTAACGAGCCAAAATCGCAGTCTGTGTGTATATGGTGCGCTAATAGCTCATCTCGTGTCCGACTCAGCGCTGACCTCCGCTTAGTTTGAATATACCATAAACCAGGGTATCGCGCCGACCTTGGTTTACCCCGTCCCCTCACCGGACGTACACTGGCTAATGAGTCGGATAATCAAGTCTTTACGCGATTACTACCCCCTGTGGCAGGTCAGTGCGTCCTTTTATCTCAGAGACCCCCACCTTACGCTCGAGTAGCTCGTCTATCAAACCACCGTCTTCCTCTCCCGCTCCTCCATCACGTTTGGCCTATCCCCGCTTCCCGAAAGGCTGCTCTCCCTCCCGGCGATCGTCCAAGGCATCATCCTCACCGTTCTCACCATCGAGTCGGCGGTTGGCATATTCGGCGACGACCACGAAGGCATCAGCTTCGCGTTCGTGTTCCTCCTCATCAGCCTCGAGGGCATCTGTGGTGGACTGGCATAGTGCGTACCGCTCCTTCTTCCTCTGCGTCTCCCCCTCCCCATCCCCCGTCCACTTTGCCGACAAACGGACGTTTGGGCGTGCGCCACGACGTGCTCACCTCGCCTTCCTTCGACGGCTCCGCCATGTGTGCGTTCTGACGTGACCTTCCCTCTCAGTGTCAACGTCTTCTACCGCATCAACCAAGAGAAGCACGACACGCACGGCGCACACCCAGAGCGGGCCAAGCAAGAACGCGAGTTCAAGATCGGCTCCATCGGCCTGGCGGACAGCGCCGGCATCCTCGCCGCGTCGCTGCTCGCGGTCCCGACGGAGATCGAGCTGTGCAGGGTGCAGGTCGCGAGGGGGAAGACGTTCTGCCAGAGCCTGTAGACGCCGGCGCGTCCAGCCCGAGTCTGAGCGGTGTAACATTACGGAGACAGACGGGGGATGTCGTGCATATCGATCTGTACAACCTAATCACGTACTATAGGACCCGCGCGGGACGTTCGCCGCGCTACACCGCTGCATGTACACGTACTAGAACGCCGTATATTAATGCGCGCTCGCTCTGCGCGAGCTGCGCACATGACATAAGGGAAGGTTCGAGAGGTCGCGGCTGCTGGCGTGCGTACGTGTCTGTAGACCATCCGCGCCGACGTTGACTACTCGGGTATCACGCTCTCGAACGCACGAACCTCGCCCTCGAGGCACTTCCAGAGCTTTTCGCCTACCGCGTCGTCGTACACTTCCTTGCGGCACTTGCCCAAGCGTGCGTACGGGATGAGGAACTGTCGTCGGGTCGAGTGCGTGTCAGCACGTCTCTGAGAAGAGAAGCACGTCGAGAACGGGGACGGACCTCGCCGTTGTATTGGGCGGCCTCCGGCATCGTCGCCGCGAAGAGCTGGGTGAGCGCGCCGAACGGGGCAGGCTGGAGGATCGTGGCGTTCTGCGAGCGGGAAGGAGGAGGGGTCGAGGGTGAGCGCAGACTCGGCCGTTCCGTCCACGACCGGGTGAGTGCGCACCATGACATTGCGCGCGAGCGGCGCGGCGTGCCGCTGGAGGACCGTCTGGATGCTCCCTGGGAACACGAGCATATCGCCTTAGTCTGACGGTGCGACGACCGAAAAGGCGGGGCGCTTTACCGGGATTGACGGAGATGGACACGACGCCCTTGTCGGCGTACCGCTTCGCCGCCTGGTGCGCCACGACCGCGTTCCCCTGCGGATTTCAACGCAAGCTGGGATTGGTGATAAAGCTTGAAGCTCGGATGGGGGCCAACACGCACCAGTTTGCTCTGGTAGTACAGCTCCTCCGTTGTCTTCGCCCGGCGCGCGGGCCCGTCCCGCATCGTCGCGTACTCGAGCGTGCCGAGGTACGCCCCGGCGGAGGACGTCGTGACGACGCGCGCGCCCCCCGCGGCGGCGAGCGCGGGGAGGAGGAGCTCGGCGAGGTAGAAGTGCCCGAGGACGTTCGTGCCCCACTGGAGGTCGTGCCCGTCCGCGGTGAGCGCGTCGAGCGCGGGCCACATCACCCCCTGCCGCGGCACGATACGATACTGGCGAGGTCGAGCTCGAGGAAGAGCGCGTCTTTGCCAGTGTCCTGCGCGAGCGCGGCGATGGCGGCGTCGGCTTTGCTCTTGGAGCGCGCGGCGATGTATACCTTCGTGCCGTGCTGGAGGAGGACCTGGTGCGCCGCGCTGGTCGGCGTGAGGGCGAGCAGGTGGTGGTGGGGGGACTCGCTTTGGCGGTCTCGTAGCCTATCCATCCGTTGCCGCCTGAGTTGACACTAAGCAAAATAAGCGTCAAGCGGTGTGAGGCATGCGCACCGGTGACGATCGCGACCCGACCCGAAAGGTCCGGAATTTGGTCCGTTTTGAACTTGGGCTTGGGAGGGAAGTTTTGTATCAAGACTTGCCAACCGTTCTGAAACCCGGACATGGCGTAGGAAGGTTGAACCTGGGGAGGTTGGTGGTATAATTATCGACGGTGGGGTAGCGGGAGAGAATGATGTCCAGCGGTGCAGCAGGCTCTGTGCTATATAGATGAGTCCATGAGAATCACATCGGCCGTGCCGCGACGCGTCGTCATCATGTTTGAAATGAGAAGCTCCGCAAGCTGCAGGGCGTAATCAAGTATTATCAATAGCGTTCGGTATATCCTGTTCCTGAAGAGGAAATACGCTCGGACACACCTTGGCTCGGGCTTCAAGGTAACTGTGGAATTCGGCTGTGCGTGGAGCTATTGGTGTGTGAGACTGAAGCCAGATAATAGTCAGTGACAAAACGTGGGTGTATTCCGCTTGCGAGGGCAGAAGCTGGCTACACCAGGCATCTGGAGAGGCCATCTTGCTGACAAGGTTGTGTCGAAGGGACCGGGATGAGAGAAGGAAACCTATGAGATTCACGTCATCCAATTAACCAGAAGGTACATTCCATCCGAACAACCCTAGATAAAGCAGAGATACACTGATGGCTTCTTACGCGAGCCCTATTGCTCGTCTTCGTCGGAGTCATCGGCATCGGCATCCTGGACGGTCATCAGATCGTTCAGACTGCATGCGTGCCGTCAGCGAGGAATACAAACCGCAGCCAACTATGCATACCAGTGAACGAAAGGACGAGCGACCGCGACCACACCGGCCAGCTCTTCAATGAAATTCGGCGATAGCATTTGCTCTACCGTAAAGCTGCCGGTCCGTCTCCCGTGAGCAACAAGCCACCGAGGTTCTGGCACTGAAGCGACCTACCCGCACTTCACGACGTACGACCGGCACTTCAACAGATCGATGTCCCTACGGCGCGTCCAGAGCGTCAGCCAAGAGGCCCTCCCGACATCCGAGCATCGTCACGAAGATGCTCACGGGTGCGTCTTGGCCACGCTCTTGGGCGCGACCTTCAGCTGGTCCTCCATCCCGTACACATTCTGGTGGAGGCCCTTGGGGTGGGGCGTGGCCTCCCCGAAGCGCGCCTCGAAGTCTGGTGCAGAGATCACCCGGCGGAACCGCCGCGAGGAGCGCTGCAGGTTGTTCCTGTGGACCACGCCAATCGATGTGGTCAGCCGCCGCCAGAAGGCACATGATAGGACGATTGTCGGCGGCGCACCGGATGGTCGCGAGCTCGTTCTTGCCCGGGGCCGAGGCGCCGGCGTAGAGGTGCGCGACGCCGGCTTTGACTGGGGTGGAGAGCGGGGGCGTGAGAGGGCTGGCGTACACAGACGGTGGGCGTGTGGGGACGTACTCTCGCTGTGAGGGGTGTGGTACACGCATGACGTGAGAGGGGGCCACACAATTGCACCGCATATACTCACACATGGTCTAGAAGGTGCGCGGAGATGGGTTAGCGAAGGGACGGAGAAGGTAGGGACGAGGGACGAACATCCTGCGAAGATGCCCTTGCGCCCGCTGCGCGTGAACGTCGCCGCGAAGTTATCCTTGTACGGGGTCTTATCGTTGCTGAATCGGGTCTTGGGGCAGTGAGACGGATGATCTCTAGAGAAAAGAAAAGACACACATCGCGATATATTCTATACACCAGGTCCTTCGGGGGAAGGTGCGGAATCTGTTCGTCAACTTCGACGAGGGCGTCCGTGAACTTTTCCACGAAATCCTTCCACTCTTTCTCTGCTTGGCGGAAGACGGGCTCTGTGTGCATTTATGGACCTCAGAAATGCTACAGGAGAGATTCTCGCGACACAACGCACCGTGTAGCTTGAACCACTCGCGGTCATTGCACTCCGGGGTGGCCAAATCTGCCAGGAAGTTGAGCGTGTTCTGCGATATCCGCCCGGCAGGAACTGAGATCGACCATCCACTAAGCGAACAGTAAGCATCAACAGAGTCAAACACGGACCTCGGCCAGTCTTCGGAGCGTGCACGATCTTGCCCACAACCTCCTGGCCGTCCTCCAGCTCGAGCTCACTATCTTCGTCCTCGTCCTCGTCCTCGCTCTTGGTCTTCCTCTTCTTGTGTGGGCTCTCAACCTTGTTCACGAACGGCTTCCTCTTCCCCAAGGCGACCGCGATGTTGGGCAGCTCCTCGTAGTCGTCTTCCCCGTAGTCGTCCTCGTCGAGGGACCCGCTGTGCGAGCTCGACGCGCCGTCGCCGGACGCGTCCCTCAGATGGTACGCGTCGCCTTCGTCCTCGTCGTCCTCGTCGAGCATGTCGCTGTCGTAGTCGTCATCCTTCGTCGGGCGTTTGGACTTGCCGTTGGACTGGGCCGACTTTGGGGTGGCCTTGGGCTTCGGGGTGGCCTCCGCCGGGGTAACCTTCGTCGAGGCAGCCTTTGGAGTAGCCTTCGGAGTGCCCTTCGATTTCTCCTGGACGACGGGGCGTTTCTTGGGGGTTGCGCGTGGCGGCATTTACTTTCAGATGACGGACACGAATGGGGAGGAAGGGCTGGGAAATAGCGGCGGCGGAGTCGAGACGCGTCGCGTCGACAACAGTCACGTGAGGCGTGTCTTACTTATCAAGCGGCAGATGCCGGGGACTCAGAAGTCAGGACACGATCACTGTGAGGTGGACACGCACTTTTCCTACTTCCACTCAACCTGCAGCATTCGATTGGTACTTCGCACAACGGCTCGTGGAAGACAGTACTATCGGGAAGAAAGGCGCCGAATCCAGGGTGTGTGCTTCCTTGGTTGGGGTATGTTCAACAAGTTCTCGTGAGCAGTAAGTACCTACCCGCCCCCGGACTACACTTGTGGTTCGTGGTGAACGCCTAAAAGTGCCAAGACGAAGGACGACGGGAGGAAATGCTCTTTCGTCGGGAGATGCAGCCATTCCGTGAACGTGCGGTATGTACCGCACAATTTGAGACCAAGCGTCACGTTGACCGTCGCATTAGACACTCACAAGATCACAAGCCGCCTTCCTGCGCCTCCGCGCAGCATCTTCGCACCCCAAACTGCTGGACCAGAGCTCCTTGCTCACGCGCTCCCCGATCCTTTCCGTCCACTTCCCGGGCCGCGGAGAAACACATGGACAGGCCAGAACCATGCGGCTCCGCACTTTCCGTCTTGTACGGGGTTCCGAGGGTAAATAGAGAATTAACCGTCGGACGTCCCGCATCGCCCGCAACGCTTCTCGAAGCCCGCACGGCGCCGTGGGGTAGCGTGAGGTGGGTTCCTGCCTCGGAATGTGCATACCGTACGCCCTGGCGCTGTCCATCCGCATCGCCTCCTCATCTCGGAAGACCGCATCGGACGCCCCCAGTCCCACGGATCGCAGGGGGGCGCCCCTTGGAGGTTGCGGGGTTGAGACGCAGACGTGGATATCTGAATGTGGCGGCGGGGACCGGCGAGCCTCCGCGGGAGAAGGCGCGATCCCTCGCGACTCGGAAGACCCTGCAGAGCTTCCGCACACGTAGGAATGTGAGCGGGCGCAGCGTGTGACCGTGTCGCGCGTCCAACGGAACAGTCATTTGCACCACATGGCGCTCCTACGCTGCTCACTCCAGCCACGGCGCGAGCGCCATGACTGCGTCCGACGCTGGACGCGGCTCGGAACGCCGAACGTACGGCAACGACGAACCTGCGAGCAACGTTGCCGTTCCGTTTGCGTTCCGTCGTGGCGGCCATCGACCCACTTTGCGGCTGAAAGCGAGCAGGCTGGCACCGATCATACGAGAGGAACACTGAGACCATTTCGGCAGAGACGAACAGCCTGTGTCGTGCTCGCCTGCTGGGGACGGCTGGTTAGTTTACGGGAACGGGCGACCGTCGCGGAGGATGATTTGTAGCGCGGGTTCGCGTCGGGGTTGCTTCTGCCGCCTGCAACGCGATTTCGAGCGCTGAGCCCGAAAACCACGGAACAAGCACAAAACGCCCACCTCGACGCCCCGAATCCCATCCGCTCCCACTGCGAAGTGGTGCGTCTGCCTGACTATGTACGCGACATGGGGGCTCCGTTCTAGGCTCCGCCGTGCACCCTCCGTCTCGAGGAGCACTGGCACGCAGCGGGCGCTCGTGGGACAGCTCCAGACAACTCGCCGAAGGTCCGTGCCTGACTTGTCCGTGCGCCGCCGCATCGTTCGGAAATCGTCGCCTTGGCCCACAGACGACCGGCTTGTTCTGGGAGATGAACGGCCTCGGGCCAGACTGAGGCGATGCATATCATGCGGGGTAGAGTGCGGGGTGCCGACGCGGGGCCGCCCAGTCTCGATCTGCGGATGGGCTGTACATGTCGGGCCGCGCGCCGTCAGCTAGCGCAGGGCGGGCGCACGGAAACATGGAGGGCATGCGCCCGTTTGGGACGAGCACGCCTCAGGGGCGAACCTGCAGGGAACCGTGGGCGCACGATAGCGGGGGCGTGGAACCATATTGACACCCCTGCGCCCCCGCCTCGCCTCCGCAGTGCGTCCATGCTCCCAGAAGGGCGTTGAGGGATGGCGGGGACGGCGAGCGAGCCGTCGTGAGCAGGCAATGGTGTGTTGCGGGGCGGCGGGGCCAGGGCGCGCATTCTGTCGGCGGGAGGCGCGGATGGAAATCAGCTAGAGGCGATCACGCGCCGCCAGTGCGGAACGTATATTACAGTCTCCCCACGGCGCACCCGTCTCAATCTCTCCTCTGCCCCTCTGCCCCCATTCCCTCCTTTCGCCCGCAATGTCTGCCGAAAATTCACACCACCAGGTGCCCAAGCACCCCATCGCGCCCCGTCTCAAGACCGGCCCCAAGACTCCCCATGTCGACCACCCGTCCTACACGTAAGGCCTCTGCCTTCGTCGTTTCCCAGTGTGCTCACGCCCAGATCTGCCTGCAGAAAGTTCCACAGCGAGTCTCTCGGTCACGAGAGCGACAAGTGGTGGGCCAAGGTTCGTGTATGCGTCTTTCCTTCCGAAGAACCGTCTTCCGAACGTCGATCGTATTCAGATGGCGAAGGAAACCTTGCACTGGGACCGCCCCTTCCACACCGTCCGCTCGGGCTCGTTCGAAACCGGTGACATCGTCTGGTTCCCCGAGGGCGGTCTGAACGCGTCCTACAACTGCGTCGACCGCTGGGCATTCAAGCACCCGGACAAGGTACGTCTGCTCTCTTCCGCCCCGCCCCCACCATTTCGCGCACACCGTTCTCCCGGCACTCCGGGACTCACGGAGCAGTGGCCCACGGGCGGAAAGCGTTTTCCGAGTCGGAGTCGCAGGTTGATCGTCCGACGACATTCTGCCCGCGTCGCCGTTCCCGACGTGTTCTGTCCTGCGCGCCTCGGAGTCATCCACTCAGGGCGTCCAAGAAGCTCCGCCCGCCGTGCGCGGCCGGCTGCTCGCTGGGTGGGCTGCCACCCAGGCTGCCCCGCAGAGACGCCGGGCGCGGGGCATCTGCTACGATCCGAGTCTGCTGATGTTTACCCAGACGCTTATCCCCGATTGAATCTGCAGACCGCAATCATCTACGAGGCCGATGAGCCCAACGAGGGCTCCGAGATCTCCTACGCTCAGCTCCTTCGCGAGGTTTGCGCCGTCGCGAACGTCCTCAAATCATGGGGCGTCAAGAAGGGCGACACCGTGTCCGTCTACCTCCCAATGACGTGGCACGCCGTCGCCACCTTCCTCGCCTGCGCCCGCATCGGCGCCGTCCACTCCGTCGTCTTCGCCGGCTTCTCTGCGGAGTCCCTCCGCGACCGCGTCCAGGACTGCAAGTCCCGCGTGCTCGTCACCTCCGACGAGGGCCGCCGCGGAGGCAAGGCCATCGCCACCAAGGCCATCGCCGACGCCGCGCTCAAGGAGTGCCCACTCGTCGAGCACGTTCTCGTCCTCAGGCGCACCGGCAACACCGTCCCGTGGACTGCTGGACGGGACAAGTGGTGGCACGAAGAGACCGCCAAGGTCCCTCGATTCTGCCCCCCAGAAATCATGTCCGCCGAAGACCCGCTCTTCATCCTCTACGTGAGTTGGTCTTTTTCTGCAGACTCCTTCGCGCGCTAAGCTGTGCTTCATCTTACACAGACGTCTGGCTCGACGGGCAAGCCCAAGGGCGTTGTTCACACCACCGGTGGATATCTCCTTTGCGCCGCCCTGACTGTCAAGTACGTCTTCGATGTCCACCCAGACGACAAGTTTGCCTGCATGGCCGACATCGGCTGGATCACCGGCCACACCTACATCGTCTACGGCCCGCTCGCCAACGGCGTCACTACCACCGTGTTCGAGTCTACCCCTGTCTACCCTACTCCCGCGCGCTACTGGCAGACTGTCGACAAGCACCAGATCACTCAGTTCTACTCCGCGCCTACCGCCATCCGTCTTCTCCGCCGTCTCGGCGAGCACCACGTCCAGGACCACGACCTCGGCTCGCTGCGCGTCCTGGGCTCCGTCGGCGAGCCGATCAACCCCGAGGCGTGGCATTGGTACAACGACCACGTCGGGCGCAAGCAGTGCGCCATCGTCGACACCTTCTGGCAGACCGAGACCGGCTCGATCGTCGTCACGCCCTTCCCCGGCGCCATCGAGACGAAGCCCGGGTCGGCGACCGTGCCGTTCTTCGGCATCGAGCCCGCCATCCTCGACCCGCAGACCGGGGTGGAGCTCGAGGGCAACAGCGTCGAGGGCGTGCTCGCGCTCAAGACGCCGTGGCCGTCGATCGCGCGCACGGTCTACCAGGACCACAACCGGTACCTGGACACGTACATGAAGCCCTACCCGGGCTACTTCTACACCGGCGACGGCGCCGCCCGCGACGAGCACGGGTACATCTGGATCAAGGGTCGCGTGGACGGTGTGTCTCGCCCCTCTCGGCCTGGCGTGCGCTTGGTACCCGCTAGCCCGAACTCTGACCCCGCCTTTGTATAGACGTCATCAACGTCTCAGGCCACCGCCTGTCGACGGCGGAGATCGAGTCTGCGCTCATCACGCACGCGGGCGTCGCCGAGACCGCAGGTGCGTCCGCTCTCGCCCCGTGCGCGCCCCCGGCGCAGCGCTGACCGCCAGCGCGGCCCCGACAGTGGTCGGCACCGCGGACGAGCTCACGGGCCAGGCCGTGTTCTCGTTCGTGACGCTCAAGCCGGAGTTCAAGTACGACGAGAACGACGAGGGGGGGCTCATCAAGGAGCTCACCCTCCAGGTGCGCAAGGTGATCGGCCCGTTCGCGGCGCCCAAGAAGATCTTCATCGTCGCGGACCTGCCGAAGACGCGCTCGGGCAAGGTGCGTCTCCGCCGGCCCCGCCGCGCGCGTCGCGTCGTCGCCGGCTGCTGAACCTTCACACAGATCATGCGCCGCGTGCTCCGCAAGATCGTCGCGGGCGAGGGCGACCAGCTCGGCGACCTCAGCACGCTCGCCGAGCCCGCGGTCGTGGACCAGATCAAGACCAAGGTCGCGGCGATGCATTAGACGCGCGCCTTTCCGTCTGCTCTGCCCGCCGCCGTCTTTATCTTCGTGTAGGGATTCTTTGTGGCTCTGAATGTGGCCCTCGCGCCCGTCTCTGTCGCTTGCGTGCGATGCGTGGAGGTGATAGGTGTTGGTTGATGCGCGGTAGTTGTGGCTCGGTACTGTACGAATGTGTCCATACGCTGTATACTATTCCCGTGTTTGATAAATAAAACGGTATCTCGTTGCGTTTCTACTACTGTTCCTCTGGTGAGGCTGGTAATCCAGAGTCCAGGGCCTATCTTGAAATCCATCGGGTTCGAGTGTTGGACGAAACATCTATTACTATCGGCCGTTGGCATATCCTTATCGATCGGGAAGCGCTGGGCCAGCTTCCGCCGCGGCTTGAGGAGGCCGGGGGAGTGCCGACTCTGAGTCGTGCTTTCTGACCTCTGGAGCGAGGTGATCGCGGCCTCGCGGGTGGGAGTGGTGGGCTGCGACGGGAAGGGGAGGAATGGCTGCGACCATGAATGCGGGGGGATAAGGTGGAGGAGAGGGCCCGGGGGTGGGACGAACGTCGCCACGCCGCCGCGCGATACGCTCTTTGCTGACCACTTCGCCCCCGGACGTTGACTGCAGCCATGCCCTCCCCTCCCCTCCCTGTCGAGATATGGGAGGATACCATCGACGCCCTCGCCGCCGCACACGAATTCGAATCCGTCGCCGTCTGCGCAAGGGTCTGCACGCAGTGGCTCCCCCGGAGCCGCCTCAACATCTGGCACGAGGTGTACCTGAACACGATCGATCAGCTCGCCTCGGTCCGCCACGCCCTCGAATGTACCCCCCAGCTTCGCGGGATCGTCCACTCAGTCCACCTCCATCTGATGCGCGGCCAACGGCAAGACCCTGCTCTGTTCAACAGTGCGCCGGTGGTCCTTCTGCCGTACCTGCCATATGTGGAAGTCTGGACATTCGAGGCATTCTGGGCTTTCGGTGTGCCCGGGTTTCGATCTTTCTCGCGCTTCTCTATGGCCTGCTTCAGGCAGTACTCGTCCATAAAGACTCTGGAGATCAAGGGGGTGCAATTGGCGACGCCTCTGCATCTGTATCGACTCGTGGCCAGCTTTCCCAAACTCCAGGTGCTCCGGTTGGCCTCCATCATGTGGGGAAAGAACGCAGACGACCCCGCCCTGCCGAGCTCGCGCATGAGCATTGCGTCTCTCCAGGAGCTCAAGGTGAGTGAGCGTGGCAGTCCGGCCTTATGTTGTTGTTGACCCGTATCAGATGGGATATATGTACGTGCCAGAACAAATACAGCCATTGTATCAGACTAGCTCGGCGACTCTCACGCACCTGACGCTACCCTGTGGCTGGTGCCCATCAAGCGGTGAGGATGCCTTTGCAGTCTCCGGCCTCGTCGAATACGATTTTCATCATTATTTGACAGACGTCGGCGAAATGACCAGATTACGGTATCTTTCTCTCCGATGTGGGCGTCGGGAACCCGTGTTGAGCTCCTGTATCCTCGCCGTCAACGACGTCAATCTGTTCTTGCACCACGGCCTCCCTGGCTCGCTGCTTGCCTTCGAAGTGGTGTATCCAGAGGCTTTCTGCCCCCCACAAGAGGAGCTCGATGACGTTAACAGACAGGAGTCTGAGCCGGCTGCACGACTGGTAGAAGATCTCGGCCGTCTTCGAAAAATAGGAGCAACATGCATATTTGAAGACGTGAAGGAGAATCACGTGGACAGGTGCACCAGTGTGGTCGAACAAGCCTTCTTATCGCTTCATTCATCGAACCTTCTACGGGTTTTCCGCACGTTTACCCGTTAGCTTTTAGTCCCTCTACTACAGCGGTGTGTTTGGCTGACACATTTTATAGACCCACCTGTCAAAAGGTTTCACGGGCACACTGGTTACGTGGAAAGACTTGTTATCTCCCCCTCGGGAGTGTGGGCCGCAAGTGTTGGCATATGCAATTCCTCCGGCTGGAGCTTCAACTTCATCATCTGGAACACCGAGTCAGAAAAGCTGGTACTCGAGCGATGGTACGACACCTACGGTGTTAACTTGTTCTTGGTCTCGTTCGCACCTACAGAGGCGCTGTGCGCGTGGAGGCGCCCATCCCACGGAGTAGATATCTTCAGGCTCCCTTCACAAAGCGAGGTGGCAGCGGGACAAAGAGTGCGGAAGGTCGGGTGCATCAAGGTCGGTGGCCACCACCACTACGTCGATCACACCTGGCGGCCGGACGGGACGCAGCTGGTGGTGTTGACGTTGTTCGGGAGCCTTGAGGTCTGGGATGCAGTCACTCTTACCCTCGTCCAGTCATTTCCCAGTCCGAGCCACATCTTACCGATCCGCATCAACAACGACCCCACGTACGACCCGTCGTTCATCCGGATCTCCAACGACGACCGCTTCGTCCTGCACGTCTGTACGTTTACTCCGATGCCTGGCCCACGACAACGGTGCATCCTCGTCCACGACCTCGTCACCGGGGTCTGCCATTCTCCATTCCCCTCCCCGGACGCCCCCACCCCGTTCTGCTTCGAACCCGTCATCCAAGCCGTCCTGCGGAGAGATCCGGCTCGGCCACACGTTCAGCAAGTGGTCGTCGTTCGGGACGACGCCCCCATCGTCATGCTCGCCGACGTTGGCACCGACTCTTCCCTCGGAGGCCCGGTGTCATTGACCCTCGACATCGAGCCGACACAACCACACCGCGGGCTTCTCTTCCAAGTCTCGGCCAACGGCCACCGCGTCCTCCACACGCACGACACCGCACTCTGCACGACGTACTCGGTGTTCGACGTCGGGACCGGGCTCGCGGTCTCCTCCGTCTCGTTCAAAAACGCTCTCCAGGGCTACCGCCGCGGGGTGCTGTCCCCCGACGGCAGGCATGTGGTGTTGCTGGCGTTGTCTTACCATAAGATGTGGCTGTGGCACGTCGATGACGGAACTCTGCATCGGATCCAGGGGACGATGGGCTGCCGGGAGTGGACAGCCGCTGAGTTCTCCGGGGATGGCGCGACGCTGGGGCTGGGGTATTCGGACGGGACTGTTTCGTTTCATATCGTTCAAGACATAGTTCGCGGACAGACCTAGTATAGTCGAAACTCACGGTACCATCCATCATACATGGCAGATGTATTTCCACGGTGCACTTCGCGCGAACACCACCTCCGCCTCGTGCTCGTGCTCGAACGCACGCGCAGGCCCTGTCCCCGTCGCTGAGCGTGACGGTGGAGCGGAAAACGAGGAGCAGGTGTCGGGGTTGACTCGACGATCACCCAGGTGCCGAAGCGAAAACTCGGAAGGCCTCGCAGGGGCAGGATCTATGAGCCAAGCGGTGTGTATGCGGCGTGGGGACGCATGTAGACGGGGGGCGAGAACTTCGAACTCCCTGGTGTTGCGCCCGTAGCCCGTCGGGAGGATGACGGTGAACGTCGTGTCGGAAGCGTCGCCGTCTGCGTGCTCCATCCGCACGCGCGTCGCTCACACGCTCCGGAAAGCGACGCACAGGCCACCCGCGAAGGAACTCGGCTTTCCGAGCGAAAGGAAGTCCGAGAGGACGTCCTTGCAGTAGGCGGAGGTGGACTCGGTGTTGCAGTGTGCGATGGGTGCGTAGCCGGGGGAGGTGCACAAGCCGGCGTAGCGCGCGATGCTGAGCGACGGAGGGGCGGTGGACGTATTCTTCGGGGCATGAGTCCGACGGGGCGACGAGCTCGTCGCTGAATGCTATTATGTCAGCCAGTCCTGGGGCGAACATGTGAACGCAAAGCGTACCTAGGATAGCTCAGCTTCGTCGGGGTGTTCACGGTATGAATACAGGTCGTTGAGCATGGTGGTGCCATACCTGGGTTTTCCCTCCTCACTACGTTTTCTCCCAACAACAACATCGGCGTCATTGTCCTATGAAACGCGGACGAGAAAGCACTCGCTGCGCCCATGATCTTGAAACAGACGTTTGACGATGTCCTCGGACTGCCCCCCTCGCACGAACGCATGAGCTCCACACTCATATCGACGCTGCCATAAGACCACCTCTCTCAGCCCATGCCGTATCTGAGGATACTCGCACCAAGGGGCGCACTTGGCTGTCCTCTCGCAACCTAACGCGCAGTTGTCGTTGCCTCGTACACACTCTCCGGGATGGTTCGATACGGGGTCGACGCCCTTGTTCAGCCACAACGCCAGCCACTTCATCATGTCCTCCGCGCCGGCTTTGAAGATGACGAGTTCGAATTGAACCAGAAAATAATCCGGCGACCGTCCTTGTTCCACGAGTGCGCGAGCCTGCCGGACCGCTGGGCGACGGACGGCCAGACGGTCGTGTCGTCCATGTGGAGCCGGCTAAAGATGCGCCTGGAGAGAAAGTCGGCGTATGACATGCCGGAGTAGTGCGCGACGAGGTGCGCGCAGAGCATGTGCATCTGCGCGGGCAGTGTCAGGCCAAAGGTCTAGAACGACGGGGAAGGGGAGCGCAGATAGGAAAACTGAAGAGACGCACCTGGTCGTTGTACGACCACTTCTCGCGCAGCTCATACGCCGAACTGAACACACGCATCCGCCCAACTATGTCTGCCGCTGTGTTGCCAGGCCCGTACGCGAAGTCGCCGAGGCGTGCCCGAGCACATCGCGGATACTGGCCCCGCGCGTCGTCCATCCGTCCAACGTCCCGTTGGGTTCTTGCAGCGACCGTCCGAGCTCTTCAGGCAGAAGGTCGTGGAATTTGGTGTCCCGGCTGGATGCAGAGACCGAAGGCGGGAGTGGAATGCAGTTCTTTCCGCGAGCGATGCCGACAGAGGTGGCCAGAAACGTCTTCGAGCACGACGCCATGCCAAAGAGTGTCTGAAGGCCAACACATGTACATATTTTGTCCCTCTGGAGAGCATGAGTTGGCGACATACCTCGCCGTTGATTGACGGAAAGGTGTCAATAAGACGGGAAGAGCGAGAGGGAGCCAAGCCTGCTCACCTGGCGGCAGCACGGAAAGGTTGGACTAGCACAGAGCCGCCTACGCCCTTCGACGTCCTGCCGGGCGAGGTGCATGCCGCAGGCTCATCGGGTGACTGTCAGGGGTCGCGGACCTGGGGGACGGAGACGCGTCGGGACGCGGTCATGGTGCGCGCGCGCCTCGGAGGGCACACGGTGGTGTGCGCAGCGGCTGGGCGAGCGTAATGAGCTCGGAGCGTCCAATCCTGAGGCCTGAGGCCTGAGGACGAACCGTCGTCGCGACGCGTTCGTCCGCGCTGGTCGAATGGTGCTGCATTGATGAGCGGCGCCGTCGTCCGCGCTCCTGTGGTGGGTACTCATCTGTACTTATGGGCTGGTGCCGGGCCGAGCGCTGGTGACTGCCTGGGCGACGCCACACGCGATCTCGCGCGATACGCTCTTTGCTGACAACGTTTGCCCCCCAGACGTTGACTGCAGCCATGCCCTCCTCCCCTCCGGTCCCTGTCGAGATATGGGAGGCCGTCGTCGACGTCCTCGGCGCCGGACACGAATTCGAATCGGTCGCCGTCTGCGCAAGGGTCTGCACGCAGTGGCTCCCCCGGAGCCGCCTCCACATCTGGCGCGAGGTGTACCTGAACACGATCGACCAGCTCGCGTCGGTCCGCCACGCCCTCGAATGCACCCCCCAGCTTCGCGGGCTCGTCGCTTCAGTGCACCTCCATCTGTTTCCCGCCCCAATGCACGACCCCGCTCTGTTCAACAGCGCGCCGGTGGTCCTCCTGCCGTACCTGCCGTGTGTGGAAGTCTGGAGATTCGAGGTGTTTTGGGCTTTCGGTATGCCCGGGTTTCGAGCGTTCTCGCGCTTTCCTGGGGCCTGCTTCAGGAAGTGCTCATCCATAAAGACTTTGGAGCTCAAGAACGTGCATTTGCCGTCTCCTCTGCACCTGTATCGACTCGTGGCCTGCTTTCCCAAGCTTCAGAACCTCCGGTTGGCCGCCGTCAAGTTCACAGATGAGCTCGCTCTGCCGGGCTCACGCACGAGCATAGCGTCCCTCCAGGAGCTCAAGGTCAGTGGGTGTTGCAGTCCGGCCTTGTGTTGTTGCTGACCCGCTTAAAGATGGAAGATCTGTACATGAAAGAACAAGAACATCTACGGCCGTTGCATCAGACCAGCGCGACGACTCTCACGCGCCTGACGCTGCCCTGTGCCTGGCTCCCGTCTCGCGGTGAGGATGCCTTTGCTGTCTCCGGCCTCGTCGAATCCGATTCTCATCATTGTCTTACAGACATCGGCGAAATGACGAGATTGCAATATCTTGCTCTCCGATGTGACCGTCAGAAACCCGTGTTGAGCTCCTGTATCATCGCCGCCGAGAAAGTCAACATCTTCTTGTGTCACGGCCTCCCTAGCTCGCTGATCACCTTCGAAGTTGTGTATCCAGAGGCTATCTGCCCCCCACAAAAGGAGCTCGATGACGTTAACAGACAGGAGTCTGAGCCGGCTGCACGACTGGTAGAAGATCTCGGCCGTCTCCGAAAAATAGGAGCAACATGCATATTTGAAGACGTGAAGGAGAATCACGTGGACAGGTGCACCAGTGTGGTCGAACAAGCCTTCTTATCGCTTCATTCATCGAACCTTCTACGGGTTTTCCGCACGTTTACCCGTTAGTTTTTAGTTCCTCTACTACGGCGGTGGGTTTAGCTGACACATTTTATAGACCCACCTGTAAAAAGGTTGTACGGACACACTGATAACGTGGAAAGACTTGTTCTCTCCCCCTCGGGAGCGTGGGCCGCAAGCATTAGCCGATGCAAATCCCCCGGCTGGAGTGCCAGCATCATCATCTGGAACACCGAGTCGGAGAAGCTGGTATTCGAGCAGTGGTACAATGTTTCAGGTTTTAAGGCGATCTCGATCTCGTTCGCATCTACGGAGGCGCTTTGTGCGTGCACGAACCCCTCCAGCGGAGTAGATCTCTTCAGGCTCCCTTCACGAAGCGACGTGGCGGCGGGACAAAGACTGCGCAAGGTCGGGTGCTTCAAGGTTGGTCACGACGACGACCACGTTGATCACGCTTGGCGGCCGGACGGGACGCAGCTGGTGGTGTTGACGAGGCTCGGGAGCCTTGAGGTCTGGGATGCAATCACTCTCGCCCTCGTTCAGTCATTTCCCAGTCCGCGCCGCATCCTACAGCCTCGGGTGATCGACTTCGTGGACGACCCGTCGTCCATTCAAATCTCCAACGACGGCCGCTTCGTCCTGCACGTCTGCAAGTTTACTCCGAAGCCTGGAAAACGACACCGGTGCATCTTTGTCCACGACCTCGTCACCGGGATCTGCCATTCTCCGTTCCCCTCCCCGGATGCCCCCGCCACGCTCTGGTTCGCCCCTATCACTCATGTCGTCCTGCGTAGCGATCCGGCTCGTCCACACGTTCAGCAAGTGGTCGTCGTTCGGGACGACGCCCCCATCGTCATGCTCGCCGACGTTGGCACCGACTCTTCCCTCGGAGGCCCGGTGTCATTGACCCTCGACATCGAGCCGACACAACCACACCGCGGGCTTCTCTTCCATGTCTCGGCCAACGGCCACCGCGTCCTCCACACGCACGGCACCGCAGTCAGCACGACGTACTCGGTGTTCGACGTCGGGACCGGGCGCCCGGTCGCCACCGTCTTGTTCAGGAACGCTCTCCAGGGCAACCGCCGCGGCATGCTTTCCCCGGACGGCAGACATGGAGTGTTGCTGGCGTCGTCTTACGGGAGGTATAAGATGTGGCTGTGGCATGTCGATGAAGGGACTCTGCATCGGATCCAGGGGACGATGGGTTGCCGGGAGTGGACAGCCGCTGAGTTCTCCGGGGATGGCGCGACGCTGGGGCTGGGATATTCTGACGGGACTGTGTCGTTTCATATCGTTCAGGACGTAGTTCGCGGACAGGCATAGCACTAGCTAGCCAAAACCCACGATATTATCGATACTGATGTATCTCTGTGGTGCACTTCACAGCGAACGCCACCTACGCCTCGCCCTCGTGCTCCAACGTATACGCAGGGCCTGTCCCCGTCGCTGAGCGTGACGGTGGAGCGGGAAACGAGGAGCAGGTGTCGGGGTTGACTCGACGATCACCCAGGTGCCGAAGCGAAAACTCGGAAGGCCTCGCAGGGGCAGGATCTATGGGCCAAGCGGTGAACGAGTGGGTGTATGCGGCGTGGGGACTCAGGCGAGAACTTGTGACTGCGGGAGGGGAGATACATAGTACAATGACCGTTACGAGCTCAAGAAGTGTCATTCGATTATAGCGCCACATACACACGCGTCACCTTACTTACCAAATACTAGTCAACTCTTTCAAACAACGCATCCGCCACTTCCCTTGCGCCCGCGCCCTCGCCAAATCGCCTCTCCACCGCCGCCCAGTCCGTGATGAGCGAGAATCCGACCACCTCTCCATCCCGCACGTCGAACTCCACCGGACCACCGGACTCGCCCGTCTCGGAGAACTCGAACGCGCTGCTGTTGCGCCCGTAGCCCGCCGGGAAGATGGCGGTGAACGTCGTGTCGAAAGCGTTGCCATCTGTGTACTCCATCCGCACGTGCGTCGCCCACACGCTCCGGAAGGCGGGTTTCCGAGCGAAAGGAAGCCCAAGAGGAGGTCCTTGCAGTAGGCGGAGGTAGACTAGGCGTTGCAGAGTGCGATGGGCGCGTAACCGGGGGTGCACAAGCCGGCGTAGCGCGCGATGCTGAGCCACGGAGGGGCGGTGGACCTATTCTTCGGGGCGTGAGTCCGACAGGGCGACGGGCTCGTCGCTGAATGCTATCATGTCAGCCAGACCTAAAGGGAACGTGTGAGCGCAAAGCGTACCTAGAATAGACCAGCTTGGTCGGAGGCAGTCCGAGAACATCGTCAAACGTCCGTTTCAAGATCATGCACGCAGCGACTGCTTTCTCGTCCGCGTTGCACAGGAGACGCCGATGTTTTTGTCGGGAGAGAACACAGCGATAGCACCGCCATGCTCAACGATCTGTATTCATACTGTGAACACCTCCTCGCATGAACACATGAACTCCACACTCACATCGACGCTGCCATCTCTCCCAGCCCATGCCATATCTGAGGATGCTCGCACCAAGGGGCGCACTTGGCTGTCCTCTCACAACCCAATGTGCAGTTTTCGTTGCCTCGTACACACTCTCCGGGAAGAGCGTCTGGTTCGACGAGCTTGCCGGATCGCTGGGCGACGGACGGCCAGATGGTCGTGTCGTCCATGTGGAGCCGGCCAAAGATGCGCGTGGGGAGAAAGTCGGCGCATGACATGCCAGAGTACTGCGCGACGAGGCGCGCACCGGGCATGTACATCTGCGCGGGTAGTGTCAGGCCAAAGGTCCAGAACGACGGGGAAGGGGAGCGCAGATAGGGAAACTGAAGAGACGCACCTGGTTGTTGTACGACCACTTCTCGCGCAGCTCATACGCCGACCTGAACACACGTATCCGCCCAACTATGTTTGCCGCTGTGTTGCCGGGTCCGTACGCGAAGTCGTGCCGCGGGAGAACCGAGGCGTGCCCGAGTACATCGCGGATACTGGCCATGCGCGTCGTCCATCCGTCCAACGTCCCGTCGGGTTCTTGCGGCCACCGTCCGAGCTCTTCAGGCAGAAGGTCGTGTACTTTGGTGTCCCAGGTGAATGCGAAGACTGAAGGCGGGAGAGGGGGAGTTCTTGCCGGAGGCGAAGTCGTACATAAGGATGCCGACAGAGGTGGCCAGAAACGCCTTCGAGCACGACTCCATGCCAAAAAGTGTCTGAATGCCGGCACATATGCATACTTTGTCCCTCTGGAGAGCACAAGTTGGCGAAATACCTCGGGGGTGAAATCACGTCCATTGCCCTCCTCCAGCTTCCGCCCTGAGGCCGCCAACTGTAACAGCGACAGCTTGTCTTCGCCCAGACGTATTACACCAGCAGATACCACTGGAATGGACGCATTTTAACGGATATCTTCGATGAAAGAGAGGACGTTGGGGGAAGGCAGTGAAGGATGGTGCGGTGAGGTGATTGAAGCTTGAAGAGGAACCTGTGTTGGATTCATTATGTAGCCGTCGACCGCAAAAGATCCTTATCGATCGTGAAGCGCTAGGAGCGCGGTCAGACCCCGCGCGATACGCTCTTTGCTGTCCACTTTGCCCCCAGACGTTGACTGCAGCCATGCCCTCCCCTGCCCTCCCTGTCGAGCGATGTGAGGACATCATCGACGCCCTCGCCGCCGCACACGAATTCGAATCCGTCGCCGTCTGCGCAAGGGTCTGCACGCAGTGGCTCCCCCGGAGCCGCCTCAACATCTGGCGCGAGCTGTACCTGAACACGATCGACCAGCTCGCCTCGGTCCGTTACGCCCTCGAACACACACCCCAGCTTCGCGGGATCGTCCACTCAGTCCACCTCCATCTATTGCCCGGCCAACGGCAAGACCCTGCCCTGTTCAACAGCGCGCCGGTGGTCCTCCTGCCGTACCTGCGCCATGTGGAAGTCTGGAGACTCGAGGCCTTCTGGGCCCCTTTCAATATGCCCAGGTTTCGATCGTTCTCGCGCTTTTCTATGGCCTGCTTTAGGCAGTACCCGTCCATAAAGACTTTGGATATCAAGAAGGTGCAATTGGCGACGCCTCTGCATCTGTATCGACTCGTGGCCTGCTTTCCCAAACTTCAGGTGCTCCGGTTGGCCTCTGTCACGCACGATCGTGATGCAGAGGAGCACGCCCTGTTGAGTTCACGCAGGAGCATCGCGTCTCTTCGGGAGCTCAAGGCGAGTGGGGGTGACAGTCTGGCCTTATGTTGTTGTTGACTCGTTTCAGGTGGAAGCCTATCTGTACACGTACGCGAGAGAACAACTACGGCCATTGTACCAGGCAAGTTCGACAACTCTCACACACCTGACGCTACCCTGTGGCTCTTTCCAATCTCACGGTGAGGATGCCTTTGCTATCTCGGGCCTCGTCGAATCCGACTCTCATCATTGTCTTACAGACGTCGGCGAAATGACGAGATTGCGGTATCTTGCTCTCCGGTGTGGCCGTCGGAAGACCGTGTTGAGATCCTGCATCGCCGCCGTCAAGGATGTCAATATGTTCTTGTGCCACGGCCTCCCTAGCTCGCTTGTTGCCTTCGAAGTTGTCTATCCAGAGGTTTGCTGCCCCCCACAAGAGATTCTTAATCACGATACCATATCCAAGTATGAAATGGCTGAACGACTGGTGGAAGATCTCGGCCCTCTCCGAAAAATAGGAGTAACATGCTTATTTGAAGACATGAAGGAAAACCACGTGGACAGGTGCACCAGTGTGGTCCAACAAGCCTTCTTACCGCTTCATTCATTGAACCTTCTACGGGTTGTCCGCACGTTCGCACGTTAGCCCTTAGCTCCTCTACGGCGGTGGTTTGAGCTAACACATTTCATAGACCCACCTGTCAAAAGGTTGTACGGACACATTGATAACGTGGAAAGACTTATTCTCTCCCCCTCGGGAGCGTGGGCCGCAAGTGTTGGCATATGCATTTCCTCTGGCTGGATGTTCAACTGTATCATCTGGAACACCGAGTCAGAAAAGCCGGTACTCGAGCGGTGGTACGACACCTACGGTGTTAAATTGTTCTTGGTCTCGTTCGGACCTACAGAGGCGCTGTGCGCGTGGAGGCGCCCATCCCACGGAGTAGATATCTTCAGGCTCCCTTCACAAAGCGAGGTGGCGGAGGGACAAAGAGTGCGCAAGGTCGGGTGCTTCAAGGTTGATGACGACCACGACCGCCGTGATCACGTTTGGCGGCCGGACGGGACGCAGCTGGTGGTGTTGACGCTGTTCGGGAGCCTTGAGGTCTGGGATGCAATCACCCTCACCCTCGTCCAGTCATTTCCCAGTCCGACCCACATTTTACCTCGGGTGGGGGACTTCGACATCGACTTCGAGGACGACCCGTCGTCCATTCAAATCTCCAACGACGGCCGCTTCGTCCTGCACGTCTGCAAGTTTACTTCGAAGGCTGGCACACGACAGCGGTGCATCCTCGTCCACGACCTCGTCACCGGGGCCTGCCATTCTCCATTCCCCTCCCCAGACGCCCCCACCCCGTTCTGCTTCGAACCCGTCATCCAAGCCGTCCTGCGGAGAGATCCGGCTCGGCCACACGTTCAGCAAGTGGTCGTCGTTCGGGACGACGCCCCCATCGTCATGCTCGCCGACGTCGGCACCGAGTCTTCCCTCGGAGGCCCGGTGTCATTGACCCTCGACATCGAGCCGACACAACTGAGCCGCGGGCTCCTCTTCCATGTCTCGGCCAACGGCCACCGCGTCCTCCACACGCACGGCACCGCAGTCAGCACGACGTACTCGGTGTTCGACGTCGGGACCGGGCGCACGGTCGCCTCCGTCTCGTTCAAAAACGCTCTCCAGGGCGACCGCCACGGGGTGCTGTCCCCCGACGGCAGACATGGAGTGCTGTTGACGTTGTCTTACGGGAGCCATAAGATGTGGCTGTGGAACGTCGATGAAGGGACTCTGCATCGGATCCAGGGGACGATGGGCTGCCGGGAGTGGGCAGTCGCTGAGTTCTCCGGGGATGGCGCGATGCTGGGGCTGGGGTATTCGGACGGGACTGTTTCGTTCCATAAAGTTCAGGACATAGTTCGCGGACAGGCATAGTACTAGTCAAAACCCACGATACTATTTATATAGATGCATCCAAAGAACACAGCGAGGGGAGATTCAGTCGTTGCTCGTTCTTCTCCCCCTTTCCGAATCTTGGCAGACCCCGCGTTCGCGCCGAAGACCCGCCTGTCCGCCGTACGCCCCTGTCGGCGACCTGGCGAAGCGAACGCAGCGCATCACAATCATCGTGCGCCTTGCCGCTTGCGGCGCACTTCGTGGTGAAAGCCACCTCGGCCCCTCCCCTCATGCTCGGACTCACGCGCAGAGCGCGTCGCTAAACTTGACGGTGAAGCGGCCAACGGGGAGCGTGATGGAGACGGGGTTGCGACGCGTCGAGGTTCGACGACGATCACCCGGGCGCCGAAGCGAGAAGTCAAAAGGCCTGGCAGGGGTAGGATCTATAGGACAAGCGCCGGTGAACGAGTATGAAACAGTGGATGTATGCGGCGCGGGGACGCATGCAGATGGGGGGCGAGACTTGCGGCTGCGGGGGTGGAGGCACATGAAGAACAAGAAGAGAAGAGACGCACTGGTGTGGAGCTCGGTGTAGTCGCTGCTTGAGCACTACGGCCAATGGCTTCTGGTCGCGCATAGCCCATTAAGGCTTGCGCCCCCTTTGAACGGAAGTTGTTCCTAGTCGCCAGGTTCGCGCTGAGGTTCAAGCTTGAAGCTGGGAGGGTACTCCACGTCGTGTTGGGGGATATGCACAAGACCGTTCGATACGAATCGCCTGATCCAGTCTGACCTGCTGCGTGAGCTCTGACGGCAGGCTGGAGCTGAGACGGAGTCGAGTTCAGTCACCCGTGGGTATGTATGACTTACTTTGCATCGTTTGATGGTCTTGTTCAGGTCGTTGAGGGTCTCCCCTATGGCGGCCTCTGCGCTTGAGCCATTCCGGGCAGGACAGTGCGGAGGGAGTCGGACGGTGGAAGGGAAAAGAGATGCGGTACCGTTTGGCGCCGACTGTCTGCGAGTACGCGGGTCTGTTCGCTCTTTGCCTCATACCGCATCGCTCTCATTCCCCTCCCGCAGCTTCGCCCCGGTCCTCGCCTGCGCCCTCTCTCACAGCATACAGCGCGACCCGCCCCACTTTCCCGTCTCCAGCGTCCTTCACTTCCAGCGGACCCAACAATGTGAAGGTGAAGTGGGCGTCAAATATCAACTCCCACCGACTCTCCTTCCTCTCCCTCATCCCTCAAGCTACTTGCGCTCTAAAACCACCACCTGCGACCGCCATATCCCTACACGAAAGATATCTGAGATGGCCGACGATAAGGAGAGTACGTGCTGCCAGTGGTCTTCCGTCCTTGTCTGTTCCACTTATGAACATTTTGTTCTTTTGTAGTCATTTCTTTGAGCGATGCGGATCTTACGGCTCTCAAGTTCCTTGGTCCTGGTGAATACCTCTGCCCTTTCGCATGTGTATCCCTTATTTATCGTTATGCCCCCAGACGCTACTCAGGGGGTAATCGATTTCATCACGACCATCAGGAGGATTCCTCAGTATTTCGGATGTGAGCGTCTTGGTCTTTTCGTGTCTTTCTCTATAGCGGAATCACTAATTTCGTCTCTAGGGCTCACTGTATATCAGGTCGGGTGCCTTAACAACTATCTCAAGTACCAACCAAGTCGTTCACCGTCCCATACCCCACCCACGTCCCCCAATCTCTCCCAGGCGTCCGAGTCCTCAGTTGGTGATGACGACTACATCTCGCCCTTCGAGCGCGCATACTTCTACAACGGCGTCGCCGACAACCCTCCTCCCCTCTTCCAGCGTTCCGATCTGGCGCAGCGCCCTTTCCCCATCTCTCAAGATAGGCCTACAGAGAGGTACTCCGTCACTCCGGTGAAGACCGCCCACACCGCCAACCACCCTATCCTCAAGAACAAGTTGTGGAAAGAGTCGGTTGCTCTTGATATCCTCTCTTTGTGCCGGGAGGCGCGTCGTGGTGTTTACGTCTCGACCATGCTACCTGTGCGTTTCTCTACCCTTGATAAAGACGACAAGGACGTATTCGACGACCACATCGTTCTGTGGATCTCCGTTCATCCCGGCACCACCAAGGAGACCTCCTGCCGTGACGCCAACGCCCCCATCCTCGGCATCTTGGCCAACTACAATATCCACGACGTCGCTGTCCACTGGATCGAGGGCGCTATGAAGTCGTGCGCTAGTCCTCCCGAGATGATGCCTCTCGCTGACGACACCGACCCGACTCACTGGATCCGCCGGGCCCTCACAGCCGTCCTAGGCGTCCCCCTCGCTGCGCAGGACATGGCGGACCTCGACTCGCAGGGTTCACTCGGTCTCTACTTCCACCGTGGTAAAGACGGGCACGGCAAGAAGAGCAAGGAAGTCATGGGGATCACCAACAAGCATGTCGTGTCCAGGAGCTTGCATGCGGACTACGAGTACGGTGGCCAGCAGAGTCCACGTAAGCAGTATCTCCGCAACTGCGGTTATCGTCGGTTCGGGCAGCTCCTCGAAGAGACTCGTGCCCTGCTTGGTGTGAAGCTCAATCAAGCCACGCGGTTCGCTGCGCAGCTGGCGAAGCTATTGGAAAGTCGACCTCAGGAGGAGGATGCGCGCTACAACTTGAACGTGAAGTATAAGGAGCAAGACTTGCAGAGGGTGGAGTCGGACGTTCGTATTCTCAGTGACTTCCTGAGGCTTATCCAATCCACCTGGAGCGATCCCCTCGATCGTATCATCGCCTGGGTCGACTGGGCACCCAAAGTTGCCAACGATGCCGACTTGCGCCGCTACACTCGCGACATAGCCGTCATGACGCTCGAAAAGGACAAGTTCGTCAAGAACTTCAAGGGCAATTTCGTCTACCTGGGTGCGTTCTTCTACTGTCTCTCCTTTCTCCGTCTTCATTCAACGAAAACATGACTCTTCAGCCGGCAAGTTTACCCCCGACCAGATCATCGCCTGTTTCCACCCCAACGTCGCCAATCCCCCCGTGTTCGAGTATCCCTTAGACCACCTGTTCAGGCTTTCGGGTTGCGTCGACGCTGCAGGCCTCTCGACCCCGTACTTCCTCGACGATGACAATAAACCTTGCTTCATCGTTGCCAAGGACGGGCAGAAAACCGACCTTACCTTTGGTCGCCAGTCTGAGCTCGAGGCGCTCACCTGCCCCGATCTCGAGGGCCATTCCTGGGAGGTCGCGATCCTTAACTACGGGGGAAGAGAGCATGGTGATTTCAGTGCTGGAGGTGACTCTGGTTCAGCCATCTTCAACGCAGAGGGCAAGCTGGTTGCTCTGTTGCACTCCTATTTGCCCACTGGATCGTCCACCCATATGACATTCGGAACTCCTGGTCACTACGTCATGGAGCTCGTCATGCAACGTTACCCCGACGCCGATTTCTCCCGCTCCCAGTATGACGACGACGACGCAACCTCAGTCTGAAGTCTTCCAGTCGTTTTTTGTTCTTCCGTCTCCACCATCACTGTCTTCTCCCCTCAACTCTTTTCTACCCTTTCAAACGTGTGCTTTCTCGAAGTCGATTCGCTGTGAATGTACGTCCGTTTCGTCGTGGTCGTAGCTGACGGATTTCGACGTTCCAGATCTGCCGATTTCGTCATGGTGGTGGATTCTGTACTTGTGGCAGTGGATTTCATTCATCTTAGAAAACATCAGTAAGTATTTTGTCGCATGGAGTGCAGCTCGACGCTCATCATTGATGACGACAGAACTTGGCGTTCCGCCGCCCGCCGCAGGGTTCGGTCAGAAGAATCGTGTTCGCAAGAGGACATACCTACGGATTATGGTGGGTAAATCCGCTGACCGAGTTATACCGTGTCGTCTGGTGTTGAGTACTTGAGTACCCGATGCGGGTGTGTGGGTGTGGCACTTGGCCGCCGCCTCTGAGGTGCAGGCTTGTGACGATATAGTCTAGTCTCAGGGTTGTACGATATTTGTCCAATCTCAATCTTGAAGCAGTGCGATGTAGACGCATTCCCAGCAGATCTGGCACGCCAGACCAGCGTCCCTCGCGTTCCACTGGGTATCGTGCCAGAACCAGTTATTGGTCGCTTTCCACGATGTGCTGTTTCTCCTCCTTCCCGCCTTCAGCACGCCATCGTCAATCCCACTCCCGCACTCTCGCGTACCTCCACACCGCAGACCTTGCCCTCGGCTCACATTCCCCGACGCGATGGCCGAGGATGACCGACGTACATCCCCTCCTCCCCTTCTCGCCCTCCCATCTTCTACCCCTCAAGTCTGTGCTGGCCACCCCAGCCCGCGCCCACAGAAAGCGCGGACCGCGTGCGGCTCGCACGTCATTTGCGTTGCCATTGCCGCCACCGCTCGCTGCTATCGCCTTCACTCCCCAGCCTCAATGACCATGAAAATGAAGGGATGCAGGAAGACATAGCAGTAGGAGGACACTCGCATCTGCGCGCTGCGCCTGCTCTGGCTACTGTCATGCGCTTAGGAAGACACCCAGAGACCTCATATTTTTGTACGCTGAGTAAAAGCCAGAGCCAGTGGCAGGGTAGCGCAGAGATCGCAGGAAGCACTCACTCCACCCCGTCTTCTTCGTGGCTTACAACTGTTTCCGAAATGATTGCCCAACCAACTCCGACGCACGGGAGGGTCTCGATTCGGAGCTTGAGCCTGGGGAACGAGCGTGATGGAAGCAACTTGCCGTTAGTTTGCCTTGCGCAGACATGCTTCGTAGCTCGCGACGTACGTTGTGCGGACAGGACTTCGTCGTTGCAACACAGGGTTTCTGATTCTCAAGCAACGAGCTGCTACCAACGTTCTGGGTTATCGGCATCGACGTGAGCATAAACCAGTTCATTACTTAATCGAACACAACGTAAGAACCACCAGATAGAGCGATATGAAGGGCTCGCGCGAAGAGGCGAGAGAGCTATTTATCTATGCGAAGAAGTCCATGTGTGATACAACGGACTTGGCAACGGACTATTTGAGGGATAACCGTACGAAACCACGTGAGATCGTAAGGACAAGGCCGGGAACGGGGAGTAAGGAGGCGAGGGGCGATAGACATAGCGATACACGGGACAATACAGGAGAGAGGGAATTGGGTCCGTCGGTCGTGACTCGTCGTAGGTGTACGGTAAAGGTTCGTGCAGAAAGGAGTTATAGGACGTAAACAGGAACGAAAATCCAAGCGCGTGCGCGGCGCGCCCGCTACAGCCAGCGGCCCTTCTCCTCGCCGAGGCGGACGAAGTCGAGCTCGAGGTTCTCGGGCAGGCTGAGCGCGAAGACGGAGAGCCCGTTCCGGATCCGCTGCCGGTGCGGCGAGTCCGCGGGCACGCTCCAGCGGAACTCGCGGATGAGCATGCTGAGCAGCACCCGCTGCTCGAAGATCGAGAAGTTGCGCGCGAGGCACCGGCGCGGCCCGAGCCCGAACGTCGCCCAGTGCGCGGCCTCGCCCGTGCCCGTCCCGCCCGCGCCCGCGTTCGCCTCGGCGTCGTGCAGGAAGCGGGTCGGGTCGAAGGCCGCGGGCGTGCACCACGTGCGGGGGTTGTGGTGCGCGGCGCAGATGTTGAAGCACATCGGGGTCCCGGGCGGGACGGTGTAGGACCCGATCCGCACGGGCTCGTCCGAGATGCGCGGGAGGGTGATGTTCGAGGGCGTGTTGGTGCGCATGGACTCGCGGAGGACGGCGTTGAGGTAGGGCATGCGGTTGAAATGATCTGCGGTGGGCTCGTCGTAGCCCATGACGGCGATGACCTCCTCGCGCACGCGCTCCTGGATTTCGGGATACAGGCCGAGGAAGAAGGCGGCGGAGGAGATGGCGCCCGCGGTGGTATCCTGTAACGAACCAAGCGTGGTCAACGACGAGCAGCACGGGCGCGAGTGGGTGTACGAACGTGGCCAGCGACAAACATGACGATTGTGTTGTCCCGATACTCGAGCTCCGTCATCTCCGGCTCCTGGAACATGTACGTAATGACGTCGTTGCCCGGGCTCTTCTTCTTCTCGTCCAGGATCTTGCACAGATCCGTCACGAACGAGTCGATCATCTTCTGCACGCCCCGCCGTGGGAGCCAGCGCTCGAGCACCGGCAGGCCGACGTAGAGTGGGTTCGCAATCGCATTCATGACCTCGTGGTAGCGCTGGACGAAGTGACCATCGGGGTCGGCGAGGGCCTGGAAGTCGTAGCCAATGACGCCAATGCCGAACGCGTCGAGCGTGTACCGATTGGCGAAGTCGTCCCAGCGGACGCGGCCGCCGTCACCGATAAGATCGAGCGCAGTGCGCGAGAGAGACGTGAACACGTCGACCGGCATCGTCTTGTTGATCGAGTCGCGCACGATGCGCGCGTGGCGCTTGCCCATCTCGCCGTTGGCCATGAAGACGTTGTTGTTCCCGATGAACCGCCAGAGGAGGATGTCCTTGGACTGTTCCTGCTTCCAGACCGTCGGGTTCTCCAGCAGCTGCTTGCCGAGCTAAGCGAGGCAAGGAGCAGTTTCAACATTTAAGTTCCGTAGCTATGAAACCCGACGTACCTTAGACTCGAGCACCTGGACCATCCAGTTCCCGAGGCAGTAGACGAGCACGACGTCGGTTTCCTTCGAGTCTGCGAACGGGAGGATGAGGCGTTTGACGCGTTGTTCCTCCACTTCGCCCGAGATGTAGCTGGCGAGGGTCGGGAAGATGGGTACCGCGGGTATGTGCCGGAGGTGTGAGGGTACGCAGAGGAGGCGGTAAGCGCCAATGCAAGTAGCAAGGAAGAGAAGAACTGAAACATCAAGGACGGTGTTGGAGGGAAGAAACGTCATGGCGTGCACAGAAAGCCTGTGGGCAACGCAGAGCCGGTGAGCGGCGGGGGTTCTTGGGGCGGAGGAAGGTGGGTATGTCCCGCAGGAGGTCCTCAAACTTATAGCCCGCCATCCGCGGCGAACGCTGGTCCCCGGCACCATGCTGAGGAGATCTGATCGGCACCGCGCACACCCACAGCTCGCGGTGACCCAGGACCCCCGACATCTCCCTCGAATGCCTGATCCCGATTTGTGGGCGGAGCAAAGCAGTATTGGTTGAGCTCCTGGAGCACCCTCCCAATGCGATATCAACATCACCCATCGAGGTCCAGATTCGCCTCAGGCATTTGGGTGAGGGCCCCGACGGAGGAAAACGGGCCGCAACCAGGTGCTCACCTGCGGTGTGCCACAGACCGGCACATGGGCGCACCCTAGACCGATTGGAGGGCGAAGCGAAACTGCTTCAACATTGCCAGCGCCCTGGCGCGCCCGCCGCTTCGACGCCGCGGAGCAACGAGCAGAGCTGGAAACCGACTACATAGGTATGAGCAGGGTCGTATATACGCGAGGACATAGGCGCAGCGTACGTGTCGTGACTCGTCCTGGCGAATCATCGTCGTTGCAAGGGAGTTGGGCGGACAATTGAGCTAATTTGCGCAATGCGGGCCCTGAGATTGTCGAGCATCCGACCGCTGGATCTGAGCCAGTCGGGAGAAGCCAAAATAAGCGACGGGCGGAGACTCGGATCGCGTGGCAGACTCACCCCTGCAGACCCGTGCAGGTTGCCTCCGCCTCGTGCGCCACCATCGTATTTCTCGACCGCTTCCATCCAGCCACCCGTCGGTCCCAATGATCCTGACGCATGCTCCAAGGTCCTGGTTGGGCGGCCGGCTTTGACTTGAGGCCTGCGCACGTGGAAGATCCTCGTCCTCGTCGCCTATCAGCGAGCGAGCGAGCTCGGAACAGGCCCGCGTGGGTTAGTTGTGCTGCTGGTGTCATCAACTGCCGCTCCCGTCGCTGCGCAACGAGCAAAACGTCTCGCTCAGTCTTTCCTGAAACTCCGGCTTCCTCGCCCCGTTCGCTCCCGCGAGCGCCACGCGGTATCTTGCGGTTTATCCAGGCGTGATCCGCGTCCACGAAGGGCAGGCTGGGCACGTCACGCCCGGGGCCGCGCGCCCTGGACACACCAAGAGAGTCGAAAGGTCAAGTCGTCATGCTGAGGTAGGTACGAAACAGGAAGCGTACGCCTATCGCCTGCTGCGGAGCATCTGTAGCACAAGCTCCTCCTCCTCTGCGAGGCGCGATACGACATGAGTGCGAGCCTTCTTGGATGGTGGTTGTCGTTCGTCTGCTTCTGCCTCTCCTTCTGACTCCGATGGGAGGTCGAATTCGGGTGAAATGTAGCCGCCGTCGTCGTCGGAGGGCCCTGCGACGATCGGACCGGTGACTTCGCCGTCCTCCACATCACAATAGCCCTCTTCCTGAAAGGCGCCGCAGTCAATACCAGCTCCTCGCTCGGTCCAAAACACGCATGGCACACGTACCTCAAGCTCCCGCTGTTTGCGCTTGCGCTTCTTCTCCCGCTTCTTCTCCTTCGCCTCCGCCTTGTCCGTCACGTCGGCCGTGAGCAGCTTTCCGCGCTCCGCCTCGGCGAACTTCCGCCCCGCCTCATGCACGTCCTCGCCTTTGAACACGTTCTCCGGGTCTTGCATCTCGTACACCTCGTGTGCCTGTCCGTCGTCATCGAAGATGAGCTTCTTGCCCTTCTCGCCGTGCTTTGCGATCGCCTTCTTTGACAACGCCAGCTTCGCTTTGCGCTTAGAGATGAACCCAGTATCGATCTCTGGGACGTCCTCCAGACCGTGATCGGCACGCTTGAGGGTGATGAAGCCATCGTCGCCTCCATCGTCGTCGTCGTCGCGGTCGACGAGCTTCGCGTAGTGCTCGGAGAGGATGTTCTGATTCTTGCGCTCGAACATCCGGTCGTACTTGGTACGTACTCGAGGCTGAGAGCGACGACGCTGAGCGCATGATAAGAAGCGAGGACGGAGTGCTCGCACCTTTTTGGACGCGTCCTTCGCACCACTAGTCTCCTCCTCGTCAGATCCCTCATCAGATGATCCCGACTCGTCATCACCGCTCTCTTCGTCCTCGTCCTCGTCCTCCTCATCCTGCGCGTTGCTCGGAGCGGCGACTTCCGCAGCAGCCCTAGACGCGTTCTTCTTCCGCTTGGCCATCTCCTTGCTTAGGAACTTGATCTTCGGTATCCCCGGAAGCCCAAGCGCTTCCGAGTACTCCTTCACTGGGAGCCCTTCGAGCTTGAATATCGACTTGTCCTTTTGCAAGTACACCGATCGGAGGTACGACACGAACGCCTGGGACAGCACGGGTGAGCCCCAGGGACCAAAGGAACAGAACGCGACATACCCTTTGCCCAAGATACTTGATCTCCGGGTCCTGAAACGCGAGCTTTTGCAGCTGGTTTGCGATCTCGTGGGTCTTGCTCGCCTTGATCTTGATCTTCTGGACGTCGACGTTCTTCTTCTTCAGCGCCGCGACCATCCCGTCCTCCTCGCTCGGCAGCAGCAGCAGCAGCCCCTTTCCCGCGCTCTCATAGCGCGCCGTCCGTCCGACACGGTGGATATACGTCTCCGCGTCCTCGGGCGCGTCCACCTGGAGCACCCAGTCCACGGCGGGGAAGTCGAGCCCGCGCGCGGCGATGTCCGTCGAGAGCAGCACCGCGTGCTTCATCACCGTGAACCGCTGGAAGGTCGCGAGGCGCGCCGTCTGCTTTTGTTTGCCGTGCAGGTGGAGAAGGGGCACACCGGGGTGCATCCGGCAGAAGGTCTCGAAGGTGAAGCGGACCTGCTTGCAGCTGGAGAGGAAGACGAGCGTCTTCGCCTGCAGGTGGCTCTTGATGAAGCTCCAGAGGACGTCGAGCTTGTGCGGGAGCTCACAGAGGACGTAGTGCTGTTCGAGGGTCTTGGGCGTCGCGCCTTCGGCGATAGTCTCCTCGAGGCCGATGGGCACCGGATCCTTTAGGCTTAGGCGAGCGAGGTCGGCGACGGACTGGGTCTGGGTGGCGGAGAACAAGAGGGTCTGGCGTGTTTTGGGGAGATGGGAGAGGAGAGCGGTGAGGGTTCGTTGGAAGCCCATGTCCAATATGCGATCGGCTTCGTCAAGCACTACATGTTGAGCGAAGTAAGTATATGCGCGAGAAAGCAAGCATATGCGCGTGGAGGTAGGTATATGTGTGTGGAGACAGGGATCCGGGTAAGTAGACAAAGGGGAATCCACGTACCAAGCATTTGCAGATTGCCGGCGTCGAATCCAATCGTCTGGTCCATATGCTGGAGAAGTCTGCCTGGGGTTGCGACAAGAATGTTCATGCGCGACAGTCGCTCCCGTTCGTCCTTCAGGTTCTTGCCTCCAATGACGAGGCCCGCAGAAAAACTGTGGTAGCAACCTATACTCCGGAGGACATCGAAGATTTGCACGGCCTGCACCACTGTAGGTATGGGGAACGCCGAGTACAAATATGCGGTACTCACCAGTTCTCTCGTCGGCGAGATGATCAATGCACCCAGACCATCCTGAGGTCCCCATTTCCGTCGATATAGGATTTCGAGCACGGGAACAAGGAAAGCCAAGGTCTTGCCGCTGCCTGTGCGAGCTGCTCCGAGGACATCTTTTCCCTTGAGTGATATTGGAAGACTCTTCGCCTGGATGTCGGTCATATCGACGAAGAAGGCGCGCTTTAGCCCTGTGATTGCATCGTTCAGTATGCGGGACGTGCACGAGGTGAAATGCGCTCACCCCGTTTGGTCCAGTCGGATATTGGGAGGTCAGCAAAGTGCTTCAGGTCTTCAGGAGCTTCCTGAAGCACAGTTACTTGTGTCAATGAGCACAACTCTTGAGACGCAGGACCAGGACGACATTCGAGGGGAGGAAAACACGCCATGTAAAACGACGAAGTGTAGGATACTCACAAAATGAACCGCCGAATAGTCAAGATCCTCAAGCAACTTGGCTTCCTGCTCCCTCTTCATCTTCCCGGATTTGATCTTAGGGACATTTCGCTTACGATTCTTGCTGTGTTTTGTAGGGTTCGAGGGCCCGGCTTGTGCCATATTGAGTTGATCTCTTGGTATCAGGTTGTTCGTTGTGTCAGAGAAAGAGCATGTAGAGCGCAATGGACAGATGGCAAAGAGAATACGGATGATATGGGGGACAGTGGTCGAAAGACAACAACACTTCCTGCACGTCTGAAAATGTGCACTGGGAGAAACGTCAATAGACGCTCGACGGGCCGTGGTACCCGGCTATATACAGCCCACGGCCCGCCGTGCCACCTACTTGTTGTCCATCCGTCTCTGAGCATGGGCAAGCTACCCGTGGCTTCCTCTTCTTCATTTCCACTATCGTACACTGCAAGACGACGCCATCCTGGAATTCTGCTTGTCAAGGCTCACGCAAATCCTCCGTCACGTTTCCTCTCCTTGAATCACCTCAAGCTATCTCCGTGACACTGGTTATAGTGCTCACGATGCCATAGTGAGTAGCATGTGATCTCGTATGTGCTGTTAAGGATGGGGGAGAGCACTCCGCCAAACTCGAGAGGGAGTGTACGATATGCTGTGATGGTGTGGAAACGACGGGAGTACTACCACTCCCTTTACTACCCAGGACGGGATTATCATCACCAGGCGAGAGTCTGTCATGATTTGGAGACGGCACCATCCTTCGTCGGGTCCCGGGTCTCCATTCCCATCTAGACCTCTATCGAGCTTTCGGGCAAGAAAGCAAGCGAAGTCGAGCCCAGGCTGACGGCGTTTTCCCGGCGACTTTGAGAGTCTGCTTACCCCAGCATGCAGAATAAAGTCCCAATTTGAAACCGCTTGTGGAGATTTGACTACCCGCCGAACCTTTGTACGTCGACAGTAGACGAATTCCTCAACGCCCGGCTGCTCGTGTCGTAGTGTGTGGTAAGAGAACTCGTACGCTGTGAATACTATGGAGCTACTTACAAATTGCGAATCATCAGTCCTTTCCCAGTCGGTGCTTTCTCCATGGGAATACTTGTACGCCGGGTGACCACGTCTACGCGGCATTGGTCCCAAAGGAGATGCACGTGTGCCGAGCTGAAGACGTTGACACGGCGGCGGTGAATTCTCCTTCAGTTCTTCGCCGATCGATCGGACCCAGAAATCATTGGTATGTCTCCGCCTCGGGGAATGAGTAAAATCCCTGACATTCTCTAGCTCGCGCTTCTGTATCCAGCATATATAAAGATGGGGGTCAATCACCGAATATCCGCCATAACAACGCAAGCAGCATGGAACAGAAGCCTTTCGTGCTCATTCTGGGACCGTCCGGCCAAACGGGCACTCCCGTGGTCCAAGGGCTTTTGGAGTCGGGGAACTACGTGAGTTTTTCGGCTTTCCCTTGTACGTGATGATTTGACGGACCTTCGTTGAATAGCGAGTTGCCGGTTTGATCCGCCCCGAATCCCTCACGAAACCTTCCACTGACAAGCTGCGAACTCTCGGCGTCGAGATTCGCTCTGGTAGCCTCAAGGACAGCATGACCGATCTCAAGAAGCACCTCGAGGGCGTCGACATCGTCGTCAGCTGTGTGGCCGTCCCCGCCATCCTCGATCAGAAAGACATCATCCGCGCCGCGAAAGAAGTGGGCGTGAAACGCTTCGTCCCCTGCGACTGGGGCACTCCCGGTGCGCGCGGCCTCCGCCCCATGACGGACATGGTATAGCTCCCTTCCCGCTGAATCTCTCGCGGCAGCTCTGACCCTCGTTTCTTGGCAGAAATACGAGATCCAGGACCTGGTCGTCGAGCTCGGCCTGCCGTACACATTCATCGACGTCGGCTGGTGGATGCAGAGCTTCCTCCCGCTCCCCGCGCACAGCAAGGCCACCCCGGACAGGCACGCGCTCGCGAACACCGAGTTCGCGGGCGGGGCGACGCCTCTCGCGCTCACCGACCTGCGCAACGTCGGCCGCTGGACCGCGCGCATCCTCGCCGACCCGCGCACGCTCAACCGCGCGGTGATCGTCTGGGAGGACGAGCGCACGCAGAAAGACGCCTTCGAGATCGGAGAGCGGGAGAGCGGGCAAGCTGGAGACCTGGCCGCGAAGCGCGCGCATGTGAGCACGCACGTCTCATGTCTTGTATGAATGGGCGCCGATCTTTGTTTCATGACGCAGGTCTCCGCCGAGGAGGTCGAGGCGCGGTACACCGCCGCGAAAGCGGCTACAGAGGCGGACCCGACGGCCTTCGAGGCCATCTACCCATACTGGTACATGGCCTATGTAAAGAGCCTGTTCGCTCTTGGCGAGAACTCGCTCGCGAGCGCGAAGAAGCTTGGGTACCTGGACGCGCACGAGCTGTACCCTGACATGCCGCAGCCGAAGCTCGAGCGGTTTGCGGAGTGGTTCTACTCTCTGGAGGATCCGGCGTTCCCCCCTCTCTAGGGACGGTCGGGATGTCGCTTGCATCCTCAGAGTAGGGAATACACGAACTTCTGATGCAGTTACGACGAGCCATTAGCTCTACTCATAATTTGTTCTATGCAATACACGCAGCTTTATGACGTGTTCATTTGACTCATTCATGTGCATCCCGCGTGGTTGCCTCCAGGGGTCGTTGCTTCCCTGGCGCGCATGAAGAGCAACAGTGTTTGTTGTGAGTTATCCTCCTTAGCCTGAGATTTCGAGCACTGAATCTCGCGCAGCCTCATCGGGAATAAGGAGCAGATAAGCCACACGTCGGTGTCCCTTCCCCGGCTTTTTCTCCCGCCAAGGCGCGCCGAGATGGCGACGACCACCCCGAGAGGCAAATGAAGCAGACGACGCAGGAGCCTCGGCCTTCCGGTTCGGGGAATCCCGCAAGCGTCTACCCGCGAAGGTCCCCTCGAGGCTCGGCAACCATTTTCGCCTCGAGTCGTGCTTGCCGACCTCTCGTAAGGCTGATGTCGTGCGAGGCGTGCTTCGATGCGGAGATGAAGGTCAGTGCAGCCCCTCTCATCATACACGGTCTGTCTCTGTCCTGACAGGTAAAACTGCCAGCTGCCGTCTATTCTTCGACAGGCATGTGGAGGGGAGCCACCATTCCTCATAAGATGAATGAGAACATTTTCAACCGTCTTTTTTTTCAAACCCGACGTACGCGGTCTCCATCAGCCAGATCGGAGGTCGAAGAGGGTCCCTGCGCCTTCCGAAACGCCTATCTACCCTACATAAGTCCCGCGAAACGTGTCGCTCCTTGCCGCCTTCCCGAACACCTCAAATTGACCCGTCGCAGTTCTCAGGTGAGCTCGCACCTCTCTCGACCCCCGCATCCTCTTACGTTCCTCAGCTTCAGCAACCTCGTCTCGATGCCAAGTCCTCAACATTCGGTGCTTCCCAATGCTCACAGAATATGGCAAATTGACGAGATCGTTCGCAACATTCTGACGCATCTACCTTTGGGCTGTGGAAGCACTCTTGCAAGATGCGCACGGGTTTCGCAGGCGTTCAGTCCGCCCGCGCTGGACATTCTCTGGTACAAGCTGAACGGGCTATCACCGCTTTTCAGTTTGCTCCCTTCCTCGATCAAAGAAGAGGGCGTGGGTGCCGTAAGTGATGATTTCGTTGACCACCTGTTCGATGATGCTTACTGTCATTCCCCGCCATGCGTCTAGACGGTGCTCAGTGACGCCATACCGGACTCCGACTGGGCACGCATCGCATTGTACACTCGCCGAGTGCGCAAGCTGCACTACCAGAACGCCCACGGGCCCTGGGAGCACCTCGGCCATGATGCGCTCTGCGCTCTGCTCCGACGTGCGTACGCCGCGGACACGGCGCTCTTCCCCAATCTGCAAGACCTCTCCTGGCTTCAGTTTAGCGCGACAGCGCAATGTCTTCCATTCGTCGCACCATCTTTGCAGCGGCTGTCTCTTTACGTCTACCCCTCCGATCCTCCATCTCCGATCACCGTCCAACAAGCGCCACCTGGCCACCCCGAGGTCGCACATGGCTTGCCTCCGCGCACAGGCTACGGCGGTTTCATCCCGCACCTTGCCTCCCGCTCTCCCGACGTCGAGGAGCTCGCCCTCGAAGGCGTCGACGCCCCCTTCGCCCTCGCCCCGCCCCCCACGCTGCCCGCCCCCGTCGCCTTCGCCCGGCTCCGCGTCCTCCACCTCGGCAGCATCTCCACCCCCACCCACATCGTGCTCGCGCAATGCAGCGCGATGCCTCGCCTCGCCTCGCTTTCCCTCACCTTCTCCAGCCACGCCCACCCCGACACCGCCCCCTCTCCGACCACCTCTCACGACGCTGAGAACGACGATCGCCCCTCCCTGCGCGCGCTCGAATCTCTGCGCGCGTCCGGCACCCCCGACCAGCTCGCGGCGGTGCTCGCCGCGACGACCGCGCCCGCCCTGCGCTCCGTCCACCTCGCGCTCTCCCTCCCGAGCACCGACGGCACGCCCAGCCCCGCGCGCTCCGACGCGGCGCCCCCGAGCACCGGCGCCGCCGCCGACTGCGCGCGCGCGCTCGCCCCCCTCGCCGCCACGCACGCGTCCACCCTGCGCGCGCTCCGGCTCGAGTGCGCAGCGCCCACGCGTTCCACCCACGCGCACGCCCCGCGCTCCGTCGCGGAGTACGTGCGCCCGCTGCTCGCGCTGCGCGGGCTCCGCCGCGTCGCGCTCGCGCTCCACGACCCCGCGGGCGTGGGCATGGACGACGGCGACGCGGCGGAGCTCGCGCGCGCGTGGCCCGCGCTCGCCGCCCTCTTCGTCTCGCTCTCCGCGCCGCACCGGGAGCAGGAGCGCGCGCCGGTGCAAGGGCCGGACCCGCGTGCGCCGCGGCCCGCGGGGGTGCCGCGCCCGTCCGTCGCGAGCCTGCGCGCGTTCGCGGCGGGGGGGTGTGCCGCGCTCGAGTCGCTGCGGATCCCGGTCGACGCGGACGTGGGGATGCTGTGCGAGCCGGGGTGCGAGGTCGGCGCGGCGGAGGGCGGGGCGAGCAATGGGGCGCTGAAGACGCTGTGGCTGGAGGGGGTGCGGTTCTCGCGCGCGGACAGCGGGCGGGTGGTGCCGTTCCTCCAGCGATGCTTCCCGAACGTGGACTTGAAGCCGATGGTGGATGCGGGAGTTGTGCGCACGGACTTTGCTTGGCCCGTCTAGAAGGATTGGTGGGTTGGTTTATTGCGGTCTCGGCATGCTGGGAAGTCATGGTTTCTGTTACCTCACATCATAACCAGAATATTCGTCATATTGTAGAAGCAGGGAATGCACAGGCGATGATTACGGAAAGCCAACAAAGGCGACACTACCGACGTATAAATACGTCCCTACGCGCCCCAGCCCCTCCTCAGGGTGATCCTCGCCTTTGTGTGAGCAACAGCCAACGAGGCCGTCGCGCTCGCAGAGGCAGTTGAGTTGTCTGACGCGAACGGGGACGCGTCGATCTCGCAGACGGTGCCCTCCGCAGGCAACGAGCCGTCCGCAAAGTACGCGCGCGTCGAGAGGATGGTGCACGTTGACGTAAGCTGGATCGACGTGTGCTAGAATCGGGATTGTCAGCACCGTCGAAACCGATCGATTCTGTGCGTGCAACACATACCCCCGGGCCGTTCTGAACGAGAAGCGCAGACGAGTTTTGGAGCAGCGCGTGCACGGCCTCTCCATTGGTAAGAGGCGTCGCCGGGTCCACCTACGAAACGCGGTCAGCCCGACCGCAGACACTCCCCGCACGAAGCCACTCACCGTGTTGCTGACGATCAAGATGGGGTTCCTCAGCGTGCTGTTGAACGGGCCCTCAAAGCGCTCGGGGGGCGAAGCCGGCCAGAACTCGCAGCCGTCGTCTGGTTCTGTGGTGGTGCCCGCGAGCGCGAACCGGGAGATGTTCAGCGCCGCGAGCCCGACTTCGACCCATGCCTCTGGAGTTGGGCCCGCGAACGGCCGGACGTCGTTGCACGTCACCGCAGAGCGCTCGAGGTCGACGAGCCCCTTGGTGTTGATGAGGTTAAGGACCGCGGAGGCGTCGCCAGCCATGGCCTGCGCGAAGGCGACAGCGCTAGCAGGCCAGATTTGAGGATCTTCGATCGTGCCGAGGAGGAACACTGGGGGTGAGGATGGTAAGGACGTCATATGCGAAGACCAGAGCAGTAAGAGAACGTACTACGGGCGCGGCCGTTGGTCAACATGCCAGGAAGCGTCGCGTTAGGCGTTGGCAAAGGAGCGGTGTATAGGCCGTTCACGAAGTCTTCCACGCGAGCCATGATGTCGGAAGGGTCCTCGTTATCTTTAGAAGCGAGCGCGCAGGATGACGGGCCGGCCTGATTGTAGTAGACTGAGAATATAGTAGCCAAACGAGTACGTAGTAGCCGAATGCGTACCTCCGCACAAAATCGGAAGAATTCGCTGTATGCCTTCTCAGTGGAATTTAGGAAGCTGGCGAGACGTATATATGGAGGCACCGCTGAACTCATCAGCTGGGAGATATTGTGGCAAAGTGGAAATATTTGACTCACTGGCCCATGTTTCCGCATTGACGACTCCATCGATCACTACACGTCCAACGCGATTGGGGAACCTGACGATACATCCTGTCAGGCTCTCAGTTATCGTGACAAGTGGGACGAAGTGCTGACATGTTGACTAGATATTGGCCAGTGACTGTGCCGTACGAAAGCCCGTAGAAATTGCTGAGGATTATGGCCGTCAGCAAGGAAGAATGGAAGAGCCAAACTAAAACTTACATCAACGAATCCTCGCCATCCAAAAGCGTAGCGATGTGATCAATGTCGCGCACGACAGAAGTGGTACCCATGTACTTGAGCGTATCTCCCATGGTTTGCGCACAGATCGCGAACTGCGTTTTGTAGAGCGCATCGGCCTCCCTTTGCGTTTGCACGAGGTGGTAGCGGTTGAAGGGGTCCGTGACGTTGGGGCTAACATCGTAGCTGCGATCGATCACCGTGTTCGTGATGAACGCCGTGCGGTTTTCAGCACTGGCAAAGCACCGCACCGCTGGCCTGAGAAAAAGGATAAACGTGCGTATCAGCGCTTGGTTCCACACGCAAAGATCGGTACGCACTCGGTGGCACCGATACCACGAGGATCGAAACCAATGATGTCCCAGTCCTCCCCGACCTATGGAGATAAGAAGATGGTTCAGCATTTTTTGAGCCTGATGCAGTCGCGCAGAAGCTTACCAGAGCTTGTACCGCTGGTCCCTGCTGGGTCGCGAAGAAAACGCCCTGTCCTCCAGGCCCTCCGGGGCCAACAAAAACGCTGCCCTTGCGCGTGCCTGAAGTCGCATTATATCTGCCAAGCGCGATCTTCGCAACACCAATGCTGGAGTCGGAGTAATCCAACGGGACACTGGTACCAAACATCATATTAACGAGCGGTGCAAGGGTGATCAAGTCAATGACTTACAATACGTGGCCGCACTCCGCTCCGGGGAGAATTTCATCCCCGGTGCAAGTCGTCCAGACAATGTCGCCCACTGTGCCGTTGACAGACGAGACCGTCTTGGCTGCGACAGAACCGGCGAGAGACAAGTGAATGGCTGAGGAAATGCTCGACCGCCAGCCCATGACTGTGGAGAAGTTGAATGTGAAAGTGAGATTGAAGTATTGAATTAAGAAAAGACCCGAAGGAAGGTGCGAGGGCAGAAGCGGCGAAAGAGAAGTGGAACGAACCGATGACTGTCATGAGTTCCCGCGAACCTTTATGTACTGTACACTCGTATTTGAAACGGCGAACGCGTGACGCTGCGCTGTCTGGGACGAACTCCGGGCGCAGGCCATCATGCTGAAGCGGCGTCCCAGAAACATATCGCAGCCACGATTCAAGGGCAGGTGTCGCAGGAAAGTGACTGCAAGCCACCGCAGCAGTGACACAGAGCATCACCGATTGCTACGTGCTGTGCATAAGAAACATAGCCCCCGCCTGCGTCGCAGCAGCGCACCTCAGAGTGACCACAGCACCCTTGAAGATTCGCGATATGTTCTCCGGTAGGACCACACCCACCGCGAGGCACTGATTGATACGGGGGTGGAGGGCAATATGGCACGGCAGGTAGGGGAAAGGAGATCTAGAGCTAGATTGAAAAGCTTTGGCAAACTTTCGACGAGGGACGCACTCCTTCATTCAACTTGCGACCACCAAGTAAACATGGGCTGAATGGCTCACCAGTACTCAGTGAAGATCACTCAAGCATTGCCCTGCACTTGACGTTTGCGTACACTCTCAGAGCACAGAGTCGCCAGTACGCATATATGCTTTCCACGAGAGCATTTTCACCACGTGCGTTCGTATGGCTGGCCAGGACAGGAGTGAAGAGGCGGAGCATGTGGGCGATGGAGATCTAGTAGAGTGAAGAAGATAGCTTCGACTTGGCTTCGACCGCGGCGCCGCCTGGACGCCCGGTCATACCCGGCCCGGTCCCGGTCCGTACTTCCGACGCTGCAATGAATTCTTTATTCACTGCCAGGCCTTTCGACTTTTCACTTCGACGCCCGGGCGACCGTCGAGGCAACCCCTACACCCGTCTCTATCACACACCTCGTAATCCGCTTCACCGTCAAGCTAAGCCCTACGCGTGCGTTCGAGAACGAGGGCTAGGCGCCACGAAGTGCACGGCGAGCGGCAAGGCGCACGACGATTGCGATGCGCTGCGTTCGCTCCGTCAGATCGCTGACCGGAGCGTGCGGAAGGGTGGACCCTCGGTGCGGGCACGGGGTCTACCAAGAAGGCGGGGAAGAACGAGCTGCGACGGAAGACATGTCACTTCTAGCCCATCGCACTTTGTTCTTAGGAGCAGGGATCCATCTGTATGAATGGTATGTAAGTTTCGACTAGCAATAGGCTTGTCCGCGAACTATGTCCTGGACGTTATGGAACGAAACAGTCCCATCAGGATATCCCAGCCCCAGCGTCGCACCATCCCCGGAGAACGAAGCCGTGGTCCACTCCCGGCAACCCATCGTCCCCTGGATCCGATGCAGAGTCCCTTCATCGACGTGCCAGAGCCACATCTTATACCTCACGTAAGACAACGCCAACAGCACTCCATGTCTGCCATCGGGGGACAGCACCCCGCGGCGGTTGCCCTGGAGAGCGTTTTTGAACGAGACGGAGGCGACCGTGCGACCGGTTCCAACGTCGAAGACCGAGTACGTCGTGCTGACTGTGGTGCCGTGCGTATGGAGGACGCGGTTGCCGTGGGCCGAGATATCGAAGAGGATTCTGCGACTCGGTTGTGTCGGCTCGACGTCGAGGACCAATGACACCGGACCTCCGAGGGAAGAGTCGGTTGCGGCGTCGGCGAGCATGACGATGGGGGCGTCTTCCCGAACGACCGCGACTTGCTGAACGTGTGGCCGAGCCGGATCTCTCCGCAGGACGGCTTGGATGACGGGTGTGAACCAGCGTGGGGTGGGGGCGTCCGGGGAGGAGAATGGAGAATGGCAGACCCCAGTGACGAGGTCGTGGACGAGGATGCACCGGCGGTTTGTGCCATCCTTCAAGGTCAACATGCTGACGCGCAGGACGAAGTGGCCATCGTCGGAGATCTTAATGAACGAGGTGTCGTACATGGCGTGGTGCTGGATGCGGATCACCTGAGGTAAGATGTGGCTCGGACTGGAAAACGACTGGACGAGGGTAAGGGTGACTGTGTCCCAGACCTCGAGCCTCCCGAGCCTCGTCAACGCCACCAGCTGTGTCCCGTCCGGCCGCCAGGCGTGACCAATGTGGTCGTCGTCCCCAACCTTGAAGCACCCGACCTTGCGCACTCTTTGTCCCGCCGCCACCTCGCTTCGTGAAGGGAGCCTGAAGATATCTACTTCGCTGGAGGGGGTCGTGCACGCGCACAGCGTCTCCGTAGGTGCGAACGTCACTGAGAACACGTCAACGCTGAAGTCATCGTACGACTGCTGGAGTGCCGGCTTTTGTGACTCGGTGTTCCAGATGATGAAGTTGAAGCTCCAGCCGAAGGGATTGCATCTGGCAACACTTGCGGCCCACGCTCCCGAGGGGGAGAGAACAAGTCTTTCCACGTAACCAGTGTGCCCGTGAAACCCTTTGACAGGCGGGTCTATAAAATGTGTGAGCTCAACCCACCACCGTAGAGGAGCTAAAGACTGACAGGTGAACGTGCGGAAAACCCGTAGAAGGTTCAATGAATGAAGCGGTAAAAAAGCTTGTTGGACCACACTAGTGCACCCTTCCACGTGGTTCTCCTTTACATCTTCAAATATGCATGTTGCTCCTATTTTTCGGAGAGGACCTAGATCTTCTGCCAGTTGTGCAGCCAGGCTAGACGCGGATATGTTAGCGTACCCCTCTTGTGGGGGGCAACAAGCCTCTGGATATACAACTTCGAAGGCAAGCAGAGAACTAGGGAGGCCGTGGCGTAAGAGCGTGTTGACATTGTCGACGGCGTCGATACAGGAGCTCAACACGGTTTTCCGACGGTCACATCGGAGAGAAAGATACCGTAATCTCGTCATTTCGCCGACGTCTGTCAGATAATGATGAAAATCGTATTCCACAAGGCCGCAGACAGTGAAGGCATCCTCACTGTGAGATCTGAGCCGGTAACAGGGCAGCGTCAGGTGTGTAAGAGTGGTCGAACTGGCCTGATACAATGGCTGTAGTTGCTGTCCTACGTGTAGGTCTTCCTATACACTGGTCAACACAACACGAAGCCGGACTGCCACACCTACTCACCCTGAGCTCCCGGAGAGACGCGATGCTCAGCCTGCATGAGCTCAGCAGGGGGAACTCCTCTGCAATCTGTTCGAACTTTACGGCGGCCAACCGGAGCACCTGGAGTTTGGGAAAGCAGGCCACGAGTCGATGCAGATGCAGAGGCGTCGCCAATTGCACCTCCTTGATATCCAAAGTCTTTATGGACGAGTACTGCCCGAAGCAGGCCATAGAAAAGCGAGAGAACCATCGAAACCTGGGCATACTGAAAGGGGCCCAGAACGCCTCGAATCTCCAGCTTTCCACACACGGCAGGTACGGCAAGAGAACCACCGGCGCGCTGTTAAACAGGGCGGAGTCTTGCCGTGGGGCGGGCAATATATGAAGGTGCACTGAAGCGACGAGCCCGCGGAGCTGGGGGGTGCATTCGAGGGCGTGGCGGACCGAGGCGAGCTGGTCGATCGTGTTCAGGTACAGCTCGCGCTAGATGTTGAGGCGGCTCCGGGGGAGCCACTGCGTGCAGACCCGTGCGCAGACGGCGACGGATTCGAATTCGTGTGCGGCGGCGAGGGCGTCGATGATATCCTCCCATCGCTCGACAGGGAGGGGAGAGGAGGGCATGGCTGCAGTCAACGTCCGGGGGGCAAACGTCGTCAGCAAAGAGCAATCGCGCGGGGTCTGACCGCACTCAGCGCTTCCCGATCGCGGCGATAAGGATCTTTTGCGGGTCTGCTTGCATGACAATTATTTGTGTGGGCTCAGTACAGACCATGGTATGTAACGTATGGTGAGATGGGAAACCTTATGGGCATAAATATATAGTGTACACGTTTTGAAATCGTAACGGCCGTCGTACTATGTATCTCCCCTCCCAGTCGCAAGTCCCGCCCTCCACGGTCACCCACATGCGTCCCCGCGCCGCATACATCCACTGTTTCATACTCGTTCACCGCTCGGCCCACAGATCCTACCCCTGCGCCCATCCGCCCGAGCCTACCCCGCCAGCGAGACGCGGAGCGGCATCATCGACTTCTTCCCCTCCTTGGTGTCGATCACTGGGATCATCGTCCCCGCCGGCGCGCGCTTGATCTGCGGCTTGTCCTCCGGGAGCGCGAACTCGAACTGGTCGAGGAGCTCGGCGGCAACGGCCTGGAGTTGGTACAGCCTGCAAAGAACCGGGTCAACACGATGGCCCGCAAAAGCGGCGCAGTGGACGCTCACGCGAAACGCCAGCTGTGTCGAAACGAGGGGAGCGAGGGACGGTGAGAACGCGTGTATCGTGGCCGTTAAGGAGGGAGTCGACTCACCCGATGCACGCGCGCAGACCGGCGGCTGCGGAAGGGGAGGAAAACGTTGGTCATGTCATCGTGCGTCGTGAAAACAAAAACGGGGCTCACAGAAAGTTAGCCTGTAAAGGAATTAGCCCGCGAAACAACGTGCACAGCGAGTAAAGAGGAAACACTCACAAGTTGGCATACACCCCAACCTTGACTCCCTTTTCAGTTTGGACACCCAGGAAGCGCTCCGGATTCCACATGTCGGCGTCTTCGCCCCACAGGTCCTTGAGACTAGTGCGTCGAAGCGCACGTATTCAGCTCGCGTCGCGATCGGAGCGGAAACAGCGGGCCCGAGCTCACCGGTTGTACCCGCAGATGGAAAGGAGGATGGGCTGGCCAGCGGTGACGGGGATCTCCGACATCACCTCGCCGTTCTTGCCGATGACGGGGTGGGAGAGCGGAAGGACGTCGTCCCGGTCCGCGACGCGGAACAGGTGGAAGACGAGGGGGTGGAAGCGGAGCGTTTCCTGCAGCGTGCGGATGCTCAGCGCTCAGCCAGCCCCCCTCTCCAAGGCGTCCGCGGCCTGCAGCAACGCACCTTGATCGCGGCGAGCGTCACCTTCATGTTGTCCAGGTCCTCGAGCGAAAAGTCGCCGTCGCCTCGCTCGCGCACGGCCGCGCGGGCGGCGCGGATCTCCGCGCGCACGCGCGCCTGGTACACCGGGTGCTGCGCGAGCTCGTACAGCATCCAGGTGAGCGTCGTCGACGTCGTCTCGTGGCCCGCGGCGGTCAGGTGGTGCAGCTGCGCGACGACCTCCTCCTCGCTCATCTGCGTGTTCGGGTTCTCGGACGCGTTCGCCTTGACTGGTTGGGGATCCGCCCAAGTATAATCAGCAATTCCCTTCGCCCGGACGACCGGACCCGAGTCGCAAAAGATACCCACTGAGGAGACTCATCGCGTCCCGCCGCTTCTCCTGCGAGGCGTCCCATGTGTCCAGGCCGGCCTTGTACAGCGGCCGGCCGATGTTCTCGAACATCCTGTTCACGCGCCGGAAGCGCGTGTAGAGCTTCGTGGGCGTGTACTTGGTCAGCTTGAGCACCGGCCATGTGAGGTACGGCCACGTCGCGCGCCAGATCTGCTCGGAGGCGGTGGGATACAGGTTTGCATCATTGCTGAAGGACCGTTAGAGAGCGCGATCGACGGGAGCAGAGCGCTAGAGCACGTACAATATCGTCCTGTATTCCTGGGTAAGCGGGTTTTCCAGCTCGTCCAGGGCCCCAAACTGGTAGTCGAAAGCGGCTAAAAGAAGAGCATCGGAAGCAGTAAGCGACGGAAAGCATGCCACATCGGGGGAGGATGGTACCTTTACCGATGACGTCGAGGGCGGCGCGGGTCAGCAGTTGATTGACCAAAATCGGGGAACCAGGGGAGGGTTCTATGTCAGCCTTCCACTTGCCCACGACCTACGTCGATAGAATTCAAAGGGAGCCACTGCACAGGCGATAACATTCCGTCTCACCTTCTTCGCAGTGCGCTGGAAGAGCGGCACGAAAAGCTTGAGCTGCGGCGCGCTGAAGGCCGGGTTCATCGTCTTGCGCTGGCGCTGGTGCATCTCACCTGTCACACTGTTCGGTCAGGTGAACATACGATGACGCGCGTTTTAAAACTTGCCTTCAGCCCACAGTATCCCCGGTCCAAGGAGCAGGTAAAGGAAGTGGTTTTTATCCACCCGCTTCGGGTAGTGATACCCCGACTTGTGCAAAATGTGTTGCAACGCCTATGTAATCGCGAGAAAACCAGTCAGCGACGCATCGCCCGACGACACAGTCGGAAAAAGCACCTTCGGATCCGCGGTCATAACTTGCTCGGCCTGTAGCGAGCCTGAGCACTCCACAAACAAAAAATAGCGAGCTGGTCACACGAACCCCGAAGAAGTTCTTGGTACGCCATGTGGGACCGTACTCCTGCATCCATTGGAAGTCGAGAGCCCCCACCTCTTCCTGGTGAGTTAAGAGGTACTCGTGTCCTGGTTCACATCGAATAAGCTCCATTTCCCACCTGAAGCCTGCACGGGCGCTCACCAAATAACACCGAGGGTACGGGTGGACCACGCAGGTTAGGAGCAGCGCTCCGCCGTAGGAACCGACGGAGGAGGGCGAGGATGACCAGTGTCGCGGAAACGAGAGCGAGAGACAGCACCGCCATGAAGATCGGGGCAAATTTTGCAGGTAGGCGGGGAAGGGGGGAGGAAAGGGGAAGCGTAGAGAGTTGCGGGGCCGCCTGGTCAGGGCCCATGCATTGACCCGGGTTTATATGCGCCCCCAATTAAGATTCTTGGGAACGAGGTTTGACTCCCGCTATCTTACACCGCGTGCGACAGACGCTGCTAGAACTTTCCATTACCAGCCCAGATAGAAGGAGCGAAGCACGGCTCACGCAAGAGCAATTGACCCTCTGGACGCACTGGCGCACATTGTTCACAGGCTTCACGCAAGTGGCCATGACGCTCCGGGCCGTGATGCCACAATCGCTGTTACGAGCTAAATGCAACCGTGATAATGAAGCACTTCCTGTATACAGCGAGTAGAAGCGTGTTAGCCAGTTACGAATTGCCGCAGAGTCGTGAAGGAACACACCGAAGTTCAGTACTTGCGTCCTGCAGTAACGCTGGAATCACCGTCGTGACCGTCCTAACGCAACCAGCGTTTTGGTCGTGCTCTACGCAACCCTGCCCACGTCACGCCGAGACGCTCTGTCCCGAGGAAGACGTCAAAATGACCCGTGTCGCGTGCGTCTGTGCGAGAGTGGATGAGTAACACATCCACATGCACGATGCTTCGCGACTCCTCTCTTATCACTACTCGACTCGGCGTTTGAGGAAGAGTGCAACCTCTCCGCCGACCACTTCCAGAGTTGAACTTTGGACGCCGATCGGGGATATATATTTGTCCAGCGAAAACTAATGCGCGGCCGCCATTGGATAGTAAGCGAGACCTACGTCTGTGCAAACAATAGCAGTGCCTGAAGCTCCACACGAAAGACCGTCTCCGTGAGGCTAAAGGGTGTCGGACTTCATGGGTCCGTACACGCCGTGAATAGGATGCCGACAAAGTTCGGCGCTAGAGCCACGAAGGCAAGGTGGTTTCTGTGCTGGTCTTGGATCACATAAGTAGTCTATCAAATCTGTAGAGCTGGTTTGAACTCACCATCATCACAAGTTGGCCTTCACCACTTTCCGCGCTACGCCATCGGAACGCCATCCAGAATACATGGGCAAGGAAGTGGCGAGGGGTGAGCAAATGCGCAGGATGCGATCGCCGATGTGGGAAGAGTCAACCACACAGTAATTGAGTCTTGACGGTGAAACGACGGGAGGCGCCAGACGCGCACCGGCACCAGGCAAAGCCCGTGACCGTGACAAGACCGATCCGAGCAGCCCATGATCTAGCGCCTCCCGCCATGCAAAGTTGACTCCGACTTTCCGTACAGGACAACATCCGAGCCCGGAGCTCTCAGTTGCCACCCACCCTTATCGCAACTCAAACAGAGCGCTAGCTATAGTAGCGTCCCTCGGAGGCGCACTCGGACATCGGACGCGTGGGGGTGCAAACACCTCTCATAGGGCAATGCTAATGTACGCGCTAAAGGTGCGACACATCCAGGTCAAAACGTCCGTGTATGTACGTGTATCCTGTCCGTCCCCTCTCGAGAGGTCCTTCCAATAAATCGGGCGGGAGGGTCCACGCCTCCGCGCGAGTGCGCGAAGGCGCGCTCGTTCCACGACGCGTCCGCGGCGCGCGCGCGCGCCGCTCACTTGCAGTTGGCGACGACGCCCTCGCCGGCCGCCCCCGACTTGGTGAGGAGCGTGCCGGCCTTGGCGATGATGCTCGAGGTCGCCGAGTCCGTCCTGCACCGGCGGCGGCGGCGCGTCAGCGCCCTGCGGAGAACGAGGAGAGAGGGGGGAACGCACGAGGTGACGTCGGCGAGCGCGGTCGCGGCGGCGGTGAGGTTGCCCTGGACCTGGTCGCGCGCGGCGGCGGGCGCGGCCTGCCCGGTGAGGAGCGCCTTCGCGATCACGCCGATCGCGCCCTGCGCGCCGCTGACGGCGTCCTGGACGGTCGCGACGGAGTCCGCGGTCGAGTTGTCGCTGCGCGGGGGGAGTGAGCGAGTGGGGGTGAGTGGTGCGGAAGACGCGCGAGTGGGAGAGGGGGCGTACGAGGACGCGATCTTCTTGAGGGTGCCTTGGAGGCTGGCGAGGCCCGCGACGATGCTCAGGCGGTCGATGTTGCACTGGAGGTTGCCGAGCTGGCGCGCGGCGATCTCCTGCGCGGGGGCTGGTGGGATGCACACGAGTCAGATGATGTGGAGGGGGATGAGAGGCGTGACGGAAGGCCGCTTACCAGCGTAAACCTGCGAGCCTGCGAGGAGGTAGAGGAAGGCGAAGAGGAAGACAACGACGCGGGACATCATGGTGGGCGGGTATACGCAGTGACGGGTATGGGTCGTGAACGGGTGGGAGAGGTTGCGAGCGCGAAGGGCAGACGGGGATGAGACTTGACTACGAAAGCTTGCGCCGCAAGGACAGGACACGCAACGGACAGCACCAGGCCGCGGAAAAGAGAGGGAGAGCAGAAGAAGGGGGCGGGAATGCGGAGGAGGATGCGGAGCCGTGCATGATATACCCCGCGCGCGGACGAGGAAGGCCTCCGCTTCGAGCAAAGATCTGGACATTCGATCGCTTGTGATGGCCACACCCCCGGCGTCCTGGTGCGCTTGAGCGCAAGCGAAGAGGTTTACCATGGAGACCCCTAATTATGAGCGCGAGTTCTAAGAGACCACTAGGCTTGAAGGGCCTGGAGCTTGGCGTTCTAACATCTTCTAACCCTTGCTGATGCACTGCAGCATCTAGACTGCAACGCACTGCCGACTCAGTTAGAGCCTAATATGGACGTGCGGATATATCGGCGCAGGCGCATGTGGCGCAGCACTGCCCTTGGCTAGTCCTTTTCAAGCATTAAACGAAGTGGGCGCCATGGTGATGAGCGCGACGTGTGGACGTTTCCATCGGCTCAACGGTGCTCACCTCCAGATAGCCGGACCTGCTCCTGGCGCGCAGCAGCGGCCCCGAGGCTTCGACTCCCGTCGAATGCCATGGTCGGCGGTGATATGTGCATTTGCGACGTAACCTTGGTCGGAGAGCGAGCAACGCTCCCCGAAACCTATGCTCTTCCTAGGGGACGCTGTGATGGGGCCGCCAGGCGTGATGGCCAGCATGTGCAGCGCACGCCAGTTGGAAGTACGAAAGAGCACGGGTGCGCCGCGCGAGCCAATCAGAGCGAAGTGTCGATGGGCGCTAGCTCCCCGGCCCCCGGCCCGCGTTCCTAGGCCTGTTCAACTTCCCCAAGGAGATCGAACTCGGCTGTTCACATCTCCGAGTAAGCCTTTCAACCTCGGCAGTCGGGGCGAAGTGTTCACGAACTTAGAAACAACATCATTCATGTTGGCGACAATTGAAATGACGCGATGGAACCGCCATGGAGCGACTTCGTCGTCCACAACCAGCCGGATGATTGAAGCAGCCTTTGATCGCGCACAGCCAAAGTTTGCACGGAAAATGGATTATGTATATTATGAAGTACACTACGTAGCACAGTAACGACAGAAGCGAGGGATCCCATATGCAGAGAGACAGTTCGTGCGATGCAGACGGCGAGCCCCGGTATACAGTACACACAGCGCGTGCGAAAGCGAGGAACCAGTGTCAGATAGCGATGTGCAAGACAGCGTCGCGCCCCGCGCCCCCTCACGCGCTCCAGCAGTAGCGCTCCATGCAGCTCGTGCACACCCCGCTGCGCTCGACGCCGAGCGCGCGCCGCGAGCGGTCCGCGACCGCGCACGCGAGGCACGCCGGCCACTCCGGGTCCCGCGTCGCCGCGTCGGTGGGGATGCCCTGCGTCGCGAGCGCGAAGGACTGGTCGAGCATCGCCTGCACCTGGTCGAGCGCGTACTGCGTCTGCGCCGTCGACGTGTTCGTCACCGGGGCCTCGCCGAGCGGCGCGCCGCCGTTCGCGATGTAGATGACGAGGGGCGCGTCGGAGGCGGCGTCGACGTCGCAGCCGAAGAACGTCGGGCGCGTGGTCAGGTTCTGCGCGACGAACGTGGCGACGTCGGTGGGCACGGACGGGAAGGAGTACGAGGCGCCGTAGAACATGTTCACGCGGTCCGCGGTGGCCTGTGGGTTCGGGTCAGCGGCGGAGCGCGCGCGCGCGAGGCGGGGGACGTACGATGAGGGAGCGGCCCTGGGCCCAGTTGTCCGTGCTGTCCGCGACGGCGTCGATCGCGAGGATGGTGTCGACGCCACGCGCCTTGACGAGCAGGGGCTGGTAGGGCGTCACCTCGCCGTCCATGCCGCCGTCGACCAGGTTGAGGATCGTCTCGGCGGTGTCCGGGTAAACGTCTGGCGCAACGCCGAAGAAGGGGTTCGGGACCGCAGCGGTATCCAGGCGGAGGTTCGGCTCGGGGAAGGTGGCCTCCAGGCCGCCGATGATGGAGCCGATCGCGGTCTGGAGGATATCGACACCCTAAAATGACGTGAGAGTCAGCGACGAGAACAAGCACACGCGACAATAACAAAAACTTACGGTCTGGTTGTACTCGATGAAGAGGTCGGCAGAGATGCCCTGCACGAAAGACACCTGGTCATAGCCAGTGACGCAGGCGGTGTCGTTGGGGGAGCCGAGATACTTGGTCGGCGTGAACGCGCCGAGCACGGGGTCCCACGAGCCCATCTCGACTGCCGCGTCCTCAATATCTTGCAATGGCAAGGTCAGGGAAAGGGCGACTCACAGACGTTGAACTCGTAGATGGGGTTCTCGAGCGCGACAACGCCCTGAACGGGCTCGATGAACTCGCTGCCGTTGTTCTTGCTGGTGATCGTGTTCGCGAGGATGATCGGGAACGGCTGCTGGTGACTCTGGAAAGACGGGCTAGACGGGCGACCACCGGTCAGCGAGCACAGCGCGCCAAAACAGCACATATACGCACAGCTTCGCGACGGAGGACCACGTCGCGCCGGCGCCATGCGTGAGGCTCTCGTCAAAGACGTTCTCCGCAGTCGTGCCGTTGACGAAGTGGTGGGAGAGCGCGCGCGCCCAGATGTCGGCGATGGTGACGGGGAAGCCCTTGATGTACTTGTACGCGATCTCCGCGAAGAGCCCCTTCACGTACTCCGCGTCGGTGGTCGTGTTGCCCGTCGGTGCGAGCAGGTCGAGCTGCGTCTGCCAGCCGGTGACGCCATCGCCGCCGAAGACGAGGTGCGGGATCGTCGGGAAGTCGCCCTGCGCGAGCGAGCCGACGAGCCACGAGCCGCCAGAGAGGCCCGCGAGGTAGGATGCGGCCTGCAGGAGGCCGCCGGTGCCGGAGCCGACGGAGGACTGGTTGCGGCCGTCGAGCGCGTTGAGAATGCCGGCGCCGACGATCGCGGCGCGGTGGCCGCCGCCGCTGGTGGCAATGCCGAGGGTGGGGGCGTTCGCGTCGCCGCCGAGGACTTTGGAAAGGTAGTCCGGAAGGGCGACGTTGGGGGATGCGTTTTCGACGGCAGCGAGGTACGCCTTCCACGCGGAGGGGAGAACGTCGGTTTTGCGCGAGGAGATGTACGACTGCTCGTCGCTGCTGACGGTCTGGGCGGAGGCGTCGGTGCCGACGTTACGAAGGAGAGAGGTGCCGGAAGGGCATGCACCGAGAGCGGGGGCATATGCCGCCGATGCCGCCGCCTGAGCAGAAACCTCGATGGAGAAGGAGAGGACGAATGAAAGGATTGTGAGGAATGCTGTTGAACGCATGATGATGGAGAAGGCGGGGCGAGAGGGAGATCGGCGGGAGGAGGAGGAGTGGACAAAACCGCGCGTGGCGCGAATGAGGAGAGGACGCAAGCCATGGCCATGCAGTTATAGTGGCGGGGCGGTGATTGCATTAGGCGAGTCCTTCCGTGCTCTCGGACTGGTGGAACGGAGAGAGGAGGGCCGGTGTCGCAGGGCAAGCGGAAGACCAGGCACGTCGATGCGTCGCCCGAGTGGTTGGCGGGCGAGAAGAGACGGCACATGCGGCAGGATAGGGCGGGTTACGGAATAGGGATAGAGAGGCTAGAGGGGAATGGATGTCCCGGCCATAGATAGGAACGCGTGCGCGCAGATTCTGACGGGCACTTTCCGGTCTCCTCGGTTACTTGCCCGGCCGCTTCAAATGGGACCGAGAGCAGAATTCCTGATTGATCGCGTTCTATGATCGTGTGCAAAAATGTGCACAAAACGAACGACTTACCAAGCTTTGGAGTGCTTGATGCCATATCACAGTCAGGTACAACCGGAGCACGGAGAAAGGGAGCAGCCTCAACTAGTGAGATGTTCGAACGTAGGACGATCCGCTGCACAAGCATATCAGCGACCAGAGTCGCGTGGAGGTTTGTTTGTCGAAGTCGGTGGCAGGGTCGTGCGGAAGCGCTGATCGGCGAACCCTCCCGCGAATCATTAGTCAGCAACCAGGTGACGCGTATCACGTGCATTGCGTCGCTCAGCGCCACAGACGCGTCGGGCTTGGTCACCCTTCCCTCTGCCTTCCACAATGGCCCCCAAGCCAGCTACTAGAACAACACGATCAAGGACATTCAACGCGAAAGGGGGCTCGAAATCCTTCAATTCCAAGCCCCACGTTGAGGACGGCGAAGACAGCGCGCTTGAGGATACCGTCGAGGACGCGTTCGAAGCGCAAGACCTTGACAGCGATGCGCTAGATGAGGACTCTGAGGATGCCGCACCGAAGAAACGATCTCGGAAGCGCAAACGAACATCCCTCAAGGCCAGCCCGAAGAAAGCCGGGTCTCGCGCGAAATCTAACAAAGAAGCGTCACCCCGGAAGAAGCGCAAGACGGAGGACCATAGCGACTACGAGAGCGGGCTGGACTTGGTGGAAGGGCAGGAAATTGTGGGAGTCGTCGTTCAGGCGCTGAAGACAGGACGAGGTGAGTTTTGGCGTTCTTTGTGCTGTCCGACAACAACCCAACGATCCGCAACCATGAAGTGCCTCCTGGCCAGGTGTCGAAGAACACACTTGATTTCTTGGCCGAGCTCAGGAAGCCCGCATGCAACGATCGTGAATGGTGCGTTATGCTGTCTTGACCAAGTGTCCTTCTCATCCTCCTACCTCCTAGGTTCAAGTTGCATGGTCAGCTATCGCCGTACGATTCATCTGTGCTCCCACAGTTATCTGATACAGCACTCCCTCAGAACCCGTCTATCGTCTCGCGGAAAGCGAATTCAAGGCGTTTGTTACGACCTTCACCGACCTTTTAGTCGAAGTTGACCCCCAAATCCCCCATCTACCTCCGAAAGATGTCATTCATCGAATCTATCGCGACGTGAGTGCTAACCCTAAGGCATTCCACCGCCCCTGACGTTGGACTCTGGTATAGGTTCGCTTCAGCAATGATAAGACACCTTACAAAACCGGGCTTTCGGCGAGTTTCTCAAGAAGCGGCCGCAAAGGCATTTTCGCCGTGTGTTCGTCTCCAGTGCCGCGGATTCGCTTTGCTGAGTCGCTACTGACTACCGTTACCCCAACAGACCATATGTGAGTTTGTACGGCAATGCGTTCGTTCCCACCCTGGATATTGATGAACAACCGCTTTACTCGATTTCCCCAGTGCAAGTGAGTAAATTTATCTCGAGCCTTTAGCACAACCGAGCACGAGTAGGGTAGCATGGATCGCCAGCGAGCGCGTCTCCACTTCGTGCACCTTCCTCCACGATATTCGTTTCTGACACCCCACCAGTCAAAGCCAACGGCGAAAGCGTCATCGCAGTCGGGTCCTGGCACCCCGGAAAGAACGAGCTCGCCACAATGCGGTCCGTCCTCCCCCCCACCTCCGCTCTCACGTATCTCTGGCTCACGAGACGACCCCGGCAGCCACAACCTCCAGCGCTCCTCCCGCCGCCTGCGCGCCATCATCTCCTCCCCCGACTTCGAGGCGCTCTTCGGCCCCGCGCGCCCCCACCCGAAGGGCGCCCGGCAGAGCGTGTTCGGGATGGAGGACGAGCTGAAGGTCGCGCCGAAGGGCATCGGGAAGGACCACAGGTGAGCGTCGTGCGTCGTGCACGCGCCGGTGCCTCCTCACGCGTCCGTGCACTCATCGTCCGCGCCGCGCAGGGACATCGACCTGCTCAAGTGCCGCTCGTTCGCGGTCGTGCACAAGTTCGCGGATAGGGAGGTGCTCGACCCCGGCTTCAAGGAGGAGCTCGCGCGGATTGCGGGGGTCGTGCGGCCGTTCGTGCATTGGTGCGTCGTGGGCGCTCGCTGTGGGGGGCGTACCCGTTCTGACGGTGGCCTTGCAGCTTGAATGACTTGATGACGATCAGGGGAGGTGACGATAGCGATGACGACGACGACGACGGTGCAGATGACGGTGCAGACGAGCAGGACGGAGAGGATGAGTAGGCGGTTGCCTGCATACATACGTTATAGATATCTTGTATGGGGCTTGATTGGAACTGGACCTCTGAGTGCGTCGGAAATGACAGTGAGAACAGCGTCTCTACCTTCCATTATACGCGTATGTACTCGTAAGCAAACCCAACATCTATGACATTAATTAACCAAGCCTGATCCCAGAAGGCCATCTACCGCCTTCTACCGCCTCTTCCCAATCACCTTCGCGAACGCCGCCCTCACCACGCCCGCCGCCTTCTCGCAGTCCTTACGCGACAGCGCCGCGGTGACCGCGAGCCTAATGCTCGGCCGCGCGTCGGTGAGCTCCTGGCCGCGAAGCCGCTTCGCGCGCGTGATCATCACGCCCTGCGCCAGGGCCTCCTCGACGATGTCCTGCAAGAGGCGCTCCTCGAGCGCGATGTCCCAGTGCGGCGCCTCACGCGGCTTGGCCGAGAGCGGGTTCGACGGCTTGCTCGTCGCGGCGGGCGGGTGGACCTGCAGCGTCGGCCACTTGATGTGGATGTGGATCACGGCGGACGCGGGGTGCGAGGGAATGGCCATGTAGTCGCCGGCGGTGAGCACGGCGCGGACGGCGCGGACATTGTCTTGAAGGGTCGTGAAGATGGAGGGCGTGGAGCGGAGGATGTTGATTCCCTCGGCGGCAGCGACGACGAGCGCCGGGGGCATGGAAGCGGAGAAGACGAAGGAGGTGCCGTTGATGCGCTGGAAACCCGTATGAAGATTTGTATGCAGGAGAGATTCGAGCAAAAGCGTACCTGATGGTCGACGACGATGTCGGACCCAGCACAAAAACCACCGCAGGTTGAGAGGCCGTTCGCAACCGATCCAACCAACATGTCTACCTCGGACGCCTGAAAAATAGGTGTGGGTTCGGGTAAATTTGTGGGGTAACGCAAAAGACGCACAGGAACGTTGTAAAGCTCGGTGAGACCACGACCAGTACGCCCGACGCTACCGAAGGAGACGCTCTCGTCGAGGATGAGGCGGTACTTGTACTTCTTCTTGAGTTCGATCTACCTTGCTCATGAATATACGGCCACAGCAAACGGAGGTAGAATGCGCACCAGCTTCGGGAGGTCCGACATGCTACCGTCGTGGTCAAAGATACCTTCCGTCACGATGAACCGGCGAGTGAGAGGCGCCCCGCGCTTCTTGCGATCCTTCTCAATGCCCTCCAAGACGTGCACGAGACTGTCCATGTCGTTGTGGTCGAACCAGCGTACATTCGAGCGAGAAATCTGCAGGCCCTTTTGGATGGCGAAGTTGACACCGCGGTCGGCGACGATGACATCACCACGCTTGCAGAAGGCCGGAATGACGGAGGGGATGGTGGAAAAGGACTGCGAATAACAGATGGCCGCCTCTGTACCGAGGAAGTCCGCAATGTCGCGTTCAAGCTGGATGTGCACATCTGTGAAATGGCGCACGTGAGCATTCCAGGAACGAACAGCATATAGGCGCAGCGGTCAGGATCTAGAGCGACCCGACGCCACGCAGCGCATCAAAACCGCTGCGGGCGGCGAGGGACACCCCCCAGGGACTCGGTCGCGAGCTGGGCGAATGCGGAGGACATACCTTGGGTGCCGTAGAAACCCGGGGGACCACAGCTTCCCAGGCCGTACTTCCTCACCGTCTCAACGGCGGCGCTCTTGAGCTCCTCGTTGCCGGCAAGACCAGTGAAATTGTAGCTGGCAAGGTTGATGACAGTCTTGCCTGACGTAAGTTTGGGCTTAGGACCAGTGGGGCCAGCGATGACGGGGACGGCGTCGAGGTCGGCGCGTTCTTCAGCGGTGAGAGGCTGAGCCAGAGGTTCCGGTGTCCATTCAACTACAAGGTCGTCGATTTCCTGCGCAGGCACGTACGGTCGGTCGTGCATCCAGAGATCAACCGGTCGCGTGGAAGCTCACCTTCTCGTCGAACTGGATGAAGTGTTTGCCTGACTCCTCGCTACGAGTACGCGACTGGAGGAGAGTGCGGATGGCGAGGATGACGAGGAGAACCTCGAGCAGAGTGCGGCCGGGGTCGTTCTGGTGGGACGACTGGACATAGCGGGCGACGACAGCGGAGCCGGGGATCTTGAAGAAGTTGGTCTCCGCAGCGGCGTAGGAGCGGGAGAGGAAGCTGAAGAGCAGCTCGAGGGACTGGGAGGAGCTGCTCATCGTGTCGGTGATCGGAGTCGCCGTCGTTGTCGCCACAGAGGAAGTCGCGCACGGTGGTGGGACGGGAGATGGTGCAGGCTGAAACGCGGGCGCCGAGTCTTCGTCCCCGCCCACGCGCTTGTTGAGAACGCTTCCTCGCAGCTTCTTCCATCCAGTCCCCTTCGCTCTCCACTGTCGCCCGCGGCGAGCTGGGCCTCGTGCTCGCCGATTCCCATGGCTCACAGGTCCTCCGCCTCCGTATCTACGACCAGCCTCGCTCCGCCAGGCTCTGGCCCGCCCTTGTCCCAGCGACGAATGTCCCTTCCGCCCCCGCCCGCTCCCCTCGACTTGGTGAGAACGCTTCCTCTCCCTCCCACCCCACGCGCACTCTGATTGCCGTACGATCAGCCGGAGCCCGTGTCCAACCACAGGCGGCCCCCCTCTCCACTCAGAAACGGGTTTGCCATTGATCCGCGCACCGGCGAGCTCACCAACTCCTCTGAAGACTCGCAAAGCCGTGAGCACTGGGGACAGCGCCCCATATCGCCTTCGCCATCGGTCGGCCAACTCGCCACCAATCTCGCCCAGCACGTCGGATCGTTCATTAACAGCATGGGCGCCGCGCGATCCCCCGGCCTCCCGACCGACCAGGAGCTCGAGGCCGAAGCCGAACGCGAACGCGAACGCAGCCGCCGCGAGGCCGAGCGCATCCTCGCCAGGGAGGCTGAGGAGCGAATGACCGTTGAACAGCGTGTTATGGCCATGCTCGCGAACGCCCCCGACGATCTCCGCCCCCCTCCATCTCGGTCACAAACAATGCCTGGCACTCCCCCTTCGCCCTCGCAATCCCAGAAAGACGCCAGCTGGTGGTCCCTCGCGAAGCAGAAGCTCACCCCGACCAAAGACTCTTTGACGCCTGCCCAGCAGATCATTCAGGACACCAAGCAGCGCGACAAGGAGGTCGAGAAGGAGAAGAAGAAGGCCGAGAAGGCAGACAAACGCCAGAGGAGCAAAGAGTGGCCTTCTACCCCCGAGCGCAGACTTGACGACCCCGCATTCATCAAGCTCGGTCTCGCCGCATCGCCCGGCCGTGCGATGCCTGCGTCACCAACGCCAAACCCGCGCGGTATGAGCAACCCTCCGAGTCTTGCAGCGTCCCCGATGCGCTTTCCAGAGTCGGACACAGAAGGTGGTGTGTCTCCGTCTCGCGCTCCTCCACCACTATATGCGCAGTTCAACCCGCAAGGCGCGCTCGATGTTCCCAGCACACTCCTCACCATCGCAAAACGGTTCGAGAAGCTCGAGAAGTGGACCGTCAGCCACGTGCGTGCTCTCGAGGAGCGCATGGACGATGTCGAACGATGGCTAGTTGAGAAGGAGCGCGACAAGGAGGACGGCCACGGTGCCAACGGAGACGCAGGCGGTGCTCTCGGCGAGATAAGAGAGGAGATGGCGGAACTGCAAGGCAGGATCGGCGAGCTGGGTCGCGAAATGGCGAAGATGGTTATCTCACCGGGCAACCTGTCCTCCGGTCCTGGCCGGAACACAACCCTTGCCCGTGCCCCTTCCACGAGCTCCTCCATTGCGGTCCAGTCTATCTCCAAGGTGGTTAGTCCCCCTCGCGCCACTCCTCCCCGCACGACCGATGCCACAAGCCCGGTCACTACCCCTATTCCCTCGAACCGCAACAACGGCTCGCGAACGCGCCTACCATACCCTACCGGCGACTACGCCTCCCCTCCCGACTCTAACTTCCTCAACGGGCCTTTCTCGCCGACGAACTCGCCTCCAGCTTCCCTTAGCCAGGCTTCGAAAGGGCGACAGCTCTCCATCTCCGGCCTGCCCTCGCATGAGAACGATGCCTTCTCCGTAGGTCTTAGCACCTCCCCAACACCTTCCGGACTGCCATCGAGCGCGAGCGAGAGCAGCGGCCTGAGCAGGAGCAAGCCTCCCAGCGCGGCCACCTCTCCCTCCGGCCTCCCCGCTCCCCACCCCCCAGCCTGGCGCCCCTCCAGCGCGTCCCCGACCCCGCGCAAGCGCTACACCGTCGCGCTCGGCACGCAGATCATGCCCCGCGAGTCCAGCCGCGACGCCGCGCAGCCCGCCCCGCGACCGTCGACCCCCGCCTCGCACCACTCGCGCGAGGTCAGCGCGGTCGGCACCGCGTACTTCTCCACCTCGCCCGTCTCGGCGCACTCCGCGCTGCAGAGCGACTACGAGCCCGAGCCGGACGCGGACGACGACGAGTCCGAGGACGACGTCGGGGAGGAGACGATCGGCCGCTCCGTCGGCCGCCAGGTCTCCAGCCACTCGCACCGGATGTCCGTGTCCGGCGCGCTCGCCCTCCCCGCGCCGTCGGCGTCGTCCCCGCCGGCGTCGCCGCCGCAGCCGACGCGCCGGCAGCGGCCGCAGTCGATGTACGCGCCGATGGCGAGCCAGGCGCTCGTCGCGCCGACGTCGACGATCACCCCGCTGAACGTGCGCCTCCGGTCGCGGTCGACGGACCGGCTCGGGGAGCAGGCGGGGGCGGCGCCGCCGGCGACGCCGTCGTCGGGCAAGTTCGTCGACCCGCTCCTCGTGCGGCGGCAGCAGACGCGGCAGGGCACCGTCGTCGCGCCGAAGGCGGTCCCGGGGAAGAAGGTGCCGGTCGGGCAGCTGGTCGCGTTCTTCGACCAGGATAAGTAAACGTGAACGCCACATGCTTGGTGGCCGTACGATGTGGATGTGTTGTGCGTGTGTACGATGCGGACGTCGCGATCTGATTGAGAGAGGTGTTGTATACGCTTTGTGCCGTCTCGTCTCTTGTACTTACTGTCTCCCTGCTGCGCTTTGTGCTCCTCCGATTTTGCCTGGCACGTGCTCATGCAACCCGTTGTCCGTCGATACCTGCTCGCGTTTACTGAGTCTTGCTTCACGACTTGTTACGACGACGAATGATTCATTGATATCCTCGACTACTGTTACCAAGCGCGCGCATACGGATCATAACTAGAATCTATGGGGGCATACGAGTAGGGATGAAAGGAGGACATGAGCAGCAGTAGTCGCCAGCCCATCGCGCAATTCGCGCTGACGGCTGGCATTCGCAAGGGAAGATGGGCAGAAGAGTGATTAGTGAGGTAGAGAGGCAGGGAGGGAGGAAACTTAAGCGTGCTAACGATACAGTGCGAACAAAGGAAATCGGGGGCAATCGATCAGCAGGGGAGCAAACGGAGATGGATACACAACACGTTTTCGTTTTGGCCACACTCCAGCCCCGGGTGGCGTGCAGCGTGCCCGGCCACGCCGCGCCTCGCCGCGGGCCACCGCAAACCACCGCCGCGCGCCGGCGGCGATGAGAGCGATGGGGGCGATAGTGCGCAGCAGCTGGCTGCGGGCGAAGCAGGCGGGTTCAGTCCGAGTCGACGGCCATCTCCTCTGCCTGCTCTGGCACCTCCGGCTCGTCCAGGTGGCCCGGGTCGGAGTGCTCGTCCCACGAGTCGTCGGTGCGCGTCTTCGCGAGGCAGCCGTAGTCGACGCGGTTGTCCATCGCGGCGCGGACGGCGCGCCAGGCGGCGGCGACGGCGGCCCACGGGCGCGCGTCGACGACGCCCAGCACCCCCATGTCCTGCGCGACGCCGCGCACGGTGCGGGCGAGCATGAGGAGCGTGTCGATGTGGCCGACGAAGCGGGTGACGACGTCGAGCAGCTTCGCGTGGTCGAGCGAGTCGAACGCGTCGCAGATCGCCTGCGCGTTCTGGATCCAGGCCTGGCGCGCCGCCTCCTCCTTCGGGGGCGGGGCGGGCCCGAGGGCGTCGAAGACGCCGAGCATGCGCTCGAGGAAGGGGAAGGTGCGCCGGGTGTAGAAGTACGCCTCGAGCGCCTCGATCGCGTCGCGGTGCGGGTAGGGGAGCTGGAGGGGGACGACGGGGAGCTGGTACGCGTTCGAGCCCTCGACCGCCTCCGTCTTCGTCTCCTCGTCCGCGGGGCTCGGGGGGGTGGTGAGCATGGTGCGGAGCGCTCCGGGGCGCATGGCGGGGAGGTTGGCGCAGTGGGCGGCCCAGATGACGGCGTGCGCGGGGTAGAGCCAGACGATGCGGCGGTACCTCAGGGACTTCTTGAGGAACGAGACCGAGGCGGGGCCCCAGATCGCGAAGAGGTGGGTGGGGAGCTGGGCGAGGGCCACGTCCTTGAGGGAGATCGTGAACCTCCGCGGGACGGTGCTCTTGGGCGGGTTGACGAGCAGCCGGCCCCACATGCAGAGCATCCTGCGGGGGGCGATCGCGCGCGATGGAGAGGAAGGAGGATGAGGAGGCGGATACGGGAGACAGAGCAGAAAACGCACTTGATGCCCATCGCGGGCCAGATCCTCCGCACATGCTCGGGCGGGATCTCAGCGAAGGTGGGGCAGGCGGCGGCGATCTTCTTCTGGTCGACGGTGGGGAGGACGTCGGGGATAGGGCACGGGAGCTGCTTGGGGAGTTTGGGGTAATCTTCCCGTGAGCAGATGCGGCCTGGCATCCCGGGCAGGGAGAGTTTCTGGATGGGGCCGTCCGCGTCGTCCGTGTCGAGGTCGTTGGGATGGTCCATGTCGGTCTTGCAGGGTACGGGACGGCGAGCCTGTCGACGTGTGGCCTGGAGTAGAGCACGGGGGAGCACCTTGCGGTTGATTTTGTCCTTGGCCCGGTTGGCACGAGGCTGGGGTGTGAAGTGATCCTGGACGATGACCATCGGGGTAGATATGAGGGGGAGGGGCGCTGAGAGGGGAGTGCGTTGGCGATGTGTAGGCTGCAAGCGGGCGGGGTGCTTTATACTCGCGCCGGACACAGGGGACGGGTAGTGTGCAGGCGGGCTTGGGCGGGCAGCATAAAGCAACGCAAAGACGTTGGCGGCGGCGGGGCGCGTGCCGGATTGGTTCCTGCCTCCAAAGGAAATTGTTCGGCCGCGCCAAACCCACATCCATCCCACCAAATAGCACCAAACAACCGCCCACTCCCCTCCCGCTGCCTTTTCGGGGCGGCGCGTTGGCGGCCATCGACAACGCAAGCCTAATGAGCGGCGATTGGCGACCTCGGCCCGCGCAGGGCCCGCGCGGACAAGGTCGCCAGGCCCGCCCGGCACTCCCGACGCGGGCGCGTGCGGGTATGATGGCCCTCGGGGCTACCGACGCTCTATGTGTCCCAAACCGGAGCAGAATGGGAGATGGCGCACTGTGGGTAAAGCGCGACTTCGCCTCGCGGCTGCCGCCTGTCCTCCTGCACCCTTCCCTCGTATCAGCCCCATCGATGCCTTGTCGTCCACGAACGACCCTAGCGCGTCTGCCTATTGCCATGGAGGGGCGTCCAAGGGAGGAAACTTGGGTGTCGAGAGAGGACCAGCGCTGCTGATGCGGCGATGGCCGTGGTGCTGCCTTGGGCGACCTCGGCGGCGCGCAACTAGGATACGAGTCGCTGGCTTTCAAAGCCACTCGGGTAGGCGGTCCTCAGGTCCTCAAGCCCGGGCTCCTGGCAACGTGCTCGCTGCTGCGCCCAACCTGCCGCGGCGAATGCGTGTTTCAGCACTGTGCGATGTCTCGGCACAGTACGCTAACAAAGCAGGTGAACAGAACACGCACCTATTCCAACTCAACCTGTGCCGCCACCCAACTCCGCGAACGGCTTGGGCTCCCTCTTGCGGCGAAAGCGTTGGAAATTGCGACCTCGCCGTGCGCGCCGTCAAGGGACGTGGCTCGCTCAATGAGGTAAGTTTGGTTTTCTGTGGCCATGAGCGACGACGCGCAATCTGGTCTGTGGCGTTGCGCGTTGTCGAACCGCGGGTGGCGGGGTGAGAGGCGCCGTCGCGAAGATATCCGGAACATGGGCCGTTATCGCGGTAGACGCAAGGACTGAAACACGGTGGTAGGCCTTCTGCACCAGCAGAAGGTGAAAGGAAGGGGATGGGGGTACAAACGAGAAGAGGAGAGGTCAAGGAAATGCGCACCGTCACTCGTACTTGAATGGTACAGCCCCAAGGTTTGCCGTTCTATAGCTGCCGCGCGCCCGCGGGGCGTCAGAAGCAGCGGGACGCAGTAATTCCCGTATGCAAGGGCGAATCCCCCACCAGGCTGCACAGATCCCCGGCTGGACACACACTGGCGGGTGCAGCGCCCACCTGCACAGCCAATCGCGACCGGTTCGAACACAAACCGGCTAGAAGTTCGAAACCGGGGCCTCGAGTCCCACCCCTCGCGGGATACGCGTGCATCAAAGGACGGGGACGACGGCCTATTGTTGACTGAACTGGCGATTTTCCACAATGCTTTGGTCTGGACTTCTCATCGCATGGGACCACGGCCAGCGCGGGATGGTGAGCGTTTGTCCCATCTGTGGATCCTCTGTGTGATACGGTCCTATGGAGAACAAGGTCTTGTTGAGAGATTAATGCTGACCTTATATTGGACCGGCTCGACTGGTGTTGGATTGTTGTCGAAACCGACGGTCTAGAAACATTAGTAATGGCTTCCTGGAAGCTTTGGTGCCTTTGAAACGCATACAGTCAGCTTTGTCGAGGACGTACAATTGTTGATGACTGTTCAAACGTTCACTGCAGGGCCCAGCCGGCGCTAATACGCCGTCGTTCCGTCCACATGAGCCCCACCCCAAACCGCTCACATTGAACTGGACTCGGAAGAGCCTCGGCAATGCCGCAACGTCTGCAAAAAACGCATTGTACGGGCCATCGGTCTCGTCCCCGGCCGCTCTGTACCGCACCCCACCACTGCCTTCTGTCTCGCCGCCACTCTGCCGAGGACGAATGGGAATCGCTCGCCATCTGCGCGAAAGTATGCGAGGCGTGAATAGCTCGAAGCCGCGTACATATCTGGCGCGAGGTGCATATGAGCACGATGGACCGCTCGCGTCGGTAGGCTGCCATACCCTGGAATGTTCTTCTGAGGTGCGCTTGCTGGCCCGCGAAGTTCACATCTACCGGGAGAAGAACAACTTTCTGTTGAACCCCTCGCTGTTCCAAAGTGCCCCCTTTATGCTCTTTCCCGAAATCTAGGTGTAGAACTTCGAAGCAGATTGGGATTGGAACAGACGCTCGGTCAACTACGCCCCTTCAACACAGACACAATGAGTTCTGCGCACCTTGACAGCGGAAAGCGTGGCCTTCACCTTCTGAAGGTACTCGTTCGTAAGTACGCTGTCACCGCGTACATCCGCGTCTGGTACTTGATCTGGCTTCCGCGCGAGCACTGGTCAGTTCTTTTGCGTCTTCAGGTTTTCGGACGCGTTCGCCGTGACTAGTGTGGGCAGATCAGCTTCGCCCACGGCAAAGGCTTTAAAGCGCACTCACCCAGGACGCTCAGTGCATCAGGCTGCCTCTCCCTGCCCTTCAGGCCGGTCTCGTACAGCGGCTGGACCGCGGATGTCCCTTCCGGCGCCTGAAGGCAGGCACGCGTCTCCATTGCTGCATTTTTCCTGGAGGGCTCTCTGGGCACACCGGCGATGCTACCTTAAGTGTTCGAAGTACCGGCAGTTTGTAAGGACCTGTGATCTGTAATTGCAGTGGTGATGTTGAGGGAGGGTCCGAAGAAAGATATCCATGCAATATTCCTCGCCACATGCGAGACGCCTGCCCTGAATTCCACCCCAGAACGGCGGCAGCGCTTGTCCTCTCTCTCTCTCCATCCTTTTCCGCCCATCGGTCCTTCTCCCACTCTCTCTACCTTCCATGTCACACCTCCAATGGACGATGGACGCCCCCAGACGTGCGTATATGCGCCCTCGCGTGCACCTGTGCTCATGTTCTACGCAGTTTGGAGGCGCTGGAACAATTTATACAAGGTCAGAAGACCGCGCTCGAGAAAACTCTGGGAGACATAGACCGCCTCCGAGGGCTGCGGGACCAAGTTGCGGCCGAGTCTTCGGTGGATCCACGGGCTGTTGAAGCGAAGGTGAGCCCGACGTCTCGCCCCCCTTCGCTCGACTCAACCCGTGCAGCTCCGCCACCCATCCTTCAAGCTGAGCGAGCAGCTCGACGCGATGCCCCCACTCCCCGCCAACATCGACTGGTCGCTGTTCCGAGGCGCAGACCCTGCGCCTTTCAAAGCGATGGCCGCGGCCGCGCGCGATGCGTACGCCGCCCGCAACACACCCCCGCAGACGCAAGCAATCCAACCGTCCCCGCTCCGCCAGTGGGTCGCCGAGCAGTGCGCGTCCATCGCCGGCCCCCTCATCACGTCCTTCCGCCTCCCGGACGACCTCGCGATGCTCTCGTCCGACGACGACGAGCCGCCCGACCCGGAGGAGCTGCGCCGCGCGCGCGAGCGGGAGAAGATCCGCGAGCTCAAGAAGCGGCGCATCGTGGGCGACGGCGGCCAGTCGCACTTTGGCGGGCTCGGGCTGCGGCGGCCGGTCTCGGCGGTCTTCATCCGGCGGGACGTGGAGGACGAGAGCGCGGAGGTGGACATCTGGATGAGCGAGGGGGAGGAGGAGGACGGGGCGCCGTCCGCGCTGGGCGGCGGCTCCAGCGCCGAGCCCGTGTTGATGGCGGTCGACACACCCCCGACAAGCGTGAGCTCGCCCTTGTCCGCCCCCTTGCAACTCCCCGACACGGCTGTCCGTGAACGGCGGCCCACGCGGAAGGCGCGAGAGGCTCAGGAAGCGTCGACCTCGGCCGCCAGTTCTTCAAAGGGTTCGATCAAGGTCAAGCCTAGAGTCAAGCTCATGTTGGGGCCGCCACCGCCACCACCACCACCACCACCGGATCAGCCCAGCTCTCCGACTGAGCCTGCGCTCGACAGGAAGGGGAAGGCCCGATCAGACACATACAAGCAGGCGTGGTCGGTTTCGGAGCAGCACTTGCTTGAGCGTTTGCTGGAGGAAATTCCGGACGGAGAAAAGAACCGGTATGGGATTCGCCGCTTAGGGTGTGTGGCCGAGCTGATGATCCGGTGTGCTCAGATGGGCCAAGATCTCGAAGGCGATGAACGGCAGGCGGACAGCACGTCAGGTTGCGAGTCGCGTGCAAAAGTACTACGAGAAGCTGAAGCGGTTCGGGATTGAGATGGGGGGGAGCAAGTAGGGCGCGGCGCGCTGTTGACGTGTAGACTAGTATAAAGCTGGAACTCGGACTTGCCCTCGCATGTTGTCTCGCGTGGATCGTGCTCGGGCTGGCCAGGGCCGTGTGCAGGCGGAGGCTGTCAGCGATCATCTGACCAGATCATGATTCCCTTCACGCGCGCGGCCGCGGCGGCAGCGGTCGCACATCCCTCCGTCCTCCGCTGTCCTCCTGCCAGCGCATCCCTCTCTCTCTCTCCCCACCTGCCTCACGATCGCGACATGGCCCAGAAGTTCGACCCCCAGAATGCGCAGAATCTCGTCGAGGTGCGCATCCGTGTCCGCGGCGTCCGCGAGCCGTTCGCTCACCGTCCCGCGTAGATCGAGAAACAGTGAGTCGCGGGCGTGCTCGTCCGTCTTGTGTCTGTGTCGCGGCTTAGAGTCGCTCGCTGCGAAGGTTCGCCGTCAAGGCTGTTGAGCACGCCCAGGTCCGTGGTGCACCCCTCCCACGTACTCCCCCTGCCCACGTCTGACGCCTCGTCCCCGTCCCCCGTCCCACCCTCCCCCGTGCACGCGTAGACGTACTGGAACCTGCTGGAGAAGGTCCCTCCCCGCGAGCTCAAGCTCTCCAAGTACGTCCGGTCTCGCCGCCGCACCCGTGCGACCTGACCCGCGTTTCCCGCCCCTCCGTTGCACCTGTCACCCCCACCGCCCGTGCCTGGCGCGCAGGATCGACGACGAGATCTTCGAGGACACGCTGGCGACGTTCCCCGAGCTCGCGGAGAACGAGCACGCGAAGATCACGAAGCTCGACGAGGACTGGCTGAAGAGCGAGACGAGCAAGAAGCGCTGGCGGGAGTTCATCGCACGGTGCGTCCCCCCGCTCCGCTCCCCCCGCGCCCGCGCCCCGCACGCCGAACGACGCCCCCGGACAGGTACGAGAAGAAGGTGAAGGACTTCAACTTCGGCTCGCTCATCCGCACGGACGCGCGCGAGGAGTACAGCGAGACGAACACGATCTTCGTCACCCGGATACAGGTGCGCCCGCCCGCCCTTTTCGCCGTCCTCGCGTCTCTCGCTCACCCGGCATGTCGTCCTCTCGCTCCCCGTTCCCGCCCCGTCGTCCTTCGTCGTCCGGGCGCCCTTTCGTCACGCGCGCTGCCTTGTGCGCCGCCCGCCCGGTCGCCTCCCGTGGCAGTTCTACGTGTTCGAGATCGCGCGCAACCGCCTCGGGCTGAACGACAGGGCGCACGAGATCGCGAAGGAGGAGGCAGCGAAGGAGAAAGAGAAGGCCGAGAAGGAAAAGGCGCGCGCGGAGCGCGAGAAGGCGAAGAAGAAAAGGAACTAGGGCGGCGCGCGGTGCGCGTGGGTGGACTCCACGACTGGTACGCTGGATGTCACGTTGTGTATTTACCAGAGTGTCCAAGGGAAAGGATGTACCACACTATCGTTTCGCTGTCATAGCGTTGTCTGGACGAGAGCAGGACGAGAAAACGTAAACTAAACATGGGAGAGGAGGGATGCAAGTCGCAATTGGCACCTGTATATACATAGTATGGGCCCCATACCAGCGCGACTGCGGATCCCACGCCCGTGTCGAACCTTGCTTTCGACCGTCATGTTGATTCTTCGTGAGTCCGCAAACACGGCCCCCTCAGCCTCAGAACATCTCACAAACATACGACCGGTGTGCGTGAGGAGCGTCTGGGGCCGAGACAGTCTGCTTCCCGTATCGGGTGGTCCGGGTGAAGGCGAAACAGCAGCGCTGACCTTTTCATACCCCCTCCCCCGAAGACGAGAGAGAAGAGAGAGAGCACGAGCGACCTCGCATCAGTCATGGGGCGGATATGTGTTACCCAGGCCCTTCGATGTCGGCCCCCGGCATGTGCGTATGTATGATCAGGTCAGTCTTCTCGTTCCACTGGCAACGGCTCGCCTTCTGGATCTGACCGCACCCTTCTTCTCCGTGTCTTGAATGCACTGGTACGAGTGCTTCCCACCCGTTGCTGCCGACAATACACGTGCTGACCACTGACATTGTGCAGGGTGTATCTGTCTGCCGAGGTTCTCGAGCTGCTCGAGTGCTCGCTCCCCAAAGACAGGCCCTCCATCTGGTGGGATTCTTTCCCGTGGTCCGTACGAAGGATGACATGAAGCTGCCCCGCGTCTGCGTGGTGGTTTGTAGATCGTCCCAGGACGCAGTCGACATAGCCAGACCAGTTTGACATAGCCGACTGCCGTCCTCGATTACGTCTTGCGCTCTGCCACCCCCACGCATTTTGTTCCGCCTCCTCGACCGACGAGTTCTCCGCGCCCTTCTAGTCGCGGGGATACCGGGCACGGTATGAATGCCGCCCGTCCCGGGCACACTGACAGTTGCAAGGGGCGCGCCGCACGCCCACCGTCGTTCGATCGTTTCGGCGTGTCGTCGCCGCCTGAGCAGCTCGTCCAACAAGGATCCAGCATTCAATGGCATTGCGATCGAAATGCCTCAGCCAGACCATACAATATACCGTGATGTAGTCTCGGCTGAGCGGGAGAAGGCTCAGGACCGTCCAGCGGTGAGTCGTCTCCATGGTGAACCTTCTGGATCCCGTCCACTTTCTCGACGCTCGACGCTCGACGCTCGACGGCGTCGTCGACACAGCCTCGAGGACCGCCGAGGAAGGGCTTCTGAACCCTGTTCGAGTCGGAGGCGTCGAGTCGGTGCGGGGTATAACAGGCACGCCTTCGCGCCCTCTGCTCCCCATCCCCATCCACTTCCACTTCCACTTCCACTTCCACTTCCACTCCTCTCCCTCTCTCTTCCACGGCCCGGTGCTGTCCTCTCCTTGCCGCGCAAGCTTACACACTCGAACCTCCTCCTCTTCGTTTACCTCACCCACCCTCGCTCGCCATGATGTCCCGCGTCGTCCTCTTCCTCTTCGGCCTCCTCTCCCTCCTCGCGGGCTCGCAGATCCACGCCGGTGAGCACCCGCCCTCCGACCCGCCCTCTCCCAAATTCTGACCCCCACACCCAGCCCCCGTGGCCGAGATCGTCGCGCGCCAGACCGGGAACCTGCAGTGCAACCTCGACCGCCTCTCCATCGTCTCCAGCGTCAAGAACCTCCAGGACACGCTCTCCCAGATCGCGTCCAGGTGCGCGCCCCCCTTCCCTCGTCCCCGTCCCCGTCGCGAACCCCGAGCTCACCCTCCCACAGCGACAGCTCCACCGCGGACGCCGTCGCCGCCGTCCAGAGCGACGTGAGCGACGCCCAGGGCGGGATCGCGACGATCGCGCAGGCGCTCGTCGCCGGGCAGGCCGCGCCCGCGTCCGCGCGCGACGTGGTCAAGCAGGGCCTCGTCTCCGCCGGGACGGACCTCGCGGCGGTGACTTCGTGCGTCGTGCCTTCCGTCGCCCTCTTTCGCCTGTGGACGGTGCTGACGCGGTGATTGCAGGTCGGACGCGGCGACGACGAAGCTGATCACCAAGGCCGGCACGCTCCTCACCAAGGCCGGCCAGGCGGGCGAGGGCGTCGTCTCGAACTGCAAGTGAGCGCGCGGGGCGCGGGGCGCCGATGCGAACGTGGGTCGGAGCGCTGTTTTCTGAGGATGTAAGGGCGTGGGTTCTGGCCACTTTTTCTGGGTTATTCGATAGGGTTTGGACAGGACTAGGAGTACGCCTGTATGTAGTCTGTGAAATGAAGGCTGCCGCCGCCTGATGTACCCTCGTGTGTTTGCGCCTCGAGACGCATGACGAAGGGCCGTTGTCGTTGAAAGTCGATGGTTCGTGCGACCGGTGACGGGATGAGGACTGCGGAAGGGGGATAAGAAGATGCGGAGGAATCGCGTGCGTCGAGCTTGCGCTCCGGGGAGCCGGTCCAGTGCGGAAAAGGGGGAGAGGCGGCGGGCGACGGGTGAAGGTCGAAGAGACGGCACCCAGAAGATAAGGCGGAAGCGGGACGGATAACAGGAGGCTGAGCGCGGAGGTGTGGAGGGAGGAGGCGGCGGCGGCGGCGGCGAGGGGACAGGGAGAGTAGCACGCGGCCGAGCCATCCTAGACTAAATACATGAGCGAGTACGAGTCGTGGAGACAGGGTCCGAGTGACCAGACAGCGGGCATGCCGGCGAGGAGACGAGTCCGAATGGTCTAAAAGAAGTGAGGGGGCGAGGGAGAGGGAGCGTAACGCAGAGGCTGCGCAGTCACGAGAGGTGGTAGCGAGGCAGGCGAAGGTGGTCGGCAGCACTGAGGCGGTCTAGAATATAGTATGACGGAGACCGCAGTCGCGGGAACGGGGGCGGAGAGGGAGACGCGAGACGACGAAAGGTCCAGAATTGTGCATGGAGCACAACGGAATGCGGAACGATGAGGATGGAGGGGTGATGAGGTGGGCTTGCGCAGCAGTCGGCGAGGACGCTTGCAGGTCGAGCCGCGCGCGCGAGCAACAACGGTGACGGCGACCTCGGCCTTGGTACGCGCGCTTCGACGTACGCTGCTTGAGTGCTTGTCCGCGACGGTGCGCAGGTGTGCAGAGCGAACGAGGCGACGCGCAGGCTAGCGGAGGGGGAGGTGCGGTTGCGTCGACTGGGTCGTATTGGAGGTGGTTTGATGCGAGGCGCGCCGCGCGTGGCCGCGCGGCATGCGTGGCCTCTACGATGCTAGCGGCAGGCTCCCGGGCTCTCAAGCTGCAAGCAAGTTATTTTCCGAGGCCTTGAAGGGGACATGCAGTCCGGAGAGGCTAGGATTTGCAGATGGTACGAGGAAGGTTTCGGTCTCATCGGTCCTCGTGCGTTTCCATGAGCCATCTCATCCTCTGAACCCAATGGACCCTTTGGCGATGTTGTGCCCGCAAGACCTCTTCCTTCCACTATTTAGCACAGACCACCTGGAACGGCGCTACGGACTTGCAGCGTGCCGTTGGAATACTACGCTCGGCCACATTGAAATAGACTCGGGGGAGATATCACTCGCGATAGGTAAGCGGAGCACTGGACGATGCAAGACGAGACTCACGGAGTCGCATGACACAACTGCAGAACGTTTGCCCTAGTGCGTTGAGGCGTCCCAGCTCGTCGACGCCGACGCAGTCTTGATCGAGGTTTATGATGCTCGAGAGGGCTTTGTCGTTGGAAGTCTCGATAACGAGTGCACCAAGAAGACAAATGTTGCGAAGTTGAACGAAATCTCCAGCAAAGGCGAGTACCAACGCGGTCCTCTCACTAGATAAGATGCAGTCGACAAAGACATTCCGGGAGACATCGGGTAGCTTGGTTACGAGAGGATCGTCTTGAGGGGTAGCGCGGGCATCGTTTGTGTTTGACGCGCTCTAAGCAATGGCTGTTAGGTATACCGTATGTGCGCTGGCCTCGTAGCCTCGGGCTCCCCGACATATCTAGGAATTAATGGGGATCGCGGGCCGCCGCCGTGCAATCCAGCACGCGGAAGAACATCATGAGTGGTGGGAATCGCCTGCATTATCGTCATGAAGTATGTCCATCCCGTGTTCACATTATCCATTCGACGACCCTCCGCACCTCTTCCTGTCGTCTCTTCACGACGTCCACGACTTCCGGTGCCCACACCTCCGCCGGGTCCTTCTTACCCAAAAGGCACTCGGAGAGGTGGCGCTCCGCGTCGGCATGCTCAAACGCGACAACGTTTTCGAGCGACAAGGGCGCGGCCGGGTCCCAGCGGACGAGCGCAGGCCACTCGGGGATAGGATGCGGGGGCACGATGGAGCGCCCACGATGAATGTCGTCGAAGAGGAAGCCGCAGTCGTCGTCGTTGAGCGAGAGTTTGCTGCCGCGGGGAAAGCGGGCCGCGTCAGTTCATCGCGCGAGGAGAACAGAGAAGCAGACGCACTTGATGACGCGCCCGAGGAACTTTTCCTCGCGCTTTTGGAGGTCGCGGCAGAGCTTCCCGCTGGGCTTCTTGCGGCCCTTGACGGGCAGCGGGTTCGATATCGGCTTCCCTGCGAGCTCGCACACGATGTACGTCGCGATGTTCAGGCCGAAGATCGCCGGGAGCGGACCTGTGCATACAGCCAGTCGGCTTGAGCGCGTTAACGCCACGACGTTCAAAGAAACGCACCGAGCACGGGCAATATCCGCACGCGGAAGTCGTCGAACGCGCCGAGCTCCTTGACGTTCCCCTTCTTGTATTCCTCCTCGGGCAGCGGCAGAAGCTTCACGTCGCCCGGGACCTCGGTCGAGTACACGACGGGGATACCTCCATGGACGCCCTCGAGACGCAGGCGACGGCGGACCGAGCGCGCGAGCGGGTCGTACTCGGTGTAGGATATGTCGCTGATCTGGATGCGCGTCGGGTCGCACTTGGCGCCGGAGCCCATGGACGAGAAGACGGGGATGTTGTGTACATGGCAGTACTTGAGCAATTCGACCTTCGTCGTGACGTTGTCGATCCCGTCTGCAGGGTGGCGTGCGGAAAGGTCGAGTTGAGGTACGCGGGAGCGAGAGAGGGAAGGGAGACGCACCGACGACCCAGTCTGCGCCAGCGAGAAGGTCGCCACCAGTCTCCGTGCGCCAAAGCTCGACACGGGCGTCGACCTCTACGACGCGCGAGATCTGCTTGAGCGTGCGCTCGACGCAGCGCACCTTGGACGTGCCGACGTCCTCGAGGACCGCGGTCGCGTGGCGGTTGAGAGAGGAGAGCGTGACCATGTCAAAGTCGACGAGGCGCAGCTTCCGCACGCCGCTGAACCGCGCTCGTGTCAACGCACGAGGCAGAAATGTGATGCATGAGGGACTCACGAGCGTGCAAGCATGACCGCTGCCCAGCTGCCCACCCCGCCGCAGCCGACGATGACGACGGTGCCCTGGCGGACGCGCGCCATGCCCTCGTCGCCGAAAAACGCATAGTTGCGCGCCAGCTGCTCGCGCACCAGCCCCTCGTCGTACTCCGGCGGGAGCTCGTCCGCGCTCACACCTTGGATGTGGATTTGGTGCGGCTCTTCCGTGGTCTCGCGCGCCTTGCCCTTGCTGCCGTTGGTGTGGCTCTGGAGCGAGCGGACGACGTCCTCGGCGAGGTGGCGGCGGCGGACGTTTTTCGTGTACTGCTGGTAGCCGGTGAACGCCCCGGCGGTGAGCGCGGCGGCTCCAAGGGCTGTTAGCGCGAGCTGGACGCGGTGGGACTGGAGGGAGTCGAGGTTCATGGGAGGGAGGATGCGGTGGCGCATCCCATGCCGCACGCCGTCGTCGCCGTGTTTGAGCGCCGTGATGATTAGATTAGATCTACTTGGACTGGCCCGACAGTGCCAAGTCTGTTTACCCCGGACGCCCATGTCTGAGGTCGTTCGTGCAAAGAGTGCGATTGCAGATGAAATGGACGGCGTATTAAGGTAGGCACGACTCTTATGTAGTGTCTCCGCCCTGAAAAATCACCGCCAGAATGCAACTCTACAATAGAAGACACAGGTATATTCAACGAATCCGGGGATGCAGCCAATATTGACGAGGCCGTCTGAGAAGCACCAGGACCGTCAGTCCCCTGAGCTCAGAATCAAGATTCGCAAGTAATATCGGAGCACTCACTGGCAGCTGCGCTCTCGCAGCACACAGGCTTGGCAGAGCTGCAGAATGGAACCAATCAGCAAACGACACCCCCCGTTCTCTGCGTCCACGAACTAGGTGCTGCCAGTTTCGACACCAATTACGCTGATCGGAACACAGCTGACGCCGACGATGACATTCAGGTCGCTGATCGCGACGCCAAGCAGGCCGTTGAGCTGCTGTGGGGGCAGGACCGACTGGGCGGGACTACGGTGTCGCAGCACTTGACGGATCCAGTGTTGCACTAACCGACGGGACCAAGCTCGTCGGGGACGGGACTCGCGTGGGAGGGGTCGGCGAAGCTGAGGGCGGCGGAAGCAATGAAGAGCTTGGAGAACATGGCGAGCTTATGCAAGAGAGAGAGGTGATGCTTGGAGGAGTGGTGAGTTCGAAGGAAGGAGCCTACAGTGGCTTTTATACCTCTCGAGGCCAGTAAACATTGTATGCTCGACGCTGCTCTCGAGGGTATCCAGGACATGCGGTCGTTATTCCGAGAGCCGTGTCGGTTCGGTAGCAAGCACCGTCCGTGAACCGGCGAACATACATACTGGCATTCCCGAGTATCTGAGCACCTATCGAAGCATCTCTTGTGTACACGATTGCTCGCTGCATTCTGTGGACTGTTAGAAGGCGCTGTGCCTTCGTTCAGCCGAAATGGCGTCGAAAACGAGTCAGCGTTGGATGGTGACCGTGCGCAGTGGGGGAGAACACCACATGACTGCCGTCGTTAAAGTGCCTATGGAGCGAGTAAAGGTGACGGTCTGTGGAGCAAGGCGAATCCGATGCGGGGGACGAATTGCAGACCAAGCAATGGGAAGATCGAGTGTAGTCGACCTTGCTGCCAGTTGTGTGGTTTCGACGAGCCATCTGAGGCGGTCGTTGACGGGGTTCTTCTCACCATTCGACGTAGGCGCTGCCCGTTACACGTAGTCAAACACACATGCAGTCCATACAGCTTCGAGAGGGCAAAGACACCGAGCCGGTCAGTGGCTACAACTCGTGCTTCTGCGAGGAGTCTGCGGGGACGGCCCCCCCGGGCCGCCAATTGCGTTCGCGGCTGTCTTCGTACACGAACAAGCACAGCGGAATTTGTGGATGTGCGAGCACCCACGTCAATTTGCGTGATCGATTCCTGTTCAGAGGTTACGTCGAGAAAACGCCGAGCAGTCCGATGCTGCCAATGGTACTTACCGATTGCCATGCTCTAGCGCAGTCACGGAGTTCTTGGTGCGACGGCCTTGACGACCAATGGACAGCGGTTGCCGGTCCCAAAATGAAGGCCTCACTCGCGTACGGTCTAGCGCGCCGATCTTCGGGACCCACGCACCGGGACGAGACCAAAACTTCCAATAACTTATCATTAAAGAAGGCAGACGTGGTTGATAACGAAACCATACACGATGTTGTTACAACCAAAGCTACATTAGGACTAAGACGACTGGAGGGAGAGCGGGTGGCGACCACGCTCTCTACAACGACATACGGGCTCAGGCACCGGCTCCCTTTCCACTCGAAAACCGAAGAGGAGCGCCTCTCTTCCCGCCACCGTCGCGACACCAACTACACCGCAGCTCCGATGGCCGCCTCATCCTCCTGCAGAGTACGCCCCTGCGCCGCGATGTGCCCCAGCTCGACCTTGATGCTCTCGCGCGGGAGGCCGGGGATGCGCGACCGCGCGACGGACTTGGCGGGGCTCTTCCCGACGCTCTTGACGCGCACGAGCCGGGGGGACGCGGACGCGTCGCGCTTGGCCAGCGACGCGCTGCGGACGACGCCAATCGAGCTCGGCGAGCTCGCGTCCGTGTCCGGGTAGACCGGCTCTGGGGAGCCGAGCACGCTCTCGAACGCGTCGTCGAACGCGTTCTCGGGGACGTCGGGGTGGCTGGAGCGTCCAGGCGGCCGTGTCCTCGATCCCGCCCGTCCGAGGGACGAGGGATAGTGAGGCGCGGACTCCGGCGTGGGCAGCGAGCCTACCATCGACGAGTCGTCTTGCACGACCTCGACGTCGCGCATGCCCTCCTCCACGAGCCCGCGCGTTAGGAGCGGCGCGGGCTTGCGCTTGCTTGACGGCGTCCGGACAGGCGCGCGCACAGGTAGCGACGGCGCGTATTCCGAGTCGGGGCTGAGCATCTGTGAGGGCTTGACCTCGCGCGAGAGCAGGCTCCGCCGCGCCGGGGCGGCACCGCGCGCGTACGACGTCGGGCGTGACGGCACGGCAGGAACGCCCGGAACGCCGGGGAACTGCGTCGCGAGCGCGTTCACCTCGCTCGCGGTTGTGCTTGAGCTCAGCCCGCGCTCGAACCGGCTCCGGCTCTCCCGCTGGAAGCCATGCCCTGCGTACGACTCGGGGCTCTCGAAGCTCGCGATCGTGTCCGACGGCGACGTGACGCCCGCGGACCTGAACGACGAGGGAGGCTGCCGGATGTCGGTCATGATCGCGAGCGCGCTCATTCCCGTACCCATCGCACGCGCAGCGGGTCGAGCCGCGGGAGGCGACGCGGGCTCCATATCCTCGGGGGACATCGCGAGCAGAGTGGACTCCGGGCGCGACTCGTCGTCGTACCCCCACTCGTAGCTGGCAGAGGAGACGATGGACATCCGTTGCGAGCCGAAGCTGACCGCACTGTCGCTCGGAGACCCGATCGCAATTCCGGGTGTGGGGACCGCCCAAGACTTCCGGGTGCGGCTGTCGACGGAGTTGGAGCGCACGGTCGAGCGTGAATCGCGGGCGGTGTTGGCGCGGGCGAGGAGCGTTGGGAGTGGCGGCGCGGGCATTGGCGGCTGCTGGTACACGGGGAGTCGGGTGAAAGACGCGGAGATCGCGTGCGCGTGCGCAGGGCCCTTGCCCTTCGATGTCTCGCCAGCCGGGGCCGGCCTGGGGTTTTCGAAGAGCGGCAGGGAGCGCGAGCGCAGCGGGGGGTCGCGGAACGGGTCCTGGATGAGGTCGAGGAAGTCGAGATTCGAGAACCGACGGAGCTCGAGGATCGGTAGGCGGTCCTGGCGGATGAAAACCGTGACGCGTTGTCGCGATGCCGTGTTCGGCGACAAGGGGGTCAAGCCCAGATCCTCGCCGAGGTCGACGTAGCTGCTCTCGCCGAGCGACCAAGAGCTGCGCCGGACGGAACCGAAGGACGACACGGAGTCGCGCACAGACCTGCGCGTCATCGATGGACGTGACGAAAGCTGGAACGTGAGCCGGCTTGACTTGCGTTGCGTCTGCATAAGCCCAGGCGTGTAACGCTCCTCGTCCGCCGCCGCGCTGCCCTTGCGGTCGCGACGCATCCACGACGGGTCTCCAAGCTTGATGACCGACGCGTGCTTGTCGTCGAATGGGTCCATGTGCTGCTTCTCGAAATCGTGGCCGCCGACGTGACGGAAGGTTGAGAATCGCGGGTTCTGGATCAGCGCCCGCAGCGCCGACTTGCGCTTCCGCTGCGCCTCAGACGGGCTGTAAAGCCGGAAGTCCTCGACAGTGTCCAGCCCCTTGAGAAGGCCGATGATGAGGCACCCGCGCGAGAGCATCCGGAGCAACCGTCGCGTCAAAGCCACCGCGAAGCCGCCCTGCGCGAAGCCGATCACGGTCTCGATGGCGCCGAGCTTGGTGCCCACGACGAGCCAGCCGAGCCCGCGGAACAGCGTCGTCTTCTCCTCCGATGTCTTCTCGCGGGTCTCGAGGGAGCGTTGGAAGGATAGTGCGCTGAGGAGGCGGTAAAAGGCGATGACAAAGTTGATGGCCTGGTATGCGGCGAGGAGAACGAGGGTAACGCTGCTCATAAACATTTCTGTTTCCCCGCTGGAGAATCCGACCCCGAGAGCGAGGGGTTGGCCGTTGGTGCCGCCAAAGCTTTCTGTGAGATGTCAATCAACTGCAGCCGTGAAAAGAGTCGAGACGCACGGTAGGTGATGCCGATGAAGGAGCCGAGCTCGTTCATGATGAGGATGAGGGGTATGAAAGCCAGGAGCACGTATTTGGCGAGGCTCTGAAATCTTGCCGGCAGCGAGGGTATGAGCTGACCCGCAGAGAGGAGGTATAGGGAGAATGTGTAGAGGAAGAGAGGGAGGAGGGAGGCAACGCCTGTATAATGCGCATTAAATCCGCCGATCAGTGCATATATGCGCCGGGAAACGCACCGATAATGATGTCGAGGGCCTTGAAAGACTCCAGAGACGTCCCAATGTTAGGAATGGCGTGGGTGAGGAGATCGAGGATGGCTAGCAGGAAGTAGACGAACACTTCCGACGAAAGCAGGACATTTTTCCTGCAGTTGAACACCGGTTAGCATCGAGGCCAAATACCCATGACATGCACATAGTGCATGGGTCGAATAGCGGGGTAAGTCCGCGGGTTCCATACAGCAACCAAGCGCATAGCGCATAGATGCTCATAGTGCATACGCCGAGGTGATAGTCGACGCTATGCACTAAAGGCAGTCTATTTGTGTTTCATGCAAGGAGTAGCGGGGTGTAGATGATTCAGTGGACGACAGAGCAGGTGGAAAGGCCTGGGTACTGCGGAGGCGCGCAGCGAAGCTTGGTGGCGACCCCGCACTTGCCGGCACTCACCACCACCCACCACCACCTCCTCCTCATCTTATCCACCTCATTATCCTCGCCTATGTCCTCCGTGATCTCCATCGTTCCCCTGTCCCATCTTCTCTCTGCCCAAAGTTCCCGCATTCCAACACCTGCCCAGACATCCAGAGAAAGAAGGACTCACTTGTCCGCAGATCCCCGTCCCAACAACAAAACGATAGCGAAGATGATCTCGAGACCAGGCGGAAGAAGAAAAATACCAGCTTCGAGCCTAGTGAGGGACTGACAGCGGAGGATGGGGGCGACGGATAGACAGATTTCGCCCATTGACGTCGGTGGGCCTAGTCGCGGATGGCAATGCGCATGTCAAGACCAGCAGACAGAAAAGAACGGAATGCAGACTGGCTGCGAGGAGGAGGGGGTGAAGGGGGTGCGCCTGCACCGGGAGAAGGAAAGGAGTGATGGTCGTAGGAGGAGAGCGTGAGCGGTCCCTGCGCGGGCGAGGGTGCGAAGACCGCGGTGTGCTCGAGACCCAATATCCTCGACTTGCCGGTGGGATGATGGGAACGGAACGTGCGAACAGACAACTGCAGCAGACGATGGCAACAGGGCCAGGGCTGTACTTGCTCCGCGCTCTCGGTCGTCCTGGCAGCGCCGTCCGCGCGCCCGCACCCCGCTGCGCCTCGGCGCGGAAACCTTGCAATTATCCTCGTCCTCGCTCCCCGTATCCATCACCACGCGCCGGTCGACGTGGACGTTCCATTCGACGACGGCGAGCCCAGTCACTCAGTGTTGTGCTCGACGTCGGGACGGCCGGCCGGAATCGGGTGTCCAGCGACGATGGGATGATGCGCCTTCTGACGAGATCACAAGTAGCGCTCTGCTCGCGCATGCCAAGGTCCCCATCCGGTCGCCGGTTTGCATCATGCGGGCATACCAGCATCTTCCACATCTCTGACGGACCTCTACATGGGTGAGTGGTGCAAGTTTGCGACTGCGTGATCATCTAGCTGACCCCTTGAACGTGATGGCAGTCATTTCGCAGTGCGAATTTGACCGCCCGCGTCCACGATATCAAACATATGTACGTGACTGACATGTCTGCACTTGGCCATTTGTGTACTGGAGCAGCTGAATATAACTCTTGTACCCCGTTTGCGTTTTCGAGGCTCTAGTCTCATTGGAGCACGACTCGTCACTGGCGACGAGTCTCACAATCAAGACATCTCATAGAGACGTATGAACCATCGATATGTGCATACATGTGCGCATATGCGAAAATCCATGTGGGCTGAATGTCGGAGGTATGTTTCATCCGCCCGCCACCGCCACAACGTCTGAGGTCGATACAGATGCTCACCTACGTCGTTGGCTAGCATGACGTTGCGACAAACCCGGCGGTCGGCTGTATATGAATCTGTCAAAAAGATCATGCTCTCCACAGGCCTATTTTGCGACAACCGTAACCAAACCGTAACTCCGCGCCCGCGTGCCTGCCGTGGTGACAAGATGGCCGCGGGAAAAGACACGGACACACAGCACAGTCCGGAGACGAACCTCGATCACGATTTGGGTCGCAGAAGCTCAAGGTAGGTGTTCCTGACAAACGAGCAGAGACGTATGTAATGCTGGGAGCGCGTCTCCATGCGACAACGACGATTCCGCCGTACCCATCTCTCTGCACCTCTCATGCGAGCCAACACGAATGACCACCCAATCGGACTCCTCGAGATGCAGCACAGATTCCAGTCGAAATCTCCGTCAGCAAGCTCACTAATCCTCGTGTTGATTCAAAATCGGGAAGGAGATTCCAAGTTTGGCGCTAATCTTGAAACACGACCCGACCGAACCCGACCCTCAATCGCCCTGTCGGCGAGCGAAAATTGGCACCCAGTGCGGATACATTCGAGAGCATGATCGATCTTCTGCTTTTTGTATTCCCATTCGCCACGTTTGCGTCATAGTCGGGAGAGGCATTACTCTTGCCAATACGATCGGCTTCGACGCTGAGGTGCGCATAAAGTTTCGGCCAAGGGACTGTAACCTGACGTCATGCGCAGAAAAACCACTTCTGATACATCTTGCAGGAAGCACTCGCGTCCACCAGGCATGCTGAGGCCGCGAATTGGTCGGAAACGTGGCTAACTGGCGGCTTAGGTGCATATTTGCCTATCCATGGACGCTTCTAGACACCGAGCACCGTTCGCTCACTAGGTTCCCAGTATCATACTCGCTCGCAATTTACACCATTGGGAACAGCGTCGAGCATATCGAGCATGATCTCTCGCATGCTTTTAGGCTGCGAAAGCTATAAAGGCCACCGTCTCCTCCCCTCGAACTCAGCACCCCGGATCTCAAACCTCCAAGCATCACCTCTACACCTAATCTTCTCGCCATGTTCTCTAAGCTCTTCATTGCCTCCGCCGCTCTCTTCGCCGTCCTCGCCAACGCGAGCCCCGTCCCCGACGAGGTCGGTCCTGCCGGCCAGTGCAACACAGGCTCAGTCAAGTGCTGCGACACCGTCGGGCCCGCCAAATCGGTGCTGCCCCAGCAGCAGCTCGACGGCCTGCTCGGCGTCGTGATCCAGGACCTCAACGTCATCGTCGGTGTTAGCTGCATCCCGATCAGCGTAATCGGCGTCGGGGCTGGTAACACCTGGTGAGTGTGCAACAGTGCACCGCGCGACGAGCTGCATGTTGACATCGTCCGACAGCTCCGCCAAGCCGGTGTGCTGCGAGAGCACCGCTGACAGTGAGCTTGCGTGCTCTAGCCTCGGCTTTGAGCTCGAAGCACTGACGATCCTGGTCATTTACAGACGGTCTCATCAACATTGGCTGCCTCCCCATCACCCTCTAAACGAGCGGCTGAGGCACGCGTTATACCCAAATTCGAGCGTCTTATCAAATCGTTCTTTTCTGTCATATACATACACTGTGCATTGTGGGGGTTAACAGCAGGCGAGGCGGAGGTCGAGTGCACCGGCGTCGGCGAGATATTATTCTTTCCATAATGTACAGAGTCCCATTCAAACACGTATATTTTCCGAATTACTCGCATCCCAGTATTGAAAGTTTGAATGGATGGAACTGGTCGAACTTAAGACAGAGTCCTCCAGGCCCGCAATTAGACGCCCAATGGACACGCAGGAGCGCTGGCCAAATTGCTTTGACTTCGTGAGCGGCGAAAGGCAGCGAATTTGATTTAAGTCCTCAGTCGGCCACCACCAGCTCCCTTTCAACAAACTTTGGCTTGTCACCCTGCAGCGGCTACAGGGACACCCCCTGGTCTCTACCGTGCCCTTGTTCCCACAACTTACAAAGTCGGCGGGGGAAATATGTGCTTCGGACCCGCTTACTCACTCTGCATGGGCGGCGAAGCTTGCACGGCCCCACTCTGCACGCCGATAGCACTCAACGTTACCAAGATCGCCCCCTACAGGTTCTAGCGCTGCTGCCAGCATGTGCGATATGTGCGATCGGGAATTGTCCCCGGCCAGCTGCCTGTGACTTCGACCAGGGGGGGAAAGGTATAAATACCCGTGCAGAATGCCCTGCTGAGGACTCACATCCTCTCACCCCCTTCCCAGACCACCCCGAGCCAGCCATGTCCAAGTTCTGGGCCCCCGCTCCGGCTCCCCCCACCCGCCTGGGCAACTACCGTCAGCTCTCCCCGCTCGCCGGCATCCACGTCTCGCCGCTCTGTCTGGGCGCGATGAGCATCGGTGACAAGTGGGAAAAGTTCGCGTTCGGGGCGATGGACAAGGCGTCGAGCTTCAAGCTGCTCGACGCGTTCTACGACAGGGGCGGCAACTTCATCGACACCGCGAACGCGTACCAAGACGAGTCTTCGGAGGAGTTCATCGGGGAGTGGATGGAGCAGCGTGGCATCCGCGACCAGATGGTCATTGCGACGAAGGTGAGTGCGCTGCGAACACACCGGCACCCCGTCTCCACCCGTTTCTTCGGTGCAGGCATTCGGCGGACGTCTTGTGACCACATGTTCCCATGTGTCCAACGTTCGTCAGAGATTAATGCTGCCGACATCGTCCACTATCATATCTATCCGATCAGCCCGCTGACACACATGTACTCTGCAGTACACGACCAACTACAAACGCGGGGACGATACCATCCCACAGAAAGCCAACTATATTGGCAACAACATCAAGTCCATGGCGCTCTCCCTCGAGGCGTCCCTCAAGAAGCTCCGGACTAACTACGTCGACATCCTCTACCTCCACTGGTGGGACTGGACCACCTCGGTCGAGGAGGTCATGAACGGACTCCACAACCTTGTCGTGTCTGGGAAGGTCCTCTACCTTGTGAGTCCGTTCCCGCATTCCCTGGGCGCATATAATGACCCTCTTGTGCCCGCAGGGAATATCTGACACCCCGGCGTGGATCGTCGCGAAGGCGAACCAGTACGCACGCCTTACAGGCAAGACCCCTTTCGTCATCTACCAAGGCGCGTGGAGCATCCTCCAGCGTGACTTCGAGCGCGATATCATCCCCATGGCGCTCTCGGAGGGCCTCGCGCTCGCCCCATGGAACGTCCTCCAGGCAGGGCGCATCCGGTCGGACGAGGAAGAGGAGAAGCGACGCGAGACCGGCGAGAAAGGTACGCGTCTCCCGCGCGCAGCGGTCGCCGACCACGCTGATGTGCGCCTCTTCGTTGCAGGACGCATGTCCAGCCGCCCCGACTGGGAGCGTACCGCGGACGAACGCAAGGTCTGCCTGGCGCTCGAGGAGGTCGCGAAGCAGGTCGGGGTCAAGTCGGTGCAGGCGGTTGCGATCGCGTACGTGATGCAAAAGGTGCCGTACGTGTTCCCGATCATCGGCGGACGCAAGGTCGAGCACCTCGACGCCAACCTGGAGGCGCTCGACGTCGCGCTCAGCGAGGAGCAGATCAAGTACCTCGAGGGCGTCCTGCCGTTCGACAAGGGCTTCCCGCACAACTTTGTGGTGAGTCTGATCTGCTCCTCCCGGGCGGGCGCGGCTGACGTGGCGTGTGTCACAGGGTGACGGCGAGTCGTACATCGTGCTCATGAAGAACGCGGCTCAGTTCGAGAAGTGGCCGCGCCAACAGGCCATCCGTCCAAGCAAGAACTGAGACATTGGACCGGGTATATCAATGTAGCATACATTCACCTGTACCACCAGGAACCAAACCAGATCTGGAAGAATCGGTCGTATCTGCTCGTGTATCTGCAGAGGAGCCAGCTAGAGGACATGACCTCTACGGAAACATCGGAATCCCCGTCCGATACCAACGGGAGTCTAGCGCGTGCGTCGGATAAGCTCCGCCACCTTGCGCACACTCTCGTGCACCGCGAGGGTCTCGGCGTCGAACTCCTGCGCGGACACGCCTGGGAAGGGCGGGACGTCGACCTCGCAGAGCGTGTCGTCCGGCGGGAGCGTGTTGTCCGCGAAGTACGCGCGCATGTGTCGGACCGTGCACGCCGACGGCAAGGCGAGCGAGCAGTGCTGTGCGCGATCGGATGAGCATATGCGCGTCCGAACGGGGACCCATGTAAAGGAGGACACACCCCAGGTCCGTTCTGGACGACCATCCCCGCGTTCTTGCCCATGCGTTTGCGCACTGCGCGCCCGTTCGCGAGCGAGGTGTCCGGGTCGAGCTGCGCATCCCCGCATTAACATCCAAGATCTAGAGTCGCTCCCCTAGTGGACAGGACACGCACCGTGTTGCTCACGATCAAGATCGGCGCGCGGAGCGTCGCGTTCCACGGGCCCGCGAAGCGCTCCGGAGGTGCAACCGGCCAGAACTCGCACCCGTTGTCGGGCTCGTGGGTGACGATCGCGAACGCGAAGCGCGAGATCCGGGACGCGGCGAGCAGTGCGTCTACGACGGCCTCCGCGGGCGGCGGCGCGAAGGGCGCGACGTCGTTGCAGGTCACCGCGGAGCGCTGGAGGTCGGCCGAGCCGGAGACCGCGACCGCGTCCAGGATGGCGGAGGCGTCGCCGGCGAGCGCGGCGGCGAGCGAGGAGGCGGCGGTGGGCCAGGAGAGCGGGCTGCAGAGCATGTCGAGCTGGAAGTCTGCCGAGATGGTGGGCGAGTGAGCGTGTGTGAGGAGGGGGGAGAGGCGAGGCTTACAGCGGACGCGACCTTGGGTGAGGATGCCGGGGTGTGTGGCGTTGGGCACAGGAAGAGGCCGCTCCAGCAGGCCATTCACGAAGCTCTCCATGCGCGCTTTGATGTCTGCAGGGTCTTCATCTTCGGTCTTTGCTAGGGCACAGCCAGAGGGCCCAGCCTGAAGATATGTCATTAGAGGGTGTTTACCATGATGTTGGGATAATGGCTACCTTCGCACAGTCTTCAAAGAAGAGATCGTAGACGTTATCGGTCGAAGAAAGCCACCCGCCGTTGAACCATTTGTATGGCGAGTCCGCTGCGCAGTCTTTAGCAAGCGTTGGAAACAGGGGGAGTCAGCCTACTCACTCGTCCACTGCTCGGCATCAACCATTCCGTCGATAGCAATATGACCAACGCGATGGGGGAACCTAAGAACGTTTGGTCAGCATCTCGACCTTTTCGCTCATAGACCCTTACATGTTGGCGAGGTATTGACCGATGACAGTACCGTATGACCACCCGTAGAAGTTACTGCCGCTCATTATCAGTCCATGGCTTCAGCGCGATCAAAGAGCCTTGACTGACATCATCGCATCCTCTCCGTCCAAAAGGGTGGTCATGTAGTCGATGTCCCTCGCCACGGTAGTCGTGCCCATGTAACGAATGGTGTTCTCAAGGGTCTTCGTGCAGACGGCGAACTGCGTCTGGAAGAGCGCGTTCGCATCTCGCTGAGCTTCTATCAGGCGCGCACGATTGATGGGGTCACTGAAGTTCGCGCTGGTGTCGAATCCGCGCTCCAGCACCGTGTTCTGCAGAAACGCAAGACGCGACCCAGGTTCCGTGAAGCAACGCGTCTCGGGCCTTGGGTAGGGCGTCAGAATTGTGAGTCCGCGTGGGTCAGTGCGAACACGTACTCGGTCTTGCCAATGCCTCGCGGGTCGAATCCCACGATGTCGTATCCTGCGCCCACCTGAGCACAAATGTGTTAGTAAAGGCACTATGTAGGTCACAGAATCTTGCGGGCTCACGATGGATTGCATATAGGGACCTGCTCGTGTCGCCAGGCGTACGCCTGAGCCGCCCGGGCCTCCCGGATTGATGAAGAGGCTGCCCTTGCGAGTGCCGGTGGCGTTGTACCGCCCGAGGGCGATCTTTGCCACTCCTGCGCCCTCGTCGGAGTAGTCCAGAGGCACACTGCCGCGCGAATCAGTAAGAGTGTCAGCGCTTTCCTTGCACGATCGGTGCGAGTCACCCACATCGCGTATCCACACTCGGCTCCGGGCACGGCGTGCTCGTCGGCACCGCACGGGCCCCATGCCACGTCGCCTACACGCGCGCCGACGAGCTCGTCAAGTCGACCGTGGTCGGACGGGCCGCCCTGGGACGGCGCAGAGTCGGGGTAGAAGAGCTCTGCGCCGCGCTCCCAGCCCTTGCGGGCGAGCTGGTCGACGTCGAAGATGGTGCAGGCGGTGAGCGCGAGCGCGACGAGGGCATACAGGAGGACGTTGCGGCGGCCGGGGGTCGCTGACTCTCGCGAGGCAACGTTGTCCTCAGCACGCTCCGCGGCGGCCCATCGGGGTGCGAGCTGCTTCTCGTTGTGCTCCATCTGTCTCTTCCTAGTAGATGAGCTCGATATATGCGATATACGCGCAAATGCTGTGGACTCACCCGAGCTGCTTCAATGAATGGCCACACGGACACGCGTCGAGGACGCGTACGCAGGCGCGAAGAAATCTCCCTACGCGCAGCATTAGTGAGCTGAAAGCACGGTGAATGCGTGTCGAGAACACGGATGCACGTACGTCGACGACTTCGTGGTGACGGTTAGAAGAGAAGGGGGTCATTTATGACTCACGGCGCTCAACCAGTGAACCCGTGTAGTGTTGCGATAGCTCGGCTCGGCTCGGCTGGCTGCGCCAGCCGGGTCATTTGGCTGTCAGCCGGGCTGGGAAAATCGGCTCAGAACGAGCCTCCCACGAGGGGAGAGCTTGACGCCAGCAGCCAGAATGGACTGATGGCTGAGCCGCTGGAAGAGCCGGTCTTGGGCGCCTCCTCCCAAGACGGAGGACCGGCTCTTCCAGAATATTTCCAGCTCGCTCGCTGGGCGCCCAGAGAAGGGGATTTATGCGAACTCTCTTATATGTTCCTGCATGACGCAAGCGTAGGATTGGCAACGAAAATATATTTATTAGTACACTACTACATAGTGGCAACAGCGGGGCAGGTGGAAGCGGAGGGCCAAGACAAAATAGGAGGCAAGGCAGCTGACCACAGCAGGTAGAGCACAATGTGCTTGCCCGATGGCGCGCAGCGCGCACAAGATCGGAGGAGGGCGACGTAGAGGGGGCGAGGCAGAGGGCCGGGATGGGGCAGCGGGGCAGTGGGACGCGGTGCTCCGCCCGCGCGGGTAGCATGTGCTCGCGCAAATGAGCGGGACGCGCGCAAGAGCGGAGGAGGGCAAGACGAAGGAGAGCGGGGTGGAGGCAGAGGGTGAGGAGAGGACGCCGTGCCGAGCCCGCGCGAGTTGGATGTGCGCGCAGAGCAGGACGTGCGCCAGAGCAGAGGAGGGCGAGGTAGAGGGCGGCACATACTCCGGAGGGCCGCGACGAGGTGGAGGAGGCGGAGTGTGATGCCGAGGGCCGCAACGTGGCGGAGGAGGGCGACGCGGAGGCAGAGGTGGGCGACACGAGATGGAGGACCCAGAGGAGGAGGAGGGTATGTGGGCAACGTAAACGCGGGGGACCCAGAGGCCGGGGATGCGGATGCGGAGGACGGCAACAGGGAGGGCTCGCGAGAGGACCCAGAGGGCCGGAATGAGGCGGACAAGATGGTGGGTGAGGCGAAGGCGGGCCACGCGAAGGTAGGCGATACAGATGGAGGGTAACACAGAGGTGTGCAGAGGCGGACGACGCGGAGGCGAAGGAGGGAGGATGCGGGCAGCGCGCAGGTGGGCGACGTGCAGGCGCAGGTGGGCGACACGCAGGCGTAGGTGGGCGACACGCAGGTGAGCAACGCGCAGGAGGTGGGATACGCACAGGCGAACGACGCGCGCGAAGGAAGGCGACGCGAATGAGAGGGTCGAGGGCGGGGGCAGCGTGGATGGGTGAAGCAGGAGGGAGTGCAGGAGGGGACTCACCATAACAAGGGCCGCGGTACATCGCCGCGGCCTCCATACCCGAATTTCCATATGGAAGTCCTCATACAATGTGGATGCGGCCGGTGAACCGTGAAGGACGGCATCAAGGTCGAGGTCGAGGACGGAGGCGGAGGGGAGTGACATTGAGCTAACCATTAAATTGTTAATAGTTGTGGTGTTATAAGTCGTAGCTTGTGTAAGTAACTTGTAGTTATCAAGCACCCCGCTTGATCGGACTCGACGTCAGATCTGAGATCTGAGACTCGACTCGAGTTTTGCCTGCAATATGGGTGTTTGGTCGACTTTGTCCAATCGTCCTCCTGACAATCTTAAAACATTCTGTGCATCGTGGGCACATATAAAATGCAGTCCTATCGTCCTCCTGTTGCTCTGTTCCACTACAAAGCATGAATATTTGTTGTGCGGCCAGCGCCAATTGAAAAAGGCGGCTCATGGATGGCTTGGGCGGCTTGGCCTCGGCTTTGGTAATAACAGCCGAAATCGCAGCCGTGGCTCGAGTTTTGGCTTTCTCGGAGCCGTCCTGAGCCGAGCCGAGCCGAGCCAAGCCGAGCCATCGCAACACTAAACCCGTGAGCGCTTGAGCGTTCAACATTAACTCAACGTTCGACGCCCGTGTGGCGCAACAACTTCAATAAGTCTGAGCCTGCGTCGGCAAATGCTGCAAAGCGTTCAAGACATATCTCCACTGCGCACTGTCCAAGGTACTAGGCGTTTACCGGATGTGCAAAAAGGATTTTGCAGAAGCTGTATTTTGTCCGTCCCGCTCCCGATCCCTCTCGGATTTTGTATACAGTTTTGAAGTCATGTCAGGTACCTTCTGTATTTTTTTCAGAGTGAACAGAGGAGAAGTACAGGAGAGCGAGAGGGGCACAGTTGTGCAAAGGCCGTTGTCACGAAACGTCACGCCGGCAATGACGAAGCGCCCTGTACGCGCACGTAGACAGTGATGCAAAACTCACGCTGCCAGCTTTGAGCCGACCGAGCGCTAATGGCGGATCGTCACGCTCAGAACGTTTGGACGTTGTGAACGCTGTAATATTTGGGCGTTGACCTCAGAAGTGTACAATTACACTCTGGTGGTATGTTAAATGAAGATCCCAAAGTTTCACGAGGATCGCCCAAGATGTGGATGAACGCGCGCGTCCACACCGGTTTTGAGGCGGGCAGAAATGCACGCTTTCTCCGTTCCTTAACGCCCTCCCATCCCCTTCCCCTGAAAATTTTCACACGTTCTTCAATGTATCTTAAAAGATTACTCTGGATTTTACGATATTTATTGTACAGGAGGGACGGCCACAATCACGATTTTGCACTTCTCTCACGTTTTGCACTACCGGTAAACGCCTAGTACTCTGCTATCGTGCGGCGCATACTACCATCCTTGAAGCCGCCCCTGCCTCCAGGCGCCAAAAAGATACGAATCGGCAGCATCGCATTGAGGGGATATATACAATACATGGGGTAGACCAAATTGACGAAAGGACGTAGACAGCTCGTTGCGTCGTGCATTTCCATTCGTGCTATGACGAAAACCGTTCCAAATAATCACACAGCATCTAGCGTACACCGAGCCTCGGCTCAAAGGTCGAGCAGGGCGATCCGAGGCAGAATCCAATCTTGCGTCTAGAAGTCCCCAAGGTCGATCTCCACGGTCTGGAGGATGCTGGCTTCGAAGCTCATGCCGTTTCTCCTGGGCGGAGGGGCATCGCGCGCAGGAGTTCCAGAGGGAGACCCTGTGGCGGGTGTACCTTCCTTGGCCGGGGTACCAGGAGTGTTGCCCCTGTGGAGCGTAGCGGAAAGAGGACCGGGGGGCAGACAAGAAGGAAGCCACAAGCAAAGGAGGGGGATAAAAAGGAAGCATAGACGCGAAGACCAGAGCCATATGTGGGGGAACGTGAAAATGGTCCAATCAACGAACTGCAACATGGCATCATCGCCCGAGGAGAGGAACAACACCGACCTGGATGCCTCCGCTTCCTTTTTAGCCTTGAGACGGGCCACGGCGGCGCTAGACCGCTGTCGCTTCCGCTCAGCCTCCGCACGCTCGGCCTGGCGGATCTGGGCGAGGTTGAGCTGCCGATTGCGCTCGTTCAGCTTCGTGAGTTTGTCTGCGGAGCCTTCTGCTTCCTGTTCGCGCTGAGGCGTCTTTGCGGCAAGCTCTGCTAGCTTGATGTCAAGCTCCGCAACCTCGGTCGCGTCGTTCCGTCTGATAGCCAGGGTGCGTGCGTGCTGAAGACGAGAGCGTTCAAAGAAATTGTTGCCGGTAGCACCAGTCCTTCCTACGTCCAACGCCTGCTTGCGTGCCAGCATGGCTGCAACGTCGCTCTAAGTGCGGGTTAGCAACACGCGTCACGACGCCATCTAGGTGCCAAACCTCAGTCATTGGTTGCGTAGAAAACTTGAGCAGTTGCTCTTGCTTCTTCTCAAGCTGTCGCTTAGTGGGCAGCTTGACCTTGTCATGTTCGTAAGTCCGTGCCAAGTGATCAAACTCGGACTGGGGCAACCATGAGATCAATGATCTGACGACAGTAAATATGCAACATGCCTGCTGGAACGGACTGTTCGACATCTTGTCCATCGGGAAAAAGCGCGACGTCGCGCCGTGCTTGAGCTCCATGACCTGGTTCACCATCTGTTTGTTGACTTGGTACGGCTTAACAGGCTTCTCGCCCTGCAAGTCGGAAAGACCTAAAAGGCATCAGTCTCGGAAATGCTCAGCACAGAGAGAATACTGACCTTGCACCTCGCAAAGTCGGTATGTGGGTTCGCCACCGGCAACAGGGGGAGTGAGGAAGCGCACCCAACCACCCTTGACAAACTCTTCGAACCATGGTGCCCAGCAAAACTTCGCAATCATGTCGCGACTGATCCAGGCCAAGTTGAGGTCGTCGAGGGTGATCGGCCCGTCGTCCTCCGGAGCATCCTTCCCGAACAGCCTACGGTCTCGCTCTTCTTCCAGATCCGTCTTGGTGATCTGACCGTCTTCGTCCTCGCCGTCCGATGTCTCCATGTCCATAGGGGATGAGGAGCGGTCACGCTTTGGCGAGTTTGTCCTCGTCTGCTCTTGTGAGGAAGATTTCGCGCGCAAATGGAAAAGGGAGACGTACACGCTTCTTCTCGTCCTTTGCCCTCCGCTTCGCCTTCAACTCATCTAGCTTCTTCGACTTTTCCTTCGTGGCGCCCCTTGCACCATGCGGCCCTATGAGTGCATCTTAAGTTGAGAGCGAATGCAGAGGCGCATAAAGATACGTACGCTTTGCAGCCTTGGACACACCCTCATCAGAGCTAACACCGCGTCCATTCTGTTGTTGGAGCATCTTCTCGAGGGCTTGCTTGTCCTTCGAACGCTGCATCTCCTCTTGCCGCTGAGCGAGGATCGCCTCGCGCTCGATCTCAGGCAGTTCCATCAAACTGTACCAGGTATATTAGCATGCAGGAGCGCAAGAGAACAATACGAGTCACTCACTGCGCACGGTCGGCCTCGTCGACATATCGGTTGTCGAGAGGGTAAGGGTTCGAGCTGCTCATCTCGTCTTCACTTTCGGCGTTGGACTGTTCAGACTCCCCGTCTTCGTTCATGCTTCTATATATGCCCGACCACAAATAGTTGACCACAGATGAAGAAACAACAGGTATGGTGTAAGAAGCTGTGGCCACGAATGTGGAGACAAGCACCACAAGTGGCAAAAGGGACGTACTCGGCCTTGCGTCGTTTGGAGGACGACGCGCCTTGTTGACTGCGTTTCCTTTTCTTCTCCGTGACGCCTGCAAGCACCAGCAGCTGCTCATCAAAGTCGATATCCTCTTGGTCCGACATGGTCTTCGAGTGGGATGACAGGGAGTTGGGGGGATGGAGAAGAGAAGTGGCAACGAACAATGCTCTCTCGACCACCCAACCCAATGGGCGCTACGATCCGGCAGCCTCCGGGTCTAACCGTGACAGGCAGTTTTACGAGCACGTGCGCTGTAGAGTAAGGCGCCTCATTTCTCCGCGGCATTTGCTGCCTGCTGCCTCTTTGCCATCCCAAACCCTTCCTCGTACACCTATCGGACGTAGACCAGCATGGTGGTACGCAAATCTCTTCCTATATGCAGTGTTTCTACTGACATCCTAGTTCAGAAAATATCCGTGCTACAACACGCGCCTTCAAAACATCTCCCCGCTCGTCCAGGGGACCCCACACCTACTTCTCGCAACCTCGACCCCCTGATGCATCCGTTTGCTCGCGCGCGCGAGCGCACAAGAGCTTTGAATGCCGCAAAGATGGAGCGCATGTTCGCGAAGCCGTTCGTTGCAAGCTTGGAGGGGCATGTTGACGCCGTAGAAGCGATAGTGAGGAAACCGGACACGCTGGATGTTGTCGCGAGTGGAAGCTGGGACGGAGGTACGCCATTAACCTTGCCGTTTTCTCGCGCCTTCCCTTCTCTCCGATTTTGTAACCTTGGCACATAGATCCCTGAGTGCCTTCCCATCTTGTTTTCTTGATTCCCTTGTTACCATGCTCTAACAAATTCCATCAGGTCTGATCGTCCATGACGTGTCTAGACGAACAAGGCTATTCCAGACAGACCAAGCTCACAAGGGGAAGGTGTCGGATGTATGCTTCGGGAAAGACACTCGCTTGTTGAGTTGTGGTGTTGATAGAAATATCAAACTATGGAACATGCCTTCTGGTGCGGAGGATGACGAGTCAGAAGCAGGGCCCTCACAGGTGAGTGATGCTTTTATGCGTTCGGAAACCCCCTCTGAAGCCGCCAAAGCGGAAACCTGTGAGCATCTTCCCCGGGAAGACGGCGTTCAAGTAAGTGGACGCAGTTTTTGCTTGACGGTGTCCTGACATCAAAACAGCTCTATAGACCATCACCGATACGATCCTCTATTCGCCACCGCGTCTAATATTGTTCAAGTATGGGATGAGACAAAGTACGAATCTCCTTGTATATGAATGTATATGGTGGTGATGTAGGTTTTCCATGCAGAAGTGCCGCTGTAACAAATCTCACTCCCCCAACGTCCACCGAGACCGTGACGTCTGTCAGATTCAACCTCGCCGAAGCATCAGTGCTTGCTAGCATCGGCTCAGACCGTTCCTTCGCCCTCTATGACATTCGAACAGGCAAAGCAGAACGCCGAATCATCATGCGGGTATGTGGATGTTATTTTGGGGCAGTCTTCGAAGCGAAGTTGAAGCACATTGTCCCCCTTAGATGCGTAGCAACGCGTTATCATGGTCTCCAACATTCCCCACCTCCGTCCTCCTCGCTTCCGAAGATCACAACCTTTACACCTTCGACATTCGCTCCCTCAATCAGCCCGCCCAAATATACAAGGGCCACGTTGCCGCCGTCATGACTTGTGATTGGGCACCAACTGGCCTTGAGTTTGTCAGTGGCGGCTGGGACCGCACTGTTCGCATCTGGAAGGAGGGCCGAGGCTCCGCTCCGGAGGTATACCACACAAAACGCATGCAGCGGTCCGTGTCCTTCGTCTCCGCCGACGTTCTCGTTTGGCTGACTGTCCCGATGTCGCCAGGGTGACGTCGACGCTGTATACTGGAGACGCGCGCTTCGTCCTCTCCGGCTCGGACGACGGCAACGTGCGCGTCTGGAAGGCGCACGCCTCGGACAAACTGGGCGTCATCACCGCTCGCGAGCGCGCCGCGATCGAGTACCGCGACAGCCTGAAGGCGCGCTGGAAGACGGACTCTGAGATCAACAAGATCTCGCGGTACGTGTCAAGCTCCCTTCTGTGCGTGAGTGAGAACTTGCGCTGATTTGTGTGTTTTTCGGGCAGGACGAGGCACATACCCAAGCCCGTGTACAAGGCCGCGCAACTCAAGCGAACGATGCTCGAAGCAGCGCGCGTCAAGGAGGAGCGCCGGAGGAAGCACACGCGGGCGGGCGAGCGCAAGCCCACGGCGGAAAAGAAGAAGGTCGTTATCACGGAGCAGTCGTAGACCCTTCTCGTATGTTTTCGTCCGTACTGCGGAGCATTCGTTGCCAATTTTATGGCAAGGCAGTTGGGCCCAGGCCGCTGCACTCTGTATCGTCGTCAAATCGCATGACTTTCCACCTCGGGTCTAGGCTAGACGGGCGTGATTCGACGCCGAGATTGCGTATGTTTGGACCGCCAGACTGACATCGGCTTCACACATGTCGCAAAGATTTACTGCCGTTATCTTTTCCGTTTCCTTCTGATGACCAACTGAGAGGTGCCGCATGCTCGACATACCAAACGAACGCTGGCTCGTATCGCCGGCACCGAGGTCAGTCATTCGGTCATACATATCACAGCGGCTTCCTGACGATCCCTGCTCGACAAAGATTGATAGCAACCCCTTGCTACCTAACGGACTCTCAAGCTCCGACGCGTCTGCCGTCATCGTCCCTCTCCTGACGACGCCGCCGCTGCGACGGAATCGGTGGCGCGATGGAGAGGTCTCCGAACTCGACCGGCACTGACACCACTACCCACCTCGTGGGCCTAATCCGTGAATCCTGCGCTCCCTCTGCCGGTAGCTCTGAAACGCGGCACGATAGAAATATCACGAACAGCACCCCTCAGCGCGTCGCAGTCCGCTTCTAGCACTGTGCAGGCCGCAGCGATCCAAAGCGCATCGCACCACCTCAAAAAACAAACTGGATTTGCATGCGAGCGCGAGGTTCGCGCGCGGTATCGCCCAGACACGGTCGCCGGTAGCCGACCTTCTGTCCCCGTTGTACGTGTCGGCCCGAGGCCGCCCTGGGACCGGGAAAGGAACCGTACTTGGTTCGAGAAGACACGGGAAAATATATTATAGTGCTGCACGCGCTCCGGGAGAAGCGCGCGTCCCAAGGCGCTCGATCGAACGCCGGATGCAACCTTCGCATTCAGACTCAGGACGGCGGGACGCCGGCGGCGGCGGTCGAACAGCGTAAGTATCGGGCACCCACGACGGGTCCGGAGCATCGGAGGTGCGCACAAGAATACTTGCTCCCAGCGCGCGTTCGCCGCCGCCGGTGAGTCGTAACCTTGCCCATCGCTGACGTTGTCGTTGACAGTTGTCCATGGTGGATGGACAGATTCAAGACGTCTCTGCGCCCCGATGGCGCGCTCCTAGCAAGACACCGGCTTCGCATGGCGCGGGCCGTGGGCTGACGTCAATGCGAGAGTTGCGGTGATATTCGCGCGATCTCGTGCGCCCGCGCCCAGGGTGGTCAAGGTGGCGATATCAAACACCTCGGTATGGCTCGGCGATCTACTACTGTTCGCGTAGTCAGACGAAAAGAGTCAGCCACTCCATGAACTGTCGTTTCGTGAGATGAGACAGGTGCGTTTCTCCGACAAACGGGATAGGCGAGTGGACATGAGACGGGGCGGAGGGAGCTATGTACGTGTTACAGGTGAGGGAGGGCATACAAGGGCAGTGGTGGGGAGATGATCTACAGGAATAGTCTAACAACAGGGAGAAAGGGATACCTCTAAGTTGATACACAAAAAATACCAAGAATAAATAATCCTTAATCGGGAGCCAACGCGAGCAAGGGATAGGCGGAGATAGAGGTGTTTAGAAACAAGAATGGTGGCAGGGTAAACGTGGGATCCCCAAGAGGAGTGGATTTCAGTCGGAGGTGGTTTCAAGAGAGCGTAATAACAGCGCAGAGCGCTTGGAGAAGAATCGGATGACCACTCAGACTAAATCTAGCGCATGGAGTCTTGCGTGAGAGGGACAGAAAGGTTTACGACCTATGGTCTCGCCATGGCGAGATGCCAGTGGGGCGTGTTTTGCAAAAGACGAATCGTCCGGAACCCAACGACCGAGCTTCGTAAGAAACTATGAATGAGCACCAGCCGCGACCGCACGAGTGAAAGAACCCACCAACTGAACCGCACAGGCACGCGCGCTCAGACGCGTCCCTCGAGCGGTCTCACCGGGGCGTCCTTCCCCGGCGAGACGTCGACACCGAAGATGACGGCGGCGCCAGCGAGCGCGGCGGCGAGCGGCGCAAACGCAAACGCCTGCAGAGACAGCGGGATCCGCGATCAGCCCCGCGAAGCACGCACGCACACACGAAAAGGCACTCACCGATCCCGGCCCGGAGCGAGCACCGCCGCGGCCGTACGGCCGCAGGCGCGAGGGCCCGTCGAAGACCTCCGTGGGCGGGAGAGGGGCGGGGAGCGGCCGCCGGGGGCCTTCGGGGCGCGGCGCGCGGAAGGCGACGAAGGACATTGCGCGAGCGCGGGGGCGCGCGGGGCCGTCGAAGAGCGTCGCTGGGGGAGGGGGCGTGGCGCGGGTCGGCGGGGCGAGGCGGGGCGGGGGACGGTGCGGCGGGCGATGGTAGAGAACGCGGCGCGGGCGAGGAGCTTGCTCGACTCGCCGAGGCGGGCGGGGGCGTCGAAGATGTCAAAGATCGGGAGTGGGACGTCGTCCATGGGCGGGGCGAGGGCTGCGGTGGAGAGGAGGTGTCGCGAGACTGTAGGGGGCCGCACGGCGATGGCGAAGGCCGGGCGGGAGGCAGGGAGGGCGGAGCGCAGTGGTTGAAACATGGCGGTGGGGATGTGGGTGGTTGTGAGGCCGAGGGTTGAGCCTGGCCTACAGAGGAGTGGGTTGGGGGATGTGGGGGGTTGATCAAGCAGACGGGGGGACGTGGGCTGTCCGGGCGGGGTTTAAGTACATAGTGCATGGACGCAGACCTACCTCGGATGGATAACAAGCAGGAGAGGGTCCCAGGATGTGAAGGCATGATTGCATATCTTGGAGGCGCGTCTTGCTTCCCGGAGATGATGCGGAGTTACGGGAGCGGGGAGAGAAATTGTCGCCTAGGGCGTTCAAGAAACTAAGCGAGGAGACCATGCCCAAGTATGACTACTTCGCTTCAGGTCCGTGCGTCTCGGATCGAAGCACGTTTGTGGGAGGGGTTTTGATCGTTAGCAGGCGCATCAGCGATTGTGCGCTGTGTGCAGTGTATATTACGACCTCGATATCGTGAGATGTTTACGCAGTCGCGGTAGAGAGCGCTTCATTGTGTTAAACACCAGCAGCCGCTCAAACCCCACCAAGGTAGAGGGCCGCGGACAGTAAAAGTCCCAGATCTAAAATTGGTGACGCAAGGGCGACAGGTGAAGCGTCCCGAGTAAGCACAGGGTCATGGCAGAGAAAGGCAGGGAAAGCGGGCTTCTCACCAGTGTCGCAACCCCGGTGTTCGCCGAAGAGGGCTTATGTACGAAACCCGTCAATGCGGCTGGAAGACCATGCTAACAAAAAAGACATGGTAGCTGCGTGCGAGTCACGCTTCCTTGGTGAGAGCCGGATTAGACACCCGAACCGCCCACTGCAGAGTGCCCAGGCGGGTCGCGAGAATGCCTCTCACGCTGTTGAGTTCAACCTGCTGAGAGTCAGTGTAGACCTTGGCTTGACATGCTCTGTCGAACAGGAAATCTATAGACATGATCAGCTGAGCGAACATGCAGCGGTGCTTATGCGGCGATGTTCTTGCGGAGAATAGCTTGCGTGGAGGGCATGTCGACCATCGGGGGTATCTCTACGGCGGAGGAATGCCGCTCTGGACGCCGCTTTCAGTCTTTAGAGGCGAACAGAATCATATCCGGTATGTTATGGTTCCGGAGGATACGTAATCTGTAGTTCCATCCATTAGACGGGCTGAAGGTGGAAGAGGAGAGGCAAAAGAAGCATACCAGCGCTCCCACCGAGCAAGACGCCCGGGAGTCGACACCGCATAAATAGCGGCGCATTTTATGCTGTGAAAGCCCTGCCGGGCCCCCGGTGATGCGGGCGCCGGGCGCATTGCCTCGCTGCTTTGAAGGGTGGGTTCGATGTAGCAGTTACCCGGCGGAGACGTCCATCGCATCAACCCAATGATAGGAGGAAAGCGGAAAGAATGGACTCGTGGAACCCACGTTAGATGGCATGAGGTAGATCCAGTGCATTGACGTATTGCCCCTGCGAATGAACGTGGCGACTGCGCGCACATATGGGCGATAGTGCGCGTCAAGGATAGCAGCTCCTGATGCTGTCGGCTGACTGGAGCGCGGGGCCCAGCAGGAGCAGCGCCAAATCCCAAGAATCAGTGACATCGTAGCTGGGCGAGAGACTCTCACCCGAAGCTTCTTGGGTGCGCCAAGCGCTTTATTTCCTCGCGTTTCCCATTCTATGCAATGCCGGCAAGAAACGTGGACCGTCGGAGATGAATGGGGCCTGGGGGCAATGTTCAGGAGCTCACTGAACAGTAGCGACTCAGATGACGAACTCACCGATCCACCGGCAACCTAACGGCTAGAGCATGAGCTGTGCAGATTGTTTAAGCATACCTGTACGGTCATATCGGGAGTCATGTTGATGTCATAAGAGTCGGGTTGTTTGAAGGATTTCGGCTCTACTCTCAGAAGACGACTTTGTTGCTGTGGCCAGTGGGCATGCGACAGCAAATGCCAAACATTGGAGTTAGAGACAGTTTTTTGTATGGAACTACTTGGCATGCCTTAGTGTTTGTTCGAATTTCGATCGGAGAGGGTGTACGATGTCAACGTTTCGGCCTCGCTGTAGTGCGAACCAACGCCAGGGGTCTCGGCGAAGACCCCCCGACACTCGATTTCTTTCGAGCGGGATGCAACGCTCGCGGCTCTCCTCTGTTCTCCTCCCTCTTCAAACGCCTTTTCCTTCTCCTATCCACCCCCAGAACGAATAAGAGCGCCAAGACGTGGAGATATTAGCGGAAGTCCATGTACAAGTCACAACGCGAGACAATGAGCTGAGTCTTCGTGATGTTTTGTCGTCCACCCTCCGCATGCACGACCGCGTCGTCATGTCAGGCTGTATGCATTGCTTTTATTCATGTGCAAGCACGAAAAGAAGGCTGTACGCCCCCTTGCCCACCGGGGCCAGCCTGCGCTGGAGCTCCCACAAGCACCGCGGGCGTTCCGTCTTCAAGCGCTGCCTCGTTGCGTCCGGGCCCCATTCCGGGCCTCGGGAGACCGTCCCAGCTCATCTCCGGTGCCTCATGCCGAACGCGTGCCCTCCCTCGCCCTCTCGTGCTTCGCAGCATTGCGCGTGCATGTTCTGCGTGGAACCATGCCTGGCGGCAAACTTTTATATAGCCTCCTTGCCGTTCACCGGAGGATGAGCGATTCGTTCCACCATCTGCGACAACCCCCACTCCGTTTTTTTTCCGCTTTTCCTCCCTCCCCCCCTCCTCTCCATCATGGGTGCAGGCAACTACGACATTCCCCGTAGCCCCGTCGAGGTCAACGCACAAGAGCGCAATGCTCTTCCGCAATACGGCTTCGGCTCCGAGGTCAGCTTCGATCCGCTTGTCGACAGCAACCCCTTCCTCTTCCGTCTGCACACACCCAAGGAGCCCTCCCCATTCTATGATGCCACGGAGCCTTACTTCGTTGCTCAAGCCTTCGCCGACGACGTCTCGGAGTCTGCTTTCCGCTCCACCAAGATCTCGCCCTATCGCCCGCCCGCCTCTTACTCATACGCCGATGTCTCCCGGCACATGGACTGGACGACGCGCTCCTCATCACCCTTTGTCACAGCGTCCTTCAGCTTCGCCTGGGCGGTCTACGAGGCGACCAGACGGTATCACCACGGCATGAAGCACTCTATCGAAATCGCTGTTATCGATGCGAAGGCGTTGAGTGGGCGAGCGGTCACCGCCGCGGAGCTTCTCAGGAAGGCTACTCCGGAAGAGTGAGTCGTCGATCTTTTTGCTCGCGTGCTGCCCCCCTCGGCGTCTTTGTGTTGACCCACCCTCATTCCAGACGTCACAAGGACCACTGGAAGTGGTATCGATACGCGCTCGAGGCCCAGGACGTGCTCATCTGGGGCTACGTTCCCGGCTCGGCCGTCCTCGCCTCGATTCCGCTCACGCAGATCCTCCCACGACTCCCGTCCTACTTCCTTGCTCCGGACCCGTCGCACATCAAGGAGACGCCCATCAGCCGCGTTGGTTGGGCATACGACCAGAAGAAGTACACCTACCGCACCTTCTGCCAAGACATGTCGGAGCACTTCCTACGCCTCCCCGTCGATCGCCGCATACGTGACACCTCGGCCGGCGCGGTGCGCCTCGCAATCGCGTTTCTCCGCCCATGGTTCCACAAAATGGCGACGGACGACTTCACGACCGCGACTGCGACCGCGTGCGTCCTCGCGCAGATGGTCTCCCGCTGGCCCGGACTTTGGTGGGCGCGGGAGCACCCCGAAACGGTGGACCTCATTCGCTGCCTGGTGCACATCGTGGGCGAGGAGGCGCGCGAGGCGCGACGGACGCAGGCGCTCGCGGACGCGGGTCGCATGCAAGACATCGTCGGCGGGCTCGAGACGCTCGCGCGGTCGTTCACACCTTCGCGGCCCCGGCACCGATCGATTTCCTCGTTCTCGATCCCGTCCGTTTCGTCGACGGCGTCGGTCGCGGACGAGGATGAGACGCTCTTCGACCGCGACTTTGTGCTCAAGGCTGGCCGCGCGGCGTCGGAACGATACCGGATGTCCATCGCGTCGGTCCTCCCGACCCCGCTTCCCACCCCGGAGGGCACACCAGCACAGCGGAAAGAGCTGGAAGATCCAGTGGAGCTCAAGCCGCGCGTCTTCTCCCCACCCCCGCCACCGGATGTCCCTGAGGCCTCTTCATCGAAGCTCCTGCCTTCTGAGAGGGCGAAGGAGAAGGCGCCTGCGCCCGCAGAGCCGATAGTGAAGACCCCAAGCGCCTCAAGCGTGCTTCTCGAGCAGGCAAGTTCCCGCCTGACATCCGCCGTCTCGTCGCTCTTCCACTCAGCGTCGTCCGCGACGGCCCCCGCGACGACCTCCGCGACCGCACCAAGACAAGGTGACGAACCCACGCTCGACTACTACGCGCGCACGGCAAGCGCGCTCCTCACGGGCTTCTTCCTCGGCACATTCCTCACGCTCTGCGTGCTCTCACCCCACCGCCGCGAGATCGCAAACCACTGGACGTGAAGCACCCTGGGAGCGGCTCTCTTGGGCCGCGTGGTGTGTCTGTTTCTTTTCCTGTTGTATTTTGGGTCTCGTCCACATCTCTATATTCTTCGCCCTGCGGTCTCGTCTTCCTTCATCACTGTACGTCCTCCCCTTCTCTCTCCCACTGTTGTTGTACTAGATACTAGAGAGCCCCTCCATTTCGGACCCGCGCCACTCACACGCGTGTCGGCACCGGTGCCGGCACGCAGCTGTGCACGCTCGTCGATCGCCTGTCCCTGCTGTGCCAGGGCTGGGGCCGGGCCTGGGGCCCGGACAACGCGATGCACACGAGCGGCGGCGGGCACGTAAATTATTGACTTCGCATTGCCCCTCCCATCCCTACCCCCCACCCCCGCGCCACCATCTTCACTCCTCACTCCGTCCCCGTACGCGCGTCGTACACCTACAACCACTATCACGCCCCGTCCTGCTTCTGCGCACTCTCGTCTGTTGTTGTAGCACTAGTCGCGGAAGACACGCACGCACGCCTCATCATGTACCATTACGCCCAATGCCAAACGAACTTGAAACGAGCTTTCCATGGCGCAGTGCAGCATCAGCCTGAGCTCGTGAGCTGCCAGCTTTTGACGAATTGTCTCGGCAAGCCCATAACATGGAGCCCGTCTTACGCCGCGCACGGACGCCGCTCAAGCGCTCAAAGCCGGTCCCTTTTCGTGCCGCCAGTGCGCGTCAATTGATGGCGCTCGCTGCCGCCGCCCGCGTTCGAGCTTGACTCTCTGTGCGGCTTTGCGTTCTACTTACCTCCCTCGGAACAACCACACGCGCCTGCGGCAACAAACTGACGAAGAAACGATCTTCTCCGATATCGAATAGAAGGAAATACACGAAGGTTCTGGCATAAACTTTCGGCGTGAAGTGAGTGCCTCCTGTGTGGACCGCGGTTTCGGAAACACGACCAGGTGCTCGTGCGCATGTTGCTGGCGAAAGCATGGAGAAAAAGGCAGTGCCGTGTCCACCGGTGCATTCGGAGCGTGCACTGCGAGGGCGGTCGGCCGCAGTGACGGTCGTCGCTGCTGTCGATCGCGCCGGTTTTTCTTCTGCATACTGAAACTTCTATTCGTCTTCCGTCGCTCCGGATATACCGTTCGCCGGCCAGTCAGTGGCTACGGGCGGGGCCATCATCGGTGTCCAGCTCGTCTGTGGCAAGCTGGACGTCCTCGGTGCGGTGGAAGGACACCACCCCGCAACACCCCGCGCTGCCCACGACCGACCCGTCGTCGGTGAACGCGACCAGCTCAGACAAGTGAGTGTCGAGGCGCCGCAGGCGGCGCGTGCGGCCGTCTCGCGTGCTCCAGTACCACCAGTGCGCGGTGGGTCTCTCGTCGTGGCGGGGCCAGAGCCACAGGCGCGTGGGTCTCTCGTCGTGGGGTTGCGGGTGCAGAGGGATGAACGCGGCGGTGGTGGAGAGCGCGGTGTCGCGCGAGGGATACATGTCCCACGTGGTGCGATGGCACGTTTTCGGTAGTCGTCTGTGGACGCCCGTGGCGGTGTTCTCGACACGGAGAGTTGGCTGGGCGAATGAGTCCGAAACGTCCGGGTCTTCGAGCAGGGCCCGGGTGCCGTCAGAGGACAGGGCTATCACCGGGGAGCCTGCGAATATCTGCGAGCAGTGATCTCCGCTCACAGCGTCGTCGGCTGTTCCGGAGATCAGGAGGTTGTTGGAGAACGTGAGCCCGAGGACACTATAATCGTCGTCCTCCGGATTAGTACAACGCAGCGCGACGCTGTGCAAGGCATCGTGGAGGACATGCGGGCCGTGGAGTTGGACGAAATGAGGACGGGACGTTTCGGTGTCCAGATCCCAAACGACAGTGAAGTCTTTATATTGGCGGTCAGATTCCCAAACGAGGATGTGAACGAGGATGTGGCGGCCTTTTGGGGACGCTGATAGGGTCCCCCCGAAAACCTTGAAGTCGTCTTTTACAGTGAGAAACAGGGTTTCAGGTAATCTGAGCCTGCGGATGTGCTTTGCAGTATCGGACTCAAAGATGTGGACATCCCCTCTATTTCCCGCCAGGACAACGACGTGTGCTTCGTCGGGCGACCAGATAGCTTTGAGAGTGTCTCCGTATCCCAAGTCTTTTCTTGCCAATATCTCAGGACGACCGTTATGATGGAGCAGGCCAGGAAGCTTGAATATGTTTAGCTGACCCGAGGGGGCGTGCATCAAACGGGTGCATGAAGGAGCGAAGGAGAGCGTTAGCCCACGTCCGACGGCGTACATGAGGTGTTCAGAGTCGAGTATTGGGTACCAGTGCTCCATCACCGGATCTCCAGAGCCAACGTCCCAGATGATCACCGATCCGAGGTATTTGATTCCATTATGGAGTCGGCGTTGCCTCAGGCTGGGACTCGCCGCTTCGCTGGCTGCCCACTTGCCATCAGAGGAGAAAGTCAGCTGGCGAATGGGCCATGCGTGCCCATACGATTGATTGTGGTGGGAAACTGCGAGCGTGCCGCATTTACATCAGAAGATCGATGATGAGGTGGAAGGAGGGTGATAAAAGACACTGACGAGGGTACTTGAACACAATTCGTAGCAGTCCTTGCTCATGTAATGATGGGAAAACCTGTTCCAACAGTGCCCTCCATCTGTCCACGTGGTTTTTCATTGCGTCTTCTACTACGCAGGTAATTCCATTCACCCTGAGAGACTCGTGATGGCGCACGAGTTGGGAGAAAGTGGAACTCATCTCTGCGAAACGTGATACTTGCTCGGTACTGAGCCAATGTAGGGCAGACGGTCTAAGCAGCAAGTCCATAGAGCGCAGGGATCGTGGAAGTTGTTTTTCTGCGAAGGAGAATTGCAGGAGAGATAGCATCGACTGTAAAACTGAGACGTCGTCTAACTCCAGCCTCACGGTGAGATGTACGAGTACCGAGAAGTCTGTGAAGGTGACTTCTAGAAGCGGCGTTAATTAGTACTCCGTCCTAAATCGGAAACATTCATAGAACACAACATACCTCCAGCCAGAGCAAATTGGGTACCCAGAGTGAGATGCACGAGTGTAGCTGCGTTGATTGTGAGCAATCCTCCTAGTCCAGGCGCCGGTCCGAAGCCTAACCCAGTGGGTGCAAGCTGTGAGAGGGTGCATTGAGCATCGAGCAGTACCTTGTGGTTCACCATGTAGAATCTCACCGCGATCCTTTTCAGCCGACTGCACATCCGATTTGTGGTGGTGATGAGCGACCGCTCCATGCTGATAGGGGTATCAACGAGGCGAAGCTCCTCGAGGCCGGGAAACCCGCAGGCCAGGCGTGCGACGTCCAGGGTGGAAACGAACCTACTGCAGTCGTCGAAAACGATCCTCTTGGTCTTGTTGTAGCGTCTGAGGGAGCCTAGGAAGTGTCTTCCTAGGTTCCCGCGGATGTTGAGGTCTCCGGAGAACTCCCAGGTTTTGATATGGGCGAGATACGGAAGGAGGACAGCGGGAGCGGCGTGGGGATACTGCTCATAATTCCCTTCGAGTCGAACGGTGCTTACGAGCGAGCACAGGATGGGTGTGCGCTCGAGCGCGGCACGGACGGAGTCCAGCGAGCGGGGGCTCGAGACTGTTACTCGGTGCCAGATCAAGAAGCGGCACCTCGGGAGCCAAGCGCTGCAGACCCTTGCGCAGATTGGAAGGGCCCACAGGTGGTCCTGGGCTTGCAGTTGGTCTAGTATTTCTTCCGTTACTTCGATAGGTAGGGTCAAGGATTCCATCGGGGGAGCTGAGTGCGATCGAGGAGGGATCCTGGTGGATAAAGGGAAAGTGGGGGTCCTGAGAAAAAGTATAGCTAACACCGATAAGCGCGGCGAGGAGAGCGATTGCTCTGAAACTCGAAGTTTTGATTCCGGTGGCCTCATCTTCAGCGAGCAAGACTGATAACGGCAGAAACGAGCGCATCAAGTACACAAGCAGACGTACCCACAACTTGCAACGCTATAGCACCGCCTTCTCCTTCCGCGCCTTCTCCTCGCTCACGAACCGCCCCTCGAGCCCCTCCACAACCTCCTTGGCAATCTTGCTCCCCAGTCCGCCCTTCTACAAGAACGGGTACGAGCTGACGCGGACGCCCTCCGCCTTCGTCTGCGCCCGGAGCTCAGTGATCGGAGGTACGGCGCGATCGACGACTCGGGCATCCTGTGCAACGTCGACGTCAGCGAGTGGGTGAGCGAGGTGAAGTGCGAGCGCACGCACGCAGTGAAGATCTGCTGCCGGAACAGCCGTTCGCTCGGCGGCAGGAGCAGCAGGAGCGTGGCGAGGCCGGCGAGAATTCGCTCGAACAGCTTCGGGATGCCCGGGAAGACGCCCGGGATGCCCTCGAGGTTAGCCAGGGCGCGGACACGACCGTCGCCGCGCGAAGGCAGGCACCATCCAGGCGTCCGGGGCGATGTAGAGCACCTCGAAGAGCGTCATGCGCTCGCGCGCGGGCCTTGATCATCTCCGTCATTCACCGGAGCGTCTTCTGGCGGTGCTCGAGCGGCTGGTCGAACGGGGCGGCAAGCGCTGGAGGCGTAGGTGATGTCCGCGCGTGCGCCGAGTTCAGAGATTGCCGGAACGAGACGGGGGGAGGAGCATCGTCATGCGTGGGGCAGATACCCCCCGAGGTGATCACAAAGTCGCACTTGTTCACGAGCCGGCCTGCAGCTTCGACGCTGCAGCAGAGAGTTGTCGTGAGGATGTGAGCGTGGCTGAAAGCGTGAATGGACGCACATGTGTATCCTCTTCGTTGCCGGCGGGTGTGATCTCTATCCGCTTCCTGACGTCATTGGGCGGGGCGAGGGCGAGGGCGTGGGCTGGAAATCGCGACCTGCATCGCGCGACGTGGGTGCGGAGGGCACTCACAGGTCGATTCCGTGCTCAAAGTAGAATCGCGCAGACCGCGCCAGTCCCGCTCGAGACATTCCCCGACGCACGTCAAGCAGCGCAGCGGTCGATGGCAGAGGGACGCCGCACGGACCCAGGGGCGGACCGTGCTTCGGATGTATTCCAGCTCATTCCGTTCGGTTTCTCTGTGACGAGATGCCCCCAGCTGTGAAAACGGGATCGGGCGACCAGCTACCCTATATGTACGGGTCTGAAGCTTGAAGCTTGAAGCCCCACGAAATCCACTTCCCCTTTCTCCTCGACTCTCACTCTCTGTCCGCGCGGCCGTCTGCCCCGTTCAACGTTCAAAGCGCATCCGATAGCCGCCCGTCTCTCTTCTACTCTCTCTAGCTTGTCACTTCACCTCTCGACGACTCCATCCGACTTGGGACAACAACTCCAACACTTCAAAAAGGCTGGAGACTGGCACGGAAAACGAGAGCTCACCAGATCATGAGCGCCGCCGCCGCCTTGATGTACCCCTCGAGACAGCCAAGTCCCACTGCGGTCACAGCCGCAGTTGGTGGTCACGCGGTTGAGGGCGTGGAGGTCGCCATCGTGCGCTGCTAGAACTTGAAGGCGAGGGTGCGTGTCCGACTCGAATGGCTGTATAGACTCGGGAGTGTGTTCCAGCTCGTTACATGCAAGCCCTTGAAGCTGCCGCCGGGACCAGTGACTAACGTAAGCGCTCAATCCACGTGGGTCCAGCCACAACATAGGCATTGCCGATGGCAACAGTTGCCACCCAACAGGGACATGGAGGAATCGAGGATTTCCGAAAAGCACAGGTGATTACCACCAGCTTCTACGTCGTCGCTCGCTGAAAGAGGCACTGACACCCGCCGCAGGTGCCAAGTTACGCACTGCCAAGCAGTGTGAGGAAGACGAAGTGCAGTGGAGATCCCACTCCGAATGGCGCACCCACGTCGAATCCAGGTTCCACATGGGTGAGAACATCTCCGCATGCGTCGCTCCTTCTCGTACCACTACTCACACCATTCATGAAGCCGGTTAGACGTCGCGCCCCATCGCGAATGTCCTTTTCGGAGCTCCGACGTGCGACCGCGCGCTGATCAGTATCACGCCAATTCGAAACGGGGAGGCAAAGGTACATATACGACAGCCAACCTGCGATGTCTTTCCCTTCTCGCTTCTCCTACGTACCCACGCCCCCTCGTCAGCCGCCGACGGCCTTTATTAGCGGTTCTCCCGCCTTCGCCTTCCCACCATGGCCCCCATCCGCCTTGCCTTCGCCATGCAAGCCGCGCTCGTGCTCTCGACGCTTGCCGCCGCCGCGCTGCTTTCGCCCGTCAACGGCACTGTGGGCACGATCTCCTGGGCCCCGTGCAACACCAACGACACGCTTCCGAACGCGGAGTGCGGATACGCCATGTCGGTATTTGATCCAACAGGGCTTTACGCAATTACGTGGCTGACATCACGTTCAGCGTGCCGCTCGACTACCAGGATCCCAGCAAGGGTGTCGCCAAGATCGCCCTTGGGCGGTTCAACGCGACAAGCGGCACACGCAAGGGCAGCATCTTCGTGAATCCGGGCGGGCCTGGTGGCGCGGGAGTCGGGCTCGCGACGCAAGGAGGCGATGCACTCCAGTCGTTGGTGAGTCACCCTCTACTAGGCCGCGCGCAGGCGTGAACGCTGACCGAGTCAAATCCAGGTTGGCGAAGAATGGGACATCATTGGTTTCGACCCGCGCGGGATCGGCCAGTCCGAGTGAGAACTTACTGTTTCGCTGTAGATGGCAGAGTACTGACGCAGCCCTGGTACAGACCCGCAGTCGCGTGCTTCCCAAGCCCCGAGGCGCGCCAGGCGTTCATCGCGAACACCGTCATCGACCGTTCCTTCGACGTCGCGGAGGACCTGACGGACCCGATGACCCACGCGGGGCTGGTCCAGCAGGAGCGCAACCGAATCGGCCTCTTCAAGTCGCAGTTCGCGGTGTGTGCGCAGACGATGGGCGAGCTCATCGGCTACATGGGCACGACGCTCGTCGCGCGCGACATCGACTACATCACAACGCTAATTGACGGCGAGCACGCTCTGTTGTACGTCTTTGCGGCTGCTCAGGGCACGCACGAAGTAGCTAAATGTGGCTCTGCAGGAACTTTTACGGGTTTTCGTACGGGACCGTCATTGGACAGTATCTCGTGAATCTGTTCCCTGAGCGCGTTGGTCACATTTCGATCGATGGGGTTGTCGACGCGAACGTCTGGTCCAGTATGTTCCGATCTTGGCGAGAATCGATTCGCGCTGACACGATTTCAGATGTTCCTCCCTTCCAATGGTTCCTGGGAGGCTGGCTGAGCTCGACGGATAGCGTGTACTCTATGCTCTTCGACGAATGCGCCAAGGTAAGCTTCAGTCTGCATCCCGACACACACCGTTCATACCTTGTCGCAGTCCGGACCTGCTGGTTGCGCGCTCGCGAAGAACGGAGACAGCGGCGCGGACATCATGGCCCGCGTGGAAAACTTCACCAACAACCTTTACACCGACCCTCTCCCCGTCCCGAACGCTACGCTCCCCGGCGAGCTCACCTTTGGCCGCGGCCGCTGTAAGTGCACGTCCCCGCGCCGCGTTTCCTCGTGCTCACCTAGATCTCGCGCAGTCTTCTGGGTCGACGTTCTCGTGAGCCCCACAGCATGGCAAGGCGCCGCAAGCGCGATGGCCGCCGCGCTCGCGGGCGACCCGACCGCGGTGCTGAACGCCGCGAACGAGAAGGAGCTGGTCGACCTCGAGCGCTCCGCGGTGACCTGCAACGACGTGCCGTCGTTCGCGGCGCCGACCGCGGAGCAGTACGCGGACGCGGCGCTCGCGGTGCTCGCGAACACGTCGCGCTTCGAGCTCGCGGTGGAGACGCACGAGCCGGACAACGGGTGCGAGTACTGGCCGGCGACGCCGCCGGAGCGGTTCGCGGGCCCGTGGAACAGCACGCTCAAGAACCCGGTGCTGATCGTCAGCAACACCGTGCGCCCCCTCCCTCTCCTCTTCTCTCTACAAGGGCGACACTCACGCTGACGTTGCGCGCGCAGCACGACCCGGTGACGTCGCTCGCGAACGGGCGGCAGGTGCTCGCGAACATGGGCGCCGCGAACGCGGGGCTGCTCGTCCAGGACGGCCCGGGCCACACGTCGACGGCGGTGTCGTCCTCGTGCACGGTCGGATACCTGCGCGCGTTCTTTGCCAATGGGACGCTGCCCGCGGCCGGCACGGTGTGCCCGATCGACGACCAGGATCTGTTCCCGGCCGCGCCGCCCAAGGGGGCGGTGGTGAACGTCGCAGTGGCCCCGGACTCGCTGAAGGAAAGTGTGCGGCGGATAGCGAAGATGGTGCTCGGGAAGTAGGACTCACTTGCTGTTTTTGGGGACGGATGTACGGCATCAACGCTTAATCTATCGCTGACGTCTTAAACTGCCTTCACAACAGAAAGGCCTCTGTTGAAGAGCCTGGCCGCCACCACCACGAGAGTCACTACACGTGCAAAATTTCAATTCCCGATGTCCGAAAGCCAGGACTCGACGGCTACTAATACAAACTCAAGAACGAAGTGCGCGGTTACAAATACAGGTTCTCGCCATGTCTGCTACACCCCCGCCCGCTGCTCCCTCACCGCGCGCGCCCACGCCTCCGGGTGCCTCCCCACACACGACTTCACGTGCCGCTCGCACGACGAGTGCCGCCAGAGCTTCTGCACCGCGCACCCGTCGACCGGGCACGCGTACCGCACCCCGACGTGCACGTTCAGCCAGTGCCGCCCGAGGCTGCCCACGCTCATCCTCCCCCCACGCGCGGCGCACGCCGGGTCCGGGCACGCGCACTTGTGCTCGCGCTCGCAGCGCGCGGACGGCAGCGCGCACGGGCGGCCGACGAACGTCGCGTGGTGCGCGCGCGCGAAGTGCACGCGCCACGCGCCGTCGGTCGGCGGCAGCCGCTCTGCGCAGTGCGGCACGGGGCAGGGGAGCGTGGGCGGGGAGGCGATGACGGGCTTGAGGGAGCGCGGGAGGTCGCCGTGCCAGACGCGGGGCTCGGGCTTCGCCTGCGGTTGCGCCCGGGGACGGTGCGGGGGCTTGGGGGTGGATGGGGAGTCGCGGCGCGTGGGGACGGGTGCGCGGGGCGCAGTGGTTGGGGAGGTGGAAGTGGAGGCAGAGGTGGAGGCGCCGCGGGAGGATCCTCGCGGACCAGAGAAATAGTGCGCCGGTGGCGCGGGGGGCTGGCCCTGGTGCTGGGGAATGGCGGCTGTTTGGATCTGCGCGCCGAAGTTCTCCCTGGGGTATCGATGAGTGCTCACGTCGGACGGGACAGCAGGCGAGCACAACGAACCATGGATGGTGCACGTTCGGCTGCCAACTCTGGGTCTGAGGAGACATCCAGGATGCCGGGTTGGGCTGCGGGTGTCCGCTGCTATCAGGCAGAAGCCGTGGGTCGATGTAAGCCATGTCGTTCTGCGGTGGCAAGGTGCTTGCATCGGCGTAACCTGTGCCGCCGTAAACCTCGCCTTGACGTAGGAAGGAAGCAACGTCGTCGTAGCTATACGAGCTACCAGGGAGGGAGTAGTAGTTTGCATACGGGGCCGACTCGTTCCACCCCGTCTGGTATTGATCAAACGGGATGCTGAAGAGGCTGGCATTCGAGTCAGCATATGGACACGATACATAAACACAAAGGACCTACATGGATGGGTCCATCATTTGCTCATATTGAACAGGGTATTGGGGATATTCCGCGTAGTTGGCCATTTCAGCCGTCAAAGGTACGTGAGAAGTGTAGTAGAGGGTGATACGCGGAGACGTTTCTCGAGGAGAGAACTCGACGGTGTTGCCTTCCTCCCGCCATATTTCCGCCCATTTTATGTGCGCGCCGACAAAGCATGCGGGAGTGTGGCCAGGAAAAGGATTTGGATGCAGGGAGAGGCACGGCCACACCAACGCGCGCTCGCTCGCGAAGTCAAGGAGCCTCGTGTCTGTGTTTTAGAGTCCGACAAAACAACCGTTAAAGTGAAGGTGGCCATTGTTCATACTGCTGACTTGATGCTTTCCCTTCTACAAGAGGCGCAAGCATTGACGTTTGTTTGTTTCCCATTTATCGCCCGCAATGGCGGAATGATGTTACTGAACGCGAAGACTCAGCGGTATAGAGATTGGACTTGGACTCAGTTACTTCAAACTCCGAAAGCGTGGCATCACTCCGTCATGAAGGTGGGTTGATGGGATCGCTAGATTTGGGGAGCCTCTGGCGCACGTCTGCTTTCTTCATCTCTTTACACTTCTTGAGTGGCAATGACAAGAATAAATCGTGGCCTAAGCCTCAGATCTCGCACAAAGAGTTTGCTGCAGTAATCTGTAATCTGTGTAGCGGCCTAGGGAAAGACGACCCCGTCAAGAACTCCGTACATGGTCATCAGAAACACAAGAAGCCAGGCCGTGGCAGTCGATGCACGACCCGCACCGCACCAGGAAATATCTTGGCTCAGAGGTTCCCCTTCAAGCGGGAATGCATGCCGGAGCCGTCGAGGATGACGTGGTTGCCAGTCACGTACGCCGCTGCGGGACTGACGAGGAAGAGCGCTGCATAGTGGTGCTCGTCAGCGAGGCATCCGAGAACTGCACCCCGAGTCGGTACTCACCGACGCCGGCCATGTCTCTTGGGTGTCCGATGCGTCCGAACGGGTTGCCCACAGCGAGTCCGTCCTCGCCGTGCTTCTTGATTCCGAATGCGGTCATCTTTGATGGGAAGACGCCCGGGCAAATCGCGTTCACGGTGATAAACTTGGGCGCAAGGGTGGTGGAGAGAAGGACCGTGAGGTGGTTCGCAGCGGCCTTGCTGGTGCCGTAGCTCCAGAGCCCCATGTCACCATCAGCGAGCTTGGAGCCTGTGGACGTGCTGAGGAAACCTGCGACCGAGGAGATGTTGATGACGCGTCCGGGATCGAACGAGGTGGCATCCTTGGCAAGGAGAGGGGTCAAGCTAGAGTAGGTCTTTAGGTCAGGTTTTGGATGGGTATATGGACGGGCTTACGCCGCAGTGACTGCAAGAAGTGGGTAAGCTCCAGAAGGGTCCCTGAGTAAGGGGCTTACGGTAGAAGATGCTCTTGACGTTTAGAGAGAGGATTTTGTCCCAACCTTCCTTCTCGGGAACACTGTTGGGGGCGTTGCATCAGTGTCGGAGCGCCTTGGATAGGGCGGCGACGAAACAGGCCTCACTTGGAATACGGAGCCCCCCATGACGCGCCCGAGTTATTGACCAAGATGTGTACCTTCGACTCTTGCTCCTTGATCTTGCCTGCGAGGCTGTCACATCCTGCCTTAGTCTGTCGCGCGAGGGACTGGTGTCAGACGCGTGGGGAGCGAAGAACTCTGGAAGACACGCACGGTCAGGTCTGCGACGACATAGTGGCAGCTCCCGGGACCTTTCTTGTTGAGCGCTTCACACATCTTCGGAACCCGGCACGTGTGAGCTTCTTCGCATCTCCGGGTGCCGCAACATTGGAGCACCACACAAAAGTACTCACGTCCTGAAGCTGCTTCTCTTTGCGCGACGCGATGTAGACTTTGGCGCCGTTCTGCACAAACGCGGATGCGATCATGCTCCCAATGCCCGACCCGCCTCCAGTGACAACGGCTTCAAAGAGCAACGCAGCTTAGCATCTGCGTTGGTCCGCGAACGAGGACACGCACCGACTTTGCCTTTCACCCCGAAGAGAGACTCTGTGGAGAAGTCTACGACCGCGATTGCGACGTGTCAATTTGCCGTCTATGCTTATTTTCCACCTTAAAGAGACCTTCACGCACCGAGAGATCCCATAATCCGTATCGAAGATGCCAATGTATCTGAGAGCTGAAGCGGATGCGGGGAAAGGAACAATGGTGTGCACTGTTCCCCGCATTGCTTACCCCGCACACGCTCCGGCATCCGGCTCTTCGAGAGGCCGAGCCCTGTCACTAAGCGCTGGTCCCGCCTCATTTTCCTCCTGCTGAAGAACCACCACCACCATTCCTGAGGCCTTGATGCCCTCTCTCTCTGTCTCCGATCCACCAAGAGGTCTATTTTAAAGCTCACAGGGTGGTGATTAAGATGCATCTCAGAGTAAAGACGAAGAACAGGGCAGCACAGACTCGAACATCCACAGGCTAGGCTCGTGGTTTTCAGAACACCGTGCGCATATACTCACTCACACTTCTCCATCAGTGCACACGGGAGCATCTCGGATGGAATGGAATTTGAAAACGATCGCACTCACGAAAGCATGGATCCGCTGGCACATTTGCGCAGCTCTGTTCAACCGAAATGGGAAGATCATCTAATCTTATCAAGCTTTCCAGCACTGCCCTTCACCAGCCACCGCGCGGTCGCGCGCTCGACGGGGGATCGCTAGCAACGAACCTTGGCTTCACTATTCATCCTCCCCCTGAGGCCTGAGTTTCGCCTCCATAGGCCTTGTTCACACATCGCGTACCCGGGCAACGTAACATTGATGTACTCAAGCTGCGCAACGCAGTCTTCGACCTCCCAACCGGTCGTCGAAGCGGCCAAGTTGAACGCGGTGGAGCTCGAACCCGTCTGACTTCCGAGGTGTGTCCGATGCTGCTTTACGATGTCCACCTGTGCCAGCCAATGTGCCATGTACACAGGCGCTTGTCCGTGGCCGTGATCGCCGCAATCAGCTGCTCCCACGCGCTACTGAACGATCAGGACTGCTCATCGTTTCGGTGGAGCTGTGCATATGGAAAACGCTTCGATATTATCCGCGCCATCTGCTTGCAGCTCATGTTTCGATGCAGATGCACACGGTGCAATCGCGTACGTCCCATCATCCATGGTATGCTACGCGGACGGTCACGAGAGGTATCTGGATGCTGGTTACGCAGCATCCAGACTCCTCTCTACCGTACTCCACGCCCTGGTATTTGATCGTGCTCATGGAAGAGCATCGATCCGGACTGGGCCAACGTCCTCCGCGTGGGTCCCCGTCAGGAAGTACATTCACCCATGCTGTGTACGACGGCGCGGGCGCCGTGCTGGCCTCCGCTACGGGCCCGGAATAGAAGATGTTCCATGCGGATCGCAGCGGAAACATCTCCGCACGTGCGATGCTTCACATCCATCACCACCCTTCACCACCTCGCCCACGACGGTCGGGGGGCGCCTGTGGGGGCTCGTGGCAGGACCCTGACTGTCCGTGTTGCAGTGGGTGACGACCACACTATGATGGGAGCGAGCCGGTCATGTGTGACCATGTATGGCCTCGAAGAGATGGGGATACGACGCGGAGACAAGCCGTCGGCGATCTGACGGCCACCGAACGAACCTGGCCCTGGGGAGCGAGACGTATAAAGCCTCGAAGAAATTCGAGTAGAAGACCTCAGAGTCCCCGACTCCTCTTGCAATTCCCTCCTCGACGTCTTCAGCCTCCCACTTCACCTCTTCGTCTCCACCATGAAGTCTTTCGCTGCTGCCGTCGCCCTCACCTTTGTGTCCGGTGCCACCGCCCGCACGTTCACCGTCTACAACAACTGCCCATTCACGATCTGGCCCGCGATGTTCACCGACCTCAACGCCGGCTCGGCCGCACCTAACCAAGCTACTGGGTTCGTCCGCTCGTCGTGCCACCGCTCACGTTCCCCGTCTGACCACAGCTCTCGCCCACGAATAGGTGGCAGCAGGACCGTTACCAGGCCGTCTCCTTCAACGTTCCCGACAACTGGACCGCCGGGCGCATTTGGGTGCGTCCGAAGACGCACTGGCGGAGCAGTGCGAACATCCACATGTGATACTGACCGCACGCCTTCTATCAGGGTCGTCGCGACTGCGACTTCAGCTCGAACCCGGGCCCCAACTCCTGCCTCGACGGCGGCTGCAACGGCGGCCTCGAGTGTGACCCGCACACCGGCACCGTACGTACACTCTGCCAATCCCGCCCACCACCCGCACACAGCTGACGTCATTGCGCACGCACAGGGCGTTCCCCCCGCCACGGTGGCTGAGTTCACGCTCTCCGCGGCCGGCGGCTCGGACTGGTACGATGGTGTGTCTCTTTTCCTCGTGCCCTCTGCGGTCGTGGCGGTCGTGGCTGACGTCCTCTCCCTTCCCCTCCTGTGTAGTCTCCCTCGTTGATGGCTACAACCTCCCCATGAGCATCACGAACAACGTCGGCTGCAACGTCGCGGACTGCCCCGTCGATCTCGGCCCGAACTGCCCGTCCGCGATCCAGGGCCCGTACGACTCGTCCGGATTCCCGGTCGGCTGCAAGACCGCGTGCAAGGCCGGTCTCGCGCCGGACCCGCGCAACGACCCGTACTGCTGCACTGGCTCGCACGACACCGCGGCGACGTGCCCGTCGTCGGGTGTGCTGTACTACAACTACTTCAGTGGGTGTTCCTCCATTGCGAGAGGGGACGAGGAGCTGACCACGCTACGTGATTCCCAGAGGGCAACTGCCCGAACTCGTACGCGTACGCCTACGACGAGTCGTCCGGCACCGCGCTCTGGACGTGCTCCTCCGGCCTCAACGCCGACTACACCATCACCTTCTGCCCGTGAGGCGTGTCTGTTGGTGTATGAACACCGTCACGATCTCCTGCCACCGCCACCGGTGGTCACCTAATTAATGCCCTTACTTATACCCGTTCCTGTCCCGTCCTTGCTACCTACACGACTTCCTTCACAGTCTTTACCCACCTGCTCTACGACCCCACGACCTTAATAAATACATTTCCGCTCACGCGCGATGGCTCCTATCCGCACGGTCTGCCACGTTCGACTTCGCCCTCGCTCGCTGAACGAAGAAACCCAGGAAGCGCCCTGCGTGATAAGAGCGCCTGTTTGAGACTCTTTTTGATCCCCGACCACCATCATCCTTCCGAATCTCCTGCTGATCGCTCAGGTTCTTTCGAATGCTGATCCGGATGGCAACTGCACAGATCCGGATTCCGTAGTGTGTATAGATCAGGGCCGCGCGCCCCAGCAGTGCAGTGCAGGACTCAGGTCTCAGTGCTCAGGGCGGTGCGGCGCGGACAGGACCGTATACAGTCAAACCCCTCATAGTGCATACCCCTCGGGAAGGCCCCCGAGGTATGCGTTATGTGGGGGTATGCAGTATGAGAGAAGCGCTCATCGTGGGAGACCCATTGACGCCCTTCTGCAGGGCGCCCTTTTGGCTGCTGGCGCGCGCATTGATCCTCACGCGCGCATTCCTCGTGCGCACATTCCTCCCGTTTGTTATCTGACCTCGCCCCCCCTACATAGCCTACATACGAGTGAAGTAATCAATGACTGCGAGATGATTTCCCCTGCCTGAAGAGAAGCTTGAAGGGCCGTTTGGCGCTCTTTCATCTACTTCTCGAGGACAGCAAGGCCGGATTAGAGGAGGGCGAGAGGGATATAGGGAGCATTGCGGAGGCAGGGAGAGGTGGCCGGGGGTGGGATCAAGTCGTGCGTGAGCCCCGGCCAGTCCCGACGGTTTGTGTGGCTATTCCAGGCTGTTGGCAGTCGGGCATGGAGGGCACATGGGAAAGTTATCCCGCATTTGGGCGGCATGCAAGGCATACATGTGGGGCGCTAATACTGATTATATACACAGGTATGCGTTATGGACCCCCCGGCCGAGGTATGCAGTATGCGGTATGCGGGGGGGTATGCGTTATGCCCCTATACCAACTCGGGAAGAGGCCAAAGGTATGCACTATGTGGGGGTATGCACTATCACAGGTATGCACTACGAGGGGTTTGACTGTAGAGGCACAACATGCGTACGTAAGCAGACACGAAAATAGGAAGGAACTGATGTGGGCCGGCTACACCTGCTGATCCGAAGGGTGGGCGCTGCGCGCACATGAGCAGGGACAGGGCGGCAGCGAATAGAGAGACGGGATGAGAGAACGCGCCAGCCGTATCGCGGTAGGATAAGCCGTTGCGGTACGAGGTGAGTGGGTTGAAGTCCGTGCGATTGGTAGATGACGGTCCCGGAACCGCGTGGCAGGGATCACAGCGTTGATGCATCCCGCGAGGGCGCGGGTTGTCACTCCAACACCGGCCTCCCCTTCTGTTTGGCACTCAGGAGAGTTTGACGGGGAAGAACGAATATCGGGTGGGAACAAGACCAGCTGCGCGGTCGTCTTGACACTCGCAACAGGTTACAACGTGCTCGCAGCTCTTCCAGCTCAGGCGTCATACTATGATTCATATGGATCGAATCGAACTGCGGTCGGCAGTGGTACTGCTTCGTTTCCGACTTTGCTTCTTGAAAAGGTCTTTGCCGCGGGGTTCCTTGGAAACGTTGACGAAGGCAGTACGTCCTCTCTTTCCGCTTTGCATGTGTCTGTACTGAGCAGCAAACGTTCCCCGTGCCCCCTGTATCATCGGTACCAGTGCATCACAGACCCACCCATCCCCCAACAGAAGCTGTGCATCGTGCCAGAACGTGCCAGTTCCTGACATGCTCATTCAAATGAACCAAGTCGATCCAGACCCGAAGTAGGACCCTCGTTTGCGTTGCAGGTGCTCGGTGTGACCCCTGATACACCAAAGTACTTTGCATCCAGACGACCAACATCTTGCAATCCGACGCTTCCGATATCTCGCTTCCGGATACTAGGCTCGACCACATGTAGACGCATAGTACTTCAGGCATATATTACTGGTGAGTGTTTCTACGAGTCATGTCAATCGAAGTAGCACTGATGCACAGGCTTGGTGCCGTGCAAGGTCGCTCAGGAATACAATGAAGGGTGACATGAAGTGAGCAGAGCCTCTGCCCCGCCGGTGCGAACTTCTATCGCTCCAGAAAAAACCACACACAGTAGACTGTTTATAGAGGACGATAGCACACTGGCATGCCCGATGCACAGCTGTACACGCCAGTGAGTCCCCATCTATGATTTCGACGATGAGCTGCCAGACCCAGCGGAACGGGAACATACAGTACGCCTGACAATCAGTCTTGATTTTACCGCATCAGATATCTATCTACCGCCGTGGGCTGTGCCATGCCAGTGACAGATTGGCCCCAGAAGCAAGAACGGCATAACACAAGTTTCGATTGATGTTGCATACCGAATATAGCAACTCGGACTGACATATGACATTCGTTTATTGCATCCTGACAGCGTTGGTGATTCCAACGCCCACCCCCTTCGGACATATTTGTTCGTTCAATGGGCCAGGTGCGGCCTCCTCTCGGCACTGTGAGCCGGCTGTGGGACTTTGATAACACCGATAACCTGTGCCACGGTGCACCGTCAGTACAAAACCCATCGCCGAGACGAGCGGGCCCCATTGCCTCTTCTCTTCCTTTCTACAGCCCGGCGCTGCCTCGAGTTCCCTTTTCTCCTGATACCTTATTTTCTTTTCATCCCTTCCGCCCAACATTCCAAACATGCAGTTCACGACCCTTACGACCCTTTTTTGCGCCCTTGTTCTCACCGCCCTTACTGCCAATGCCGCGGCAATTGACAAACGCGACAGTGAGTGCCGTATCACCTCACCGGACTACTCAGTGAATAACCATCGGCTCCCGACAGCGACGACGAACCTCGCCACAATGACTGTCGACCAGGACCAGTTCCTCTCGATGATAACCGCATCTGTGAGCGTATGTACGTACCATCCACACCTCCCTTTGTGCCATGTAGCTCACCATAGTATCGCCGACTGCTTTCCGGGAACATAGCGGCAACAAACGGTACGCCGCTCAGTCTCCACTCTCCTTCATATCATCCCACCGCTGACATCTTTACGCAGCTGCCGTGACGATCAACGTCGCCGTTCCCGTCGTCGTCACCCCCGGGGTCGGGGTCCAGGCCATGGCTACGCAACTCGCAGCTGGTATGCAGGACTTCGTGTTCGATGTCGAGCGACGGATGCTCCCTTCAGGTCTCTCTGCGGTGACGGCCAGTGCGTGACCGCCCGAATTCTCCCCACTTCCGCCGTGACGCTTACCCGCGCCGTCAATCTCCGTAGTTCACAGCTCGACGCCCATCCTCGAGGTCATTGCCCCAACAACAACGATCACGCTCGCCAACGGCCCTGGGCCAGTGAGCACCGCGGTGGTTGGCAACATGCCGTTCTTCGCTGCAGTCCCGTGAGTGCCGACGTTCTCTGAGCTTTCACATCTTTCCAACACTTGAGCTGACGGATCGTCTACATGCAGGAACGGCGCTATGGGTTCGCCTCGGCGCGCGTTCGTCGGCGTACTGGGAACACTCGGCCTGATTGCGGGCGGGGCGGCGATGGTGTTGTAAATGTGAAATTTTTGGCTCATGTTCGGGCTGTATATTTTATAATTGGAATGAAGAGGCCTTTTCGTTCGTCATGACTCATCACTGCCGCGGTCCATATATCTTCGGTCAACTCGCTATTTTCCCCGAGACCCGACATACGCGGATACCAATGGACAGGGTTTCATCGGGTGGTATTAAAAATGGCAAGACCGCCATAAAAGCAACGTTCAAGTTCACCATCGTTGGCGTGGAGATTAAGCGCTATCGGCCGGGCCGGGCCGGTGTACATATTGGACGCACGAGAATCTCGCCGGCGGGACTGAGCTGCGTCTCCCACATCCACTTGTTTCTCCCACATCCACTCCGGACCCGCGAACAGCTGACTCCCATTATCACCCGGCTTACTCATTATCACACCAGTTATGGAGTCGAAGCGAACACAGTGACACGTCAAAGGAGGGAACTCAATGGCAAAAGCTGCTCCGCATCCCGTCATACGCTTGCGCATAGCTTCCTGAAGGCAGTGAGGTGGAGAGTGAGTGATAACACAAGTGAGTTGGCCGCTTGAATGGGACCAGCGGTTCCTGTTTAACACGTTCAATCCGAATTGTACGAACAGACTATGCACGCATGTAGTACCTTGCCCATGACGTCGTTCAATATCGCGAGACGTACTTAAACTCCATCGGAGGCCCACATCCCGTATCAACACAGTGCCCTCCTTCATCGACCATCGACTACACCCTCACACCAGCCCTCCAACCATGTCGAAGTTCTGGCCCCCCGCACCCACTCCGCCCACGCGCCTGGGCAACTACCGCCAACTCTCGCCCCTCGCTGGCGTCCACGTCTCGCCGCTCTGCCTCGGGGCGATGAGCATCGGGGACAAGTGGGCGTCGGAAGGGTTTGGGGCGATGGACAAGGCGAGCAGCATGAAGCTCCTCGACGCCTTCTACGAGCGCGGCGGCAACTTTATCGACACCGCGAACGCGTACCAGGGCGAGAGCTCGGAGGAGTTCATCGGGGAGTGGATGGAGCAGCGCGGGATCCGCGACCAGATGGTTGTTGCGACGAAGGTGAGTGTATGCAGTGACCGCCCCGGGTTGTTGGTGCTCTTCCCCCCATTCGTGCGACTCGGTCGTGGTGACTTCGCGTATGGGTACGCATATATGCGCTACGGCGGGCGTACGGGCGTTGCTTTCCCATTACAGTGGAATGCAGCATGCTGACGCCACACTTATGTCCAACAGTACACAACGAACTTCAAGCGTAGCGACAAAACTATCCTACAAAAGGCTCAGTACGTGGGGAACAACCTCAAGTCGATGACGATCTCCCTCGAAGCGTCGCTGAAGAAGCTCCGCACGCATTACATCGACATCTTCTACGTGCACTGGTGGGACTGGGACACGTCCGTCGAGGAGGTTATGAACGGGCTGCACAATCTCGTCGTCTCCGGCAAGGTCCTCTACCTCGTACGTCGCTTCATCCCCAACGTCTGCGCGTGTAAATTGACCGGTTGCCGGGGCTGACAGGGCATATCGGACACCCCTGCCTGGATCGTCTCCAAAGCGAACCTGTACGCGCGGCTGATGGGAAAGACCCCGTTCGTGATCTACCAAGGCGCGTGGAGCATCCTCGAGCGCGACTTCGAGAAGGACATCATCCCGATGGCACGCTCAGAGGGCCTCGCGCTCGCGCCATGGAACGTCCTCGCGTCCGGTCGGATCCGGTCAGACGAAGAGGAGGAGCGGCGGAAGGAGACGGGCGAGCACGGTTGGTCCTGGGCTGGCTCCCGTCTCGCGCGTTGGTGCTGACCCCGTGGCTTCCAGGCCGCACGACGTTCAGTGTGGACGGAAGCTGGATGCGCACGCCGGAGCAGCGCAGGGTCTGCCTCGCGCTCGAGGAGGTCGCGAAGCAAGTGGGGACCACGTCCGTGCAGGCGGTCGCGATCGCGTACGTGATGCAGAAGGTGCCGTACGTGTTCCCGATCGTCGGCGGGCGCAAGGTCGAGCACCTGGACAGCAACATCGAGGCGCTGAACATCGCACTGAGCGAGGAGCAGATCAAGCACCTCGAAGGCGTCCTGCCGTTCAACAAGGGGTTCCCGCATAACTTCGCTGTGAGTCATTGGCTTGTATAATTTCAAGTGTGGCGGGCACTCACGAAGGCGGCCGGGATGTAGGGGAACGGTGAGACGTATATTGACATGATGATGAACGCAGCGCCATTCGAGAAATGGCCGCGTCAAGAGGCCATTCGCCCTTCAAAGAGCTGAACAGTACGAGCCTCGTGTCTGTAGAAGCCTCATGTACCACCGTTGGATCAATGCTGAAGAATACCATGCGTCGGAAACTGTCGATGGAGGTAGTGGCAACCAAAAATGAGGGGAACAGTTTTGCGAGCGAACCTGACCGAGGGATTGCCTTGGACGGACAAGGACTGTACGCGCCGTTTGCGATTGCATTCCGCTCCGCTGAATCCTGATACAAGATATACTATAAGGGAACAAGTCCTTCGTTCCTTCAATCCTCGCTCGGACGGATAGCCGGCTTCTCGAACTGCGCCGCTGATACGCACCCAGCTCCGCTGAGCGCGTATACTGTACGTCCGGCGCTCGTTATGTCCTCATCCGCGCATTACCATCCCGACCACCTCCGCTGTTACTGTTGCTACATTGCTTACATATGCACTAGTATATCTACCGTAGCTCGCCGTCGTCGCAATACAGCTTCTCTCGTCCGGTTTGGTGCCGGAGAGCGTCGTCTCACCCCAGTTTCCGTCTGCAGTCGCGTCTCCGTCTCGTTCTCGTTCTCGTTGTCTTGTCCACGCCCACACCCTCTCTCCCGCCTCTCTCTCCCTTCTCGGTGTTTCCCACTGGCGATCCTCACCCACTCGCACACCGTAGCGCGACCCCCGGGTTGCCCTGCACATCACCGCGTTCTTCATGTGCACGATGCACGACCTTGCACGGCTCGCTGTCTCCCTGTACCACCCAAATGAACTCTCACTCAAATTAAGCACCACACGGGGAAGACTCACGACAACGCTGTGCGGGAAGCCCTTCTGAAATGGAATAACGCCCTCAAGGCACTTGATCTGCTCCCCGCTCAGTGCGATGTTCAGCGCCTCGATGTTGCTGTCCAGGTGCTGGACCTTGCGCCCGCTATGCGCCCGCCGACGATCGGGAACACGTAGGCGTTTGGCGGAAGAATCGGGCCGATGAGCGCCAACCACTGGCCACATGCCGCTAGCGCCGAAACCGCCTCTGGCTCTCGCTCCAACCTCCTCCGACCGACTTTGGCGATCAGCTCGCTTTGATCTCACCATAGGACATCAAGCAATTACCCTATGCACCCCTGGACGCTCGTCTTTACGCGCCCAGCGCTCGGAGCGCGTTCCGTGCCAAAGCTCCCTCCGTGGGGCTCGAGCCGCCTGCCTCACAACTCGCGCTCGGATTCAGACGGACGAAGAAGAGGAAAATGACGATGCCGATGGAGAGAAGGGCGCTGCTTGCGCTTCCCTTCCATATTTCGGCTTCTCAGGCTGTCTTGCTGAGACGTCGGCCGTTGGGCCGTTGGAGCCTCCAAGACCATCGGTGCGTGCGTCGGTGCATTTGATCATTCTGCGGTGGAGAGGCGGCGCGCAGCTGGTCGTCGGGACTGTGCTTCGCGAAAGGGCCACGCTTGGCCCCGAGTTTTGGCGGAGGACGGGCGACTCACGCGTTGTATGGCGTGACGCTCACATTTGCCCAGAGCTTCGCGCGAACCTTCGTGGTACGTTCGTTCTTTCTTGTCGTTCTCGGTCATTGAAGTTTACTTGTGTAGTCTTCACCGGAAAGCACAGGCGGTGACGCGGTGAAAGCCACATTCTTTCCATTCCGCCGGCAGCCTCTCGTCATTCCTTGCAACCAACAAAGCGTCAAGAACGCGTCGTTGGCTTCGACGTGGCCCATCCGGCGTCTCTTGCGTTCCTTCTGACCTCCGGCTGGAATCCACCGTTGCAGCCGAGGCGAAAAAGACCGCCGCTTCCATTAAACTCTCTCCCTTTTGGTGGTGATTTCAAGACGTCATCGAACGTTTCTTGCGCCGAGAACTGGTGCGTGATGCGCAAAGGTTCTTCGCTTCGCCAGGCGCTCTCAGCTCATACTATCCGCGTCAGCGGTCAAGATGGCACTGCAACCAGTGCACACCTCCATTTCGAGCCGTTCTGCAGCGGTACTGCCAGTGAACTAGTGAGCTGTGAGCACCGCGTTTGCAATGGCTGCTTGCGTCGGAGCAATCATGCCTGAACTCCCCCATGTAGGACATTCGGACAGGCCGGCCGAACACCGCAAACCCCGAAACATCACGGCTATTAGCGAGGTTAGCCATACTCCAGTGTGCAGCGCCTCGGTCGGAAAGAACGTGCCCCGTGACGCCGCTCGCATGACCATCAAAGAAAGCCCGGCGATGGCGCTGCTGCCGACTCCTCCAGAGTCGCTCGTGAACTGGTATAAGAAGTGCATTGCGGCGAGCAAGGAAACACCACGAGTCCCCAGGATCTCAGTCTTCTCTCAGTTCGCCCTCCAACGATCACCACCAACTAGTCACCATGAAGTCCTCCTTTGTTGCTCTCGTGCTCGCCGCAGGTGCCTCCGCCCGCACCTTCACCGTCACCAACAACTGCCCCTTCACCATCTGGTGAGTCGGCACCCTTCGCTTCCGTCGTACTCATGCTCACAACCCGCCCCGCCACAGGCCTGCCGTACGAATCCCCGCTCATCCTCCACACCTACGCCCCCCGCTCACCCCCGCCCTCGCGTCCCCCACAGATGTTCACGGACCCGAGCTCCCCCGGGAAGATCACCTCGCGCCCGAACGGCTGGGTGCAGAACGCGCACTCGACCGTCTCCTTCGCCGTGCCCGACAACTGGCAGAAGGGCCGCATCTGGGGCCGGCGCGACTGCGACTTCAGCGGCCCGAACCCGGGCCCGAACTCGTGCGTCGACGGCGGCTGCAACGGCGGCCTCGTCTGCGACCCGACGACCGGCACCGGCGTCCCCCCCGTCACCCTCGCCGAGTTCACGCTCAGCGGGTCCGGGGGGCTCGACAACTACGACGGTGCGTCTGCGTTCCTCCCTCGCGCTCTTGCTGCTACGAAGCAGTGCTGACCGCCGCGTGCGCCGTCCTCGCCCCACAGTCTCGCTCGTCGACGGCTTCAACCTGCCGATGAGCGTCACGAACAACCAACAGTGCCACACCGCGAGCTGCCCCGTCGACCTCAACCCGAACTGTACGTCGTCCGCCTCGCTTGTGCCAGCGCGCAGGCATCGTTTGACGCGGTTGCAGGCCCCCAGCAGCTCAAGGGCCCCTTCGACTCGAGCGGCACCGCCGTCGGCTGCAAGAGCGCCTGCGTGGCCCACCTCGCCTCTGACCCCAGTGAGCTCCTCACTGTACTCCATTCCCCCTCGTTCGCAGGCTGACGCGCCGCCGCGCGCAGACAACGACCCGAACTGCTGCACCGGCAGCCACAACACCGCGGCGACGTGCCCGAGCTCGGGCGTGCAGTTCTACTCTTACTTCAGTGCGTAACCGCTGCGACGCAGACGCTCGATCGATGCTCACGATCGTTGACCTCCTGCAGAGAACAACTGCCCGGACTCGTACGCGTTCGCGTTCGACGAGCCGAGCGGGACCGCCCTGTGGACCTGCCCTTCCGCCAAGAAGGCCGACTACACCATCACCTTCTGCCCGTAAGAACTGGAGGTTGATGCAGACATCCGATAGCTTCGGATGACGACGCGCGTTTGAAGAACTACACACGATTGCTGTCATCTTGTACGACAAGGGCGAGGCCGTATGTTAACATTCTTGAATACGAGTACAGTTTGTTGCGCCACTACTTTGTCAGAAGCTCTCGAGGGTCTTCGACGGACGGATGGCCTGCTGCATGGGCCACTTCTCGAACTGCGCCGCGTTCTTCATCAGCCCGGTGTACGACTCGCCGTCGCCCTGTGCCTCTCGTGAATTCCCGACGCACACATAGAAAGGCAAACACATGTGCGCACCACAAAGTTGCGCGGGAAACCCTTGTCGAACGGCAGGACGCCCCCGAGGTACTTGATCTGCGCCTCGCTGAGCGCGACGTCCAGCGCCTCGATGTTGCTGTCCAGGTGCTCGACCTTGCGCCCGCCGACGATCGGGAACCCGCACGGCACCTTCTGCATCACGCACGCGATCGCAAGCGCCTGCACGCTCTTCGCCCCGACCTGCTTCTGCACCTCCGCGAGCGCCTGGCAGACCTGGCGCTCCTCGGGCGTGCACAGCCAGTCCTTCGCCATGGCGGTCCGTCCTGGCGACGGCGGACGGGTCAGGCGCAGACTCGCCCGGGGGAAGAGATGCGACGCCGACATTTTTTGCCCCTCATCTTCCGCCGCCCCTCTTCCTCGTCCGTGCGGATGCGGCCGGCCTGGAGGACCGTGTTCCACGGCGCGAGCGCGAGGCCCTCCGCGCGGGCCATCGGGATGATGTCCCGCTCGAAGTCGCGCTGGAGGATGGATGCTCCACGCGCCTTGGTAGATCACGGACGGCGTCTTGCCGGTCGGCCGCGCGTACTGGTTGGCTTTGGACACGAGCCAGGCGGGGGTGTCGGACACGCCCTGGCACGCCCGCAGATCATTCGGACCGCACACGCCGAAAGCGGGTCGGACGGACGTACGTACGAGGTAGAACGACAAGGTTGTGGAGGCCGCTCATGACCTCCTCGACGGACGTGTCCCAGTCCCACCAGTGCACGTAGGGGATGTCGATGTAGTGCGTGCGTAGCTTCTTGAGCGAGGCGTCGACGGAGAGCATCATCGACTTGACGCTGTTCCCGACGAAATGCGCCTTCTGCAGCATCTGGTGGTCGCCGCGCTTGTAGTTCGTCTAGTACTGGAAAACTGACACATAGCATTGACATGGTGCATAACACAAACACAGACGGGTGAGCGACTTGGATCGCGGCGTAAAGAAGGGAAAGGCACACCTTCGTCGCAATCACCATCTGGTCTCGGATCCGCGCTGCTCCATCCAATCTCCGATGAACTCCTCCAAGGTCTCGTCCTGGTACGCGTTCGCGGTGTCGATGAAATCGCCGCGGCGCTCGTAGTACGCGTTCAGCACCTTCATGATGCCCCCCCTGCCCATCGCCCCAAAGCCGAAGCCCGCCCACTTGTCGCCGATGCTCATCGCGCCGAGACAGATCGGTGAGACGTGAATGCCGGGGAGGGGCGAGAGTAGGCGGTAGTTGCCCAGGGGCGTGGGTGGAGTCGGCGCGGGGGCCCACTGCTGAGACATGTCGACTATGGGTTTTTTGGAAGTGTGAGGGGCGATGGGGTGGGGAGCGGTGGGTATCAGGGCGGGCATTCTCTGGGGGTTCGAGTATCGCCGCGTTGCTCCCGCACGACGCCATGAGGTATCGTGAGGATAGGGTGTGTGTGGTTTTGTGAGCGGGCTGCGAGGGACCTTCGGTCCCCTAAAGGTGCCAGACCGACCTGGGCGCGTTCTGGCTTGCTTCTGGCCGACATATGACGGTATTCTGAGCAGTCGTTCGTCTTGGATGTTGTGTTGAGAGGCCCTGTGGCTTCCTGGAGCGACTTGTCGATGTGCATACCGATCATATGGGCTCCAGTGTGGGCAGGAGTGCGGATTCGGAAGCCAAGCCAGTCCAGTCTGTCCAAGCACAATTGGCTACTAAGCAAGACAAGTGGATATCAAGAAGTGAGATGTGAGAAGAATATCAGTCTCGTACACCTTGGCTTCGTGTGTCGGTCTTGCAAAGCAACACGAGCATTTGACGATGGTTGTCGTTGACTGTACTGAGGCGCTTGCTGTATGCGCCAGAGCAAGATAAGATAAGGACGCGCCCTCCTGTCCCACGTGGAAGCCGCGCGATAAAGTTTTGCGCTACGCTCTGTGGCATAAGTTGACGGCAATTGACTGAAGACATCGACTCAGTAAGTGCGAAGTCTCAAGCAGTTTGCATCAGTTATTTACAGACCCTCTATTCTCAACAGCCGGCCCTTTCCAAGATGAACACAACCCGACGCCCTCGACTGAACGACGACATCATGTATCTCATATTCCCGTACATCGACACGTCCAACATGGCCATGACATCCTCGCATATGTACGGATTCGTATTCTCTCATCGCTTTGCAGACGAGTTCATAGGAGCCGGCCGAAGAGGGAAAGCACGAGCTGAATTCCTCCTCCAGCGAGACCCACTCTTAGACACGGTCCGCGCCTCGAACATTCGCCGCCTTATCGTGATGGGCCCACACAACGAGACTATCGACTTCGCCACGCATATTTTGCCTGTCATTCAACACTCGGCAGTGAAGTTGCGCAGCTTGAGCGTCGGAACTTCCCAGAAAGACGCGTTCAACCGCGATCCTCGCCTGCTCGCCGCGATTACGACCATGCCGAAGCTCATCTCGCTGTACCTCTCCTTGGATCCGACACTTTTCTCCCACTTGTCCAATTTCCCTTCCGACACTGCTATCGAGATTCTTTATCTCGTATTCTCGGGCCCGGCGGACGACCTCCACCACGTTACGTTCTCCGCTTTTGTCACGACCCTCGCCCGCTTTCCTCGTCTGCGCGACCTCGTTTTCGGGTTCCTGGACTTGCTCCTCGGCCCAGTCAATCCAATCGCACCGCCAGGACTTGCTCCCCTCCCGAGCCTGGTCAGTCTTACCCTCAGAGATCGCAGCACCGTCGCACTTCCACTCTGCCCGCTCTGCCCCCGCCTCTCCTCCCTGCGCTGCGAAAGCGGCCAGGTCGAGTCCTCCGCTATCGCCTCGGAACTCGAACCATACACCGGCCCGCGGTGGCCCTCGATCCGCTCCCTCTCGCTGTCCGTACCCCATGACGCACCGCTGCTTGTGCACTGGCCCGTCGCGAACCGTGTGGCCTCGGGCTCTGCGGGCGTCGCGCGGGTGCACATCGAACGCTGGAGGGCGGACGCGCGCACGCTCGACGCCGAGTCGGACGTGGTGGAGGCGATCGGGCTCCCACAGCTGCTCCCGGCGATGAAGCCCGTCGCGCTCGTCCTCGACATCCTCCCTTCTACTGCGCCTGCGCCTGTGTCGACGACCCCCGAATGGTTTCCCGAACCAACGTGGCTGGCGATCGCCTCTGCACAGCTCCGGCTGCGCTCCCTCGACCTCACCATCGGCGGGCACGCGCCCCGGGATGATCTCGTGCCCATAGTCCCGGTACGCGTGCCTTCTGCGCTCTCGCCTCGCGCGTATCGCTGACCACACCCACTCGCGCACGCGCGCGCAGTGCGTGCTGTGCACCGCGCTCGCCGGCCTGCCCCTCGTGCACCTCGCGATCGAGGAGTGCGCGCACTACACCGACGCGGGGTTCCCCGTGAGCTACGCGGCGGAGCTCGCGCGCGTCCGCCGGCTGCTGGGCGCGCCGCGCGCGCTCGTGGACGTGCTCCGGTCGGTGTGCGTGGTGCAGGTGCGCGGGGCGTGTCCGGCGGTGCTGCCGCGCACGGCGGAGGAGGTTGGCGAGCAGGAAGAGGCCGAGGCGGCGGCGCTGGCGGAGCTGCGGCGGATTGAGAAGGAGGGGGTGCAGCGGAGGGAGCGGTGGTGGTGGGCCGAGGACGTGGTCGGGGCTGCCGGCAGTGAGTGCGAGTTGGTGGAGCTCTGGAGGGAGGACGGGGAGCGTGCGAGGGAGATTGTAGAGCGCGAGGACTTTGATGCGAAGACGAGCTTCGATGGTGAGTCTCCGACCAGACTCTCGGACAGGTGTTGGGAGCGTGCTGACGGGCGTCGTGGGCGTCGTAGGCTTCATGCTGCCCAAGTGTATCTACCGTCCGTAATCGACCCCCCACAGCGGTGGTACTCGCGTTCATTACGGTTTTGTATCTGCTCGCGGGACTCCTCCACGCAACCCTCTGGACGCTCCGCTCACGGATATACATCCGAGTCAGCTTCGACCGTAGACGAGCCTGAAAGCGAGCCAAAACCCGAGACCGACGAGTGCGGATACTCATTCCTTGTACAAGTGTCGCCGTGCTTCGCACGGTGTCTCTTAACGCGAATGAAAAATGAAGGATGCAATGGTATCGTGGAGTTAGATCCATCAGGTAACAGTATGCGAGCGGCGGCCCACGTCGCCCACCGCCCGTGTCGCCCCCCTCCTCCTTCCGCCTCATCCCGTCCCTCGTCCCGTCCCTCCGCCTCTTCCCGCAAGCCCTACGTGCCGCCCGTTTCCACCCACCCCGCCAACCTCCGCGTCCTCCGCCTCGCCCACGTCCGCCTCGCTCGCCCTCTTCTCCCCCTCGTCCCGGCCTTCCGCACTGCCTACCTACCCGCGCGTCCCCTTTCCCTCGTCCCAGCCCTCCTTTCGCCCGCCCCCGACTCACTCTCTTTGCGTCGCCCTCCTCCACGTCGCCGCGACGGGGTCGCCACCACCAGTGCCCCCGCATGCCCCCACCCCATCAGCCCGGCCACGCCGGACCGCGCGCGCGAGCAGTGCGTCCCGTGGGCTCAGACGCGCGAAGGCGACGCACTCGCGGCGGACCACGCGCGGGACGGCGAGCGCGCACGCGGTCTCCCCCCCCCCCCGCTATCCTCTCCAGGTCCGGCCACACCCCCTCGGACTCCCGCGCGAGCTCGCGCCCTGCATCTGCATGTGGTGCCGCAGAGGTGGAGCTGGCGCGCACCGCGGAGGGCGAGGCGGCGGAGAACGGGAAAGAGATCACGGGCGAGGTCGCGGGCGAGGTCGCGGTCGGCGTGCGGGAACCCGATGCGGAGTGTGTGTACGCGCGGAAAGGGCGCGGCGGGCGCGGGCTATCCGTACACGGGCACCTCGAGCACCTCGAGTGGGAGAGCGTGGATGCGAGACTCGTCAGCATTGGAGCCAGAGTGAGGACAGTGAGTGAGGAGGAGAGAGTCCAGGAACGTACTACGTCACGCTATCTGCCTTAGGGGCGAGACTCATGAAGAGAACTCCACAGACATAGGGAGGACTTCCACTTGCCCCTCTCACGTCGCCCATCGAGGCCGTCTCTGTGGCGCAGTTCGGCAGCCGCGAACTTTCCAGCACACGGTGCACCGTGTTGTTATGATAAAAGCGGATCCTTACAATTAGTATAGTACACAAGAGCCATTCAAGTCGAGCAACTACGTAGTACGTACACACTCTTCATCACATTGCATGTCCAAGATAACCAAGAAATCGTAGCTTAAAATACAGCCTCGCTCTTACCGTACAGACGGAATCCCTTCGACAAGCATTGTCATTGAAGACCATCCGCCGTGTGCTGATAGTCGACCCCGAGTTGCCCTAAACTGTTGATCACGGACAGAAGGTGATGGTGTAGTCCGCCTTGAGGCCGGACGGGCAGGTCCAAAGCGCGGTCCCGCTCGGCTCGTCGAACGCAAACACGTACGAATTCTTGCACCTGCTCTCTGCGTACCGATATCGTCAGTATCGGACCCGCTTCTCTCTGCGTCGGGGCACGCACTGAAGTAGTCGTAGAACTGCACGCCCCCCTTCTTGCACGTGTTGGGGGAGCTGTGACTGCCGGTGCAGCAGTTCGGGTCGTTGTCTGCGCGCGCGCGCGCGGCGGGCTATCAGCGCCAGCAAGCGCACGCCTCCAGACTCAAAGGGGCACGTACTGGGGTCAGGGGCGAGGTGAGCCTCGCAGGCGCTCTTGCAGCCTACGGCCTTGCCGCTCTTGTCGAAGGGGCCCTTGAGCGGCTTGGGGCCTGCCAAACGTTCCGTATCAGACACACTGAGGAGGAGGAAGAGTAAATACGTACAGTCCGGGTTGAGGTCGACCGGGCAGCTGGCGACGTGGCACTTGTCCTGGTGGTTGTTCGTGATGCTCATGGGCAGGTTGAAGCCGTCGACGACCGAGACTGTGATGTGACGGAAGAAAAAAAGCCAGGCGGCCGGTCAGCGCCAGTACAACCTGTCAAGAGGAAGGCCATTGACCATCGTAGTTGTCGAGGTTCCCCGCGCCGCTGAGCGTGAACTCGGCGAGGGTCGCGGGCGGGACGCCGGTGCCGGTCTTCGCGTCGCACACGAGGCCGCCGTTGCAGCCGCCGTCGACGCACGAGTTCGGGCCCGGGTTCGGGCCGCTGAAGTCGCAGTCGCGCCGGCCCCAGATGCGGCCCTTCTGCCAGTTGTCGGGCACGGCGAAGGAGACGGTCGTGTGCGCGCCCTGCTTCCAGCCGTTCGGCCGCGAGGTGATCCTGCCGGGCGAAGTCTGGTCGGTGAAGATCTGTCGAACGCGTCGGGGGTCCCGGTCAGCAACGAAGCAGGGGTGCTAGGACGACAAGGGTGTCGTACGGCGGGCCTGTGATGAGAGGGCATGGTAAGAAGATGTAGTACACCAACGTCGGCGAAGCCTAGGCCCTACGGACCAGATGGTAAAAGAACACTTGTTGACCACGTGGAAGGTGCGAGCGGAAGCTCCTGCGACGAGCGCGAGAGCGACGAAGGTGAGCTTCATGGTGACTGTTTGGAGGCACGAGAGGGGGGAAAATATCCTGGGGGATTCGCGGTCAGTTCTTGCTCGTTCTTATACCACCCGCGAGCGACTCTGAGACTGCCGGTACCACCGCCACTGTCCAGTTTGCTTTGATAGTCATGCAGAATCGCGTCACAAGGCACGTCGTGTCCGACGGAGTCGCTGCGCCGCGCCGTATAGCGCCTTCCCGATCTGTGTCTTCGCCGGTCTGTCTGAACGTCCTGCACCGGCTGTTTTAGTCGGCCTCCAACCACTGGAATGAAGACGCTTACCCGCAGTACAACAAAAATGAAGGGGCACCGGATTCAGTGCCTCATTACACCCAGACGAGGATAGTTCTCGGCACAGCTTTGGGGCGCCGTCAGGACTTTGGTGAAGAACCTGTGTCAGCTCACACACTGACCACAAGAAACATTTGATGCTGTCTCGTGATCACAATCGGAGCCGAGAGAGCTCAGAAGTGGAGGTAACAGTGTCGGCTGGAAAGATTCATTACAACTATACCTATACGAGCTCGGAATTAATGATGATGTATGCATCGCATCAAGTGAGCAGGGCGGCGGACTGAAAGCGGGAATACATCCGCTGGTCTTCATGGCCTTGAGGTTATCAGAGGCCATGTCGCGCAACAGTCACCATGGTGCGTGAGCATTGGAGAATGGCAAGGAAGCACGCACGACGAAGGTTTGCGAGAACTTGTGCACTGGCACTAGAAAGTTCATTTGTTCTCGGCATGTGAGTGGAGCTCCGCCCGCGAATGACCAAAACCAATCAGAGCACCTTCGGCGTGCGACCTACTTGGCTCCATCGTAGCTTGTTCAACAGCTGGACAGGCATTGTGGGGCCTAACGCCTCCGGCTCGATGTGCCTCGGGCCAGGTCCTAACGTGGCAAATGGTTGGTGTGTCAATGAGACAGCCTGGGAACTCGGCGTATAGGGAGAACGTAGACGGACCTTCCACATGAGGGTTCGCATCCAGGTCTGTGCACCGTCCGTATCCGCCCGGAAAACATGCGCGATCTAAAGCAGGTACTAGGCCAGCGAGCCAGCACGACAGTTTTACTATCCGGAGCGCGTGGGTATGCGGACGGCAACTGAGCCCCTCATCCAAAGTTGATAATGGAAGAATAGCCAAGGAGAGCGTCGAAGTACGCTCGTGCTCGTTGTGTGAGATTAAGGTAAGCTAGGAGTTGCCGAGTGAGAAGAGCTGCCATTTGGGCGTTTGATGACGGATGTGGACTGCGGCAACCGGCCGGGCCGATTCAGTGAGATGCGCTTACGTACGTCCGACGCGCGTCTCGCCGACTCACCACGACAGCGATTCGAATTTCGAAACCCGCGCCCACGCCCGTCGTGTCTTCGACCACCGCTCCCGCGAATGTCGTCAACCAGTTCCAAAGGGGCACCAGCCAGCCCGCTTCGCTCGCACACGAGGACTCGCGGGAAGCACAGGAAGCGTGCCTCGTGGCCTCCCCCTTCCTTCATACGTCGCCCTCGTCCGCATGGTCAGGTCAAAATGGCAACCGCAATGACATACGCTCGCATGCCAGGCGCAAGGCGCCGCTCTGCGCAAGGTTCGGATGCTGCGGCAGCGAGGGAAACGGCGGGTTGCCTGTCTGCTGCCCACCCCCCAACTCGATAAGATGTCCTGTCCGAGCCTCCGTGCTATCCATCTCATCGTCATCGCCATCCTCCTCCGTGAGCTCCTCTACACCGTGATCTCCTTCCTTCCGCTCGCACTCTTCGCCGTTTACATCAGCTACTTGGTACAACATGCCTGACGCCGTGACAATGGGAGACGCCGTGGACGTCGGGACTGTTCAGCAGTTCATCGGGACAATGCGCACGACCTTCCGGACGTTGTAAGTCTCTCTTCGTGTCTTGTGTTTGGAGAGGGGCAGCTCTCACGTTCATGCAGAGATGCAACGTTCAGTACGTTGCACGAGCAGTCCGCAAGGATATCCGAACTCGGACCCACGACTGTAAGATAGCCGTTTTCATGCTTTGCACGATGAATGACCCAAGCCTCCGGTCATTCATAGGAAACTGTTGACGCGGAGATTGTCCTTCTGAGGGATCAATTGTCTCTCCACCAAAGCGCGCAGACCGAGCGTGTTACTGCGATAAAATACATTCTCAAAAACGAGGTGAAGCACCAAACGGCAGACTCGCTCAAGTATGCAGCATCTTCCCCCGTCGACGACATGTGGCTGACAGATCTCACGGCACTGCACAGGACTGAAATCCGCGAGTCGATCAAGCTTGAGATCGAGAGAGAAGTGAAGCGACAGGTTGATGAGCAGATCGGCGAACATATCCCAGTCCCCCTGCCGCAGCAGCGGGAGGACTTTCGGACGGAGATTGCCGATGTACGGCGTGCATTCGATAACGCGTACGTCCTCTTCTTCCACCAGCCCTCCAATGCTCAGGCTCCATCATGGTCCACTCCTCCCCGTCTTGCGGTAATCAGAGAGGCGAGACGGAAAAATGCCCTCATCAGGCCAAACCCGGACAGTTTGAAGGACGAGCTAGCCGTCGTCTCCAAACCCGATGGTAGCCGAAGCAAGCAGTACCCTGCTAATCTGAATTCTCTGTTTGCCTATAGTGGTATGTGTCGTCTTGTTCTCTGTGATCCCCTTGGAATACTGATCTCTCCCGGCTTTGCTCTGTCAGCCATACAAGCACAGCGGCTGCTTCGGGATTTCGAGCTCCACGACGACGGTATGCTCGAAAGGAACCTTAACCGGTTCATGTCACATATCGGTGCGCATCTTTGATAGGCCGTTCGAACACTATGGTTGATTTTCACATCTACTACGCTTTCCCTATAGGGATCCGTTTCGAGCTGGTCCCCGTTCCTCCGACGCCTGGCGGCTCTGCATCGGCCGGGGTATCGGCTGCTGCTCTAGTCTCAAAGTCCCCTACCAAGTAGCCCCCGGTTCGTACTTTTTTGGCGTTTGCTTTCTCCTTGCACATCTGGACTCCGATTCGGTGGATTTGTTGTATCAGTGTGTACCGTAGAGTGACGATCGTGACGACATCGAAAGGACTTTCTCCTCTGCTCCTGCCTCCAGCTCCACCCCCACTTACAGTCTCAAGAACCTCCGCTCTCCGCATGTAGTATCATCACCAAACCCAACGCAGTACACGCTCCGTCGCGCCCGACACTGTCCATCCTCGCTAGGAACTTGTCTACGTCTCTCGAAACCGGACCGCGGCTCGCAAGGCGCGTGCGCCCCCGTCAAATGGTGCTGCAGGCTCGGTCGTGAGACGCGCGACCAGCGATGTTCGGTGACATCATGCTCGCCCGTCGGGGTTCGCCATCACTCATCGCGAGAGCACCGTGATGCCCACCGCGCCCCGCACCCGTTGAGGCTTGCAGCATCAAGTCTCGACGCCCTGGCCAGCGATCCGAGCACCGGTACCGCGGCGGACGCGGGTGGTCTGCGGCCCAGAATCGAGATGCAGAGAGCCCAGTGCTTCCCGACGTGAAGTCGCAAGACGGCGAGTCTGGGACGTCCGGCTGGCACCTGCGAGACTGTCTGGAGTCGGTGCCCGCATCGACCACGGAGAGTGCCTCCCGCGCTATAGCTACTCAGCCCCAGAAGATGGTTCGGTCGGCTGCCCCGCGCGACCAAGAACCGACCGTGTGGGGTCCGAATCGACCCACAGGCCACCGGCAAGGCCGGTGGGCCATCTGCGTTAAGGAGTGAGAAGACGCGGCAACGAAAAGGAAGCCGGTAACAAGGTCGAAGTCGGACAAGACGATTTTCGAGCACCCAATTCTTTATTCATTGAACAGACGAGCCTGGCGGAGTGGACAAGATACTCCGCACAGTCGTCGTCCTATGTACAACTAGGGTACGCAGGAGAGCAAAAAGAACAAGAGGGAGGGAACAAAAAATCCGCCTTCTGCATATACTTCAACAATCGGCGACCCGTCTGCAACAGATCCTCGGCATCAGCATCCAAGCACCATCGTAGAAGGAGAAGTTACTCACAGGTCGCCGGTCCTCGCACGCAATGCGCCCCGCACACCCCGCACCGCCCGCGCCGCCTGCCCCAGGCAGAGCGGCGTCTTGACCGGATCCGGCGTTTTCCCCCCCGCGGCATGCGTCGCGGCCCGCCCCGACGCCTCACCACGACGACGACGGGGCTCGAGCTTGGCCGGACAGCGGGAGGTCCAGGTGCGCGCGCGCGTACCGTCGGCCTAGACGGCGCAGGTGGTGTGGACAGTGACCGTGCGCGCTACGAGGCGGGCTCACACTGCCCGCGCGCGACGAGAACGAGAGCGGTCGAGGCTCTCGGGCGAACTTTGCTCTTGTAGTTGTCGGCGTCGCCCGTCCTGCGCGGAGGTCAGCGGCGAGTCGCGACGGCCGAGCGGAGGGACTCACCGGCGGTATAGAATGCGGCGCGGCGCGCAGGCCACCGCGCCGCGAGCCTTGAGGCACGCGCACACCCCGCGCGCCCACCCTGCTGTTGCAAGCATGGGCGCGCGGTGCTGCTCCCCGCCAGACGTTCGCCTGGCGGTCCAGCAGGCTTTTAGCGCGACGCCCCTTGATAGGGATACCGCGAGCCAACGCGACAGCGGCGGTGCCAGATTCGACATCCACGCGCCTTCGCGCCGGTGGGGCTAGCCCGGGAGAGAGTCGGCGTGTCGTCTCCAGCGCGCTGCGTATGACCGTGGCGCAGCGTCGTGTGGACGCTGCCGGTCTCGTAGACGATGCGCGGTGACCAACCGGACTGCTGCTCGCCGGGCCGCACGACACACCCCGTTCAACACCCTTGGCGGTAGCACCAAGAAGTGTAGCCATGGGTCGTGCTCGAGAGCGCCGCGACGAAGCCGACCTTCGCTAGCAGATGGTGCCTGCGGAGGAAGGCTTGCCGCGATCGCCACCATATCCGTGCTTGCCCTCGTCGACGCGCGTGCGAAAGCGGATAGCAGCGTCGAGCGAGGCGGGAGACGAGTGGCGACCAGCCTGGTGGCACCAGCGCTGAGATCTAGGTGGTCAGCACGAGTGGGGCAAGATCGAAGTGGGGATGCTTACCGTGTGGCGTGGGTGGCGCACCGTTTCGACCGACGCTGCAAGAGGAGTAGTCGAGAGCGACGCAAGCAGTGGTCAGAGAAGACATGCCTTGTGCGATCGCGTCCCGACGAGGAGGATGAGAGTGGACACCGTCGCTGCCGTTAGGGCAGGTGGGTGCGGTTGCATAGTGTTTATGGCGGCATAGGTGGTGGTGCATAGACGGTGGCGATAGCGCCGAGGGAGAGTTGGTGGTGGTGGCAGGGCATGGGTGGCAGTAGGGTGGGTGGTGGTGGTGGTGGTTGTTGGGAGAGAGGAGACGAGAAGCGAGGGCTATATATGCGATCTCGGGCCGTCTCCGGATTGTCTGAGCGGAGATCAGTGGCACAGTGGGCGGTGTGTACAGGTCCGTGCGCAGACTCACCCTAAGACATCTATTGTTCTCCTTGCACGACGGGCAACGGCCCAGCTTCGGAGCCCAAAAACGCGTAGACAAAGCCTATCAAAGGTGTCATTTTCGGCAGGTGTTTTTCCAGGGGAGAAAAAGGGTGGGAAAGGCGAACTTTTATGTCAAGTTTGTGTATGTCGCAGAGTATCCTGAAAGGTGACGTTTTGGGCGAATGTTTCGGCCCGACAGAATACTATGCTCAGAACAAAGACATTATAATTCGTGGTAAAGGCAATAGAACGTGTATACTATGTGAGTAACAAACAAGTTAGTACGAGTGATAAGTAACGGGTGTTATTGAAATGGGCACCAAAGGTCTCTTTATCGATCCTTTTCGGCACCCCGTAAAGCACCCGGAAAAATTGCCCATTTTAGTGCCTTTTTCACACGCGCACAAAAGGCGGCAGAAAATACACCTTTGACAGGCTTTTTCTACGCGTTTTCGGGCTCCGAAGCTGGGCCGTTGCCCGTCGTGTTGTGTCCTCCACCGAGGTAAGGTGGACCCAGACTGTTGCTAGCCAATCACCTTCGCCAGCGCACAGGAACAAGGTGGCTTCTTGGGCGGCGAGAACGTCGCGGATGGGCTTTCTGAGCCTCAAGGCCTGTGATCGACCTGTGATCTCCTGTGATAGCCAACAGATAAGAAAGTGAGCCGGATTTTCGGATACAGAAGCAGATGAAGTATACCAAATGTGGGCATTCGTCTCCGAGGCGGTGAGCCTTGGAGACGTCAGCAGAGCGCTGACGGAGTCGAAAAGCGGAACATTTGACCACTTATCACGCCGTGAAAGGCATCCTGGTAGAACAAGGGCGGAAGTGGACCGTATCGGATTTGACGATGGCCGATATATCATATCAGCATCAGGAAGAGCTAAACGAGTGCTTGTTGTTTGACTTGTGTGGGCGGCCTCCGAGTCGCCGCTCACACCTGTTTGCAATTGCAACCGTTGGGAATGAATTTCGGCGCGTTCCACTCCAGTAAACGCTCTGATAGCAGAGACGTCATGTTGATAGAGCTTACCCTATTTCCTTCCCCTCCTATCATTCTGAGCTTTACAGAGACTCGACACGTGGTAGTACTTATCATGCTCGCAGGAACGTGGGACGGCGACTTGTTGGGTAGGTAGCAAGACAATACTTCCCGATACATGTGTGGTATTTCTCGATAGTTGAAGGATCGAGTCGATCAGGAGGAAGAAAGCTGACTGCCCTGGCGCGGAAGCGAGGAACGAGCGACTGAGACAGGTGCTAGTCTACGGCGGGAGGAGCGGCGGAGAGCAGACGCCCACGGCTTGCCTCCAACCACGACGCTCCTCCCGCCGCATCGTCCGCCTCCTTCCTCCCTCTCTCCTCCATCGCCTTTCCTCCGTCAGCTCGGCAAGTTCTTTCGACCCTTTGATCATGCCCCTCTCGGACGATCAGCAGAATGCGATCCTCGGGATCTTGGGTCCGCCTCCCCCTGATCCAGGCAACGAGGTTGCCCCTGACTACGCCGCGGACCAACATCAAGTTGAACGCCAAGATCTCATCGACCACAGGACCTGCGCGGACCATGCTGGCGCTGCGGCCATGCTCCGCACCGTTTGGACTTTGGGCAAGCCGGCACGCCAGGCTGCGTGGGACGACTATCAGGCACGTCTCGCTCTCCTCGAGGATCTCGACACCTTGCAGCCCCCCTCCCGTGGACCCTCCCCACCCCCTGAAGGCCCTCCCGCTCGCTCCCGATCCCGCGGGCGTACCCGGACACGCACAGGGCCGACGACCAATGCCATGGGCTCGACGTTCGACAGCACGTTGCCCGTGATCGACACCCTCGACAACCCTTCCTCGTTCGCCATTGCGCAACTCGCGAAAGGCGACTACGTCTTCATGTGGTATTTCTCGGCAGATGGGATGAGGGACCAGGGAGGCCAACGCTTCGCTCAAGCGATCGGCCAGTCAACGTTCAGCCTCGAAGGAACCCTCGACACCACAACCAACACCGTCAACTGGTCCCGAGCCCCGACTGGGGCGAAGCGCAGCACCAACGAAGTTCGCGACGCCGACATCACCTTTGAACAGTTCGTCGAGGCCAAGCACACCCTCTGCGCACAGTATGAGGCTGCAGTCGCCGATGGCAAGCGCGTCTACTCTGATCAGTTCGTACGCATGTGCCGGAAGCTTTTTGGGTTCGTCGAGCAGCACAGCCTGCGCAAGCACGACCCTGCTTTGGGCTGGAAAGCCTTGGCGTCGTACGTCGAACGGGTTCGCATCAATATCCATCAACGGCTGGTCCGGAAGGAGCCACTCCCAGACTTCGGTGTCCTCGACGATCGCCGCATCGAGACCATTCACCGCGAGCTGTCCATCCAGCAGATGGCATCCATGCGGGCCGCACATCTCCAAGAGCTAGAGTCCGTGCGAAGCTCTTCTACTGTGCGTGTCTTTGTTTTCTCAGTTTGCCTGTGCTTTCGCTCACTCTCTGTCTTCCTTTTAAAAACATGCACCACGTCGCTGTTTTGTCCAACCTATGGTGCCCTCTCTCCCGCGCGCGCTCTCAAATGGCCTGCCCATCGGCGCGCGCGTTTTTTCCTCCGCGTCACCCCAACGCCCTTCGTGTCACCCAAACACATGCCTATGCCTTTGGCCTCCGCGCGTACTTCACTCGCCGCCTCCGCGTGCCCAACGCCCTTCATGTGCTGCAGTCGCGCTCGCGCTACAGCTCCCCCACCCCAGGGCAGTCACACGGTCCCAAAACTCGCTCCACACGAGGGGCCGAGGCATCCTCTTCCGCCGGCACCTCGGTTTTTGTCCCCGGCCACGCGTCCTCGACCAGCGCGTGCGCCGTGTGTCTCGGTCGACACCACCACAACGCTTCTACCTGCGCCGCAACCGAGCTGCACCACGCCCCCGGCACACCCACGTTCGTCAAGCGTGGGGCGGATGGCCGCGGTTTCTCCACCTCCAGCGGTGGTCAGATCTGCCTCCGCTACAACCTGCCGAAAGGATGCCCGAACAAGGACCCTTCCAAGTGCCGACCCCACGTCTGCAGTGGTTGCGGGTCAACCGCTCACTCCGCTCAGTCTTGCCATCTGTCACGTGCGCCAACACAACAGTAGCCCACTCAATGCAGACGAGTGGGAGCGGGAACTCCGTACCTTCGGACTCCTCGACCGCTACCCCACGCTGCCTCTCTCAATTCGGCAGGGGTTTATCGTCGGCATTCCAACAATCTCCATGCAGTTCACACCACCTAATCGCCCCTCGGTCATCGACCACGCCAACCACCTGGAGGAAATCGTGTGCAAAGAGCGCAGGCTCGGCCGTTACCTTGGACCATACACCTCTGACGAAATCCAATCCGTTCTCGGCCCCTTTCAAACGTCCCTCTGTCCATCATCCCTAAACCGCACAAGCCAAACTCGTTCCGCCTCATCCAGAATTTCTCCTTCCCACACGAGCCCCGCAACGGTGTCTCCTCGATCAACTCGGCCATGGACGCCAGCTCATATCCTTGCACCTGGGGTACGTTCTTCGCTGTCGCGCTCATGTATGCCATGCTTCCCCCGGGGTCACAAGCCGCTGTCCGTGACGTCCGCGATGCGTATCGAACTATCCCTTTACACCACTCGCAGCTCGCAGGCACTGTTGTCCGCACAGGTGACAACTCCTTTGAGGTGGACACCTGCGCAGCGTTCGGGTTATGCTCTTCCGGGGGGTTTATGGTTTTGTTGCCGACATTGCCTGCGAGATTTTTCGCGCCCACGGCCTTGGCCCTGTCCTTCATTGGGTCGATGACCACTTCTGGGCACGAGTTCTTGTGTCCTGGCTGGCTGAAGCAAACATGCGCCGCGCCGCTGCGCGTGACCGCATCCGGAGTCGAGGCGCCCGTCGGACGCGAGGGGGACGTCTCTGGTGGTCAGGGGATGCGCTCCCTGATGGTCGCATCGAGGAATTCATCGAGGACTTCTGCTGCCCACTCCGGGATCATTCCACATCTTCCCTTCGCCCTGACGCTGATGCGTCCTATGCCTACTCCTTCGCAGACATTGATCGCGTGTCGCTTCCACTCGGTTATGTCTGGGCGCCGGAGAAAGACCAGCTTTGGTCGTCCACACCGGACTATACCGGCCTGTCCTACGATTTCGCTCGTGGCACTGTCGCTCTCCAGCCTTCAAAGCGGGACAAATATCTCACCGTGCTGGACCTTTTCCTGGCCTCCCCTGTGCCGGCTCACAACCTCGACGCCATCCAGAGCCTCTATGGCAAGCTCAATTTTGCATGCTCCACAATTCCTGATGGACGCGCTTACCTTACGGGACTGGAGGTCGCAATTTCCAACGGATCTGACCGTCCTCACGTCGCACGGCACCTCCCCAGATTCGCGCTCGACGACCTCCGATGGTGGCATGCTCGACTTCTATACGGCAACATCGAGCGTCCAATCCCTGTCCCGGTCGAGGTCTTTGACCTCCTCGCATACTCCGATGCATCCTCCGGTGTCGGAATCGGGATCGTCATCCAAGGCCGTTGGCGTGCATGGAGAGTCCTTCCCGACTGGAAGCAAGACGGCCGTGACATCCAATGGCTCGAAGCCGTCGGGTTCGAACTACTCGTTCTTGGACTTCTACAGCTCCCCGACCTCCCACCCAACGTGGCCGCCCATGGTGACAACACAGCCGTCATCGGCGGATGGCGCAAAGGACGCCAAGCGAACCGCTGGGTCAATGCATGTTTCCGCCGACTCAATGTTGTCCTTGCAGCCGCACGTGTCGCGATCCATGCGCGCTACGTTGCCAGCGCTGCGAACCCTGCCGACGACCCGTCTCGTGGAATCTACGGCCCAACTAGCCTCCTCCTGCCACCCATCCGACTCCCCGACGCGGTCTCTAGCTTCTTCGCCGACTGGAACGCCCCGCCGCAACCCTCAGAGCTCGCCGCACCAGCGCACGCACTCCCCAAACCTCCACGGGACCCCGCCCGCGCGCTCGACGCTGACCGTGCAAGCTCCGAGCGCACTGCCCACATCCTCGTCAACAGCCCTGCCTTCTACTGGGACGAACTCAACGCGTTTTAATCGTGTCCTTCCACCTCGCCCTCACGTGTTCCCTCGGCCCTACGCCCCCGACCTGTCTCCTCGCCCTCATCCATGCCGTCCACATGTCGCTGCCAGTTCGCGACTGACCGCCTGGTCCCCATCCACGTCATCTCTGGTGGTCACCGACGGGCCCGTGATAAGCCCACCTCGTGCGGTTGACGTGCTTTCGCGCGCATTCGACACCTCTACGGCGACTACCTACGGCTCCGGTCTTCTACTGTTCCACATCTGGGCTGACACCCACGACGTACCTGAGCATTTGCGCGGTCCCATACCTGAGCCAGTCCTCCTCGATTTCCTCCAATCACTCATTGGCTCGTACTCCAAGTCCGCTGTCCGCAACACGTTCCATGGCATCAAAGCTTGGCACAAGATCTGGCAACTCCCATTCTCGTTTGACTCTCAGACCCGCTCGCTGCTCCTCCGCTCCGCAGAAGACTCTGCCCCAAGCACCTCGTCTAAGTCCCGCCGTGATCCTTTCTTACTTGAACACCTCGCCCGCTTGTTCCCTCTGTTCGACACCAGCTCGTCCCTCGACCTTGCCTGCCGCGCTGCACTTTCAACAATCTTCTGGGCAACCGCTCGTAACGGCGAGTTCCTACTACAAAGCCAGAAATCTTTCCACCCGAAAAACCACGTGCAGCTCTCTAACGTCTCTTTCAACACGCGAGATGGTGGCGTTATCGTATGCACCATACACCTCCCACACACAAAGACCCATCGTTTCGACGGTGAGGATGTTTATTTTGCCTCCCAACCCATGCACGATCCGGTCCGCGCCCTCCGTGAACACATCGCCTTCAACAAGCCCGGAAAGGGTGAAGCACTCTTCTCACACACCATCCGCAGCTCCCGTCGCCCGCTCACGCTCCGGGCCTTCACGGTGCGAATCCGTGCTCTCGCCGCGGAGTTCAACTTCGGCACCCCTTCCGGCCACAGCCTGCGCATTGGCTCCCTCCTCTGCTACGCCCTCAACGGTTTCTCTCTCGCCGATTGCATGGTCAAGGGGCGCTGGCACTCTCAATCCTCTTTCCAGCTCTACCTGCGCAAGCACGCAGACGTCCTCCAGCCCCACCTTGTTGTGCTGCCACACGTGTGGGACGACATCCAGCGCGCGATGATGCAGGTCCGTTGTCCCTCTGCTCCTGTCTTCTTTGGGAGTCGTCAGCCTCGCCCGACGCGTCGCGCCGCTCCTGCCCCGTAATGGGACTCGTAGCTCACCCTCCTCTCTCACAGAGCCAAGCTCAGGTTGTGCCTCAGAGCACCGCGAGCTCAGCGGAGCCCGCGCACGCCGCGCGCGGGGATCTCAGCCACGCGCGCTAACACGCGCCGCGTGCGCGCTGCCGCAGAGCACGCGATCCGCTCTTGTCCCATTTGGTGTCCTTCCCACTGTACTACTACCACGAAATACATTTCGCCCGCGCACTAGCTGGCGCGTCCACCATAGAGCGTCCAGAGCCGGACGCCGTAGATGACTGCCCTGGCGCGGAAGCGAGGAACGAGCGACTGAGACAGGTGCTAGTCTACGGCGGGAGGAGCGGCGGAGAGCAGACGCCCACGGCTTGCCTCCAACCACGACGCTCCTCCCGCCGCATCGTCCGCCTCCTTCCTCCCTCTCTCCTCCATCGCCTTTCCTCCGTCAGCTCGGCAAGTTCTTTCGACCCTCCCACCCTCTGCCTTCTCTTTGTTTTGTCTCTGCCCTTTTTGTTTGGCAGGCCTTTGCTTTGCCCTGTGTTCGGGACTCGTAGCTCACCCTCCTCTCTCACAGAGCCAAGCTCAGGTTGTGCCTCAGAGCACCGCGAGCTCAGCGGAGCCCGCGCACGCCGCGCGCGGGGATCTCAGCCACGCGCGCTAACACGCGCCGCGTGCGCGCTGCCGCAGAGCACGCGATCCGCTCTTGTCCCATTTGGTGTCCTTCCCACTGTACTACTACCACGAAATACATTTCGCCCGCGCACTAGCTGGCGCGTCCACCATAGAGCGTCCAGAGCCGGACGCCGTAGATGGACTTCCATCGACAGCTGCAGCGCCAGCGTTGAATACGTTTTGGTATCGCAGACGCCCGAGGGGCCTTGCGGCCCGGCAACGGCCCGGCCGACCAAATCGCTTCTCCGTATCGGCGTCTATCTATCGTCGTTGATTACCCTCAGCCATCGCCATTTCCAAGCTTTTCGAAGCCGCCTCCCAAGATGGGTTTTACATACGTGATCGGTGCGTTTTTGACATTATACTGGCGCCGTCTGATACGGTATCGATCACAGAACACATGGAGGAGGACGAGGAGACCCCCAAGTCCCTTCCTCGATGGGTTGAGCTAGAGTACATGGTGCGTCGCCCTTGGGGTACTTCCGTTGATCAGCATTAAAGCTCATACGGCTTGTTTTAAGCACATGCGCGCATTTGCCGGACATGGTGCTTCTGTTCACTTCACGCACCTTTCCCAGGGATCGTGCAATACCCTCTCAGACCTCTTCGCGAGCGACCCAGAGGGCACCAGCCCCCGCGCGCACGCATACGCCCATCAAACGTCAGTGATGGAGCTTATGGAAGCGCGGGGTGTGCCACTGGACAAAGTGTGTCTCTTGGATCCTAAGGCAGAGAAAGAGATTTCGCCTGAAGACGGCGACGGGAGGTTCGAGTGGTTCTTGTTCGGAGTGAGTAGCAGATCCCAACCTCCCAGATTGAATCATGCTTGCGTCTGCTAGCATTCTAGGCTCATTTAACGCAGGGTATACTGGGTGACGATCCTCCGCGTGACCGCACCTCCGAACTGCGCGTGCTTGGGTTCCCAACTCGACATCTAGGCCCAGTGCAAATGACGACCGACACCGCGCTCGGGGTTACCAAGATCGTCGTCAGTGACAGAAGTGAGTATCTTAAAACTCTTCCCGAGGCTTTACCTTTCGATTGAACCTCCATACAGCTCCTCTACCGGATATTCCATTCGTCGTAAGTACCGTCCACAACTCTGTAAAGGGCAAGCGCTGATTTTACCGTGTTGAAGGACTTCCCAACGATCGTGTTCAACTCCAAAGAGAGTGTCGAGATGCCTTTCAGTACGAAACCCTTTGGATGACATGCTCCTTTCTCTCACACAGCCCCGTTCTAGGGTATATCGCAAAAAACAAGGACCCGATCATGCCGCCTGGCATGCGAGAGCACCTAAAAGAAGACTTGGACAAGAGCTTCGACTTTTGATCCATACGTTGGTCGCGCAAATGGGGAGAAATGAAGACGCCGTTTAAAGTTCCGTAGAATTATCGTCACAATATGTACTTGTCCGCATCTCATAGAAATGTAACAGAACCAAACACCTCAGGCATACCGCACCACCCCATGCGCCCGCCCCGCGAACACTTGATCCGCCTCGCTCGCGGGCTGTTCCCCCGGGGACCTTCGGGGTCGCTTCACGTCGAGCTCGGCGTCGTACGTGCTGACACTGTCGCAAGAGATCTATCCAGGGTACCGCCATATCCCCAGCAGGCGTCGCCACTCACCCGCGATAACTCGACCCCCGCTTCCAGCCCCGTACCACCAGCCAGAGGATCACGAGCAGCAGCAGGAAGATGATGACCACGAGCGCGATGATGGCACCGACAAGGGCGCTCTTCTTGCAGCTGCTCGATGACTTTGGGGAGCCGTTCGAGGTCATCGTAGTCGTTGTGGAAAAGGCTGCGGAAGACGAGGAAGGGAAGAGGGTGCCGGTGTGCGAGGATGTGTGGCTCTGGGTGCCCACATTGGTTGGCAACTGGACCAGGGAATGCGTGGTGGGTGTGCTGGAAAAACGATGCTTAGATAGTGGTCCGTGCGCGAAGACATGGAGATGTGCAAAGACCTCCCACCTTGCGAAGGCAGTAGCACGGGTAGTGCGTCCCGCTGGCTCGCGACGCTCGACATACGCTTCCAGACCCGACGTCGCCTTGAGTGCCCCAGAGTCCGGGGAGAGAGGGCGAGCGCAGTAGTCCTGGATGGTAGCTCAGTTGGATACTGGGAGACCTAAATATAACGCCACTCACCTGTAGATCACCCTCGACCCCGACGACGGCCAAGGTCGCAGGTGCAGACCCGTTGCAAACCACGCCTGCTCTTGCGACCTCCGCGACGAAGACGAGCAGCCCGACCAGAACCGTGAAGAAGAAACGGGACATGGTTCGGCGTGGCTTGCCTAGTGGCGTAGTAGGAAGGCTGCGAAGACGAGAGAAACCTGGAACGGGATGGGTGGATGCTACCACAGTGGTCATTTTATACCCACCAGGTACCACTTGATCGGGCAGGGTGTCTGTTCTGCACGGCCTCTACATCTGGATAGGCATATAGACGGAGGACCAAGCGAGGCGAGTCGCGCAGCCGACAGGACTGTGTCTGTGCGAGCGCCGAGCGGCGCGATCCCGTTAGAAGCAACGTTGGTAGTGTCCTTGAGTTCCGGATATCCTTGAGCACGCGCCTTGGGTTCCATTCTAAGCGCGCCTTCTAGATGCGGCGAACGCCGTGTTGCGTTCTCATGGTCGGAGGCAAGGATGGACCGTTCGATGAAAGGGATCAGTGCCCCCTGCGTCCGATTTCGTGCATCGCCTTCAACGAAGCGAGAACTCAGAAGGGCCCCATGTCTTGTGCGCGCAGGCGTTGTCTCGGGTGACCGGTCTTGTGCGAAGAAGTGTGGGCGCCACGGGACGGCGTGTAACCCGACCACAAGCTATTCGGCGACCATCCCGATCGGAGAGAACAGCTGTTTACAATAAGCCAGTCGAGGATACCACAAATATTTGTCGCGGTGAGCATAGATATCGCGACTCGAGACGAGCACTCACAGAGTCACCGAAGGTGGCACGAGCCACTGTTCCCCGTGTTCAACGGATTTGCCGTTGTGGCACGCGTCATCGAGCAGATCCGGACATCACGCTCGGTGTGGATGACAGAGAAGGAGCCCAGATAGTATTGGGGTACATTAGTACTGCTGCACGGTACAAAACAGAGCGCATACATTCTTCCAGAAGCAATACGGACATGGGAATAGAAGCGGGGATGGGGAGTCATCGAAGAGTAAGCACAGCTCCGAGGGCGGTATATACAAGAGCATCCATGGGCCGCCGCGCACGGCGCCAGCGGCAGGCGTCATGGTCCGTCAACAGGCACGACCTTGGTCAAGGGGGGCACCCCAGAGAGGCTGGGCTTCTCAGAAAGCGTGCCGCTGCCCAGGCGCGAGGGAGGGAGGGGAGGGAGATGCGTAGATGAGGGCGCGTCGCGGGAGGAGAAAGCGCCGCCGGATCCCATCGCGATCGGTGCGATGTTCCCGCTCTCAGGTATCGGGAATCCGCCGAGCTTGGGTAGCGGGGCCTTCGCGGGACCGGGCGATACTGGGCGAGGACCACGCACAGGGCTGCCATGAGGGTGTGGGCTGTGAGGATGCGATGGGGGCGGAGAGAGTGGGCCTCCCAGTGGGGCGCGCAAGTGGGTGGCGCGGACGGTGCCACCAAAGTTCGGGCCCGACGGGCTACCCGGTTGTGGAAGAGCGCGGCCGGGTGGGGAACCGAAGGCGGCGTGGAATGAGGGAGCAGGTGAAGGGTGCGTGTGCCGACCGACCGATGACGGGCCGCCTGGGGGGTGAGAGGAAGATCCAGGACGGTGCATGCCATGGTCTTGCTCAGACCAGGAGCCTCGTCGCGAGGTGGGGAGGGAAGGGGGGATGTTAGAAGGCCCGTTGCTTTGTCCCACGGACCTCCTGTGGGTGGACCCAGGCGTGCTTCCTTGGTGCGTCTGTGAGGGGGGCCCGATTGTAAACGGTGTCATCAAACGTTCATGTTGGGGCGGACCCAACGGACCTGTTGCTTTCCCTTCGTCCCGTTCCCAATCTCGGTCGCGAATACGGTCGCGATCTCGTCGTGGAGCGTCGCCTGCGTTGGGAGGAAACCCGTCCTCATTCTTCCAAAACGCTGACATTTCGGGTTTGTGTCCTGGGGCAGCAAAGTCGATGACTTCTGTGGGAGCGCTCGACCGCGGACGACGCTGTTCGAATTCGCGTGCACTGTGCGGGCTAATAGGTCCTCCGTTTGTATTAGGAGGTAGCCCAGGGGGGCCGTGCTGGTGATGGACGTGGTGGTGGTGGACATGGTGGTGATGATGAGTATGGCCATGCCCAGAGTGGTGGTGACCGCTGCCCACCGACTGTCCTCCGTGTCCGTGCGGATGAGGGTGCTGGTGACCGCCATGTCGTCCATGCGCGTGAAACGCTCGCTCTTCTCGTTCCCGTTCCCGTTCCCTTTCACGCTCAGCCCGGTCCCTCTGCGCGATGACGTCGCCCATGCGATCGTCTCCGTTCATCCGCTTCGGCTCCTTGCCTCCCGGAGGACCACCGCTCGGCTTAGGTCCAGCGAACCCTGGTGGGACCGGTCCACCACCGATGGTCGTAGGCACAAGTGAGCTTGGACCGGCGCCGTTGCTCAGGGGGACTGGGGATATTGAGCGCCGCATAAGAGTAGACTGCCCAGGACCTGGACCGAAATGTTGCTGGGAAGGATGCCCAGGACCTACTGGTGGTGGACGACTTGCCATCATCTCTTGTTCCATTTGCATCTGAGGGATGTGCGAGAGAACGCCAGGAGGAACTGGGTGGTGATGGGGTAGGCGGGATGGGGGTCCGAAGCCTATGCCGGGCTGCTGCATGTGTGGCGGCGGAAAGCGGTTGGGACCGTCGTGAATCTGTACGTTCATCGCATGGATATCCATCCCGTAAGGCGCTCCTCCGCCGAGCACGTTGCTCATGAGCTCTGGACCACTGCGGTGAGGATTGTAGACCATGTGATTGCGGTGGCTCATGATCAGTTCCAAATCTTGCATGACCTCGGTACGCGAGAGCTCGGAGAGGGTAGGATAGACCAGGGGAACGTTCGGAGGAATGCCCCTCTTGCGATGACGCCTGCCAAGAGGTAGTGCCGCGTCGGGAAGGCTGAACGGACTGGATTTGATGATGTCTCGTAGAGATGGAGCGAGGGGAACGTCGAGCTGGGGTTGAGGAAACACCCGAGCTACGCCAACGCTCAGAAGAATGTCCGCAGGCCAAGACGTTAATGGTACGCACCTGTGGGGGGCCGCTCCATAGCGCGTCGCTGACGCTCCAGCTCACGTTTCTTCCCATTAGTCTCCGAAATCATTTGCTTTTGCAGCTGATCGCGCTCATACTGAGGAACGCGAGATGTCGTTAGACACTTCACGCGTACAGCAACTTCCCACGTACCCTCCATGACGTCCATGCTCCAGTTTCGTCCAGTTTACGCCTCTTCGCTGCATTCGCAATCTCAAAGTCTCGTCTACGAGAGGCGAGTTCCATACGCTTGTCTCGTCGACTGTCCAATTCCGTATGGAGGTGAAGTAGTTCCGGGTGGGTACCTGGACCACGCAACCAACAAATGAGAAACGATACGTTTGGTAGCAGTAAGCCACGCACCCTCAACAATAAGACCCTCCTCCCACGCCAATGACTCCATCTTCTCCACGTACAGTCGCTCCCGAAGAAGCGCGAACCTGAGTTCAATTTGAGCGAGGACGTCCAGAGCTTCGGCGCGATGAGCGGGTTGCATATCCGAATCCAGGTCCATGTCTGGAGTGGCCACGTCCATATCGTCCGCGTCTAGGCCATCCGCATCGTGCATGTCTGCCTGTTCGCCATCGACATCGTTCTCCGCGAGCTCGGCTGGGACCGCGCCGCGAGGACGTCGCGGCGCGCGCGTGCGGCCACCCTTGCCCTTCCTGGTCCTCACGTTGCGGGCAGGCTTGCGCTCCGGCTCGGGTTCAACTTCTGGCTCGGACGCGACCTCTGGTTCGGGCTCGGGCTCCGCGGATGAGGCGCGCGAGCCGGATCGAGAAGAGGCTTGAGAGGAGCCGAGGGAAGGGGGCTGGATAAGGCTCGCGCCGGCCATGATGGACGACACGGCGACGGCGACAGGGGACAAGAGCACCGCGGGAGCCTCATCGACATCCATGGTCGCGTCGGGATCCGCGTCCACCGCGTCCAGGATGCCTTCGGCGGGAGTGACAGCCTCGGCGGTAGGTGGCTCGTCAACGTCGGGGATGTCGACGTCATCGGGGACCGCGTCTTCCTCGTCTTCCATCATGTCTTCGTCGTCTTTTACGGCCTGCTGGTCGTCCAAGGGTTCTTCAGGTTCATCTTCAGCAACGTTCTCGTTCTCTTCGTCGGTGAGGTCAGGCGACGCCACCGCTTGGGGGGAAGCGAGAGCAGTGGGCTCGTCCGCCTCGTCGAGCTCGCCTTCCTCGGGCTCTTCGCCTTCATCGGCAGAGACATCACCATTGAGGTCCGTCTGAGGGTGAGGGGATAGTGGTTCATCGATGTATTCGCTCCCTTCGTCGAGCTGGTCGTCGTCGCCGTTGACGTCGACCTCGTTGTCGGTGAGGGGATCGTCCTTGTCGGGGTCTGGGGTGAGCTCACGATCGGAGAGGAAGCCCTTGTCTTGATCGTCGTCTTCTTCTTCTTCCATGGCCTTCGCGGGGCCGGCTTGCTCTTCCTCTTCCTCCTCCTCTAGCAGCTCGTCGCGCACATCCGGCTTGTCCTTCTTCTCTGGCTTCTTCTTCATGGCCCAATCCCACATCGGCTGGGGTACTATGCGGTCGCGTGGCCTCTTCTTGGTCCGCGAGGTAGTGCGAACATCGTCCTCGCGGGCGTCGTCTTGTTCGTCCTCCGTGAGCTCGGAAAGCTCTGAGCCACTGTCAAGGGCGGCGTGTTGGTCGTCGTGGGTCTCTGGATCGTCGTGGGGCGGGGGTGCGGGAGAGGGGGAGGGGGAGCTGAGGGACTCTAGCGATGGCGAGGAGCCGGGCATCGTCGTCGGGGACGACGAGGAGGACGGCAAGGACAGGGAGAGGAGGGCGGACGGCAAAGTTGGGTCTGCCACCGTCGCCCGTCTGGCCGCTGGATCGGCGCGTGGGCGAGCGCCGGCACCTGCCGAGTGATCTTGCGCGCCTGGCCCGGACCGCCTGCGCGCCTTCCCTCCTCTACCAGAGCCACCACGACGCAGCGATGGTGTCCGCGGACAACCTCAACTTCGACTGCCTCGAGCTCATCTTCGCCTACCTCGCGGGGAACGATCTGGTTGCGGTATCGCTCGTCAGCAGGTCCTTCCTCTCCGCCGTCACTCCGCGGCTCTACAGGACCTTGACCTTCGGACTCCGTCAGGCCAAGCGCTACCCATCGGTAAGCTGGTTGTACGTGGCTCGCGACTGGTATTCTAACGCCATCCCAGATAATATCCCCCTTTGCTGCCATCAACGCGCACCACCAACTGGCCACCCATGTCAGACACATCGGTTAGTGCACGGTGCCTCGTTCCGGCAACTTATCGGCAACTTACCGATGCTGTACTCAGACATTCGCGCCGTGCCTACAGTCAAATTCTCACCTCAACCAAAATTTGTGGCAGACTGTATGCGCGCGATTGGCCTCTCTCAGAATCTCGGCTCGTTCACTTGCACTCTCGAGGTCGTGACGAGCTTTTTGCCCTCGCTCAAGGACAAGCCTTCCCTGGAAAGCCTCCGATGCATTGCCAATTTTACCACGGACCAGACCTCCCAAGCCGTCAAGATCCAAGGCCTTCGTTCACTGACGCTCGACTCGGGATCGTGGAACGTCGTTGATGCCCTTCCGGACTGGAGCACCGCGCTCACGCCTTCTCTGACATCACTGACTTTGACGGTAATCGATATTGTCAGATACATAGCATCGTCATTTGACTGACTTTCATGTTGATGTAGAACATGCCTACACTAAGCGTTGAGATCATGGAATCGACGCTCCCCAATCTCCCTTCGCTGGACTGTCTTCATATCCTTGGTTGTCCCAAGATCGACCAGAGCTCAATGCTACGCCTCTTGGTCCATACACCCCAACTCCAGAGTTTGGCATTCACAAGCTATGTAAGTCCTCTGGCGCTTCCGTTCATTAATGACCTGGAATGATTCACTATCGTCTGGCAGGAATCAGCACGTCAGTTACCCACCACGGTAACACCACTTGTCAACCTACGTCACCTCGCGATCGAAACGCAGAGTGTGACTACCCCCGGCAGCTCAAGTCCCGCGTTTTGGGTGATGATGATCAACATGACGAGAACATGGTCGTGCCCACTGAAGTCCATCGCGTTCAAGCTTCCCGACAAGATCGTCTTGGCCGACGTCGTCGTGAACAACCTCGTGTCCTCGCATCGCGCCACCCTCACGCACCTCGCGTTGCGCAACCTATCGTTATCGAGGGAAGGCGCGTTTGAGGTGTTCCGCGAGTGCACGGAGCTAGAGACGATCAAGCTCAGCCTCCCTAACAAAGATATCGTGAGTCATCAGCTCGAAAGGCGTTCTTACACGCTCACATATGTTTCCGTAGCATACATTCGCGCAAGCTCTCAGCCATGCGAAACGCGTACATACCATCACCGATATGGGGGACGTCCATGGGCCTTCAAGTCAACGTGCACCCATCCAGAAGACCGAGATCCGGGCTTTGATGGCCCATCAGGACAGTGTAGAGAAGATCATCGCAGACGGTCGAACATGGACGGTATGATGTCCCTTCTTGTTCCCCGTCTTGCGATGACCCGTCTAATCGCTTGACGTCCTCAGGCTGTCCGATGGCCTGGCAAGAGGGGCTTCGACATCCAAGTGAAGAAAAACGGGTCCGTTGCACGACATTGGTTCATGCCGCCCGCAGGAGTCATCGAGAAATGATCGATTCACTCTTGTCCTAAGATTCGCGCCCTGAACGATATCGGAAGTGTATGCTAGATAGACACTCTTGCTATAGCATCACAATGCTTAGTGGTTGCTTACGCGACGTGTCATCGTTCCTCTCCTGCTCTCCATCTCCACACATAACCGACGTGTTGGGCACCACCGCCGGCTCCGTTCGAACACGCGGACGCGGCTTCCACCCTTCCTGTCGGCTAGATCCTGATGTACATATGTCAAAGCGCAGAAGGGCCACAAACAGAGCTCAGCGATCATCAAGGCGTCGTGCTACGGCAGATCATGTTCGACAGAACGAAAGTCCGCATCGCGAAGCCGTGCCCCCGGAGCATCTTGACAAGCGGAGGCGAGGGGCTGCAAGAGGTTGGGACGGGCTGGGATGATGGATGTCTTGCCCGTCGTGTCTGCAGATTGAAGCACCGCTGGAAACTTGCTCCCATTTGCAAGGCCGCAAGGGGCCCACGACTCACTGTGGTCCGGCGGGGCTGTCCAGAGCGGGAGACCGCCGTTCGTCGTGTTCATGAGGGGAACGTAGGCCTTCAGGTACAGATTTCCTTTGGGCGCAATCGGGAACGACAAGACCGCAGAAGTCGAGAACGAAATCCCCGGACGCTCACCGAACGAGTCACCCCAGAGCGCAGAGGAGACGGTGCGTTGGCCGTAAGACGGTCGAGCGCGTGTCCTTGGGAGAGACGGCCGGGGACAAACCCAACTTCAAAGTCCGCAAGATGACCCCGGGCGGCCGTTCATCACTCCGTCAAGAACGAATGGAAGCAAGGCAGCCGGCCCACGTAAAAAAACCAGAGCCCTGGGCGATCGCACTAACGGCCCTTCCCGCCGTCAAGGCACCTTCCATTATGCACCACGGGGTTCTACTACACAATCAATTTGGCCGAGCTCACGACGACCCGGACGCCGCCACCGTGGGCTCCACGTCCTCCCGCTGGACCACCGTCTTGCTCAGCGTGCCGTTGACCTCCTCCACGACGCCGAGCTCGACGCGCGCGATCGTGAAGTTCATCTCGATCATCGAGAAGCCCATCCGGTGGCGCACGCGCGGCTCCCAGCCCTGCGGGAGGCGCTCCTCGAGCAGGAACGCGCGCAGGTCGTCCACAATCCCGCCAAAGACCCTCAGGATCAGCGCCGCGCTGTAGGGGCGTAAGGAACAACGTCAGTGCTGTTCGGATCCGACGACGGAGGAGAGGGGGGGAAGAGCGGGGTGGCACGGGTGGCACTGGCAGGAAGATTGGAGCGCGTGCCTCCCCCCGCTCGCGAACGAACGAAGGGTGCGCGCTAGCCCGGGGAGAAACCACGGCGCGAGAAGAGAGAGCGGGACACGCACTTGGTGGACCCAATGAGCTTCTGGCCGAGGGTGAGCCCGAACTGGGGGTTCGCGGCCTTGGCGCGCACGCGCCGCCGGCCGAGCACGGTCGAGAGGTCCGCGGGCACGAGGTTGCCCGCAGTGCCGGTGCCGCTCGCGAGGAGGTCCTCGATGATGTCCGCTGTCGGCGCAGACTGGTCGCCGTCGTAAATGTCCTGGCCTGTGCAAATTGCGCGTCAGCGGTCAGACGTTCGTGCTTGGCAGGCACTGGGGGACGGCGTTGTAAAACGGGCACTTACGGCAGAAAGACGCGTCGTGCTCGATCACGTTGTGCACGTTCACGTCCGAAAGGTCCATCGTCGCCGTCGCGGGGTCGCGGTTGAGGAGCTCGGCGGCCTGGCGGGAGAGGAGCGTGGCGAACGGGGTGGCGATGTTGAACGTCTTGTTGATTGCCCCCGGGAGCTCAGAGAAGCGGATGTTGCGACCGTCGCGGGCGATGATGCCTACAGTCACAAGGTTGGTTAGAATGCGGGGTTTTCGACACTGATAGATGTGGCCTACCATGGTTGGCCATGGCATTCAGGCCAGGACAAGGACTGCGCTTGGATCCGGCGGCAGGAGCGATATACTTGGGCCATTCTCCATTGAAGCCTGGGTGTCCGGAGGGTATGACCTTCCCTTGCTTGAGATCGGGTGTGAGGGTGTTGAAGAGGAGGAGCAGGAAGTCCCAGACGTAAAGACGTCCGAGAGCGAGGAAGTCGGAGAGGGAGGAGCAAATGACGAGGAGAATTCGCCTGATAGCGGTGATGAGGAACATGTTGAGCCGTTGAGCTCGATGAGGAGACAGATGCGCTCTGCCACTGCGCAAGGGGGTTTATATACTCGTGGCGCTAGTGGTGCGGCGGACCTCGCTCCCTGCGGGGTGAAGATTTGCGGAAAGCGGTGCGCATTGAAGTTCATTCTACTCGGTCGCGAGACCAGGGTGTTTGGGGGTTCATGAGGAAGGGAAGCCTGCGCCGACATTTGTTCCCGAGATTCATCGGCGACAAAGCTACCGGTGCGTCGACTATACGACGGGCGCGCACGGACCGTCAACATGCGACGCTTAGCAAAGGGTGGCACGGTCATGTACACTGGTTCTGAGTCCGAAGAAAGCTTAGTGGTTGTGGAACGGACCAAGAGCGACAAGGGGCGTATGAGCGCGTTTTACTATGCGCTGCCATGCTTGACGCGGCACTGGGCTTGGCCGTGGACAGCGGACAATCGCCGAGACGCCTTCGCCAGCGAGCGCTGGTTCAGCCGATATTGGTTTGTTGACCCTACAAATATGTAACGTCAGATCGGAAAGCCGTGTGGTACACAGACGAACATACAGACAGGCATTGAGATCTGTGATATCGTATTTAGGCGCCATACGTCAGCGCAGGCACACGCGCGCTGCAGGACCACCACGAACCTTGACTTCCCCGCCCGAGAATGGCCTCCCTCTCACTGAAGATCGAGTTTGGCGGTGGACTGGAACTGCTCTTCTCCAATCAACGCTCTCACAAAGTCTCTGTGCCCGCGTCCGTGCCTGTCGCTCCACCGGAGAGATCCAAAGCTCCGGCGGCCTCGACAGATGGCGGGGAGGGCGCGACAAAGCCGACCGACATCACAGCCCTCTTGTTCTGGCTTCGGGATCATCTGCTCAAGGAGCGCGAGGAGCTGTTCATTGAGAACGGGACGGTGTGAGTGCACGAGGCCGACCGCCGCAGTATGGACGGCGCTCGCTAAACACCGTACGACAGGCGGCCTGGAGTCTTGGTCTTGGTGAACGACACAGACTGGGAACTCGAAGGCGAGGGCGACTACAAGTTGAAGGATGGTGACGAGATTGTCTTCATTTCGACGCTGCACGGGGGATAGGAGGAGACCGGTACCGCCATGGTTTCGTGGCCGGGAGATACTGTACAACACGGACCGTGTTTACGACTACGTGAGCAGGGAGAGAAATTAGCTGTATGTGTAGAGTGCAAAACATACCAACCGTGGGTCTATCGTCGGCTGCTCGCCCAGAAGGGCCCACTTCATCCACTCTTCCCTCCCATCTACGCCTCCTTCTTGCCGTCACCCTCCGAGCTCTTCGCACTCTTCCCCCACCAACCGCCAAACCATCCCGCGCCCATCTTCACCCTCGCCGCTGCCTCGAGCTTCTCCAGCTGGTCAGCCTCCTCGGCAGCACGCAACCGTGCTTCGAACGCGAGGCGTTCGATGAGCCGCTCCTGCTCCGCGGCCGCCTTGGTATCCTTTTGGTGCTTCATCTGGCCGTAGTACCACGAGCCGCCGACAACGGCGACGAGCGTTAGGCCCTGCATGAGGACACGGACGCGGAACCAGTAGTTCATACTCGTGCTCTGGCGCTTGCGGAGCTTTGTCGACGCCATGATGAGCGACGCGGTCGTAAGACCAGCGACTACGTGGCACGTGGCAAGGGGGAGAGAGAGGGAAGGGGTGAGTCGAGGGGTGGGCCACGCATATAACCGACTCACAGATGGGTACGAAGGGGTTCTCCTTGAACCTCCGCTGGAACTTGCCTCCCCACGTCTCTATGGGCATCCCATCCGTATCAAGGAGAATGCCTTCGTGGGCAGCGGTTGCTATCGGGGCGGGTGATGAGGGGTTCATGTTGTCCACGTTCCGAGGGATGTGCGAGCTTGTTATAGGGAGGATCTCCTCAGCACGGGGTCGATGGTTGGGTTCGCGAGACCGCGCGAGAAATGGGATCGGGGAGACAGAAAGTGTTGCGGTCCACGGCTGGGTGTCGGAACGCTCGTGAGAGGGAGGATATGAGCGCAAGTCTAGAGGACCGCAAAGGCGAGACCCCACAGGTGCGAATTCGGAGCAGGACGGCGCGTTCGGAGAGTTGGACGGCGCAGGCGAGTCTCGATCCATGACACAACGGCGCGGGCCGGGCCATCCGCTGGAGCGATGAGCTCACTTTTGCCAATCCCGAATGGGCGACACACCGAAGCCTACCCAAGGCTAGCCTACCTTAGCCTACAGCTGTCGTCTCCTCCTCCATCCTCTTCATTCACAGCCATGTCTTACATTCTTTTTCTACCGACCGAGCTCCTCATCCTTATCCTCCTCGACCTCGATTACATTCACATCCTCTGCTGCCGTCGTGTGAGTTTGATCTGGAGCCAAAGTTCATCGCGCTTGTGACAGCCACCGGGCACGCTCTCATCTTGTCACCCACCACTTCAACAGGTTTCCAGAGTGCTGCAGACCGTCATCGACGACGATGTCCGCTTCCAATACAAGATCGAGCTCGCCATCGCCGGCATGGACGACGGCCCGCCCGGCTCCCTCATGGCGTCCGACCGCCTTGCGATGCTGCGTGAACGCCAGAAAGCGTGGCACTCGATGCAATACCGGGGGGTAGAAGAAATACCAATGGGCAGAGGCGACACCTGGGAGCTCTATGGTGGTGTGCTTGCCCAAACCAAAGGGAAGCGCAGGGTCTTCCTCAAACAACTACCGTCGGTCTCGCGAAACATCGAGTCGAGGGAGTGGGCCACCCCCGAACTCGACTTCGACATCCGAGATTTCACCATGGACCCTGCGCAAGATCTGCTGGTGGCGGTGGAGCATTATACATCGAATAGGTGGGTGCTCACTGTTCCGATGATTCCTCGACAGTCTTGGCGCCGCTGAGGACGGAGGCCAAGCATGAGGTTTCTCTCTGTTATCTGTAACTCCTCTGATGATGTTCATCACAGCACCGAACACTCTACCCGCAAACAAGATTGTCTTGTCCACCTCCTCACCCTCTCTGGTGCAAACCATCCAGCTGCTCCTAAGGGCGCAACCCTCGTCCACCCGCTGAAGCTCGGAGGGTACTCGTACGCCATCCAAACCTCGCAACATTTACTGGGCGTCTTGATTACCAGTGACGAAGCACAGTTTGTGGAACTACTCATATGGAACTGGAAAACAGGTGAACGTAAAATGGTGCGCATACACATACTTGTCTCCCAGCGTAATCTCATGTTACGTCCCAGCATGTCATCGCTTCGGAGTTGCCGTCATTCGCTTTCCTCACCAACAGATACCTCCTCCTCGCCGTCCTCCCAGTCCATCCCGAGGACATCGTCGTCCCGCCCGGCCAAGCCGATCCCCGCCTCATGATCCTCGACCTCGACCGCGCCTCCAGCGAGCCAGTCATGTTCGCCGACCTCGACTACCTCTGCACGTTCCAATACCCCGAGTTCTCCCCCATCTGCACCACGCACTCCGTCACCATCCGCTCCGACCCCGCCCCGCACTGGACGCCGCACCCGTCCCTCCACGTCCCCTTCCACGTCGCGCACGGGGACCGCCTGTTCGTGATCACGCTCTGGGTGCTCGAGGCGGGCGGGACCTGGCTCGGGCTGCTCTCGCTCGCGCCGACGGCGACGTTCCTCCGCGCGCTCGGCTCGCTCCCGCCGGGGGAGACCCGCCGGGACTTCCCGTGGGACGAGTGGGGGCTGCACGGCTCGCGGCTGATCGCGGCGCCGCGGACGCACACGACGGTGTGGGTGTGCTACGTGCACGGGCAGACGTTCGTCCTGCCCCAGCCGGACTCGCAGCGCGCGGTGCTCGCGCTCGACTTCAACCCGCTCGCGGTCCGGCGCTGGCGCGTCGCCGAGGCGGCGGCCGCGGAGGCGCGGGTGATCGACGAGCTGGCGGTCTTCCGGCCGAAGCGGGTGTTCACGAAGGAGGTGCGCTCGGGGCTGCCGTACGTGCTGCGGCGGTGCCGGCCGTTCGCGGACGGGGAGGAGGGCGAGTTCGACGCGGTGATGGTCTCGGAGGACTCGCTCGTCACAGTGGCTAGCGTGCGTCGTTCCCGTTCTCTGGTGTTTGCGTGCGCTGACGGTCATTGGTTCTCAGCATTCGAGTGTACGGAAGTATCGGATTTTGACGTTCTGAGGGGTGGTCTCTCTGGATCCCTTTTCGAAGGTTGATGTAGACTGTGTTTAGGGTTTGCTCACTGTATTTGTAAGTGCTTTTAAGCAGCAAGGCACGTGGCTTCATGTGCCTGTGTACGGCTACAGGGTGTTTGTGAACTGGGCGCAGATAGATGACTTGACCAGTCCGCGAACGAGGTCGCATTTCGAGGGCAATTCTGTGCGCGCGACAAAGAAAATGAGGTCCTACCCGTTTGCATGAGCGCGCCTGAGCGTTGTTCCTCTTGCACATTTGTAGGTCGACGGTCACATCGCACAGCGCGCGGAGAGACGGCGGAATATTTTGTATGTATTAATGGCGATGATTACGCAGTAGATGTATGTACCGTACCACGCCCTCCTCGCGCCGGCCCTCACTGCTGTGCCTGCTCCGAATGGGACTTGAGCCAGTCCTCGAGCCACTGCATCTCTTCTCCAATCCCCGCGTACTTCTCACGTACAATCACCAGCGAGTTCGCAGTGTGGACGCGCACGTCGACTGCGCCACCGTTCCGTTCGGGCTCGAGCGTGTTTTGTTCGGTGAGTTGCTGGAGCGTCGGGAGGAGCCCCCGCGCGACGTCGATCGCCGCGCGGTCCGCGTCCGTTTGGTCAGCTGTCGCGGGAGCGACGTCGTGGAGGAGGGCCCGGAGGAGATACGCGAGCGAGGAGAGGTCGGCCGAGGCGGGTGGGAGGAAGTAGAGCGGGTAGAGCGCGGCGACGGCAACGGCGTCGGCGCGCGCGCCGCGCTCGGCGAGCGAGAGGAGGACCAGGCGCGCGGCGTCGAGCGAGAGGTCGACGCCGTACTTGGGGCGGTCGCCGAACACGCGCACCGTGAGGTCGGGTCGCTTCTTGCCGTGGCATTGCACTGGCGCAGGGCGCGGGGAGGGGAGGGACGCGTTCAGACGGAGGCGCGATGGGGAACAGGGGAAATGAGACACTCACACGCGAGATAGTAGCCCCAGGCCGGAGTCCAACCCTGCGGCTGCCTCCGCCAGCGGGGCATGAGGTCGACGACGCGCTCCAGGTCCTCCTCGGTGGTGGCGAGGGAGAGCAGCCTGGGCCACGCGCGTTTGCTCACTTTCCGCGTCTTGTCCTTGCCCGAGAGCACGTCCTCCATGAATCCGTACAGCCTGTTGAAGCGGACCGGGGTCGGGACGGTGGCAGGACCTCGCCTGTTCGGGTTGCCGACGTGCACGTACTCCTCGGTGGGCCCTGGCGCGGTGGCGCCTGCACCCGTGGTCATTTTGGGAGGCGGTCCTGCATCAAGAGCCTCGGAAAAGAGGTCGTCGTCCTCGTCCTCGTCAGCGAAGAGGTCCTCTTCCTGAGCAGCGGCGCGCGCCGGCTGCTTGCTTCGTCCTGCGCGGACGTGTCAAACGACGCATACTGAGGGCATGTGGATTCAGACGAACCTATTGGCGAAACATGGAGCGCGCGTAGGGACTGTACTTGACGATGAGGTCGTACATGGCGAATGGCGACGGCGGGGCGGAGGGCAGGGCGGATGAAGGAGAGCATGGCCGTCGTGGCACGCGCAAGAGCGGATGTCGGGCGTCTACTTTCGGTGACGCTGTTTTCGACGCTGGTTCCGCATTCGGATACATATCGTTACCGACCTCACCTATGTGCCACCACCACCATACATCTTTGCTTTGCTTCCTCCAAGTGCCATGCAGTTATTTCAAGAAAATACTATCGTGCTATAATATGTCGTAGATCGCGCCTGTTTTTTGTATCCGCATCCTCCCGGAGATGCCGGTGGGTCTAGGGAAGACGGTGGGTCGTTCACTCCAAAAGCTTGTCACTCTGCTCACAGAGAATTTTGTCATCTCAATAGTCTGACTTCACAGGCAACCGAGTTCGTCGGAGCTTGTGGGGCCTTGAATATAAAGACGTCGGCTTCACAACCCACCCCCTTCCCCTCATCATTCAGCCAGTCCGAAGATTTGGATGGCAGCCCCCGAGCCTAAGACAATGCTCGGTCGCTACCACCAGCTGTCGCCCCTCGCGGGCTTACACGTCTCTCCAATGTGTTTGTGAGCCGTGAACATCGGAGACCAGTGGGAGTCCATCGGAATGGGCGCGACGAGCAAGGAGTCGAGCTTGAAGCTACTCGACGCGTACCACGACGCCGTGGGCAACCTCATCGGCACCGCGGATAACTACTAGGACGAGATTTCGGAGATGTTCATCGGGGGGGTGAATGGAGGCGCGTGGCATTCGCGACCAGATCGTCGTTGCGACAAAGGTGCGTGGCGTTGTTCAAACGTTCATGCGCATATACCCAACGAGGATGTAGTATACGACGAACTACAAGCGTGGTGCGAACATTGCGCAGAAGATCAACTATGCGGGAAACAACTTGAAGTCGCTTCACATCTCCGTGGAGGAATCTCCCAAAAGGTTGCGCACGGACTATATTGATATCTTGCATTTGCATTGGGTACGTGCATCCGTGTCACCGCATCGTCTGTCAGCGCTCATACTAGGATTAGGAACCAGTGGGATTGGGACACTTCAGTGGAGGAGGTCATGAATGGCCTCCATTATCTTGTCGCGGCCAGAAAAGTTCTCCATCTAGTTAGCACCGATATCTTCTATCAGGACTTTGCTATTAAGACTTATTATCGACTCTGCAGGGAATTTCTGACACCCCAGCGTGGATTATCTAGAAAGCGAATCAATACGCTCGGATGGCAGGCAAGACTCCCTTCGTCATGTACCAAGGATCTTGGTCGATTATGCAGCGCGATTTCGAGCGTGACATGCTTCCCATGGCCCGATCCGAAGGTCAGTGTCGCGTGGGAACTGTCCAGTCAACAATGCTCACTCTGGTCGCAGGCTTGGCACTCGCTCCGTTCAGAGTGCTCGCCGGGGGGATGATCCGAACGGACGGAAAGGAGGAAAGGCGTAAGGGATCGGGTGGGGACGGTGCGACGAGTCTCTCCGTCGCTTATTATCTGGTCACTTACGTTGTCGAAGGCCGGACGATATCTCGACCGGACTGGCTTCGGATGGAGGCCGAACGCAAGGTCTGTAAAGCTCTGGAGGAGGTCGCGGCGCAGGTCGGTGCTGCGAACATACAGGCGGTGGCAATCGCCTACGTGATGCAGAAGGCTCCGTACGTGTTCCCGATCGTCGGTGGACGGAAAGTGGAGCAACTGGAGGACAACATGAAGGCGCTCGACATCAAGCTGTCGGACGAGCAGGTCAAATTTCTGGAAGGCGTGCTCTCGTTTGACCTTGGTTTCCCTCATTCTATGGTGGTGAGTGATGCTTCTTTGTGCCTGCTCCTTGGAGCCCCATGTGGGTTTGGGGGTTGTGATGCAACGACTGACGATGGGACACCGTAATGCCCAGGGCAATGGGACGGCACATTCGCTGACGATGCTGAACGCGGGACATATCGACAAGTGGCCGCGCCCGCAGGCCATCCGTCCCGAATATGCCCTGGTCGATAGCGAATCGGAGACGGGCGGCTGAGAGGTGTTGGGTCGAGAGGTAGGGCACATGCACGTATTCTGGTCACGGAGCTGTTCCTGACGAGCTCCGAAGCTGTGTCGTCCGATCATCCATCCACACTTGCAAACATTCCGGGCGATCTTCCCGCGGGTGTGCTCGGACGCGCGGTCGCCATGGGGGTGCGGCCTGGTGTGGCCACTGGCCTGCTCGGCGTGCCGTCCAGCTCGGCTTGTTATCAGCTTTGCTCGCATGCCCAGCAACAACACCTGACCGCGTCGCGTGTGCGCTTCCAGTCTTTCTTTCCCGTTCCCGAGGCCGCTCATGCGCACTGGTGATTGGAACCGTGATTCAACTACTGGATATCCTACGCGAGCTCTACACGACGGAACGTGTTGGATGGCAACTGCCCGGATACTTTGGACCTCCGTCATGCTAGGACCGGCTCTCCTGTCACTGTCATAGTCCTTGTCTGGATTGCGTCACACCAAGCAAAGACCAGACAACATGGTTCCAGCGTGTCGCCCAGGAAACTTGCCACCGGGTTCTTTCGTTCCCGGGGCAGACTAGGGCAGACTTCTCGTGGAGTGAGGCGAACCAGGCTGGAACCATGGTACCTGGTCTTCGTCTGGGATGGGCTGCACTAGGTCAACGCCGTGACCGTGACAGGAACCATGGCACTACGTATCATGGTTTTGGTCCTGTTATGTACTACTGCCCTCGGTTCAGATGCGATATGCGAACCGTTCTCCTGGAGCAGGTACGTACGGCAAAACCTCTGCGAATATCTCGAATGGTCACCTATGGTCACTCGCCTCCGCCAGTCCTATCAGGCTCACGCGCCCCAGGCCCAAGATCACGAGCGGCTGCGTTTTGTCTCCTACGCTCGTGCAATGTTCCCGAAGCCCGCCGCGCCATGTGCGCCGTGCGCTGACTCCGCTCCATCTCTGTTCAAATTGCTGCTTGCGAGCCCAAGCCACGCCTAAGGCGGGCCAGGAACGCGCGTTCCGTGTGCTCCGAACGGTTTGTCTCCATGCTCGAGAGACGAGATGCTGGGCAGGAGCTCGCGAAAAGACGGTCAGAATGTGATTGGAAGCCGGATCAGGTACGCGCGGAGGCGGGCCACCTTGCTCCTTCCGGGCTCTCGCTGCAAGTCAGGCTCGAAGCGAGCTTCGAGGTGGGGTGTATATAATGCAGGAAATGACAGGGGGCAGAGGCAGAGAACCTCGAGTCCTCCATCGTCCGCTCCTCATCTGTTCTCTGGCCCTTTCCCGTCGCCATGAAGGCCACTTTCGTCGCTCTCGCTGTCGCTGTCACCAGTGCTTCCGCGCGTACCTTCACTGTTTACAACAACTGCCCGTTCACCATTTGGTACGTACCATCTCCGTGGAATTCTACCATGCTCACGGGGGTTTCTCCATTCAGGCCTGCCGTATGTCATGGTTTCCTGGCACGGAGAACCGCTCAGCTCATTCTTTTATAGCTCTTCACTGACCTGAACGTTGCCCCCAATGTTCCGAACCAACCCGGAGGCTGGGTCCAGGGCCAGTACCAGGCTGTCTCCTTCTACGTCCCCGACAACTGGCAGGCTGGCCGTATCTGGGTAAGTTATTTTGATGCTGCCCCCGCACAGCTGCGATCCTAATCACATGACCCAAGGCCCGCCGCAACTGCGACTTCAGCTCGAACCCGGGCCCGAATTCGTGCCTCGACGGAGGCTGCAACGGAGGCCTCGTCTGCGACCCGCACACCGGCACCGGTGTTCCTCCGGCGACCGTCGCCGAGTTCACGCTCCAGGGTGCTGGCTTCCAGGACTGGTACGACGGTGCGTTCCAATTCCCGCAGCAGCTCTCCATCGGCACTGATGCTCTTGGACGACGTAGTCTCCCTCGTCGATGGCTATAACCTCCCGATGAGTATCACGAACAACAAGGGCTGCCACCTCGCCAACTGCGGCGTTGACCTCGGCCCGAACTGCCCCGAACCGCTCAAGGGCCCCTTCGACGCGTCCGGGTTCCCGGTCGGCTGCAAGACCGCGTGCAAGGCCGGTCTCGCGCCGGACCCGCGCAACGACCCGTACTGCTGCACCGGCTCGCACGACACCGCGGCGACGTGCCCGCCGTCGGGCGTGCTGTACTACGACTACTTCAGTGAGCCTCTCCCTGTCTCACGAACCCGAGTCGGAGCGCTGATGGACGCGCGCAGAGGGTAACTGCCCGAACTCGTACGCGTACGCGTACGACGAGTCGTCGGGCACCGCGCTCTGGACGTGCGACTCGAACTTGGCCGCCGACTACACGGTCACCTTCTGCCCGTGAGGCGGGTCTGCGGCTTGAAGCGCCCACTCGATATCCTTCGGCCGGCGCGGGGCCAGCACGGCCAGGCGGTCGTCCACGAGGACTTGAGGCGGTGCGATTTGGGCAACGGAATTGGTGGACACTGTATGTACTACAACTATGAACACGACGATCCCGTCACGATGCATGACACACTGCTTCCGTCCGGTTCGGCATCGGCTGTGTGTAGCATGTGCTCTTTGGTTGACGAGCAGTCTTGTGGGCAGCGGAAGCTCAGGTGCCATATGGGATGGAAGCTTGTGGCCAAGGAAGTTTGGCCACGGCTGTTATTGATGCGCACAAGTCACGATAAGTACCAGCCGCGCGTGGCGCGAGGACACAGGGTACCCTGTGATTCCGGAGGCGGGGGCAAGGGTTGGTGGAGAGTGGCACTGACAGTAATAGCAAGTACTGAAGCTGGGGACCGGCTCGAATGAAGTGATGCGTCACGCTTCCCAAATTCGTGATAGAGAAACGGTCTAGGATCTAGTAACTCAAGGGCGGGCAGGTATGTCGATCGATGTCAATACCTCAAGTGGGGAGTTTGCCTGAGTTTGCTACTTACTTTTCTTCTGGGCGCGCGTTGATGGTTTCTTGCCAGTCGAAGCTTGGTTGCCAGAATCCCAGAATTTCCCTTGGATTCAGGTGGTAGTGCGAGATGAGATGAGATGAGATGAGATGAGATGTTATACACAAGTTCGACCCAGTGAGGGACAACGGGCACATTTTGAACAAGCTCACTTCAGTTCGAACACTTGGAATAGGCGCCGTAAAGTTGGACTCAATCGGTCCAAACCAGACCGTCGGACCGTCGGAGCCGCAAGTGGCGTTGAGATACAAGTCATCAGAGTTCAAGCGGAGCTCAAAAATGCGTCTCGAGCTGTACAGGACCAAGGGAGGCGCGATCAACACCTCCTCACCCACCGCAAGACAACATGGGAAAAGGTGCCTAGCCTGTCTGGCCGTCTCCTGCTTGTTTCTGTGCTCACTGTGCTGCTCTGGTTCCCCTGATATGTGTTTCTAGTTCACGGATCTCTCGCCCGTGCCGGCAAAGTCAAGTCTCAGACCCCCAAGGTCGAAAAGCAGGAGAAGAAGAAGATCCCGAAGGGACGTGCTAAGAAGCGGATGCTCTACAACCGTCGGTGAGTAGTGTTTTTCTACATATCGTTTGCTAGTGCTGACGAACCCTGCAGCTTCGTAAATGTCACCCTGCTGCCCAACGGCAAGAGGCGAATGTGAGTTTCCACTTTCCTTTCCGCTTCTCCCCTTCCGCAGCGAGGCCACATCTTCACCCATATACCCTGGCCGCTTCCGTGATGATACTCGAAATCATGCATAGTTCACACCGAACAAAACTCATGTGGAAAAACATTCATCTTTATGTCTTTCGCTCCTATCTGATTCCACCTCCCATATCCTTTCCACCCTTCTCTCCCATTCCTCTGTTCTGACTTCTTTGCTTCCAGGAACGCCAACCCTGAGAAGTAAATTCGCCACCCACGCACTCGCTAGACGCATCAGACGTCCAAGCACTCGACCCTTAGCGGGCCCCCACGACGGTTACTCGGAGTGTCGGTGTTGTAGTTTAGAGTCGCATTCTGTGTATCACTCGCATCTCGCTTTCATGGTACTTTACCATCCGCATGCATATGCCCCCGCCTATACATCTATGATATGACAGGCATCCACACCGCACGATCCCTCCAATTTGCCCGCCAGGCCGTGTAAAAGTACTTCAGTACTCAACCGTGTTCCAAATGGGTATAATACATGCATCGTCGAGTACAACTACTTCACGAGTGTGGCCAGTGCCGCAATAAGATCCGAATCGCCCTGCGGCGGGGACTCGTTCTTGAGGTTGAGGTATGCGGTCCGCAGCCGCTCTGTCGAGAGGTCGTCCAGGAGCGAGAGGTTGGAGGGATTGGGTGCGGGTGTGTCCGACGCAGAACTGCTGCTTGCGCGGGGATCCTGGATCAGCTTGTGCGTACACTAGCGCGAATGCCTGATGAGTACGCGGGTCCGTTCGAGAATGGAACACGCACGAGCTTGACACCGAACCACGCTCGCAAGGTGATGTCGGTCGGGATGGAGTCGCTGGGCGCAAGATCACCGTCATCATCGTCGGTCATGTCGACGGTGTGGAGGAACATCTTCAGCGCGAGCGGGACATCCTCCGCGAGGTACGCCGTCTCGGCATATTGGAGGAAATACGAAGGGTTCTGGGGCGACAGGAGGAGCGCGTGCGAGAGCGACTGCAGTGCGTAGGTGTACCTGCACGATATTCGGGAAGGTGTGAGAGGGGCGGAGCGGGAGTAGGCGAGAACAGGAACGCACAGCTTGCATGACGCATAGACGTCCGCGAGCTCAAGCCACGCGTCGATGTCGGAGTAAAACGTGTCGAGCATGCCGGAGAGCTCATCTACTGCACGGTCAAGCTTGCCCATCGCGCGGTACACTTGCGCTTTTCGCCGCCAAGCAGCCTATACATGCGAGAGTGGGAGAGTCGGCGAGGGGAAATGCGCATGGAATGCGAAAGCACATACATAGTTTGTGGGGTCGTTTTCGAGGAGGTCATCGTAGTAGGCGAGTGCCGTTTCTGGGGGCTCTGTGGCCTCTATGCGGATACCAGCAAGAGTGTCGACGCGTGGAGAGCCGGGAAACTTGTCCGTCAAGAGTTTGATACACCGCTGAGCACAGGCAGGGACAGAACGCGCGAGGGAGACCGCATGAGCGGAGAGGTGAAAGGGACTAGACGGATGCACGCACGTCTGCAACCTCGAGGTTCCCCTGGTCCAGCGCCGCGAGCGCGAGCTTCTCGAGAGCATCCCACCCTGCATTTCGATTGAACCATTCTTTGTTAGATGCAAGGACTGCAGAGTACGGGCAAGCATGGCGCACCCTCTTCGCCCTTGGTTGCGTATCCCCCGCGCTCGAGGATCGCCCGTCCCGAGGTGAACGTGTTCTTTGACTTATGGCTGTCGCTCGGCTTGTATGCAGCGAGCCTCTGTAGCTGGAAGGTGAACTGAACGTTGGCCATTGCGGTGGAATGATGGGGGAGAGCGTATGTGCAGCCTACAGTGTACCGCGAAGGGTACACGCGGGCCGGCGCCAAGTATCGTGGCGGGCGTCTCGAGCCCGAAACACATCTGGTAGTTTGAGATTAGATCACTTTGTCCTTCTTATCCGTGAACCATTTTCTGCCCCGACTTGCCCCCGCTATTTGAGCCAGAGGTGCGTCGAAAACTCTCAGAGGTGAGGCGAGAAGGCGCATACACCCACTCCCACGGACACACCCACACCGGGTGGGAGTTCTGGGTTGCGGGGCTTTTGCTAGTGGATCGCGATCGCGGGGAGTTGTGAGCGTGCTGCCTCATCAGCAATGTGCTCACAATGTCTTCAGTATTCGGTCGGATACTGGCTTTGACTCAACTTGGTCGTCGTACGGCGACGCGTCCCGCCGGTCGTACCACTTGCTTTGAACCATCATGAAGTGAGTGGCTTGTATGCGCTTTTGAGCCCACCCTGACCCGCTGCAGATCCTCTTCAGACTTCATCCGCGTGAACGACCTCGCGCTCACTGTCTCTTTCGCAGACGGCTCGCGCTGGCCAGCAAATCCTCCCCATCCGCAGCCGGTGGTCGTCTCCTTCAGCTTCGCGCACGATGTCCGCACCGCCGCCGCAACCGACGACCTCGCTCACTCGGTCAACTATTCGACTCTCGCCAAGGGCATGCAGGCCGTCGTTGGCACAGAGGTCTTCCCCTCCCTCGAGCGCTTCGCCGACCGCGTCTGCGACGTGTACGCCTCCCAGTACGCCCAGGTCCCGAGCTTCACCGTGCGCATCCGCAGGCCGCAGGCGCTCCTCTACGGCGCCGCGTTTGGCATCGAGATTACGAAACCCGGGTCGGACGCGAGGCCGTCGGAGGAGAAGCTCTTCTTCGAAGACGTCGTGGGGCACTCTCTCATCGGCATTCATCCACATGAACGTCAGCGGAAGCAGCGCGTCAGGGTGAACATATCCATCACCCGCAGATGGCCCCGCCAGCAGCCGATGGATTTCCGCACCCTTGAGCAAAAAATATTCGACGTAGGTCTGTTCGAATACAAATCTTGCTTCTCTGACATTGGTCTTAGTGTGTAGAAGAAGCTACGTTCTTGACTGTGGAGGCGCTCGCATCCGAAGTCGCACGCGTAGTCCTCGATGCGGTGAATGATGAGACGGCCATTACCGTCGTTCGCGTCTCAAAGCCAAGCGCGATAATAAACGCTGCATCTGCAGAAGTAGAGGTCTCGCGGGACTCTTTTGACTTCAAAGTCGCCTCCCGAGCGGCCTCTGCAAACTCCACCGACTCCCCCGCGACTCCGGCACCCCCTCCGGCATCTGCCTCTCCATCGCCCTCGCTCTACACCCGGGTTGATGTGCTGCCGCATCGCGCTGCCATTGCACTGGGTGCCAACATTGGCGACCGGTTCGCCAACATCGAGACCGCACTGCGCCTTCTCGAAGCGCCCGGTGCGGACTTGGATGGTTGGACAGGCCCCCCAAGGGTGATCGTTATCGACACGAGCTTCATGTACGAGACAGCGCCGATGTACGTCGAGGATCAGCCCAAGTTCATCAACTGTGCTTGCATGGTAGGCACTCTCGCCAAGCAATACCGTCCCTCTAACATGTCACTCGTAGGTGGAGACAGATCTTGAGCCCCGCGCGTTGCTCTCATTCCTAAAGGACATTGAGAACGCCGTCGGACGCACGGTCAGCTATCGCAACGGACCACGGGTGGTGGACCTCGATATCGTCTCGTACGACTCTATCGTGCTAGATACCAGGCCAGAAAGCGCGCGGAGCTTGCTCGACAACCTCGCCGGCGAACTAGTGATCCCTCATCCGAGAGTGACGGAGAGGGAGTTTGTGCTGCGGCCCCTCTATGAGTACGCTCCATACATCTGAGATGCGTTTTATGCACTGACCAAGCACTCGCCAGCATGATCCCTGAGTACATCGTCCCACTGACCGGAAGGTCGATCGAAGAGCTCCTAACAACACTCATGCTGCAAGATACCGACGAGCCTGCGATGTACAAAGTCATACCCTTTCCACGATACCCACTACCGTCGATCTCCGAAAGGCCTGCACAGCTCAGCAAAATCAATCCCGTGCCGCCGACGGCGACATTCTGGACTCATCCTGTCACATCGATCCCATCGAAAGGTCGCCCGCAGCCACGTCGGACATACCTCATGGCCACTTTGAATGTGACCCCCGACTCGTTCTCTGACGGCTCCACACACAACACCATTCCCACCGCCCTCAATTACGCCACGGCGGCCGTGACTCACGGCGCGCACATCGTCGACATTGGCGGATATTCAACGCGCCCGAACGCCGCCTACGTCGCGCCAGAGGAGGAGTTCACGCGCGTCGTGCCCGTCATTCAAGCGATCCGATCCGAGGGCGCCGCCAACACGGACCCGCTCACCCCCGTGCCGCCCGGGACGTCCTCCCCACTCGCAGCGCTTCGTACTCGTCGCGCGGGCGCGCTCATTTCCGTCGACACCTTCCGCTGGGAGGTCGCAGAAGAGGCCGTTCACGCGGGCGCAAACTGCATCAACGACATCTCCGCGCTTGCAGGACCGACCTGGCCCGCGCTCGCCTCGGCGGACGCGCGCGCGCACTTCAGCAAGATGCGCCAGGTCGCGCGCGACCTCGCGGTCCCGGTCGTGATGATGCACTCGCGCGGGCCCGCGGGGGAAAACAAGGATTACGGCGCATACGCGTACGCCGCAGGCGGGCGCGGGCGTGGGGCCGTGCTAGAGGCCGTCCGAGTCGAGCTCGGGGAGCGCATCGACGCGGCCGTGCGGGGCCCTGGCGGGCTCCGGCGGTGGCTCGTCATCGTAGACCCCGGGCTCGGGTTCAGCAAGACGCTCGAAGGCAACCTGGAGGTGTTGCGGGATGCCGCGAGCATCGTCGCGGACCGCCCGCTGGTTGCCCGTGAAGGGGAGAGCGAGCCGCGGCGAAACCTCCTTGTGGGTTACCCTCAACTCATTGGGCCGTCGCGCAAGTCGTTCCTTGGCGCGGTGCTGCAACGCGCAGATGCGGATGGGACTGGGGGGTATGAGGGCCGGGAGACGCGCGCCGACGAGCGCGACTGGGCGACGGCGGCAGCGGTTGGGTGCGCGGTGCAGCAAGGTGCGATGGTGGTGCGCGTGCACGACGTCCAACGTCAGGCGGATGTTGTGCGGGTGTCGTCCGCACTGTGGGGATGAACATCGTATAGTAGACCATAGGTGGATACAAGGGCCGTTTCTTGGGTGTTCTCGCTAGCTGTACTTGTATTCCGTATAGGGCTGTTCTTATGCCCCTTTGTTCGATAGCCTTCTTCGTTGGGAACGTGTTACAAATCCCCAAGAGCTGTTCGCGTGGACCTCTGCGTCCGCCTAATTCGGGGCGCCTCCCCTACAAGGGGGCTATTACTTGGTTGAAGGCTCATTACAATAGCGCAACTCTGTCGAATATAGATTACGTCATCGATAACAAAGCAGCTTTGAACTCTACGCGAAGCGGTCTCGGTCGCTGTGGCTCGCAGCGCTCGTCCCTCCCAGACCGAGCTCGCGGCATTGAGCTTCCTTCTCCTCTCTCCCTCATGTCCGCTCAATATCTGCCCTGGTGAACACCGCCGGCTGGCTTCCACTCTTCCTCCCACGAACGACCCCCCTCAACCTCCTTAATATTCCATGGCGCCGACTGCCGCCGTTCACTCCCCACCATCTGCACCATCTGCAACCTCATCGAAGCGCACCATGTCTGAGCGGTCGGACCGGCAGCGAGTGGAGGACCTCGAAGTGAAGCCGTACGTGATCGTCGGCGACCTGGGCAAGGGCAGCTTCGCGACCGTCTATCGCGGATACCATGAGGTGCGAGCATCCGTCTCAGAGCACCTCTCGCCCGTGCTCATCTCGAGCGATGCGCGGCATGTAGCAAACACATAACCATGTTGCGATAAAGACCGTGAACCGGAGCGGCCTGAGCCCCAAGTTGTTCGACAATCTGCAGGGCGAGATCGAGATCTTGAAGAGCTTGTCGCACAGGCACATTACTCGCCTTCTTGATGTCATTGTGAGTGCCTCTTCTTCTATCGCGCGGGTCGGTTCGTATCCGTGGTCACTGGGATGGTGGGGTTTGCATGGTGGACGAGTTCTGTAGATGGGAAGGAGGGTGTGCGCGGCCCAACAACGCATATAGCTGAGATGATCGCCTGGGGAGAGGCGAGGGATGAGATATTGTCACCCCCAAAGTGGCTCTTGCAGCACGGGTTGTTGACTAGGTTAACATAGCGTGCAGAACGGAACATCTACCTCATCATGGAATTTTGTGCGGGCGGAGACCTTGCAAACTACATCAAGAAACGTGGACGCGTAGAGGGCCTGGAGTACATTCCTGCCCCTGGTGTTGCCCCCACTTACTACCCACACCCAAAGTCCGGCGGACTTGATGAGATCGCGGTCCGGAGTTTCCTGAGGCAACTAGGTCAGCTCGCCCCTCCGTATGTAGCTCTTCACCTACTAACCTTGTTATATAGCTCGCGCTATTAAGTTCCTCCGTCAACGCAATCTCATACACAGAGATATCAAGCCACAGGTGCGCTCGGTTTAACAGGAGTAAGAATCGAAGCTCACAAGAGACACAGAATCTGCTCTTGACCCCTCCTGGCCCAGACGAATATTCAAGAGGACATCCGCTAGGTGTCCCCGTACTTAAAGTTGCAGACTTTGGGTTTGCTCGCTTCCTTCCCAGTGCCATGATGGCCGAGACTCTGTGCGGATCCCCGTAAGTAATAGTTCACGCACCAAAGGGCACCCTCCCTGACGTAAAACAGGCTATATATGGCACCGGAGATCCTCAGTTACCAGAAGTACGATTCGAAAGCCGATCTCTGGTCTGTGGGCGCGGTTCTGTACGAGATGTCTGTCGGAAGACCACCGTACCGCGCGCAAAACCACATCGAACTCTTGAAGAAGATCGACAGCTCGAAAGGCATCAAGTTCCCGGATGAAGATCCGCAGATGATCGCACGCGCTCAGGCCAAGGGCGAGGACCTGAAGCCGGTCCCCTCGGACATCAAGATGCTCATCCGGACCCTTCTCAAACGCATACCGGCCGAGCGCGCGAGCTTCGACGAGTTCTTCAGGAGCCTGGCGATGGCGAACTCCAAGTTCCCGCGGCCAAGGGACCCTTCTCCGCCACTTGGACCGCCACCGGACGATGACGACGAACCGGATCGAATACCTGACCATCATCGAGTGATTCCCCCCGAGGTGCTCGACCCCAAAGCCATGATTCCCCCGGCGAAGATCAAGTTCAAGCGTCGGAAGTCGGCACTGCCAGAAAGTGCTGTGGATGACGCGTAAGCTGCTTCCAAGTTGTTTGGTGCGCTCGCTGACTGGTGAGGCAGGGCTTCGGAGAACATCGCTGGCCCATCAAGCTCCCCACCCGTCACCTTCCCGCAGCGTATCCCCAAGGGGAAGAATCATCCGTCGTCTGCAGACAACTCACTTATTCCAGGTGAACAGGATGAAGATAGGGAGTTTCGTCGCGAGTATGTCTTAGTAGGAGACAAGCAAGCCGTGGAGATCAATCGTGCGGTAGATGGTGAGTACTTTCTTCCACTCGAGATAACCTCTCGCTGATCGTAGGCGCAGAAATCACCGAGCGACGCAAACCACTTCGAGATAGGAAGCCAGCTCCATTTGGGGAGGAAGCTCTCAATGATATCGAGTCGCCCACAACCGAGTACCCTGACCCCATGGGTGCCCCCACTTTTCCTCCTCCCCCCAACACCGCTCTCCCTCCACTTTCTTCGTCCCCGTCGAGTGCGAACTCCAGGACCAACGGAAATGCTCTGACACGCGCACTCAGCATGGCCACCGGAATCCTTCGTGGTGGGAGGCGGCGTCCGTCGTCATATCAGATCGAGCCCATGGCGTCCTCGCCACGTCGCGCCCAGATGTTCGGAGGACCCCGCGCCACTGGACTTGCGCTCGGACTTGAGCTTCAAAACGCACGCGATGCGGAAGAAGACGAGCTGCTGGCCAGTCTCGAGGAGCTTGCGCAGAAGACGGAGGTGCTGACGCGCTGGGCAGATGAGATGTACGACTACGTGAAGGCCTTCCCCCAGAGTGAGTCAAGCTGCAATGATTAGAGATGTGTTTCGTTGCTAACACCCCGCGGACTCTCTAGAACCTCTGCCTGACCCGACGAAGTTCCTTCGTCGCGAAGGTGAGACAGATCGCATCGCGAATCGGCGCAGGAACGCGGACATCCAGGCGGAGTACAACGCGATGACCTGCGTGGCAGTGTATATGCTCCTCATGACGTTCGCGCAGAAGGGCATCGACCGCCTGCGCAACTACCACGAGCACCTGCAAATGCGCGATCCGGATGGTGAACTTGAAGTGAGCGAAGGCTTTGACGAGGCACTGGCGTGGTACAAGGACCAGTTCATCAAGTGCCACGATCGCGCGGCGCTCGTCAAGACATGGCTCCCTGCGCAGTATTCTGGGGCGCCGACGTTCATCGACACGCTGGTGTACGACCGGGCTCTGAATCTGGTGAGTGCTGTGTGGAGCACGCCACTTGTGGTTGCCACTGACGACGTTCTCGGCAGAGTCGATCTGCGGCACGGAAGGAGCTATTGAACCAAGCGACGCCGGAGGAGTGCGAGCTGCTGTACGAGGAGTCGCTCTGGTGTCTGTACACGCTCCGAGACGATCTTCTTCCGGTCGACAATCCCTACCTGGAAGAAGATCGTAACACCATCTCTACTTGTGCGTGCCCGTGCTTTTTCTTCTTTGTGCTGGAAGCTGATACGCCTCGCCGATTTGCAGGGGTCAAACGGACCAAGCTCAGATTAGTGCGCTGCCGCGCACGCAAGAACATGACCGATAACGAGCGCATGAAGGACGCCGCTCTCGACAACAACCTTGCGGACGTCCCGCGCATACCTGCCCCATGGGATTTCGCTGCGTCGGATCCCCCATCACAAGATGTCGTTCGTTCATAGCATCTGCCTCCACTTTCTCTCCTGCTCGTCTCCTCACGCCGGACAAACCTGTACCACCAAGCATACATCCACTACCCTCACTGTTCCCTAGACGCACGTGTGCTGTACAGTATCCCTCCATACTATATCTCTCGTTGCTCTGCGTTGCTGGTCTCGCTATTTATGCTGCTTTTAGCAGCATGCACGTCCCTCGTCGTTAGTTTTTCATCTGTTCCTCTCTGACTCGTGGTTTCCTTCCAGCTACCTACCCCGTCGTTTCATACCTCTCACCGCTTCCTGTATAATGGGACGATCGACTACACGGATTCGGATATCGACGGACGCCTTTCCGTGTTTCTATGTGTAATAGTGGAACATACTCACCTTATTCTGCGCTTTTATCATGTGGCGAGCGCGGGGTGGCGAACTCGAGGTGCGCGATTCGAGGCACAGCCTGGCAGCACTAGTAACTTTTCATCACGCAATCGCCGTCGCAGTCACAGCCCGCTCGAGCGCTGCTCTGTCGGCAACTTCGTCTCTCTTTCTCTTGTTCCTTCGCTATCATTGCGGGAAACCTAACAGCATGCAATGAGCCAGCGTCTTCAAGGCTCGAAAACATGCGAGGTGCCCCATGTGCACGAGCAACGCGCATAGTCACTGAGTACAAGTTGCCACGTGCCAAGCAAACTTCTCCATCAAGGGGCTCTGAAGTCCACCTTGACATTCGTAAGGTAGACCCTGGTAGACCGCTCGACTTCAATCACAGGTGAATTGTCTCTGAAGTACCGTACAGGTGCGGTCAAATCACTCATTGTATGCACTAGGGCGGAGTCCTTGTTTCCGCAAGGAAGCGCCAACTTTTGGTGACCTTTCAGCAAGAACAAGTGATCTTCCTTCGTGCCATCCGCTCGGGTTGAGCAGAAAGTCCTGAAATGATGGTGCGAGAATCCCCTCTTTCGTATCGAGAACAGAGCAGCCTCATGTGGACCGAGGAGATACTACTGTACTGTACTAGGCCGCCTACACAAACTAAACAACACTTGTTTCGCTGCTCCTGATGCTGATTTCAGTGATTGCCAACTCCGATACGGTCCAGCTCCATCCTTGTTCCACCAGAATGCCTTCACAACCTAATAGGCGGTCGAATATTCCACTTTTCGACTCCGTCAACGCTTGCTGACATCTCCAAAGCTCATCGCCTCGGAGACGAATGCCCACATCTGGCCAGGTGTGTTCCGTCTGCTTCTGTATCCGATAATCGGGCTCATTTTCTTATCTGTTGGCTATCACAGGTTGACCACAGGCCTTGAGGCTCGGAAAGCCCATCGGCGGCGTTTTCGCCGCCCAAGAAGCCACCTTGTTCCTGTGCGGACACGAGGATGTGGTCGCGACTGGCGAAGATGATTGGCTAGCAACGGTCTGGGGGACAACTTACCCCGGTGGAGGACATAAGTAGAACAATAGTTGTCTGGATGTGAGTCTGCGCACGGACCTGTACACACCGCCCACTGTGCCACTGATCCCCGCTCAGACAATCCGGGGATGACCCGAGATCGCATATATACCCTTCGCTTCTCGCCTCCTCTCTCCCAACAACCACCACCACCACCACCCACCCTACCGCCACCCATGCCCTGCCACCACCAACAACTCTCCCTCGGTGCCATCGCCGCGGCCTATGCACCACCACCTATGCCGCCATAAACACTATGCAACCGCACCCACCTGCCCTAACGGCAGCGACGGCGTCCACTCTCATCCTCCTCGTCGGGACGCGATCGCACAAGGCATGTCTTCTCTGACCACTGCTTGCGTCGCTCTCGACTACTCCTCTTGCAGCGCCGGTCGAAACGGTGCGCCACCCACGCTACACGGTGAGCATCCCCACTTCGAGCTTGCGCCACTCGTGCTGACCACCTAGATCTTAGCGTTGGTGCCACCAGACTGGTCGCCACTCGCCTCCCGCCTCGCTCGACACTGCTATCCGCTTTCGTACGCGTGTCGACGAGGGCAAGCACGGACATGGTGGCGATCGCGGCAAGTCTTCCTCCGCAGGCATCACCTGCTAGCGAAGGTCGGCTTCGTCGCGGCGCTCTCAAGCACGACCCATAGCTTCTCCTCTTGGTGCTACCGCCAAGGGTGTTGAACGGGGTGTGTCGTGCGGCCCGGCGAGTAGCAGTCCGGTTGGTCACCGCGCATCGTCTACGAGACCGGCAGCGTCCACACGACGCCGCGCCACGGTCATACGCAGCGCGCTGGAGACGACACACCGTGACTCTCTCCGGGGCTAGCCCCACCGGCGCGAAGGCGCGTGGATGTCGAATCTGGCACCGCCGCTGTCGCGTTGGGTCGCGATATCCCTATCAAAGGGCGTCGCGCTGAAAGCCTGCTGGACCGCCGGGCAAACGTCTGGCGGGGAGCAGCACCGCGCGCTCATGCCCGCACCAGCAGGGCGGGCGCGCGGGGTGTGCGCGTGCCTCAAGGCTCGCGGCGCGGTGGCCTGCGCGCCGCGCCGCATTCTATACCGTCGGTCAGTCCCTCCGCTCGGTCGTCGTGACTCGCCGCTGACCTTCGCGCAGGACCGGCGACGCCGACAACTACAAGAGCAAAGTTCGCCCGAGAGCCTCGACCGCTCTCGTTCTCGTCGTGCGCGGGCAGTGTGAGCCCGCCTCGTAGCGCGCACGGTCACTGTCCACACCACCTGCGCCGTCTCGGTCGACGGCACGCGCGCGCACACCCAGACCTCCCGCTGTCCGGCCAAGTTCAAGCCCCGTCGTCGTCGTGGTGAGGCGTCGGGGCGGGCCGCGACGAATGCCGCGGGGGGGAAAACGCCGGATCCGGTCAAGACGCCGTTCTGCCTGGGGCAGGCGGTGCGGGCCGTGCGGGGTGTGCGAGGCGCAATATTGCGTGCGAGGACCGGCAACCTGTGAGTGACGTCTCCTCCATTTCTACGACGGTACTTGGATACTGAGCTGAGGATCTGTTGCAGACGGGTTGCCAATCATTCAAGTTTGTGAGACACTTTGCGCTCTGTCTGTATTGTCACCCTCGCATGTGTTGTCACCTTACTGTGGTGCTTACTTTGGTCGATGATCGGGAGTACTTCTTTGTGTTGGAAGGTAGTTTGCTTGAATGAACTGCTATCGTGGCTTTCTAGGGTCTCATTTGTTTTATTAGCCGTTCTTGTGTGACTGGATTTCTGGAATAAAAGTCATAGGCATACTTTGTCTTCAGTTACTGACCTGGGAGGATGAGCCGGCCGGGGATTCTGTGTTGTTGGCGCCCGTACATCGACTCGTGTCTTGTGGCTGGGAATTGAAGCGCCGGCGCCACTGGACACCCCGACTAAGTACGTATCCACTAATTTCACTTCAGTTCGTTTCTTTGTCTCGTTGGACCAGCGCTCCGGTAGGCTGAGCGCCGCGTTCGACGGGCCAAGCGGCACCGCGCTCTGGAACTGTAGTGCCTCGCTCGCTCTGGACGTGACGGTCGCACGCGGAGCGGAAAGACGAAACCTCGGAGGAAAGTCGCTGGCGTAATACAGTGCGGCTACCTTAGACAGGAGTGGCCAAAGCTCTAGAACATGCGTATAGTACGGACCCTGTCATGGGCGCAGCGAGAATGAGCAATGCAGAATGTAGAGTTGCAAATTGCAATACAAGGGAATGTAGCCAAGCCCATGACACACTACACGATCACGTTCTATTGATCTAATGATGGGGGTTGAGTTCAGTACTAACTAGTAACGTAGTACGAACATTGTGATCCTGTCTGTTGTAAGCCTTAAATGTCACGTGTATATAAAAGTCCGCGGGGCAGACTCCGATCACCGCTGGCGGTGCGACCGGTGGCAGCGCTCACGGTCGAACCTGACCCTCTACCTCCACGGCCCAGAACCCCCACTCAGGCGCGAGATACTGCCCGGTCATGTCCCGGAAATGCTTCCGGACAGGATCACGCAGGATCACGCCCGCCCTTCCACGCGCCATCGGGCTTCGTGCGCCGCGACGGCTGCACTTGTACTTGTGACGAAGTTCTCACTGAGACGGCGCACGCGGTGCTAGCACGCGTTTGCTGCGAATAGGAAAGTGGTCGCCTGGGCCGTCTGCGATCACGTCGTCGTCGCTGTCAACGTGAGCTCGGATCGCACGGCGAGAGTCAAGCGAGAGTGGGCCAGTCAGGCTCGCCTCGCGCGGGGCCACCGCTAGGGCCGCTGCGAACCAGTGCGTCGACTCGCAGGTGAGCCGTTTGTATTGGAATGCGATGGCTTTTGCGATAATTACTTTTATACGGAATCAGAACTGACCGGCCGCGATGGCTTGCCTCCAATCTTTCACAGTCAGCGGTGCGCAAAACTTTCCTCGCCCGGCTTTCGTGGACGCCACCGACGGCGGAGGGGACCCCGACTCCTCGGGCGTTTGGGAAGCTGAAAAGATGAACAAGAACTCAAGATGCTGCGACGCTCAACGCGGCGCGCCGGTCACCACATGCCCCATGACGCGATGCAATACGCCCATCATGGTTCGCGTGCGAGACCTGGCGCGTAGCCTGCGCGCCGTGGGCGCTGGCGCTCCGCAGTCGGGTCGGCCGAGGCAGTCGCTGGTCAAGGCTCGAACACAGCGAGGTATAAAAAGGTTGCGAAATGGGTTGGAGAGCGGTCAGGTCGCTTCCGGAGTCTCCTCTGCAGCACCATCTTCCCTCCACCGAGTCCCAGCCTCAGTATCCCAGTCACAGCCATGAAGTTCGCTCTCGTTGCACTCGCCATCGCCGCAGGGGCCTCCGCCCGCACGTTCACCGTGTACAACAACTGCCCGTTCACCATCTGGTGTGCCCCCTCCGTTCGCTGTTAACACACATTTGCTCATCGCGTTCTCCGTCCATCCAGGCCCGGGGTACGCCTCCTTCTCCATCGACCCGCACGCAGCTCGATCTGACCGTCCCCTGCGAATCCAAACCAGATGTTCACGGACCTGAACGTCGCGCAGAACGTGCCCAGCCAGCCGAACGGCTGGGAGCAGGCCGCGTTCCAGGCCGTCTCCTTCTCCGTGCCCAACAACTGGAAGGCGGGCCGCATCTGGGGCCGCCGCAACTGCAACTTCGCCACCAACCCGGGCCCGAACTCGTGCCTCGACGGCGGCTGCAACGGCGGCCTCGTCTGCGACTCGCGCACCGGCACCGGCGTCCCGCCCGCGACCGTCGCCGAGTTCACGCTCCAGGGCGCCGGGAACCAGGACTTTTACGACGGTGCGCTCGCCGGCGATCGCGACGGGCTCGCTGACGTCGCTGACATCGTTCTGCAGTCTCGCTCGTGGACGGGTACAACCTGCCGATGAGCATCACGAACAACAAGGGCTGCCACATCGCGAACTGCCCCGTCGACCTCGGCCCCAACTGTACGTCCGACGTTGGCAATGGCCGCGCGTGCTGCGCGATGTGCTGACCCGCGCGCCTTGCACAGGCCCGTCGCAGCTCAAAGGCCCCTTCGATTCGACCGGCTTTCCCGTCGGCTGCAAGAGCGCCTGCGTGGCCCACCTCGCCTCCGACCCCAGTGCGTGTCCTTCGGAGACTGACTGCTGAGAGGCCCGGTGACTGGCGCTGACGCTGACGCTTTCCCTCGCGCCGCGCAGACAACGACCCGAACTGCTGCACGGGCTCGCACAACACCCAGGGGACGTGCCCGTCGTCCGGCGTGCAGTTCTACTCGTACTTCAGTGAGCAGCCCCCCTCTGCACGCCCGCGCGAGCGTTGCGCTGACCGGGAACGACAGAGAGCAACTGCCCGAACTCGTACGCGTACGCGTTCGACGAGCCGAGCGGGACGGCGCTCTGGACGTGCAACTCGGCCCTCAACGCCGACTACACGATCACCTTCTGCCCGTGAGGGCATGGGACCGTCTTAGCACCTCTGCCGCTTTCTTCGTGGTGATACAGTCGGCACGGCTTCATCATGCGCTTGGGAGGCAGAAGGCGGATTATGGTTAGGGAAAGACAGTTGGGAGCCATCGAATGACATAACTGTAATAACTAGGAACGTCTATGATGAGGGGGAATGATTCGACACTGAACTCTGCAGCATGTCTGCATCGCATGTCCTCAAGCCCGCCGGGCAGATGTGCGTCATCCAGAAGCCCCGCGAACCGCCTGGACAGCGCTCGTTGCGCGGCTCGGCCCCGGCGGATCTAAGAACGCAGTGCCCTTCTGAACTCTCGTGGGGACATCGGCGTCGGCGTGCGCATACAGATGGCGCCTCGACAATGTCACCATCTGTCGGGGAACATCGACTGGCTTCCTACTGCCGCGCCACGCCCCGATGTTCGATGCGGCGGCGACTAGTCGGAGGGAGCACGCACTGCATAGTTCTCGGCCCGTCTAGAGGCTGCGGTCTTTGGGCATCCAACTGAGGTAGACCGTGGACGCTGTGCGCTCCGGTGACGGCCTTTTCGCACTGCGCGCGGCATGTGGGACCGGTAGGAAGGAGACGTGGGCGGGGCCGGCTTCGAGACCCTGCATGTGGCGCGGGCGGAACCCGCAAGCTCCTTGTGAGCGGAGCGTTTGCGCACATCCGTGCGCAGAGCCTCGGTGAGCCTCCCTCCAAGCCAAGCACCAGCGCTCGTAGCGTAGTAGGCGGAGGCCACGAAGTCTGAGTACTTAGTACTTGAATACAACAGCAATAAGTACTACAGCACCACATGATTTGTGGCGCCGAGAACCGAGGGCGGCTCCGGGAACGAAGAGATGCGGAGCTTGTTTGGCGGGCGGGCGGACGAACATCGCGGACTCACGGGATTTGGTGATGTCTCGCACGAGTGGCTCGAGAGCCGACCGGCATGTCGTTGCGGGAACTCGGGCTCGGCAGGAGACCGCGCGTTCGAAGGTGCTTTGGTGGCAGATACTCCACCACTAGTGTCCCGACATACCAGACGGGTTCAGGTACGAGCACTTTCCCCTGAGTATGGTTCGACAGTGGTGACGACCTCAACTAGCCTCAGCTGGGCTGTATCCTCCACTTTGAGTTTTCGGCTGTGAGGGGCGCGTGTGGCATGGACAGGTCACGAGAGATCTATGTTCCATGCTCCGATGTGTAAATAGTCCACCGTGTGGAGGCGGACAGGATGGACGAGCCAGCGGAGTTCGGCGCGTTGGAGGGCGTGGCAGACCGACGAGAGTTGGCCCATCGTGTTCACGTGCAATCCGTGCCAGAGGTTGAGACGATCCGGGAGAGCCACAGCTTGCAACAGACTTGGGCGCAGGCGGCGATGGAGTCGGATTCGTGCTCAACGCCGAGTTGATCCATGTCGACCTCGTAGACCTCGACGGGGACGCGGGGCAAAGCCGTTGCTGGAGCCTCGGAGTACTAGTGAGAGGAGTGTCAGGGATCGATGCTGGGTGTGGGTTGACCTGCATCCCTAGGGCACTGGCGGTATCTAGATTCTACGCTCGTGAATACGGCCGGCCGTACATCCAGAAGCTCACCAAGTCCTGGAAGGCCTCATATACATATCTCGCAGGCATTTCGTGAGGCTCTCTCCCGCATCCCCGACAGTGGACAGACCGACTGCGATGGGTGATTCGGAAATTGCAGTGGAATTGTGTTGTACGCCAGCATATTCGAACGGCTGAGAGTATGTCTTGGATCAGGGAGAAGGAGGGATGAGCTTGAAGTTAGAATGTGGAACCGCGCGTGTGACTTGAGGCGCGCGCCGCGCAAGAGTCTTGCACTTGCCCGCCACCTTCGTCCTCGACCCCCTCCTCTCTCTGTCTAGCGATCCACAAAATGGCGACAAGAAGACGCGTCGGCTTCAGCACCTCCACCTCTGAGGCATCACGCCGACAGCTCATGCAGCCCGTCCCTTGCTGGGAGAAAGTATGGGCTCCTCCAGACGCCGCGCCCCCAGGTTCCACCCTGCGCGTGTTCAAGTGGGTGAAGACCGAGAAAGTGCAGGTTCGCGCACTCTTTACCCTCCCCTCCCCTTGCGCTGCCACTCACGCTGCGCGCGCGCGACCAGCAATTCAGCGACGACGAGGGCGAGGCGGACGAGCCGCTCGCGCCGATCCAGCCCGAGGACCTCGTCGAGGTCGTCGACGGCGACGACGAAGACGCGGACGAGGGCGCGGGCTCGCAGGCCCCGGACGCGCCGACCCCGGGCGCCCTCTCGCGCGACGTGTCCGAGCCCGCGTCCGCCGTGGGCGGGAACGAGCTCTCGAAGCCGGCGACGCCGCAGCCAGGCGCGCACAAGCCACACCCGCTCTCGGTCTCGTTCCAGCCGCCGACGCCGCCGTCCATGCCGGAGGAGGAGGTCGACGAGGGGCTTGCGGAGGCGGATGCGCTCACGGCGCGGCCGCCGCCCGACGGCGACGAGGGCGAGGACGGCGGGGTGGACTTGGGCGACGGGATGAGCTTGGACTTGGGTGACGTGGGGCCGGACGGGGCGGGGTTCGAGGGCGACCTCTCGCAGATGCAGGCGGACGATGCGCTGCTGGGAGGACCGATGCTGGACGACGAGATGGGGGACCCGTTCGCGGTGCCACCGTCATAGCCCGGGTTCAGGCTTTGTACCAGTATGTTTCCATCTCACGCGCGATTCCTCCAAACATATCAAATCACACTATGCGTTGGGATACACAAGAAACCAGGATAAATTAGGGTGTAAGAGGTGTAGACATCTTCTGGGCACCAGAAATAAGGAACAGAGGCATGTACGAGGCGAGGAGCGCGCCCACACCGAGCCTGCGGGAGATATGAAAACAACGCAAGCAATGTAGGCAGAAAACACGTACAAGAGGATGCTGACGGTGCTCTGTGCGCCCTCCTTCGTGCGCAGGGGGTGCTGGTTGATGACACTGTTGATGGAGAGCACAAGGGACGGCCACGCGAGGAATCTAGAGTTGTACAACGAAATGCTCAGAACGCGTTCGTCATATGAGATAGGAGGGTGCTCACCGGTTCCGAGTCACCATGATCAGACCAGACACAAACATCACTGTGAGACGACCGGACTTTAGTGTTCTGCAGCACTGGGTGCCAGAGCCAGTACGTACTTCCCTGCCCCAAGGGATCTGCGGAGGGGACTCGTGAGTGGCTGGAAACATAGCATATCTGAGTCTGTGAACGTACCGACTGACTCGACCTGCCACGTCTCTGGCAGGGTCAGGCTGGTCTCGAGAGACGCATCACGTGGGTCGTCTGCTGGAGTAGACATGGTGGCGGGAGGACAGCCTGAACAAGGCCGGCGAGCGGGACGCGTCTCGCGTGCACGACGCGCCTCGTTTTCTCGCACTCCCATGACGTACCGGCCACAGCGGCCTTGTCCTCGCTCTCGCCTCTCGTCCGGCCTCTCTCGTTACTAGGTCGCTCGCTAGGCGATTCCTCCGCGATCGCCATGGACGACGAGGAGACAGAGCTTCGGAACCCGTTCCCCTCGCCTCCCTCCTGCTACACCCACTACACCACCCACAATCTCGCGCTCCTCCAGCTGTTGCGCGAACGCGCCGGCCCCGACGCCGATCTCGGTGCTCTGAACCAGTATGAGGTGCTCTCAGACCAGCAAGATGTCCCCGAATACCCAGTCGCTCAGCTGGAGAAGCCGCGGGTGGATTGGATCATGGAGGAGGGCAGCTACACCGTATTCAAGGATAAATGGCTTGTGAGTAATTCCTTTCGACCTTAGCGGCCGGCTTCACGCCATTTGCGTCGCATATACTCATGTATCCACACGCGTAGATCAAGGAGAGCATCCCATCCCTAGCCGAGGCCGGTGGGCACCAGCTCTATCCTGAAGACCCCACAGTCGGTAGGTCTCCAATCCTCTCCCTCTTGCGACCGCGGACCAACGACATATACTCCCTACAGACCGCCGCCCAGCGCTGCGCAGCATCCTGCGCTCGCTCCTCGTCTCGTACTCGAAGCTGCTCTCATCGCTGCTCGCGCCGCCGCCGACCGCGTCGTCGCAGACGGAGCCGGAGTGGCGGACGCACCTCGAGTGGATCAACGTCCTCTCGCTGAACATCCTCGGCGCCGCGAACGACCTCCGCCCCGTGCAGGCGCGCGCGAACCTGGAGCTCATGATGCGGAGACAGCTGGAACTGCGCAGGGAGGAGACCAAGGCGATCCACGCGTAAGTCGCGTTTGCGGGCACCCAGGCGGGTTGTGGAGCGCTCATGATCATGCGCTTCTATAGGAAATGCGACGCGTTGGAGGTGCAGCTTGCGGCGCTGCGTGCTGCGTCGCAGGAGGAGAGCCTTGCTGCGAGTCAGGGCGCGGCTTCGGCTCAGAGCACCCAGGCCACGATACTAAGCTCGATACCCTCTCAGGTATGCCCTGAGCTTGTTCGTGAATCTTATGGCTGATATATGCACACCAGCAATCACCGGATCCCGGGAATTTGTCCATGGAAGATGTCCTGCGATGGGCCGAGGAAGTTGCCTGATATGCATGCGTCCATTTTGTATATGTACAGTATATCAGACATTCTCTATGTTGGGCATCCGCGTTGCTCACGCATTATTCGCACCGATGCCCAATAGATGTTCTTGAAGAACCGGGGTCACGACGTGCGAGCACACCTTGTCCTCTAATAGATCTGCGTCATTACTTATTCCCAAGCTTCAATATCTGGGCAAAGCCGAATCTCGGACCTCGCGCTAGTCTCGCGTCGACTCGCTTGTGGCTCGCCAGCAAACGCATGTCCATGACTTGACTTTCAGTCCGACTGCAAGGGCAGGCTCAACTCAAGTCACGCCTGGTTACACAACCGAGGCTGGGCGACGTCTTCTCGCCATTGGGGCCGGACCCTATGACGCATCCTGAGCTTCTGCCTGCATTGGGAGTGAGTAGAGAGGCTCGGCGCATAAGGGGTGCGCTAGCGCCGTGCGTGCGAGCTGAGACAAGTGGTAATAGCGCTTGTCTAGCCGCTTGTCTCACTCCGCTGACATAGCCTGACCAGTGACCGGCACCCGTTCCTCGCCGGCCAGCCTGTCACACCTAGGCATTCAACTTGGGGACACCACCCGCCGTCACAGGTCCCTACCTAGTAGTCGTGCCTCGAGATGAGGTCTCTCTAGATTTTGTGGCCTCAGAACTCGGCTCGTGTTTCACGTGAGATTCATGCGACTCGTATCAAATTATGGTTGCCATCACCGGATTCCTGGGGCCCCTCCTCGCGTCCCCTGCCTGAACTCGACTCTCGAGGCACGGCTTATTGCGGTCACGCTTGAGACGAGCGGCGTTTACACGCGTTACCACATAATTAGCCGAAGGCCGGGCATCGAGCCGCTTGTTTTCGCTGTCAGCACGTTCTCTCTCTCTCCGCACTTCCACCGCAGAGCGTACTGACGTTTCTTATCCATATGGCAGAGATACACGGCGACGGCTCGGAAGGTTTGCCGTACATTCCAGACGATGTAACCATCGCCCACTTCGTGATGGACTATCAGCATCCGGTGCGGCCGCGGTGGAGCAACGACATCCGCCCCTGGCTTATTGAAGAGGCTACAGGGAGACAGATAGGCTCTGACGAAGTGTGTGCGATAGATACGAAGGTCGCGGCGTGATGCTAATCTTTCCTATAGATCCGTTCGCGCATGTTCGGCCTCTCGAATGCCCTCAAAATCCGGTGGAACATAGGTGCGTAAGAGGTTTTCTGCCTGTCGTTTGTGCTGAAACCGATGCTGGCCGCACATGTGTAGGGTACGACGATCCAGGTACGGTCCAGCGCTCTGCAGTGTCACGTCGAATACTTGACGCGTCTCCTATGGACAGTATGTGTGTTCAGCCCGAACCACGTCGGTGAGTGCAGACGGTTTGAGAGTCGTGACTTGATAGATGCTTACGCTGTTGGCAGATTATCCCGTCGTCATGTGGTGCGTTTTGTGGCATACTCCCAACGGTCCTCTCATGCTTAAGGTCCTTCACTAGGGCAGTGCAAAATCTCGGCGGCATAGTATCGTGAGTAATGGTCATGCATAGTTAACGTGTAAGCTGCTAACCCACTTTGGTACAGAACGGCCAACCCGACATACACCGCGGACGAGTTGGCCCATCAGCTCGAGGCCATTCGAGCGCGATTGGTGGTCGTCCATCCCGACGTACTCCAGGTGGCGCTGGAAGCAGCCCGAATGATTGGTCTTTCCGAGGACGCTATCATTCTATTTGAAAAAGCCGTAGCTCGCCCAAATATCCTGGATCTGATCGAATCGGGGTTGAAAGAACCGCAACGCTTTACTCCATTGAGTTTCAGGCCGGGTCAGGCGAAAGAGAAGCTCGCTCTCCTGTCATTCTCCAGTGGAACTACCGGGCGTCCCAAGGTACGTTGCACCTTTTTTGCAATATACTGTAACATTTGTGCTCATGGGAACGGGGATTAACAGGCCGTCATGATCTCTCACTATAGCATGATTGCAAACATAGTCATGTACGGCGAACACATGCGCCAGAACCGCGCGAAGACATCTCCCGATATGCACTTCTGCCTCCCGGGTGATGTGATATATGGGAGTACGTCCCGCCTTCTGCGAATTTCATGTTGGATGACACTCGCTGACTCTGCATAGTTCTACCTTTTTATCGTAGGCTCATGTGTACTTGATCCGACGGCCAGCTACTCATCTTGCTTCAGACGCGTTTGGGATGCACTTTGTTGTCCTCATGAACATGGTGTTTGGTGTGAGTCATCTGCAGAATCACGATACCTGTTTCGCAACCGACGTTTCCCTCCTGCATAGACAACTGTTGTTGTCGCTCCGAAGTTTAGCCTTCAGCAGATGCTGGATAGCATCCAGCGGTACCGCATTACTAACCTTGCGTACGTGTTCTTTCATTTCCGAGTTCGTCTGGTTGTGCTCAAATTCAATCGGCGATCACAGAGTTGTTCCTCCTCAAGTTATCGCGATGTGCAAGGTCGGTACATCACTCTGACACCGCATCCTCGAATACATGCTGACCCAACGTGGAACAGAGTCCGATAACCAAGGACTACGACCTCAGTTCTCTCCGCTCCATCGTCTCCGGCGCCGCGCCTCTAGGACCGGAAGTGACGGACCAGCTGGCACAATTGCTACCCAAGTGTATCATTGGGCAGGTGTACGGTATGTTTACCCCTCGTGACGTCGTGTGGTCCTTGACTAACTGTCTGTCAGGACTCACCGAAGCCGCGACCGGGGTGGTGTTTGCCGCTCACGGGCTCAAGGTACCCACTCCCGGCTCCGCCGGCGTGCTCGTGCCCGGGGTTGTCGCACGAGTGGTGAAAGCAGACGGGTCGCTCGCCGGCTTCGACGAGCTCGGCGAGCTACAGGTCAAACAGCCGTCGATAGCGTTGGGCTACTTCAACAACCCCCAGGCGTCAGTCTGCCCCTCGAGTCTGCTCAGAGCGCTTCACAGTGCTGATACTTGTTGTATTCGCCCAGTACTGCCGAGACTTACGTGGACGGTTGGGTCCGCACCGGCGACGAGGTGCGCATCAACGCCGCGAAGGAGCTCTTCGTCGTCGACCGCATCAAGGAGCTCCTCAAGGTGCGCGGCTTGCAGGTCGCACCCTCGGAGCTCGAGGGCCACCTGCTTGACCATGCCGCAGTGCGAGACGCATGCGTCGTCGGGGTGCCTGATGAGTATTCGGGCGACCTCCCGGTGGCGTTTGTGGTGCTCGCGCCGGAGGCTGTCCAAGGTAACAAGGGCGACTTAAAGAGGGCGCTGATGTTGGTGAGTGCTCACGGAGTTTTCGATGCAGACAGAGACGATGGTTGACGCGGTGGCTTCGCTCACAGCACGTATCTGAGCACAAGGCTCGGCACAAGTGGCTCGCAGCCGTTGAATTCGTCGATGAAATCCCGAAGAATCCCAGCGGCAAGCTCCTGCGACGTGTCCTTCGTGATCAGGCGAAGAAAATGCTGCTAGATGGCTCGTTGAAGGTGGAAAGTAGCTCTCGACGCGCCAAGCTCTAGCGATCGGTCAGTCCTGTTTAGATGTTGAGTATTGCGTTTGCTTAGGCTAGTATGAAGGCTGGCAACCATTCCGTTGTTCTGATTGGTTAGACCATATGCTATTTCTGGCGTACGGCGACCCGGGGGCTTCTCAATGGCGCCTATTCGCTTATTTCTCCATACAAGTACCGAAAGCTATCGATGTGTCTAAAGCTCAAACGGCACACGTTCTACTCAAAGACGAAGACATGCGTCTTAAGCCTCAATCGTGTCCGTCGATCTGGCTGAAAGCTGAACCCCAGGTCCAAGTTGGCACGTGGACGGTCTGATGAGACAGGTGACCTCACCACCGTCACGCGAACTCGTCGCGGCCGACACGGGGTTCTTTTCACACAGCACCATACGCGAGAGGATAAGAAGGACGTGGTGATCCCGTGCAGAGAGCGCTCCCACGAGACCCGCAGTCCCTCTTCTTCTCGCACCGCCATGAGCGAGATTCATGGAGACGGCGGCCCTCTGCCGCCCATCCCGGATGACCTCTTGATCTCGCAGTTCATCTTGGACCGACACCACCCGTCTGCGCCAATGTGGGCGCACAAGATGCGCCCATGGCTCATTGAAGAGGCCTCCGGACGGCAGATAGGGTCCGACGAGGTGAGTACTGGTAGACGTTTGATCGGTGATCGGTCACTGACAATGCGGTCTTTCCAGCTGCGCGGACGGATGCATGGGCTTACGAACGCCTTGAGGATCCGGTGGAATATAGGCATGTCACGCTGTATGTCTGTAGACGCTCCGGTGCTCATGATACCTCGTCACAGGATATGATACTCCAGGTAGGACCCTGAGCGCATCACATTGGATCGTACTTCTAAGGTGCTTTTGAAGTGTGCATATTCACTCACAATCACGTTGGTGAGTGCCTCTGGCACTTCCACTCTTATTGCTTCTGATCATAATTGTTCATAGATTTTCCTGTGGTGCTTTGGTATGTTTCCAGATGCGACAATAGTATGGTCGCCGAATTCATGTGTCTTCCAGGGCCGTACAGAACCTGGGGGGAATAGCCTCGTGAGCAGCTCCCTTTGCTTGATTGTTTGTGATATTTACGTTCGGTCTGTAGGAACGCCAACCCGTCTTACACTGCCGAAGAGCTGACTTACCAACTTCAAGTGATCAAGGCACAGCTGCTCATTGCGCATCCTTCAATGCTGCAGATAGCACTGGACGCTGCCCGCGCCGCGGGCATCCCTCAGGATCGTATCGTTTTGATGGAACCTGTTGAAGGTTCCCCATATCCAAACGTAGACGAGCTCGTCAGGTTTGGGCTCACGCAGCCGAAGCAGGTCGCACAGCTCCGGCTCAAACCTGGGGAAGCTAAGACAAAGCTGGCCCTGCTGTCCTTTTCGAGCGGAACCACCGGGCTACCGAAGGTGTGTGCCATATGTTTATGGCTGTCGGCAATCCCAGACTGACAAGTGCTCGTCAAGGCGATCATGATCTCTCACTACAGCCTTATTTCCAATGTTATCATGCACGCGCACCACATAAATGCGAACAATGAGAACATACCCTTAGAAGAGAGGTTTTACCGGCCTGGGGGAATCACATATGCTAGTGAGTCAGTCACGCGGCCCAAAAGCAGGTCTAAATCTGACATGTCGTCAGTACTACCTTGGTACCGTGAGCGCTGAATATCGGGTTGATCCACGCGTGGTATCTGACTCGACCGCAGATGCATTCGGCATACATTTCGTGCTCTTTTTGCAACTCTTCCTCGGAGTAAGGTATTCCTCATCACTTTCTGACGCATCGCAATAACCGCTCTCCAGAACACTATCGTCGTGGCACCAAAATTCTCGCTACAGCAGATGCTTGAGAGCATCCAGAGATACCGTATCACGCATCTTGCGTCAGTGATAACATCTCTCCCCACTTGTCATTCAAGCCTCACAAGTTTCCACAGATTGGTTCCACCACAGGTTGTCCTCATGTGCAAGGTATATTTCTCTCGTGCTCCAGCATCTCATATACATGACTGAGCTAGCATATCACAGAGCCCTGTTATCAAGGACTACGACCTCTCATCCGTGTACTTTCTCATCGCCGGGGCTGCCCCAATGAGCGCAGAGATCACCGAGCAAATCGTCCGCATCCTGCCTAACAGTATCATCGGACAGGGATACGGTCCGTCCCAAACCTATCCCCTCGTCTTACTGCACGACTTATGTTCGATGATCACGACGCAGGCCTCACGGAGTCTGCGACGGGCATGTCCTTCCCCGCGCATGGGCAAAGAGTAGGCACGCTCGGCGCCGCGGGAACGCTCCTCCCGGGAGTCATCGCGCGCGTCGTGAAGCCGGACGGCACCCTCGCAGGCTTCGACGAGCTCGGCGAGCTGTACATCAAGGCGCCTTCGATCGCGCACGGGTACCTCAACAACCCCACCGCGTACGTCCTCCCTCCCCACCCTTCACGCGCGCCACTGCTCACGCGAACAGGTGGCGCTTATAATCGACAGGACGGCGGACACGTTCGTCGACGGCTTCCTGCGCACGGGGGACGAGGTGCGGATCAGCGCGCGCAAGGAGCTCTTCGTCGTCGACCGGATCAAGGAGCTCATCAAGGTGCGCGGCGCGCAGGTCGCGCCGTCCGAGCTCGAGGGCCACCTCCTGCGGCACGCGGCGGTGCGCGACGTGTGCGTCGTGCCCGTCCCGGACGAGTACTCGGGCGAGCTCCCGGTCGCGTTCGTCGCGCTCCACCCGGACGCGCACGCGCGCGCGGAGCGCGACCCGGGCGCGAAGGCGCGGGCGAAGGCGGAGCTGATGGAGGTGCGTACGCGGCCTTGCGCCGTGTGTGGAGATGAAAGCTGATTTGGCTCGGCGCGCGGCGCGCGACAGCACGTGGCGAAGCACAAGACGCGGTACAAGTGGCTCGCGGGGGTTGAGTTCATCGAGACGATCCCGAAGAACCCGAGCGGGAAGCTCCTGCGGCGCGTGCTGCGCGAGCAGGCGAGGGATATGCTGGCCAAGGGGACGCTCACTGTGCAAACCAGTGCGCGGAGAGCCAAGTTATAGAGCGCATTTGAACGGATTACTGATGTAATACTCCTGCCGTGTCCGGAATGTGTTACATATAGACGAAGAGGATATTGAGGAAGAGCAGGCTATCCCGTGGCCCCCACCATGCCCTGTGCGCACGTTTTCATTTGCTGACTGCGCTTTTTCGGGCTCCGCTCTACATTAAAATGTGTGGATTTTATGACCCACACGCTCCTAGGAAGCTATCCAACGCTCTGACAGCAGCAGCTATTAACTCCAACTTTCTATTGTCATCCCTCGTTGAGACATATCGCTTGCAGATACGCACGCGTGGGCAGTCAGCGGGATACGGAAAGTACTTACAAGCCAGCGTGAGTCCTACCATGTTGTATCACAACTTTATACCTGTGTCTCTTCACTCTCGTAATCGTGGTATCCAGCAGCTACGTCGGTTTCGTCTATAATTGCTTCTACATGCAGGGCTGGATATACGGACGAGTACGCGGTGGTGCAGCGACAAGATGACGTCTGATTCAACACTCATCAAATGAGGAAAGTGTCGAAGTAACGATCGAGGATGGCGACACCATCGAGCGGAGCGATCTGGCTCACATACCCATCCGGCCGGACGACGACAATCGCGCCCTTGTGTGGGTCGATACCGCAGTGCTCATACCCACCGCCCCCATAACCCATGGCGACGTTCACGTCGTCGGAGAGAACCCTGTAATGTGGTCAATGAGCATAAACACAGAACTACGGAGACGTGTACCCACTTCTTCCAGTCCTCGCGGAAGAATTGAGGGAAATCTGGATGGGCCACGTGCGGTGGTCAGCTTTTGGGCTCGGAGCCTTCTCGATATATATGAAGACTCACCGAGGTACTCGTGCTCTTCCAACTTTGCCGACGTGAAGCATATCACATCGAACACCTCCCACTGACCCCGTTTCATCCCCCCGCGCCCGAGACGGCGGAGGAATCCCCGGTCCAACGCGTCCGCGGTCGCCTGCAGCTGCTCCCTCTCCTCCTTGACAGTAACGTCGCCTCCGAAAACCAAGATCTTGAAGCGCGTGTCCGAGGGAAGGAGGTCGTGGACGTCGACTGGGGACGCATCCGCCGATTGACAGAAGTAGTGCGGGAGCATCCGCTCGCCGAGGACGAGCTTGTGCGCGAGCGACTGGTGCTCGGTCCCGATGAGCGAAGACGTGTAGCGAATGCCGATGCCGGAGGTAAAGCCGCTTAGGGTGCCCTGCGCTCTGTTGGTCGGCGGTCAGCTGGACAGTGAGCGTGCATGAGCGGAGGAGACGGCGGAGGCGCACTCTTCGAACGCGACGGGGTCAACGCCCTCCAGGTTCGCGCCCGAGCGGGGCTTGTCGAACAGTTTGGAGAACTTGCGGTCGAACGCGATGAGCTCCTGTGCGTATCCACGGCGCTCCATTTCGTACTAGACTCGTGTCAGAAGCACCACGGATGCAGTGTGCCTCGTGGACGCACAGTAGAGAGCAGCGACAGGTCTGCCCATCCCCGCAGAACGTAAGCCAGTTTCCATGCTGAGGGTAAAACACGATCAGCTTATAATCCGAAAGAGTGTTGCGGGAGACATACCCAAGTTATGGCTGTCATTCATGCTTGCATTGAGACCTTGCCCTGGACAGAGGAAGTGGTCGATTCGAAAAAGCTGGGCGCGTAGGGGAATCGCATACCTGCTTTGGGAGAGTGGGTGTGACACGCGTCGCCAGCAATGAACGCACGGTTGTTCACTGAGAACCGCTCAGCGACTCGCTGACCAACTTTACAAACGATTTGATAAGCAGTGCTCGACAAACGCAACATTCATCAACTTGACTGACCGACATAAACAGTCCACCAGGTGATCCTGTTGTTCTTGATCTCGACGCGATAGTTGGGGAGGACCTTGCGGGCTTGCTCGATCAGCAGCGAAACCGTCATCCGGTCCCGGTCCAGGCGACCGGTAACAGGGTCGATAAGTGAGGCGACCACCGCGGGTGACTGTTGGATATAAAAGCGCACAAGATTCTGTTCGCGCGGGATGATCATCAAGACGCCATACTCGGAGTGAATGAAGCATTGGTTGCGGATGTCGGGGAAGTCGGTATCAACCTCGAAGTCGAGGACTCCCCAAACAGCATCTGTGCAGCGAGCCTTTATTAATGGCCGTTTCCAGCCACGGGAATCTAGAACGCGCTCACTAGTGGAATCCCCTTCCATTTGGATACCCAGCTGGCTGCGGGTCCAAGAGTGTGCGCCTGGAGTGTGAAGAAGCATTAAATAACTTGCGCCGGCACCGTGAGACGTCTATAGCATTCGTTCGACTCACCGTCTCCACCAAGAACGAACTTGGAGTGCACTACCTCCGTTGTTGCAGACACCTGTTTGCTCTCCGTTCGCAACACGGTCTATAGGATAGTCTATTTGTGGCGGGTATATATATACTCTTTTGAGCACTCACAGCATGCACATAAGCGTGTGGTTCCTTGAGCTTTCCATCCTCTTTGACGGTGTCGAGTGAGGTCGGGGCAGTAGAGCGTTGAACTTCGAGCCCATCAGCTCGCATGACATCAACTAAAACGCCTTCGATGGCTCCTTGATGGTTAATGATCTGTAATGTGTCATTTTACGGCCAAACGCGAGGACAACAGCCCTCACTCCATATGGAAATCGCGCATTTGCCGCGACAACCGCGGGACGACGAGAAAGACGCTTTCAACGGAGGTTGGCTGAATGCTGCAACCACACAGACTGGGAGATCTTACAGTTATAGTGCCAGTGTCGGGGTCCGGAGCGTAGAATGCCTAGCAGAACTTTAAGCAAGAAAAAGAGTCGGCGGTGCCGCTAGTGACTTACCGCGCGAGAAAGCATGTGGCCCCTATTAAGCATCTCATGCCCCAGACCGTAGCTCTGAAGCGGCAGCAATCAATACACCTCGTGAATCAAGGGGTTGGAAAGATTTTCTTACATGCATAACCTCGATCGTACGAGGCTGTATTCCATCAGCATGACCTGCTTCTAGTATCTGGTCCCTGCAACGAGACTTGATGAAGACGTGTACACATAAAGAGAATGATCGATGGGTACGCACCTCTGATCCACAATTCGCACTGAGACGCCAGCTTTATGGAGTGCCATGGCAGCCATAACACCCGCGGGCCCCGCGCCGATGATAAGTATGTCGACGTAGCTCTTGGAGAGCTTTCCTTCTGTTTGAGGAGCAACCATAGCCTTGAGTGGGCGGGGTGAAAGCAATAGAGAGTGGATTGTTGGACTCTGCTCGGCTTCACACACCTTTATATTGACTGTCTTCTGTGACCCCGTGTCCTCACTGTATTTAGTCCATTACCGCCGGTGGGGTGGAAGGGATGGCCCTCGGTCATCGAATGTGACAGAGCGGCCCGAGTATCCAATGGTCACGGATGGAGGACAAATGCGAGGCCGGTTGGGTACCGGTCAAGCGTCGATATCTCAATCGTGGTCGACGTTGAGTACATACGGAGGTCCGTTTAGTCCGGAGGTCCGTTTAGTCATGGCCACCGACCTAGGCGCCTGGAAAGCCGCCATTCTTCGCCGCTCCCCCAATGTTCGTGCTCGCGCTGTATGCCCCGCGACGTCAACGGCGCGCCCAAACACTCGATCTCGTACTCCGTATGACTGAGGCTCTCGGGATTACCAACCCTCTCGTCAAGCACCTACCAGATTTGTAGCAGCAACTTGCACGAGCCTCGTCATTCGGACAAGTGCATGACGATGACAATGACTGTACGTTCAATGCAGTTGCGGATGAAATGAGGAGCCTGTGCGTTATGCTGGACGGCGGCGGCGAATACCCAGCCTTGGGGCACGGCATCGTTCTCACTGTTCCGCTTGTAGCGTGCGCAGGTACCATGGTGCCAAGTCACCGAACGACTGCGTACCGCGAACCTCAAAATCGATACACACAGGTGAGTCTCACGATCTTTTTTCGTCATCCTTCCCATGCGGCTGGCCTGGCTGCTGGCGACGCCGTTGTAGACCCCCCACGTGCTCGCTTCTGTTGCCTTTTCAGGCGTTCGAGGTGCAACGACCTCGACGAGGTGCCCAGGTACCGCTAGTTGTGCTCGCCTGAATCCCCAACTCAATCTCCGACCATGGCTCCGCGGAAGGCAAAGTCAGAATGCTAGCAGATGGCTATTTATGTTCCACGCGACCGCAGGAAAGAATATATCAGTTGGGCAGACCAGCGCGCAGAGGACCGGGATCTACGCAAACCATCTCGATTGCACCGCACAACATTTCCTGCTCATGTATGTACACTAGCACTAAATCCTCCCTCCGTTCTCGGCACCACAAACAGTGTGATCAGATGAGGAAGGAATCGAAATAGTTGTCGAGCACGTCGACGCCGTCGAGCGGCGCGATCTGGCTCACGTATCCATCCGGCCGTACGACAACGATAGCTCCCTTGCGCGGGTCGATGCCGAAGTGCTCGTACCCCCCACCACCCTGGCGAGTGCTGACGTTCGTGTCGTCCGCGAGAACCCTGTGGTTGTTGTGCCGTGAATAAAGTGAGAAGGAGACCTTCTAAGGACAACTCACCTTTTCCAGTCCTCGCGAAAGAACTGAGGGAAGTCTGTACAGGGAGAAAACAGTCTGAGAGCTTTTACTATACCCATCAGTGGAACCAGACGGACCGAGATACTCATGCACCGCCAGTTTCGCCGACGTGAAGCACAGCAGATCGAATACTTCCCACTGGCCTCGCTCCCGCCCACGCCCAAGGCGACGCAAGAACCCTCGGGGACTTTCCAGCGCATCCGCGTTGGCTCGCAACCGCGCTTTGTCCTCCCGGATGGAAACGTCGCCCCCGAAGACGAGGATCTTGAAGCGCGTGTCCGAGGGGAGGAGGTCATGGAGCTCGACGGGCCGCGCGTCCGCAGAGCCGCAGAAGTAGTGCGGGAGCATCCGCTCGCCGAGGACGAGTTTGTGTGCGAGCGCCTGGTGCTCGGAGGCAATTAGAGAAGAGTTGTAGCGGATGCCGATACCGGAGATGAAGCCGGTCAACGTGAGGTGCGCCCTGAGTCCGGCAGTCAGCACTATGTTATGTGTAAAGCGAGGAAGAACGGAAAGTACTGATGGAATTCGGCGGTATCGACGCCGGCGAGGTTCGTGTCCGAGCGGGGCTTGTCGAAGAACTTGGAGTATTTGCGGTCGAAAGCGATGAGCTTCTGTGCGATCGCGCGGCGCTCGGCTTCGTACTGGATGGAGGTAAAATGCCTGCTCTGAGGGTTGGAGATGGAGACGCACCGTAGAGAGCAGTGACAAATTCCCCCATCCCCGCAGAACGTAAGCAAGCTTCCACGCTAAGAAATTGAACGGTCAACTTAGGAACAGGCGAGGTTTGTCAATACGCACCCAAATTGTGTGAATCGTTCATGCTAGCATTGAGTCCTTGTCCTAATGCGTAGATGCGCTGATGAGAGCTAATGTCACTACGAAGCAATTCCTTGCGTACCTGCTTTGGGCGTGTGTGTGTGACAAGCGTCTCCAGCGATGAAAGCCCGGTTGTTCACCGAATATCGGTCGGCGACTCGCTGTCCCACTGCGTGAAAACTCCCAGTGAACGCGGCTCGCAACGCATGATGGGTTCCACTCACCAACGTAGACCGTCCACCAATCGATCTTGCCGTTCTTCACGTCCACATGGTACGGCGCGAACACTCTGCGCGTCTGCTCGAGCAGCCGCGACACCGACGTCCGCTTACGGTCCACGCGACCCGTGGCGGGGTCGATGAGAGACTCAACAGCCGCGGGTGGCTGCTGGACGTAGATGCGTACGAGGTTGTCTTCGCGAGGGATGATGATGATGGCACCGTGCTCGGAGTGGAGAAAGCATTGGTTGTGGATATCAGGGAAGTCGGTTTCGGCTTCGATGTCTAAAACACCCCAAACGGCGTCTGTACGGAAGGAAGAGCCGCATCAATCGGACCGCAGTTCATGTTCTAACACGTGCTGCTCACCTGAACTGTCCCCTTCCATGCGTATATCCAGTTGGTTGCGGGTCCACGAGTGCGCGCCTGTTTAGCGACAAGATGTGAGATGACACGGGCCTGCCAACGGGAAAAAGGCGGGCGACTGACCATCTGCACCAAGAACAAACTTCGAATGCACCACCTCAGTAGCCAGTGGGTCCGATTGGTCTTTTTTGTGCAGCACAATCTGCATGATAGGTTAAATCAAGCGTGCATATGTGTCCACGAACTGGTGGCTGACCTTGTGCACGTACGCATGGGGATCCTTGAGCTTGTCGTCATCCGCGGCGATCTCAAGCGAGGTGGGGACAGTAGAGCGCTGCACTTCGAGCCCCTCGGCCCGCATGAGCTCTATGAAGACTTGTTCTATGGCTCCTTGGTGGTTCGTGGCCTGTGCGGAGTCACTGATAAGTTTGCACCGAAACTCAGGTAGAATCGACGATACTCACCGCGAAAGGGAAACGCGCGGTAGAATCGGGAAAGGCAGGCACACGAAATGTACGCTGCTCACCACGTTCAGTGAACGTGTGGAGGCGCACTGCTGGATGACTTACAGTCATTACTCCTTCGGAGTCAGGTGCGTAGAACGCCTGCCAACACGTCAAGCACCAGCGGCTCGACAAAATAAAGCCGAAACCCTACCGCTTGATAAAATGCCGCGTGCCTTTTGAGGCTCACCTCTCCAAGTCCGTAGCTCTGAAGAGCCGTTGGAGCGAAATCAACGGGTGCCTACGAGGTACTCACATGCAGCACTTCCAATGTCCGCGGTTGAATCCCATCCGCATGACCCGCTTGGATTATATCGTCCCTAAGAGTCACTCAGGTGAGCGCATGAACGTAGCTAGGAGCAGTATAATTCGCCCCTACCTTTGTTCCACGATCCGCACTGACACGCCGGCTTTGTTGAGCGCCATGGCAGCCATGACCCCCGCTGGTCCTGCACCGATGATCAACACGTCGACGTAGCTCTCTGCGATCTTTCTCTCCGGTTTAGGGGTAGCCATCATAGCAGAAGGTAGTGGCGAGGGTACTTTCAAAGGTGGCGGGGATTCCAAGTGGTTTTATGGCGTGCATGATCGTCAGGCGGATTTTATACACCATGTACGAGCGGCGCAGAGTCATGCGGCCTGACGCTGTCGGATCGAGAGGATTGGTCATTGTCAACTGAGAGGGGTTGACTGCTGAGCGTAGACGCACCTGCTTCCCCAAGTTGGGATCGAGAACACAGGCGCGATACAGGTTGAAATTACGTCGCAATCAGTAACAGCAGGAGTGCCATACGTTGAATCCGGCCATCAATGTCCGCGGTGACCTCGTCTCCGAAAGGGTGTCCTTAGAACGGGATTGCCATCCCATGCTCCATGGTTAGCATGTCTATAGAAATCTCTATAGGGCAACAAGAAGATACCAGTGAAGCAACGTGGTGAGTCAGCAATCGAGACGGCTGGTGCGCAGAGCCTGGTCACTGGTGAATGTGGCATGATCTATCCCCATCCAATCGCCCAATTTCCATTGTGATTACAGAGGCTCAGAAGGAGCTCTCGGATGGGATGAGCATGTCCTGAGTCCTAACGAGCTTGGCAACTTTCGGCTGACAAGTTCGCTTCTGGCGCAATTCCTGCAAAGAACCTATTTATCAAACACTCTTTCTCCTATACCAGCTGTCAGCAAGTACGGACGGTAGGTAGCGAGAGCGCACAAAATGAGAGAGAGAGAGCTTATGGCAAGTGCAATCTTTGGTTGAAGTTGAAAATGAGGTCTGCGAGGTCCGGGCCGGAGAGGGCCATCGGCGCTTGGTGGGTGGCGGCTTTTCGTTGCTGCAGAAATCCAGCGTTTCGAAGTTCTTTCCCTCCCTCGCGTTCGCGTTCCTGTTGCTATGCCCGATATCCCAGTCGGCGCACAAATATTCGATCTTGCGTTTCATCCCACCGAACCTCTTGTGCTTACTGGGCTTCTTACTGGCCACCTAAAGGCTTTCGGATACGATGAACAGGGCAACTACGAGGAGAAGTTCTCCATCCGACCCTCGAAAAAGTCCTGCAGGACAATCGCTATGAGCGCAGACGGTGCGCGCGCGTGGGCAGGCGGAAAGGCGAAGGCGATCCAGTGCGTACCTTGCCATTAGCTGCATGCGCGCGATGGGGATGTGTGAACCGACCATGCTCGCGCCATAGCATCGTCGACGTAGGCACCGGCGTGGTCGTGGAGACTCGCGCGGCTGCGCACGAGTAAGTTCCTCCTCCGAATCACACCCTTGCGGTCGACTGACCTGGACAGTGCCCGCAAGCGTCCCCATCAACCGCATGAAGCGACTCACCCCGCACCTGTTTGCGTCGGGGGATGATGACGGCGTGGTTAAGGTGAGCACTCCATTCGCCTCATGCATGAAGTCTCTCCCTCCGCCCCGCCAAAGTGCGAGTCTAAAATGTCGTCGCCACAGCTCTGGGACCCACGGCAGCCGGAAGCAGTGCGCGCATACACCCACCACTTTGACTTCATCTCGGACTTCATGTGGCTTCCCGACAAGAAGCAGTTGGTCGCGACCAGGTGAGCGTTACGAATCGTTTATCACGCGCTGCCTTTCGGATGTGCTGACATCACGGCCTCGCGCAGCGGTGACGGCACACTTTCGGTCATGGACGTGCGCTCAAAGAAGACGGAGCCCGCCGCGCAATCCGAGGACCAAGAGGACGAGCTGCTGTCTATTTTGCCAATAAAGGGGTCAGTCAACGCGTGCCGTCCGAACAAATCCGTTCGCTGCTCTCAGTGTTGCTCACACACGAATCAGCGGCGAGAAGATTGTCGTAGGAACCCAGATCGGAATTTTGTCAGTCTTCAACCGAAAAAAGGGCTGGGGGGATTGTGTCGACCGCATACCAGGGTACGTGCACCCCGTGATCGCACTGGAAAGCGATAAACCCTTCTCTAACATCACGCATTTTCACTCTGTCAGACACCCACAGTCAATAGACGCGCTCTGCGCTGTCCCGTCGCGATACCCAAACGCGCAAATGACAATCCTCACGGGATCTTCGGATGGGCTGCTCCGCGCCGTGCAACTGTTCCCGACGAAGATGCTTGGGGTCGTCGCAGATCATGGGGAGTTTCCCATCGAGCGAATCGCGGTCGATCTGGACGGCGAGGGACGCTGGGTGGGGAGTGTGGGGCACGAAGAGGTGCTGAAGCTCACGGACCTCCAAGAAGTCTTCGAAGACGAAGACCCTGAAGGCAGTGACGACGAAGAGGACGGCAAGTCGGACGCTGATGGCCTTGGGAGCGGAGAGCACGGCTCGGAGGACGACGCCGAGGATGCCGTGTCAGCAGGTCCGGCGGTCGCAGCGGCTGGAGAAGATACTGAGGACATGGAAGACGCGCCTACAAGTGCAGACACGGAAGTGGAGGCAGACAAAGACTCGGATGGCGAGGAAGATGTCGATCCGGAGCCCAGGAAGCGCAAGCGGAAGAAGGAGAGGGATCCTCTGCAGGCCGCGAAGAAGAAGAAGGGGCGGAACGAGGTAGAGGCGGAGCCGGCGTTCTTCGCCGATCTGTAGACGAAGACCAACGCATACTCCTCACACGATCAACGCTGTCTCCTCAAGGCTCCGCGTCTCTTGACATGCAGTACATCATGGCGAGGTCATGGTGCATCGGGTTGGAGTTTCTGCCTGCCGTCAGGCGACTGCTGCCAAGGGGGCTTCGGTCATCGCTCTGCTCGTTCTCATGTACGACGAAACCACATATTCTCATGATATTCACTGCCACACCTTGAGGGCGGTTGGGGACTCAGAGTGCGCCATTACTACTCACCGGTTTCAAACCATTTTCCGCGCCTCGCTCATGCACAGGCTTGCGTAAAAGCTCTGGGCAGACTTGTGGGTAGAACGCCGTCTTCCTCCCTCGACTTTTGGTCCCAACTGACCATCACCTTCATGGGAGCTGAAGCACCCGATGGTGTGCTCACACGACTGGTGAGTGCGCGTGAGTCCAGAGTGTTGAAGGGTGCGCAAGATGAAGAGGACCACGACGCACAGCCTCCGCGCCCGCCAAGCGTACGATCGCCCTGATCGGGGCCTCTTGCGTGCGGGCCGAGAACGCGTCGCCCGTCGGGAGCGCGGTGGGCGAGGTGGGCGTGACGTTCCCGGAAAGTGCTGGGGGGCGGGCCCGTTCCGTCCGGCTCTTCTCTCTCCCCGATACCATCATATATTCCACTGCGCCCCAGCCCTCCCGCGCTGCTCCAGTTCTCTCTTGGACTGCTCCTCACACCTTCAGACGCAACACTTCGAATTCCGGCCATATATCGTCCAGGATTCCGGCCACAGATCGACTGAGTCGTCCGACATCCCACAGATCCCGTCCATGGCCGCCTCCACGCCCATCCGCCCCGCCCCCACTGCGAGCTCAAGCTCGGCCGCGGGGACAGACTGTAGGGCCGGGCGCGCCTCCGGCTGTCGCAGCACGCGACTCGAGCTCACCGCAGAGCAACTCCTCGGACCCTCACTCGCACCGCCGCCCTCCTCGTCGCGCTCCCGCTTGAAGCAGTCAAAACATGCACCCCGCCCTGTTACCGTCGAGCAGCTCCTCGGTACGAGTCTCACCATGGCCCCCACCCGCTCACGGCCGCCTCCCCGGCCGCGCCCCAAGAGCCCCCCGCATCCCGTCCTGCGCTCGCCTCGGTCCATGTCCACGCTCCACGCCTCGTCTTCGTCGTCGCCATCGCAGAACCCCCGGCAGATCCGCGTGACGGCGGACGAGGTGCTCCGGACGGGCATGCCGCTCCGGACGCTGCAGGTGGTCAAGGCGCGGGCACTCGAAGGCCAGGTGTCGCCCGACCCGCTCGGTGCGTCGGGCAGCAGGATCGGCTCGCCTCCCCCTGCACGAGCGTCGAGCTCCGGTTCTGCCTCGGGCTCGGGCTCGGGCTCCGTCGTCGTCACTCCCAGCTCGCGCGCGGCACGCCCGAGGGTCGTCACAGCTGAAGAACTCGCGGGCCCGGGCCCGCTTCCCACCAGCATCACCAGACGGCCGAGGAGCGCAGGGGGACCGGCCAGCGCAACGACGGGGAGCAGGATTCCGCATTCCCCTGCGTCGCCGGCGGCGGCTGGCCGTGCCGTGCGCCCTTCCACGGCAGGCGCAGCGGTTACGACGACGCCCAGTGGGGCGACGACGCAGCCAGTCGCTACGAATGGGGTGGCTACTCCTACTCCTGCCGGTGCCCAAGGTACTCTCGGGAGAGGGCGGGGCTCGAGGGCAGGTCGTGTGCAGAGGAGCAACAGTCAGGGCTCGACCTACACACTGCCCAGGTACACGACCGAGCCGGGCGAGTCTGAGGTGGTCATTGGCCGGTGAGTGCCCATTCTCAGCGTCTTTTCACGAGACGGCGTGTCTGGCCGTCGTGGCTGATTATATGCGCATCTAACAGAGGCGCTCCTGAAGGCGAAGACCACAATGACATGACCCCGGTGGACGAGGATGGGCCGGGTGCGTCGAACAACACCATAGACACGCTCGATCCTAGCCCTCCGCCTCGCTCCCCGACGGAACCCGTCTCTTCGTCCCCGCGCCTGCTCAGCCCACTCGACGCTCTCATCCCGGCTCCCATTCCGGCCGACTTCCCGCCGCTCCCAATCCCCTACGCGGAAGTGGTCCCCTCTTACGAGACCGCCATCTCCAGCTCCCTCGAGCTCCCCGCGCAAGTGCTGGCGCAGGCCCGGCCCATCGCGATCCCAACCCCCTTATCGCCTTTGCAGCGCCGCGCGCTCTCCCCCACGAACACAACCGCTAGCTCGCCCAATTTCCGCATTTCGCGCGCGTTAAGCCCTTCCAGCCCCTCGAGCTCCAGCAGCCTGGCCGGGTCTTCGGGCCCTCCCTCGCCTGGGCTCTCCGATGGCCCTGGGGCGGAGTCTCCGCGGCGCCGCTTCGCGTTCATGTCCCTCTTCCACGGGCACGGGCACGGGAACGGGGGGAGGTCGCGCGGAAGCACGGTCTCTGGACTGCCGTCGCCCACGCTCTCGCTCTTCCCCGACAGCCTGTCGCCGTCCCCGGGGCCCTCCGGATCGCGAGCGTTCCACCGGCCGTCGCACTCTTCGGGGTCGATGTTAAATCTGCTTTCGCGCTCCTAGTCGGAGACCTCAATGGCATTCTTTTGGTACGCAAGAATCTGGTTTCTATCTCCTCTCATGTATGTCAACGATGGACTCGGGTCCGCATTTACGCTCACGACACCTTTACGAGGCTTCGGCTTATGTCGACGCACGCATGTCTATCCCGTTCTGTATAGCTTGTGTACATTCATGTCGCTTTTTTTCCACTGGCTCCGTGCTAGCTGCATTAGTACTACCTACTCACCATCTAACTGTAAGAGTTACCCCGTTTAACATCCAATATATGGCACTGTCCTCGTCATGCACGCTGTGTGCAATTAATCGGACTGTTACGTCGGTGCTCACCGCTGTATCACCTGTCGCGATGAGCCCGGTGGGTTGTCCGATGTTTACGCCGGCACACTCACTCGACGGGCCTCTGCGGGCCCCGCGCGCTGCCCGTCCCCACAAACGAGACAGCTCAAGCTCAAGACGGTCAGGTGTCTCCGATTCAACAGCGCTTTTCGACGGCGTGCCTTGCTGCGCGAACGCCTGCAGACACTAGTATAGTACTTACTAGTGGTGTCGGGGACTCTTGGGCAGCTGAGCGCAGGCTCGGCGAGCCATGTTCTCTGGACGTGGAGCTGAACCGCCGTGCGCAGCCTAGCTAGACAAGTGTGATAATGAAGTGGTACAGGTTGGGAGTCATTATGGGCGGACGCAGGCCCGCGTCGGAGCTTGCGAGGCGGTTCATGAAGGATATCATGACGTGATGCGCTTGTGTCAAAATACATCGCCCCGTCTGGCCATCCAAGCCGCTCAAGACGCGCCCTTCCCCTCCCTCTCTCTTCCCCTTCCCTTGTCGGGCACTGTCGACGTGCTCTTGCGCTCCCCTATCCCCTTCCTCCCCCATCTTCCTCTGATATTCTGCTCGTGGCTCTCTGGACGCAGCTCACCTTCTCACTTCTACCCGCCTCGACGGCACCATGTCATCCCTTCACCGGCTGTGTTGCGCGCTGCTCGCCACTGCGTCATTCTCTCAGACCCTCGCGCTCCCGGCCACCCGTCTCTCCGTCCGCCAGAACGGCTCGCAGAACGGCACAGATGCGTCGGCCGGAGGCGCGAACGACCTCGGAGCGCAAGTCTACGTACGTCTCCCCGCCACACCGTCTGCGCCCTCGCTCGCCCTCGTTCCTGACCCGGAACCCCCCACCGCAGGTCCCGCTCGCGGTCATCGGGGGTCTCTTCATCGCAGGCATGGCCGTCGCATGCTTCGGACGTCGCTTCCGCCGGAGCCCCGTGGCGGCCAGCGCAGGCGCAGCAGCCTCGGGCCCTACGGAGCTCACGGCCGATCAGCTCGTCGGGGGCGCCGCCACCACCACGACGGCTGCAGGCACGCAGCGCGCCCGTCGCGCGCGGCGGACGCGGCGCACCCCCAGCCAGATCTCGACGCACTCGCTCCCAGCCTACATGAAGGAGCCGGGCGACCAGGAGATCGTTATTGTTAGGTGAGCGCTTGTTCTGCGTCGCCAGTGCCTTGCTTTGTTTTGTGTCTGGATCCGGGTGGAGCAGCGACGCCGGGTGGGAGACGGGCGAGGTGGCGAGTCCGGGGCGGACGTCTGCGTGGCCTGCGGTCTGGGAAGGCTGCCAGGTGCCGTATCACCTCCCGGACCTGAGATGGAGGGACGGAGCGCCTGCGGGGTTGACAGGCAGGCGAGCAGGTGAGGACGCGTGCGGGGCGGGTGCGAGTGCTACCACCGCCCGAGCGTTCCATTGCCGCCGTCGAGAACGCTTCCAAGGACGTCCTCCTACGCCCACGAGACGAAGTGCCTTGTCGGCCGTGCCTGGGGCGCATATATCCCGGCCGCTCGAGAAGCGCGAAGGTATCACGGTATCGTGATAAGAATGCGATGCTTCTGTCTACCTCTGGTGCGCATTCACGTCCTCAGAGCATCGACTGACATGTTTCGCGCAGGGGCGCTGACGATATGGAAGACGACATACCGATCACGGTGACCATGCCTCCGGTGGACGAAGACTCGCTCAATGGCTCGATGGACACTTCGCACGAATATCCGTCGGACAATCAGGTACCGCTGCTGACCGGCAACGACTTAGACGACCAGCACCTCAGCCCAGATCACAACCGGCCGTCCCGCGCAAGCTTCGACAGCATAGATAGCTCAGCAGAGAACAGCTCGCACCACTATGCGGACGATGCGCCAGCTTACGAAACTGTCATCCTAGACGATCCACCGTACCCCCCAATGCCACCAACAAGCCCGCCACCGATGACACCGACCCCGGCGCCAGGAACTGAACGTTCATCCATTGAGCAGTTATCAAATACGCGTCGCCGGTCTGTCTTCGCCTCTATCTTCAACCCTCGCCATTCAAGAGGCCCGTCCGCCGCGTCCCCCGAACCGCGACCCAGCACCAGCCTGAGCGTCACGCACGAAGATCAGCCACGGCTTTCGATCGCGTCGGACCGGCGGAGCCGCGCGCTGCGGCACCAAGCATCTCACTCGGGCTCGGGTTCGATGCTCTCGCTGCTATCACGCACGCGCTCGAACGGGAACCTGAATGGCGCGGAAGCGCTCACGTCGCCGTCCATGATCTCGCTGCATTCGATATCGGCCCCGCTCTCGCACACGCTCGTCAAGACGGAGTTCACGTACCCCAAAGGCGGGCCGACGGCGGACCAGATACGGCTGATCTCCAGCCGGGAGAGCCTGGCGCGCTTCGGGCGCCCGTACGGCGCGGACGCGATCGCGTTCGCGGCGTCGGCGTCGGCGAGCAGAGCGGACCTGGAGCCCCCGCCGGGCTTCGAGGAGGCTAGTGGCGGCAGCGGCGGCGCGGTGGCACAGGGCAGGGACAGCCCGAGCTCGAACGAATCGGGCCCTCTTCCTGAATCAGGCGAGCACGTTTTGGAGGACGCCGACGAGACCCAGAGCCCGTCTTCATTGGTGTCGCTCGCTATCCCGCCGGCCTCTTCTTCTGCCGCGCCCCCGCCGCCCGACGACCACGACATCACCTCCCCCACGACGCCCGTTGCAGCACCTTCTCTCCCCGCGTCCTCCTTAGCCCTGGAATATACGTCTAAACCATCATCTCCGTCACCGCTCTCGCCGCCGCCGCCGTCGACACCTAGCGCGAGCTTGAGCTCGCGTGCCCCACCCTCGGCATTCAAAAACCTCTCGGAGTCTTCTGACGGTCTCCCGCCCCGCGCGGCGTCGCGCGCCAGCTCTTTCATGTCCTTTGCGACCGCGAACGAGTCACTGGACACGCCCGCCACCCCGGGCTTTGGCGTGTCGACGGCGAGCCTTGCGGGCTACGACAGCGCTGAGGGCGAGAGCGCGCCGCCGACCCCGAGGACGGAGACGCGGCATTTCGCGGAGGGAACAGACACGACGGTTACGAACGGAGACGCGCGGTGACGAAGGCCATGCTGTGATGCTGAGTTCATGACGATTTGTGCGGCGGCGCGTGCGATTCGAAGCTCGAGGGCTCGCGCCGTCGAATGGACGTGTTGTAGGTTACGTATGGCTGCCCCCATCCCATCTCTATCCCATCCCCATTCCACTCATGCCCGTTTATCTTATCCGCTTTTGGTCCCACCATTTTCTCTGTGCTTTCTGCTCCAGGTGGGAGTGCCTGGTGCTGCATGTTGTGTTGGCTCCGTTTCCTCTGTCGCTATAGTATCTGGTGCTCCGCCGACATCCCTTTATTTCCCCAAGAGTTGTGTTCACTGACTAGGGTCACCGCGCAAGAGCCTCAAAAGCCCGCACGGACCTTGAGTTCTCCCTTTATGCTTTCTTCCTTGCTTTCTGCTCCGTGGCTCGTTGCTTCAAAGCACTCCCATTGTACCACCACTATCCCCATCCCCGCATCTCGCCTCGCGATACCTCCGCCGGGCGGACTGTGCCGTTCACGTTAACGACGCTCCGCCCGTCCTTCCCCCACCCGTTTATTGTAGAGTTAGAGCTCGCTCCGTAATGTCGGATAGATAAATTGGGACATTACACGATGACTGCCCTTCTATACAATCCTTCTAGCCCTCAGGTCCTACCCAGACGCCTTGCAGCACGTCTCCGGCATCCGGCTCACGACGAGGCCGCCCCGACGTGCTGTCATGGACAGTCACCGTGCCGTAAGTCTGTCCGCGATTTCCCTTTACAAGACGGCGTTGGCGGATCGCAGTTGGGTGCGGGCCGCTCTCGGGCTTTGCTCCGTCTTCTTCGTGGGTCAGGCGACCGCGCGGAACGTCTCGCTGGACTCGGTCGCCGCGTGGGCTGTCTGAGGGCCTGTTATAGGCGACGATAAGGTGTGCGCCGCTGGACGACATACGGGCATCGACTGCATCTGGAGTAACACGCCCGCCTGACGATCCTTGGGAGGTGTACCCGGTTCGCACTCTCAATTCTGAGTACACGGCGCGCAAATGTTCAAAGGAACTCGTAAGCTGCAGAGCGGTGTGGTTGTCGTGCACAAGTCTACCGCAGTTCAAATGTTCACCACGGGCTCGCGCGTCGCGAGAAATGGGTCGTGGTCCGGACGGGCTTCGCACTCCGAGAAAGCAGCAACAACGAGCGCCTGATCAGGCTGGGTAGTGGCGTCGAGCGCGTTTCGTCGCGCCCGTCGGGCCTCTCCTCTGGATTCACCGCCCACGACAAACGCATTCCGTGTTTCTCCACGAGCGCAAGGACGATCGGTTCTTCATCCCCTGGTCTCAGTGCAATGACCCGTCCATCGTCCTCTGCGCATCACCAATGGTCGACTCAACTTTGTTATCGGCGGACTATTAGTAGCTGGTGGACTGCTAGTACGGCGCATGCACAACCGCCGGATCAGCGTCCCTCGCAGTGACAGGACAAATGTGGTCTCGTCCCCAACCGCTCTGCCTACACGAGCTAGTGGGGTGCGATGCAGACCGGCTGGAGACGAGACCAGACGAATGCTGTAACGGCAGGATGGTGAGCCGTGCGATGTTCCGAGTTCAGGGCCTCTCGAGCGCATGCGAGCGCTGTGTGGCAGAGGATCGCCGCGGTATGTCCCTCACACTTTCTCATCCTTTCCCCGCCCCCACATGGTCCTTTGCAACGTCCCATCTGCATCAACTCCGGCTATTTATGGCGCACGTCGTCAGGCCCAAGGCTCTGGCAGCGCATGTACGCGTCCCCGACCATGGCCCAACGCCCGCCCTTCTCGCGGGCGATCACGCAATGCCAGCCGCGTAGATAAAGCCAGCCCACAACGTCCTGGTCCCCCGTCAGCCCCCGCCGACCCCAGGCTGCCTCGTTGCTCAGTCGCCGTCTTGCCCCGCACCGACGTCCCCAACCATGACGCCGCCTCGCCCTTTCGCTCGCCTCGCTGCTCTCGTCGTGCTCGCCGCTGTGCCCACTGCTCTCGCTGCGCCGACCGCGACCGATCCCTGCGCCAAGGTGGCTGGCAAGACGTTCGTGCCCCCCGCGGACGCGCTCGCCTGTCTCAAGGCCTTTCCCCTCAACGAGACGATCCGGGACAACGTCTTGACCGTCGTGGACCGCGTCTTCAACTTCTACACCTTTGAGGACTACTACCTGAACTCGCCCCCGCCCTTCCAGGAGTCGACGGTGAACATCCGCGCGCAGATCGCGCGTCAGCGCACGGCCAAGTACAAGGTGAGTTGCTATATGCACGTGCTTTTGTCGGGAGCCGCCGCAGAGAGCTCATGTCGCGTGCGCGCAGACGGACTACGACTTCAACCACGACCTCTACCTCTGGACGAGCCAGCTCAACGATGGCCACACCCGTGAGTTCCCTCCTCCGCCTCCTGCGCGCATTCCCTCCGACCGCCACCCCCGCAGGCTGGTTCCCCTCCTGCACGACCGCGTACCAGAACCTGCTCCCCGCCCCCGTCGTCACGCTCGAGGTCAACGGCGTGCAGTCCGTCTTCGTCGCGCCCGACTCCGCGGACTTCCTCGCCCTCCTCGGGGACGACTACACCGGCTACTTCGACTCGATCGGCTTCGACTTCCGCCGGCTCGCGGGCGCGCGCGTGCTCAAGATCGCGGGCCAGGACCCGTACGCGTACGCGGACATGATCGCGCACACCCAGTCCGGCAACTACCTCGACCACGGCGTGCGCGTCAACAGCGCGTTCAGCAGCTACCGCATCTCCGGCACCGACTTCTCCCAGCGCTTTGGGGACATCGCCGGGCCCGCGTTCCCGGACCTGGAGAGCCTGACGATGGAGCTCCTGCTCGTGAACGCGACGAAGCCGGAGACGGTCACGATCCCGTACCTCGCGAGCTACGCGGGCGGAGTCGACTTCACGAACAAGGACGACTTGTGCGTTTTTTTGTTTGTGTCGCTTTCTTGCCTTAACCCTGGACTGATCGGTTTGCAGCTGGGCCAACCTGTGCGCGGCGAACAACGGGACTAATGGAGTCGACTTCAAGGCTTCGGGTGCCGGGGCGCACGCGTCCCCCTCGCGCAACGGCAAGCTCGCGATGGCAAAAATCGTGACTGATGGCAAGGCGTCGCAGTCGGTCGGGCTCCCCACCGAGTTCCAGCCGACCGTCCCTCAGGTGAACGGCAGCACGGGCGTGATCAAGTCGTACATGCTCGAGGACAAGAAGACGGCCGTCGTACGTTCCCTTCCTAGTGCATGCAGCCGGCTCTATGACGCTCACCTCGCACACAGATGTTCGTCGGCTCCTTCGAGCCCGACGACTTCGACTCGTTCCAGACCGACACCGTCGCCGCCTTCGCGGACTTCAAGGCCGCGGGCGCGACGCGGCTCATCGTCGACCTCTCGAACAACGGCGGCGGGTTCGTCTGCCTCGGCCACTTCCTGCACGAGTTCCTCTCCGGCACGAAGAGCCTCGGGGGCTTCCAGAACCCGGGCTACCAGTCCACGATGCGCGCGAGCCCGCTCGCGCAGAAGATCCTCGCGAGCGACATCGCGCTCGGCCTGAACGGCAGCTTCTCGTTCTACACCCCGGACAACTGGGCGTTCCTCAACAACACCGGCATGCCGCTCGACTTCGACTTCATGACCCCGAGCACGACCCGCACGATCAACGGGAAGCAGTTCGTCGAGTCGCAGCGCTTCGCGGTCAGTTGCGTTGGGAGAGCGCGAGTTGTGTTCACGCTGATGCTGATGGGGCCTTCCCTGGTAGGACGTCTGCCCGGTCGTTGTTGACATCCCTGAAGAGCCGTTCTTCCCGCCTGAGTGAGCATATGTTTCTTCCTGCGTCGTCATAAACGCTAACTCGGACGTGCGCCCAGGAACATCGCGATCGTCGGCAACGCCAACTGCGCGTCGACCTGCGCCATGTTCAGCACGCTCATGAACGAGCGCCACAACACCAAGATCGCCATCTTCGGCGGGAAGCCCGGGCTGCAGATGCAGTTCAAGGGTGGGTTCTTCGCTCTTTCCCCCATCGTCGTTGGTGGAGTGGGGCTGAGGCGCTGTGCAGGTATGGCCGGCAACCAGGTGCTCGAGTGGTTCGACATCGACTCTGAGGTTAAGACCGCGAACCTCAAGGACGACCCGCTCGCGCCGCCCGATCTGTGCGTGCTGTCCCCATCGTCCTTTTGCGCACTTCTTTGACTGACGATCGGGTTCCCGCAGGCTCATCAACGCCAACTTCCGGTAAGCTTCTTGGCTCGGCGCGATGCGTCAAGTGGTACCCCTGACTAACGCATGCTCCGCTTCTCTTTCAAGCCACAACTGGCGCATTGGTACGTTCTCATGCCCTCATCTAGTTTCTTGCTCTGACATCTGCCTTCCCGCACAGCGTACAGCTTCCTCGACGAGTCGACCCCGATCGAGTACAAGTCCGAGCTGCCACACTGTCAGCGTTGCCGTTACCTCTATCTCGTGCTCGCACTGATCACTTTGTTGTCCCAGTCCGCTTCCCGTACACGCCTGAGACGTACAACAACCCGCAGGCCCTCTGGGATTTCGCGTGAGCTTTTATTCTTTTTCTGTTCTCGCTCGCGCCCTACTTACTCGTGAATCGTACTTCCACAGGGCTACCAAGCTGTTCCCATGATGCGGTTGACCGGGGTCGCAATACATCTTTAGCATGCTGTGTTCTGCCTCGTCGATTTGCTCTGATGTTTTAATCAATTGCTATCGATCTCGACATCACGGGATACATCTGTGAACACCTTACTGAACGGGTGATACGGAACGTGTGCACGACATGAAAATACAGGTTCACAGGTATACAGCGTCTTCCCGTCCATCCACGCACACCATCACTCCACGTGGTAGTCCGCCCGCATCCCCTCCGCCAAGCTACGCGGGTCCACGACCCACATCGCCGCCTTCTCCACCACGTCCGCCTTCTCCGCGCCGCCTTCTCCGTCCACCCCGTCTCCGCCGCGCTGCCGCCCGTACCCGCCCTCCGCCGCACGGACGTCGCGCAGGATCGCACGGACGCTCGACTTGTTCGCCGTCAACGTCGTCCACCCGCGCGCCGCGCCCCAGAGCATGCTCTGCACCGTGTGCGCGGTCAGCCGCGGGTTCGCGCGCGTCACCGCCGCGCGCTCGATCTCGCCCGCCTCGCCCGCCTCGCCGTCGTCCGCGGGCGCAGGGGCGGACGCGAAGAGCCGGGGGAGCGGATGCGGGTGCGGGAGCGTCTCCTGCGCGAGGACGTCGCGGCAGGTGCGCGCGAGGGCCGCGAAGAACGGGGAGAGCGGGAGCAGGTGCGCGTCGGGGCTCGCTGCGGACGGCGCGGGCGCGAGGGCGGCGGGGGGCACGGAGGAGGGGAAGACGCGGACGGGGACGACGGGGAGGAACGCGCGGGAGTACCTCGAGCCGCGCCAATACCGCGCCTCCGCGTCCGCGTCCGCGATGTCCGTGGGGCCGGCGAAGAGCGCGGCGGCGCGCCGCTTCTCGTGCGGGCCGCCGATCTTGGTGAGCACGATGCGGAGGCAGCGGTCGCGTGCTTCCGGGGTCGTCCAGAACTCGACCGCGCCGAGCCCGGCGGGCCCCGCGGCGGCGGCGAGGCGGTCGTGGAGCTCGTGGAGGAGCCCGCGGGACATTTCTTGGAGCGCTTGGTTTGCGAGCGCGCGGGAGTGCTTCCCATTGTCGTCCGCGGTGGGGGGCTCGTCGGCGTCCGTGGGGCTGCCCTGGGCGGCCTCGAGCCGCTTGCGCTTCCACTCGCGGTACTGCGCGGAGGGCACGTACCGCGCGTCGGCTTCAGCGGCGGAAGCGGGGAGCGGTGCGTGCGTGATGTCGGAGACGAGGGCGATGAGGATGGAGAGGTCGAGGTTGACGCGGACGGTGGGCTCTAGGCGGCGGGCGGGGACAACGGAGACTCTGGGTAGATGCGCGGGGTCGCGTTCCCCGAGTTCTACCTTGATGCCCATGTCACGGAGTAGGTCTAGAGTTTGCGCGATTCGCGGGTCGTGGTCCTTGGGGTTGGACGGAGAGAGATCGAGTCGCGTGAGTCGGAGCGTTACTGACGGTACGATCGAAGTCCCGGACACTGGGTGGTGACTTGCGGCTTCGAGAAGGGCCCTCCCGGCCTTCAGTATCGAGTTGTCAAATTTTTTCTGAGCGAGACTTGGCCCGTGTTCATCAACACCGTCTTCGTCCTCGGAGTCGGTCATGTACGAGTCAATCTCGCGAAACTCGGCAAGGAGGCGAGAGTTCTTCGTTCTATGCCAGGTGAAGAGTGAGCACAGATGGTGGTCTTAGGAGCACTTCACGTACGTATTCACCCGTATCCATTGCCTCCCGCCGTCTGCAACAACGTCCACTTTCACCCCTGGGGGTTTGCGAGAGCCGCGTCGAGGTACGTGCATATCGCCGTCGACGAAAGTTCGCATGATCGTGATGATTGGAGGGGGTGCATGCAGCACTTCGTTCCATACTGATATCAAATATGGCGCGTTGGTAGACAGTGCGGGCTGAGAAGCATTTGTTGGATCGTCGAGAAACTACTGGGAGGATGTGTTCCATACAATAAATGAAGGCTCGAGAAAGAACCCTGAAGGGACTCACCTTTTCCAGCACGTCCAAATCACGTCGAACGGCGTCGCGCAACGCACGGAGCCCATGGACCGCGTCTTGGTGCGCATGGAACTCCTCTCCCACATCTCCGCCACTTTGGCCGATAGATGACTCGAGTATCGGAGGTTTGTCCGCTAATTGGACCGTTCCGAAGGTGGCGATGGCCTCGTAGATGCTGCGTAGTCGTACGCGGAGATCGTGGAGTTTTGGGTGTGCCGATACAGTCATGTTAGAAAGTATTGAGAGCAAGTAGGGAAGGTAGATGAAGTACGGAGTCAAGTTGAGTCGAGGATGCACCTAGATCATCCCTACCCCCGGACTAAGGTTAGGACTCAGACAGTGTTCGACTTCTACTTTCCCATCTCAATCCAAGGCAGTAGTATATCCGATTGTTTCCAAAAACAGCCCCTATTAAAAAGCTATTACATGTCCGTTCCGCCAGTGTCCACGTAAAGTAAAAGGCACTCGAGAGCCTAGTATAGAAACCCTCCGAGAGAATAACAAATATCATGAAAAAGGTCCTCAACCGCTATTTTATCGGATCTTAGAACGCTTGGAAGGTGGTCATGCCCTCACGCGGGTCTGAAAAAGAGACAGTCAGCGGCGCGATCTCAAAGTCCTCGTTCGCAAGCATGGACCACTCACACTGGGGCAATGGAAGTCTGAGGTCCAGGAGCAACGGCTAGAGTCGGGAACGGAGTAGCGGTACACCACACCTCGACATCGTCGGGAGATGTACCGGCGGGGAGGACAGCAGAGGCAGGCGCGCCCTTCTTCGCCTGGGGGATCACATCCGAGCAGTCCGTGAGCCGGCTGACGTCCTGGCCCAGGACCGCCAGCTTGGCCATGGCCGCGGTGAACTTCTGCACCATGCGTGCCTGGTTGTCTGTACGAGTCTCGTGTGAGCCCCCCGTCGTTGGCAATCATGGCACAGCGCCAACACGCACCGACGTAAGACTGCCATTCGCATGCCGTGCGTGAGTCGCGGGCGATGACCTGGTCCGAGAGGAGGCGGAACTCTCCAGGAAGCGGGGACTGCGCTTCGCCAGTGTGCGGGCCGTTGGGGTAGCTCTCAGCCTTCAAGAGAGTCTGGCGTCCAAGTGAGCACTGCGATCTTAATAACAAAGGACACGTCGCATAGCGCACCTCAACGAAGAACTGCGAATCGAATGAGGAGGGAGTCGAATCGAATGGGTGTCCGTGAATGCTGGGATCGACGTTGTCTTGAGCGGCGACGGAATGAGACGCGAGGAGGGCGACGAGCTCCTCGGGAGAGAAACCCGCGTCGGCCATCCGTTCCAAGATTGAGTCGATGGGATCCTCAGGCTTAGGTACGAGACCCAGCGGCGCGGGGATGGAGAAGTATGGGCGACCCGCCATGAAGGACAGCTTGGGACCACCCATACAGTTCCCGACGCCGACAGCGCCGGCAAACTGGATCCTGGACAACGAAGGACGCGTTAGAGGGTTATATTTAGTCGGGGGAATAAGAGAGCATTGTGCTCACATGTCACCGTAGGACACCCCGTGGCGGAGGGCAATAGGACGAAGCTTCTCGATTATCTCATCAACACCGAGGTTGGCAGGATCCTTGAGTTCGAGGTGCATGTGAGCCATGATAGAGCCATCTGAACAAACGGTGAGCATCGACCCGTTCGGTGTCGCTTCATCGAGAATACTCACCCGCTCCGCCGCCGCTACAAAGCACCATCACGCCAGTCAGCTCCAAACATCTTGTGGGTCTCTGAAGACAACGCACCCGTATTTCCCTTGAGACTTCAACAAAGGCGAATATCCAATGGCGTCGTGGAAAGTCAGCTATAACATTGCGTGAGCATAGACGTTCGATTCAATATCAGAGTATGGTACTCACACGCAGGGACTCATGGGCTTCCTCCCCACACTGACCCCCTTCAAATAATCCGTCTGCGCTCTGAATGTCGTCCAGAACTTTGTACCAGACACAGCACTACAATGATAGTGAGCGCGTTTTGTAAATTCGGATTCAGAAAATTTTACCTTCGCACTGGACGAAGTCCGACCTTTCCCGCACGATGCAACGTGAGCCACTTTCGGAGGTGGGTCGCGGGAAGGAGCAGCAGACGCCGCAGAGACGATGACAAGAAGAGATAGGAACGCAGTGGCAAACATGGCGGCACGGGCGGGGTTGTAGCGAGGAAAAGAAATAAGGAGCAACTGTAACGAGAGGAAGAGCTACAAGCGACCCGAGAGACAAGAGAGGAGGGGGCTCGAGTGGGGGAGAGGAATGTAATAAGGACATCGCGTGTACGCGCCTTATATTGGGGTTTTCTGGAGTGGAGAAGAACTGTCACAGCCAACGAATCAGCCCCGTGGATGGAACTTGGAAACGCACCAGCCGGTCTATAGCAGCCAGGGCAATGGTCCACGCCATCCTGCCTGACGGCCGCAGGAACCCGCAAGGAATGCTTGGGCATTATGTGCCGCCCGAAACAAATACCGGATGTTCCTGCGATGACGGACGGGACGATCGGCCGTTCAGCTGGTACGTGCTCATGACCAAGTCCTGATTGGACAAAGGGTGGTCTCTGGAAGGTAAATGTACGAGGAGTCAGCCTCAGCTACCAGTGCGCATAGTCAAGAAGTACGTGGAGTACGACTTACGGACTACTTGTCCCAGTATTGCCGGACCGTCTACTGGCGTACGATGCATCCGGACGAACACTCCTCCTTCTGGATCGGACGATGATCGGTACCCGTGAGTCTAGCGTTTCAAAGTGTACGACTGATGCTCACTGGACATATTACGGCCTTCGCCGCAAGTACGGCGAAGAACTCTCCGTTGACAATGGACTTTGAATTGCCATCACGAGATTGACGTATCACTGGCGGTGGAAGCCACTTTGATTGGGGAAGAGGCGTGTTCCCTCTGTCTCGTTGGGTCTCATAGCGGGCCTGATCGAGGCACGAGGCGGCGAAAAGTAGATGAGCAATGGTGTCAGTGACTGCATGAAGGATGAAACCGATCTAAGCGTACCACTGGAACCGTCATGCGGTCATGGTGAAGCGCACCAAGGACTGTATGCTTGTAGTACTGCATTTTCTCGTTCTTCTCAAGTTGATCTGTCCACACACGAAGACGTTGACAGTGGATACGTGATGGGGAGCTTGACCGGTCATGTCAGCTTTTGAACTACTGAGACTTAGACCGGCAATAGACCCTGAATGGTTTCAACGTTCTCAACGGTTGTGACGGGTACTGGAAGACTGAGCAAACAATGACAGTGGCGCTCATCAGCTTGAAGTTTTGGATAGCCTATTGTGCTAAGTGCGAAGAGAGCTTTCAATACCACATCGTGTCGTACACGTACACCGGAGCCCCCCGCACCAAACGAGACCGCACTCACAAGCTCGCCCCCTTCGACGACCCCTCAATGATCGCCTTGACGAGCGGCGCGGTCACCTTCCTCGTCGCGTCCACGTTCTTCTGCTCCCACACATGCACCTCAACCCCCTCCCCGAACCCGTTGTGCACCCCGAGCTCCGGGAACTTCCGCCGCTTCAGCTTGAGCTCCTCCGCGTCCCCGAGCACGTCGAACAGCCGCTTCGCCAGCCCCTCGTCCCCGCGCACGACGTACATCTGCTCGCGGCGGTGCTTCCCGCGCCCGCTCTTGCCCGGGTGGTCCGCGTCGCGGAAGGAGGTGAGGATGCCGAGCACGGCGAGCCCGCGCGCCGCCATGAACGCCTCCGTCTCCGCCCAGAACGCGGCGTCCTTCGGGAGCCACGCCTCGAAGCCGACGGGGACGGAGGAGAGGCCGACGGAGATGGCCGTCGTGGGGGCCGTCGCGGGCGTCATGGTGTACTCCTTGTAGTCGCGCTTGAGGAGGTCGGAGGTGGTGAGATGCGCGACGGACGCCTTCTTCTCTTGCAGCGTGTGGTGCAGGTCGGCGAGGCCGGGGGTGTCGTGTGGCGCGTCCGCGTTGACGTCTGTTGCGGCGAAGGAGAACAGCGGGCCTTGCGACGCAGCGAGGATGGGGAGGAGGAAGTTGGCCGCTCGGCGGTCCGTTGCTTCGGCCTTGCCTCCGGGTTTCAGACCGCTCGTGTCGATGAGGATGCTGCAGAGCAGCAGGGTCGCGAGGTCTGGTGTCATGTGTTCTGGATGCTCTTCGAACAGCAAGGCGATAAGAGACGCGCAGCTGCCCGTGGGGACCACGATGGTGCGTGGGCTGGCCGAGTCTTGGTACAAGCCTTCGTCTTGGTGGTGGTCGACGGCGGCGACGACGCGGGCATCCGGGTTGTCGCGCGAGAAGCGCGACTGCAGGCGGTTGTGATCGACTAGTGCAAATGTGGACGATGGCCACGGATCCGATGAAGCACATGGTACGTCGTCGATACACAGGATGTCGGATGGGTCCAGATGGGCGAGCTCGAGGGCGTGCAGGTTCTCTGCCCGGAGGTGGAGGTCGGACCGCGGGGTTTGCGTCAACGCGACCGCCGTCGCGTTCTGCACTTTGGAAGCAAACCAGGAGTATGCGATGGAACTGGCGATGGAGTCGAGATCTGTTGGACGTCAGGATCCCGTCTATTCACACGAGCATGCAGTCACTCACCCCCTGCCTCGTTTCCCATGACCACTGTCCAATCCTTCCCTTTGCCAGCCTTGACATCGCCGATATATGCCGATTTCTTCGCTTTCAGGAACTCAGACAAGGGTCCACTAGCCATCGTAGGACTGTTCCGGGGGCGCTACGAAGCCATGAGCTCGTGTATATGCGCGGCCGCCGTCCATCGTGCCGTCTTACACTGCGAGCGAGCGTAGAGATTGAAAACGTCCGACGGTAGTGGCAGAGAGGCCGATAGGAAGGCCTCGAGAGGTAGCCGGAGGTAGCGATGAACTTCAGAATGCAAGCCGAGGTTGTGGGAAGAGACAAGGAGCGAAGTCCGAAAGACGCGTCGCCGATCGCGACTTTCCGGAGTTTGTGTCAGGTGACCCGTGCCTGAGCGTGGAGTGATTGCTCACCTCTTTTTTTTTTTTTTGGTGGAGCGTATTTGTCTTGGTTCTACATTCGTCCTACTAGCGGCTCATCATGTATAGCCAGACACGCTGTTGTATTCTCGTGGAGTTTAAACCTCGAGTTAGATCGTTCAACTATACCTGGGGGAAATGCTTTTTACGCACTGTGTGTGGGACTCATGATCCGCGAGGACGTCTAGCGACCTCTTTTAATACCCACTAAAACCCCTCTATTTGTTACCCAGTCATGCCTCAGGCTCTCGCTATCGTCTATTAATGTACCCCAGACCCGTTCGACTGATGCAATCATAGCTTTTCTTTTCTTCTCGCTTTCTGTTAGGGTCGCTACGCGCCTGTCTAACGTCAAGCGTCTATCTATTGTGGCGTACCACCTGTTTTCTATCTCTTTGTTACTGAACTCGTCTCCGTTGTTCGCAATGACTCTCTCACATCTCAGTTTCCACACCAAGTACGCCGACTCGGATATCAGTATCGCCCATCTCTTCTCTGCATCATGGTTCTTCTTTCCGTTTCTCATCTTGATCTCCGCATTTCCTGCTGCTATTATCGTCCCCCACGATGGCTTCAGTCGTCGGCCACCGGATGCTCTCCAGGCTTTATCAAGAAGTTTCCAGATTTCCTTTCTTCCTTTCGCTTCGCACTCGAAAAGTATGTGATCCATTGTTTCGATCGATCCGCACTTCTTGCATGTCGCGCGATCTCTTTGTTCGGGTGACATGTTTGGTCTCAGCCACTTCGTCCCTATCATGTATGCGTCATGGGTGGCCATCCACATCCATTGGGCCGCCTCTCTTGTGATCCTGTCGCGTTTTCTGAGTGATTGCTCACCTCTCCACCAAGTACTAGGCCTATACCGGATGTGCAAAACGTTTGCGCCGAGTGTCGTATCTCTCCCGCTCTTGCGTCAATCTCTCTCGTATTTGGTACATAATTTTGAAATCATGGAAGGTACCTTGTTCATTTTTTTCAGAGCGAACAGAGGAAAAGTACAGGAGCAGTGCGAGCTAGGGGCACAGTTGTCCAAAGGTCGTTGTCACGAAACGTCACGCCGGCAATGACGAAGCGCCCTGTACGCGCACACAGACAGTGATGCAAAACTCACGCCACCAGCCTGAGCCGACCGAGCGCTCACGCTCAGAACGTCTGGACGCTGTGGACGCTGTAATCTTTGGGAGTTGACCTCGGGAGCGTGCATTTACACTCGGGGGGCATGTGTAATGAGGATCCCACAGTTCCACGAGGATCGCCCAAGATGTGCCAGATGAACGCGCGCATCCGCACCGGTTTTGAGGTGGGCAGAAGTGCACACTTTCCCCGTTCCTTGACGCTTTCTTATCCCCTACCTCTGAAATTTGGCATGTGTTCTTGAATGTGTCTTCAAAGGGCACTCTGAATTTTCCAATATTGATTGTACAGGAGGAACGGGCACGATCGCGATTTTTGCACTTCTGTCACGTTTTGCACTACCGGTAAACCCCTAGTAGTCACAGCCCGCCCCATCACGTGATCACAATGCGTCCGTCTGGGTGGAGGATTCATTGTAAACTATGTACTTTTCTGAATGAAGCATTTTCTCCTGGTTTGTTTCCGGAGGGTTGTACCAATATTATTTGGCTACAACTCCCTGGAGCTCCTTTTGGCGAGAGAAGGCGGGAAAGGAAGTGGCAGCATCGTGAGCGGTGTCGCAGACGAGCGCAGTTCAGGCGTCAATAAAAGCGCCAGGAAATGGAGCTTATTGAGTAAGCCTGTCAGAATGACATTAGCATACAACCATAGGTCGAGTTAGCACCACAAAAGCGTCCAGGTTGAAGAACCTAGGCAGGTGGATGAAGGAGAAGGTCTTGAAAGCGAGTGCAAACAAGGAAAACCTGGTATGGATATCATACCATCTCTTCAAAACCTCTTATTGAGCTCGCTATGCAGCCCCCGGTGCCACCGGAGCGTGTACTTCAGGCACGCATCATAGGGCTGAGCGCTGAACCACGACGTGCACGTTCTGCAGGAGAGAAGTCGCCGCATGCTTGTGGAGATGTCCCAACTTCAGGCAGCACCTCAGCTGCCGCCCGGGAGCACGCCATCCAGACTGCCGGTTGCGGACCTTCCAGCGGAATCCTCCACTGTGTTGTCGTCCCCGCGATCCCAAACGACGCCGCCGGAGGCCTCTTCCAATCAGATCCGAAGCATCATTCCGGGGCCACACATGCGACCCGGAGGACGCTTTCAATCAGCGCCCACATGTGAGGCTACAGAAGCGGGGCTGAAGCTGCTGGATGCACTACTGTAGTACTGTGGCCGCGCTCAAAGACGAAGAAGAGGAGATATTTGCCTTTCAAAGCAGGAAACCCGCAGCTTCACCGCCGTCTCGTGGAGATGCGAGAGTTTCTAGCCATCTATCTGGACGACAGCGCTCCTGTGCGTGGATGGAAGAAGACCTCCGTGTCGACTGCACAGAAGCTCGGTTGCGCGCCAAATCATGCGCGAACGCTTCGCAGGTGGTGTCGGAAGTTTCTGTCAGGCGCAAAGCCCACACTCTCAGCATTATCGCGCCGGTCTCAACGGAGCGGAGGCGGCTTGGGCAGCAAGTGACTCAAGAAGTATACTAGCCATCGTGGGCTTCCCCCTAGGGCGATACTTGAGCGCGCGGACATCGCGACACCCGTATAGCATACACAACGTTCATTCTCATGATTTTATCTACTCGCGCACCCAGTCACTATCCTGCTGTGTGTTCGGGATGGTGTGCGCGCATTCTGGCGTCTTTGCGGAGGACCTATCTGGCGTCTAGCGCAAAGATAACTGATTTGAGCGCCGATCTCACGTGCTCAGCATAGGGGCGAGCTGCCATGACTGAGCCCAACCTTACTCCTCCGCCTCTCTCCTTCAGGCTACACCATTGTGTACGCGAGCTCAGCCATGGCCACCCCACCGACGAAGCAGTCTGTGCTGAACCTGTACCACTCCATGCTGCGCACGTCGCAGTCCTTCACCTCCTACAACTTCAGAACCTACTTCGTACGCCGGACGAAGAGCACATTCCGAGAGATTCATGTGCGCACTTCATATGAACCAGGCGTCTTGAACTGGTGGCTGATATCCTCCGCAGAACGAGAGCGATCCGGCGAAGCTCGCCGCGTTCTACGCTGAGAAGTCGCAGGAGTTGGCCGTGCTCAAGCGGAGCGCGATTGTAAACCAGTTGTATGGCGGGAGGAGGTTGGTGGTCGAGGACCAGAAGCCGGTGCGCGACCGCGGGGACACATAGCACTTATGCGTATGCTTGTTCGACGTTACTGCTCGACAACTCTCTCTCATGCACAATTCCTGTTCTCGATGTTCTACCATCTACATAGTCTGTGATCCGCCTCCCTACCCTACATACCCTATCTCATATTCTGGCATGCGCAGATGCAGCAAAGGCCCCGAATTTTAAACTTGGCTCCATCTCTCATACTCAAAGCGGCCATGAAGACGAGTGACTATCTCCTGGTAGTCCGGCTCGTTGTCCGGCGTGATGAACCCTTGGCGTATCATCAAGTCTATGATCACTGGAGAAAGAATGGGCGAAATGAGGTATGCACAGAGGGGGAGAACACCTACCAATGGAGCAATTGTACTTGAACATTCCCGTCTTGATTAGCTCCGCCACTTTCGACATGGGTAGAAGCTTCGCACGTTGCGGTCGCCCTGAGCTGAGTCACTGAGATGGCTAAGGGCACGCACCTCAAAGGAGTCAACTTCTCCGTCCATGGGTTTGGGGACCACATCGGAATCCACAGGCAAGCGCAGGTCGTAGACGTACTCCACCTCGGGTTGCAGCCATCCACGCGGAGTCCTACATGACCGCGTCATTCGCCTGCATGGTGCACAGATCGTGAAGCGAACGAAGCGAGTGCTCACCTGAAGAAGTAGCTGACCGTGCCCACCGAGGTCGTGTACTTGCGCACGACGTCCTCCGGGATGCTCCCCTCCTCCATCGCCTCCTTCACCACCGTCTCGTACACCGCGTACCCCGCCGGTATCCCGCCCGCGACGCTGTTGTCGAGGTAGCCGGGCCAGGTCTGCTTCGTCGCGGCGCGGCGCGCGACCCACATCTTCCACCCCTCCACGCTCCCCGGGTCCGCGACGACGACGCTCATGTGCACGCCGTACGTCACGATCCCGAACAGGCCGCTCGCCGCGCGCTCCATCTCGAACGCGAAGTTCGTGTCGTCCGCATCCGCGTCCGCGCCCGCGGGGTAGTCGCGCGCGCCGAACGGGTTGCGGTACACGGGGTAGACCTCGGCGCGCCACTTCCGGGGCCCGACCTCGTCCGGCCAGAGCCCGGTGTCGCGCCAACGCTCGCAGAGCTCCGCCATCACGCGCGAGCGCGCGGCGGGGGTTGCGAGGTGCGGCGCGAAGCTCACCCATTCCGTCTTGTGGCCAGCGGCGGGGGAGGGATGCGAGTCGGAGAAGACCCAGCTGGGCGGCGCGCCCGCCGCGGTCGCCGCCGCGGCCTCCGCGCGCAGCTGGGCGACGACTTCAGGGCGCAGGAGGCCGACCGCCGCCGCCGCGCGGGTGGGGGCGAGGAGCCAGGGAACGACGGGATCGGTGTCGGGCGCGTTGAGGCGGTAGTTGTCGCACGCGCTGACGATTTGGAGGAATGTCTGCGGCGGAGTGGGGATTGGGCCTAAACTGGCGGCCATCGCGACGCTTTGAGGGGGTGGGTAGCCTCTGGAGTGTGTGCTGCGTATAGCAGATGGGTCTCCGCGGAGGTATAAGTGCGAGGCAGACGATGCTGCGCCGGCGATGGACACCCGATTGGAGTCACTTTACTGTGAGCGCCTGCTTCGAGCCACGACACTTGCAGCCTTGGGTCGACGTGGTCTCTTGTCGGGACATACATAGTCCGAGTTGATATTGTGCACTACGTGTGCACTCCGACGAGATTCCCACCCAGGCGCGCGAGTACTTCCGCTCATTACAAGACGCTCGCATTAACGCCATTCTGACAAACAAGTCACGGCGAAGTGCTGCCAATGCCAGCACCGGACCCATGCTCGGGCCACCGTATCTACAGCCGTGGTAGACGGGCTGCTTGTTTTCGGGCACGAACATGCTAGATATGCGCTAAGGTTTCTTCTCTTCCATGCTTCAGTTGACGTCGCCATTGGCCTCATATACTCCGGCCAACAGACACACCACCACCCATCCTCTCCCACCCATTATCATGGGACAAACTCTTGTTGTTCTCAAGCGACTCTCCTCCGGCCTCGCCTCAGGCGTAGCAGGTGTCTTCAAAACCGTCGGACTGTTTTTTGTCGACTTCGCGCTCTTCCTCTTCAACCTGCTCACGCCTGATAGAAAGAAAGGAGCCGTGATACCAAAGGGATGCCCTGGATACGGAGGCAAGTGGCCGGAGTATGTGCCGCCTCAGGCAGGCGATAGTCGCTGCTCGTGCCCTGCGCTCAACGCCCTTGCCAACCACGGTACGCCGCCGCTTGGCTCGCAATACTACCTGCGCACTCACGTGTTCCGCTCGTTTTACCAGGCATCCTGCCCCACAATGGGCGCGATATCAGCTTCAAAGACCTGAACACCGTCGTTCGCCAGTCGTACAACTTCTCGCCCACGTTCTGCAAGTTTGTCCCAAGCTACGCTGCCAACATGCTCAGCCGCGATTACAACACGGACTTTTTCGACCTTGCTGATCTCGACGCGCACAATTGCATCGAGCATGACGCATCACTCTGCCGTGAGTGCTCTCGCCGCCTCGTTGCTCACGCGTGCCGCTCAGAGTACTTATGGACTGTCCAGGGCTCGATGTGCACGAAGAACCTGACCAAGGGAAAATTGCGCATGAGCTTGTTGAGCGCTTGCTGACACGCGGCACGGGCCCGAATGGCAATCTCACGAAGAAGGACCTTTCTCGTCTGCTAGGCGAGCGCCGCGTCGAAGCAAAAAGGGCCAATCCAAAGTACAGCCAGGCCTTCATTCACAAGATGTTTGGCTCGTCCAAGTTGGTGGTGGTTTCGCTGATTCGGGGCATGCGCTCGCCGCTGACTGGAGTGTCTTTTTCAGCTCGTCCACACTCCTCACCATCTTCGGAGGTCAGATCGATGACATCCGGACGATACTCACGGAGGAGCGCATCCCTGACGGTTGGGAGCCCCGCATCCGTCACAGGATGGGGCTCACGATACTCGAGTTCAACAACACCGTGCTGCCGGTCGAGCTCGGCGTTAAGGAAGAAGTGGATGGGTCGATCAACGTGGCGGGTCGGGAGCGATATGACGCGGTGCAGAAAAAATAGGCCGAGTACTCAGGTCGTCAGTATGGCGGTTGGTTATCTGAAGCTATTGTTCGTAACGTCCACTTGATATGTATTCGTATCGCCCGCCTAGCTCAATCGGATAGAGCGTCAGACTCTTACGATCGTTTGACACGGCGGAGTGCATCTGAAGGCTGCGAGTTCGACCCTCGCGGTGGGCTACAGGCAATGTTTTTGAGCTGTTTCAGTTTTCGAGGGCAGAAGTTTTTGGAGGCATTAATCACGTGCCCGAAAGATCTCAAGGCGATGCCCACAGGGATATTTCGTCCGAATATCCCTGTACATACGGACAGAAACGATTTCCATCGTCCGCTCATAGAGTATCACACAGATGGACGGACTCTGACTAGATTGCCGACCGAATAAACAGACTCAGAGCTGCTCGACGCGTCGCACACGTGACCGTGATACGGAGGGGGGCAAACAAGGGCAAAGTTGGGGTGTGAGAAAGACGAGGCCACGTCGCGTCGCGCGGGGGGCTTCCTCAGCGATCCCGCGTCTGCGCTCGTTGTCCATCCCGCCCACCGCCATGTCCATGTACAAGCTCATCCGGCGCATCTCCTCCTCCTTCTTTCCCCGCCCCGATCGCCCCTGGAGCGAAGACGGTACGTACCTGTATGCCTTCTCCGACCCCACGCGCCTCACACGCGCCCTCCCCGTGTCTCCCTCGCCCCCCACCCGCGTGCCCGCCCGCCCGCCCCCTCCACCTCCGCCTTATCCAATCGCCCACGCTCGTCCCCGGCACACTCGCGCATCCCACTCGCCGCCCGCTCGTGGCCGTCCCGCGCGCTGCCGATCTCCCTCACCTTCGCGGGACGCTCGCCTGTGCCATCTGTCGCCCTCGCCACATGCGCCCCCAGCCACGTCCACCGCTCCCCAGATCGGCAAGAAGCGCCGCCTGAGCACGTCCGAGCACGAGGACCGCGAGGCGACGCCTGTGAAGAAGGCCCGCGCGGACTCGGAGGCGGCGACGGACGAGGAGAGCGGCCGCGACCAGGAGCGCGGGAGCTCCCCCGCCGCACGCACCGACACCGAGGAGGTCAAGGAGGTCACCGAGGGCGTGCGCGAGGTCGAGCTCGAGGACGGTCCGCCGCTGCCGTCAGACTCGGAGGCCCCCTCTGCTACCGCAGCGACGGCCCAGGAGGGCGAAGATGCGGTTATCGTTGCGGAGACCGAGACCGAGACGCAAGCGGCGGCCGCGGTGCCCCTGCCAGAGTCCCCGACGCTCAAGGCCGCCGAGGGCGAAGACCAGGACGCGGAGGGCGAGGTCGACGTTGAGGTGAAGAGTCTGGAGGAGGCCGTATCGCAGACGGCAACCAATGAAGCCTCATCAGATGCTCCCTCTGTCCCCATCGCCGCCGACACCGACGAGGTCCCTGGGCTATCGCTCGCCTCCACCTCCACCAGCAAACCCATCGTCAGCTCGACTTCGGAGTCATCATGAGGCACAGGCGGACGCACTTTTGGATACTTGCCCCCCTATCGCCGACGTCGACTTACTGGGCGATGCGTCGCTGCAGCACCGTCCCTCGGCGGACTCGCGCCCACCCATAATCTATCGCACATAATGTATTCCGGTCGCTGTTGCTGTCGATGTTTGTACGATCCCTTGCTTATCCCCCATTCCACAACGAGCTGCTTTCTTGCATCATCATCCTCTCCGATCCATCCGTCCGATCCTCGCTATATGCGCTCTGTTTGCTTGCTTTCCCTCTCGCATCTCCTCAACCGCTTGTTCTGCTCACATCATCGCTCTCCGCACCTGAAATCGTCCATGATTGACCTTGACGCCATTGTTGCACATATTGGATGTTCTCCCCGCACGCATTGGAGTCGAACCGGCTCTGCTCCGAATTGTGAGGTGCGTGGCTTAGGTCCTTGTATCAGATAGACCTCCAACCACATTTATTACAGTTCTCGATACTATCAATAGCGGGATGGGTTGTGCTTTGCACATGGCGCGCTCCTGGGACGTCGTACCCTCCTCCCCCCAGTCATCTACTTTGGGAGGGGCCAGCGCTCACGCGACCTCGGGCCTCGGATTCCTTGCCGCCAGAGAAGGTCGTCGGACGCGCCGGTGTTGACTGCCCTGGCGCGGAAGCGAGGAACGAGCGACTGAGACAGGTGCTAGTCTACGGCGGGAGGAGCGGCGGAGAGCAGACGCCCACGGCTTGCCTCCAACCACGACGCTCCTCCCGCCGCATCGTCCGCCTCCTTCCTCCCTCTCTCCTCCATCGCCTTTCCTCCGTCAGCTCGGCAAGTTCTTTCGACCCTTTGATCATGCCCCTCTCGGACGATCAGCAGAACGCGATCCTCGGGATCTTGGGTCCGCCTCCCCCTGATCCAGGCAACGAGGTTGCCCCTGACTACGCCGCGGACCAACATCAAGTTGAACGCCAAGATCTCATCGACCACAGGACCTGCGCGGACCATGCTGGCGCTGCGGCCATGCTCCGCACCGTTTGGACTTTGGGCAAGCCGGCACGCCAGGCTGCGTGGGACGACTATCAGGCACGTCTCGCTCTCCTCGAGGATCTCGACACCTTGCAGCCCCCCTCCCGTGGACCCTCCCCACCCCCTGAAGGCCCTCCCGCTCGCTCCCGATCCCGCGGGCGTACCCGGACACGCACAGGGCCGACGACCAATGCCATGGGCTCGACGTTCGACAGCACGTTGCCCGTGATCGACACCCTCGACAACCCTTCCTCGTTCGCCATTGCACAACTCGCGAAAGGCGACTACGTCTTCATGTGGTATTTCTCGGCAGATGGGATGAGGGACCAGGGAGGCCAACGCTTCGCTCAAGCGATCGGCCAGTCAACGTTCAGCCTCGAAGGAACCCTCGACACCACAACCAACACCGTCAACTGGTCCCGAGCCCCGACTGGGGCGAAGCGCAGCACCAACGAAGTTCGCGACGCCGACATCACCTTTGAACAGTTCGTCGAGGCCAAGCACACCCTCTGCGCACAGTATGAGGCTGCAGTCGCCGATGGCAAGCGCGTCTACTCTGATCAGTTCGTACGCATGTGCCGGAAGCTTTTTGGGTTCGTCGAGCAGCACAGCCTGCGCAAGCACGACCCTGCTTTGGGCTGGAAAGCCTTGGCGTCGTACGTCGAACGGGTTCGCATCAATATCCATCAACGGCTGGTCCGGAAGGAGCCACTCCCAGACTTCGGTGTCCTCGACGATCGCCGCATCGAGACCATTCACCGCGAGCTGTCCATCCAGCAGATGGCATCCATGCGGGCCGCACATCTCCAAGAGCTAGAGTCCGTGCGAAGCTCTTCTACTGTGCGTGTCTTTGTTTTCTCAGTTTGCCTGTGCTTTCGCTCACTCTCTGTCTTCCTTTTAAAAACATGCACCACATCGCTGTTTGTCCAACCTATGGTGCCCTCTCTCCCGCGCGCGCTCTCAAATGGCCTGCCCATCGGCGCGCGCGTTTTTTCCTCCGCGTCACCCCAACGCCCTTCGTGTCACCCAAACACATGCCTATGCCTTTGGCCTCCGCGCGTACTTCACTCGCCGCCTCCGCGTGCCCAACGCCCTTCATGCGCTGCAGTCGCGCTCGCGCTACAGCTCCCCCACCCCAGGGCAGTCACACGGTCCCAAAACTCGCTCCACACGAGGGGCCGAGGCATCATCTTCCGCCGGCACCTCGGTTTTTGTCCCCGGCCACGCGTCCTCGACCAGCGCGTGCGCCGTGTGTCTCGGTCGACACCACCACAACGCTTCTACCTGCGCCGCAACCGAGCTGCACCACGCCCCCGGCACACCCACGTTCGTCAAGCGTGGGGCGGATGGCCGCGGTTTCTCCACCTCCAGCGGTGGTCAGATCTGCCTCCGCTACAACCTGCCGAAAGGATGCCCGAACAAAGACCCTTCCAAGTGCCGACCCCACGTCTGCAGTGGTTGCGGGTCAACCGCTCACTCCGCTCAGTCTTGCCATCTGTCACGTGCGCCAACACAACAGTAGCCCACTCAATGCAGACGAGTGGGAGCGGGAACTCCGTACCTTCGGACTCCTCGACCGCTACCCCACGCTGCCTCTCTCAATTCGGCAGGGGTTTATCGTCGGCATTCCAACAATCTCCATGCAGTTCACACCACCTAATCGCCCCTCAGTCATCGACCACGCCAACCACCTGGAGGAAATCGTGTGCAAAGAGCGCAGGCTCGGCCGTTACCTTGGACCATACACCTCTGACGAAATCCAATCCGTTCTCGGCCCCTTTCAAACGTCCCCTCTGTCCATCATCCCTAAACCGCACAAGTCAAACTCGTTCCGCCTCATCCAGAATTTCTCCTTCCCACACGAGCCCCGCAACGGTGTCTCCTCGATCAACTCGGCCATGGACGCCAGCTCATATCCTTGCACCTGGGGTACGTTCTTCGCTGTCGCGCTCGTGTATGCCATGCTTCCCCCGGGGTCACAAGCCGCTGTCCGTGACGTCCGCGATGCATATCGAACTATCCCTTTACACCACTCGCAGCTCGCAGGCACTGTTGTCCGCACAGGTGACAACTCCTTTGAGGTGGACACCTGCGCAGCGTTCGGGTTATGCTCTTCCGGGGGGTTTATGGTTTTGTTGCCGACATTGCCTGCGAGATTTTTCGCGCCCACGGCCTTGGCCCTGTCCTTCATTGGGTCGATGACCACTTCTGGGCACGAGTTCTTGTGTCCTGGCTGGCTGAAGCAAACATGCGCCGCGCCGCTGCGCGTGACCGCATCCGGAGTCGAGGCGCCCGTCGGACGCGAGGGGGACGTCTCTGGTGGTCAGGGGATGCGCTCCCTGATGGTCGCATCGAGGAATTCATCGAGGACTTCTGCTGCCCACTCCGGGATCATTCCACATCTTCCCTTCGCCCTGACGCTGATGCGTCCTATGCCTACTCCTTCGCAGACATTGATCGCGTGTCGCTTCCACTCGGTTATGTCTGGGCGCCGGAGAAAGACCAGCTTTGGTCGTCCACACCGGACTATACCGGCCTGTCCTACGATTTCGCTCGTGGCACTGTCGCTCTCCAGCCTTCAAAGCGGGACAAATATCTCACCGTGCTGGACCTTTTCCTGGCCTCCCCTGCGCCGGCTCACAACCTCGACGCCATCCAGAGCCTCTATGGCAAGCTCAATTTTGCATGCTCCACAATTCCTGATGGACGCGCTTACCTTACGGGACTGGAGGTCGCAATTTCCAACGGATCTGACCGTCCTCACGTCGCACGGCATCTCCCCAGATTCGCGCTCGACGACCTCCGATGGTGGCATGCTCGACTTCTATACGGCAACATCGAGCGTCCAATCCCTGTCCCGGTCGAGGTCTTTGACCTCCTCGCATACTCCGATGCATCCTCCGGTGTCGGAATCGGGATCGTCATCCAAGGCCGTTGGCGTGCATGGAGAGTCCTTCCCGACTGGAAGCAAGACGGCCGTGACATCCAATGGCTCGAAGCCGTCGGGTTCGAACTACTCGTTCTTGGACTTCTACAGCTCCCCGACCTCCCACCCAACGTGGCCGCCCATGGTGACAACACAGCCGTCATCGGCGGATGGCGCAAAGGACGCCAAGCGAACCGCTGGGTCAATGCATGTTTCCGCCGACTCAATGTTGTCCTTGCAGCCGCACGGGTCGCGATCCATGCGCGCTACGTTGCCAGCGCTGCGAACCCTGCCGACGACCCGTCTCGTGGAATCTACGGCCCAACTAGCCTCCTCCTGCCACCCATCCGACTCCCCGACGCGGTCTCTAGCTTCTTCGCCGACTGGAACGCCCCGCCGCAACCCTCAGAGCTCGCCGCACCAGCGCACGCACTCCCCAAACCTCCACGGGACCCCGCCCGCGCGCTCGACGCTGACCGTGCAAGCTCCGAGCGCACTGCCCACATCCTCGTCAACAGCCCTGCCTTCTACTGGGACGAACTCAACGCGTTTTAATCGTGTCCTTCCACCTCGCCCTCACGTGTTCCCTCGGCCCTACGCCCCCGACCTGTCTCCTCGCCCTCATCCATGCCGTCCACATGTCGCTGCCAGTTCGCGACTGACCGCCTGGTCCCCATCCACGTCATCTCTGGTGGTCACCGACGGGCCCGTGATAAGCCCACCTCGTGCGGTTGACGTGCTTTCGCGCGCATTCGACACCTCTACGGCGACTACCTACGGCTCCGGTCTTCTACTGTTCCACATCTGGGCTGACACCCACGACGTACCTGAGCATCTGCGCGGTCCCATACCTGAGCCAGTCCTCCTCGATTTCCTCCAATCACTCATTGGCTCGTACTCCAAGTCCGCTGTCCGCAACACGTTCCATGGCATCGAAGCTTGGCACAAGATCTGGCAACTCCCATTCTCGTTTGACTCTCAGACCCGCTCGCTGCTCCTCCGCTCCGCAGAAGACTCTGCCCCAAGCACCTCGTCTAAGTCCCGCCGTGATCCTTTCTTACTTGAACACCTCGCCCGCTTGTTCCCTCTGTTCGACACCAGCTCGTCCCTCGACCTTGCCTGCCGCGCTGCACTTTCAACAATCTTCTGGGCAACCGCTCGTAACGGCGAGTTCCTACTACAAAGCCAGAAATCTTTCCACCCGAAAAACCACGTGCAGCTCTCTAACGTCTCTTTCAACACGCGAGATGGTGGCGTTATCGTATGCACCATACACCTCCCACACACAAAGACCCATCGTTTCGACGGTGAGGATGTTTATTTTGCCTCCCAACCCATGCACGATCCGGTCCGCGCCCTCCGTGAACACATCGCCTTCAACAAGCCCGGAAAGGGTGAAGCACTCTTCTCACACACCATCCGCAGCTCCCGTCGCCCGCTCACGCTCCGGGCCTTCACGGTGCGAATCCGTGCTCTCGCCGCGGAGTTCAACTTCGGCACCCCTTCCGGCCACAGCCTGCGCATTGGCTCCCTCCTCTGCTACGCCCTCAACGGTTTCTCTCTCGCCGATTGCATGGTCAAGGGGCGCTGGCACTCTCAATCCTCTTTCCAGCTCTACCTGCGCAAGCACGCAGACGTCCTCCAGCCCCACCTTGTCGTGCTGCCACACGTGTGGGACGACGTCCAGCGCGCGATGATGCAGGTCCGTTGTCCCTCTGCTCCTGTCTTCTTTGGGAGTCGTCAGCCTCGCCCGACGCGTCGCGCCGCTCCTGCCCCGTAATGGGACTCGTAGCTCACCCTCCTCTCTCACAGAGCCAAGCTCAGGTTGTGCCTCAGAGCACCGCGAGCTCAGCGGAGCCCGCGCACGCCGCGCGCGGGGATCTCAGCCACGCGCGCTAACACGCGCCGCGCGCGCGCTGCCGCAGAGCACGCGATCCGCTCTTGTCCCATTTGGTGTCCTTCCCACTGTACTACTACCACGAAATACATTTCGCCCGCGCACTAGCTGGCGCGTCCACCATAGAGCGTCCAGAGCCGGACGCCGTAGACTTCCGTTCACACGCACTGTGTCGAGTCCACCGTTCCCGCGCATCCTCCCACTGTCGCTTATTCCTCTCAGAAGCCTGCCGGAGTCGCCAAGGCCTCTTCGCGCTCAGGGGCGGCCGCCCGAAGACAGAACGCAAAGCTCGACGCCTTCCTTACCATGCCTATTAGTCTGGCATGCTCGCCCTTTGGCCGCTTCACCAGCATCAAGATGGATTTCATTACCGACCTCATAGCACGATGACGTCAATGTATTAAACAAAATCCCCGGACAGGTAGCCGGCCAACCCGCCCGCTTTCTTTCAGTTATGTTTCAGCATCCTCCATCTCCCCTGTCGTCTCATCTTCACGACCATTTCCATCCAACTACCCCTCAACCGTTCTCTAGCGATGACCAAAACCCCGGCTCTACGCAAGGCGGCACAGCGGCAGTCTCGACGCATGGCTTTCATTTCACGAATGCAGCACACATGCGGCGAGGTTCGCGTTCTCGTTCGGCCCACTTTCCCGCTCTTCGCGCTGCAGTGCCTCCCGCGAGGCCTATAACTGCTCAAGCCCGCGAGGCCTGGGGACCTCCTCCGACCCCTACACTTCGTCTCTGTACCGTGCTCGGCTTGCCTTCTCTGGCGCCCTCGTTCCTCCCACTCACGCCCACGCCCACCTCGCCGCGTGGCAATCTAGAGCTCTATCCCTACCCCATTCCACGCTAGGCATCGGTCATGTTCGACGCGTTCTCGCGCATCTTCGTCCGTCGCGGCTCGACCTCCTCCACATCCGCTCCCGCCTCCGCCTCCAGCTCAGACCGGTCCCGCGAACTCGACCCACTCGCCGGGACCCCCGTCCAGGAGGTTGTCCTCAACGACTCGGACGGCGAGGGCCCGCACTTCCCCGGTCAGCTCCCCTTGACTCCCATCTCCTACTCCCCTCCCCCCTACGCCACATACCCGTTCCGCAACCGCGAGCGCGACAACTCGCTCCGGCTCGTGCTCGACCCCGCTGCCCCCGCCGCCGCCGACGGCCCGAGCACCCCGCTCCTCACGCGCAAGCCGTCCTCCTCCTCGCGCTCGCACTTCCAGTCCGGCTCGACGGCCACGCTCCCCGGGCCGTCGCATGTGCAGTGGAAGACCCCGGTGCCGACCCCGACCCCGACGACGGCGTCGTCGAGCCACACGGGCGCGACGATCGTGCAGGGCTACTTCCACCAGTCCACGCCGACTCTCTCCCGTGTGCAGACGCAGACACAGGCCGAGGGGCAGGGCTGGGGCGACAGCCCCCAGTGGCAGACCCCGCCGTGGGTGGGGCAGCGCCGGCAGAGCGGCCAGAACAGCCCCGCGCGGTCGCTGAACAACGTCCCCACAGCGTCGTCGTCTGCGGGTCCCTCAGCGGGGCACCCCCTCGGGATCAGCAGAAGCGCGTCCTCCCCGACGCTGGCCCAGCCGCCCCCGGTCGGCGAGGTGCCTGTCGTGGTCCGCGCGGACGATCCGCCCGCTCGACCACCGTCGATTGGGCGCAGGAGCGTGCGTTCGGTGCAGCGCGGGGTGGACTCGAGCTACAACACGTCGGAGGAGTCGGACGAGAGCGACCGCGAGGCGTCGGTGCGGTACACGAGTCAGCTTGGAGGGTATCCGCACGTCTTGGGAGGCGGGCTGTTCTCGCATGGTGGAGGCAGCGGGGGCGGGAATGGGACTGGGGGCGGGATCGGGAATTGGAATGGGAGCAGTGGAAGTGGAAGTGGGACGGGGACGGGGACGCTCGCGCACAGCCTGCCGAAGCCGCTCTCGCCGATCCACGAGCAGCAGGTGCCGTTCCCGTACCACCGCAAGCTGTCGACGGACAGCGTGCCGCGGACCCCAGACTCGACACGCACCTTTGACCGGGCGAGTGAGTCTCATTCTCCTTTCGCGCACTGTGGGCCTGCGGCTGACTAGGACCTTCCCGTGGCTGGCTGCCAGCGACGGCGTCGTCCGCCGCACTCAACGCCTTTCTCCACCGCCCGCTCAAGCGTTCTATCTCCCAGACCTCGACCAGCACCCACCGCTCGACGGTGTCCGCAGTCCCGCCAGTGATCCCCCCGCTCGACCTCCGCCCTAACTTCCAGACCGCCGTCGTGGCCAACACGAGCCGCTCCGGGTCTCCCGTCGGCTCCGCCCCACACACCATCGCGCTCGCGCCGCAGCCCGTGCCGCGCAAGTCGCGCCTGCCGATCCCAACGCTGCCGACGGTCGTCGGCTCGCCGCGCACCGCGAACGTGAACATGGTCTCGGTCATCTACGAAGACTCGGGCGGGCCGAGCGCGCGCACGAGCAGCTTCATCACCGCGCCCTCGCCCGCGTCACCCAGCACGCCGACGAGCGACGTGGGCACACACCGCTTCTCGTTGGGGCGCGAGCTCGCGGCGATGTACGTCGACCCGAGCGCGATCCGCGCGAGCGACGGCACGGGGGACACCAGGGAGACCAGGGCGACGCGGGAGACGGAGGAGACGGGAGAGACGGCGATGCCAACGCGCCCGGCGGGGCTCGAGCACTATTCGCCCGACCCGGACGCGCACCTCTCCCTCTCCGCGCGCTCGCTGGACAGCGTCGGGCGCCCGACGAGCGACGTGCCCAGCCGCCGGCCGGGGAACCCGACGCCGCCGAGCACGCACTCGCGCCTGTCCGCGCCGCGCGACTCGTTCCTCCTCGCGCGCGTGCGCCCGCCGTCGCTGGCGGTGCCGGACGGGGAGTCGTTCGTCGAGCAGCGGTGGCTCGAGGTCGTCGCGCTCGGCGCGGGGAAGCGCTTCAGCATCGAGATCCCGCGGCGGCGCGTGCCCGGCGCGAAGGGAGGCGCGGTGGAGGACGGGCGCGGGTGCGCGGGGCCGTCGTACGCGTGCGTGCTGTTCTGGCTCGGGTTCGTCATGCCCTGGTGCTGGCTCGTCGGCGGGTGGCTCGTCTCCTCCTCCGTGTCCGGGGCGCCCGCGTTCGGGACGAGGAAGCACGCGAGGTCGAAATCGAGGGAGGAGGGCGCGCCGCTGCTCCCGCTCTGGCACGGGCACAAGTTCAAGCTGCCCGCGATTGCGAGGAAGGGCCGCTGGCGCGGGAGCGTGGACACGGCGAAGACCCGGGACGTGATGGAGGAGGCCGACGCGGACGCGGACGCGCAGAGCCGGACGGTGGTCGGGACGGAGGCGGGGCACACGACGCTCCGCGCGAGCAAGGACTCCAAGGCGACGCTGCTCGTGCCGTCTGCCGCGCCTCCCGCGTCCACACACGAGTCCAGGCCAGAACCCGAACCCACGAAGAAGACGGCGACGGCGGGGACCCACGAGCACACCGCGGGACATTCGGTGAACGGCAAGTCACTCTACCCGCTCTTCGCGCCGTCGCTCGAGTCGCTGGTGCCGCCCGCGGCGGTGAAGAGCGACGAGTCGTCGGTGCGGCTGCAGAAGTGCGTGCCGCGCGCGCGGAGGGCGCACAGGGACCCGTGGGTGCGCCGCTGCCGAATCGCGGCGGCGTGCAGCGGGGTTCTGGTTTTCGTCGCGTTCGTCGTGGCGATGGTGTTCGTCGCGGGCGTGCGGCCTTGACCTGGCGGAGCGGTCTAGTCGGCGCGCTGTTGTTGTCTGTTGCAACCTTTGCCCCCGATCCGAGTTACCACTTGCAGCTTAAGTTATCCCTTTTCCCTTGGACATGTTCGCGTCGGACAGGCCGTGCCAGGGGACTCCTTTCCATATGACGACACATCACTGTACACTACCGCATACATGTCCTTTCACAACTGCGCATTCTGAGTCTTCGTGTGCTTTTTGCATATGAACTCGTGTATCGGATATATCCTTAGCTATCGCCCGTTCACATCATCAATCAGCACGCTTCCTTTGCACATTGGACTCGAACACTCACCAAACCGCTCCGGGGCTTGAAACCAGCTTTCGGGGTTATGCATGATTAGAAACACTCCGCCATAATATAAACCACGTAATGTCAGCCTCTCGGTAGACATGTCATGGGCTTGGCTTACCGCATTCACGTGCATGCGCCGTTCATTCCATTCAGCATTCGATATGACTTTATCGTATTACTCTACATTCTGCATTACTCGTTCTCGCCGCGCCCATGACAGTGTCCATATTCTAGGGCCTTATCGCTCCTGTGTACTGTGGTACTTAGGCCCCGCCTCCGCATTGTCTTATGAGAGCGAGCTCCTTTTCTCGGTTTCGTCCTTCCCTCCACATGCGACCGTCACACACAGCTTACGTACACTCCACAACACCCACGCAGCTTCTTCAACATGTAGGTGAGCTTGTCGTATTGTGCTTCGGGATTTATCGCTGACGAGCCTTAAGCCCCCAGGCAATGAGACAACCTCCGATCAGCCGACCGTCGACGCTCGACCGGAAGTAGCTCCTGCCGCTACGCCCCCTCTCGGTGACTTCTGCGCTCCCGGCCGTCCGCCAATCTCGCCTAAGCGCGAGCTATGGGCGTACGGCTTCAAATTCGACGTTGCCGAAGTTCAGAAGAGGTTGGGGCAGACTCACCCCAAAGTCATTGGGTTCAGGCCGACTAGCTTCGCACTCAAGTTTCCCGAATGGGTCCAGCAGCTCGTCGGCACGAATGGCAGGAAGAAGGAGATTTGCTTGATGGTGGCCAAGAACCGCACCAACATGACCCCATCGTTCGTCGTATCTCTTTTCCACTACACGGCCAGGGCTATGTCGGATCTACCGTTGGAGGTGGAGGTGGAGTGCGTCGCGGAACTGATGGGTTGCAAGCCCGAGTGGTGGAGGGTCGTGACATGGGACGTCTGAAAGAGAGTGCTCGAGATACGTTACATACCCTATACTCAGTTGAGCACTCCCATCTGAGCCCTGTGTATTGTAACTGTGTGCCCTCTCAGACCTCTCTTTCCGATTCATGTCTCTTCACGCCATAACACGGCGACTCCGTGCGAGGAGCTCTTCAAATCTAAGTTCAACATGGCGATGCACGTCCGGACATTGTCGCTATTATGTTCTGCAGTCCATGAAGGCGTGCAGGCACGCCGCCCGCCGTCGCACACCACCGAACACGTAGCCCGGCGGAATACGCCTGCAAATAGTCCTGATGCTCGTATGTCTGTTTAATGGTTTTCTGAACCACGATATCGGTCACTTTCCGGTTGCCTCGTCTACACTCAGTCAATCGCATTCCTCGCATTCCGTCCGTTGTACGATTCGAGCTCCCCGCGGCATACCCGGTCTGCAGAGTCAAGTGACCCTGAGCCTCTACTAGACCTTGGAGGTTCTTGCGTACATACCGATTGACGCAGTTCCATAGAGGCTTGCGACTTCGCGCGAGGCCGTCGAGCTCCCCATACCACTGTTTCCGTTTGGCCTCGGTGCTCCCGGCCTCAGCGGCCTCACGAACCCGCTCTTTATCCGCTCCTCGCTTGGAAACGTTCGGAACGGCGGCCGCGGGTAAGTCTGGAGTGGTACGAGGATACGCTGCTGGAACCAGATGCGTCGACAAAACGAACGATAGATCGAGTATTGGGGAGACGGGAGTCCTGGCTTCGGCCAATCCGGCGGTGCCTCGAGTAGAAGGAGCGGCCGAAGGTGGCAGCTAGGAAGGCTAAACGAAGGAAAGGGTCTAGCGTCGGCGAGTCGGACATCTTGCACTTGAACGGGTCAGCGGCGGATGCGTGGGTGCCAGAAATGGATGGTTGGTAAGTATGTACCGCGGGGTATTGGATGCAAGCGATGAGAAGAGGCGCGCGGACGTAAACCTAGGTGCCGTGTCTGTGCTAGGCGTAGCTAATAGGTACGCATGATTGTAGGAGGCTCGAGGCGATCGATTCCATGCAATCCGCACCTCGATTGACCAGGCATGATGGTCAGAAGTGTTCTCACAAGTGTTTGAGCCGCTGGGGGGGGGGGGGGGGGGTACTGACTAGGATCCGAAGCGGCGGGATACCGCACTTGACGCGGCGAGAGACTCCTCGCTTTAGGTGGACACTGGCCAACGTTGGAAGCAAAGTCAGCGTCTTCTCCCAGCGTTCCTTCCTAGAACTTGCTACGGTATAGCGGCGGTTGAGGGGTCTGATGATGCCATTGGGAGAGTGCCCGCTCCAATGACCCGAGGCTTCGGTCATGCAGCACTCCACCATACATATGTCCTCGTTAAGTCTTGTTCCATTTCAGCCAAATAACTCTAGTCTAGATGATACTAGTACCAAGGGCATCACAGCCGGGCTTTCTGGCTCCCGTCTCGTCTCATAAGAAGGCCATGAAGCTCTGCGGCTGACCACGAACAAGCAGTTAGCACGCAAAACGGCGCATTCATGAGCAGTTACACGCACCCAGCTCGCCCGGTTTCTCCTGCGGGATAAGGTGCCCCGACGACAGGATCCTGATGTGCGACGTGTTCTCCGTCCGTCGCCACACGGCGCGTCGACGCTGTTCGGCAGCCCTGTCACCACACACCGTTATCTCTCTTCCCCTCCATTCGCGCAAGGAAGACGAGCTGCGACTTACTGTGGTTCTAGTTTCCCAGCGATGACGAAGCGGGTTTCAATCCGCGGGTCTAACTGCGGGAGAAGTTCAAACGTCTCGCATGCGGTAAATCGCTCCGCGAAGTTCGCCGCCTCCAACCCTCCTGGCATCTTCAGACGAACTTGTCCATCGGGGGCGTCGTACAGCGCACACTCGACATACACGTCGAGCGCAGCGGGGTCCCAAGCCTGGAAGAAGGGCACAGCAGCGAACTGCCTGTGCGCTTCTTCGCTGTATGCAGAATGTATCAACACCGAGTACGGGCGGGACGGAGACCCGAAGGAACGTTGCTCACGCACCGTGATGACCATCCGTCCCGTCGCGCCACAGCTCCAAGGACTAGATCAGCAATCCCCTCGCTGGACATCCTCGGTCCCATGCTCGAGAGGATCGGGTCTACTAGGAGGAGTGTCTTGAACAAAGCCGGTTCTGCCAACGCTGCACGGACGCTTTGCGAGTGAAGGACTGAGTGAGAATACGGGTGGTGAAATGGTTCGAGGAAAACCCGTACACGGAGCATCCACCAAACGAGTGACCCATGAACACCAAACGGCGTTCCAAGATCCCGTGCTCCCTGCGGGCATGGGCCACCGTTGCATCCAGTCTCAACAGGTGGGTGGGAAGGGTTCCCGCGTCGGGAACGGCAGGGAGGTAGTACTTGAGGAAGTGGAGAATGTCTCGACTGTTGTCTTTCCAATTGACTGGTTCAAGCACCGTTGAAAATTAGACGCGTGCGCTCCAGGAAAGCGAGCACTCACATATACCGCCCAGTGCGGGCTCGTTGATGAGGCACGAGTCTCCATGATTCGCCGCTTCGAAGGACCATATCTCGTCTACCGCATACTTGGCGATAGACGAATACCGAGAGACAAGGTGGAGCAGGGCGGGCTCCCATAACTACTACATGTGTCAGCATCTTCTAGAGTTCACGCAGTCGATACTGCAGAAAAGGAGGGACGCCCCGCGAGCACGCACCTCCTTCGAAAACCCATTCGCGTGCGCACAGAAGAGCGTGACCCCGTTCGCCTCCTTCAGCCCCTTCCTCACGTACCTGTTCACGCAGCTCCACATTGGCCGCTCGTTCCTCGGGAGCGCGTCCAGCTCTCCCTTCCAATGCTCCTCCGTCGTCTGCATGAGCGTCGTCGTTGTCTTGCGGACCGCGGCACGGAAAGCGTCCTTGTCCGGGGTCCATGTGGGCAGCTCCAGGAGCGGGACTTCAGGCGTCGTTCGTGGCCATGCGGCGGGCACCAGGTGCGTTGAGAGCGCGAAGGTCGCGTCTAGAAGCGATTTGCGCGGGGGCGACGGCAAGACGGGTGGGTATATGCATAGTGGTGGTGGTCTGAGAGGAAGGAGCGGCTGCGGGCGGCTGGAGGGAAGCTCGTACAGGTCGGGCGGCGTGAAGGTCGTTGAGTTGGGGTCGATGGGAGCCATGGTGGTGGGTGCGGGGATCAGTGGGGGGGCTGCGGTGCGCTCTCGTTGAGTTGTACTGCGACCTCAATCCCAGGACGCCGTTCCATTCGCCGCATCCCCGGGGCCCGTTCCTCCCTGCCGGCAAATAAACATGCCCAAGGGCGCGTTCCGGGTAGTTCTTGCCGGTCGTCCGGGGGGGTGGTCTGAGTCTTTAGACATGGTGGCTGATCGCTAAATGGGCGGATCACGCGCGATGGAGAGTACCAAACCAGGGCCCCCCCACGATTCACGAGGCATAACTTTTTCACTGAGCAACCAGTGCTGCTTTCTCAACAAGTATACATTCGCAACACACGCGCGAGATACAGGACGGGGTATCCAACAGGATACCAGGATGGTACAACATCTACAAATACTTCTCGCGTCGTTCCGGATTAACCCCGTAGAAGCTCTATGCCTGCTTGCGCTGCAGGTTCTTGGGCAGCTCCTTGACCCACGGCAAGAAGTCTCGGCCTTGCATGTAAGGTTGAAGCACTTCAGGGATTCGGAGGCCCTGCCAGATTGTCGGCATCCTCACGTCAGGTCATTCAAGTGAGTACACGCACCTCTGGTGTTTGATAGTTCTCAACCAGGCAGCACAGTGCACGCTCAGTTGCACAGAGCGTGCCGTTCAGCATATGGACGTAGAGTTTGCGAGCCTGATCCTTGGTCTTCAACCCACAACGGACCTCAAGCCTTCGGCTCTCTGTACATCATCGTCAACACAGTGCACTAAAGCGACCATGGAGAACACATACGGTAATCCGTGCAGTTCGAACACGACACAAGTTCCTTGTATGCACCCTGGAACGGGAACCACGCCTCGAGGTCGAACTTTTGGGACGCCGCCAGGTTGAGCGCGCCGGAGACGATAGCGACGACCCGGTAGGGGATCCCGAGGCTCTGGTAGAACGCTTCCGAGTTGGCGATCATCGTCTCGAACATCTCCCAGCTCTTCTCGGGCTCGGTGATGCAGAACTGCTCGACCTTCTCGAACTGGTGCACGCGGAAGATGCCCCACATGTCGCGTCCGGCGGAGCCCGCCTCCTTGCGGAAGCACGTCGAGTAGCCCACATACTGAATAGGAAGTTGCGTTTCCGGCGACTCGAACCATTCGTCCGAATGGTAGGCGGAGATCGGTTGCTCCGAGGTCGCGATCAGATACTTCTCGTCGTCCGCTGCGATGACCTTGTACAGTTCTTCGTCGAATTGGTCCAGCTGCGCGGTCTTGGCCATCACGTCCTTGTTCATCATGAACGGCGGCTGGATCTTCTTGTACCCACGTTTGCGTAGGAAGTCAAGGCCATACGAGATGAGCGCCTGGTTGAGGTCGACGCCGTCGTTGGTGAGGAAGTAACCGCGGTGGCCAGTGATCTTGGATCCTCGCTCGAGGTCCATCGCGTCCAAACGGAGGAGCACTTCGTGGTGGGGCATAATGTCTGTCCGCTTTTCGACTTCCTTCTGCTCTGGATGCCATTTCCGAAGTGTTGCGTTGTCGTCCTACTCGTCGATGAGCAGGGGATCCGCATACAAGAGTGTAACGGGACGCACCTCCGTCAAGCTGACCGGCACGTCCTTTCCAACGATGTTCCCCACCGTGGAAGCCCTCTGCCTCATGGTCGCTTCCAACTCTTTCGCCTCAGCACGCTTAGCCGCGACCTGAGCGTCAAGATCCTTCTTCTTCGCGACTAACTCGTCCGCATTTTCTTTGGCCTGTCGACGCGTCAATGCGACGATTCTACTACCAGTCCTAGACAGCACACACCTTTTTCTTCGCAGTGACCTCTTTCTGTACTGTATTCGACTGCTTCGCAAGATTGTTGGCGTCGAAGTCGACTGTGTATCGCAAGGGGGGGAGCCTTGAGGTGTGGTCTCGTGACGAATAGCATGCTCGGCCTTACGTTTGACCCAGTCCGCGTACATCTGGATGATCTCGTCCACGAGCTCAACCGAAAGGCCGCGCTTCTTCTGTGACTCGCGGATTTCTGCGGCGTTTCCGCCCTTGTTGTCGATGAAGTGCAGCACGTCCAAAGTCATGTTGGTAGAGAGTGGCCGGATAGAAGCGACGTTGTATGCGCGCGTCCAATTCTAGGCTGGAGCAAGGATGGGATCGAGAGCGGGAGGTGGAGTCAGAGCACGAGCAGAGTTATGCGGGCAAGCAGCGAGGCGATGAGCTGTGAAGAAGCGGATTCTGTCTCGTTGTTCCGCTTGAATCGATTCCTCCGGAGTCATCGATCCAATAAAATCTAATCTAATCTCAGGGTGGAGTCAGCGGCGGAGTTATATTCAATTCAGAGTCCGAAGCCGGTCTCCCGCTGCTCCGTCGCCACGTACTCAGTCCGCGTCGCTATCCTCGACGTCCTCTGTTCCCCTGCCCCCGCCAAGCTTGTTCCCCAGAGCGACCCCGGAAAGTCTTGTGCTTGGTTGCTGGCAGATGATCTTGCGACCCTAGTGACCACGAATGTGGGATGTCTTCAATTGGCCCCTCTCCCTGCTCGTCGTCTGCCCCACGGCGGGGCGTCCAAGGCAAGCATTGACGTTACCCACATCTCATGCGTATTAGTTGGGCGGGTGAAGATGTATCAGGATAGGAGGGTGCGATCATAGGCGTTAGTTGGACCATGCGGATTCAGGTGACGGCGTTAGGCAAATTTGCGGACGAGGCGGTATTGGGTGGGAGAGCGATGGAGGTTGAGAGGAGTGGCCGGCGCGGAGTGAGCGACTGTTAGTGGGGAGAAAAAATGTCGACCACAACTGCTGTGCGTATCCCACATGAATGAGTGAATTAGTGCATGCACCGGCCAAGTGAGAGGGCGAGGAACAAAGCGAGCGCAGAACTTCGCCGAAGATGTCGAACATCGGCGCGAAGTCTGAGAGGGCGATGCCGCTTGACCCACGACCACCACCTCTGCCACGCCCTCCCTTTCTCCCCACCCTTACTCGCCTTCCTCCACCCGCCCTCGCACCTCGCTGTGCTCTGCGATGTCGGGGAAGGCTCCGCCGCGCGCCCCGCGAGCACTGCTGAACTCGATACACGGCTCCGCTGCTCAGGCTGCCTCCTCATCCACCCCTACCGCGCCCGCCGCGTCTCGCATAGGAGCGACTCCCCCCACTGGCCCTCGCTCTCTCCTCAATGGACATGGTGGAATACGCGGGAGGGGCGGGAGGCCGTACGTCAATGGCCATGCTGGCGGGCCCAACGGTCATGCGCCGTCGCCGCCGGCAGGGCCGTCACTCAAGGGCAAGCAAGTCGATGTTCCATGGTCACAGTCTGGTCCATCGAGCAATGTAGGTGTTCATGTCCGTTGCTCTAGGTGGAAGGACAACACTGAATGCCGGCTTGTACAGCACCAGCAGGGGCAAACGAACGGCGCAGGCCCCAGCAGAACCGCGACAACACCGACAGAGCCGACAGTTCTCAACGCGAAGCACGCCGCGATCTCGTTCAAGCTCAAACCTAGTTTGTCGTCGTCTTCATCCCGCACGGTGAACGGCGAGACGTTACATGCCCCTTCGTCGCCACGATTACGGGCGTTTGCGCTTCCACCATCGTCCTCGGCGCCCCCGCCGCCACCCTCAGAACCCCCGCCGCCTCCGCCGCCTCCAACATCTGAACCTCCCCCACCACCACCTCCCTCCGATGAACCTCCGCCCCCGCCCCCTCCATCCAATGAACCCCCACCTCCGCCTCCACCATCGTCCGCCCCTCCACCCCCACCAGACGAACCTCCCCCGCCACCGCCACCATCAGGTGCTGCCCCCCCGCTACCTCCACCTCAACATTTTCCATCATCGTTTGCTCCGTCGCTTTTGCCTTTCCATACGGCTACTCCGCCGCCATACCCGCCTGCTCCCTCTTTCGCCCCTCCACCACCATCTTCTCCCCCTCCACCTCCTCCCGATGCCCCGCCTCCCATTCCGTCCACTTCGGCCGTCAGGTTGCCTCCAACAGGCCCCCGCAGAGATCCCTTAACTGGTGTATATTCTGCGCAACCAGTCTTCAACTACGCGGCGCAAACCGTCACTGCTCCCCGCCCAGAGAGTGTGCCAAGCCGACCCCCATCACCACCATGCCCACCCCCACCACGGCCACCCTCCCCCGTGTTATATTCTCTCCCGCCACCGCCACCCTGGCCTCCTGCTCCCGAAGAGTTTGCGCCTGGAAAGAACTGGAAGGTGCTGTTCGACTATGGGATCGACAAGGATCGAGATGGCCAGTACCGGGCGCTTGCGGAGAAGCTACGCGAGAAGGGGCTGGACCAGGGCGAGGAGGCGCGGGTGAAGGGCAAGGGAAAGGGGAAGGAGATCATCCTTCGGTACAACGGAGAGATTATTGATGGGGAGCACGAGGCGGTCGTGCGAGACCCACGCAAGGAGGCAAAGCTGAAGAGGTTGCCATCGTTACGTCCTCCGAGGACGGAGCTCGTCCGGACGCGGTACGAGGTGAGTGTTGTCTGCGGTACGGATTGCGTTTGAGATTCGGCGCTCACTCCAGCCCAAAGTTCGATGCGAACTCGGTCGGGCCCCCGCCCGCGATGGCTGTCCTTGTGCTGGGAATCTCGCCCCTGATGCCGAATACACACCTTCGACGACACTTTGGCGCCCACGGGAACATCCTCTCGTTCGAGCCCCAGATCGACAAGTCCAGCGGAGGAGCCCTGGGCATCGTCCTCATCAGGTATTCGTCACATGAAGAGGCGAAGGCGTGCGTGGCAAAGGAGCATGGCAAGAAGCTAGCACTCACGGTCCCCGGTGTCAGCGAGGGCGAGGTCCTCAGGGCCGTTCTGGATGGCGAAGGAAAGCTGCTGAAGGCGGTTATGGCGGAGCTCGACGACCGGCGGCGACAGGAGCGAGAGAAGCGGAAACGAGAGAAAGAGGAGAAGGAGAAAGCGAGCTCTGCGCACCTCCGACACACCCCCGCCTCGAGTGCCAGTCAGACGCCCGTGCAACAGAGCAGCAGCATGGCTAACAACCCGTGGCGCACCACGCTGCGAGACGGCGGCCCGCACAAAAATCCGCACCTCTTCCGCCAACATCAGCAACAGCAGCAGCACCAACACCCGCACTCACATCACCAGCACCAGCACCAGCAGGCTCACACTCCCCACCATCCATCACACGATGCCCAGCCTCATCCGCCGCGGCCACTCCCACCGAGTCTCCCCATGCGCCCGCAGCTGACACCGATGTCTGTGTCGCATTCACCCAACCCGGCCGTCCCGGACAAGAACAGCCCCCTCCCCAACAATATCCCCACCGGTCCACGCCATGGCCCCTCCAACCGCGGGATGCGTGGACGTGGCGGCGCGCGGGGGCGTGGAATGGCGCACATGCGCGCGGTCCCGACCATGCGCCCCCCAGTTCGCCTGTTTCCCAACGGAAGCTCTGGTATGCCCGTCCTTCCTGCTGGTTTCGTAGGCACGCCTGCGCCTGCACCCGCGCCAGTACAAATGCCTCAGTCCCGCTCTCCGTCACCAGTCGGACGGCGCCCCGGTCAATGGGGGCGTGCGGCCGCTGTGACGGCGAAGAAGGGCGACTACGAAGCGGTCAAGGCGGCGCTCGCGAAGAACGGATTTGAGCACATCGCCATCGACGGACAAGTGGGTGGAGTGGACGAGACAGATGTGAGGGTGTATTTGATGGGCTTCCCAGTTGACCAGGTGCGTCGCTACTGTTGTTTTTTGCCATCGGAGCGTGCTGATAAGGGTTTTTGTCCCCTTATGGCCAGATTCTTCGCGACCGCCACAGCTGGTATGCTACATTTACGTCGGCAGACATCGCCCGTCGTGCTGCGATGTTTCTTTCTGCTACCGGCCGGACGCTTGCCCACCACCGCGTCACCGTCACCGTCCGCACGCCTCCGACACACATCCCACTCGCCTACAAAACGTCGTTCACAAACGCCGAGCTGCTGGAGGAGGCAGAGAAAATGATCTTCAAAGAGCTCCGCGGCTTCCTCGAGAAGGATATTACCGAACGCATCGTGGCGTCGCGCATTCGCCAAGTCGTTCTCGACGAACGCGCGAAGAAGGGTGTCGCTCCTCCGCCTGAGGTACCAGCGATCGAACCCCACGAAGGGGTCGACCCCAAGTACCTGGACCGCGCGGGATTGCGCGGGCTTTCGTTTCGCCCTAAGAAGCGGCCGCGCGAAGAGGTGGTCGAGATTCCTGCGGTCGTCGTCACGAAGCAGGAGGACGAGGAGGACGTCGTAGTGCGCCCGAAGAAGAAGCCCAAGAAGGCCCCGAAGAAGGTCGTTGTCGAGGAGAGGCTCATCGAGTCGGAAGACGAGGAGCCCGCCGTCGTGCCCACCGTCCCCGTTCCGCATCGCAAACGCGTGATGTCGGAGGCGAGCGACATCGAGGTCCCGATGCCGACGAAGAAGAAGTCGAAGGGTGGGGTGGTCACGGAGGATGGGGTCACGCAGGTCGTGCGGAAGAAGAAGTCGAAGAAGGTACGCGAGCCCGCGTTCGAGGCGGAGGTCGTCCATGAAGTCATCCCCGAGCCGCTCAAGCCCCCGTCGGTCGCCCAAGTCACGTTCGACTACAGCCCATCCCCCGCACGCTCCCCCGTCCTACCGTTCGCGACATTCACGGATGCGCAGAAGATCGATCCGATCACGGCTGGCATTTGCGAGGATGAGGAGGACATGTACTTCGCCAAGCTCGCGCTCGAGCGCATGCTCTTCGGCAAGTCTGCAGATACTCCAGAACCCGAGCCAGAACCCGACGCGGAGACCGGTGTCGTCGCACGGAAACACGTCACGGGCTCCGCGCGCTCGGAGGGGTACTACAAGATCTCGCACGCGGAGAAGGCGGCATACGTCGCGCAGTACGCGCTACGTGGGATGACCACCTCGACTGCTGCCGAGACCGAGCACTCGTCACTGCCGCCGAAGCAGACGGTGGGCTCATCGCGCGCGAACCGGGCGAACGCGCGCCGGCGTGCGCAGGGCCTCGAGGAGATGAACCTCCTTCAACGCGCGATGGCGCTCTCGAAGGGCGAGGCCACTGCTCCCGATGCGGTCAAGTACAACCAGCTCCAGGCGCGCAAGAAGCAGCTGCGCTTCGCGCGCTCGCCGATCCACGACTGGGGCCTGTACGCGATGGAGAAGATCAACCGTGGGGACCTGGTGATCGAGTACGTGGGCGAGGTCATCCGGGCGCAGGTCGCAGACAAGCGCGAGAAGGCGTACGAGCGGCAGGGGATCGGCAGCAGTTACCTCTTCCGTATCGACGAAGAGCTCGTCGTGGATGCCACGAAGACGGGTAACCTGGGGCGGCTCATCAACCACTCGTGCGACCCGAACTGCACGGCGAAGATTATTACGATCAGCGGGGAGAAGAAGATCGTCATTTACGCCAAGCAAGACATCGAACTCGGTGACGAGATCACTTATGGTGAGCCGATTGTCTCCTGTATCGACGGAACTCCAGTGACTCACTCATTCGTTTGCAGACTACCACTTCCCCATCGAGCAGGACAAGATTCCTTGTCTCTGCGGGTCTGCCAAGTGCCGTGGGACTCTCAATTAGGACAGCTTCTCACCGTTGCCTGCGTACTTCGCTGTTGATCGCCCGTCCGTGCCCACTACTAGTACTGTTGCTCCTAGTCGACCTGCGCCTTGTTTGTGCTCTCGTGTTCCGCCGTCGTCACGCCCTCTCTCGCCTTCTCATCGCTGTCGTTGGTCGCTCAAGTCCCGTCGCACTCTACCTTCCTCTTTAGTCCGCTTCTGGCCTTCACATCGCCGCACACTGCCCGCTCGCTACACGACACGATATGTATCTTATACTGTACCACTGTTCTAGTACGAACCTCCCCACGGCCTGGCACGGAGTAATGCATACGCTGGATGGCCGGCGCGCTCGACGCGCTGCGCACTAGATTGGTTCAACGGAGTCGTGTTGGATGTGTCACGAAGAACTGCAGTGCTCGTCTCCGGTGCGGAATACTCTCGCCCGCTCCCAAGTTCGCTGCGTATCGGGGCGCGCACGTCGATGAGCGGAGGGAAGCTCATTTTGGTGCACCACAAACGCCTTCAACCGCGCGCGTCGAGCACACCTCGACTAGATGGATCTCTAACAACGTTTACTTCATATGATCAGTCAACACCACACGGCAAAACCCGGCAGCCTGCACTCTAACATTTAAGCGCGCTGGCGCGTACGCTTCTCCGCATCGAACAAAGGTATGTCCTCGTGCTAGCGTGCAACGCTCTCGTCTTTCAATCTCAGGATTACACTTGCTGTCTCCGAGAAAGCTCAGAGCGCTCACATAGTCGACCCGGCTCGTCCAAAGGTATCGTACTCGAAGTCAACTTGTGCTTTACGGACTCCGTTGCTAACCGCGGTCGCGTTCCTGCTGGCTCCCTTGTAGGATGGTTGGAATGAGAGAAGCTTGTAGACTGTTGTGCTCAAAACACGCGTCCTGCGCGTGCGTCAATCCTCATCTTTCGCGGGATCTGTCACTGTAAGGTTCAGTCCGTCCAATGCCGCGGCGCCTTTCTGCCCATTCCCGCTGGCAAGCTGCCCGTTGCAGCTGCTCCTCACCCGCGCACCCCTACAACCAACTGCGCTCCTCGATGCGTTCGCCGCGCTTACCAACCGAAGTCTCCGAAAGGGTCCTTGAAGCTCTCCGCTCCGAGCAAGACCTCGTCACGCTCTCCGCCTGCGCTCGGGTCTGCAGCGCATGGTTCCCCAGGAGCCGCTTCCTCCTCTGGCGCAACATCACCATCTCCGATGTCGACACGGTTTGTTCCATCCGTGCGGCCTTCGAGCGCTCTCCCGAGTTGTGCGGCTGGGTCCACGCGATCCGACTGGAAAACCCGAGCGACCAAGGGAAGGGCACGCCTCACGCGGCCCCAGCGATCCTCCTGCCGTATCTTGCCAAACACCTCCGCAAATGGGAAATCGTGTTGAAAGAAGGCTTGACGCTCTTCCCACCCCAGATAATGGCCTGTTTTCGCCTGTACACCGCCGCCAAATGCCTCATCCTCGAATGCACGGACTGGGACGCCTACCTACCTTTTCACAGATGGTCCAATGGATTCACCGCCCTCGAGACTTTTGAGCTGCGCCGCCAGTCCTTCGACCTATTCAAAAATTCCGCCTCGCCCGGCGACCGAGCTCTCATGCCCTCACGATGGGGCCGGCGGGGTGGTTGCATAATGAAGGTGAGGCTCTTGTGTAAAATCGGATGAGCAAAAGCGGTGACATCTCTCTTAGACCAAAGCTCCGTCGCGACCCATTATATACGGGGATCGAAGCAACTCGGCTGTCTCTGATTTGACTATCGGGTCAGTCATGTTAGCTACGGCAGGTACGTACATTAATCCTCCTGGATGGGAAGCAAATCCAAAGCTCGTTCATTTCCGTAGAATTCATCCTCCAGGACTATACCGGCCTTGTGAACCTCTGCATAGAGGTGGATGAAGTTTGCCTGCACGCCTTCCTCAACGACCCCTCAGTACCCGAGAAGATTGACGAGCTCATTAACGGCGGCCTCCCACAATCACTGCGCTCCTTCGATATCATCCTCGACAGTTCTCTATTAGACGACACGTATGGCGTCAATTTGAACTCGGCACAACGGGGGAATTTCTCCAGCTTCGTGCAGCTCGTGCAAGGCCATGCGTTTCTTAGCAAAAGTGGTATCACCTGCGTCGTGAAGAATTCAACTATGAACCTTGGGGATCGTTGGAGAGAATCGTTCAAGCGTATGCTGGCACCGCTCTATAAAGGAGGGCTTCTTCGCATTGCGTTTGAACATGACGGTGCGTTCGTTGATGTCATTCCCAGCTCGGCCTCTCTCGCTCGTTCACTGGTAATTTGGAGTAGCTAATGTCCATGTTCCTCTTCATAGGATATAACCAGATGGTGCCATACGGGCATCCTAGCACTGTGGAATATCTAGTCCTTTCTCAGAACGGGAACTGGGCAGTCACCACGTCCACTTCCTCGGTGCGGATAACAAGGGGCTTTGGGATGTCGGTGATGATCTGGGACGTTCGCACTGGTGGACCACCCGCTTTCGAGCGATGGCACCGCATTCTCGCTTCGAATTCAGACTCCTCCTACACAGAGCCCGCGTTCTGCCCTTCGAGCGCTCGTCTTTTATACCAGATCTCTGAAAGTCGCTTCAACGTCTTAGGCTTCCCTCTTCACACAGAAACCACAAACACTCAACCTACATCAGGAAAAAACGACCTGTCACGGGAGTGCTCTGGAGACTCCAGAGCAGTCCGATCACGGGTAGACAAGTGCCATTTCCGTAGCCCCCATAGCTCAGCCGGCACCCCGCAGGCGCTCGAGAGACACAGCCGCCTGCTCGGCGAGCACTCCAGAGCAGCTCTGAGCATTGTCTTGAGAGTGCTCTGGAGATCTCCTGAGCGCATCCGTGCTGGGCTATTCCTAGCGCGGGTACCCGATACTCACACACATATAGCACATACTATATCGGCCTCGATAAAATTTATTGGGGGACAGCCCAGTGTATAACTCGTACATATGACTACTAGTGTAGTTGCAGCCAGGTCAGGGTCGTCTCAGTCTCAGCCGTGCGCGGTCATGGTCAGCACCCACTCATCGCACCGCAGAGAGAAGAGAAGAGAAGAGAAGAGAGAAGCGGGAGGAGGAGAAACGCACACACTTTATCGACGCCGTCCTCACCAGGCGTCGGGAGCCCGCTCCTTGCCTCCTGCAGCTTCCGCCAGCGCGCCTCCGCCGGGCCTGCGCGACTTTCTTTGTCTCACGTGCGGCGACGGATGCGATCAGGCTGCTGTCGAGCCAGCTAATGAGCCGCTTCCGAACCACCTCGTCGACCTTGGTCGTCAGCATGCGCGCGGTCGCGTCTGAATATCACCAGGCCAGGCGGAAGTAACGCGTCAACGAGCCGTCCGCACGAGTCGAAGCCTATGTGGCTGGGGGAGAAGGAGATAATCTCGTCGCAGAGGTCGGTGAGCACTTTGAGCTCGGACGCGAAGAAGGTCGTGCCCGGGCGCACCGAGGACCAGTCCTCGGAGAGGTTTATGATCCCAGATTTCCAATTGAGTCGCACACGATGCGCGGGAGCGAGACGGACTCGCCGAAGAGGACGAAGGAGAACATGCCGTTGAGGATCGGGCAGAGGTCCATGATCGAGCCATTGGTACTGAGCGGGAGGCTGAGCACACACGCGTGAGGGAGGCAGAGTAGTGGGGGCACGTACGAGCGGGATAACGAGGTCGTTCATCTTGATGTAGTCGAAGCGGATCTCGACGGCACCGCCGACCTCTTCCTCCTTCGCGGCGACGAGCGCGCGCGTACGCTCCACGCAGTCCGCTTTCGGTTTTCCCACATCGCAGGCGGCTTCGGCCACACACAGAGCGGCCCACAGCGCGGGCGCGACGTCCTCTCGTTCGCGCGGGGTAGGATACGCGTCCAGTTGATAGTGGGGACTACACTGAGCTGCCGTCCTTCTTTGGTAGCCTGTTCATGGAATGTTCCATCAGGCAAGGGATGTGAGGCAGATTTGGGCTTACTATACTTCTGGACGGCGAACCTTGGGAGGAAACAAAGAGAGGTGGGGGTGGAAACAGCGAGAAGGGATTGAAGACGAACGCGAGAGCTGCGCAGCGCCGCGCGCGCCGTTGGCGGTTGCGGCTCAGAGGTCTGTGCGTGGGAACAACTTTTCACAGATGGTTCTGGTGGATACGACCATCTCACGCCGTCAAACTCGCCATTGGCGTTTCCTAAGTCTTCAGTTACCGGCTTCCTTAATCTGCCATTCCCACAACTAGAACCAATAGGCCTTCCCTTCACCTTGGACACCCGCATTCATGGTGAACAGTTCGATGTTTACACACAGCCCGCGCCGATTGCGGGGAATCATATGAGTGTGAGTGGGTTTCGCGCACAACTCGCGCGTTATTGCTTGTGTGGGTGGACAATATCGAGGACTCTCGTGCCACCACTGCAACAACATAGAGCTCGAGCGGACCTGGCTGTGGCTCTCGAGGTGTCATGAGCAGCGGCTGCTACTCTGGAGACCTACAGAGCACACGGCGATACTCGAGGGACCTCGACATCATTAGTCATTACGCGAGGGTGCTCGAGCGCCCTCTCGGTCATCACTGGCAGCAAGTGAGCGATCCCGAGTCCGGGCCGGGGCTCTCGTACCAAACGTTTTTTCCTGATGTATTCCTCGGGAATTCGGAACTCTCGATGCGAGCAGGCTCGGAGTCGTCGTGGGGGCATCTTGGTCTCCGGATAGCACGCATATCCTCGCTCAGCTCCGATCGGGGAATGTCTCGGTCTGGGATGCGGAGAACTTGACGCTACTCCATTCCATATTCCTCCGGGCATCCCCTTACGACAAGCTGACTGGTGCAACACGTCTTTCGACACGCTTTTCGACATCTTCAAACGGCCAGTACGCTCTGGTTCATTTCGGCTGCTATCGCAATGATGAAGCTCAAAACGATTATAACGACCATATTCTCGGTTTGGATCTAGTCTCCAGGAAAAGCCGCCGTTGCCTTGTCAACTTCGAAGCCTGCGTACGTCAAGCGGTTTTGCGACGCGGATCAAAGGGGGACGAATGGGATGTCCTCGCTACCACGGTCGAAGGCGGTCTCTTACTCGACTCCGGAATAGAGGGTGAAATCGACCCTGGATCCGCCACGACAGCGGAAGCACAGACACTGCTCAGAGGATTCAAGACACATGCCCTCTCCGCTGACGGTACTCGCGCCTTGTGCACTGCCGACGATGGAACATCTTCCACAGGTTCCTGGTCGTGCTGCGTCGTAAGCACGACTACCGCAGAACCCCTCTGCGCACCCTTCGAAGGCGATTTCCCCCTGAAGGTCTACCTCGAAAATGAATACGTCCCTCGGGATATAGGCACAAAATGCACCGGACGCCCTCGATCCTGGTTCTGGAGTACACAGACCGGACGTCTTTACCGCATCCCGACACTCGACGGCATATATGGCGTTCAGCGAGCGGCAGTCACGCAAGATGGGGAGATGGTCGCATGGGCCGATCCCTACGGCGGCGTGCATTTCCATCGGAACGAAGGGGACGTGTTACCTGTAATCCATACGCCGCACGAACTGGTGAGTACTTCCAATCACGTCGTTAGGCCCACATGCTTACGACTGTACAGATCTCTACGTTCGGTGGGAAGTGAAAGATAGCTCCAAATAGCGTAGAGATAGGAAGGCGATGAGAACTTCGAAAATCTCGAGCAGTCTCTGCCGAGATAAGTATTCACCAACGCGTCAGCGACTTGGGGGTCACGCGGTATGGACACGCCCAGAAGACGGTGGTGGCGAGTGGTGGCGTAGAGGATGATAGGATAAATCTAGACCTCCGGATGACGCGTCGACGGTGGCTTGGGAAGGACAAGACGGGGATAGAATGCCGGAGAGAAGGCGTGATGTCAGGAGAGGTTCGATGATGCCGGTACTACCCAGGTTCTTGACAAATAATTGGCGAAAGAAATGCTTGCGGCTATTATGGCACCATGCTCGACAAACGAGTGAACAAGCTAGTGCGCGAGACGAGACGAACGAGCGGCCCGCTCGATGATGAGAGGATGAACGTCTTGGGAAAGAGCCGGGCGTGGGCATTTCGGTGGCGACGGAAGGTCCCCCATGAGACCAACGTCGGTGTGGTCGGCGGCCTCAGCTTCAAAAAATGCCTTCTCTCCCACAGGCATGCTTAGCATTGACAATGATGTCGTGGGTGGAAGACGGAGATGGGCCCCGGTGCGAATGCGGCGGTACCACGATGCCCAGTCCCTCCGCTCCGTCTCTTCCACCGCCATGCATCCTTCATCCCTTCCCTCCTTCGCCCCCAGCGGCTGCGTTCACGAACCTCTTCTCTGTCCCCTCCACCCCCCTCGCTTGATACTCCCATAACGAAAAAGATACTGGGACGTTGAAGATGGGCGAAGACCTCGACAAAATCCTATCTCACAAGCTTGTCTTCGCCGTTAACGACCCCTTAAACACTACGGTCATCGACAGCACTGGAAAGCCGCTGTACATGATCACGACCCCGTACAAGTTCCTCCGGAAACGGACAACGACCATCCTAGGCTCCGAGGGGCAGACCGTCGCCGTCGTCGAGCGCAAGTGGGGCATGGGCGCAGACCAGGTGACGTTCTTCGGCGACACCGTCCCCGCGTCAGAGTGGCTGCAGAACAAGGACTTTTCCAAGTGCGTCAGTCTCTTTCTGTTCATGCGGGAAGCGAGTCGACGAGGACGTGGGCAGCGCGAGGCAGTTCGAGGCACCCAATGGACGGATCTACGTGTGGAAGACGCGTTCGTCAGTCAATGACTTGAAGGTACGCTGGCTTGCGTTTTGTCAGACTATATGCGCGATGTTGAGATGTGCATCGGCAGTTGCTCGACCACTCGACGAGGGAGACGGTGGCGAAAGTCACCCATACGGCTGCCCTGCGGACCTCTAAGCAGCGGCTCAGCATGAGCGTACATCCCAAGATCGTGCATTTGCTCGATGCAGTCATCTTGTCGTTCGTCATGTGCGAGGAGGAGAGGCGGCAACGGGGAGATGTGGCATGACCGGTATACGCTTACTGTGAGCTCCTTCTACTATCCACGCTCCGACATTGCTGACCTTTCGGCAGATAGCATAGCATCCTGCTGATAATACCGTACATGCGATTAATGACACCAGGACTGTTTGCAATTCCCCGTATACGTCGTCGTGCGACCATCCGGCCCAATTCCCTCCTTCCTTCTCGTCCTATCCCACCCGGAGACCTTCAACCAAGACCACCATCCGTCATCTCACCGATCTGTCAAACAAATCTCAGGACTCAGTCAGCCTCACGCAGCCTCCTGCGCACCAGGAGCGCGACGAGCAGGACTGGCGGCTTACCAGAAGCCCCGCGCGCGTTGTTGCGTTGATCACGCGCTTTCTTTGTGTGAGTGGCAGTACTTTCCGTGCCGGCATTTAACTCATCCCTCAGAGTAGGATGGCGTGCCCCGATGGCGAGGCGACCAGATGGACTTGGTCTGGGCGACTCGGTTGTTCAGTGTCCACGTTGTCCGAAAGCCAGAAGTAAACGCCGTCAAGACTCGACGTCGGGTGTACTCTCTGACAGCTGCAGTTCCCGTTGCTCTATAAAAGTTCCTGGAGGAACAAGCGGGACGAAAGCTGCGAACGCATCCCTCCCTTGTAACATGCTCAGAATTGATGATGACACCGTGGGTCGAAGACGGAGATGAGGCCCGGTGCGAATGCGGCGGCACCACTCCGCTTCGCGCCGTCCCTTCCTCCGTCATGTACCCTTCATCCCTTCCCTCCTACGCCGCGAGCATGGTCACCCGCGGCCACCACCCTCTTCCCTGCCCCCTCCTCCCCCCCTCGCTTGCTGTCTTTCCTCCCTCAGCGACAGGGATACTGGGACGTTGAAGATGGGCGAAGATCTCGACAAAATCATATATCACAAGCTCGTCTTCGCCGTCAACGACCCCCTCAACACTACGGTCACCGACGGTGCCGGCAAGACGCTGTACACGATCACGACTCCGTACAAGTTCCTCCGGAAGCGGACAACGACCATCCTAGGCTCCAAAGGGCAGACAGTCGCCGTCGTTGAGCGCAGGTGGGGCATGGGCGCGGACCAAGTCACATTCTTTGGCGAAACCGTCCCCGCATCGGAGTGGCTGCAGAACAGGGACTTTTCCAGGTGCGTCACTCTCATTGTGTTCTTGCGAAAAGCAAGTCGATGAGGACGTGGGCAGCGCGAGGCAATTCGAGGCACCCAATGGACAGATCTATGTGTGGAAGACGCGCTCGTCAGTCAATGACTTGAAGGCACGCTGGTTTGCATCTTCTCAGGCCATGTTCACGACGCTGAGAGGTGCCTGGGCAGTTGATCGACCACACGACGAAGGAGACGGTGGTGAAAGTCACCCATACGGCCGCCTTGCGGACCTCCAAGCAGCGGCTCAGCATGAGCGTGCATCCCAAGGTCGTGCATTTGCTCGATGCAGTCATCTTGTCGTTCGTCATGTGCGAGGAGGAGAGGCGGCAACGGGGAGATGTGGCATGACCAGTGTGAAAAAGGACGGGTTCTGTAGTGATCGGAAGCCGTTGCCGCCGCCACAAAGTGCGCCACATCTTCGTCGTATGTCTTTCCGTTCGCCTCACCGTTCCTTCCTTTCGGCACCCTTACGGGTGTGAGTTCTAATTTCGACCAGTGTACGCTTACTGTGAGCTTCTTCTACTCTCCACGCCGCGACGCTGCTAACCTTTCGACAGATAAGATAGCACCCTGCACGCGATTAATGACACCAGGACTATTTGGAATTCCCCATATACGTTGTCGTGATTTTACATTTCTGCGATCATTCGGCCCAATTTCCTCCTTCCTTCTCGTATGCCTATCCCACCCGGAGACCCTCAACGGAGACTGCCATCCGCCATCCGTTCCCGGACTCGTCAGCCTCACCTGCCTCCTGCACAACGCCCCGCCCCCACACTCATCAACCAACTGCCCACCGCTCCTCAGTCGAGCAGCGCCCACTGGTCGAACGCCTCCGCCAAGTTGAAGCACTCGTTCACCTCCGGGATCTGCGCGAACTCCGCGCACCCGGGCGGGCCGACGAGCACCGCGAACGGCAGCCCCGCCCCGCTCGGCTGGACGACGCCGGCGGAGACGAAGGACGGCGCGGCGTGGCAGACGTCCGCCGCGAACTCGGAGAGGTCGATCGGGACGAAGCACGTCGCGCAGTTCGCGATCGAGCAGAGGAAGAGCTGCGCGGGGAACTCTTGGCGCACGGCGAGCGCGGCGGGGACGCGCGAGGAGGCGTTGAGGAGTGGGGCGTGGGGCGCGGCGGAGAGGACGGTGCGGGAGAGCGGGAGTGGGAGGCTGGTGGAGGGTGCGATGGGCGTCGCGAGCGCGCTGGTGGCGAGGGTGGCGAGGAGGGTGAGCCGGAGGATGGAGAACATCTTGTGAGGCGTGCTCGGGTGTTTAGAGCGACTGTGTGCTGATTTCTTTTGTTGCATAGCAGGCCGTTTATATGCACCTCCCTTCCCCGATGACCCAGGAGGACTGCTCAGCTTGTTGAAGAAGATGATTGGCTGTGCTAATAAATCGCGCACGCCGAGCTCGACGCTGAAGGACAGACGAGTTCGTGCGCGGCTATGTTGGATGCCGCTCGGGTGCCGCACAAGGGAGCACGACGAGCAGGACTGGCGACCTATCGTAAGCCCCGCGCACGTCGTCCCGTTGTCCATCGCGCTCATCCAATTCATATCCCTTAGAAATGCCAAAAGTAAACCGGCCCAGGGCGCTGTCGGGTGCACTCTCTGACAGCTACAGTTCTCATTGCTCTATAAAAGTTCCTGCAGGAACAAAATCGCCCCCCGACAGCGGATGATGTCCTCATCCTCCGTGCTTCCCGTGTATTCGGTTGGTTCCAATTGATTCATACAAGCAGAGGGTGCTGTACCCAGGGACCAGTAGCGGTCAGAACATACAAACCTATTGTACAGGACGCAATTTACGCAAGCGACTCTTGATATGTGAATCCTCCGAAAACGACCGGCCCATCGACCAGCACCTCCAGCTCCGTCTGATCGTACAGCGACGGGTCGGGAACGTACGTGCCAACCGCCACCGCCCGAGAGAACTCGAGCCGCAGAGTTGAATCCCACTCCCACACCCGCCACTCCAGCCGTGCCAGACGACACCCCGCCGCCGATCTCGAGCGCAGTGTCTGTGCGAGGACTGCGCGCTGAGACTGGATCGTGGCCGCCACCCACTCTGTCCACTCCGAGGCACTCGTCCTCATCTTGGTGTGAACCTCGCCGCGGTCGAGAGGGAAGGAGACGGCGAGAGAGCTCAGGTGCGGACACATCGGCGTGTCGTGAGGCGCAGGAAGTCGGAGAGCGTGTAAAATGCCCGGGACCCGAGGGCCCGCGAGGTCGAGAGACGCGAGTGACGACCCACTTCTGAACGGCAGAGTCTGAAAGGCCGGAGAGCGCAGTACGGTCTGAAGCAGGGATCGATCCAGCGAAAGAACGGAAAGGCAGTGACGGGTCTGTTGCGGTAGTCATGAAGATTCAGCAACTCCTAAGGCGGTTGCATGCTAATATCAGCTTCAAGCACAATTGTGACTCGGACTCACGATGGTAGACTTGGAGTGAACGCATGAAGTCCGTTGAGGATCGCCTGTTGATGCGGAGCGGCGAGCGGAATCATCGGAGCTCCAAATAATCATACAGAGCCTAGAGCCTATGCTGGAGCCCTCGTGGAGTCTGCAGGCCTGAGCACCTTACGCCCAAGGATGCAACCGATGTCTACAATTTCCGTGCCGTCCTTAACCATCGCAGACAGCGGCAGCGTACGTATGTACGGTGACAAGCCAAGAGCGCACGACGGTCTGTATCTGGGACGAATTTCAATCGGGGACGGTACAGCAGCAGTGCAGAGCGAGATGGAATACAGATACAATACAGTACGTACTTTCAGCAGGACGACGAGCAGCGATGGCAGGGACCGATGAGACGAATAAACTTAAGCTAGCTAGATGAGATGAGATGGAGATGAGGATGAGGATGAGCGAAAGGCGGTCAGTGTGAAGTGGAGTATGAGCGAATGTAAGACGGGCAGGGTGGGGGACGGAGAATGGTGGGAGGGAAAGGGCAGAGCGGATGTATGCGTAGGGCACGGAGAGGGGGAGGGAACGAACATACTCAATCTCGGAGTTCGTAGTATGAGCGGAACATGGATTCTGTACGAAGTATCGAGTCACCGATCACACCATGAACGTGGAGGAAGAGCTTCGGGAACCGCTTGGTGAAGTATCCCAAGAAGCCCTCCGGCATCGATCCGAGCAGGCGCTTCACATTGTCCGGGAGGTCCTGGTAGTGGTTTTTCTGCCGCCACGTCAGTGCCACGTCACACACGCATAATGAGCCCGAAGGTACCTTGTTCCTCAGCGCGCGCAGCAGGTCTTGTACCGACGCGCCGTCATACTTGCGGAACTTGCCCAGGTTCTCAATGAACAGCTTGTCAAGGCGCGCGTGCCAGTCCGGACCGACGATATTGATGGCGCCGCGCTCCAGGGCGAGTAGGTGTGCGTCCTTGGGATCACGGACCATGACCTCGAACCGGTCGGAAGCGTCACCGAGGAATGCCAGCCGCCTGCCTTGATCCCAATAGTACGGATGAGTCAGACACGTACTCGTGTCTGGTCTGAAAGGGGAGCAGGTGAGAACATCATTGACAGTCACGAAGCAAGCCACGAACCTCTCGTACGCTTCCGGGTTCAGCATCCGCGTGATGAGATCCACACCCTCCACACCCTCCTCCCCGAGCCGCTCTAGGCCGTCGAGACACTTCGAGTTCTTGAGGATATTGAACTCGCGCTCGAAGCGGTCCCCGAACGGATGACACCCGTTCGTGAGGACGTAGTAGTACAGGCACCCAAGCGCGAAAATGTCGACCGACTTCGTCAGCCGTGTTGGCTTGCCCGATGGGGTCCCTGTCGAGCCTCCGCTCGAGCCACCGACGCTTCCACGCGAGGATTGGGACTCGTCGCCCGCGTCGTCCAGCTTAACTTCTCCACGCAGGATCTCTGGTGCGCGCCAGCCGACGGTGCCGGCGGCCACGGCTCCGTGCGCAGTCGGAAGGAAGCTCGTCTGGTCCATCTCGAGCTTCTTGCAAAGCCCAAAGTCGGAGATAAGCATCCTGTGTCCCGCGTTCTCCCCTCGTCCTGGCTTGGCGGCCGACACAAGGATGTTCTGAGGCTTGATGTCGCGGTGGACGATCTTGAGGGCGTGCAAGTGACGCAGTCCGAGGGTGATCTGGCGCAGAGCGCGCTTGGGATCGAAGGCGACGGCAATGTCACGATGCGCATCCGGACGCTCGATGAGGTCGGCGAGCGAGGCGGGGCAGAGCTCGAGCGCGATGTAGAGGAAGTTGGCATGCGCCTCTTGGTAGTAGTATCGGATCACGTTCGGGTGGTCGTCCGATTCCTGGAGTATGTTGACTTCGCGCGAGGCAAGTGTGACAAAGTCGGCGAGCATGCGCTTGACAGCAACGGCGCGGCCTTGCAATGAACCCTTGAAGACGACGGTTCCGTGCGATCCCATCCCTATAGGTCGCATATGAGCATAGAGGATAGGGAAACGCCATGTATACTCACCTAGTACCGAATCCGAAACGACCAACGTTGGCTCCGCCTGAACAGGGGGCGTCGACGTCGTGAGCAAAATTGACGATACCACGTTCTTGACAGGTTCAAGCGGGCTATCGGGCGTTGCCGTGGGTTCTGAATGCTCTACGTCCTCAGCAGGGATGACGATCGCGACGGCGCCTTTCTTCTTCTTCCCGCGCTTCCTCCGGATGCCCTTCCGCTTGCCAGGTGTGTCTGTCCCATCGCCCTCCTTCTCGGAGTCCTCACCCTCGGCAACATCGGATATAGCACCCTCCACGGGAGCTAGAGCGTCCGGTACGAAAAGGACCCTCTTCGCCGGGGTCAGCTCGGGCGACGATGTCAGCGCATCGTCAGAGGATAGCGCTGGTTCGAGGTTTCCGTTGGCCTTTTCCGAGGGTGTCGCAAGTCCCAGCTCCGCCACGGGCTTCGTGGTTTCGTCTGAGACCTCCGGAGCGGTGGGAACAGAGACTGGTGGGGACAGTGGCTGGCCGACGGGGGAGAAGAACTTGCGTACCGATACCCATACAAGGAGGATAATGGCGCAGAGGGCAAATGCAGAAAGAGCCTGAGTGTGCTTGCTCATACCAGGAAGCCTCCTTGACGTGACATCCTCTGGGGGAGATGACTCTGAGCCGTTGGACCAGCCTGGTTGACGAGGAACAGGTTCGATGACTTCCACGTCGACGGGATCCTCTCTTCTGTCGGAGTCGTTCTGTTTGAGTGGGACGGCTTCCAGCAGCCGACTCAGTCGAGACTGACTATCCGCGCCAAGCTTCTTGATCCCGGTCAGACAGCGAATGTCCATGGAACCATTCCGGCACTCTTCCCACAACTTCTGTTGCTTAGCCCGTTTCTTGATCGTCTCGAGGTCTGGGGGAACAGCGTCGTCGCCTTCGTGGAACACTTGACGAGGGGGCGCGTCGATAGAGGGTATACGCTGCAGCTTGTCTTGACTCGAGTCACTGAACACGACCAGGGGGAAACGATCAGGGCTCATGGCGAAGAGAGAGCCTGATTCTTCGAGAAGACCGACATATGCTGCGTCGAGGTTCGGTAGCATCTTGTGCCTGGCAGCGAATACTAGGTCGTCTGAAGGGAGAAGGTCTTCGAGCCGGGGCTGGGGTTGCAGAAGTACGAACGGTTGCTCGCGTTTGGAAGAGTGCAGGACATCGAAGGTGGCAATGCTACCAACAGAGCCGGGTGAGGAGATATCCATCGAAGACAGAAGGGGCCCACACACATAGGATTAGAGAACTGTTGAAACCAAAGGGGATGGGCGTTGGTAGAGGTTTCCGAGGAGTCTGGACCTGCTGCCCTGAACGAAATTATCTTGCCCGTGGGAAGTGACTGAATGTAGGTATTGTCGGCGGTATGCTGATATAGGCTTTGAAGGGTATTGTCCTGGTTATTGGGGCCGTACGTTGAGAACGAAAGTTTCTGGATGTGAGGGCGCCCGCCGGGAGACTTTGGGTCGGTGCGGATGGTAAGGTAGTAGTCTTCAAGACATTGAGTCCCTTGCAGCATATTCGAACCCAATGAGAGACACACCTGTGCGACCGATATGGATGTCTCTGACCGGAGAGGTGCTCTTCGGAGGTTTAGACCCCTCCAGCTCATCCAAGTCGATGTCCTCGTCCTCCACTGGGTCCTCGAAAGGCTGCCACGGACAGTTGGAGTCCATGGTGGCTTTGACCTTCCCGGTTTCCAATCCCATCACAAGCAGAGATGTCTCCTTCCTCCCGACGAAAACCCTATTGCCGTCGTCTCCAGTGAACCGGAATGGGGACATATCGACGAGTTGAGACATGGAGAAGGGAAGGCGCTGGAGGGGGCTAGTGGGGGAGGACATGACATAGATGTCGCCTGACTGGGGCTCGATCACATATGTCTCTCTGCGGGCATCGTCATCGTCGGTGAGGTCGGGATCCCACTCCGGAGGTTCGCTGCTGATGAGAGGACCGAAGGCGGAGGGAGTGGAGCCGGCGGACGCCATGGACCAGAGGTACGCTCCCGATGTCCTGTTGAGCGCATGGAGCTTGCCGTCGACCGATGCAACAAGCACAATGTCTAAAAGCTGAACGTCTTCATCGACGGCGGCAAAGGCACGGCTGTCCCGGATGTTGTTGACAGCGACACGAGTCGAGAGAGCTCGGCTGGGACGAAGGGTGACTTCCGCAAGACATACGGTAGCAGCGGCGACGAGGAGTGCCGCGAGGGCGACGAGCGGATTCATTCCATTCAAGGACTGAGTGAGATGAGGAGCGGCGTGGTCAAGAGAGGGAGGGAAGGTACGTAGCGGATCAGAGGAGGAGGAACATGTGTATGAAAAGCAGCCTCCCTGTCCATTCACAGCCATCCCGAGCCCGCAGCTACTGACCCTAACCCCGCGCCACTGCGTAGAAGCATCTAGGTGACTACTTCGATAGCTAATACCATCTTATCTTCCCCTCCCACTTCTTCACGAACGCATCGCAAACTGTGCCTCTGAGAGGGTCTCCAGCCAGGCGATATTCAATCCCGCAAGGTGTTTGCATGTTCCAGAATCCAGCCAATTCTGTGATTCTCTTCCGGAATCCGTCACCGCGAGACTACTCCGTTCCCCCACTAGTGTCAACCACTCCGACGTCGGCTCTTAGAATATTGACCCAGAGAAAGTCACCGTCGCCCAAAGTGTGGACCCCAGCGGCAAGACATCCAGCATCGCTCCAGGCGCTCGGACGGATCATGGCGTACTCGACCGAACGGCGGTCACAACCTTTGTCTCATCAACCACCACCATGATCACTCGGCGGACCCTCACTCTTTTGCGACGTGCACCGCTCGCCCGCGGTCTCTCATCCAGGGCGTCCGCCGTGCTCTCTGCTGTGGACATCAACCCAAGCACGGAGTTGCCTGGTGTTTATGACGGCGAGTGGACTGGGTCGGGCGAAGTGCTCAAGAGCGTGTGCCCCACAACGGGCGAGGTCCTTGCGCGTGTCACGTCGGTGAGTCTGATATACACCATCCAAAGCACGCTATTCTGAGATGCCGTTGGTCCCAGGCCACGCCCTCGGAGGTTCAGCGTGCTCTGGAACGCTCACGCGAAGCCTACCACATTCTCCGAGCTGTGCCTGCGCCCAAGCGCGGCGAAATCTTGAGACAAATCCGGGTAGCCCTTGCAGAGAAGGTATGCGCATACGCCCACCCCCTCGCTTATTTCTCATGAGTGGCTGCTTCGTAGAGAGACGACCTCGGTGCGTTGATCTCGCTGGAAATGGGCAAGATCCGGACAGAGGGCGAAGGCGAAGTGCAAGAGTTTGTGGACATTGTGAGTCCTCTCCTGCCTATATCCATGGGCATATACCCACCTCCGTGCAGGCCGACTACGCCGTCGGCCTGTCTCGTATGATGAACGGTCGCGTTGTCGCCTCAGAACGGCCTGGCCACAGCATCCTCGAAGTGCCAAACCCGCTCGGGGTCGTTGCCGTCCTCTCCGCGTTCAACTTCCCCATGGCCGTTTACGGATGGAACCTCGCCCTATCTTTCGCCGCCGGAAACGCGACGCTCTGGAAGCCGGCGCCCTCCACACTTCTTTGCGCGCTTGCGGTCACCAAGCTCATCGCGCCCATCCTCGAGCGCAACGGCATTCCCGGGGCTGCCGCCGGCCTCATCACTGGTGGCGCGGATGCAGGCTCAAGCATCGTTGAGAGCCCCTCGGTCGACCTTGTCTCCTTCACCGGCTCCGAAGCCATCGGGCGCATCGTTGGCACTAATGTACAGAACCGCTTTGGCAAAGTCCTCCTCGAGCTCGGAGGGAACAACGCGGCGGTGGTCATGCCCGACGCAGACCTCGCGATGGCCGTCCCCGCGGTGTTCTTCGGCGCGGTCGGCACAGCTGGCCAACGTTGCACGTCCACCCGCCGACTCTACCTGCACTCCACGGTCGCCGACGAGTTCCTCGCACGTCTGGAGCGCATGTATGCGGGTATCAAGCCGGGTGACCCACTCGACCGTGCAACGCTCCTCGGGCCGCTACACTCGCGCGCAGCGATGGACATGTATGACGGTGCGATCGCGCACCTGCGCGAGACGGGCGCGGAGATCCGCGCTGGCGGTGCGGCGTACGCGGGCCTCGCGAAGCCGCTCGACGGCGGGAACTTCGTGACACCCACGATCGCAGTCCCGCGGGGCGTGGACATCAAGGACAAGACGTGGAGCACGGAGACGTTTGCGCCCATTCTGAAAGTGGGCGTTTTCGACGAGATTGAACAGGCGATCGAGTGGAACAACGGCGTCCCCCAGGTGCCTATGGCTTCAGCCCATCCACTGAACGCACGCTGACTAGTCTCCAGGGCCTGAGCAGTAGCCTTTGGACGCGCGACATGCGCAACGTCGGCAAGTGGATCGGCCCCGCTGGCTCTGACTGTGGTATTGTGAACGTGCGTCATCCATACTATCCCCCGGACGTCCCCCCGATCTCACTCACCCCCACAGGTCAACGTTGGCACGAGCGGCGCCGAGATTGGTGCTGCTTTCGGCGGGAACAAGACCACAGGCTGGGGCCGCGAATCTGGCGGCGACGCGTGGAAGCAGTACGTCCGTTGGAGCGCGTGCACGCTCAACTTCTCGGACGAAGCGCCGCTCGCGCAGGGCGTGCAATTCTCCAACACCGCGTGAGCGCCGGGAGCGCGTGTTATGTTGGCATTGGAGGGGGGTCGAGCCATGTATAGTACTCACTTTTACTTGCGAGTGTCGCTGTGCACGCGTTGTTTGCCGCACGATGTCATCGCGCCTCATGCGTATACTTGGTATGTACATGGAGGTGGTGTGAGGAGGGCATCGAGAAGAAGATCATCGCTAACATGAGGAACTCTTGCAATCCCGTTGCCAATTCACTCCCGCATTTCTCAGACCCACTACCGTCTCAGCTCAGGCATTAGACCGAAGCGTTTATGAGCTCTCTGAGTACAACACAAAGGTGGCTAGCTGGATTCAAGACACGAAAATCCTGCGTGTTTTTGCGTCCTACCCCGAAGAGCCGCTTACTGAGGTGATCGCACTCAAGGACGACCTGGAGCTGGTCCGGTTTGTAAGTTCTCCTTCAGCTGCGACAATCCAGACCTGAATTCCGAACACTTCCTTGATTTCCGCACAGTTGCGATCATTCACCCCGTCCCCCACTCCCATGAGCCCCTCGAAACGGGCGTCCTCCACTCATTCCCAACCTCACATCACGTTTCCGACACCATACAACCCCTGCAGGTGTCTCAAACCTTTCACACCCGGCGTGTCCGCGCCCCAGCGCGCCCGCCGTCCCCTTCGCCCTCACACGCGGGGAGGTCCACGCCAGGTTGACGGTCGACGCGATGGCGGAGATTATCCAGGGGAAAAGCGCCGAACTCGCGACCCCGGTGCTGCGCACACACGAGCGCTGGCGGGATATCGGCTGCAGGACTCGAGTGGCTCCCGGGGCCGAAGCTCGATTTCTCTCCATCGGCCGTGGTTGGTACACCCCTTCAGGATGCGTCGCTGTATAGCTTGACTTGTTTCGCACATATGAGAGGCTAAGCCAGGCCAGTATCCATGAAGTTTGGCGGTACGAACGTCACATCGACGCACACTATTGGATGCCCCCAGCCAACGCCTGGACCGTCCCCTTCGTCGAGTTGGACGACGCACGCTGCCGCTCGACGCAAACGAGGTATGCCATGAGCACCGCGTCAAGGATTGGCACGACCTCAGGTTCGTACTCGATGCGCCGCGGTCCCTTCTTGGCGGTCGCGACCGTGCGCCCAGACTCTCCATCCACGAGCTGCGCTTGACAATGTTGGTGTGTGAGCGGCACAAAAGGTCAAGGCGGCTGCACACCTTCAAAGACGTGGAGAACATATGCTCTTTCCACGCATACGTGCGCCCGTCTGGCGCGCGGAACGTGCGCGCGCTGCTCGTACCCGCGAGATTGAGCGCCGCGTCTACGTCGCTATAGGTCGACGCACCTGGTGAATCCGGAGCTGAGCGACAGCCACTCGAGCAGCCGCACAGGCGCGCCCCCGCGTATCGAGACGCGGTCGGGCTCGCGCGCCCACTTGCGTGTCCAGACGCCGACCTCCTTCCCTCCCGCGTTCCGGATGACGGTGGCGAGGCGCGGGTGAGGCTGCGCGTCCTTGTCGTAGACCGTCTTGATCTCGTACTGGGGGTCGATGGACGAGTCCCCGCGGACTTTGGCGTTCGCGAGATCCGAGGTGGAGAACATAAGACAGTGCGACATGTTCTGGTCTTGATGTTCGAGAGGTGAGGGAGTGCAGTGTAAGTAGCTAGATGCGTGAGGGCACCTGGGTTGTGACTTCGCTCGGAAGGCCTTCTAGTACCACTGGTGCATGCGCCATCATTTAGCTTGACAGGTATACTTGCCCCGACAGGACGGTGATGAGTGGGACGGCCATGCTGCCAAGGCCGCAGCTAGGGTTTGACAACTAGACCCGCATCTGATTCCAGGTTGATTGCACATTCAGAGACATCTCAGCTGAACTGGCTGGTCAGCTGGATAGTACCTCGCAGGAAAAATATACATAAACTTACCCAGGTTTCCCCCGATACAGGTGAAATGAGTGTTTGTGCGCGGGGTGGTCTGTGCATCGTGCATCGTGGTAGCGGATCAAACATTCAAGCGCTCGTTCGGACCTCTTGCCACCTTTTACTCTTGGCACATATCGCTCGTCTACCTCCCTTTGTCCACCAAGACTACTTGATGAGGGTCTCTGCGCATCCTCTTAGATCGGGAGGCTGATATATGCACTCAAAGGTATGTCGCTTAGGCGACCAAGACTACACCGACTCGCCATTAACCCCGAATGTACAATACAGCGGTATGATACACAATTCCAATCGCCGGAAGTGCCGCAAGCTCTCGAGCAGGGATACAGGGATATGTACAGGTCCACAAGTCATATCGTACAGTCCTCTCAATCTCGCGGCCGGTGTCACGCCCTCAAAACACGATCGACGGCGAGCCCACCCCGACCCCCGACGTCGACGCGCTGGCGTTGTACGCCTGCTCGCGCCGGAGCTGGTCGAGGATCACGACGGAGAGGACGATCGCTTCTAGCATGGGCACGCCCTCGTCCGTGATGCTCACCGTCATCCGCCGCGGCGACGACATCGCGAAGAGCCCGGTCCCAAAGCGTGCCGCGCGGACCTCGGCGACGACGCGCGCGGTGGCGGGTCCGATGAGCTGCATGGCGTGCGGAAAAGGATGGGAGGAGGAAGAGACGAGGGGAAACAGGTGAGTCCTAGTACTTATTTCAGGCCACTCCCAGACCCTCGCTCACGCCGGCATAGGCCTTCCGGTCGTAGCGAGAGCAGGACAAGTCGAACTAGACGAAGGTAGTACACACCTTCAACGTCTTTTCCCCAAACCCGATGCCCCCCGGTTGCTTCCAGTTGTACCTCTCCCCGTTCGGGCCCACCAGCATCCTCGTCCTGCGCGCGCGCAAGTCCCGTCCCCACCATAGCCACGATTCAGCGTACGTTCCTGCGCATAGACCACAGACCGCACGAGCACTCACGTGGACACCACGCTCTTCCGCGGCAGCCAGTCCCCGAGGACGTGCATCCTGTCGTGGAACACGATCCGGTCGCGCTCGCGCTGGTGCGTGCGCTCCCAGACGGCGACGACCGCGCCCCGCGGGTCGCGCACCGTCGTCGTCGTCCGCACGTCCGCCTTGCCCGCGCTCGCGGCCCCCTTCTCGGCCGTGGGGCGGCCGTGCGTGGTGGAGATGTCGAACAGGTGCGCGCCGTGGGTGAGGTCGACGACGGCGCTGTTCATCGGGTTATCGGAGAGGAAGGATATCTCCATGCTTGCGGGAAATGGAAGAAGAAGAATATGAAGTCCAGCGAGAAGGATGAGCGTAGGGGATTCGCGAGTTCGCGTGGGTCGTGCGGAGGGAGCTCGGCCGTCCCGGCGAGTGGGGCTCTCCTGCATTTTGTTCACGCGCCCTAGTCGAGAACTCGGGCCGATGCGAGCGGAGACGCAGCGTTTGGGGCGGCTTTACGTTGAAGTGCTCCACGCTGCGCGTTCACTTGAACGCTCCTCCCGCTCTGTATAGTGCAGAACGCAATGTCTGATCCGAGTTCCCGTCTGACTGCAGCCTACAGATATCCTCCCGAAAGTACTACAATTCCTATCAAACCCACCGAAACATCCGCATCGAAAGCGACAGGCGCGTTCATATACCGACATCCCGGACACGGCCTAAACTACGCAGTTGTGCTGCCACCTACAGCCGCAGCAGCGTACGCAGTCCGTCTGCGCCTCTCCTCACAGATGATGAACGAGAACATCACCTCGTCAAGGAACGGAGCCAGCTCGGGCTCGAGGTCGACGCTCAGCTGCTGATCGCGGTGGGCGCGATGCGCCTTCGCCACGGTCCGGCCGGTGTCCGTCGCTACAAGCTTCGTGCGGCGCGGACGCAGCGCGTCAGTTTGAACCCGGGGTGGGGGGAGTCTACTCAGATGGCGCGCACCTTGAGAGCGGCCGCGCCGGACCTTCGTCTCCACTCGTACGCCTTCCCGTTCGGGGCGGAGAATCGGCGCGACCTGTCCATGCGCAGGCGTCGAAGGTGAGCGCCGCTTCGCTGCGCGTTCAGGTCGACGTCGGCTCACCGAGACGCGAACGCCCCGCAGTGCGGCAGCCACTCGGACAGCGGGTGCGTCTCCCCGTGGAACGTGACCGTGTCCCGCCCCCACCGCCGCTCGTACATGCCGACGACCTCCTGCCGGGGGTTGTACAGCGTCGTGGTCCGCGCTCCGAACTTGAAGGGGGTCGTGGTCTCGAAGAGGGTCTCGCCCGTCGCGGTGTCGACGATGAGCGAGTTGAACGGGCTGGTGGAGGAGAAACTGAGGTTGGTCGTCATGCGTAGAGGAGAAGAGGTGGGGGCACGGAGCAGGACGTCGAGCATGAACGGCGAGGATGGCACGACCTCTTTGTGGGCAAAAATAGGCGGGCGTGTATGCCTGCGCGGGGCTGTGTAGGCAAGGAAGCTCGCAATGTCAGCCGTGGAGGCGGGCTCGGGACTCGTGCGGTCGCGAGGATGCGCCGCGCGCGTCGGGACTCTGCGCGTCCTCGGGGCGGCTGAGCGGTCCGGGTCGGGGTGGGGGAGACGGTCGTCTCGGTGATGGTTAGGCATGGAGCAGGAGGCGCTCGTTGGATCGGTTGGAGGGTGTCGATCGGTGCCCTCCCGTTCCCAGACATACTACTGGTGGGGGATAGCGCTCGCAATTGCGATTCTCTTCCGGTCAGCCTGAAGATCCTATCCAACTGCGAAATTTTTCGGCTGGAGAATTGACGCAAGTCCACGGAAATTTAGCTGAACTTTTTCACATGTCTGCAGTAAGGTTATCTTTCAAGGGTCGCCGTCTGTTCTGAAATCGCAAACCTGGTAGGGTGAATAGTACACAAAGGTAAGTGCATTATCGTATCTAATTTATCTCCTCGCCTTCGTCAAGGTCGGTACATGGATCCTTGTTCGGTACGCCCAAACATCCGTACATCCAATAGCCCCGCACGTGGCTAAGGTCGCTCTGCCCGCGCGGGTGGAGGACGGGGTCCATAGGGGCGCCATCCTTCGACGGCGCTCTTCGTGTCGACGCAAGAGCCCCGGCGCTGGGCTCCGTCCGAAGCCCGTTCAGATGAGCCTCCTGCAGAGCCACCTTCCGCTTCTTCCTGCTCTGCGTCTCGGTGACCTTGGTGCCAACCTTGGGCGGTGGCCTCCGCGGCGAGACCCAGTTTGTAGGGACACGATCGTGCTTCTGACTGCGGTCGGTGGACGCGATTCGCTTCGCGTCGCTGATCTCCCCTACGAAAAACCCGTGGAAAGTCATGTTCTGTGCCAAGAGACGCTCGGTAGTGGAAGGCCCCTGGTCGGCACCTTTGCGCGTTGATAAGCCACGCCGCAGCTACCAAGGAGCAGCAGCGTCGTCGGAGTCGTCACTGCCGTCGTCGTCGCGGTCGCCGCTCCTAGCCGCCGTCATCGCAGAGTTCTTGGACTCGATGCGGCGCGCTTCGTCGAACTTCTGCACGGCGTAGTGCCAGAACAAGGACTTGAGAACGTCATGGATGAGCATGTTGAGCCCTGCGGAGCCAAACTCCAGTTTGTCGTCGTTTGGCCCCACAAGTTCTCCGTTGACGAGAGTGTTGTGCTTGAATCTGCTGCAGACCCACTCGAAGGGCGGACCTTGCGATACACGTCGAAGAACTCGTCGAGGAACAGAGCAACCTCCTCGTCGCTGAGGGTGGACGGCAGGTATCGCACGGCGTGGTAGAGGAGGACGTGCCAGACGGACTCGAGCTCTTCAGGTATTCCCGCGCGTTGACGAGAGTTCGCTCTCAGCAGGCTGACCGCCTGGAATTGCCACGTTCCCTGAGACGCGACTCAGAAAACAAGGCGCATAGAAAGACTGGACACTCGGCCACCCACTGTCCTCTCTGACTGCCTTGGTTTCTCATCTTCGACGATGGGCTTTGACATTTCCCAGTCGGCGAGCAGACCGCGCCATCGGAGGCGAAGGGATGACATTTTGACAATCACCCTGGGATAGATGAGGATGTTGCCCGAGCTGATGTCGCGATGGAGGATTTTTTCAGGTAGCTTCTGGCCACTTGAGGCCTCTCCGTGAGCTGCATTGATAGATGTATAAGAGGACTACTCCCAGGCAACCAAACGAGAGTACTCACCAACAAGAACGTCGCTAAGGATGGTGAGAAGCTGATGCTCGTGCTCGAACTCAAAGGCATCGCAACCTCGCGAACCACCATACGATAATGTTGGTATTCACGGAAAGGGCAGGGCATAGGAAGCTCCCCGATGGACAGTTCGACGTCGTTGTGCTTGATACAATCCTCGGCGGCGTCCTCTTCATTGTCTTCCTCCCGCTTTCGCTTCGAGCTGTTCGAGCCCCGGTGAACCCCCTCCTCGACGAGTGTGCCTTCCGACGAGGCGGTAGAAGAGCGGTGGGAACGGGGAAGGGAGGGGAGGTTTTTCGTCTTCCGTGAGGACCACCACTGAGACGTCAAGGTCGAGAACGTCGCCGTGGCACAGCAAGGTGGGCACGTTCGGGGCGCCGGCGCCGTTAAGAGTTCCGAGGATATCGCCTTCGCAGTCAACGAGGGCGTACACCGCCCGCCACGAGTCCTTGAGCCACACGAAGACATCACCCTCAACCCAGTATGCGACGTATCCCCGGGTACCGCGGCCAGCGAGACCTTTAGCGATGAAGTGGGGCTTCGCGATCCAAAACTTGAACGTCTTGCCTCCTTCAACGATCTCGACCTCGTGGCGGGGCCACCCCTCGACAAGGGAGTCGGCGAACATCTTGCGCACGTACACGAACTCCCCATGGATTCCGTGACCCTCGTTTAGCTCGTTTGCCTCGACGTCCCGCTCGTTGTGGTTGACATCGCTATCTCGGGGGTCCGCGAGCTCGTTCATGCGGCTGTAGGCTTCAGTGTCGGGAAGGAGGCGTTTAGCAGTGGGGTCGAAACCGAGCTGGTCGGACTCCCTCGCGCACCGTCCGATGCCGCTCCCAGTCGTCGTAGTAGTCGATAAGCTTCGTCGCGATCGCGCCGGATCGCTCCCAGCAAACGAACCGGCACTGGCGTCCAATGACGAAGAGAGTGAAGACGGCGTGACGCTGCTGCACCGCGAGGAGGAGTTCGGCGTACGAGATGAGCTGCCCGCGGACCTTCTTGCGTGAAGCAGCTTCTGCGAACCCCTCCACGTCGTCGGCATCGTCGAAGGCGTCGTACTTGGAGTTTTCCACTGCACTCTTGAACTCGACGGAGATGATCTGATCGCCCCAGTGCGGTCTGTCATCCGTGGGAGTGGAGTGAGAATGAAAGAAAGCGGCGTCGCTCTTCTGCCCGGTTGGATCGATTGCGACCTCGTCGGGTCTGTTAGACGTTATGACCATCTTCAAGCCAGGGACGAGGTTGCTGTCGTTGACGGCGTTCGTCTAGGTGATACATCCATGAGTCCAAAACGCTCAGTGCGACGAAACTAATTGTGGACTCACAAATGACTTTTGAAGGGCTTCCTCTGACATAAATTTGGCATGTTCCAACGACGCGAAAGGGTTCCTTCGGAGAGGAGGGGGGACGACACCACCGAGCAGGGGGAGATCAGGGAAGAAATGTCTGCAAAACTTTATTGGATCGCAAACGACGGCCTTGTGCGCCATGTCTTCGACAATGTCGGAGGAATCGCGGCTGGTTCGTGCACGTTCCCGTCAAGCGCCGGTGACTGAGTGGCGTGGGGACCATTGGCGCCACCGAATATCCTCATCTACATGGCAAAGCACCATTCACGCCTCTTCCTCCGATTTCAACATGGTCGACGCGCTGCTTCCCCGAGAGACATCCACAGACGCACACATGAAACAGCAGAGTGTAGAAACGGAAGAAGATTGGGGGGACAAGTACGGCATCAACCCTCCGAAGTGGCTCAACGAGCATCCAGCCATAGTTCGGCGAGGTGTTGTCGTCGACCAACTGCTAAGACATGTGAGCCAATTGAACGGACCTCTTTGTTTCATAAATTCTAAGATGTATACATTCACTAGTTTCATGTGTACCAGACTGCGTGGTTCGTCGATCCTGGGATCATCGTCAAAATCCCTCGACCAGACACACACGAGATATCGTTCTATCGAGAGCTCCAGAAAGACCCCGAATCCAGGAATTACATCATGCCATGCGAGATCGTTGATGACGAGAAACACCCGCTCATGATATTTCCCATTGTCTCTGTGATCTACGCCCAGCAGCACGCGTTTCGGTGGCCATGGAGCCGAGTGCTCAAGTACTATGACGATATGCTCCAGGTGAGGACGCTGGCTTCGCTTCCGATGCGTTTTCAATAATATTTCACAGACAGTTACATTCCTCCATCACAGGCGCATCGCCCACATGGTTCGTGCGAGACTTTGTCAACAACGTAGGGCACGTTGACCGAATGTCCACAGGATATCGCAATGGACAACTTTCTCTTCTCCGACAAGGACGAGGTGCTGTTTGGACAGCAGATGCATGCAGATCGACCCTACATCATTGATTTTGAGCGCTCTCGTCAGCTTCCTCTCGGCCCTGGCCTTCAGCCTCCCATCGACTTACCGCCCTCCATTATACCGAAACCCGGTGGCATCATTCGGCGAGACCCGTACTCTTGGGACATGTACTGTCTTGGGTGGAGCTTTTATCACGTTTATGAGGTGAATCTTTATCGCGCAAAGTCACGTACGGCATTCACGAAACGATTCACAGTGCCGACTCCGTCCGGGCGAAGTGGCTCCGAGGCTCGTAACGTGGTATTTCGAGTGGGTAAGGGGGAAGGCGGACTGCCCTTGTCCAAAGATATGCTCTTGTCGACCAGATGCACATCGAGCGCGCTACGTGCTCTTTGGAGTCAGGTTTCTCGTCCACCTCCTCGAGTTAACGGACGGAATATTCTGTTATACGGCACGCCTCTTCAGGGCCTAATGTCATGGAAACCGCAGCCATAAACTCATGTTGGTCTGAACAATGGGCCGGTGTCGACCAATCGCAGGGGCTCTTTGTTCACTCGAATGGGTGATTCTGCACGTGCACCCGGCGCACCCATGGTGCACGCCACCAGCCGCCTGCATCCATTCGCGCGACGAGGTTCCGCTGGATCTTGTTCTCTTCAACCACCACCGCCACCACCACTGCAGGTGCGCTCTTTCCTCTCAATTCTTCAAATTGACACTCACGAAACCGAACAGCTCCCATGGCCGACCTCAAGCGATCGCGCTTGCAAGCTGTGCTTGACCACCTTCCACAGATCGCGGACGACTTCTTCAGTTGCTCCGCACCTGCACCTGGCACGGGCGTCGTCTACGTGCCCAGCGGCGGCTTCGACATCCAGATCCATAAGTCCGACCCCACCTTAGTGGTCGGCCTAGGCCCCGCCATCTCGTTCAGGATCTTCATCGGCTGGCCACCCTCTGACAGGCAGGGCGCGGTGACAGTGTGGCTCTATCATCCGAGCCGGGACAACGCCACCAACAAGCTCGCGGTCGAGACTGGGATCCAGGGAATCAGGGACTCGTTCAACAGGCTTCTGACGAACGTGGACGCCAGGAGGCCTCACGTCCTGCTGTGACTGCAGGTGAGTCCGTCGGCATCGTCATGCGGATGACGCTGCGTGTGCTCATCTGTACGCGTGTTTCAGATCCGCTCTCCTGTGCAACATCTTTCGTGTGTTCCACTCTTACCCCCCTTTTTTCTCCTGGACGCTGCTGCGCCAGTTGTTGCCACTAACGTTCGCCGCTGTCAGATGGGGCACGTACAACGTTGTACGCACTGTCGGTTCGTGCAATATACACCCCCAGTGTCGCGGATCCTCCAGTGTATGTGGATGATGTCGTTTCCCATTGTCTCCACGTGCTCTCGTCATACCTATGCTCACACATTAGCAAATGAAAAAGCATAAACCCGCGGTACTCGTGCGTGAACGAGTCTGCGAGCAGCGCTGGCGGAATTCATGCTTGTGCGGTGCTGACAAGTTGAGTTTTCTGCTATACGTACGACGTCTAGTCCGTAAATAGAACCACATGCAAATTCCGAGGATTCCAATCATCCCCGGTGAAATTTCGCTGGTTCAACCACCACACTTGTGGTTGTGTCGCTAAAAAGTCTCCCGCAGGGCCCGGCCAGGGTTACCAAGCAGCGAGATCACCAAGCGTGACGCAGAAACAAGGTGGATGATTGCATGGTGTACTATCGTAAGGTGGTGTGGTGCACCTTCCAGTCGCCAACGGCTAGCCACTAGGCGCCCGCTGAAGAGGCATACACCGGCCAGAGGCTCTCACTTCCTGTGCACAACTCGAGCGCATATGCGTAGCAACTGTACAGGTGGACGAAAGGCAAGATCGGACACTACCGGTCGATCTTGGAGCGCTGAGCGAAGGGAGACGCACACAATAAAGGAGAATCGACGAGTACAATTGCAATACGAGTAGCATGCATGAGATAGTGATACAATGCCCCACAGCTGCCTCGACGTTTTGACTTTGACTAGAGCCGAGACACCACACTCCCCGGACCGGAGGCGCGCAACGCAGGGGCGAAGCGACTCGGTGACATGACCCTCCACAAAACATCGGAGAGAGTGGCATACTCGTCCATATCGCACCTCCACATGGAGTGGCATGACGTTCTTATTTTGCGAACCTGGAAGCCGTGTTGGCGGTTACTCTGCGAAAGTGGAGATCAGAGACCGAGCTCGGGGCGAGAGGAGAAAGGGAAACGCACTGGAACGAGCCCGCATCTTTCTGCGCTTGCGACGGAGTCTCCGAGACCTCTTTTTCTTCCACTTCTCTCTCATTCTGTGCGATTAGGTGAGCTCGAGACCGGGAACGAAGGCGCAATGGGGACGTACTCGTGTGATAATGGAGTGGTTTGGGGAAGCGCCACTGCGAGGGGCGCGGGTTATGGATGGCTGAGGTGCTGTACAGTTCTGCTGATGTAACACTCTCACGGCTCTTCCCGCCTCCCAGGCGCCAACACACACCATGACACGTCCACGCGCATGTCAAAACGACATGTCCCTGCTGTCCTCCATGCCGAGCTCTCCGAGTACTCTGCGCTCCTGCGCGCCTTGCGGACCAGCGACACCCTCGACTTGACCTCTCAGCTATTACGACCACCTCCGGATCAATCGTCTCAGCCCCCGGACGCCGACGATGCACCTTTGAGCGATGATGACAGCGCGCACCCAGGACCCCCTCCCACCGAGTCGACTTCGCAACATGTTACAGATTTACCATCCCCTGCACCATCTCGTTCCCAGTCTCGCTCTCGCAGTCGGTCACGCCCTCCTTCAGCCAAAGGCAAAAGCAAGGAAAGAGACCTCTGGACACGATGGCCTCTCCTCGCCGGCGACGTCCACGTTCCTGAATGGGGCCTCATCGACGAAGTCAAGCATGCGGTCGAGCAAGTTCTGAAGTCTTCCCACTCTCCTACAACTTCACATACCTCATCGACCGCCCCCGCCGCTGACATCGACGAGAACGCTTCCCCCACACTGGACGACATACCTCTCCCGGACGACGATTATCCTACCTTGTCTCAGGCCGGCCTGCAAGCCCTCACCGTCGACGCAGCTGCCGTCTTGACTCGTATTCTAGGCTTGCTGTCCGCCCACGTCCCCATCGCAGAGAAAAGCTTGCAGAATCGCATTCGCCCGATGAACTGGGAGACCGTGATCGATGTCGCTTCCACCAACGGTGCCGTGTCAGCGAGGTTTGTGTTCTGAGCTGTAGCGTGGTGTTAACATACTGACTTCTATCCAGGCTTACTGAAGCTGTACGCGCTCGCATGTCGAATCTCTACGGACCTGCGACATCCAATGGTGAGCTGGATCATGTTCACTCGCAACACGCCCTGATAAGGTTCTCCTCTCAGCTCTTCATCGTGTATCGCATACCAACGCGATCCAGCGGAGTCTTTCTATGGCTCTGCGTAAGCATGATGATAATCTACTGGCCCTCCCATCTCGGTACCTCCAGAAGCCTGTCCGACAAAATCGTATGCTGCCCGTGGCCTTTGTCTTGACCCCGCATGCGACTTACTACTATATTTCAGGTATAGGTAAAGGGAGGCGAGCCTCACGGAAACGTAGCATATCACTGTCAGACTCGGACGACGAGGCGGCCGAGATCCCCTCCAAGCGACAACGAATAGAGGACGACTAGCGAACGATCACCCCGACATCACCCGATCGTTGCATACGACCATCAAGTGTCAACACGTCGTCGTCGGAGCACATGCCCTTTGCGCGTGTATATGTGCGACTAGTAGTGGCCATGATCCTGACGTCGCATCCTGTCCAGGTGAGTTGCGGGTATCTCTCGGGTCGCACTTTCCCCCAATCTTCGTTATGATGTTTGAGGCATTTGGCTTTAGCAAGGTGTTCCCTTGCGTTGCAGAAACCTATCTCAGCTACCTTCGGGCGGTCTACTTTGGTAGATTAGCTCGCTTCATCTGAACACTCTTTCTTTATGTCTGCATCGCTTCTCGCATGACACTTACAACACCTTGTAGGTTCATGCCGTGATAGGAACACGATTTGTCTTTGACCCGGTGGTCTCCGGGTCATGCGACCCCGTATCACGCACAGGATGATATTCATGATTTTACGCGCGTGAGATGACCTGATGCGCAGACGGAACCAGCGTGGCGGTCAGGACATAGTACAGGGGAACTTGTCGTTTTGTAGGTCTTCGGTGGTCTTCGGTTCGGTACTTCCTGGCAATACATCGTCCGATATCAGGCTTCTCCACTTTTACACATCCCGTCGAGTGTCAAAAATCAGCACACACCTGTACGATGTGCGTCCTGGAACGGCGCAGCGCCCGCTATCGCTAGGCACTGGATAAGCGGGCGTGGCATGTATGATGCCTCGGCGTCAGGTTGGTGTACAGGTGCGTTCTCGTCTCGCTCGTCTCGCTCCGGTGGCGATTGTATACAGATAGTACACGGTCTCACTCGGCCAACCTTGTTAGTGCAGGGAACTAGGAAGGGCAGAAGGTCACGAAGCGCATCTGCGCAGCCGGAGAGAGGGAGAGGAAAGCGGGAAGCCAGACCGGCCCGATGGAGCGGCCGTGATCCCATCGAGACCGAGGGGAACTCGTTTGCAGATCCCCGTGCGAAAAGCGGGTCCGGCACGCCAACGAACCAATCGGCAGCTGGGCGCGGGCTTGGGCGGAACTCGACACGACGATGAAGAGGGCCGAGGCGGTTCGCGCGTGATGCAGCGATGGCGGAATGCCAAGTGGGCGGGAGCAAGGGAACGGACGCGGGGCCGTCGGCGAGGTCCGTCTCCTGGGCGTCGAGAAGCGGTCGCGGCTCGAGCGCACGAGGGCGTCGAACGAAGCAGGGGTTACTTGTGTACTTGAAGGACGTAGCAACAAGCTGCAAGGCGTGGAAGGCGGGCGGCGCGCACACCGCCTGACGTCCGTGTCAACAGTTGTTGGGAACCTCGTGCGCGAGCTGGCGACCTGAGGCAGGGCACACATGGCGAGACGCGCAGAACGGAGACAGCTGCTCAGTTGCAGCTGCTTGAGGTCAGGCGTGTTTCGAAACATCACACATGGTACTAGTACATTCGACACTCTTCTGGGCATGTCCCGGGAGTACTTACCGGGGACTGGGATCTGCTTGGGTACGAATTCTACCTGAACCAGCTAACTGAGCCAAGCACTGCAAAACACGCCCAATAACCGAGATGACCTTAGCTGTATACGGCTCCGGGGGGTCTGCGTTTGATGCTGGCATCGGCACGATGCCTCTCGCCGTCCTGCTCGCGGACGTTGTGCACGGCACACTCGCTGAGAAAGGCGGCGGCGGGGATGCGGAGCCTCGCACGCTCGTCGCCCATGGCGGGATGCCGTAATGCCCCGATATGGGCAGGACGCCAACAGCGGACGCGGAGGCGGCGCAGACGCCAGCGATGATGGTCGCGCTGATGGCCATGACCACCGTCATACTATTTCCTCCCTCCCTCCGCTCTCCTCCTCGCCCTCCTCCTCCACCGCCGCACGCGCCGTCCTCGCCCGACGCGCCCCCTCCCCTCCCTCCGTCGCATGCGCCCGCTTGGCTGCCGCCCTAATGTTCACGAACGTCTTTAACCGCACGAAGGCGACGACGAACAAGCAGACGAAAAAGTTCTCGACCATCGCTGCCGGCATCCGCCGCCCCGCCTCCCCGCCCTCGCCCGCCTCGTTCGTCTCCCCAGAGATCGTAGAGATCAACGAGAAAGGCCCCTTCGGCGCGACGGTCCCCGACCGCCCGCGCCCGTCGCACAGCTCCGACGCTCCCGCGGCGACGCCCGCTCCGTCCTCCGCGGCCTCGCCCCAGCTCTCGCTCGACTTTGGCGACGACAGCTCCTCGCTCTCCGAATGGCTCCCGCCGAGCATCGCGGCCATTGCGGGCACGATCACCCCGCCGACGCGAAACGTATCGCTGCCCGGCGGGCGCGCCCTGCCGGAAGTGCCCGGCCCATCGACGAGAGGACGGGGTAGTCCGGAGGATGCTGGGAGGGACAGCCAGGAGACGATTGAGGTGCGTGGTGGTGTCCTTGTATGCGCCCGACGTTGCCGGCTAAGTGGTCCTCTGCCCTCAGCACAATCATTTATACGTCAATACGTCCGTCTATCGCTCGAGAGGCTCGTTCGACGATGGACACGACAATGTGAGTACATGCATGTCCCCGTCCTCGTCGCGGACTTTCTCTGGACCGAGCTTCGAAAACCTCCGACCTCTCGGTCTCCTCGGGCGCTTTTGCTGTTCTGGGTCGCTCGGCAATGCGTTGTTCATCACTGTGTTTGGTGTCTCAGCTGTGAGAGCTGCTTTGAGAGCATCCCGTCTTGCTGATGAGAGACGGCGTGCTCTTCATAGCTATCACGGCGACCCACGCGGGCGCCCCGCTCTTAAGCCTGCGCAAGCGATGCTCTTGGACGGTGGATGTGTGGAAGCACACCCCACTGAGCAACTTTCGACTTCCATCCGTGGGAACTGCTTGTATTGCAGCAACTTCTGCGTTTTCTCGGGATCTGCGCGTGCTTCGCAAATGCGACGTATACAAGGATTTGACGGTCTTGCTCGAGATACCATTTCTGACTTGTGTGTTGTCCACAGAGCGCAATTCATTCGCGGAAACCTACCCCTTCCCCCATCAAGATACCTAACAATGTCACTAGCTCCAAGATTGGAGTGCATCGGTCTGCCTCCGACAACGGGAATCTAAGCGCAGACGTCCCGCCCCCGCTCCCCACGAAAGGCACCAGTCCACCCAGTCCGACGTCAGCCATCACGGAAGACTTGATGTCGTCCGCGATATCGGGGACGAGTCTGGCGCGTGCGCTGGTATCGTCATCTTTCACCCTCAACGAGTCAAGGGCGTCGAAGTACAAGTCGGGGATGACGCGGCAGGATTCGGCAACGCTGCCGCGGGGTGAGCATCCACTCAATTTCTCCCCACATCTGCGTGAACGTCGGGCAAGCGACGGTTCTCCCATTCATGGCCGGCCAACATCGATTCCTCCTGTGCCTCGATTGCCGTCGGGTATCGACGGTTCTCCGTTGAGCAAGCGGAATTCGGTCACTCTGGTGCTGGAGGAAAACGGGAACAACAACAACCAGCTGTCTCCTCCACCGGAGCTGAAGCGATCGCGAAGCACTGGCAGGCTCAGAGACACGATAATGAGCCAACCTCCTATCTCACCGATCTCTGAAGCGTCGTCGCCGGCACCCTCCGTACCAAACACGCCGGTGTTCCTGGGTCACCCCAACATCACCTCGGTGAACGGCTCAAATCGCTCGCTTCCGTCCGTTAGCCAGCGCAGCTTGAGCAGCATGGACGCCAACACAAGCTCGTCCTCGCTGGTCACCGACGCCTCCCATCACCCACGCGCAGCGACTGAACCGGCGAACGCACGGAGACCATCCAACGCTCTTCCACCCAAGGACGCTCGCTCCCTTGCACCCAACGGCGCGATGCCCGGCACGATGCGCTCATCAGGCGCGTTCTCTATGCAGAACGGTCGCCACACGGCTGCCCGCGGTCTCTCCGAGACAGGTGGACCGCGCGGACCTACATCGACACCCAACCGTCCCGCCGTCCTCCTCCCCATCGGCGAGCGTCCTGCATCAGTTATTGTGGCGCCATCACCCCTACCCAACGCAAGCACACCCACTTCGGCGCGCTTCGGCGCGACCGCCGACACCCCCATGGAATCTCCCGACTTGCTCGACAGCTTCCCGGTGCAGATCGCGCGGGCGACAGGACCGCCTCCCCCGCTCCCTCTCGGTCGACGATCAGAAGACAGCGGCTCGATGCCGACGCCGAGCCATAGCTCGAGTGGGGAGTCGATGTTTTCGACGGACCGCCAAACGTTCCCCGAGACGCCGAACGCGTTCTCCCCGTGGTCTGCCGGCTTCCCGACCCCTGCGGGCGTCGCACGGGCCGACTCGACCGCGACCGTGCGTCCCCCTCGCGGAAGCGTGGCTACGCGTGCGCTGGGGGTCATGGACCTCGTCCGCCGCGGCGCGCCGCCGTCAAGACTGTCCGGGAGCGTGTACTCGAAGCCGAGCCCCTCGCGCTCGTCTCGCGTGCCACCCACGCCGCCTCTCACTGGGGACAGCGTCATGAATAACGGATCGGGATCCGTGCCCGGGAGCCCTCAAGCCGCGACTATGCAGACTGGCGACGCTCCGCTGCCATCACCCGCGCTGAAGCGGTTGACGGCGATCGAAGAGCAGGCGGCCTCGCGCGCGGTATCGACCTACTCGACACTGCCAGAACCGCCCACCAGCGGGACGATGTACACGACGTTCGCGACACAGATGCAGCCACCGCAACCGGCACCGCTTGTGGCCCCTCAGCCGTTCGCGGGTCCGTTGGGACCCAGGCAACGGTCCGGATCGCTGGCCCAACAGAAGCCGCATTCTCGCGATGGTAGCAGCCACAACTCGCCCTCCGGTCTGAGTTCCGAAGCTCACTCTCAGGCGAACGGTTCCACCGCCAGTTCCGCGGAACGCAAGGCCGCAGAAGCGACGAGCCATCGTAGGATGCGATCCGTCACGAACCCTGATGAGCCTTTGGCGTCTCCACCGCCGTCATATCCCGCGACCTTCGACCCGCCTCCGATCGCTCCGCTCATGCTCCCCGCTCGCACGAGCCCAGTCCCTGCAGAGCCCTCTCGCCGCTCGTCAGGAAACGTCCCGGCTGCGCTCCTGCTGCAGCCGGCGGTCGCGCAATCTTCCGCACCGCAGAGCCGTTCGTTGTCGCCGTTCCCCACCCCGCCGAACTCGTCCGCTCCGTCGTCACCCCAGCCCAGCCGCTCGCGCCTCGACGCCCACAATTCCGCCATCAGCATCGAGAACCCTCCACCGCCGTACGCAGACGACCTCGGGCGCATCACCCCCCCTGCCGCCTCGTCATCCTCCCTTGGATCCGCGTCTCAGCACCAGCAGCGAGTGTCCAGTTCCCCATCGTCCCATCCTGTGCGGTCCGCTCCCGCTCGCGTCGGCACACCCGATTACACTCCGAACACCCCATCTCGCCACTCGAGCGGGACCCCCGATGGCACACCAAGTAGGCGCATCGCACGCTCGCGCCCCCCACTCCCCGCTGGGCCCCGCAAACCGAGCTACGGACCTGCCGCCGCGCGTATCCGCGCCGGCTCCGTGTCGTCTTTGGGCGGCGTGGGACCGAGCATAGGGCGCAAGGGGTCGACGGTGATGCACGCCGCGCCGAAGTTCCAAACGCAGCGCGTCGCATGGCGCGGCCTGACAATGGAGGCCGCGCAGTGGACCCTCACGTCGCAGCAGCTGCAGCACATTGTCTCGACCGCGATCCGCACGTCCGCGGACGCGTCGATGATCCGCATCCTGCCCCTGGAGGCGCTGGAGGAGGAGCTGCCGGCGGAGATCGAGCGTACGGAGGCGCACATCGCAGAGCTCAAGACGCGCTACAAGCTCGGTGTGCGCAAGCGGAACACGCTCTTCACGACCGTCGGGCACCTGACGGAACGCGGCGACCCGGCAGAAGCGGCGCGCGCGCTCGAGGAGCTCAGCGACCTCACGGAGAACCTCGACTTCATCTCGGAGGAGCTCTACATGGTCACCGACCAGCTCGCGCAGTTGTACCACCTCCGCGACGTCCACGAGCGGTCCGCGCTCGCGATGGCGCTCCGCAAGCTGAACTCGTCGTTCCTCAAGCAGGTCGGAGAGGTGCAGCGCCTGCGCGAGCAGGTCGCGACGCTCGAGGCGGAGCGCGACGAGGCGTGGCGCGAGGCGCAGGAGGTCGCGCAGGAGTTCGACGACTACACGGAGCGCGTGCTGTCCGAGCCCGGCTCGAGCCGGCCGAAGGACGACAAGGACTCGATCACGACGCCCTCCCGCCGCTCGTCGCGCGTCACGGTCGCGCGCAAGAACTCGCAGCGCGCGAGCAAGGCCGGCCTGCGCTCAATGCACCGCCGCTCCCACCGCTCCTCGACGTCGTCCAACCACCGGTACTCGGGCGTCGCCTCGCCCGGCGCCTGGGGCGGGCCCAACGGCGACGAGGAGATCCCGCCCGTGCCGCCGATCCCGCAGCGGCGGGACCTGATGTACGTCGCGTCGGGGAGCAGCACGGGCACGGGTTCGTTCATGGCGCCGCGCCGCCCGGCGGACGACATGTTCGGGTTCGGGGGGTTCGGGGAGTCGGAGCGCATGCGGCTGTGGTCGCACGCGGACTCGCCGTCGTCGGAGCTGCGGGCGATGGTGCAGGCGCAGCGGGAGCTGTGCGAGATGCTTGGGATCTCGCTCGAGGAGCTCAAGATCCAGAATTTGGGCCCGAGCCGGCGGCAGTCGATGTCTGCCATCCACGGGGCGCGGAGCCCCGTCAGCCCGGCGCTGACGCGGAGGAACTCGGACATCATCACGCCGAACCACCAGAAGACGTTCAAGTCGACGGGGTCGTCGTAGCCCGCTAAAGTGAGTGCTCTTTGCGCGTGCCGTCGGGGGTGTGTTGCTGGTTCTCACTTCACTTGCAGATATTCTCCATTTAACACCTATTTATTGGCGCACTGTCGCCGCCTACGCTCGCATCCCTCATCTCACACATAATCGCTACTATACAGCCGGTCTACACGACGTATCTCAATCGTCCGTCTCCACCATTGCATCGAGATGCTCACACGTTCGTTTAGAATTTCCCGTCCCTTTCCATACGTACCCTATATACTGACCTCATCGTCACCCGGTACCCTACCGCACCCGTACTCGCACCTCGCCGTCCGCGGTGGCGGGTGCGCATTCCCTCCCGTACGGCCGCACGGCCGCGCCGTCCGAGCCACCCTCATCCATCCATCCCGTCCCAAATGCACCCTCCCATCGCACATACCCCGTATATCATAACACTCACGCATGCTCTCCCCGCCCGCCCACGTCACGTCGCATATTTACTTTGCTCACTCTCTGTTGTGTGTCCCCACATTGGTCCTGGACCGTCACGACGACCTCGCGCTCCCAGCCCTTGTATCCTGTCGCCCGTACTACTTATCCGCTCCCTGTTATCCTTGTAGGCTTCCGCCGTCGGGGCCCCGGCTGCTCTGGTCTTGGAGCGTCTGAGATCTTAATATTCACTGATGCCGCCTCGCTGCACGGTGTGTTTGCTCAAGAAACCATCAAGCCTTCAGGTATTGTGTGCCGGGGATGGTGGGCGTTTCGTCGCTGGGACGACGCTCGTTACGTGCCAGCCCAAAGCGTCATCCGAACCTTGAACCCATGGCATGAAGGCGGGTATACTACGCTGAGTGGGTATGTCCGTAGGAGGTATATGAAGGACCCAGATTCACGCTTCCGTTCACCATCCCCCGCACTTGGTGAATCCGTATTCCGCCCTCCAGCGCTCCAACCACAAGCAGCTCCCCGTCGTCTGAGAAGGCGCAGGTCGACGGCATCTCGTCGAAGTTGATATGCTCGGCGATGCACCCTCCGTCGTCTGTGCACCAGAGCTTCACCGAGCAGTCTCTCGGCACGGCAGTCGCAATGTACCGCCCGTCGCGGCTCGCGACGAAAAACGGCTTCGCGTCGCGAGCCGCGCCCGGTCCCATGTCAGCCGGCGCGTGGCGAATGGCGCAGCGAAGGCCAGGCTCCTCGTCGCGATTTTCCGCGACGTCGGCGACGTACACAAACAGCGAAAGGCCCACGTCGTCATCCGTCGTGTCGGCGTCCTCCGCGTCAATCCGCGTCTCCCAAGTCCAGCAAATGCGCATCGTCTGTGCGTCCCCGGTGGTCCGCGTCACGAACTGGGCGCGCCCGATCCTCCACTCCGCCTGCGGGGGCGCCGACCGGAGGTGTTCGGACCCTTCGCCGGGACGCGGGAGGTGCTGCAGCAGCGCCGCCACCCGGGTGCGCGCGGGCTCGTGCGCGAAGAGCGCGCCGCGCGCGTCCACGCACACGAACCCGTCCCCTCCGTCCGCTCCACGCCGCGCGCGGGGGCCGATCGCGCGCGAGCTGGGGTCCCACCGCTCTTCGCCCGGGGCGGTGCGCACGTGTGCGTCCTCGTGTGCGCACGCCAGTGAGTGCGCGTCCGGCGCGTGCGGGTCGAACAGCATGCACAGACCGCCCCCCACAGAAGGGGGCGCGCCCGCGGGAACGGCGAGCCAGCCTCCATCTGGGGACGTCGCGACGCGGTGCGAGTAGTAGCCCCCTGCCTTCTCGAAGTAGATGTCTGGTGTGGCCACTTCCTCGTACAGCGTGTAGAAGTCACGAGGGTAGGCATAGATGATGGCGGCGAGCTCCCTGTCGAAAAGTAGGAGGGTGGTACCATCCCCGGTCCAGAAGATGGCGTAGAATTCGTTCAGCTGCCGGTGGTTGTCTCGATCTAGAGGCGTTGGACTCGAGACAACCATGTCGCCGAGAGAGCCAGGGAGGTCCCTGTTGAATATGCTATTCAAACTGGATCGGGCGCCGAGATCCCAGACCGCTGGCTGGTGGAAGCGATCCAGAATCGCCAGGTAGTCGTCGTTCGTGGGTGAGAATGTCAATATTGTGGATTGTAGGGACTGATTGGGGGTGTTGTCGTGGGTCCAAGGTCCCCAATGCGCGATCGGGTGGCCGGTGTGGACATCCCACACCACGACTTGGGGATCGGGTCCCTTGGCGGCCGCAGTAGCGACGTATTTGCCGTGCGCAGATATGGCGATCCGAGCGATCTCGTTGAAGTGGCTAGTGTATGCAGCTGAGGGGCATGTCAGACGCCTCCATGGAGCACAGATAAAAACACACCTTGAGCATAGGGAAAGAAGAAGTGGAAGTTCTCGGACCGATGCAGCTCAGGGAAAACCAGAGGAAGTGACAGACGGCCTTCGTCCTGAAGCGCTTGCGACGTGACGTCCCCAAAGACCATCTCAACGGCTGTATGCAGGCAAACGGTACTGAGGGCACGCTCCACCCGTTGAAGGTCATTGGCGAACACGATCCTGAAAGAAATACCGTCTCTAACCGTAAGAAACAGTGGCGTGCCAATCCAATCCACCTTGACCGTCTTGAGTGTAGCAGCGCGCAGGATGCTGCATTCTGCGGCGTCAAGGAAAGAGTCCAGCATATGCTCGAGTGACCTGAACCACCTGTTGAAGCCGACCCGAATTGTAACGGAGTTGAGCTGCGCGAACCTGGTGGTTACCAGGTGGAGAGCAGCCTCTAGAGGTAAACTCGTCACTCCCGCCATAGACGTAACCATGCAAATACACTCACCGCTGTGTGGGTACTCGCCAATGTCTAATACCAGGGTGTGAAGCGTATCGGCGCTAGCATCAAGCAAGAACTTCGTGACGACGCCGCTGAATCGCTGCACCTGCGTAAGCCAGTCCACGGATGAGCGGCTTGGAACCACTGCAAGCTGAATAACGATGCTTGCCTCCAGGACCTCAAGTGGCAAAACACACGTCCCGCCTGGGAGGGAGGAATCCTCCGTATACCACACATCGTCGCATGTCAACCGGCGGAGCGCGGGGAGCGAGCGAAGCATATTCGCAAACTGGGTGATGTCGGGGAACCAGAATTTGTGGACACAAAGCGTGCTGATGCTTGTGGAATCGACCTTGTCAAAGCCGTGTGACGAAAAGACCTCGTGTATGTCTGGGTTATCGTCGTTTAAATGCGACATGCCCGAGATCCACCATTCCTGGAGCTTGGAGAACCGTGGAAGGAGCACGTCTGCCGCGGCCGCTTGTATGTTTTTCCATCTTGATGCCTCCGGTCCGACACACTGCTCCGGGACAATTTGCACCACGCGCACGGCGTCTGAGAGTGCAGGGTTGGCATCGAGAAGCAAAAGGAGGGTTGAGAACGAAGAGAGGTCTATGATATGAAGCGTGCGGAAGAGGTGCTTGCGTGCGCCTGCTGCCCACCAGTGTGAGACACGGGCGGATGTAGCGAGGGTGCGGAGGCAGAGGCGGCAGCGAGTGAGTTCGAGGGTGGTGAGCTCTAACCCGGGTTGGTCGATAGAGGGGTGTCTGAGATTGTCGATGATGATGTGATGGAGCTCGGGAGGCAGACGAGACGCAGATGTGGAAGCCATTTGAGAAGAGATGACGGTCAAGAGCAAGCGTCGCCCGATGCCGGGCGCTTCCTGGACAACACGATCTGGACTCGATACACCCGAGTATGCAACGTCTTGTTATTCAAGAGAAAACAGTATATAAGGCGTCAGTCATTAATCTCATAGTCCCAGAAGAGACTACAGTCGAGTATGGAGGTATACATGACGGGCAGGTATCTACGTCTCCATCTACAGCTTCGCCCGGGCCTTCTTTGCGCTCGGATCGACGAGCTTAACCGCACCGGACGCCATGAGCCCCTTGAGCTGGTCGCGGAGGACGCGGCGGAGGAGCTTTCCCGACGGGTTCTTAGGAACCGCGTCGACAAGCTCGACGCCAGCCAGCCACTTGAACTGTGTCTTGTGGTCCGCGACGTGCTGCGGATAAGGGAGAACATGAACAATGTGAGCAGCATGGGGGGGATGAGCTGACGAACCTTCTTAACGCTCTCTTTGAAACGCTCCGCTTCGCGCGGGTCCGCCTTGGCCTTCGGCGCGACGTTGGCGTTGAGGACCACGAACGCGAATGGCAGCTCCCCGCTATACTCGTCCGGCGCGCCGATCACGCACACGTCCGCAACGTCGGGGTGGCCGAGGAGATGGCCTTCGAGTTCTGCAGGTGCGACTGCAGTCGACCGCGTCAATGACACTGCTCGAGCAGGAGGCGAGGAAGCGCACCTTGCAGGCCCTTCACCTTGATAAGCTCTTTGATCCGGTCCACGATGTACACCTCCCCGTCCGCGGTCACGTACCCCTCGTCGCCGGTGTACACCCACCCGTCGATGAACGTCTCCTTGGTCGCCTTCTCGTTATCCAAGTACCCCAATGCCATGCTCGGGCCCGTCACGACCAGCTCTCCAGTCTCCCCGATGCCTGCCCATCCTTGGCCGTCCGCCTTCCGTATCCTGACGGCCGTGCCGGGGACAAGGGAACCAGAAGAACCGGGGGTGCCAACACGCACGGAAACCGTCGGATGCGAGAGCACGGTGCAGGTCTCCGTCATCCCATAGCCTTGGCCGATGTGCGCGCCGGGGAGGACACCGACGAGCTGGTTCGTGAGCTCAGCCGAGAGAGGGGCAGCACCGGAGGTCACGGCCTTGATGGAGCTGAGATCGTAGTTCTTCACAAGTGGGTGCTGTGTGGTTAGAACGTGTCAGCGAACGCGGATACAGCCTCACAGCTGTCGTAGACTGACCTTGCAGAGAAGCACGATCATGGGCGGCACGATGCTATGAGTAACGGTAAGTGCGATGAAGTAACACGGTGCCTTGTTGTAAACGTACGCGAGGTGCCCAACTTTGTACTTCTGAATGCTCTTCAACATGTTCTCAAAGTTGAACTTCGTGACGACGGAAAGGGTGATCTGGATATGCATGCGTTGAGCATGTCACGCTCCACACCGAAGCGACTGGTCGACATACCCCAACCCATGTGTAGTAATGCAAGCTGACGACGGCACCAAAGATGTCTGCACAGGGGCGTCAAGCTCGAGGCAATCAAACGCAACAGATAGAAACTCACGGTAAAACGGGAGGACTGTGAGACAGACCGCTTGATTAGACAACAGCACGCACTCCACAAATTAGCCATGCTCACCTCCCAAGCCAATGTCTCCCGCCCGATGCAGCTTCTTCTCGAACGGTCGCTTCTTGTCCTCTTTCTCCACAAACTGCTTGATCTGCACGCAATTCGCGATAACCGCGTAATGCGGAATCATCACCGCCTTCGGCCTCCCCGTCGTCCCGCTCGAGAAGAACAGCAGCGCGAGCCTCGTCTTCGCCTCCCCAGGCTTGAGCTGCGGCTCCACGAAGCGCTGTGGATGCGAGAGGCCCTCGTGGATGAGATCGTCGAGCGACGCGTGCGCGCCGTTGTCCGCGGCAACAGGCTCGAAGAGGACGATGCGGTCGTCGCGAATGCCTGCCTTGCGCGCGGCGGCCAGGCCAACCTCAAGCGAGTCCGGGTGCAGGACCAATGTGGTCGCCTTTGCAGTCTGGAGCTGGTAGACGAGCTCGTCGACGGTGTATGAGGGGTTCGCGCCGCTGGCAGCGGAGACATGATGTTGGTGGGAGGACGCAGGAAGAAGGGATAGGGACGTACGTCATGATGCCACCGACCCGCAACGCAGCCCTGCGCGAGTGTCAGAGCTTTGAAAGTAGTTTACAATGAGGAGCTGGCGTACCACATAACAATTGGGTAGTCTGAAGATATGGGATGAACAAACCGTGGTCACTATGTGCGCATATATGTACTCACCAACGTGGTTGGGACCGTAGATACACACTGTCCTTCAGCTTAAGCTTGCCTTCTCTCCCCAAATACACTAGAAATACATACCAACATCCCCATCCCCTTACGCCGAGATTCTCGATGAGCGAGACGCCTCGTGAGCAGCATAGGAAACTCGCTCACCAAAGTTCCAGCGAATGTGCATCGCGTTCGCGAGGGCCCATACGCGAGCGCGCACCTACGTCGCAGGTCAGAGGTGCGCGCATCGAGCGAGAGTGTAGAAAGTAAGATAGTGGTAGGAAGAGGGAAGATAGGGTGTTGTTCGTCAGCGAGTGTCTGATCTGATTCTAGGCAGTGTGCGGGGCCAGGCCTGGTTCGGGATTCGTTGGAGTAAAGATGACAGCTTGTTCTCCCCTCTCATGTCTGCCCTTAGAGCAACTCGCTGCCCTGCTTCCAGAACAACCCCGCCCACGCGTCCGAAGAAGTTTAGGCACGTACCTTGTCTCCGTGGTATTCCCGCCCGGTGTGATCTTCGATGAACCAGGTCGCGTTGCGGCGCTGGCGGGCCTCGCCATTGAGAGGGTGGACACTGTCGAGGAAGAACTGGGGGATGGTGAGGTGGTCTGGGATGTAAGTCAGCGGCTCGGAGCCGTACACCGTCGGGATGTCTGCGCTGGCCATGGTTGCTGGAGAGCGAGGTGCGTGTCGAAGAGGAACAGTGTCAAGCGGGAGCGGGGGGGCCCAAGTCGGGTGTAGGCCGGCGCGACTTACGGATGGCTTTTAGGGCACCGACAGGTCGTCGGGACGGCAGCTAGGAAAGCCGGCCGGTCAGACGGTGGGTCACATCGCGTACAAGCATCACGACCCCACGCTGCAGCCCAAATTCCGTCTGGTGATCTGCTTTAGCGCGGCCGACACTCCCTTGGCCGAGCTCTCAGCTTCAACTTGTGCCTCACGCGCAGCCCTCAAAGCAACTCGCGGATTAGCCAAGATACGTTACTTGTCACATGCAGCCCTTCACTGTCTCATATCTCATCAAAGGGCATGCTCCCCACATGTTGCGACCTACTGTGCAATGCTGGTGCCCTTCCCAGCGCGCGTCGACGGCCAAAGAGCGTCTCAAGGCTCACAATTAATGTTCAAGTTGCTCAGCCGGACGAACGAGGATCGTGCCCCGCGTTCTCAAGACATTAGGAACTGTGAGTGCTGCTGACAAGTCGCAGGTTTCACTTCCCCAATATGAGGACGCGCTAGTCCAGGCAAGTCCTTGCCCCGCATGCGGGGGTGGCTGATCGCCGCGGGAGTGTCATATCATGATCGTAAACACCTGTGTATCGCACTAGTGTCTCTACAGCCTCGCACGCGCCGTTTGCATCATCGAAAGCGTCCCAGCCTTCTGCATGTCCTTCGCCTTCTCCCGCAAAAACCTTCTCAGCAGCTTCCCGCTCGGATTCTTCGGCACCGCATCCACGAACTCCACGCCCACCAAATGCTTGTACTTTGTCTTGTGGTCCGCGACGTGCTTCATGATCTCCGCGCGCGCCCTTTCCTCCGCACGCTTCCCGCCCGTCTTGATAGCCTTCGCCGCTGCCGCCGAAGGCGCGACGAACGCGAGCGGCACCTCGCCCGCGAACTCGTCCGGGATGCCGACCACGCACACGTCGTCCACCGCCGGGTGCGTGAGCAAGTGGCCCTCGAGCTCCGCCGGCGCGACCTGGAAGCCTCGGACCTTGATGAGCTCCTTGATCCGGTCGACGATGAAAATTTCCTTGTTCGCGTTGAAGTACACTTCGTCCCCGGTGCGCACCCAGCCGTCCTGGAACGTGTCCTTGGTCCTGGAGGCGCGTCAACGTCCGGCGGGGATCAGAGAACGAAGGGAGAGTGACGCACGCTTGCTCATTGTTCATGTACCCGAGCGCGGCGCTCGGCGCCTTGACCACGAGCTCACCCCGCTCACCGAGCGCGGCGACAGTGCCGTCGGGTTTGGCGACGCGCGCGGTGCAGCCGCAGAGGAGGAGGCCACCGGAGCCCGGGGTGCCGTACTGGCGGTCGATCGGTGGGAAGCTGACCGTGGTGCACGTCTCGGTCATCCCATAGCCCTGGCCGATCCAGCAGTGCGGCAGGACCTGCGTGAGGTGCGCGGTGAGCTCGGCGGAGAGCGGTGCTGCGCCGCACATGAGCTGCATGACCGAAGATAGGTCGTAGTTCTTCACTGCCGGGTGTTTGCATAGAAGGACAATCATTGGGGGCACGAGGCTGTGGCAGGGGTGAGGCGCGATGACAGCAGAATAGTGGGAAGGACACGCACTAAAGATGCGTGATGTGGTACCTCTGTATGCTCGCGAGCATCTGTTCAAACTGGAACTTCTGCACGACCACGACCGTAGTCTGTTCCATGTCAGTATATGCGCTCTAGACGAATCGTGTGCTCGTACCCCAATGAACAAGTTGAAGTGCAGCACGACCACAAGTCCATAAATGTGGTAGAAGGGAAGATCTGCCGGGCCCGCCGTGTCAACCACACATGCGAGACAGCCAGAAATAAGAGCACTCACTCGCCAGGCATTTGCTCCCCGGGCGGTACCGCTGCATCTCCAACGGCTTGCTTTCGTCCGTCACCTGCGTAAAGTGCGCCATCTGGATGCAGTTTGCGAGCACGGCGTAGTGCGGGATCATCACCGCCTTCGGCCGCCCTGTCGTCCCGCTACTGAAGCTCAAGAAAGCGAGCTTTTGGCGTCCCTCTCCGGGTGCCAGCCGGCGCTCGATGAACGTCTGTGCGCGCATGTTGCCTTCCGCGATCAGCGCCTGTACATCCGTGTGCTTTGAGGACGGGACAGGATCGAAAACCACGACGCGCTGTGGTGCGAGTCCAGCGCGAGCTGCGGCATCCAACGCGACTGGGAGCGAGCCCGGATGCGCGATGAGAAGGCGTGCGGAAGTGGCGCCGAGCTGGTACTCGAGCTCCTCCGCGGTGTATGCTGGATTTGCGCCGCTGAAGACCCATGCCGCGGAGGTGTGGCGCGTGCGAGGGACGTGGCGTATATATGCACGCATCGCATGTGCAAAGGGGTAGATACGATTGTAAGTTTATGCTCTGCCGAACGCGAGATGGACAAGACTGCACTCACGTTATAATACCTCCTAATCTGTGCACGGCCCTGTGGGTGCGCGAATCGTGGCGCTGTCAGCGTCTGCATATATGCGCATTCCAGCTGGTAGCAAATCGATAGAGACCTCGGCTTCCCGCACATATACGGTCGGCTGCGGTGGAGCTCGAAACAAAGAAGCGGCCAGGGTCGCTCTCACTCCGCTCTCCGCTGCGCCTGTGCGCGCGCGGCCGCGCTTTTTTGAGCTCTGCTGCGTATGTGCGGGAACGCGAAGTCTCCATCGATTTGTTACCAGCTGTCATAGACACGCCCGCGCTCGTAGGCACAGCGCGGGTTAACCTCGGACGCACCAGACAGCCACAGGGTAGTCTGAGAAAGGCCGTGATCCTTTAGCGCACGCTGATATGCGAGAAACACGGAGCACACACCAACGTGATTAGGCCCAAAGATGCAGACTGTCAGATAGTTGAGAAGTTAAAAGCGCCCGGGGCCATGTCAGAAACTGACTGAGATTGCCGTGACAGCCGAAAACGAGATGTGCTTACCGACATCATCTTCCCCTGGTCGCCGTGCGGAACGGGATATGTAAAACATGGCACGTCAGACGCACCGGACAGCGAGGGCGGAGGACAGGGGAAGGCGCACCGATGTTCCAACGCAGCTTCAAGGCATTCGCGAGCCCGTGCGTGCGTGCGCGCAACTATATGCGCGGGGGCGGCCGGGTGAGAACCAGCTCGGTGACCTCACTCACGCGTGAGAGGGGTGACGCGACGTACCTCATCCGAACCATACTCGCGCCCCGACAAATCATCGACTATCCAAGGCTGGACGTTCTTGAGCACCGGTCGCGCGGGGTGATGGGCATCGAGGATGAACTGAGGGATCGTGAGGTCGTCAGGAATGTGGGGAAGGGGCCCGCCGTCGGCAACAATTTCAGCCATGGACGAAGCTGGAGAGATGGCTAGGAGTAGGGGGAGGTTGACGGCCTGTTCCAAGATGTTATATGTGGGAGAATGCGGGGGGTGGGGGGAGGGGAAGTCGGAATTCGACCAGTCTGGCGGAGACGCGCGCGCGAGTTTAAAAGTACCCCGTCCGGCAAACGCCCCTCCTGGACTTGGTAGGTACCGTGGCCACAAATGAATGTTGAACCCTGCGCCGGCCGCGATGGTGCGCCACCGTGGTCCCCGTGCCCACGCACATAAGCCCACGCTTGCGGAAGCTCCGAGGCGGCGCGCGAGCTTGCACCCGTCATGTGTTTGGTGAGCGCGTTCGCACCCGCGGCCGACAAATCAAGGAAAATTTCGACTAGTAGCGTCTGTCCCTTGCAAGTTGCAGCCGAGCTGCAATGCATGATATCAGCACGGAGTGATCAACAGCCCGTTATGCAAATACCGACTGCGGTTTGAAGAAGGGCACGGAATGATGTGGATGTAATAGGCGGTGTATGCAACAGGCGGTGCATGCGCACAGGACGAGATGGTGGTGGTAGGAAGTGAATCAGCTGGGTGCCTGCTATCGATCGTGTTCTCGGCCCTTGACGCCCGCTCGCAGCCCAATTGGCACTCAGCGCTAGCGCAAACTGTGATTGCGCGCACGGCGACCCTCAGCTTGTAGGACTAATGCCGATGGGATCGACGGGCCTGAACGAGCCTCAACGTTCAGTGCTCGGCGGAACGGAACTACATAGAAGCCAGAGCCGCGAGAAACCAGAACCGCGAGAACCTAGAGACGGCATCTCGCACGGAAGCCTTCCGCTTGAATCGCGTCTTGACATGATGATGACAGAGAGATTCCATGTAATAGTACAGTGTGAGCGCGCGGCGGAACGAACGTACAGGGCGTGGGGGGCAGGCTACAGACAACACGGCGGCACGGTCCTGTCTCGGTACGAGGGCGCTGGAGGCGAATGAGGGCGGGTTCTGGAATCGGGAACGGGGGCGCGGGAGTCTGGAAAGGAGAGCGCGTGGTGGTGATACATAAATAGTATCCAAGAGAACTCCTGTGGATGGCGGTCGATGTGCGGGGGTATCGTGTGAGGATGCGTATTGTGGGAAGAGGTGTAAAGAATGGGAGATAAGCGCATAGAGACAATGGGCTGCCGCAGGCGCAAGATGATCGAAAACAAGAAAACAGGCAAGAAAACTATGTACGTATGAAAGCGAAACAAGATAGGAGGGACAAACGCATGAGAGAGCGTGAGGTCGTCCATTAGGGAGGAGCTATGGTAGAAAGTGGGGGGATGGGGTCGGACTGACGTCGACCTCTACACGAACAATGTCGTGTCCAGACCTTCAGAAAAGTCGAGCACGACGATTTTCCTGTCGTGCGACGTACTATAAGGGTCATTGTAGAGTCAGCCCAAATGCACGATGCCAGACGAGAGGATAGAACGCACCTCACGATCCGGCAGTGGTCGAATTTGACGTCAAAGATGTGGCTGGCATGGCAGCCTCGGAATTCGCGGACCATCTTGCCCGTATGCAGATCCCACACCTTCACCGTCTTGTCATATGAACCGCTCACGAGCCGCCCGCTGCGTGGATCAAACGAGAGAGCGCGGACCAGGTACTCGTGACCGGTGAGGACGCGCAAGCACATGCCCGTGTTTGCGTCCCAGACCTTGATCTTGCAGTCGTTGGAGCCCGAGACGATCAAGTTATCCTTAAAAGACAATCACTTAAGTGAACACAACTCAGCAGATGGTCCAGCAACAAACACACCTTGAACTCAATGCACGCCAGCCCACGATCATGGCCTTCGAACGTACGGAGGCGCTTCCCAGACTTGACATCCCATAGGATCATCTTGCCATCGCCGCTTGCGCTGACGACTCGGTCGTTCTGCAACCCGACGGCGTTGACAGGTCCTTCATGGCCGCGCAACGTGCACCGCAGTTCGAGTGTCTCCCGATCCCACACACGGATCAAAGCGTCCTTCGAGCTGTGTTCGTAGCTATGTCGTCATCTTCACTCAATAATGGGGGACTAAGAAGAGAAAATAACGTACCAGCTCACAATCCACTTCGAGTCGATGCGCAGATCCAGCACCCCGCCGCTGTGAGCGTGCAGGATGGCGCGAACCTCAGCGGTGATGCGAGGTTCGTCCTCTCCAGGAATGTAGTGTGCATAGATGTCCCAAACGCATACTGTGCAGTCACTCGAGCCGCTGACCATCGAACCCTTCCGCGGGGCACGAGGATCGAAGTCGGGCTTGTTATAGTCGGGGATGTCCCAATCACGGTCAAACTTGAGACAAAGGACGCTGCCGCGGTGACCTCCGAAGGACGCAAGGAGTTTGCCCGTCTTCAGGCTCCAGACCTTGATCGTGCGATCCCGGGAGCCGGTGATGATCTTCGACGAGTCAAACTCCAAGCAGTAAACGCTGTGATTGCACCCGCATAAACCGCATGCCAAATACGGAGGCGTCGCAAGACTCACCTGTCACCATGCCCACTAATTCGCATGACCTTGGGCTCCCAGGCCTTAGTAACCTCCTTTTCGGATACTACGGTGTCGTCGCTCATGTCGGCACTCAGCCCGGCGGCTGGAAAGTTGGCCCATCGGCGGTCCAGTTCTTGCCTGTTCCGATAGACCTCATACCAGTGGACCTCTAAAGGCGCAGGTATACTGGAGTACAATGACTTCCTGCGGAGCGTTCTCCTGAGGTCCACCCGCCATCCGTCGCATTCCTTCGACGAGAACAAGGCGTGCCATATTGAGTTGTCGAGGGCAAGATGATTCCAGTTTCTACGAGGAGGGTTAGCACCATTGGTCTGATAGGGAAGAGCGACCATAGTACCTTGAAACACGAAGGCAGGCAAGAACGGAAGGAAGATCGAGAAAGGTGAGGAGGTGGAGGGCGAGTTCTAGTGGGAGGTGCGAGACAATGTCCATACCAGTTACCGCCCGAACATCGATGAAGCAGCCTTCATCGTCAACGAGTTCCCCTTCGTCGTCGTCCAGCGGCGGCATGTTCGAGTAGTCGATTGAGCCGTCCGAGTGATATTCGGTCTCCCATGATGGCAGCCCAGGACGACGATGGCGCAACTTTTTACCAGGTGACCCCTCCCGCAGCACATCCCATATCTTCGGAAGAAATCCCATCCCAATCGTAAGACTCCGCGAGGCCTTGATAGGTGAGGGGGCCGGGGTGCGCGCGTTGCTCCAGCTTGAGCTACTGGGGTAGTAACCAGATATGGTGCGTCGCCCTGCTTGGAGGAGAGCAATCGAGCAACGGGACGCGTTGTCCAGCTCTGGTGGAAGGACCATGTTGTACACCTCAGGGTTCCAGTTGACAATCGAGAATGTGTCCGTTCGGAAGCTCGGGGTTGGTGACGTTGGGCGTGTCACGGTGAGAGCACGGGGCACGGCAAAGAGTGCGCCGTCAACGTCCTCCATCTCCGAACCAGTGGCGTCACTGTCATCCATCACGTCCAATGTGTCCATCGGGGCAGCGCTGGGCGCATACGCCGTGTCTGACGAGTCGCCTGGGAGGTCGGAGGTCGTGAGGAATGGGGAACCGAGCACCGAGTTGAGCAAGTGGCTGAAGCGCGGTGGCGGCTGCGGATCCTCGTGTTCATACGCTGCGTTCAGCGAGTCGTCTTCTTCATCGTGGTCGTGGTAAGGGGGGAAGGGGACGTGGGCGTTATAGTAGGGCTGCGGCCAGGAGGCCATCGGGGGTAGATGAGGGGTATGGGATGAAGTGCTGACTGTATGCAGGGCCGCGGGCTTGAGACACCTCTCAGACGCTGTGTCACAACCGGAGCCGACAACGACCGATTGCAGGAGGGGTTGGGTGCTAGATGTCTCCAGCAAGTGTGGCGACCAAGGTTGGAATCCGGCGATTGGGGTTCAATGGACAAGTCCAAGCAGAGAAACGTTGGGTCGTGAGGTAGAAGGAAAGATAGGGGAGTAGGGTACGATGAAGAACGTAGAGGCGTGAGGGTGGTGGTGGACGGTGGAAAGGGTCACGCAAGTTGAACACCGCCAAGTTCGGGACATTGACACGGAAGCGCCCACGAGTGCCACTATGGCCACCGTCGGCGCGACAACCCCGATGTCCGTCCCCGTCACATGCGCACTGCGCCAGTCTCCTGTCGCCCCATCAGACGAGCCCAAGGCAACTAGGGGAAGAAATATGACGGTGAAGGGGGCGGTGACAAGGATCGGCGAGCGCGATCTAAGCAATAACGCTCGCACGACGTCCTCCCTTGACAGACCCAGGTGATGAATGGCGGTGCTGCCTGAAGAGCACGGCAAGCATTCACGACAACTTGGTTTTGCGTGTTTGTGTGGATCATGTGTAGGCCACGATGCAGGCTTGCTGCAGTCGCACGGCGGACATATTCTTGTAACCTTCGCGACGCTAGGCCCACCTTGCTCAGTTTTCATCTTCTGGCGGCAGACTTCAGACACCTGGGTGCGGACGTAAGACCGCGGACTGTTCGACAGTACTGGCCATTGTATTCTGGGTCAGGATGAAGTTCTGTTCAGACTTTCGCAATCATCACTCCAGATCTTCAAGTGCCGATCCATGCACGCACGTGGGCGCGGTGGCTGAGATTTCCTCCGTTTTGTCTGTCCATCCGCCGACAGTCGAGTCAATGTCGTCTCTCATCGCTACCACCACCTCTCCACGATGAAGTACTTCTCTACCCGCGGCGCAGACCAGCTCTTGTCCTTTGAAGAGGTCATTTCTTTCCTCCCAAGATCACATCCGAGATTCTGAGAGCCCCGCTGACAGACCGTCCTCACTGGTCTCGCTCCCGACGGCGGTCTCTACATCCCGGAATCCATCCCCACTCTCCCCAAAGACTGGCAGACTGCTTGGAAGGACCACTCTTTTGTGGATCTTTCTGTAGAAGTACTCTCCCTATACATCTCCCCGGACGAAATCTCAACAGCCGAGCTCCGCGCTCTGGTCGAGAAGTCGTACAGCACCTTCCGCCATCCCGACGTCACTCCCTTGAAAAAGCTCACCGACACCACCTATGTCTTGGAGCTCTTCCACGGCCCTACATTCGCGTTCAAAGACGTCGCCCTTCAGCTTCTGGGGAATCTCTTCGAGTTCTTCCTCAAGCGACGCAATGCGCGCAAGGCTCCCACAGAAGAGCCGGAAAATTTGACGGTTGTCGGTGCAACCAGCGGAGATACGGGCAGGTGAGTGTGTTGCCCCCTGTTCACATATTGCGCGCATATGTCGTCTCCCCTTTCCCCGCATTGCAGTGGAGTCGAGTATGTCTAACGGTGTTTCGATGCCAGCGCCGCCATTTACGGTCTCCGCGGCAAAGACAACGTGTCTATCTTCATTCTTTTCCCGACCGGACGTGTCTCGGAGATTCAAGAAGCGCAGATGACGACAGTACTTGACCCCAACGTGCACTGTCTCACCGTCGGAGGCACGTTTGACGACTGTCAGGTATGCTATTTGGTTTTCTAACCGCGCCTCCCATCTCACCTCAATTTGTAGGACATCGTCAAGTCCCTCTTCGCCGACCGCGCTTTCAACGCGGAGTACCGGCTCGGGGCGGTCAACTCCATTAACTGGGCGCGGATCCTCGCTCAGACCGTCTACTACTTCCTTTCCTACTTCCACCTTCGCCGCCAGCTTCCTGCCGACGCAGACATCGAGATCCAGTTCGTCGTTCCCACCGGAAACTTCGGGGACGTTCTCGCGGGCTACTACGCGAAGCGCATGGGTCTTCCCATCGGTCGCCTGGGCGTCGCGACGAACGCCAACGACATCCTGGCGCGCTTCTGGCGCAGCGGCGCGTACGAAAAGGTCGACTCGTCACCCGCGGCCTCGGGGACCGCGGCTCCGCAGCCAACCGCCCCCGCGGCCGGTGCGTCGGATGGAAGACAGGCTACTGCCAATGGCGGGGTTCGAGAGACGCTCAGCCCCGCGATGGACATCCTCGTGTCGAGCAACTTCGAGAGGTTGCTGTGGTATCTCGCATACGAGACGAGCGGGCAGGACACGATTGCGGCTAGCAAGACGATTGCGGAGTGGATGGCGAAGGTCAAGCATGATGGGCGGGTGGAGGTTCCGGTCATGGCGCTGGAGCTTGCACGGAAGGATTTTTTCGCGGAGCGTGTTTCGGACGAGCAGGTGAGTCATACAGCCTTGTGTGTAAGGTTCTAGTGTCTTATGAGGACGCATATACAGACGCTGGAGATGATCAAGTACTACTTTGAGTCCGACGCGCACTACGTCGCCGATCCTCACACGGCCGTTGGCCTGCATGCCGCGCGCGTCGTCGCAACGCAAAAGTAAGTATTCATATCAGCCTCTCAAACTATCGGGCTGATGCGTTCCTTCAGTTCTCCTGCTGTCAGGCAAATTGTACTCTCCACCGCGCACCCGGCGAAATTCTCCGACGCCGTCACACGCGCACTCTCTGGCTCGCAATCATTCGACTTTGAGCGCGACGTCTTGCCACCAGAGTTGAAGGGTCTGACCGACCGCGAACGTAGGGCCATCACCATCCCCCGCGCGGAGGTTGACCTCGTAAAGAAGGCAATCGAGAAGACCGTACGTGCGGGGAAGCCGGTGGGGTCGAGTGTATGATGAGCTCGCGCGGACGAACAAAATGCGTGGTGTATGCTGATCTCAGAGACATAAAGACAGAAATTCGTACAAACATGTCATATTAACCTTCGTACAATATCACTATTAACCTTCGACGAAGTCTGGTACTTCAGGGTGCGTGGGTCACCTTCGCTTCAAATATTTGTCTATATCGCCATTCCGATTGTGCATCCCTCGGCTATTCATGGAGTGCTCGACGGCGACTATCTATTTACTCACTCCCAGGGTGGGCAGCACTCGCATGTTACCCACAACGATAGGAAAAACAGGCCCTACATATTCTGAGACCAATCTTCATCACCCAGAACCACGGTTGCCTCTGTTTAATCACGATTAGCTCGATGCCCTGCAGGACAAAGCAACATGCCTCGTGCAGGAGCTGAACAAGAGGTGGATGATTACATCATACCACGTGGGCTGGCCGCAGGGCACACCACCTGGATCTCGAGGAGAGCGACGCTTCAAAGCTTCATACCCCGGCCATGCTCTCTGGTCGGATTTCTAGACCTGCTGCCTGCAGCCAGTACCCAAGTATTCATAGATGTTCTGCGCATGACTGTCCAGAATCCGCATCACCGTGGCCCATCGTCGCCATCATTGGCCACTGGCCACCAAATTCGAAACTCCGACTCATTGTGCCACCCACGACCTGTGCTCTGGTGGCTTTGGCCTTGCAGCGGCCCCCAATGCTATGTCCCCGTAAACCAATCCCGTCCACGGCTGCATACTGCTACGCCTCTACTGTGGCCTCGGCAATGGGCCCCTCCGAAGACTCTCACATCGTTTAAAAGGCCACGACTCTCCCTGGCATCTCAGTCCTCTCTTCGCCAGTCCTTCATCTCGAGAAACCACCTAATGGCCCCCTTCACGTCCCTTCGCCGCTCTGCCTCGACACCTACCGCTCCGCCTGCTAAACGCAGTCGTCTGCCACCCATCCTCGTAGAGCCCCGCTCACCTAGACCTGGAACCCACATCACCTGGGCAGCCTCACCCATTCGCGAACCCAAGCGCCTCCGACGCGCGAACGCGGTTGGGGGGTTGTCGCCACCGCAAACCAGAGGGAACTACGGGCATGTGTCGTCTCGTCCTCAAAATAGTCATCACGCGCGACCATCGCCCACTCGACTCGATTTCGAAACCCAAGACCTGGGTCTCCCAACGGTCGTCGTCCCCCCACTATCTACAGCCACACCCCGCCCCACGATTCGATTCAACTTGCCTCCGGTTCTGGATAGGCCAAGCAGCATCGACTCGGAGCTCTCTTTGCTTTCGCCCCCCGTTCCCCGCTCCCCTGGTCCCGCATATGTGACCGTGACCCCTAAAGCCCTCAAGCCCGCCCATAACTCGGACTTCGCCCAGATCCGCACTTTCGGCGGGACGCAGGCATTCGTCGTCCCACGCTCGCCGCCACGTCCAGCGCGCCGCGCGCCACCTCCGCCACCTCCGTACGACCAAGGTGCGACGGGGAGCCCAACCCGCGCTACCGTCGCGCCGCCTCCGTTGTCCTCGCGCCGACGCAAGCCATCACGGCGTGTGCCTGTACCGGCTTCCGCCCCCTCGCGCCCGCCCTTCCATGGCTTGTCGCCCGATCCGCCATCGATGCCTGCGCCCGCTAGGCTGGCCATACTGTGCGACTTGGAGGAGGGCAACTCTGGCTGCACCTATGCCGTGCAGGATCTCCGGACCGGCCGCGTGCTGTGTGCGCGCGTGTCGAAGAGGAAGGTGGCGGACGAGCACGAGGCGCGCCTGCTGCAGGGAAAGCAGCTGAATGAAGACGAGGCGCGCTCACTCGGAAAGAAACGGCGGGAGGCGGACGCGGCGCGCATGGCTGGCCTGCGCGAAGAGCTCAAGGTATACAAGATGATCGCGGGCGCACGGGCACGCGACCGCGCGCACCTCATGGAGGTCCACGCGGTCATGGAGAGCGCAGACTCTGTGCTGTTCGTCATGGTGCGTCGCGATCGCGCACACGCTTCGTTTTGCTGACGCGCGCATATGCTCCTGTCACCTTTCGTTGCGCCGTCCACTGCGCTGCGCTCAATTATCGATCGCTGTCCCCGTGCGCGCTCCGCCTCGATGCTCCCATGGGCGACCGCTCATCTCCGAAAGCCCTTGATGCAATGCGACCTGTTCGGCGCGATCCACAGGGTCGGCCACCACAAATTGTCCCGACCTCTCGTCCGGCGCTGGCTGGCGCAGGTGGTGCGTCCCTGTTCTCACATTCATTATACTGCTGCGCACTAACCCAATCCCCCGCGCCTCGCCCTCGTCTTTTCATCTCCGCCTTCTCGCGCCCGCCCGGCCCTGACCGTCGGTGTGGTTTTTTTTCTGCCGTCGGCGTGCCCCGACTGCGCGCACGTCGCGAACGCCGCCCGCCCCGCCCCGACCCGCTTCTTCTCCGCACACCGGCATTCATCTCCACCTCTCCGCCTCTCCGCGCGTCGCGGACGCAGGCGCTCGGCCTCGACGCCCTGCACGGGATGGGGATCATCCACAGGGACGTCAAGCCCGAGAACATCCTCGTCGACCACCTCGGCCCTGACAGCCGCGCGCGCGTCGCGGACTTCAACACCGCGCTGCTCGCGAGCCCCGGGCGGCCGCTCGTCGAGGGGGAGACGTACTCGGACGTCAAGGCGGGCAGCACGGCGTGCATGGCGGCCGAGGTCGACAAGAAGGCGGCGTACGGCACGGCGGTGGACTGGTGGGGGCTTGGATGCGTCGCGTTCGAGCTGCTCGCGGGCGTGGTGAGTGCTAAACCGTTTGCGTCGCCGCCCTGGCGCCGTCGGGCAGGGGCGGCGGAGATGAACGGGGGCTGATCCGGGGCTGTCGTGTCCAGCCACTGTTCGTCGCGCACACGGCGCGGACGGACTACGCGCGCTGGAACGAGAGGGAGGAGGGGGAGTCGTACGTGCGGTCGCGGGCGCGGGCGCTCTCCGCCGCGGAGGAGAACATGATCAGCGGGGTGCGTCGGCCGCGCGCTGTTTTGCTGCTTATTGTGGTAGGAGGCTAACTGGTGCTGGCTAGCTCATCGTGCTCGAGCCCCGCGCGCGGTTCAGCATGCGCCATCTGCGCCACCACGAATTCTTCATCGACGAGAACCGGTGAGCAGCCCGGCCCTGCCAAAGTAACTCCCGCTCACCGCGCCTTCCCTCGCTTCGCGCTCCCTGCCTCCAGCGAGAACACGTTCGACGCGCTCGCGCGCGAAGACCCTGAGGACCTCGTTACCGGTGCGTGCGCCTTCCCGTTTCCCTCGTCTTTCCCGCCCCCGCGTCCCTGGACGTTGGACCCTCTCGCCGCGGCCGGGCGCTCTTCGGGTCTAGTGCCACGCGGCTACCGAACGCCCGCGTCTCACCATCCGTGATCCTCCCACCCCCTCCCCCGTCCTTCCCATCACATCACAAGGCTTGTGCTGACCCGCTCTCCCCCCCTCCTGAACCCTCTTTCCCTCGCCCGCACCCCAAAACCGCGCACCCCCCGCCCCGGAACCCGAATCGCCCTCCGCGGCGTCGAACCCCCTCCCCTCCCCTCCGCGACCGGTCCCCCGCCCACTCGCCGCGCCCGCAGCCGGCCTCCCTCCGCCCCTCGCCGCGACGTACGCCCGCCGCCCGCTCGAGTCGCCCGCCGATGCGCCCGTGCTCGAGGCGACCCCCGCGGGCGAGCTCGGCTGGGCGAACGCGCGCGGGATCTGGGGGACGCAGGCCCCCCGGTCTGGCTGAACCGCGCTCCGGTCCCGGCGGATTGTCGGCCGGCCCCGCGCCCGCCCTTTCGCTGGAATCTGGAACCTGGAATCGGTGTTGATGGCCTGGACTGTGGACTGTGGGGCGAGGCCGTCGCTGGCTTCGTGCGGGGAATTTAGGCTTCAGGGCCTGAGGCATGACTCCTGAGGCCTGTAGGATTGAGCCGATGCTTGAGCCGATGCTTCGAGCGGCGTGGTTGGCGTGGTTGACGTGCGCAGCGGACGGTGCGCATCGTGCTGCGACTTCGACGTCGACGGGGGGGACCGTCAGGCACGGTCCCAGGGCGCGGTGCGACTTGTGCAAGAAAAGCGGTGGGGTCTTGTGCCTCCGCCGGCTGTGTCGGGGTAGAACGTAGATGATCTCCGTCCTTGTTTGCTATTCAGGATATGTAACCGGGTTTTGAGTCCCCGCGTCGAAGTACATACATAGACCGTGTTCGAACTCTACCTAATCAGCGTGCCTGGGCGGGTATGTTGCTTGAGATGTGGCATGGTGCCGGCATCCGTCTTGTGCACGCCGCACAAGTTGTGTCGACTGATCGCTCCTCCCCTAATCCCCGGAGACGACGACCCTTGCTCGGGACCGGGACCGAGAGAGTCCCGGCCGCCGTACCTGAGCGCAACGTAGAAATTCATCGGACGCACGGCGGGGGATGGGAGGTGCGGACCGCGCGCGGGCTTGAGCTCTGAGAGTCGGCGGCCCGCCGCGGCCGGTATTGCGCGCCATAATCCATTTCTCTGAGCGGCCAGCTGAGGAAAGTCTCGTCTCCGGAATTCGGAAAAGCCTCCCGCGTCGTGGTTAGCCACGTCCGAAAGCAGAAGTCCGTCCACGCCGTGAGGCTCGCAACTCGCCAGCCTGTACGTGGTCGTCGGGTTGTCGGGGATTTGGCCCCTTCGGGAGAACGGTTCGCGCACAGTGCCAGTGCTACTACCACCACGGAGATCAAGGCCCGGGCCCGGGACCGTGAGCGCTGAGGTCCCAGGTTTCGATAGACGGCGGACACCGCGCGGACGAGTACAATATCTGAGACTCACGGTCCCGGACCACTCCCGCGATCAGGGGAGGGGGGCGACATTTGCCTCCGCGAGCGTGTCCAGACTCGGCGACGACGGTGGTGACGACAGCGGCCGCGGGGTTCGTATACGTTGGTGCGTTCTTCGACCCACGCCCCACGCCCTCGAATTCGCCAGCAATTATTTATGTGAGCGGGGTGGGGATGCGCCCACAGCAGGGCGGGGCTGTTCCGTCGCAATTCTAACCGTTCGCGGTTTTCAGGCGTCCCGTGGCCGGGGATGCGAAGCGGCTCGGGCGCCGGGGATATATATTATATCAATTGCGGCGCAGGAGAGGGTCCGCGACCCTGCCGGCGATGGAGTACGCACACAAACCTATATAGTCAAGCGGCACGCGCCAAGCGTGTTGTAGGCATCCCGCAGCTGCGCTCAAGGAGTTGAGGTAAGTTGTCGCGGGCCTCTCTCTCGGCCGTCGAGCCTTCGAGGGGTCGACTGGGGCTCGGTGTAGAGTAGAATCGCACAGCCTGGGCCAATGAGGTGACGGGCAGAGTAAAGCTGGGGAGAGCCGCACCCGCGTCCGGTGCAGCGAACCGAGAGGAGAGCAATTGATTATTGATCATGGCGGCACGCGAGGCGACTGGCGCGTCGCGCGCCCGAGCGGACTGGTTTGGACGTCGGGCTCCCGTGCAGTGTGCACCTTGTCTCCGGTATGGTATGCGCTTGATTGATCGTAACGACCGACGACGGGCTCCTCGACGACTCGACGACCGCGCGCGCGCGGAAGCTCTTGGACGCCCGGCCGGTGTCCAGAAGAGTGTCCGCCGACGGCGCGCTCCGGACCCGCTGCTACGGACAAGCACCCCGAGTCCCGACGTCGCGAAACGCGCGAACGTAAGTGGGGGTACGTACGCTGTGCGCACGCACGGGTGACGGCGCGCTGGGGCTGAGGACAGCCGTCGGGTGGACGGCTCCCGGCGCCATCCGCCGCAGCGAGGCTCTCAGCCTGCAGTGCACTGCTGATGTTCTCCGCGGTTTGTCGAGAAACGCAATCGAAAGTTTCGCTGAGCTGACTGGACCCGGCGTGTGTGTTCGCCGAGATTACGCCTTCTCACCTCCCGTGCGCCATGGGCAGCGTTCTCTGACGTCCCCGTCCGGGGCCTAGTTGAAGTGAGGGATGACGAGAGGGCGGTGGGCCCAGACGCGGTATGCGGCGGTAGAACGTGGAGAACTCTGAAAAGTCCCAGGGATCCTATCCTTGGATGTCGACGGGCGGCATGGATGGGGACGCTTGTGTTGAGGAGACGGCCCATGGGGAGGTGAGTGCAATATTCGAGTGTGCCGACAAGGGAGTTGTTTTGCGCCCTCGTTGACGGTGGACCTGTGGGTGGATCAGGCTTTGAGGGGACCGGTGGGCCGAGTGCGTGATCGCGCGCAGGGTGGGCGGGGTGAAGAGTGACGCGGTCGGGGGTCGGAGGCGCGGGGCGAGACGCGAGGCGGACGCGACGGATGGTTGCCCAAGGTCGATCGAGAGTTCGCGCTCTCTCTCCCGCCGCATGTGGGGGTTGTCCGCGAGCGTATGGATGGCAGAACTTGGGGCCAGAGGCAAGTGCGCAAGGTTGGGTGGGAGCACATGCGCGGGCGCGACGAGTGAGACGATGGGCAGCACGAACAAGGTGGAGATCGGGGGAGGTGATGAGCAGAAATACGTCCGCGTCGGGCCAGGAACGTCGGAGAAAGGCAGGCGGCGCCCCCAGGAGAGGAGGATAATGGGGATCTGGCGATACGCGAGATGGGCGGGCAGGCGCACAAGCCGCCCGCGCGCCTGGTCCCGCTCGCTCGCTCGCTTGACGGGGATGAACGCGGGAGGCTTCTTGCGCCTTACGAGGGCGTCCCTCCTCTCTTCGGCATCCCCCTTCCCCCGTCACACCCCCGCGCCCCCCATGGCCTTCACCCCCCAGGCGCCAACGCCCCCTCGTCTTTTAACGAACCCCTCCCGTTCCCGCGACCTCTCTCCCGTCTCCCCGCCAGCCCCCGCGCGTATGAGCACCTAGGCCCTCTCCCCCGCGTACCCCCTCCACTCCGCCCTGGCGTTCCACCACCACCCCTCCACCCAGCCATGCCCCCTGCCCTCTCCCCGTCTCCCGGACGCGCTCGCTCACGCACCTCCGACCTCACAGACTTCCTGCGCGGCCGCCCCAGCCAAGGCGAGCACCCACGTCCTCCCCTTCCCTCCTCCCCATCCCGCGCCCCACTCGAGCCTGTCACACCCCCATCCAAACCCAGGTCCAAATTCCCTTTCCTCGGACGCAAACGTCTACCCAGCTTCTCCCCCTCCACCGCCAAAGCCGCCGAAGCTGCCGCCGCCGCCGCCTCGGGAGTGCCACGCCGGGCGACAGACGCGTCCAAAGACGTGCCCCCTCTACCCACACCCCCGCCAGCAGGGTGAGTCTAGCTTCCTCCTTCGTGCTTCACTTTCTTCTCGGGTTCCCATCATCGAGCAGACGACGCGCATATATGCGCGTGACCGCGTCTCGGCCTGCGGCTTTCTGGATCCGCGCGCGCTTGTTATCTGCACTAGCTCCCCTTGGCCTCCATCATCATCCTCCCGTTTTCCTCTCTGAAAACTCTCGAGATGCCGTGGTGCGCCACGCTCACGCATTGGGTGCCCTCCCGGAGCATTCGCAGGTGGTGACGCGAGCACTATTGCCTATGATCGCGCCCCTGACGCGACTTCCAGCCAACGCGGCGTTCTCACGCCCGGGCGCATTACTCTCGCACCTTTTTCTTTCTCGCGCTGAGCACCCATGTGCTCGATGTGATTTGATCGTGATTTCATTTTGGCGCCCATATAGACAAGCTTTTCGTGGTCTCATCACGGCAAACGGAACACCCGCGAGGCCAGATGGAATGGCCCTTGTGTCTGCGCTAGACTCGCAGCTGAGACTAGAGCCTGCGCTCTTCTCACAATCTTTCCTGAATTGCGCGGTCAGAGTTGATGCCGCCTGGATTCATGTCGAAGATGTCTTCGTCCAACGAGTTCATCGATCCCCTCGTCGGGCGGCACAGGTTTGGCGCTCGGCGTCTACGCTGGACTTCGATCGGCTTCTTGTTCTTCTCGATGCGCAGAACCTGATGCTCATTACTTACACTTTTCGCTCTGATGCAGGTCGAGCACGGGACACGCTCTCCCGGCGTTACCTTCCGTCGCGGCGCCTTCTAACTTCCCCGTATCCCAATTTGACCACGATATCTCTGCCCCTTCGCCTTCCCCGAAGAAGAGATCTGTCCCGCTTTCCGCATCCATCGTTTCCCAAAACCTACGCAAGGGGAAGGGCTCGCTTGAGTCTCAGCGGCAGTCTTCAGAGAGTCGTGCGTCAGCTCAACCTATCATCACTGTCTCGCCTCCACACAACAACGCCGTTCTCGAACCCATCGATGCGTACACGTCCCCACGATCGGCCCCTCTTCCATTACAGCGCGGCGAGACGTCTCTTCCTACCCCCGCAGCTAGTGATCGCGCGAACACCCCAGAGTCGCCCACATCGACCGACCTGCCCAGCCCGTCGACTTCAACGCATTCAGCCAAATATGGTCTGGTTGAAGACATTAGGCCTTCTGCGACCTCCTACAAGGAAGAGACGATCTTGCGCAAAGACCACTTCCAGCTCGACGGCCACGGCTCCCAGGCACGCCGCGGCACAATGTCTTTCGTGAGCGGGCGGCCGACGCCCGCGACCGTCTCCACGAAGCCGGGCACGGCGAGACAGGACAGGCGACATGTAAGCGTCATCCAGCTGAACCGGCTCAAGCGCGAGATAATCGCCACAGCCCCACGCAAGGCTACCAAGTCGTCTCCATCTCCTCCCCCCGGAAGGATTCGTCCGTCCCCGCCGAACTCGACGCCTCCGTCACGGATATCTTCGCCGATTGGCAGAAGCAAGACGATCTCCTCTCCCTCCCCGAGCCCCGTAGACAATACGACGCCGACTCGGCGGGCTCCTCCACCGCTCAAGAGGACATGGGCGCCGCCTGTGTCGGGTCCACCGAAGGAGCCTCTCCCATCCCCGCCCCAGTCGAACGCGCGGGGTACGCCACTGAACCGGTCCGCGACGGTTCGGTCTCCATCTCCCCAGAAGGCCCGAGGGGCTGCCAGTCCGTCCCCAAAGCCTATGCGGAGAGACCTTCCCCCGATCTACGTCCCGTTGAAGATGAACACCGGCTCGTCCGTCGCGCGGGGCGCCTTAGGTGGCAGCGTCCCGCCCTCGCCCGCCAGCGCGCGGAGCGTCCAGGACACGGACGACAGCCGCACCCCGGTCCGCGAGGACCCCAACCCCCTTGGCCTCGGTCTGACCGCGGACGCTCCGGGCCAAAGCACGACGGTGGACGAGCTCCGCGAGGCGCTTCGCAAGGAGATGGACAAGTACACGCGGCTGTCGACCTACCTGCTCGACCTGACGGAGCAGCACGCGCGCGAGAAGGAGGATCTCATGCGCCGCGTGGACGGCCTCGAGCGCGAGGTCGGCAAGAAGGACAAGGAACTCCGCGGGCTGCGGTGGATCGTCGCGAACGCCGGCGGCAGCGAAGGCGCGGGCGGGGTGCTCCCGATGCCGTTCGCGCAGGCGCACCCCGCGGCGCCCGCCCGGGCGGACAGCAACACGCTCCCGCGCCCGCGCGCGGGGACGCAGAACTCGCAGGGGAAGAGCTCGCTCCGGTCCTTCACCTCGGCGGCGTCGGAGACCTGCAACACTACCACCCACACGCGCCAGAACTCGATCGCACAGTCGGCGTACACGTCGCGCACGTCGACGTCGCGGACCACGTCGCACGCCCGGAGCGCGGGAGGCGGTAGCACAGGCACTGTGCAGTACTCGGACTCACCGCGCCCGAGCGTCGAGGAGGGCCTCGTCGAGCTCCAGAGCTCAATCTCTGACTTCATCGCGCCGCCGCTCCCGAGTCCTCTGCCACGTCCAGAACCGCCAAGGGTGCAGGGAAGGAGGCGGTCGAACACGGTTCCAGACCGTGCTCCGGTGCGCGGCGCGGCGCTCGGCATGGGGCTCGGTGCGCCCTCCCGCGCGCCGTACGCTCCAGGTCAGTTCAAGGCGATGAAGACCGCACGGCGGACGAGCTCGCCGATCGTCTCGTCGTCCGTCACCCCCGTCACCCCATCGACGCCCGCGCACTCGCGCGCGCCCTCGAGCGTCGCACCGAGGAGCCCACGGATCGGCGGCCTCGGACTTGGCCTTGGGCTCACCCCGCCTCAGCCGGAGCCCCGTGCGCCGAGCCCCGACGTCGGCCGCGCGGACCCGCACGCGCGCGCGGACAGCACGACACTGGCGTCGCTTCCCTCCCTGCCTTCGCTTGCGACGATCTACTCTTCGTCATCGGCGTCGTCCGCGCTGTCGTCGATCCCCGAGACGCCGCGGTCTGGGTCCCCCGCGTCGCATATGCTGCTCGCACCCAGCCCCGTCATCACGGAAGCGATCCCCAGCCCGAACCTGCGTATCGCGTTCGACGGGCCCGAAGCGAAGCCCTCCCAACCGCAGCCGCAAGCAGCGACGCCCGCACGGCCGACGCAGCTCGAAGCGAGCCCGGCGCTGGACCGGAGCGCGAGCAAGAGGAGCAAGCGGGCGTCGGGGTCGTCGATCGCGTCGCGCCTGAGCACGTCGCCGAGCATCGGCCAGGTGCTCGACAAGACGAAGACGGTCGGAGGCGCGTCGACGAAGTCGGAGATGGAGGCGATCCTGCGCCGGTTCGGCTTCGGGCGCGGGCGGGTGAGTTGAGCGGGGCGCGAGGGCCCGGCTCCTCGTTTCGCTCCGCTCCTCTGTACATACACGCACGCCTCGAGACGGCAGACCACACACTCGTTCACGATTCTCACGTTCCACGTCCCCACACTCCTTGCCGACGTTCTTCCTCTCCCCCGCCGTACCATATTCACACCCCGCAGGTCCTAATGGCCCCGCCGAGCCTCTGCCCACCGTCGCCGCCGCCGCACGCACGCAAGCACGCACGCGTGCCCCCGGCCCCTGGGCTGCAAAATACCACGCTATACCACTTTATTCAAAGAGCCACCCCTAGCCTTAACAGCCTTATACTCGCACCCCGGCCCGATACCACGTTAATTCCCCGCACCGCACCCCGCGCAACGCTGTCCCCGATACCAACGTTGGCGCTGTTACTACTGTTCGCGGTCTTCCACGCTCGCTCGTCTCTCTCTCCCTCTCTCTCTCTGTGTTCTTCGGCTTTGTCGTCGTCCCCTTGCTCTCGCATCACACTCTCCTTTCGCAAATCCCTCACCTCCCCATCCATCGTCTCGCTCTCTTGGGCTCCTCGCACGGGATCATCGACCTCCGCACTCGGTTCTCCAAAAGACGCCGGCGTGCGTCCGTTCCGTCTTGTCCTCCGCATCGTCCTCCCCTCCGCCCGCATCCCCCGCATCCCCGCTCGAACTTGGTTCCACGAGCCGCGTCCTCTCCTGTAACATCTGTTGTCGCACCTGTTCCATACGATTCCCGCGTCCACATCCCCCTTCCCCCTACCCCCCTACCCCGTACCCCCCACTTCCTCGCCCGTGAAGTTCGCTCTCCCGCGCGCGCTCGTTCTCGTCCGTCGCATCGCTCCGTTTAGACGCAGGCAGATGTATCGTTTATCGCTGTACAAAATGGAAACCGTCTTCTGAAAGCTGTCGATCCATATTCGCGAGTCGTTCGGGTTTCTGGCGCCAGCGTCACATCTAGTCCGGGATCGTCGACGCAACAGCCGAGTCCGGTGCTTGTCTTTACTGAGTGTGTTCCTTCGCTGCGCGGTGGCGACGTCGACCGGGGCAGGGAATCAATCCTTCCCGCGGATTTGATATATTGACGAGTGGCGTCACGTCCCGCTCATAAGTTAAAAAATCTAAAGCTTGATGGGCCTTCGCTTCGCTCAGGCGGCCCGCCCCGCGACGCGCTAAGTTCCAACGTATGGCCAGCTCTCGCCCAACCACAGAGCTTCCCCGCCTCGGCGATATTGATAAATAACGATGGGACCATCGCCCTGAACGTTAAGTTGAGCACTAGTGGCCCGTCCGCGCGGCTGGCCACAGTCTAGATGGCTGTCGAGCACGTCGATGGTTATGTCCCCCGCCGTCGGTGCCCCCGCCGTCGGTGCCCCCGCCGTCGTCGCCCCCCGCTGCGACGATCTCCGCCGGCTGGCACTGCTCGCCTCCGCGCCCACCTCGCGCGGTGCGCCCTCGGGCCTCGCCTGAATTCCCCGTCGCGATCTCCCCGCCGCCCTAGACGTTCGCGCGCCCTGCGATCCGTCACCGCCACGTGGCACCCGGCCCTCCCCGCTCACGCTCGCGACCGCGCTCAGACCTCGCCGTCCGAGTCGCGCATGCGCACGGGTCGGAGTCCGTCCGCCGTGGTGCAAGTACCCCCATGCTGACTGCGCTCGGCTGCGCTCGGCGCCGTAGTGCAGTGCGGCGCGTCTCCTCACCGAGTCCCGACACCCCTTCCCCGCCCCCACCCCGTTCGTCGCGGTTTGCACTCAGAGCGCTCTAAACCAGTGGACCTGGCAGTTGCACTCGGAGTGACCGGGAAAGCGGAGGCGATGGGGCCCCGTCCACCCTATGAGACCCTATGGCAGGATGTACGCTGCGCGCCCCGCGCGCCTCGGGAGCCCCTGCGCATTAGTGCGCTCGCGCCGGAGTCGAACGATGCGGAGGCGAGCAGTGAGGTGACGAGTTCGCGCGATCGGTCACATGCACGTGCAATGTTACGACGCGTTCAAGGCCAGGGCGCAATGGCCTTTGAACGTACGTACAACTTACACCAGTCGAGGCTCGACATTGACCGCAGGGGCCAGATAACCTCCCGCCGATTGACTACGTAGCCACCCGCGCGGAAGCGAGATCATCACAGGACGCGGCCGCTGGGTTCAGAAATAAACGTGGACGGGGGCGATGGAGCTCGATGATGATGGGCAGAGCGTTGGGCGAGTCGAGTGTGCCTCGGTATGACATACAACTGACACACGCACGCCTTTCGTGCCAGTACGTACTCGTTGAGTGAAAGCGGGGCGGATCGTGCTGGAATTGCACAGGATGAGCGTCGGATATGGAAACGAAGGGCGTCGAAGTGCGGTAAGTATATGTCGGCATCGTGGAGAACAGGCGGGAAAGCCTAACAGCAAACGGATATCGCCATCGATCGTGCGCCGCAGAGGGCGCGAAAACTGAACCAGATCCGCCCGTGTATGTAGCCTCCCATCTCAGATCGAGAGCGGGTGCTCGAGCGCGCAGTGCCCACACTCGCTCGAGCCGCCACCGTCGCCGTGCCCGCCGTCGCTCGCGTTCCGCCTCCCGTTCTCGACCGCCCCCGCCGTGCCCGCGCTCCCGAGCACGTCGCTGTCCGTGCGCGCGAACGCGCTCAGCCCGAGCCCCGCCGCCGCGCGCGCCGCCCCCAGCCCGGGCCGCGGCCCGAGCACGACCCCGAGCGGGTGCGGGTCGAAGCCCGAGTCCTGCGTGCTCGCGGAGGACGTGCGGGTGCGGGTGCGCTCGAGGTCGAGGTGCGAGGCCGGGTCCGGGTCTGACCGCGACAGGTCGAGGTCGAGGTCGAGCGCGGGCTCGCCGTCGACCTGCACGGATCGCTCGACGTTGACGTCGACGCGTACTTCTATCGCCTGCGTGCGCCGAGAGGGTGAGCGTGATATTACAATCGGGGCGCGCGTGCGTGCGAGGACGTACCTTGGGTGTTTGTGGGCGCGAGTCCGCCGTTGGCCGAGCGCGCTGTGGGGGGTGCCGCTGTGTCAGCGCCTGGGCGAAGAGACGGTGCAGGGGGAGGAGGCCGCGTACCTGCACCCATGGGAAGCCGGGGTTGCGCAGGTTGTAGGAGGTCGGGAAGATGACGGGCATGGTGGAGCGCGCGTTGTCGCGCTGCGGGCCCGCGCCGTGTCGGGCCTCGTGCGCACCACCGGGGCGTGGTGCACTGCCCTTGGTTGCGAGGCCGCGGCGGGCGTTCAGGCTGTTTAATAAGGGCAGGTTAGTTGAGGCGGGAAAAGCGACTGCGTACATACCTCGCCAGGAACGAGTTTGCATATACTGTTGCAATGTGGGATGTAAGTTCAAAGGAGGGGGGGACGAGAGGCGCGCGACACACATTTGCTAATGAGCAGGTGGAGGCCGAGGAAGATAAGGTTGTCTGGCATAGAAAGCCACTACGGCGCCAGAGCGTGAGCAATATTGCTAGGTTCATCGAGCGCGCCGTGGACTCACGCAGACAAGGGACACAAATGTTGTACATCTGAATGTGCCAAAATGTGAGGACGAAGGTATGCACGATGAAGAGAAATCATTACGTCGTGATTGCTCCAGTCTCGACTGAATACCGAGTGAGCGCGTCGATGATGTGGTCCGACCTGGAATGCGACCTTCAGTCGTTGGGACCTCGCGGCGGTGATGATGGTAGTCCAGACCTCTCGATCCCGTTTCGCCATTGGCGCAGATAGAACCACATGCTGGACGTGATGAAGATATCCACCGTGAAAGATGCGACCAGACCGAGAGAGAAGACCGACTGCAGCCACCGATACAATCAACACAAGAACACCACACCGCGTGAGGAAAACCTACTGAATATAAGACGACAAACTCGGAATAACTCCTGAGGCGGATCCTAGAACGATTTCGTGAGCAATCGGCGTTCCGGGAGATGAGCCGCCTGCGTACATCATTGTGGTGGACACTGCAAGCGAAGCGATCAGTGTTATACACAGCGACAATTTTCGACCCGGACGTACCAATGGCAGCAGCTAAATGAGAGTGGACAAGAACCGTGAGATGGTACGTAGTACTAATGAGCAAAGGGGGCAATACCGAGTCGTAACAACGCCAGAAGCCCCTGCATACTCAATCAGTATCTTCGTCGCCACGAACCGCCCTGAGAATCAAACACACGTACCAATGGCACAGTGAGGTACCAGTTTCCCCGGCTAACTGAGCTTGCGGTGAGATACGTCTGCCTGATATCGCAGAGCAACGACTAACGGGTATGCACTCGGTGGACGAAGAACCTGAGAAAGGATGAATGAGCGCCGAACGCGCGCCGTCGAACGCGGAGCCGTACATTTGGACAATGAAAGTCGTCGTCGCCTGGAGAAGCGCGTCAGAAAGCGAGTGGTGGCGGTCGATGTGGGAGCATACCGTCAATGCGACTGTGCACTGGAAGACCGTCAAAATGGGATTGAGCGTCGGATGGACACCAAAATTTGTGGCGCACTCACGGCTATCGACCTACGCGCACCGTCAGCACTGTGCAGGCTCTATGAAGTACGAGGGGACCCACCAGGGGATGACATCGAGCGTGTTGAACCGGCCGAAGTTGACGACCAGATCCTCCCAATTCGCTAAGCAGACCATGGCGGAGTGTAAAGAATCGAGGACCCAGATAAGGAGCACCTATTGACCGGAGGAGCCCCCGTCAGTTCCACGTGCGGCGGAATGCGCAGCGCGGAACGCCACAAGAGCATGGATGTACGTACCAGTAATTTGGTTGTTCGGGGATCGGTAGGGTAAATCCGCCAGTATAGGAATATCTGCATGAACACCACACCGGAGAGGCTGCGCCGCCGTGAGGGCGTGAGGTGAGCCTTCGAGAGGCAAGACGCAGGGAGGGAAGCAAAGAGGACGTACAACAGCGAACACAAGCCTCCGAGGAGCACGGCTCCGGAGCCTTGGAAGAGCGTCGTCCACTGCGCCTTCGTGACACCCGCGTCGTCCGACATGGTAGCGAGTTTGTCGTTATTGGCAGGCTCAGGGGAAGGGGTCCGGACGGGCGAGTGGGCGCGTGTGGAGAATCTTATACCGCACACTACGGAATGGCGAATGCACATCCATCTCCGCGCCTCCTGGAACGCGCCATATCGCAGGTGTGCTTTCGCCCGCAGAGGCCGTGTTCGGCTGAAAACGGGGAGCGTATGGACCCCTCGTCCCGCACCCACTGGTCAATGAACATGCCCGCCAAACAGTCGCCAGAGAAGGCTATTGTACATGTTCGAAGCTCATAAAACTGTGCCGTTCGATGCCGCTGGCCAGAAGAGAGCTCCGTGTTTTGGAGGTTGTGCTCGTTCTTGAACTGAAGTCGGATTGGGGTTGAGGTATGCGGGACTGGTGTATGGAGGCGGCGCGAGGGATCGGGGTATGAGCGATCTATCAGCCGGCGGGAGCATTACTTGATTAGACAGGGTCGAAGCGTGAGGGGATTGAAGGGAGGAGAGGATTGCGTACGTGAAGTCAAAAATGCTTTCATCGGCAGCTGCAGTGTTGAGTACTGAGTGAATGGTGCTGCCGTAGCGCGAATTTGACGAGCGCATAGAACACGTGCCTCTACAGCAGAACATGGGAGGCGAGCCAACGCAATTTGAGGTGCTTATCGGAGAAGTAGCGTCCCAAGGTCTTGACGGAAGTGCTTATGGAACGGCCGACTTTCCAGACAGGAGGCGGCAGGTTGTATGCACGGAAAAAGCCGACATCCTCGAAAGACATGTATTTCCCATCTTGACATTTTACATCGGAGCCACGGATCCATATCTTGAGGGTACATATCGTTGTAGCAACCAGCACTCCCTCGACACCGGAGGAAAGTCTGTCGCCAATGAACGGTACGCTACTGCATTCGCATCGCCCGACGGTACGAAATGGAGCTGTTCGCAGAGGGCAAGAGTAACGCGCTTACCACACACCGATCCATAGCATGTCTCGTAGTGCAACAGCCCTCGTCATCTTTGATCCATCTGACCGCGTCAGCCGTTCGCCAGGATGGACCGTATTCATGGGCGATGGTGAAAAGGGCAGTGTTGCAATAGCTTGAGTCAGACTTCCGGATGTATTGGCCACAATAGGATGGAAACGAGGCTCAGGTAGATGATGGTGAGAGGAAAACCAGACGCAGGCGCCTCAATGCTTCGACATCAACGACGACCATCTCATTCGAACGCAGTCTCGACACCGGCGACATCCTCAATGTTGCATACGCTGTGATGGGGTGAATTATTTTCTGTTCGTGCGTATCTTGTCACGGAAGAGGGTGTAGTTTGATAGCAATCGACTCTCGGCCGTGGGCTAAGCTGTCCAACGTACGTCATCTGGACTCTCCAAGGACTTTCCTCTTGTACACTCCCGCCTTGCTAGCGCAGGGCATGGTCTGGGGCCAGGCGGGAGAAGGTTCAATACGTCTGCAAGAGGCCATGACATGACATCTTCTCACCTCGATCAAGACGCGGACATACAACGGGCCGAAGATGCGAACGGGCAGTCCACCGTGAGGCCTACGCCCAGGTGTATATCACTCTACACAGCCGTTTCTGGTCGACCATGCCTCTCACTCAACACCTCACGTTCGCCACCGCCGAACCCGCGCACTCGGCCGTCCTCGACGGCTCCTCCGGAAAGCCGCTCTACGACATCCGGACCTCCTTCCTTCACAGCGCCGCGAACCCCCGTCTCGCTACCGCCGTGCACGACGTCGATGGGCACACGACCTCGCTCTGGCTGCATCGCTCTCCGGGCGCAGAAGCGGACGCGGAGCCGGAAGCGGTCCTCATCCGCGGCGCGAAAGCGACTCTGATCGCGGACTGGCTGCACGTGGGCAAAGGGTCGCACCCGTCAGTCTCTTTCCGTCCCCCTGCGTTCCGCTGCGCCCCGCTCACGCACTTGGTTGCCAGCCCGTGGCAGTTCCGCGCGCCGGACGGGCGCGCGTACGTGTGGAAGGAGCAAAGGTTCAGGACGTCGCTGAAGGTGCGCATGTACTGTACATTCGGCTCCGCATGCGAGCACCGGGAACTTACTACATGCGTGTTTGTGTTTGTGCCACCGCGCGCTGCAGCTCGTCGACGTCGAGAACGGGAGGACGGTCGCGCGCTCGTACCGCAACAAGTCGGGCCTGGACTACGACCCCACGCTGCGTCCGGTGCTCGACGTCGTCCTACTGGCGTACGTCGTGTGCGAGGAGCGTAGGAGCCCCGCAGCGTCGCAATGCTTGCGCTACCCCAGTGGGGATGCCCATGCGAGCGCGCGGGGGCCTATCCCGTTCCTCTTTCTCTGAAGGAGTTCAAATGAGGTTGAGATACCCAGCAGAAGTATGATACCCGCCATTCGGAGCACTTACAAAAATGACTGTAATCTATCATCACCACCATCATCACCATCACCAACAAGTACTTACTTTAAGAGAGATGTAGTGCAGGTCTCAACGTTTCAACATCCACGATAGCGCACGAACATAACTCCACGTCCGTGACTCCGCTGCTCTACGGCATCGCGGCCCGCTTGTCACACGCGCGTCACGTATGTGCAGTGTGACCTCGCGGTGCGCCAATTCACGACTATCGAAAGATTTGGCCAAACAGCTCTGTCTTCCCCCTTTCTGCCTCCTGGAATGTCCCAGCTTGCTTTCGAACCCCCCTTGCGGCCTGGTCTGCTGCCGCCCGCTCGCGGTGCCGTGTACATCCGACTACCACTGCCAGCACCGTCCCCACGTACCTTTCACAGATTTCGGCACATGCAAAACCCAGCTGTGGGCACACGACGCCCAATACCAGTTCCCCATCGCCCGCCGACGTGCGTACGGATCTGTTCACTGCGCTGCAACGGCTCGCGTAGCTCCACCCTCTGCCCGCGACGCGCTCGCCCGCCTGCCGAGTCCCGACAGAGGTCCTCGGTCAGATCCCGCCCGGCTTGCGCGCGCCGTCCCCCGTGCAGGCCCTCCCCTGGTTCGTTATCCTCCCTGCCACCGTTTCCCTCGCCGCGCTTCTCGAGGCTGTCCAACGCACGTCATTTGGACCTCAAGGACTTTCCTCCCGCTTTGAGCGCAGGACAATGGTCAAGGTCCGTGGCCACTGCAAGAGACCATGACATCATCATCTTCTCGCCTCGCGGTTGGTCATGACGCCGACATAGAACGGGCCGAAGATGCGAACGGGCAGCCCACCGCGCGCTGTGGGGCCTGCGCCCAGGGTATATCTCACTCTCCACAACCGCACTTGGCCAACCATGGCCCTCGCTGAACACCTCACGTTCGCCACCGCCGAACCCGCGCACTCGGCCGTCCTCGACGGCTCCTCCGGAAAGCCGCTCTACGACATCCGGACCTCCTTCCTTCACAACGCTCCAGGCCCCCGTCTCGCCACCGCCGTGCACGACGTCGATGGGCACACGACCGCGCTCTGGCTGCATCGCTCTCCCGGCGCAGAAGTGGGCGCGGAGCCGGACGCGGTCCTCGTCCGCGGCGCAAAACCGACTCTGCTGGTGGACTGGCTACGCGCAGGCAAAGGGTCGCACCAGTCAGTCTCTTCCCGTTCCCCTGCGTTCTGCCGCGCCCCGCTCACGCACTTGGTTGCCAGCCCGTGGCAGTTCCGCGCGCCGGACGGGCGCACGTATGCGTGGAAGGAGCAGAGGTTCGGGACATCCCTGAAGGTGCGCATGTACTGTCTGTTCTCCAGATTATTCGCCCTCGACTCACATGTATGCTTGTGCTTGTGCCGCTGCGCGCTGCAGCTCGTCGACGTCGAGAACGGGAAGACGGTCGCACGCTCGCACCACAGCAAGGTGGGCTTAGACTACGACCCCACGCTGCGTCCGGTGCTCGACGTCGTCCTACTGGCGTACGTCGTGTGCGAGGAGCGCAGGAGCGCCGCGGCATCGCAAGACTCGTTTCGCTCCAGTGTGGATGCCCATGCGAGCGCGCGTGGCCCCATTCCATTTCCCCTCTGAACGTTCGCGCGCGGGGGCGCAGATGAGGGTGGGATACCCGGCAGAAGCACGATACCTATGGGCGCTTACAGAAATGCCTATCGTCTATAATCTCTTGATATCTCCCGCGATGCGGGGCGTTTAGAATGGCACATCCCATGACAGCGGCTCCGACCTTTTCTCCTTGTGCTCAACAGCCATATTCCCACCTGTATGTCTCTCACCTATACCGTGGACCGTTCTACGCGATCCCACACAGAAGAACCGCGAGGAAACCCCCACGGGCTCGACGCTAGTTGCATTGGTGCAAACGGAAACGTGCCCCCTCAGTGGCCTGAACCATGTCAGCGCGAACAACGGATGGTTTGCTAATTTTAGGCCGAGTATGGATGCAGATGGACGGAGGCCTTTGGAGGATGCGCACGTTCGTCTCCTACCATGTGTACATGTTCTGCACTGACAGCAGTGCGAGGATATGCCGCTATCCGCTGACCCCCTTGCCTCATCCTCCACTGCCGACCCGCTCTCTGTCCGCCACTTATCGTCTGCCGTCCTTCGCCGTCGCGAGCCCCGCCGTCATCTAGGCACTCCATCACTCCTGGCCCAGGCCGATGGAAGCTTTCCTCCGCCCTCTTCAGTCTAAGGTTGCGTTGAACGCGGCACATAAGAGCCTCAGCCCAGCAAGAATCCGCTCCGAGAGCCTTCGCTCCAGCCTCCACCCCATACCCACCCTCGTCGCGTCGCGCGATGCTCCTCGCCCTCGCCTGCGCCCTCGCCCTCCCTTCCGCGGCCTTCGCCGCCCAGGCCCAGGTCTTCCAGCAGCCTGCGTCCAGCCCCGACGCTCCCTCTGGCAACTACACCGGCCAGAGCAACAGCACCATCTCCAACGGCCCCCTCGTCCCCGGAAAAGCCTTCGACCGCTTCATCCAGATCTGGATCGAGAACACGGACTGTGAGCCCGCCCGCGACTGCTTCTATGCTGTGCTTCTGCCCGTTCGGGACAGGACCACTGCTTGCTCACGCATGTGCTCACGCCCACGCCCACGCTTGCCCGCATCTCAGACGAGACGGCCGCATCATCCCCGGTGTTCCAGAACCTGAGCAAGGACGGAATCTTGCTCGACTCCTACTACGCCCTCACCCACCCCTCCGAGCCCAACTACCTCGCCGCCGTCGCTGGGAGCTTTTGGGGTCTCGGGGGTGACGATTTCGGTAAGTATTCGGAGTCTTGAAGCGCGTAGCAATATGTGCCCGCTTATGCGTGACGTCAGTGCACGTGCCTCAAAACATCTCGACCGTCGTCGATCTCCTGGAGCAAGGGAACGTCTCATGGGCGAACTGTAAGTGGAAGCTGTCGTTTGCCGGTTGATGCTAATCTTTGCTTCGCAGATCAGGAAAACATGCCTTCAGATGGCTTCACGGTGAGCACTCTCTTCTTACGTTCGGTCATGCGACTCTTCGCGCGCTGCGACTGATTAAATTCACTGTCCACAGGGCTTCAACTTCACCTCGGCTGACTACCTCAGTGAGCCATAGCATGCGTTCACTGTCCGTAACCCAAGTACTAACGCATGCTTACAGCCGGCTCGTCCACCTACACGTATTACGTGCGCAAGCACAACGGTCTCATTGTTCATGATTCGGTCGCGAACGTGTCCTCCCGTGCGCTCCGTAATCGCAACTGTGAGTGCTCCCTTCCGTGCTGGACCAAGGACCTCTGATGCAAGCCAACCCCAGTCAACGACTTCGCCGTCGACCTCAAGGCCAACGCCATCCCGCAGTGGGTCTGGGTGACGCCCAACCTGGTCAACGACGGGCACGACACCACCATCGACTTCGTCGGCGACTGGCTCAACTTCTGGCTCGTGCCGCTCCTCACCCACCCCGCGTTCAACGACAACCGGACGCTCGTCGTCCTCACCTTCGACGAGACGGAGACGCGCACGATCAACAACCGGGTGTACACCCTCCTCCTCGGCGGCGCCGTCCCCGCGCCCCTCCGCGGCACGACCGACCCGACCTACTACACCCACTACTCCACCCTCTCCACCGTCGAGGCGAACTGGGCGCTCATGTCGCTCGGCCGCGGCGACACGAACGCGACGCTGAACAACGTCTTCGCCTTCGTCGCGAACGCGTCCGGGTGGGCGAACAACGGCCTCGCCGGCAACGCGTCCGCCATCCCGCTCACGAACCTCACCGGGGACGTCCCCGGCCCGCTCAACTCGGGCTTCTACCTCCCGTTCCCCGCGCCGGACGTGGCCGCGAAGGGCGCGGGCGGGAAGGGCGTGTTCGTCGCGCCCGGGCTCGACGCGAGCGTGACCGTGGAGAGCCTCGGCGCGCCGGTGAACCTGACGGCGAAGGGGCTGGCGAATCCCTGGGCGGGGGACGGGGGGATCGGCGATGCGAGCGCGAACGCGCCGGCGGCGGGGACGGGGGCGGCGGTCGCGCGCGGGGCGCGCGCGGGGCTGCTGGCGGTCGTGGTGGCTGTAGTCTTTGGCGCGGCAATGGTGCTGTGAATGAACTTGTTCGGGTATTGGATCGGACATGGCGGTGGTACTCGAGGTCCTTGTAGTCATGCGTTGGCAGCATTGTCGTGTTGTTGCCCTCTAGGCTCTGGCAAGCTTGTTGATGAACTCGAGGGTGCCGGCGCTGTGAAACAAGCGCCGGTGCCATGTAGGAACCTGGCGCCCAGCGCGCTCTCACTGGCTTCCTCATTCTCCAATCTCTTCTCGCGGTCTCCCACCAATATCGATATCATGTCGCCCCTCGACTGAAACACCCTCCAACGGCTTTATATATCCCCATGCATCTTCGATGAGCCCCGCCCCTCAGCTCAGGACCGCAATTTGAGGCAACAGCTTCAACAATCTGACCCGCGTCGACCGGAAGCCTCAGCAGCCTCGCGTACCAACAGCGCTCTGTAGTCCGGGAATCACCTCCGGAATTCCGAGTACATGCTCTTCGAGTTCTCAAATAAGGCAGCGGGGGTGATCATAGTCGGAGACAATGGGGCGGACGGCATGCGAGGGCTGCGGAGGTAAGTTGTATCGCTGCATCGAGTGCGTGAAACACGACGAAGCATTGTGTACAACGGCACTTCCGTCCTTCCTTGAGACTGGATGTTGTAGCCGCTAACCATCTCGGCGACACGTTGGCGCACCGTTGAGTCGCGCACTTTGAGTACGCCTTTATTCGCCAGAGTCAATGTGGGTTTACTCGGCTTCACTGGTTGGGCTGTGCCTTTGGTTCTCTGCGAAGCCTTGTGCCATTCCCGTGTGCCGGCACGCACACCAACCAAGACCACTCCACAGCCACCGTCACCAAACCATCGAACGCAACAGCTTGCAGGCACTGAACATTAGGTACCAGCTTCACAGAGTCGACAGACGCCCCTGCCACGCATTCCGACGGCATGTTGAACACACTTCCAGGGCGTGCATGCACGACTTTCTAATATCCAGCAATACACCGGTACCAGTGCCGGCATGCTTCTATTCATCCCTATACACGAGGGGAACGCGAGGATGGGTGCTGCACGATCAGGCTACGACCTAAATCGAGTTCCGACCTGTGTTTCTTCCTCCATCCATCCTTCCCCATCCTACCTCGCCACAGTTGACGATGTGGTTGCTCCAGACGACCACTGCGACTCTGACACAGTTCGCTGATATATCTGCGGTGCCGGGCGGCTACGCCATCCTATCCCACACGTGGAAGAGGTCCGGGGAACAGTCTTTTCGTGAATTGCAAGACATCATTCGGCGCTGCAAGAAAGACGACTCCAACGCTCGAGACCACGTATCGGAGAAGATCGAGAGCTGCTGTATTCAGGCCGAGAAGGACGGGTACGAATGGGTCTGGATCGACACTTGCTGCATCGACAAGGACTCCAGCACCGAGCTCTCCGAGGCCATCAACTCCATGTTCACCTGGTACCTCCACGCCGAGGTGTGTTACGCCTACCTTTCCGACGTCCCATCGCGCGACCACCCCCGCGACTGGCTCTACGACTTCATCCGTGCGCGCTGGCACTCGCGCGGCTGGACGCTGCAAGAGCTCCTCGCCCCCGCGCTCGTCGTGTTCTTCTCCGCAGACTGGGAGGTGATCGGCACCAAGGATGAGCTTGCAAACATCCTATCCGTGATCACGGCCATCCCTTCGTCCGTTCTCACCCGACAGACGTCCATCTTCAGCCTGCCGATCGCCACACGCATGACGTGGGCAGCTCACCGCGAAACGACTCGCATTGAGGACGAGGCGTACTGCCTGCTCGGCATCTTCGACATCAATATGCCGACTCTGTATGGGGAGGGCGCACGCGCGTTCTACCGCCTTCAGCAAGAGATCGCGAAGCAGTCACCGGATACCACACTTTTCGCATGGGGCGACCGACACACCGATCGAGAAGACAAGATAGAGATGAAGGTCGAAGTAGACCATCTCTCAGCCGAGAGCTCCCGCGATCTCAACATATGGGAAGATGCCTCAAAGCACTTCTTGTTCGCACCGTCGCCTCGTAACTTCAGATATGTTCTCGGTGCATCAATGTCCTTCACGCCCCGAGTTTCTGGCCAGGCGGTTCTACAACCCTATACGGTCGCACATTGCAGTGATCGCGAGGACGTACGTCTAAATCAATCATCGCTACCTCGCTATTCTAACGCTACGCTAGGGGAAAACACGCAGCGCAGTCGGCCCCTTCGGCCCAGGCTACGATCTTCCCAGCTTCGAGATGACCAATCTCGGCATGAAGTGCTGTCTTCCGCTTGCGGAGGTAAACGGCCACACCATCGCCGTCCTCTTCTGCGAGACCAACAGGGACCACGTCGGCCTCCTCCTCAACCCCGTCTCTCCCGACCATGCGTGTTCACGCCAAACGTACCACGTCGGCGCGCGCTGCAGCTTCCCCTCCAAATATACCAAGCGCTACATCCGAGTCGTGCACCTCGGCGCGGACTTCCACAACCTCTCCTTCCGCGGGACGACCTTCCGGGCCGCGTGGCGCGAGTTCTACATCGCGACCGCCCCTCCCATCGCCTCCGCACACAGCATCCTCGGGCTCGCGTCCGACCGCGTTCCTGGCATCCCCTTCCGAATCCCGCGCTGGCTCTTCCGCGTCTTCACGGGCCTAGAGCTGTTCCCGGAGTCGACGATCACGACCGGAGCGGATGGGCCGCCCGTTAAAGTCGTCAGATTCGCAAACACGAACAACTTCGTGAACACGACGATGATCCTCGTCCTCGGGACGTGCAACCGCCACTCGGTCGACGGAAGACCGGCGCACTGGGCCTCCGTGCGACTCGGCGGGACAGAACGGAAATACTACGAGAGGCGCGCGGCGCTGGGAGAGATGTGGAAGCGGTTCCAGGCGGCCGACGCTCAGCGCCAGGAATCCGACGACGCTGCAGCGAGCCGGTCACCGGCGGGCGCGGGCGACACCCGCGCAGAATTCGTCGCGGCCGCGGCGACGGCGTTCCGGAGGCTCCGGGCGTTCTTGGACATGTCCGTCACCAACCACTCGGGGGCCGTTCGGGCGGACGGGCTGGGCGCCCACGCCTGCCCGGACGACCACGTCGCCTTCTGGCCCGGGTGGACGCGGGAGTTCGAGGCGTCGCACGGCGTGCACCACGTGCGCCTCTCGTTCTCGCGCTGCCCCCACGATCCGGCCGCGACGCGGGTGCTCCACGCGGAGCTGCGCACTGCGCTCTACCCCGCCTCGGTCGTCGTCCCTCCGCGGGTGCCGCTCTCTGCGGAGGACCGGGCGGCGTCAGAGCGGTCGCGGGAGGAGAAGCTCGGGAGCACGAGGGCGATGGAGGAGGCGAGCGTCACGTCCACGCCCCCAGCTGAAGGTGGACGGAAGCGTGCGCGCGAGGACGATCCGGGGGACGATACGCGTAGGGCCACCCGCTTCCGCAGTGGATCGTCGCCTGTGCCCGACGCGTCGCAAGATCCAGGGGAATCCCGTTGAGGCCATGCTGTATTCCACATGACGGACTGCTCTGGTTCCGCAGGGGTAGAAATCGTGTTGTGGCGAGCGAGAAGTCGAGAACGACGTTCGGATTACATGAATGGGCGACGGTGCTCGCGCTTCGCGCGGATGACGTTGTACTTTGCACAAAGTCCACCTTCACTTCTTCGTACTATGATGATACTGTGATCCAAGACTCGACGACAACACATTTACAGGCCAGAAGGGGTGCCGTTTTTGACGGCGGCGTCGTGCGCGCGAGCCAGGTACCCGTACTTGGGGAGAGGTCTACATAAGTTGAATCGCACGGACAGCGGCCCGGCATGGGTACCAGCCCACACCCAACCCGACGATCGAGCGCGAGCTTCGACGGCGTCGCTCATCGCCGTTTGACCAGTACAGACCACGCGTCGCGACGATGTTTCGCCCCTAGGAGCGGACGCCCCGAGCCCACTACGCTCGCGCAGCCGCCGCGCCGCGCGCGCACCACCGGGGCGTGCACCATGACGCGGTCCCCGCATCCCGACGCGTCTCCGCCCCGTGCTACAGCCCGGGACCACGACCCCTGACGATCACCCGATAAACCTACGCGCGGCATGAGCCCCTCTCACCGGGGGACGTCGAAGGGAGTGCTAGGTCGCTCCGTGCTAGCCCATCCTTTCCGTGCTGCTGCCAGGTGGGCATGCCTGGCATCCGAGCGCGCAGCGTGCCACCCCCCTCGATGTGCCGTGCTCGATGCGCGCGAGCTGTCCCTGCGCTTGTGCGCGCATACCAGCGGAAGGATGTCGACCGGGCGCTGCCTCGGGTGTTGGACCGGTGGAACCTGACCAGGTGGCGCGAGGTTCCGCAGCCGGTGGGGTTTCGTTGCGCACGCAAGGGGCGGGAGGACGCCTTTGTGTACTTATATGAGTACCCACAGCGCGCCTCGCGCAGGAGACGACGGCACCTATGTATCTTGCTGCTCCCGCTTCCGCGGCCACGGAGCCTGGCTCGGAGCATGTGCAGCGCGCCGACATCAAACCCAGCGACGGATGGATGGTCGACCCTGTGGTGTTCATGAAGGGCAAGATTAGGGTGCAAGGGTACAGGAAATGGTGGAATATGGTAGCGCGAGTCCGTCGGATTTCTACGCCTTCTTTTCGTTCGAGGAGAGTCTGGGATACAACTGTCTCGCACTCTCACTTATTGGAGAGATTTCTTGAAAGTGTGCTTGCATCGAGAAAGAGGAGGCATGGTTTCCACGCTGCAGATACATACAGCAACCCTCTCATTCCAGATACGCGAGCGCGTGGTGTCTACAGTAGGACTGGTATCGGGAGATATCATGCGGTACATTCAGCAGAGGGGACAACACAACATGGCAGCGAGAGCGATAAGCGGTAGAGTAAAGGGTCAGACGAGGTGAAACTTAACGAGACGAGAATAAACATAGAAAGATGAAAGGATGTCGCGACTGCGAGGGTGACGGGAGGAGAAGAAAGGCCCCAGACACACTGGGAAAGTCTAGACTCCAAGGGTAGGTATTTCTAACATACAGCTGGGTGCTAACGGCGAGCCCGCTTGCGCCGGATCAGAATTTCAGAATTGTCCGGTTCACCGTCAGCGTGCTCCGGGGACGCAGAGGCCTCAACGCCCTCCTCATGTTCAACCCCGTTTGGAGGGGCGTCGGGCATTTCCTCGTCTTCGTCTTCGTCCCGTGCGCGTTTCCGCGACGCCGTTGTAGGTGAACCTTCGACGTCTTCCAACTCCTCCGGCTCCCCAGCGTCGGGATCCTCCGGCTCTCCAGCGTCAGGATCCTCTGGCTCCTCCGGTTCTTCTGGCGGCGGAGAGGGGTGCAGCGACGAGAGCTCTGAGGACGAGCGCGACACCGATCGTGTAGGCGACTTAGGCGCCGCCTTCTGCTTCCGCGCTGGGCGAGGCTTAGGCTTAGCGCGGGGCGTCCGCCCGCCCCTCCCGGCGGCCTCCTCTTCTGTCGCGCCTTCACCATCGGAGTGGACGCCGTTCTGGGCAGGCTTGCCGTTGGCCACGAGGCCCTCGGCCTCGGTCGTTTCCGCGGCCTCTTCGTCAGTGGTGATGAACTCGCCACTCTTGGCGGCGTCCTTGCGTTTGCGACCGCGCCCGCGACCGCGAGCTCCTACGGGAAGACTGGTAAGCGATGGGAGATGTGGAGGATGAGACGGAGATACCGTACCTTTCTCCTTGAGCATCGACGTTGTGAGCTTCTTTTCGTACGCGCGGTAGGGTTCCCAGATCTTGGACGTAGGCGAGATCTGTACCTTGGCTTGTGCGATGACATTATCTAGGTGGGCTTTACTGCAGGAGAAAACGTTGGTCAGGACACGATGGCAAGCACTCGAAGGAATCATGCTTACATCGCCTGCGCATCCTTTTGTCCGACCCCAGTGAGGAGCGGCAGCATGACGCGGAAGAACTTGATGCACTTTGATCTGCCCTTCTTGTTCTTCCCAGTCTCGTAGGCCGCGAGCCGCTTTCCAACCCAGTTGAGCAAGTTCGTCTGGATTTGGACGACGTACTGGCCGTCTAGTCGCCGCACAACTGACAGCTGGGCGCCGCGGATGAGCATGCAGGCCGAGAGAGCCTTGCCAAGCGCGGTTGAATGATCCTCCGAAGGAGCGACCGAGTCGAGGTAGAGGGTGAAGGACTGCACATGTGGGCATGAGCGAAGTTTTCGAGGAGCATTATCCCTGCACGTACCTCCTGGAGCGCCTGGCAGACGATGCCAACTACCGCTGCCCCGTTGTCCTTGTACATGCCTTCTTCGCGCAGGAGCTCGACGATAACCTTCGCGCACATGTCGAACGTCGCACCCAAACGGCCGTAGTGCGCGAGCAACACTGCCGCATGCCGGAAGTGGATCGCGCCAGCGCGGACGGCGCGGAGGAAGGTCGTGACTACCCCGATGAAGACGTATTCTTTCTCGAGCTGGGCGCGTGAGAGCTTGCGTGCTGTGGTAAGGGTAGTCTTGGCGGCACTCTTGCCTTTCGCTCCACGGCCCTTTTTTCCCTTCGCTTGCTCCTTTGGTTCTGCATCTTCTTCGTCGTCGTCTTCCTCTTGACTGCTCTCATTTTCCCCGGGGTCGTCTTCCGCGAGCTCTTCCGCGAAGCGTTCGATTTCATTCTGAATGAATCCTGCGCATCGGGCCTGAACTTCATCGTCGAGCGACAGGGGCAGCGCGGCGGTGGGTAGTCGACCACCGTCCGGGACATTGGTCTCCGTGGCACAAAATAGGATGTGCAGTGTCAAAAGATTTTGATAAGCCTGTGCAGCGAGAGCGATCAGCACAGACCAGTGAGGTGAACTGCGACGAACTAACTGCTCGCCGGACACCATCGACGGTGTTAGACTGAGTGCCCACCGCGAACTCAACAAGCTTTTCGAGAAGGGACTCGCGTTCTTCCTTGAGCTTGTCGCGGTGCTGCATTTCCTCTGACGACAGCTCCAGGGATATCGGGAGGCTGCGGGCCTTCCACATGATGTGGAGAGTCAAGAGCTGCAGCGCGCGATCGACCATCTACAGAAAATGAATCAACAGCGAGCAAGTACCATTTGCGAAGATACTCACCGCTTCCTCCTCCTTGTAGCCTAACCGACCGCGTTCTGCGAGAGCGCTGACGATATCCCACGCGCTGCTCTGCTTGCCGCCCTCGTCTTCCTCCATCCACGATGCCGTGTCACGGATGCCCGACAAAGCAGCCAGGCGAGCACAAATGGCGGCCAGGGCGAGGACTTCGTCTTCAGAGAAGGTGGCAATCTCGATTTCGTCCCGTCCAGCAATCGCATCCCGCAACGATGTTGAGAGCTCCTCCTCGAGTTCGACGATCTTTGAGCTGTTGGTCTTGGATAAGCTGGTGGTGTCCATCATCTGGCGGATGGCAGCGACAGCGTTGGCGAGGACGACCGGTGAGGAATTTGACAAAAACTGTTTTGTCACGTCTTCCCATAGACTGGAATAAGCCTTGAAATCTATTAGAATACGAGCGATCGGATATATAAGATGAGCTCACGGTCATCATCCGCATCTCGAGGTAGAGATCGAGGTTCATGAGCTGTGGTATCAGGAGCACGTCCGATATCCTACCCTCATCAGTTTGATGCTTGATGAACAATCGTGGCATCGCCTTGATGAGAGCACGGGTAATGTCTGAAGAGGTCGTGTCCTCGTCGTGCTGGATAGACTAGGATTTAGACAGGATTGAAGCAGAACAAGCGTGAATGCACCGACCTTTTTGGCAGCCGCGGCATCCGCCAGTGCTTTCCTGAGAGTTGCGACGAACATCTCCAGAAGCACGCCCTCTTCTACCTCCTCAAGGCGATACGCCTCGTCCACAGTTTGATCGACAGCAGGTTGTTTGCCTTTCGACCGTGAAGTTGGTCGGGAACCGTCTCCGGCGGCAGAGTGGTCCAACAAAAGCACGTCCAGCAGCGTCTCCCAGTCGCGTACTGGTTCAACCTCATCCCAGAGGGCCTCCACCACGAGTGCAGTCCGACCTTTAGGGTTGTGGCCAACGAGAGACGCGACTTCTTTCGCCCGTGTTCGCTTCGACGAGCCTTCGCCCAAATCCATGGTGTCCTCGTCGTCTGCGTCGCTGTCGCTGGTCGACTTGTCCAGCGCGCGCCCCCAGCTCACGAGGAGCGTCCCGAGCGCCTTGACCCCCGCGCGGTGCTTGTCCTCGTCGGAAGGTCGCCGTCCCACTAGCCGCTCCTGCAGGCTCTCCTCCCACACACCCTTGACGAACCCACTCACCGCCCGCCGAACGCGCGCCTCCTCGTCGAAGACCAGCAGACATAGCGCCTCCCGCTGGTCGTCCTCCAGCAGCCCATGTCCGTCAATCGTCTGGAGAACTTGCACCACCGCGACCCGTACGTGGAGCTCAACGTCCTTGACGGCCATTTCTACCAACCGTGGTTTGAACCGTTCGGTGAAGTGCTGCAGGGCCGCCGCGCCAATATGGGTCGTCTGTTCGTAGGCCAGGGCGAGTGCGCGCACCGCCTCGAGTCGTACCTGTGTCTGCGCATCGGAGAGAACCCAGCCCACGTAGCGGAGGTAGGAGCCGTCGAGGAAGTGCCCAGGATACTTCTTGAACCAGAGTCCCATCGCACGGACGCACTCTGCGCGAATATTGGGATCGAGGTCACGGTATCGGTGGATGAAGACGCTGCCGGCGCATACATACACTCAGAAAAGGGGTCAAAAAAGGATAACTAGCACTCACCCGTCGACGAACTCCTTGAGGAATTCCGCGAGCTTTGTCCTCCGCTCCCGGACCTCTGAAGCCTTCTTCTCCAGCTCTGCGTCCCGGACGTTGCCCCCCTTTCCCTTGTTCCCCGCTGCCTTCCGTTTCCTCTCTCCTTCCCGCTGACGACTGATGACTTCCGCTTCCTTCTCCACAGTCGCGGCGACGTCGCAAAGCGCGGTTTCCACCTCCAGCGCGATCACGGTCGCAGTGTGTCGGAAACTGCGAAGTTGTGACGACGACATGGCGCTGACCCACGTTTGCAGAGTGGGCATCAAGTCTGATGTGTAGAGGGAGCCGAGCTCAGCGGAGGAGATGATGAGGCGTTCCAGGAATTCCGAAAGGGACTTCCTGAACTTCTTGAAGACCGGCAACTTGGACGTTAGGGGGTATATCGGTGTATCGTCCTGCAAGACGGGTCAGGCTCCGCTCTCGTCGCCATCAAACCGCGGAGCTCACCTTCTTCAGGATCTCGGTGAAGTCGTCCAATGCGTCAACCACGCCGTCGTAGTCGACCGCTCGGTGTTCATCCACGGAGTCGTTGCAGCCACACGTCCGAAGCACGCAGTTGATAAGCTCTGCGAGAGCCAGCCCGGGGCTGAGGGAGAGAGACTCGAGGTAATCCTCTGCAGTGGACTGGAGGGCTGCACTGGGGTTCATGATCGCGTCTTGTTGCTACGCGTCAGCACCAAAGCGAGAAACAGAGTAAGCGCACGCACTGAACAGCGTGTTGTCGTTGAGAATCTTGCTGTCTCTCGCGGCCTTGTCGGCATCGAACCCCCCCTCAGCCCCCGCGCCCTTGCCCTTCCGCGCACCGACCTTTCGCGGCTTCGAGGGCCCCGATGCCTTCTGAGTAGCGCGTTTCGGTGCCGTCCCTCTCGGTGCACGCGGTTTCTTGGGTACGGCAGCCGCCTTGGGCTTCCGTTTCGTGGCGGGTGGTTTTGACGCGTGATTGTGTCGCTCGTCCGCATCCTCTTCGTCGTCAGCGGCCGCGTCGTCAGACTCCTCGCCGTGCGCATCTCCCTGGTGGTCTTCTTCGTCGTCCGTCGCGTCCGAACGCTTCCTCTTTAGCAGCAAAGCGCTGTCGACTTGGGATACGGTCAAGCTTTGCAGCGGTATCCAACCGAGGAGCGTACCTGACACAAAGTGAGTGGCTTGTTTGCGCTCTCGTTGAGAGCGTCGTGGCTCCGAGGGGTCCTCTGCGGGGCCCGCAGACATGGTCAGGAGAGTTGAGGGAGGGGGAAAAGGAGGGTGAGACGCGCTTTGGTCGGCGCGCGCGCGACGCCGCGTTGCATCCGAATTGGGTCACATCACGTGCCTTCGCACACTAGGGTAGTAAGTAGTCAGCTGTCACACTCTTAAGCATGTTTTAAAGCCCACTACAATCACGCGACGTGACACTCCGCCTGAACCGCGCTCGCGTGCGTGCGCACACTGAGCTTCTCTCGTCGCCACCTCCTGCTACCAGTCTTCCTCGCTATACACAAGTTCGTTTATCCTCACAGGAAGCAAGAAACTTGGTCTGGGGAGGGTTGTTCATTCTCAATGGCTCCTGGCGGCACGAAAATCATCATTCGTCCTCGGCGAGGTCGAGGTGCGCCCTCCACACCAGCGCCTGAAGACTCCGAGGAGGAGGTCATGCAAGTCGAGGATGAAGAGGCTGGCGAAGCCCGCGGTTCGGGCAGCCCCTCGGGCTCTGCATCAGTAACGCCGCTCGAGGACGACGACGATGAGGCCGTCGACATCGACGACACCGACGGGGACGCGGATGTCCAGCCGAGCGCTGTGGAAATCGACGGCGACGAAGGAGCGGACTACGACGAGCCTGTCGTACCGCGCAAACGCGGAAGACCGCGGGGGAGACCGCGCGGCTCTGGTACGTCCACTCCGCGCGGTACTCGTGGACGTGGGCGCGGGCGCGGTCGAGGGCGCGGACGTGGAATCACCATCAAGCTCCCGAAGCGCGGCGCGGAGGACAGTGCGGACGGGGAGACGTCTGAACCGCCTGCGGACGCGTCCGCGCCCCCGCCGGATGGAGAAGAGGGTCCAGTAGGAGGAGGCAAACCATTCGTCCGCATACAAGGCAACGTCTACGTCATTGACGGGGACGAGTATGTCACGGAAGACGATCCCAAAGGAGATACCAAGATTGACAAGAACGGAAACTTGTTGGGTGGTGAGTCGCGTTTACTTTCGTAGCGACAGCGACTTTGTTGAGCATTATGCAGACCGGCGGTTCAAGTCGCAAACGTTCCTCCTTCCAAACCGCCATCCGGAGCGCATGTACATGCTTGCAATCGACGCGGCGCGCACGTCGGGTTTCCGCGATTCTCTATACTACTTCCGCCGAAACCCACTCGCGATGAAGCTCAACGCGACGCAAGCCGAGAAGGATTATCTCATCTCGGTCGGCAAGCTCGGAAACCACCTGAAGACTCGCAGTGTCACCATGATCACCGCCAGAAGCGCATACAAGCTCCATGGAGCTAAGACGCTAGTTGGTGCGTCTTATACCCCCTATGAGTGTCCGTGCAGCGATGCTCATCAACTTTAGACGGCCGTTGGGTGATCGATGATTACTACGAGGACAAAGCTCTCGAAGAGGTCACTGCGAAGGGCCTCAACCCAGGCGATCCCGTGGGTGAGCTCCAGGATCCCAACGCGAACAAGGAAGCCGCTGCTCTTGCCGACGCGTCAGGTGGCGGACAGGGCAACAAGAGCGAACGCACTGGTGGTGGGCTTGGGATGTACCGCGCCGGTGGACCGACGACTCTATTCGGTGGCTCCGGATGGGGCCCGTACAGTGATGGACCACTAAACGCGGTGCGCAAGTCTTACCTCACGCGAGACGGCGTCAACGAAGAGAACTGGATGTATGTCGCCGCTGAGCGTACGGCCCATATGACGAGCGAATGGTCGAAGCTACGCAGGGAGAACCTCAAGGTGTGTGGTGGGATCCTGCCGGATCTCCCTGAGTTCGACCAAGACGCGCCGCGGGGTGCCGGTGAGAGGCGATCTGCAGAAGAGATGATGGAGCTGGAGAGAAGGCGGAAAGAGCGCGAGCAGCAGCTTCCGGTGGGTGTGTACGAGCCACAGACGGGTGTCGTAATTTGTGAGTACTACTACTTTTCTTTCACGTTCGATGGTTGACACAAATTCGGCACTCCAAGACCGAGCGGATACACAAGCGACTCAGGCACGCTGGGAGGAAGTACCTGATTCCAGCCGCCGAGTTCTGGGTGGATCAAAGGTTGGAGGTGCCGCGTGGGGCTTGACGTGGATCGACACGGTTATGCAGACGCCGCAAGAACACCAAGAAGGCCAATGGGCGAAAGAGCGAGCAGAGTATATGGATCTCATCAGGAGTACGCCCTCATAGTATACTGTCTCTTTTCGTTGTATTCGTCATTGTAACTGCTAATCGACTTACTATAGATCTTTGAACGTACAGGTTTTGTGTAATATATTCTTGTCTTGATGCAAGCCTGCCATCCGCGACTGACGGCGCCGGTCAACGGTTAAGCTTGGCAATAGGGAGTGCGCTGCCGCGTCTTGACGCTGCTGCAGTTTTGTGTGGCCGATAATGACATGCTGAACAGCACGGGAATTGTAGAGTCGGTTTGGGTTGGGTCTGGTCCCGGAAGGATGGACCTTGCTAAACCGCTGACCGCGGATACGTTTGTGGGATCGACTGCGTCAACATCAAGATGGACTGCGAAAGCTGCGGTGGGTGGATCGCGGACGAGTTGCTGCTCGGTGGGTGCAGCGCGGATAAATAGTGTGACTACAGGGACGCGGGATGAGTCCGCAGGGGGGCATATGTCAATATTGAACGTGGGGCAGCGCAGGGAGTCTTCACTGGACGAAAATACACGATGCTAACGTCTTCTTCCTTTCGCAGAGCATTGGGACCTGGGCTTACGCTCTTGATGTTGTGTGGCATCCTACATCCCTGATGGAAATGAAGATCTAGGACAGGAGGGATCTAGCGGAAACCCATTTTGCGCTCATGATGAGATCCCATGATCACTGAGGTACTGACTGCCGCTTCACTTCAATAAACCTCGACTCACCTACATCTCATGCATACATCGGGATCGGGGCGGTACCCAACACGTGAAACTCGCGATCATAACGTCGAGGAAGGCACAGGGGAGACGACAGTGCCTTGGTGGAATGCGAAGAGAGTTGCAGAACGGGGAGCGCGTATGTTACACACATTGCGGATACAAGGATACACCAGTCTAAGGAGTCTACCGACCGTACCTGCGAATCGTGAGGAAGAGGGTCTTTGTCAGCACAAGTCGAAGAGTCCGGTAGGGTACGCACTTCTGCAGCTCCCACTCTCGGTTGTCCAGCGGGCAGACGTTCCGGGTCTTGAGCCAGCGCGAGATGCAGTGGAAGTGGAACGCGTGCTGCACACGAGGCGCGGCACAGGTGAGCGGCCGAACGCAGGTGGGCGATAGAGAAAGCGGGCAGTGCTTACGTTGCAGATGCCCCACGCGGCGTTGCACTCCTCGCTGGTGGCGGAGACTTGGTTCGCCTGGCAATCGATGCCTGTCGCGCAAAAGCGTTGAACGAGGAACGGGATGCAATGCGAGACGGGTTCTCACAGAGGTCCATGATGTGGTTCCTGCAGATGGCGCAGTTCTCGACGACGATGTCTGTGGCGAGTGGCCAATAAGCAACGCCACTGGCGCACACGAGTGCACTGTAGACATACCCCAGGCCCAAAGAGAAACAGCGTTCCACTAATTCACATCCGTGGAAGATATCAAGTTGACAGTCTAGATGAGTGATAGATATTAGGAGGAGATGGAATATGGCTGCACCTTCTTGACCTCAAAGCGCTTCTTGTCGCCCTTGTCGCCCTTCTTGCCCTTGGCCTCGGAGCTAGCAGGCGGATCAACATCCATGGTGTCGGCCATGACGAGTCGTGAAGGAGATCTTGTGGAGAATAGGAAGGGATGAGCGAGGGGTGCGGAAGCCGCAATGGAGGTCGGAGGCAGGCCGGTGGCTGCTGCAGCATTCCGAGTACGGCTTGTCACGTTGTCACGTCATTAGACGTGATGTCACAATTTACCTTCACTGCGGGCGGCTATTTGGTATTGAATTTGATCTTTGCAGCCCAGCAGCCTCATCCTCGAGTCCACCCCAGCGAAATGGTTTCAAGTTCGACACACTCGGTCTGCCTGGATATCGACGCCTGGCTACTACACTTGGAAACTTGAAGCAGCACTGAAATATCGCGTGTGGCAGCAGTGCTCTTGCCCTTTCGTCGATAACTCATGTATACGAGTATATATGATGCACAGGACGCCTTCCTTCTCACTGGCGGACCAGGCGCCTGCAGAATCTTTCACTGGCAAAGTAGTGCACGGCTTAGAGTGCTCACACTCATCCCTGTAGCCGCATTTTTATGTCTGCATGCCTTCGTAAGCTTACGCGGTCAACCAACGGTCAACACTTCTGAAGTCGACATGAATGGTTGGTTTTCCTGGCGCCAATTCCAATGGATCCTTTCGTGCTGAAACTGGTGCGTCTGTCTCAAGACGCTTCGGGGGTAGGATTTACACATTTCTTGTTTCTTCGACACATGTTAAGAGGTAATTAGTCAATTCCGGCGAGCGTATACCTTGGGTGACATCATCACTCGACTTTTTGCATGATCATGGAAGTATGTGAGTACTCAAGTACTCACGGTTACGACACGCGCTCGACTTTTGGCGAGTGTGTAGACATCTTCGATGGGTAAGCATCGGGTAAGCACTCCATCCGCGCGGCCAGATATGCCCGAGGATTCGAGTCGGAGTTATTAAGTACTGAGAGGGGCTCAACAGAGAAGGCCGACCGAACTAACCCCGGTCCTAATTCCGCCCTTGTCTCCAGTTTTTCAGTCGCTCGCCTAGGCGGTGGTGGGGTGTGTACAATCGAGACCACAGTTTTCAAGATACAAGATTAAAAATGTCTTCGGGGGCTCGTCGCATGCAGAATGCACGCTGAGGCATTTCAGCATTGCTGCCGCTCGCTCTGTTGACGGCAGTTGCCAAGTGGACGGCTGCGCGACCGAAACCCGGCGGGCCTCGATCGGAGTTTCACTCTGGGGCGGCAATTACAAGCCGTGGACAGAAGAAAGCTGTCGGGTGTGCGTTCTCGAGCCGCGTTCTTGACACACGCGCGAGACGCGGACACGCAACCAATCGTCGGCGCAGGCAGCAACGCCAGGCGGGCTCGCACGGCGACGCTGCGATCTGTCCTGGGCGGGTCTGCGCAGGATTATGTAGATGGCACGGAATCCCAGCCGGCAGTGGCGCTCTCCCAGTATCCAGACTCTCTGTTCAGTCAGCTGCGCAGGCGGCGTCAGTCATAGTCAAAGTCAGGCAGTAAAGCGAGTTCCCGCGCGTTCGTGGCTGTCCCCCTTTCATCATCACGACCTGTGCTTTTCGCCCTCCGTCGCGCTCTCGACACTTGTCTTCCTCCTCTCACCATTGTATCCCGTCAGCCTGGCCCCGGTGCCCACACCGTCCATCTGCTTGCGCGCATCGACTGCGACGCTTCCAACTCTACGCCACTCTCTTAGTCTTCGATCCTTGCACTCGGCCACAACCACCGCACTCAAGGCCTCGCACGACTTCAGGATTCATACGTTCAAGCGTAGCCCGACGCATCGGACATCTCTCTAGAAATTTCATTGTAAACCTCGGTCTACAGCACATACGACCACCGATGGCGGAATGCTGCGACGCCCTCGTGGCTTGCTTCGGTATATGCGCCATATGTACATTCTGTACGTCCCGCCGTCACTACTCTATGACAGCGCACTGAGCCTCCCCGCCATACCACGTACAGGCGTGGGGTCAATATCCTCCACAAACCAATGGGCGTTCATGAGTACGTGCCCGTCTCCCTCTCGCGCTTTCCCCACCCGCTCCCGTCGTCTGTGCTCGTCCATCTCACGAACGAGCGCTTACTTCCCGCAGAATGCTGCAATTTCCGCATCACGCAGGCCGACGGTTGCTGTTCCTGCCGCCGCGCGATGAACGACGCCGAGTTCGAGCGCACCGTCGAGGACCTCTACGGCCAGCCCGGCGGCGCGCACAAGCCCGACGCCGACGACGGCACGACGCACGACATCGAGCTCCGCGAGACCCGCTCCGGGCTCACCGGCACGACCGCCGCGCAGCCCGGCCCACGCGCGTCGATGGAGGCCCCGCGCCGCTCGCGCGAGCGGGACCTGAGTGGGACGGGCCTGCCCGGCGAGGGCCGCCCGCGCACGTCGCAGGAGCCCCGCCCGGGAGATGAGACCGACGAACAGAGGGAGCGGCGGCTGCGGGCCGCGAGCCGCGGCGCGAAGGACCGCACGCGCGAGTGGCTCGCGCACCAGGACAGCGAGGGGTCGTCGGTCGGGCCCCCGCCCGACCCGGACGCGCTGCCGATGCCGGTCCCGCGGCCGCAGCCAGCGATGCCGCCGCCGGAGCAGAGCTCGAGGAAGAGCGCGACGCTGAGCGCGCACTCGGGCGGGCTCGAGCGCGACGCGAGCCGGCGGAGCCAGTGGGACGCGGAGGAGGCCCCGCCGGCGCGGACAGGCATCCCCGCGGCGCTCTTGCCAGGGCCTGGGGGTATGAAGAGCGTGGGCCCGGCGCAGATGCGGCTCGACTTTGCGTCTGGGCCAGACACGGCTGCGCGGCCTTCGTCGCCGCCGTCGTAGGGGGCATGCCACTCTATGGATACTCTGCCTCGTCCAGGACACTAGTGCTTTCTATGCTTCCCGCCGCATGTCACACTACTATCATCTCACTCGCTCACTCGTCGATGATCACCTTACTACATACATGCACCACGTCCTCTCTCCGTCACCGCATCATCCTCAAAGCCTCGCACGCTATAGTATATACCCAGTTGTATATAGGCAATCTCGTACCCTCATCGTTGATAATCCCGTTCATGCTGAAGTAGCTGGAATCTACATTTTCAAGTTCTCCCAGACGAGAGCCGGCTCGCGTGTCCTGATATCGCCTGCGCCATATTACTGTCTGGCACAAGCAACAACAACAACAACGGGGGAGTCTTGCGGCAACATTCAACTCTTGCGCGTATGCACCGCAGAACAGGCTCGCACAAGAACTGTGGATTGAACGCGTGCATCGTGCCAAGTACACACCGCATATCGTTTGGGAGGCCTATCAATCTCCCCTCTGCAGCTCTTCATCCCTAACGCGCTCCTGCAAGACCTCCTGCAGACGTGCCGCGAGCCCCTCGGTGAGCTGCACGACTCCGTCGGCGGTGCACAGCCGGTAGGACGGCATGGGCTGGTACGTCTCGGCGAGAATCTGGATGCGCACAGTCAGCGACGTCCGGGCAGCAGCGCGCGATGGGACGGAGACAGAGGAAGGGCACGCACCTCACCGCCCTCGACGCGCACGGACGCGATGATGTCGTCCGGGTCCCCGATGCGCCCGAGCGCAGGCACGTTGCGCCCGTCTGGAGAAGGCAGGGCGTCAGCGCGCGATCGACGGAAGAGACGTCGGGACGGCACGCACCGTGGATGTGCATCCAGCCGGCCTGCGTCTGCATCGCGCCGTTCTTCTGCACCTCGTCCGCGCCGTAGCGCAGCGCGGACTGCACCGCCGCGTGCAGCGCGGCGCGGAAGCGGTCTGCGGGAAACAGCGCGCGCGCGCGCGGGTCGTGAGCTGAGCTGAGCGGTGGCCAGACGAGCTTGCGCCTAACGCGGAGGGGGAGCGAGCGAGGACTCGGGACGTACCGTTCTCGACGAAGTCGTTCAGCCCCGCCCCGTCGCCCGCGCCCGCGGCGGGCAGCCATCCGACGACGGCCGCGGAGAGGAGCGACGGTGGGGGGGAAGGCAGGAACGAGAGTGCATAGACGGGGGTCGTCGCCGAGAGCTGGGTGGGCGGGGTGAAGAGGTGGTAGAAGAGGTCGGGCCGGTCTGGGTCGGGAAAGGACTGGACGGCGCGGTCGGAGGGGCGGATGGGGGTCGTCGCAAAGGTGCGTACTGAGGTCGCAGAGCCTAGGGAGATGCACGGGTGGCGAGACGTTCTGGGTGCGGAGCAGGGAATACGGAGAGCGGGAAGACAGCGTTGGGAGAGGTATCGCCGGGGAAGCGTGTGTGCTGCTGGTACGTAGCTTGTGGTGCGTTTTGAGAGGGACGCGAGCTGCTTGTGCGGAAGTCTTGAAGCCATTAGGGTGCGTAGGGTACAGGACGATGTGGGGGGTATGACGGTAGGCCCGTGGGGAATCGTAAGGTCGGCGCTCTGAGGCTCCAGTATTCAAAATTACACGTGACCGACGAGACGCGCTTCAACACTCAATATTCAAATATTCAATACTTACATCTGACAGTCTAACTTGACAACTGCGGTCCTGGGCGCAAGTCATTTTGACCTGACCGCTACCATAACCAGAGTTGTTTTCGGAGGTGTTGAATGACCGGTAAGCCGGGATATTATACGTCATAGAGACGGGAGTTCATGCGCGCGCGGCGCGCTGAGAACGTACGGCGCAGATAACGACATCCCGAAGTCAGACGTCAAACAATGGGCATCCGAGCACAGTACTCTCGCAAGTTGGATACTCCGGTCATGACGCATCGTGGGGAATTACATGGTACTGACAGCGTGACATGGGAAACCAAGTTCAGCAGGCGTGCAGCGGGGGGTGGAACACCGAAGGTTCTGTCAAGGGCGTACGTCACTCAGCGGAAGCATCAACAAGAATGATTCATCGCTCACAAGAAGGGAGGAGATGGGCACCGCTGAAGCGCTGACTGCAGGGCCTCGTCGAGGCCTCAAGGCCTCATGATGGGGGGTCGGGCTTGCCTGCGGTCTTTCCATTGGGCATGGACAGTTGAGGGGTAGGCTGTGTGCTCACAGGCTGCGTGGGCGGAGGTTCAAAATCGTCCTCGTCGAAGGACTTCTTGCAACATGATCCGCAGCAGCCTGCCAGTTGGTTGTTGCCGCCCGACCCGTAGCTCTCTGCAAAGGGGGATGTGGGCTCAATTCGCGTCCACCAGCAGCCGCATGCAAATGAGCAAAGAGAGACGTACTGAGGAAACACCACGATTGAAGAGCCTCCGTGCATACAATACCTTTCGGACGGGGTGAGCGCGAGTGGCGAACACATAGCAGACCGGACTCACAACATCCTCCTCCAGCACCTGCCCCAGCGTCCATAGTGTGTGAACGAGGTATCCGAGAGGGTTTGGGTATGAGGGCAGAGGGACCGCAGGGCGTGGAAGGGGGAGAAGGGGACAAGGCTGGGACGGGCGGTATATAAATATAGGGGCGGGTAAAGGTCCGATATATGTATGTAAAGCACTGAAGCACACAATCGAAGCTGGTCGTTTCCATCTCCGGTGCACCGCAGCCTTCGCGGCGCCCATTCTCCACATGAACTCAAGAGTCAAGATTATTTGTTTCTTCCCTATGGCTAAGTGCTGCTCGAGTTGCTGGTAACAAGCATACGATATGAGCGCCGATTAGTCGCGAACCCCTGACCGCGATCGTGGTTGGTGGCATGACGTCATGTGTCAATCGGCCTCTTGTATCGTTCGCGACATGTCAAGCCGTGTTTCTTGTCTTGTGCTCTCGTATAAAAAGGGAATGTCGTCGTCACCCCTCCCTTCTGTACCTTCCCCATTGAGTGCCTAGTTGTCGATGCGGAAAGCCTACCCAGGTCAGTTGAGCTCCCTACGATTCATTCGAACACACCTGCTCCACAACGACTCCCCAATGACCTGATCTGCAGCGAACGCGTTTGCGGCCGTAACGTAGGTCAGTACTATCTCCGAGCGTGTTTCGTCTTGGAGATGCTCTTCACGGCACCGATGCATTCTCGGCACGAGCAAGATCGATCTAGCGCGGTTGCGCGACAGCGTGGAGAATGCCTGGAATCCATGTGGTGGCGAGTAAAGGTGAGCTTGCGATTCTTGCGCACCGTTGAATGCTAACACACAGTAGAACAAGGAGACAGTCGCATCCATGCAGATGTACGTCCCTGCGCACGTATGCGTTGTGGAGAGGAAGACGTTGACTCACAGCGTGTGCAGGAGGAGGAGGCGTGTTATGTCATTAGCCGCCCCCCAGCATAGGCTGTAGCGCTCGTGGGGACGGGCGCGCAAGCGCGGCCACATGCAGGATACGCGACCGCGAGTCGGCCTGCCCTGAAGATTGTGTTGAACGCCGACTCGAACACCACGTCCAGGGCGCTTTCCCGCACGCGTCCGATCTGACACCCTCCCATTGTCCCTGTCCTGCCCATCAAGCACCTTTCTGTTCCGACCGACCAGCAAGCCCGCCAGATCGTCTCGCCCTCCCCTACCAACCACCATTCAAGACCCCCTGGACATGTGCTAGACTCCCCCGTGGCACCAGAATGTCAAGTTATTCGGGATCCTCGTATGGGGAATCCCGGTCGCCCTTCCTCGGAACGGGGACCTATTCAACACTTTCCCCCACGCAAACACCATACTCTTCCTCAAGCTCTCTTACTCCGACCGCTCAGGTGTGTACCGTTCAACCTGATCCCGAGCACGATGAGACCATTGATTGGTATTGCCCGCAGACTCTCGTCTTGGGAGCGAGATGTCGTCCCCGCGCCCGCAAATGCGCCGCAGCCCCATCCCCTCTTCAAGTGACCGCGACTACCGTGAATATCCGGAAGAAGAAAACGACATGGATGCCCGCGAAGTGGAGGCGGCTCTTAGTATGCTGGACGACGAGATCACGAACGCCGAGGACGCGTTGACGGAATGGTCTCGCGAGTCCTCTTCTGTTGGTATGTCTGCGACATCCTACACCGGGCAGCACAGCGGCGGCGCCTCGTCTGTCACCCCCTCAAGCTATCTCTCCGGGGAATACCGCACGATGACCGACGCGCTCCTCGACCGCGAGCGCCGGGTCCTCAGCACCATCTCCGAACGTACCGAAGACCGTTCTCGACCGTCCTCGTTTGCCCAGTCCGGCAGTGGCCAAGGCAGTCGTCCCAGCACGCTCTATACTATCCCAAGCATCCCCAGCGAGAACAGGAGGTCCCAAAATCTCGATGACAGAGCGCCCCCAGCCCTCCACACCCGCTCTTCTACAGAACCCACAGGGTCGCCTGCCCCGTATGGTCCTGGTCGTGTCGCCAACGCTTCCGGTCGGCGCGCCGGGGAGCTAATCGCGTTCTTCGAGGAGAAGCGGACCGAGACGGAGTCACCAAGGCTCTATGGCCACTCTCGCACACTGTCTGCGCCGATGGGGCCTCGCTCACCCGCCCCCCCACGTTCGCCGGCGCCGCGGTCTCCCAGTCCTTACACCACAACGGTGAGCCAGTCAATGTCGACCTTCGGAGCCCCTCTCGGCTCTACCAGCTATGGGTACGGTAGCTCCACCTATGGGTACAACAGCTCTCGGCCCACGTCACCCACAAAGAGCGCCCGAGGCGGCTCTGTTACGGAGTCGTCTATGTTCTCCCCACCGGCGCAAAGGAACACCACGTTGTCTTTGGACTCGCGCTTCTACCCGACGTCGGCCACCAACACGTACACGCCGGACCGCAACGCCGGCGGGAGCGGGAGCGATACGTACTCTAACACGCGTTCGGGCACGTACTCGAGCACGTTTACCGGGTTCACGTCGACCGCGACCCCGATCTCGTCTCTTCGGCGCCCGCAGACATCGCCGCGTTCCCCCTTGACGTCGGTCCGCAATATCGTTGCCGCATGGAAAGAGCGGACGCCGTCGCTCACCAATTCGGTGCGCTCCACCTCCACTACGCCCTCCCCGACGCAAGAGGGTCTGTTCAGCATCCGCAGGCGCGCGGATCGTGGGGCGGCGCGTCTCAGGGACAACGCAATGACGGAGAATGCAGCGGAGGATCTAGCAAGACCGCTACCAGAAGACGACGCAGGCGGGAGCGCGAGTGGAGGCCCCAGCCTTAGCACAGTCTCGTTTGACATTGCCGAATTAGGCCAGTACGCAGGCGCCAGCGGAGCGCAAGAGGTGAGTTCGATTTCCCGCGCTCCCCATGCACTCTTCACATCAGCCGCGAGTTCTACACAATGGTTGTAAGAGCTTTTCTAACCATCGGTTTATTTGCAGCCGCTGAGGATTGGACTGTTGTGGTACCTCAATGTCCACGCGCCGCCACCTTACCGGTGGCAACGATGCCAGGCGTTGTTGTACCCGCACATGCTCCTCTTGTCGTGGATTGCACCTGGAGGTGGACGGGGAATCGTCACGCTCGACCTCCTCAACTGCATTGAAGTTCGCTCGGTTCCGTCGCCGATGCACCCGACCGCGCAAGACGACGTCGGTACCATCGCCGCGCGCACGCAAAGCCTGCGTGCTGTGGAGACTGGCGGCGCGTCCGCCGAGATGGGGCTCATGGAGAACTTGTGTCCGTTCCAGCTGCTCTACAGCGACGGTATTGAGAGATTGGGCGCCGAGAGCGCCAGAGAACGAGTGAGATGGGTCAGCGCGATCTGGTACGTCTTCATTCGCCCATATTGGGAGCACGTTTTTAACTCGGTTGAGCAGGGAAGTGCTGGACCACGCAGTCACAATTCCGGACCGGTCAAGCACGCGGTCTCCCAATGGATCCATTCGCACCATCCAGTCCATCTCCAGCACGACAACTACACAGTCCGGCACTGGCTCCGCGTCCACCGTCTACGTTCCGCCTCTCGACGAGCTCTCGGACATCCAGTCCCTGTCGGGCTCCAGCGGGCCCTCGCGCCGGCCTTCCCTCGCGTCTGCGCACCACATGCGCGCCACGGACGACAGCGCGATCTCGTCGCAAAGCTACCTCTACCCAGGGGATCCGCGCGTGATCCCGCCCAGCCGCAGCAGCTCGATCCGCCGCACCAGCTCGCTCACGGACCTCGACGAGGAGTTCGCGTCTGCCCTCCGGCGCGCGCGCGACAGCCGTCCCGGCCTCGGTTTCGGTCTCGGGCTCGCGGGAGGGATCTCGGTGGGCGATGGGTCGCCCGTCACCATCTCCAGCGGTCCGCGGCTCGGGCGCGACGTGTACATGTCCCCGCCGCCGAGCGAGAAGAAGAGCAGGGTGGGATCGGAGGTCTCCGACGACACGTTCTTCAGCACCGGGTCCGTCTCGCGCTCGCGCACCCCGACGAGCAGCTTCTACTCGTCGTCGTCCTTTACGCACGGCCTCACCGGGACGGCGACGCGGACGAGCACCTCCGGCCTCATCACGGACGAGAGCATCGAGCTCACCTCGGGCTCCGGCACGGCGATCATCACCTCCAGCCTCTCCCTTCGTGGCCCAGACTCCGCCTCGCTCCTCGGCGACTCGCACACGGACTCGAGCGCCATTCCGGAGCCGCCCAGTCGTGGACTGACGCGCTCCGGTGGTGTTCGCAGGCGCACGAGGACGTTGCCGGTGTCGTCTTCGGAGGAAGAGTACACGTCGTCGGGAGCGTACACGTACTCCCTTGGTACACTCGAAAGCTACTCAAGCACAGGCATGACGCCATCGGGAACGGAGACCCTGACCCGCAGTCGGTCGGTCACGCCGACGCCGTCCTCGCTCTCGTACACGCGTTCACTCGAGGAGGAGCAGCTGGTCCGCAGCGAGACCGAGAGCTCGGTGTACTACAACCCACGTCCGCCACGTTCGCCATCGACGGCCTCCTTCAAGAGTCTGTCGACGATCCCGTCGCTCACCGAGTTCGAAGACGTGCTCAACACCGAGTACGAGACTGTGGCGCGAGCCGTATCGGACGTCGCCAGCACGGAGTTCGGCACTGTACCCCTCTGTGTGACCCCAGCACCCACGGCTTATGTCACCCCGGCACCCACTGAGTACGCTACCGTGGACGTCTGCAAGTCCGACGTGTCGACCGACTTCCACACGGCGAACTGCAAGTGCAAGCAGAGGGTCCCCGACAGCGACGTCATCAGCCTCTCTACGCCGTCGGAGATCCCGACCATCCCGTCGTCTGCGCCTTCCCCGGTAACGAGGTCAATCAGCTTGGGACCCGAGGACATACCGCTGCCGCCCTCGACGTACACTCCGTCGTACACGCCCTCATACACACCCTCATACACGCCCTCATACGTGCCCTCATACACTCCCTCGTATGCACCATCTCCCATTCCGTCCCCGGTGCCGTCCTATTCTCTTTCATTGCCGAGCGAGCCTTCAATCCCCCCACCATCAGAGCATGCTCCTACGGAACGGGCCCCTTCGCCGACCACGCTGACCCCGACGTCACTCACAGAGCCGTCGATCAGCTTGACGCCATCTTCGCCGCACATAACTGTGGAGATTCCCACCCCGTCTGACATCGAACTCTCGGCTTCTGCGTCGGTCACGGAGTCGATCGCAGGCCCGTCGCCCATCCCATCAATCTCGGACGTCTCTACTCCGTCGGAGATCACCACGCCCACGGAGTCCTCGGTTACACCAACGCCCTCAACTCAACTCACGCCGTCGGTTCCGTCGACGCTCGATGTGCCGTCCTCCCTCGCCTCCAGCGGTGCGCTCCCAGAGTCCGCATGGGGCGCAGAGACCGACGCCTCCTACGAGTCGTCTCTGCTCCGCGCGTCGCCCTCGATGGCCTCCCTCGCGATCCCCGAAGGCCCCGACATCTCCTACGACACCACGCAGCTCCGCCCGAGCGACACTCGCGCGTCCTCCGAGACCCCGCTCTCGCTCGCGACGCCGCTCACGGACATCAGCCCGTCCTCACCGCTCAGTGTGTCGTCGCCGCTGTCGTCGGAGCTCACGCCGACCCAGTTGAGCATGTCGCTCCTCTCCGACGTGCCGTCGCCGCTCGCCAGGCAGCGGTCGCTGGAGATCCCCGGCGGGTGATGCTCTCGCGCACGCCGTCCTCGGTCTCGACGGCGTCGTCGTTGTCGATGAGCTCGTCGCGCATTGCTCCGTCCGAGTTCGAGCTGGACGTGAGGACGGAGCCGTCGTTGCTGTCCACTCCTGCGTTGTCACACGTGAGGCTTCCGGTGCAGCAGCCGTCGAGGCCCCCTTCGGTATGTGTATTACCCCCTCAGCAGATTGATCTTTGTGCTAATGATCTCTTGTACAGGCGCTGCCGTTGATGATCCCACTCCCACCCTCGCGAGCACCGTCAGCGGCACCGTCAGCGGCACGGTCCGTGGCACTGTCTGTGGCACCGTCGCGGCACCGTCTGTCGCGCTATCTGCGGCACCGTCCGTCGCGCTATCTGCGTCACCGTCCGTCACGCCGTCTGTCGCGCCGTCGAGCAGGTCGACTACTATGCGGTCTACGGTGTCGGCCTCGATGAGGGTCAGCATGACGACACCGCGTGGGAGCACGCCCTCCATCGCGTCGAACCTCACGACGATTCCCTCGGAGGCTCCCAGCACCATCTTGACTCACGACGTCAACCGCCTCTTGCACTACTTGAACGACGTGAACGAGGTCCGTGACGCCGAGAACAGGGACATGGCCGACAACATCCAAGACATCAAGGGAACGCTCGAAGACCTGGAAGCACTTCTCCGCGAACGGATGCTCACCGATCACCCTGAACGCCCTCCGCCGGTCCCGCACAAGGACGTCCAGGTCGGCCCCGGCAGCATAATCTCGATGTCGGAGAAGGAGCGTCCACTTTCCCGCGTTACGCGCGCAGACGCGACGCCAGTTCGCCGCCGCGAGGCCCCAAGGATCGTTAGGACGATCTCGCTCTCCCCGCCGCCAATCCGAGGGTCGTCACCGACGTCGCTCAGTGACAGCATGTCGTTCCTGTCGTCGCACCACTCCGACGAACTCAGTCTGATGGAGTCCGAGCTGTACCCGGCTGACCTTCCGATCTCGCCTTCGTGGCCTTCGTCCTCGCCCGTGTCGTCCCCAGCGAGCTCGACGACTTCTTCACCGGTGTCTGCACCTCCATCGTCGGTCACCCCTCGCTCTGTGCATCGGTCGGCGCCTCGGTCTGAGGTTCTCTCGGGAATCTCCACAAGCCTCGATGGTCCCCTCACTCTGCCGTCTTCGGAAAGCCTGTCTGTCGCCACCACCCCACCACTGTCGTCGTCGCCTTCGCCGTCGACCGTCTCCAGCCGGACGGTGGGCCCGACGCCGGTGGTCACGCTTGCGAACCTGCGCGACGGTCTTGACGGCATTCGCCAGCAGATCTCCGGCATGCTCGACTCCCAGAGCTTCACGAACCGCCAACTGGACGAGCTGCGCAACCGCCCGCGCGAGCAGGTCACCATCCCGATGCCGATCCCAGCGCCCGCGGCGGCGACTCCCAAAGACCACTGGGATGAATTCTCGCAGCGTCTGCAGATCATCGAGGAGAGCCTCTTGCGCCTCCTTGAGCGCGGTCAGCCTCAGCCCCAACAGCCACAGGAGGAAGCGCCCACCGAGGATGGGTCGTCTGTGGGCCCGGACCTGCGCCGCCTCCTCGACGACATTCTCGACCAGTCCCGAGAAGCCGCCCCACAGCCACAGGTCATTCACGCGCCTCGTCCGCAACAAGCCGCGGGCCCGTCGTTCGACGAGCAGCTCATGCAGATCCTGATGCAGTCGCCGCCGTCGGCGCAGCAGGGCGTCCAACCTCCGCCGGCGTTGATCCCGCTGATCTACCGGCCTGGTCCCCGAGTGCGGCCGCGGAGCACGAGCCCCATCCTGGAAGACATGACGTTCCGTACGACTTCTGCTCCCCCGCATCCTCCTCGTATTTTCGTCAGGCACCAAGCGCCGCCGCGCGCAGCACGACGAGGGGCACCCCCACCACACCAGCCGCGGGTACCTGGTGCTACTGTCACGGAAGACGATGTCTCCCCTCGGAGACGGGCACAGAGTTTCCGGGGCACGCACAACCAACGCCCGGTCCTTCAACGATGCCGATGCCTGCACCTGTAGGTCCCGACATCGATTTTCTTAGAGAAGTTGAAAACAAGCGGCGTGCACAGCGCGGCGGGGATGGCCGAGTCGATGCAGTACGCGGATGCCGTCGTTTCGATATTGCTTTCTCGTTTATTAACCTCACTCTCTCGTAGACCCACGCTCCACCTGCCCGGCCTGCAACGGAGCCGCCTCCAGATGACATGCCTTCTGCAACATGGTACCCTCCCCCGCCAGCACCGGAGGGAGCACCGGCACCACCGCCAGGACACATCTTCGGCGATGCAGGGACAGCAGCGCCGGCACCACCACCGCCACCTCCAACTCAATTTGTCCCTGTTCAACAGGGCCCTGTGAGTATTCTTATGAATTCCTATCAACTATTTGCTCACGGCCATGTAGACTGTTGTGCAATTGCCGTCCACGTTTTCGGACATCTTGGAACTTCTGAGGGTGCGTCGCCGTGATCGCTCTAAACAACTGCAGTTGGCTAATCATTTGGCACTAGGACAACCGCAGCGGCCAGCTCGCCGGTCTCGATCAGCAAGGCGAAGTCATCACGTACCTTCGCGGTTTGAACCAATGGTTAGAGCGGGACGTCCACGACCGGCACGCGGAGATCCAGAGCGTCTCTGCTCGGCTGGAACAGACTCGCGATGAGGTCATTCCCCTTCTCAACCAAATCGCTCATGCGATCAGGCCTCAAGCTCAGGCTCCTCATGGTAAGTGTCGTCGATCTCACTTGGTCCCGCGCAGGTAACTAACATTGTTCGCCAGGAGTGACGGTGGCACCCCCACCACCTCAAATATTCCCCTTCCCGCATCCAACCCACATGCATCCAACCCATATGCATCAAACTCCCTCAGGGTCGGGTCGTCCAGTTTGGCCCTCGGACCGAACGCCCTCGCCGTCGGAACCCCCGGTTATACCCCCGATATACGGACCTTCGTTCCCTCCTGTGGCGAACGTGCCCGTGATTCCACCACGTACCGGGTACCCCCCACCAGGGCCTATGCAGCCCCCGAGGATGCGCCCCGAGTCAGAGACGGAATTTATTCCTCCTCGACCGTCGCCGCCGTCAAGTGGTTCTTACTCCGACACATACATATCTGACGATCACGGGGGCCCAATCACCGTCATTCCTCCTCCCGGACAACCACACCAGCCGCAGCCTATAATCATACAATCGTCGGGAGGTCCATCGGAGAGCCATGCAACGTCGGGTCCCGGGTACACTCATAGTCCAGGGGATACTCATAGTCCCGGGCGCTCTCATAGTCATGGGCGTACTCATAGTCACGGGCATTCTCATAGTCCTGGGCATTCTCATAGTCCCGGGCATACTCATAGTCCTGAGCACATGGAATACTCCGATGAGGATGGTTCACACCACCACCCACACAGCCCGCACCCGCATTATGCCCCCGAACGTACACCTTCCCGTGGCCACGAACAGGCAGCTCCTTCTTCCGCGCCAGGTGCCGGTCCCGTGGGCGGCGACACAAACATCAACATCATAAATCCACCAGCCCAACAACCATCTCATACCCCGTCTCACGCGCCATCTCACGTCTCGTCGAGCCCCCAGCCCCAGTCTCAGCCGACGCCTCAAACGATCACCATCCTCCCACCACCCGGGCCATTCGGGACGATCCCGCCGCCAATGTACGGAATGGAGCATCGAGTCATGTCACCTCCGCAAGAGCCTGTCACGAGAATCACACCGTCGGCCTCATCCTCGCGAAGGACCCACAGTCATCACAGCCATCGACCGCATTCACCCTCCGGACGCTCGAGACGATCCAGCCATAGGAGCCCCTCACGCAGCGACAGTTACACCCATGTCGAGTCAGAACCTCCGCACGTTATTATTACTCCGTCGGGTCCGGGTATGACAATGGTTCCAGGGACGGTAGTTTCGGGTTACGCGCCTCCAGGTCCGATGCCCTTCGCCCCAGGTTCGATGCCTATGCCTCCAGGTCCGATGCCTATGCCTCCAGGGACATACCCACCACCTCAACAGCAGCCCACCGTCGTCATCACCGGTCGCTCACATTCTCGAGACAGTTCTCACACCCGCGGTTCCCGTCGTTCATCCCCTGCGTCAATACACATCCATGAGGGCTCGCACCGCAGTCCGAGTGCTCCTCCCATGACTACCCCCTCCCATGTCTCGCACGCGCCTCCACCGTCTTTGTGCAACAGAGGTCTCGTTCCCGTTCCCCTCGTACTCCTCACCATGACGCGCCTCACGATGGTCATGGCCCTCCTGCTGGCTGGGAGCGATATGGCATGCCCCCTTGGGCGTATGGAATGCCTCCGGGGATGATGCCGCCATGGATGATGCCTCCGGGGCCTCCGCGAACAGGTTCTCCCAGCGGCACGCACGGTCGCGGTGACCGAGACCGAGACTACTGGTCTTGGTGGGATCCTCGTAACTATTCGCACGGCCGCCGTCACCGGGATCGTTACAGCGACGAGCGCTATGGGGAAGAGCACGGTGGTCATCGCTCCCATTCGCGTGACAGTCCCCGTCACCACACCAGGCACCGTACCGACTCGCGGTCCCCAAGCGGTCGATCCTACGGGAGTGATCGTCATCAACGAAGGCCCTCTGGAAGTGGGTCACGTCGACGCCCCTCCGTTCACGGACTCACCCGTCGCACGGGACCCACCCCTCGCATGGGACCCACCTTTCGCATGGGACTCACCCCTCGCATGGGACTCACCGACACTCTCCTGAGCCATCTTACTCGTCGGAACGATCTTACTCCCCACACGACGGCCCTCGTTCCCATTCCCATACACCGTCGCATCGTCCGTCCCATACAGAGCCCCGTTCATCCTCTCGTCCTGGGACGGCTGCGAGGACACACACACCTCCTACCATACATGAGCCTTATTCGTCTCATTCGCGGACCCACTCTCGGCGAGAATCTAGGTCAATTTCCCCGCGACCACTCGCCGTATCACGGCCTGCCAGTTCCATTGTCACTCGTCCTACGCATATTACCACCGGAGGTAGTCGATCACCCGTGTTAGTTCCCCCTCCTGGTACGCCTGGATCCCGCCCCAGGCTTCCTCACGAGGCTGCGGATCCTCATCAACGGCCACCCACGAACATCGACTACGAGGGGCATGTTCCCCACGAGTACGAACATAGGCTCGAGGGCGACGAGCACTCTGAAGATAGTCAATTTGCACGTGAGTGTCATCCGATCTTCGCGGCGAACATATGCTGACTTCTACTAGACTCGTATCCACAAACACCAATCCATCCACACACGCCGGTCCATTCGCAGACACCAACTCATCTGCAAACGCCTCATACCACTGGTGGAAGCGTGTCAACTCGAGGTGCGTGATAATTGTACCGTTCATACGCATCCCCGACTTATGTTTTCGCGATGCGCAGTACATCCAAGTGAACATGTCGCGATGGTGCCCCCTCCGGTCGCACCTACTGTAGGATCCCTTCGCGATCAGCTCAAAGAGGGCGAAATCGTCATCCCTTACTCACCATCTGACCAGGTACACCCTGGGGGCCAGCCACTTCATGATGACCGCGGTGTACCCGTAGCTCCCTCTTCTCGCCCGCCAACGGCTCCTCCTCGCACACCAACGGCTCCTCCCCCCGGCCCAAGTGATCCTGGTTCATCCCCTGGTTCCGTCCCTAGTCGCATTCCTTCGACTCCGGACCCACAAGGCCACCGTCGACCAACTGGGCAACCCTATCGCCCTGAAACATCCGTACCTAGCGACATCGGGTTGATGGATCAGGAGCATGACCGAGCCGAGACCTTCAACGCTCTCCACTCCGAAATGGAGGCGGTCATTCAGAACCTGCACGATGCAGAAGAGAAGCGAGACCTCAACTACCGTGCAAACGAGGACGAGCGCGAGCGCATGTTCGTCGAAGCCGAGCGCCGGAGGGACGAGGAGGCCATCGCGCGCCGCGAAGGTGCCCTGGAGGGCATCGTAGAGCAGCTGAAGGCCCTTCCCCCGCCCGTCGTGCCGGCGGACGTTGGCAAGGGCGCCGCAGGCGAGCCAGACGAGTCGAGGTCGGCGCCCACAGTGCCCAGCGACGGTGCGCCTTCCCATCGGACGGCGTCGATCATCACGGCCGGCGACGTCGGCGATCCTGGCGCGTTCATGGACACGATGCAGGAGGTCGCCAAACGCCACGCTGAAGACATCCGCGAGATCATCGAGCTCGAACGCGAGTCCGCTGCTGCCGAGCGCGAGCGGATGACGGAGGCCATGCAAGCGGATCACCAGAAGACGGTCGAGCAGCTCGAGGCGCGCATCCGACTACTCCAGGACGAACTCGAGGGCGTCAAGCAGGACTTTGAGACCGAGCGGCTCACGCGCTCGGCGGAGGATGCGGCACAGCGCGAGGCAGAGCGGGCAGAGCGCGAGGAGCAGCACGACACTGTGCGCGGTCAGCTCACCGACCTCACGAACCTCGTCTCCGAACAAGGGAGCACGATCGAGGAGAAGAAACGCCTCATGGACGAGCATTGGGACATCAAGCAGGAGCGCTGGCAACAGAAGGACGCCCACGACGCACACACGCACAACCTGCTCAACATGATCTTGGAGTCGCAGGAGCGCATGCTTCAGGAGCAGGTGACCGCAAAGGAAGAACTCCAGGGGCAGATGAGGACCAGTACGTGTGCTCTTGGCTGCGCATCGTTGTAGATGCTGATACCGTCCGTCTCTTCAGTGCAACAAGAAGCTCTGGAGGCTATTCAGCAGCAGCGGGAAGCGTACGAGGGTACCATCCAGAACATGGCTGAAGGTGAGCTTGTTCTCTGCACGACGTGCAACGTGATTCTAAACATTTCTATAGCATGGCGCGCCGACTGCGAGCAGCGCAAGCAGGAGACCATTGACGCTGTCAAGGCGACCGCGAACGAACAGATCCCGTACAACGTTCAAGGGGTGAGCGCTTCCCGTACCGACTAGAGTGCTGCTGCTGATCCCGAGCCTTAGTATCTGGACGAATTCAGTCGCTCGCTGGCTACTGAGGTGCGCATGCTGCTCAGCGAAGTCGGCAAGCTTCGCGAGGACAAGAGGAATCTCGAATTGTAAGCCGCCGCCGCTTTTAATTGTCATTTCTCCGGTATTGAAGTCGCACCCACAGCCAAATTGGGGAGCTCCTCACGTTCAAGTCCAAGTATGGCCCTGCCGGCGAGTTTGATCCCAGCTGGTATGTCTCCGTATGCTGCTTCATGTGTCGTATATACTGAACGTTTCACAGGAAACCTGTTATGACCTGCGGTCCGACCGACGCCGCACCAGCTCCCGAGCCGGCTCCCGAGCCTGAACCCGACGTCCCTCAACCAGCACCTACTGCCTGGAGGACTGTGCATCCGCGCCAGTCGCGCCGTCGGAGGCAGGCGCCAGCGCCGGCGCCACCTCCGCCAGAGGTTGTTCCCCCTCCGACTACGTCCTGGGCGACATGGCAACGTGAGTACCTCTTTGGCTCGGTAACGAAATATGCAGAACTGACGAATGGCCTTCTCAGCCCATCCCACATTCCAGCCATCGCCCCCCATCCAGCACGTCGAGCACCTTCTTGCACCGCCAACGCCGAGCCCAGGTCTGTTCGGTCCTCGTTCCCCTCGCAGTTCGATCCACCAGGGATGAACGTGGACGGGGTGATATCTCACGCTTTCGTTATAATCTGCCATCTTGCATGCATCACGCTTGATCTCCGTCTCCCTGTTTCTATCACGCCTGACTCCCCGTCTGTTCATCTTTTACTTGCTCTTGCTCTTTAGTCGTGCTCTATCTCCATACCTCATATGTTTCTTGTGTTGTCTGATCTCCACGCTCACGTGTACTATAATGACTATGTCTCACGAATGTCACGCAATATCACGCATCTTTCCGCTCGTTCAACTCTTGGTGGCTCTGGGTTGGAAGAACAAGTGATCGAGAGTCACATGTCACACCGTAAGACGAGCACTTTGGGCGCTTGTGGTTCCAGCGCCTATGAACTTTTCGTGATACCGGGACAGGCGCGCCGACCAAACCGCCGCCTTCCTCCTCCTCTCCACCCACTCTTGCCACTGTTTCCTTGCCTATCACACGTTGCCCACGGCGCACATCTTGGTTCGCTGAAGGAATTCCCCAAGATGCCGACCGAGACTGCCGTCCTCCAGCAGTCGCTCGAAAAACACAACGAGGCGTTCGAGTCCCTGCTGAAGCTCATCCCCGCGAAGTACTACCTCGTCCAGGACGACGGGAGGCGCAGGTACGCCCGCCTTTCCCCATTCATCCCATCGCCGCTCGCCGCTCACCGCGTGCGGCCAGTACGCGTCCAAGTACCAGACGAACAGCAAGAAGCAGAAGGCGCCGAAGCAGGCGATCAAGGAGGCGTCGAAGAAGGCGAAGAAGGAAAAGGTGCGTTTCTCAGTGCACCCCTGATGCGTGTGTGCGTGTGTGTGTCTTATTGTTCTTGCGCGGGGAAGCTCGACCCGGCGAACAACAAGACGGTGCTCGAGATCCAGCGCGAACGCGCGGCGGAGCAGGCGCAGGCGGCGGGCAGCGCGAAGCAAAAGGGCAAGCGGAAGGCGGCCGCGATGGAGGATGGCGACGACGATGACGACGACACGATCCGGCTCGACGTGCCCATGTCCGATGGCGACGAGGACGAGGACGACGCTGGAGATGACGACGGGGACGACGATAACGACGGGATGGACGTGGACGTGGACGCGCCGCCGGTGCCGATGCCTTCGTCAGGCGGCATCCAAGCCCTGCGGGACAAGCTGCACGCGCGCATGGCGCAGCTCCGGAGCAGGAACCGCGGTGGGTACGGCGGGGAGCCTGAGAGCCGGGACGAGCTGCTCGAGGAGCGACGGCAGCAGCGCGCAGCGATGCGCGAGCGGCGGCGGAAGGAGACGAAGGAGAAGATCCGGCGGGAGGAGGAGCGGCGCGGCGCGGGTAAGGGCAAGGGCAAAGGCAAGGAGGAAAAGGGCAAGGAGAAGGAGCGGCCCAAGGGCCCGCAGACAAAGGTCCGTCGACTTCTCCGTCCTCATCGGGGTGGGCGGGCTGACCGTGCGCCTGCGACAGACGCAGCTGCTCGTGCCCGACGACCCGAAGGCGAAGTTTACGCCGATCGCGTTCTCTACGCTCGCTACGGGCGCGGGGCCGTCCGCCGCGTCGAGCAGCAAGGCGAGACTGAAGAAGAGCCTGCCGACGACGGCGGCGAACCCGGTGCAGGCCCTGGCGCAGCTCGAGAAGCACAAGCAGAAGCTCGCCGCTCTTCCCGAGGAGGAACGCGCGGCGCGGGCGGAGCGCGAGAAGTGGGACAAGGCCGGAGCACGCGTCGAGGGCGTGAAGGTGCACGACGACGAGGGGCGGCTGAAGAAGGCGGCGAAGCGGAAGGAGAAGGTGAAGGCGAAGAGCAAGAAGTCCTGGTGCGTACCATCCGTGCCTTGGCCACGCAGTCGTTGTATGTTGACTGTATGCGTGCAGGGACGAGCGGAAAGAGCAAGTGCAGACGTCGATGGCGGCGCGGCAGAAGAAGCGACAGGACAACATCACTGCGCGGGCGGAGCGGCGAAACGACAAGCGGAAAGGTGTCAAGACGCGGCCGAAAGACAAGGGACGACCGGGCTTCGAGGGCAAGTCGTTTGGGAAGGGCAAGGCGAAAGAGAAGAGCAAGAAGTAGTCGTTGAATACCCATCGTCTATGGTCACATCTACTTCTCTGACACTATCCCCCGTGAGCCTCTACTACCGCCTTGCACTACCGTATCGCACTTTGCGAGGGGAAATCTCGGTAGGCTTTGGTCTCGTCCCTACCGCCATACCGCACCCCCACCACCTACACGAGCGGCGAAGCCAAAGTGTTATTACATGTTCTGTGGACGACAGACATTCTGCTTGAGTCAATAGATGGAAATTGACAGCAGTATATCATGTCGAGACTCACAAAACGCAGTGAAGAGGGGGCAATAGCGCGACTCCAATCGCCCAACTGGGCGTCACACCATAAAAATCCTCAACACGCTTGTTCTACCCTACTTGGCAGGTAGGAGCTGAAGCAAAGCCCCATCCACCCCCACCTCGGACAACGGCCAGTCTTGCGTCATTGCATCCTCTGGAAGTACGGTCCAATTCGGCGATGGCGTGGCGCGGATGTGAGAGAAGTCTTGCACAGCAAGGTAGTTGCTCGGGGCGTGCTGCAAATACTACGGTAACCCCCGCTCCTCTCCCCACGCAACACATTGCTCGAGACGCACCACCTTCACGAGCTCTTTGAGGGCCGCCGGGTAGTCGGCAAACCGGACACCGAGCAGTGTTCGATGATGGGGTTCGAGCCAATCGATATGTACACATCGACGGCCGAGGAGGCGTGCATCCGGAACTACGGAGCGATAAGCACAACGTCGACTGGCGCAGCGCTATGTTGACTCACCTGCCGGCTCCCGAGCACGATCACACAGTTCTTGAGGTCGTGCAAGAGTGCGCTCCCCGAAACAACCGGCAAGACGAGCACGGTGTTCGACAGGTTGCGCACATGCAGCGCGGTGAACTGGGAAGATTCAGGCGCGCCGACGTTGGCGGCGGAGCCTGAAAGGAGGTTGACGATGCAGGAGTCGAGATCCGTGATTGAAAGGTCGCATGGAGAACCCCAGGGTGAAGACAGGGAGGAGAGCGCGAGGTATCTGTGCGAGTGGCCCGATATAGACAGTCCGGAAGAAGATGCTGTTGCCGACGCTGGTGTTGGCGATGGAGATGGCTGGGACGACAGCGGAGGAGCGGGACTTGAAGAGGCTGGTTTGGCCGCTTTCCGCTTGAACGCAAACTTGGTCTTCGGCGCGATGGATGCACGGAGCCCTTCAATCCCATCTTCGACTTTCTTCAGTTGCTGTGGATGATCAATATCTGGAGAGATGCAAACAACCTGGATCACTAACTAGATCATACTGCCGCTGGTCGTACGCCGGAAGGAAGGATATCGCATCAGTGAGATCCCTCCGTAACTTCGAGATCTCAGATGCGAGTTTTTCTATCGTCTCCTGTGTAGGCGTCTCATCTTTCAGCGATGCGAGTTGAGTGGATAAGGCTGCCCAGGACGTGACGTATTCCGGGTTAGATCGCGTTGATCTATTGAAGGATGAGAATCCCAACCTAAAAGTGCGGATTGCGTCCGCTCATTGTACCGCAGCGTCAGCTCTTGATTTGTTTCGGACATGAGTGGAGTTTGGTAGCCAGACTCGGAGCTCGTCGGAGATGATGCAAGCGAACTCGGAACCGGACGCGCGGAGCTCGAAGTTTTGGCCGCCGACGGGGCTTGAGCCTGTTCCAAACCTAGAGGGCCTGCTCCGTTGTGTCTCTGCTGCCATCATTCGCTCAAGCCGGTCTCTACCCCGCTCGGGCCAGGATGGGGCGTGGGTGTCTTCGGCTCATGTCCCATAGAATTTCAAAGTCGTTTCTCTGCAAGGTTCAAACTGGCAGTGTCTATAGATCACATGAGGTGGATTTCTCACCCCACCATCAAGTCTGTGTCTGACCCCTACGACCGCTCCCCCGCCGTTCGGATGATTAGAGACTCGGCCTCAACTCGAAGCACGGCCGGGTAGGAGTAGGAGTTTCAGAACACCAATGGAGCTTCAGAGCTTCAAACCTGATTCTCAAGCACTCCCTCGTCAAAGTACACGCAGCCCCGATGGAAAGCCTGGATGAAGACATCGCATGCCTAGAGCTCCACTTTGGGTTACAGTTTGACTCGCGATACGCCCACTGATACCAGAAACTTTCACCATCGCGGGGAAGCTCGCGCCGACTTTTCAATTCGGCCTGCCAACCGGACATTGGACGGCCTCGCTTCACCAGGCGATCCTCGTGCAGTCCCTCATATACGTCTCGGATGCACACACGAATTTGTTTTGACGGCGAGCGGACGGTCTCTCCTGGAACTGCGAACTGGAAATGGAGAACAGTGGCGCCCACTCCTCCCATACCAGGATTGCGACGTCCCACGACGTCGCGGACGACACATCCGACCCAACGCGGGATGCAACGGGGAGAAGCCGGGTGAACCACGGTGTGTCCCCGTTTTCGGCATGCACGTTCGCACTCGTGCGCTTGGGAAATTGCGAACGACTTGGCCGCTGGTGGTTCAGGGGCGTATAAGAAAGCCTGAGGAGGACGGTGCACAGCAGAACGGAACCAACTCTCGCTCTAGAAGTCGCACACAGCTCACTATCCCCACTCATCATGTCCGGTACGCACTTTGATAACGTGCCAAGCCGTTGAAGCGTCAGCTCACTCTCTCATACTTCTCACTCGCAGCTTTCAAGTACAACCGCATCGACAAGAACGAAGCGATGCTCCTCGTTGTCGACCACCAGGAGGGTCTTTTCCAGCTCTCGCGCGACCACAGCCCCGCGGAGATGAAGAGCAACATCCTCGCCCACGCCGCGCTCGGCAAGATCTTCGGCCTCCCGACGATCCTCACTTCCAGTGCCGAGACCGGTGCGCACCCAACCATCCCTGGGACTTTGCCGAATATTCTAACGTAGCCCTTTGGTCGGACGCTCCAGGCCCTAACGGACCACTCCCGGCGGAGGTCATCGCGATGCACGCCAACGCGCCGTTCATCAAGCGCAACGGCGAGGTGAACGCGTGGGACAACGCCGACTTCCGCGCCGCCGTCGAGGCCACGGGCAAGAAGCAGGTCATCCTCGCCGGCATCACCACCGACGTGCGTCTCTGCCCCGGGCCTTCCTGCCCCACTGCCCGCTAACGTTCCCGACGCACGCGCAGGTCTGCACGGCCTTCCTCGCACTCTCGCTCGTCGAGGCCGGGTACACCGTCTTCGCCAACGCGGACGCGTCCGGCACGTTCGACGACAAGACGGCGGCGGACGCGAACGCGCGCATGCGCGCCGCGGGCGTCCAGGTCCTGTCCCTGTTCGCCGTCGCGTGCGAGCTGATGCGCGACTGGCGCAACACCCCGGGCGCGCCCGAGATGCTGCCCTTCTTCGACACGTGAGTTGCTGCGCTTTGTGTCGGCCGGTTGGGTTCGCGCGTGCTCACGACTGCGGTGCAGGTACCTCCCCGAGTACGGGTACCTGGCTCGCGCGCACGACGCCGCCGTCAAGAACGGCACCCCTTCCGGCCTGTAGATGTGTTACTGTCGAGTCTTGGATCATGGTGTCATAGTGCGAAGAAGTGAAGGTGGAGTTTGTGAAAAGTACAACGTCATCCATATCCATTCGAAACTCGAGCACCGTCCATTCATGTGCCGTCGGGGGCCCTTTGGCGAAGCGAGCGCGGGATTTCGGGATCGGAGGACGCAATCAGGATAGGTCGGAGCCTCTGGGCACCAGGGACAAGCGGACGGACGGTGGTGGATAGAACTCACAAACGCCTAGAGTATGGTACAGGCGGCAGTCCGGCGAGCACAATAGCTACACGAGTACCTAAGCAGCAGCCCGAGTTGCACCTCTAGCGCCAGGGGGGAGGGGGGCGAAGTGGACGGCGCGCGCGAGCGAGAGAGTCTTGCACCGGAGGAGATAGTGCGAGACCGCCTCGGCTTCCCTCTCGCACGACGTAGCGAGGTGGGAAAATGACGCCAGCTTGAGGAAGGACTGGGTGATGGTGGCGATTTTGCGGCCCCACTTCGACTCCACCCGCGTCTTCTCCGTCTCGACCTTGAGGGCGTCCGCATCGACTGACTTCAACTTCGACACGTTTGCAGGGAGGCGGCGGCGGCGGAGGGCAACGGGGGGTTTGGGGCGGGGTGAGGACTGCCCATGTGCAGTTTCTTTTGTGGCGATCTCTGGTAGGCGCCCCAGGACCCGGCAGGGCGTGATTTTGCACCTCTGCAGCGCCTTGCGTGGGTGTCGAATTTCCTGGAGGGCCTCGTCTGTCACTGGCACGAGGAAGTAGCGGCCCGGGTCGGACTTGTAGCCTGTGGTAGCCCTTGCGCGTGCCGTCCCCGTCCTCCTCATCATCCTCACGCGCGAGATTTCGTCCGCCTTCAGCCGGGGGCGTGGACGGGATGCTCGTCTCTTCCCTCACCGTCATACTCTCGAGCTTCTCCTCCCACGCCCTTTCCGATGCCGTCCTGTCCTCTTCAGAGAGCCGCGGGCGCGGCGGGACGACGATCGACACGGGGTGGCCTACCAGCTCCGCGTGGAGCACCCGCGTCGCGATCGGGCTATGAGGGCAGCGCGAGAACGAGAGGCGCACACCCACGGGAATTCCAAACCCCCTCGTCCAGCCGGGCCAAAAGTCGACGTGATCGCCCGGGCAGGCGTGATCGTACAGCGTCTCAATGGCTTTCTGGTATAGTGACACGGATGGGCCGTATCTCCGATTGAAGAACTCCGACCCGAGCCTCCGAAACGCCTCCGCTGCGGCCGCAATGAATCCGGCGTGGGTGTCACCGGCACCTGACCCGGGTGGCTGCCTCGCTGTCTGCTGAGGGTTGGCCTCCTGAAACCGCTTCCATATTTCCCTCAGCGCCGCGGACCTCTCGATTTGTTTGACATCCGTTCCGTCGAGTCGCACGGAGGCCCAGTGTGCCGGTCTTCCGTCGAGCGAGTTGCGCTTGCACATCCCAAGGACGAGGATCATCGTCATATCCACGAAGTTGCTCGTGTTTGCGAACCTGACGACTTGAACTGGCAGCTCATCAGCTCCGGTCGTGACTGTCGATTCCGGGAATAGTTCGAGGTCCGTGAAGAAACGGAAGAGCCAGCGCGGAATTCGGAACGGAGTGTCAGGGACGCGGTCGGACGCGAGCCCGAGGATGCTGTGTGCGGGGGCGATGGGAGGGGCGGTCGCGACGTAGAACTCGCGCCATGCGGCACGGAAGGTTGTCCCGCGGAAGGAGAGGTTGTGGAAGTCCGCACCGAGGTGTACGACTCGAATGTAGCGCCTGACGCTCTCAGGGGGGAAATTGCAGCGCACGCCGACGTGGTACGTTTGGCACGGACACGCAGGGTCCGGAGAGACGGGGTTAAGGAGGAGACCGACGTGGTCCCTGTTGGTCTCACAGAAGAGGACGGCGATGGTGTAGCCGCCTACCTCCGCAAGTGGAAGACGGAACTTCATGCCGAGGTTGGTCATCTCGAAGCTGGGAAGATCGTAGCCTGGGCCGAAGGGACCGACTGCGCGGCGTTTTCTCCCCTAGCGTAGCGTTAGTATAGCGAAACAACGAGACTTGATCTAGACGTACATCCTTTCGGTCACTGTAATGTGCGACAGTATAGGGTTGTAGAGCCGCCTGGCCAGAAACTCGGGGCGTGAAGGACATTGGTGCACCAAGGACATATCTGAAGTTACGAGGCGACGGTGCGAATAAGAAGTGCTTTGAGGCATCTTCCAATATGTTGAGATTGCGCGAGTTCTCGGCTGAGAAATGGTCTACTTCGACCTTCATTCTCATTTTGTCCTCTTCATCGGTATGTCGGTCGCCCCATGCGAAGAGTGTGGTATCCGGTGACTGTTTCGCGATCTCTTGCTGAAGGCGGTAGAACGCGCGTGCCCCCTCCCCGTACAGAGTCGGCATATTGATGTCGAAGATGCCAAGCAGGCAGTACGCCTCGTCCTCGAGTCGAGTCGTTGTGCGGTGAGCGGCCCACGTCATGCGTGTGGCGACCGGCAAGCTGAAGATGGACGTCTGCCGGGTGAGAACGGAGGAAGGAATGGCTGTGATCAGGGAAAGGACGTCTGCAAGCTCGTTCTTGGTGCCGAGTTTCTCCCAGTCCGCGGAGAAGAACAGGACAAGCGCGGGGGCGAGGAGCTCTTGTAGCGTCCAGCCGCGCAAGTGCCAGCGCGCACGGATGAAGTCGTAGAGCCATTCGCTGGGGTGACCGCCCGATGGAACGTCGGAAAGGTAGGCGTAACACACCTCGGCGTGGAGGTACCAAGTGAACATGGAGTTGATGGCCTCGGAGAGCTCGGTGCTGGAGTCCTTGTCGATGCAGCAAGTGTCGATCCAGACCCATTCGTACCCGTCCTTCTTGGCCTGAATACAGCATCTCCGGATCTTCTCCGATACTTTGTCCCGAGCGTTGGAGCCGTCTTCCTTGCAGCGTCGAATGATGTCTTGCAATTCGCGAAAGGACTGTTCCCCGGACCCCATCCACGTGTGGGATAGGACGGCGTAGCCGCCCGGCACCGCAGATATATCGGCGAACTGTGTTAGAGTCGCAGTGGTCGTCTGGAGCAACCACATCCCCAACCGTGGTGAGGCAGGATCCGAAGAATGAGGGATGGAGGAAGAAACTAAGATGTGGTCGTAGCCTGATCGTGCAGCACCCACCCTCATGTTCCCCTCGTGTTTAGGGATGAATGGAACCATGCCAGCACTTGTACCGATATGAATGGCGTATATTGTTGGATATTAGAAAACCGTGCAGGCACGCCCTAATGCGTGGCGGTGACATTTGTCGACTCCGTGAAGTTGGCACCTAGTGCTCAGTGCCTGCAGGCTGTTGCGCTCGATGGTGACGGTGACTGCGGTCTGGTGGGACGGTGCAAGAAACAGTTCCATTCTGGATTCGAACCAATGCATGGCCCGTGCACGAGCGCCTACACATGCCTACACAGCCTCTTTATACCTCGGGCTTTGCTGAGCGCTTGAGCACCCGCCTTGGTCAATCATCAATACTTAAATGCATCACGATGTTGTTCCACACGCTCTCTCAATCCGACCGGCGCATATTCACAGGCCAGATGGGGTGCCGTCCTTGATGGCGCCGTGCGCGCGCGCCAGGAACCCGTGCTTGGGGAAGTGCCTACATCCCAGCTGTCTTTACATGAACGCGAGAGCAAGGATGCGCAACGCAGAACCCACGCGTCAAAGAAGGGCAGCATTCGATCGGGCGCGCCTTTGCTTTTACATTCACCCGCGGTGTCTTTCCCGACGTTGCCCCGTCGCATCCTGCTCCACCTCCGATCTCCCCAACGACTTGTCAGCTTCGGCCCCGCCCGTATCATTCGGGCCAGGCTCGCGGCGTGGGGCTACGGAGCTGCACGCCGGATCCCCGGCCCACACTACCGCCGAGGTCATCGACATCGCGAGCGCGTCGTCTCCGCTGACGGCGCCCACCCTGACCGTGGCGCGATTGGCTTCTTGTAGACCCATGAGAAAGCGAGAGATGAGGACTGCGGTCAGGCTGGGGAGGCAACGAGGTCGGCGACTTCTGACCGTTGGAGAGATAAAATCCGCACGTACGGGAGCGTGAACTGCGAAAGGTTGCTCGTCAGTGCGCCGGGGTTGTTGAAGACGGAGGAGAGCGTGAAGGCGAGGTGGAGGACGTTCAGGATGAGGAGCACCCTGGGTGGCGTCACAAGTGAGCCTGTGAGCCGGGGACGGACCTGAGTATATAGGGTGCTTACGCAAAGTAGATCGTCCCGTTGATCATGAGGATGGAGGAGAACGAGGGCACGGAGCCCTTAATATGAGTTGCGAAGGCAAGCCCTTGTCTGGGGAGAGTCTTCCAAGTGACCCAGATAAGAATGGCGTCGGAGATGATGGTGCAGGAGCGTGAGATGATGACGACTGTAGAGAAAACATGAGCGACTCGGGTGAGTATGTTGGTCTGACGAAGATATGCTATGCGCGTACATCTAGAAGGCGAATTAATATCTCTATAGCTGACATTCAGGAATCCACCTACTTGATAGCCAGCTCATCAGGAAGGTCAGTGCTTTGGACACAGCCAATCAAAGAATCATCTAGGCCCCTGATGTTGAAGCCATACTGGGACTGATCAAATGCCGGCGACATCAGACGGGAAGCCTCACCGACCCGAACGCTGAATACGCACCATGTTCAGTCCAAAAGGGACGATCGAGAGCGCGAGCACCAAACCAGCCAGCGGCTTGGACCGTGTCAACGCGAACGTCCTCAAACATGAGAAAATTGCGCTGGGCACAAGGTTGAGGATGTCGAAGGCCGATGCGACTTGCATGTATCTAGTACAACTGAAAGCCGGCGTCAGGTTACAGTCGTGTCCGTGATTCGAACCAAGACGGCATACGTCTGCCGCGAGAGGGGGAAATCAAGTCAGTTCATGGCCTCTAGGAGGAGTTTGGAGGAACTCACCTCGTCAGACATTTGGATGTTCGAGAAGATACTCATGAGGTTCCCAATGAGGGGCAGATACCTATTGACGAAGAAGAGCATCGATGCGGGGCTGAGTCTCCTGCTCCAGAACAACAGAACTTCGCGGTCGAATGTGATCACGTATTCGTATATGAGAATAACGGTTGCTGAGGTGATGAACAAGTTGTCATCTCTTCTGCACGGAGGTCTCAGCGAGGAGCAGTGAACGCAGAGAAGAAACATACACTCGCTCATACGCTGAGAGTATGGAGACGATAATCTCTGGATCGGTCTGAGACATGGCGAAGTGCGTCGTCGACGGAGTACTCGGGACCACGTCGTTTATATACCTGGGCACCTAAGACAGTCAGTGTGCTCAACTTCGCTTCAAGATATTCTCCGCATGGTCCTGCTGTTGTTTTCAGCTCGTCAGAGCAGTGAGCGATCCTCGTTGGGTTAAGAGCCTTCCCCAACATGGGCTATGGCCATCAGCGAAACGCTTCGCCCCACCCACACACTGCACAAAGCCACGCTACGTGCTCGCCAGAGAGGCGAGATGGGGGTGAGCCTCGAGCTCAGTGCCCACGGCCGAAACCGCGATTCTCGCCCTCGAGCACAGCCAGATCGCACCTGCCCAAGCGAGGATGGCAAACCATCGACCGTGGTTGTCCATGGCCACCATCGGTCCTCGGCACGATGCACGAGAGAGCCGACCGACGTTCCCAGCGGAGTCGCCATCTTGATCCACCGCACCGCAAACGACGACAGGACAAGGACAAGAACATGGATTTGCAACCCCGGCACCCGGCGCGGGCAGTGCTACCAGAACTCGACGTACGGCCGCACGGCGTCCTCCACCGCGCACCCGAGCTCCCCCGCGCCGCCGCGCGTCCACAGCGCGAACCACGCGGGCGCGAACGCGAGCCCGACGGCGACGCCCGCGGCGACCTGCGGCACGGTGTGGTGCCCGAGCCAGAGCCGGGAGAGCGCGATCGCGCTCGCGAGCGGCGCGACGGCGAGCGGCGCCGCGCCGCGCACGGCGGGCGGGAGGGACGGGTGGAGGGGGAGGCGGGCGGCGGCGAGCGCGACGTAGGCCGCGAAGTAGGTGATCACGGCCGAGTGCGTGGAGGGCATCCTGCGCGGGCGGGTCGGTGTGTACATGTGTGCGGGAGGGAGGGGCGGGCGACGAGAACTCACCCGTAGGTCTTCTTCCGCCGCCCGTTCACGAGCACCGGCCGCGGCTGGCGCACGCAACGCTTGAGGAGTTTCACGGTGATGGAGCAGAGGACGGCGCCGGCGGCGAAGTACGCGATGCCGGCGGAGCGGGTGTAGATGACGGCCCCCGCGGTGAGCGTCGTCACGATCGCGTTTGTCTAAAGCGAGTCGGTTGGGTGTCGGCGACGGCAGTGTGGGGGAGAGGCGTACCTTCTCGAAGAGGTAGAGCCATAAAGGCAGCTTGTCGTCCTCATAGTGTGCCATCCGGGTGGGAGAGACGGATGGCGTAGGTGAGAGGGACACGTCAGAGGTGCGTGGAGGAAGTAGAGGTAGTGGCAGCAGTCGGAGAGGAAAACGGAGATATCATCGTGCACGATGTGGTGGACGAGCCCGGAGTCGTGCGCCGCTCTCTACAAGCGCGTCGCGATGAGTGGTCGGCCCGCTGCTCGGCCAACAAGCGCTCGAGAGGCAAGGGTCAGGTCCTCCGAACCCATGTTGCGTTTTAAGACGAAACGCAGCAGCATCGAAAGTGAAAGGAGAGGTGCACGCGAAGCGGGAATCCAGATGAGAGCAAAAGTGAAGAGAAACGACAGGTACATGTGTGATTACGAGGTATACGGTGCTCCGCCGATTCAGCTCCCCAGCAGCAACGAGCATACATACATACATCACATCCGCGGTCTCCACAACCACACAACCGAACGCAACCTCCGCGAGTGCCCAACCCGATCAACCCTTGACGATCCCGATGGTGACCTCCGCCTCGCCCTCCCCGCCCTCCCCGCCCCGCGTGCCGAAGTGCAGCGCGTGCACGCACCGCTCCCATGCCCACCGCGTCAGCTTCAACACCTCCACGTCCGCGAGGTCGTGCCGGACATGCAGCTCGAGCGTGACGATAAGACTCTGCGCCGGGCCCTGCGCCTTGGCCGCGGTGGACGGCGCGGGAGCGTACAGCGAGTCGTCCGTGTCGTCGACCGCGAGCGAGGGTGTCAGCTGCCAGATGTGCGGGGCAGGGAGGTGCAGCACTTGTGGGTGACGCTCGATCTGCGCGACGATATGAGAGGTAAATTACCTGGGGAGTGAAAGAACTGACCTCCCGCATGGCACGGAGGAAGGCTTCCATCCGGCCGCCTGCGAGCCCACGCGCGGGCGAAGTTTGGAGGAGCGTGGCACCGAGCTGGACGGCGGCTTTGTATGCGATGTTGAAAGTGACGATCGTCTCGACTGCTGCAAGGGCGAGATCTAGCGGTCTGTGGTGCCTTCTATGTGCAGGGGTGAGCTAGGCCCGTGAAAAGAACAGGGAGGGACGTACAACGGGAGAGATGTTGCAGTGAAGAGGATGGTGAGGGAGAACGCGACGGAGCAAGGCAGTAGGGGTTCGTGAGCACGTTGACGAGCAAAGGAGGGTAATGGAGGAAGGATGCAGAGCGACGTGAGCGTGTGGGGAGTAGAGATGCTAATGAGGGGATGCGGTTACCGGCCGCTAAAAGAATATGTGAGTGAACAACTCAAGAGGGATAGAGAGAGATAATACGTACTGCTAGCCAGTTTTGCGTGGTTGTGGAAGAGGCTAGCGGTGGCGAGGAGTGAAAAGAGTGTGATAAATAATAGGCGAACGGGAAAGTCGATGCTGGACGGCCATCAGCCTTCTGCAAATGCTGGACAAAGATGTTACGCACCCATAAACTGACGCGGTCTCATCCCCGTGATGATGGTGATGACCCTCTCCCGAAGATAATAGTAAGTGCTCGACCGTCTCCTTGCACACGTATACCGACGTGAAAATCAGGTATACAGACTGTGCAACGTCATGACCGTCTCCACTCGCGCGTTCCTACGCCAGCCACACCCATCTCAACAGAATCCGCAAAATGAAAAGGAAGGGACGCACCCATAAGGTCTCCTGGCTTCGGACCGCGCACTTGGCCGCGCGAGGTAATTCGGAAGGACGTGGCCCAACGCAACACCAAACGCATCGAACACCACCCAGTACCCCAACCCGGTGCACGACAGCGAGCCAACTTGCTGTCCAGTGATCCAGAGGTACGCGCCGAGCGCGAATTGCCAAACCGCAGCGCCAGCCGCGACGGGGGAAACATCTGGGGCCACGCGCACCCGGCCGATAGGGCTTTTCGCGCGTGCTTTCACGGACACGGAGGCCGTCAAGCCATTTGGCGACGAGGCTGCTGGTCGCTTTGCGGGAAGGGGGATATGGGTGCCCATGGACTGACGGGGACGGGTGTCGGCTGTGTGTGGAGATCACTTGGCGGGCTCTGCGCTCCCGGCTCGAGAAAGGAGAAGAGGTTGTGCGACAGCGAGTGTTTGTGGTGGTGCCGCGCCGCGCCGCGCCTCCGCTGGACGGCTGCCCCGGCGAAGTCGCGGAACCCGGCGCTGACGGCGGCTTGGCACCGAATGTGAAGCCTTCGCGGAATGTCCGCTGGCCGGGCCCCGGGGACGCGCTCGGCATGGGGACGCCTTCATCCGATGCGGGGGGACTGAGGTTGCCGTTGCTGAAGTCAAGCTCTTGGGCACCATCTTCGGCTATGGAAGACACCGGAAGAGAACCTGGGCGGGGAAAGTACACGGAGAGGTTGCGCGAATGAATGCGCGCATGTCGACGGGGGTTGCCGTTCGCCGGTTTGGGAGGAGATGGGGCGTCACTTGTCGGGGACGTTGGATGGTGCAGTTCCGGTGCGGTAGACGAGGAGGGCATGGCGAGCTGGTGGGCAGGGAAGGACGAGGACAGGGGCGAGGGCGTGATCGGCGAAAATGGGCCAGATACGGAACGCGTGCGGGAGTGGGCGTTGGGGGTCGGGAGGGAAAAGGACTGGCGCATCGCCGGAGAGTGATGGCGAGTGTGCCCGTTAAGCTGAGACGTACCGTTGGCCGCCGGAGGTCGTTGGAGGGTGCCGAAGGTGGTTCGGTATGGGCCTGCGGACGCTGGCTGCGACGGGGGACGGGGGACGTAGGTCGACGGGGTCGAGGTGACGCGCGTGCGCGAGGGCGGGGCGGCGAGGCTGCCGCTCTCCGCGGCGGACGAACCATTGAGGTTGAAGCCTTGGGACAGCGGGGCAGTCTTGGGAGGAGATTGGGACGGGGGACCGCGGTGATGTCTTCGTCTTCGTCCTTGCTCGACTTTCGGCGGTGCATGGTGCCATTCACGGAGATGCTTGGGGCAGGGCCATGGTCGAAATGCGCTACCGTCCGATGTTGCCAGCGACAGAGGCGAGTGCAGCTATGCGAGGTAAACAGTGGAGCAGGCGGACAGATAGCGCGTGACGCACCAGATGCGCGGGGCAGCAGCAGCTTCGACTATTCCCGCGCAATTAGCGCAACGTTAACAGGGAGAGCGGAGTCTGAGATGGCGAGAAGGAGGAGATGGCGAAAGTCAGTCGGCAAGTTGTCCTGGCCTCACCGCCAGACAGAACGCTGATGGCCTCTGGCGCTTAACCCGACTGTGTGGATCAAGCGCTCAGGGCCCTGGCGGGCCGCGTGCACCCGCGTGCACCGGGCGGGATCCTCGAGACTTCTGCCAAGCCTACAGTGTACACCCCTGCTTACCCCGCCAACCATAACGCTGCCCACCATGTCTTCCAACCCTCCACAATACTTTCCCCCACGCAAGCTCATCCTTACCAAGGAAAATCTTGAAGCTTTTCAACAATCTGAGACGCATCAGACTATCGTCTCCTATATAACTGCTCTGAATGAGAGCGTAGTGGGTGTGAAGCTCACGGACGACATCCCTATTTCTCCTGTGCGTAAGTCCATCCACCATGATATTTCCTCTTTTCCGTGATATTGATGGCTATATGCACGTTGTATCCCCGCCATATGCGCCTCGTATACATAGAATGTGCAGTCCGTTCTGGACCTGCTTGACCAGGTGGAGGAGATGGCCAAAGGAATTCCACCGGTGGATAACAAAGCTTCGCGGTTTGGAAACCCCGCGTTCAGAACCTTTTATGACAAGATTCTTGAAGTACGCTTTACTCTTCTATGCTTGCTCAGCTCCCCTCCCTCACACGCCGCGGTACAAGCTTGCACCCACACTGCACAAATCTATTCCCGGCCTCCCGAAGCCGCAGTTCCAGAAATTAGCGTATATTTTACAGAGTCTTGGGGAAACAGGACACGGATAGACTATGGGAGTGGTATGGAGCTCAATTTCCTCTGTTGGATGTGAGTACATTTGCATCCAGACGATGACCCTGACCCTGATAACATGTGATCGCCAGAACATGTTTGGAGAAGCTGGGCGTGTTCCAAAAGAGTGACCATAGTGCACTAGTAATCAAGGTGTTTTGGAGGTGCGTGAATATGGGTTCATATCTCCGCTTGCGATCAGCTAGCGTGGCGAGACCAGATACGTCCAAGTTATGCGCGTACTTCAATCCACGTACTGGCTGGAACCAGCGGGATCACACGGCGTTTGGGGTTTGGACGATTACCATTTCCTCCCTTTCCTGTGGGGTGCTGCACAGCTACGCGGTAAGCCGACTATATGATCTTGGTTCCATCTGGAGGATCACTCATGTATTTATAGGTCATAAGTACATCCGCCCGAAGTCAATTCACGACCGGACACGACCGAGGAGTTCTCCAAGCATTACATGTATCTCGCATGCATCCAGTTCATCAACTCTGTATGTCTAAAACTCTTTTCTCCTCTCTCGCCACCTTGCTGACGATCCTCATTGCCCGCAGGTGAAGACGGCCTCCCTTCGCTGGCACTCCCCGATGCTTGACGACATCTCCGCTGTCAAGACCTGGGACAAGGTGAACGAAGGTCTCCTCAAGATGTACCTCGCCGAGGTCCTCGGCAAGCTCCCCGTCATGCAGCACTTCCTCTTCGGCTCTCTCCTGCCATGGATCGGCCCGCTCCCCGCACCCCTGCCAACGTGCTGGACCCGAACGACCCGCACTTCGGACATGCGCACGCGCACGCCGACGCGGGTGCGGTCGGCAGCAGCAGACTGGATGGGGCGACTGCTGTGGGATCCCTGTTCCGTCAGCCTTCGCTGCGGCGCAGGCCGAGGCGTCGAAAAAGCCGGGGGTAAGGCTAGCGGGCCCTGGTATTCGACCCGTGCCCTTCGATTGAGCGTCGAGGTGTCGGCACGTTGGCACATAAGGCAAGATAGATGGACCAAGAGCTTGTAGTAACAAATTGTATCGATATCCCCTGTGCTGAAGTCTCACCACCACGCGTATGCATGGCTTTACATGGCTCTACCGAAGCTGGGAGAAAGTGTAGAGGAGTGACGGGGTCGCGCTTCCATCCAGCATCTCCTGCGCATTGTGGATCCTTATCCTACCCTCCATCGTCCCTGCCACAAGGCATGCAGCTTCCCATCCCGCAGGAACCCACACACCGACAGCCTTGGCGGGCCGGGCGACCGTAAGCAGAGCGGCCACGTGCCTCTGCCAACCACGTGGCACCCCCCCGCGAACTCGTCGCAGGGCGCACACGCCACTACAGTCTATCTCCCTCTCTGCTCCGCCAATGGAAATCCCTCTCTTCGTAACTCAGGAGCGACGCCTGCTTCGCTCTATCCCGACGTGATTGCCCTTCCGCTTGATGCTTCTTTCATGAATCTGGTCGTGGCAGTGGGGCGGATGGTTGGCGTAAGTCGTACTTCTCGTCTGGCTATCTGGAAGGTACCGCCCTTTCTACCTTCTCGAGCGCATATACTAACTGCATTTCCTGTTAGCCGAAGGACGTTCTGTACGCAGCAGACGGACCTCTTCTGCAATCGCTCCTCGCACTGCACGGATTCGATCTGAGCGCGTTCTGTGATACCGTTGCCAGCCTCGTTTGCGATCTGGACGATGATGACAACATTGGCCGTGTTCTTGATATCAAGGCCTCACAGTCATCCTCGACGACTTGTGTTCTAGTCATCGACATTCTTCGGCCCAAGTCCAACCAGAAGCCTCGATTGTGTCGTGAAAATGAAGAAGGACGGTCACATTCTCACCGACATGATGAAGCGTGGTGACGCGTGTGGGTGGTACTGTCGGCTACACGCTGACACTGTTCCAGGGTTTTTACGAGCGACAATATCCAGACGCTGTGCTACGCCGTGTCGGAATGGTCGCACTTCACATAACTGCCAGAACCATCACCAGCTGGATGATATCATCAATGGACGCTACGACAGTGTCACCGTCAACCCTCTACCTCCGTCACTCAAGATTTTTCATCCCGTGTTTGCCGCTTTCGCGTGCTGGTGTCAAGACCGTGAAATGACTGTCCCAGATGAATGTGTGAGGACACTGCGGCGCTCATGTGCGCAGGACGCCGCGTGTTCCCTGATGTGGATACACTCCAGGATCGTATCCTCCCACTTCTCTCTGATCTCTTGGGGTACCGTGTTCAGAAACTACCCGTCCAGTCACCCGCCAAACGTGTCAACATTATGTATTTCTTCCGCTGTTTCTTCGCCATTCTCGGGCACTGCAGCCCTAGCCACCATCGAGCTCGACACGGAAGCCGGGCCCGGTGAACAGGGCTCTGCATCCTCGTATGTCGCACACTGGTGCCATGCCAACCAAAGTGTGAGCTCCTTTCTTAAGTTCATTTCCATGCATCTGACCCAACGCTCCTCAGACCATCCTCAACAGCTGCTTCGCGCCCTCCTTCGTGATCGGCGTCTCCGGGCCGCGCATCTCCATCTCGGGCGCTATGTTTACGGGAAAGCCCGTCGTGCAGCACTTGACGAGAGATCTATGGCTCTCGCAGGACCACCACATGGACGAGGCCGTGCTATTGGAGAACGCGCGCGTGCTCCACGCGCTCAAGCTCGCGCTCGACCGCCTCCACGCGTTCTACACCCGTCTCTCGCTCCCGGCAAATGAGGCCTCTCGCTTCTTTCCCATCGCGACCCGGTACCGTGCGGCCGACGGCTGCCCCACGACTTTTACATACGTGGATGTGCTCAAGAGCCCCGGCGAGGGCTCCAATGTCTTCCTCGCGCATCTCGACGGGCCGGAGCCGCGCGCTGTCGTCGTCAAGTTCGTCGAGCGGTACGGCGTCCGAGCGCACGAGCTCCTCGCCGCCGCAGGCCTCGCGCCCGCGTTGCTATACTTCGGTGACATTTGGCCAGAACAAGAACAAGAGCCACGGTACCACGGGCACAAGATGGTGGTGATGGAGCACGTCGAGGGCGTCGCGGCCTTCGCGCCGGAACAGCAGAAGGCCGCCGCGCCCGAGGTGGAGCGTGCGCTGAAGATCCTGCACGACAATGGATTGGTGCACGGGGATGTCCGCCCGCTGAACATCTTCCTTCTCCCTAGCTGGGAAGAAGGCGCTGAACGAGGGTCAGGCTCATCGATTTTGACTGGGCGGGTCAAGCGGGCGAGGTGCGCTACCTTGCCACTTGTCCAAGCACGTATTTCCCGTGGAGGGTGTGGAGGACTACGCGCCGATCGTCCCGGGGCACGATAGGGGGATGCTCAGCTTATTGTACTCGGGAATTCACCGCCCATAGTGGATCCATCGCGTTGCATCCGTACTTCGCATTCGCGAAGTGTGGCGCAGGGCTCGGGAGGAGCAGAACGGGTGCCACGTCTCCCTTCCGAACCCGCGCCACGAGACGAGTGCCGAACGGCACGAACACGTCCTCCGATGCGCGCGGTGGTGAAGAGCCATCGGCCGTCTGGATTCGGTTTCCCCGGGTGGTCCAGTGTGCGTAGGAGTTCACGTTTCGTGGCGTTTCGTGGCGACAGGGAAGGGGGCGGATTAATATGGGTGGACGGATGGACGGCAGTGCGAATCGTAGCTAGAGAGAAAGACGGAGGATGTAGTATGCGGCGCGTACAGCGTCCGGAAGGCAGCGTTGGCGTCCAGGAGCCTGATGACAGTGGTATTGAGAGTGGAGGTGAGTAGGAGTGAGCGAAAAAGGTGGCGTGGCGCAAAGACTTAGCGATGGGCGCGCTCGAGGGCCGTTGGAGTTCATGTGCTGCATGCATCGATCACATATAGCATATCGCCCACTCTGGAGGAAAACGTGGACTTGGTGTATCTTGCGTGTCGCCCAAGGCAGGAAAATGGTGGACAAGGACAAGACGTGATTCACAAGAGGCGCCGATCGACACGAATCGTTTGATTTGGTACTAATACTGTTGCATACGTGCTACTGCAAGAGCCGATTATGCATAACCATTATACTACCTGTGAGATTACATAGTGACACGGGAGCACCTTCACATAAATGTCTCGAGCCGGGCACTACAGCACCATAACGCCCCCCAGCACGACGCCCGCCATGACGACGAGGAGCTCCGCGCGCATACCCACCGTCACGGCCGCACCCGACGCCTTAGACGTCGTAGCCGGGCCCGCGCTCGTGTTCGTGTAGTCGATGCCGCCGTTCCCCGACCACGGGTTCGTCTGCCCGAGCGCGGTCAGGTTCACCGGCGCGCCGAGGGTGTCCGCGGTCGCGCTGGGGTTGAGCCCGGCGGCGACGAACACGCCCTTTCCGCCCGCGCCCTTCCCGTTCACGTTCGGCGCCGGGAAGGGGAGGTAGAACTGGGAGTTGAGCGGGCCGGGGATGTCCCCGGTGAGGTTCGTGAGGGGGATGCCGGAGGCGTTGGCGGCGAGGCCGTTGTTCGTCCACCCGGTCGCGTTCGCGACGAAGGCGAGGACGTTGTTCAGCGTCGCGTTCGTGTCGCCGCGGCCGAGGGACATGAGCTCCCAGTTGGCCTCGACGGTGGAGAGCGCGGAGTAGTGGGTGTAGTACGTGGAGTCCGTCGTGCCGCGGAGGTGCGCGGGGACGCCGCCGCCGAGGACGAGGGTGTAGATGCGGTTGTTGACCGTGTACGTCTCGTTCTCGTCGAAGGTGAGGAGGATGAGCGTCCGGTTGTCGTTAAAGGCGGCCTCGCCGAGGAGCGGGACGAGCCAGTAGTTGAGCCAGTCGCCGGTGAAATCGATCGTGGTGTCGTGGGCGTCGTTGACGAGATTCGGGGTGACGAAGACCCACTGAGGGATGACGTCCGCTTTGAGGTCGGCGGCAAAGTCGTTGACTGCAGCGCGTGTGAATCAGGGGCTTTGTAGGGCTTGGACGTGCATTGTACTTACAGTTGCGGATGCGGTGCGCGCGTGATGAGACGTTCGCGACCGAGTCGTGAATAATGAGACCGTTATGCTTGCGCACGTAGTACGTGTAGGTATCATGACCGGCTATATGCGGGTCCTTTGGTCAGCACAAATTGGGTGCGCAGTCGCGTTGGGGAGGACACACTTATGTAGTCCGCTTGGGTGTAGTTGAAACCCTGTGGCAGCGTCAAAAATCCGTGTCAAATATGATGGGATTTTGCTGCTCACCGTAAAGCCATCACTAGGCATGTTTTCCTGGTCTGTGACATGCAGTCAGAACGGTGGACAGGCAAGCGCTGGTCGACCTACAGCTCGCCCACGAGACATTTCCCTGGTCGAGAAGATCGACGATGGTGGAGATGTTTTGCGGCGCATGGTCTGAGGTGAGGGGTTAGTTGGGTTCGATGCACAAAAACCATGGGATGCTCACAAAATGCGTCATCGGCGAGACCCCAGAAGTCACCGGCAACAGCCGCAAGGTAGTTGGGCTCGGAGGGGTGGGTGACCGCGTAGAAGGAATCAAGAAGAATACCCTCCTTACTCAAGTTCTGGAACACAGGCGACGAAGCGGCGGTTGCGACTGAGCATCACGTAGGGCGGAAAAATGGGAGTACGCGTCAGTTTTCAGCGTACAGGGAGCATGCGGGCGTACTCACAGTCGGTGTTCTCGAGCCAGATCTGAATGAACCTATCGAAGGCCTTCCCAGAGACGAGAGGACCGTTGGAGATGGTGCCGTTGCTCTGGCCGGTGTAGTTGCCTGACGCGCTCTCGGGGCTTGAGGCCGGGGGCTGGAACACCTGGGCCTGGGCGGCGAGAGCAGGCGTGGCGCAGACGAGAGCGACGAAAAGGGCGAGAAGCTTGGACTGCATGGCGCGTCGGGACGTCGCGGGACCGAAGACGAAGAGACCAGGGGGGCGGCGAGGGCTTCTTATGTGGCCTCGCTAGATCTGTTTCGCGTCCATCGGGAATCTGGGCCTCCTGCAGGGCGTAGACGATGAGAGGAGCACATGAAGACAGACAAACGTGTGTGCTCACATTGTCGATATCTCGACGCATCAGCCGTTAGCCTCCTCCGACGTTTATAAATAGCTCGCCGGCATCGTCGTGTCTTGGTGGGCGAGACATACAACCGGCAGGCACCACACATGCACGTTTTCGTTCTCGAATCTCGCCCACGTCCCGAGAATGCCCAAGGACCAGACGCAGTGGTGGAAGGGTGGAAGGAAGCTGATTACGTCACACGCCGTACTGAACGCCCACGAGCCGCGTTTGGAACTTGGGGCGCTTGGATCCCTTCCTTCCTGCTACCGCTTTCAATCCCTTGGTCGACCCTCTTTCGCCGCCGATGCATCATCACTCTCGGGACGCATGGCCCGCGCACGTTCGCGACTCTAATTGATCTCCGTCTTACCCTCCATACATCTCCCGCCACGCACGCGACACCGTCAGATGCTTGTCCGCGATAGTTCAGGTGCCTCGCCGGATTAGAAGCTGTCGCGCGCAATTCGCCCGGGCCTGCTATCAAATATGCTGGGGAGGAGCGCACCCTCTCCACGTTCGACGCTTCTCCTCTGCGCTCTGCCCTCGCCATGTCCGACTCCAACTCGGTGGAGAAGAGCGCGACCCCCGTCGCACCTCCGGCCCAGAAAGCCCCTCGGCGTGTCACAAAGCTCATCGCCGCCGTAGTCGGCGTCGTGGTCGTCCTCGCACTCGCACTCGGCTTGGGCTGGGGCTCGGCCTCAAGAAGCACGCTTCCTCTTCATCTACGAGCGTACCCACGAACTCGACCGCCGACCTCGCGCGCGTCACGACCGCCGCGGGCAGCGCCGCTCTGCTCAGCAGCGCCAGCACCTTCGTCAATGCCGCGCCCCAGACACGGACGTTCGACTTCGTCGTAGAGGAGCGCGTCGGGGCCCCGGATGGCGTGGACAAGACAATGTTGGTCGTCAACGGGCAGTACCCCGGACCAACGATTGAGGTGGGCGCGGACGATAGGGTGGTGGTCAACGTCACGAACAAGCTACCGAACTCGACGTGAGTCCTTTTTGCGCGGTTGATGCATTGTGCCGGACTGAGGACAAGTGCAGGTCGATCCATTGGCATGGGCTTTTTCAGTGAGTATCCCTTCAACTCGTGCGTGCCTAGTGCTCAGGGTGGTCCCAAGGCGCAACACCAACTTCTACGACGGCAGCATGGCCATCACCCAATGCGGCATACCTCCGGGCGAGTCTATGGTGTACAACTTCACGGTGCGTTTCTTCCCCGCATGGCGTGCGACCAGACCGCTCAAAACGCGCAGCTCGACGGCTATGTCGGGACCACCTGGTGGCACAGCCGTGAGTTTCTCCGTATCTTGCTGGCAGCTTCTTTCTTATCGTTGCGATAGATGCGGGAACGCAGTACACTGACGGAATCACTGGCGCTCGTGAGTCGCTCTCCGCCCGTATCGCCTCCCCTGTGTGCTCAAGTTTTCTGTTCAGTGGTCGTGCATTCCAAGAACGAGTCCGTCCCAGTATACGACGGGGACCTAGTGCTCCAGCTCGCAGACCTTTATCACACCCTCTCCCCCGCGCTCCTCAACCTCTACTTCACTCCAGGCGGGCTTGAGGGCACCCCAGGAAACGAGCCCGTTCCCGACGGCGGCTCCATCAACGGCGTAGGGCAATGGGGCTCTCATAACTCCTCTTTCTTCAACATCACACTCGAGGCCAACAAGACGTACCGTCTTCGCCTCGTCAACACTGGCTCGTTCGTCGCGATGCAGTTCGCAGTTGACAACCACACTCTCACCGTCATCGAGGCAGACGGGACTGCGGTGGACCCGATCGAGGTCTCGAGCGTGTCTGTCGCAGTCGCACAGAGATACAGCGTGCTGCTGAGGACGAACCAGACTGCGGGCGCGTACTGGATTCGCGCGGACGCGTTCACCGTGGGTCCATCCGCATATATGCGCGTTGTGACGCTCTCATATCCTTCCGTACCAGTACGACAACCCTGGGGTCCAGACTGAAGTCCGCGGGGTGATTCGCTACGGCGTCGACGACAGCGTGATGCCGGACACCACATTGCTGGACAACCCGCCAGGTCTGGCTGACACAACGCTCCAAGAGCTTAACACGGATGATCTTGTGCCTGTGGGGGAGAAACCTGTGCCGGATTCAACCTTGTGCGTGCCAAAGTGCTCTATCAGAACAGCGTCACGGACTAACCGCGAATGTAGCTCGTTCTACTTCACCATCTCTATGCAATACGCAAGCGGCCCCAATTACCTCTCGCAGTTCCTTTCCTTTATCAACAGTACGGTACGGATCGGATGCTCGTGTTTGATTCCATTAGGGCGCTCATACCCACCCTACAGTCCTGGGAGCCCCTTGAAAAAACCTCGAGCCTGTACAGGCACCTCGGGAACAAAGCTGCTGATGGGTCCGCGGTGCTCGCCGACTCGAATCTAATCACGACGGTCAACGAAGTTCACGTTGTCGACATGGTCATTGACAACCTCGACGACGGCGACCACCCATTCCATCTGCATGGGCACAAGTTCTGGATCATGGGAAGCGGTGCCGGGCGCTTCCAAAACCAGACGCTTACCGACAAGACACCAATGCTGTGAGTAGTTGCGCGAAGGCGTTTGTTTGACGACTCGTGTCGGCCGCGCGTCGTCCTTTGTTGCCTTTCGTCTCTATGCGCCGGCAGAACGCAGGACTGACTAACCGATCTGCCTTTCTCGTAGACGCGACACGCTCGTCATCCCGGCGTACACCTGGACCGTCCTCCGCTTCGTCGGCGACAACCCTGGCTTCTGGGCATTCCACTGTCACATCCAGTGGCACATGGTGAGCGTCGCGCTCGCTCGCTTTCTCTTGTGCGCGTTTGATACGCGATGCTGATCACGCGACACGCCAACCGCAGGCCGCCGGCTTGCTCCTCAGCTCAACATGCTGCCGTCGCAGAGTTCGGCTTTTGACATCCCGCAGTACATGCTTGATCAGTGTGCGCGTTCGTAGGATAGTGTTCGACCCATGTACAATATCCTGGTGCCGATGTGATCTCGTGTTTTCCACAGCTTATCGGTATGACTTCCACATCGAAGTGACGTCTTCCTATGGATTGACCGAGTTGCCACAAATCTGGGGTCTGTATCATTGGAAACCTTGACCACGCCATCGCGCCATCTGCCCGGGAGGGATGCTGCTCTCGCGCGTGCGAGAGTACGTTACGGATAGGTTGCGCACGTCTTGGACCGATGTGCTCGGCCACTGTACTGATCTTCTGGCGCCCGATCAGTCGAGATCTGGTTCTACCACCTCCCCGCATCCATTAATCCCCTTCCATCTCCTTTGATGGCGTGTACTGCCATCTATCGTAATTTGAATTATTCATTAATTACACTCATTGTGAGATCTTCTCTTCCGGCCTTCAGTCCCACTCACGCGCGCAGTACTGACACAGCCCCCATCTACTAGATCTTGACTCGTGGTTGACCTTGTCTGTTGATAATCACTTCTGCAGAGTGCAGATATGCGGCATGTATAACCTTTGTCACTTTCTAAAGCGCGAGAACGGGTCAACGAACACTACGGTACTTGAACCTCTCAGACAGAGAGCCAGACCAGCGCTAACATAATCTCTCTCCGTGACGTCATCGGCGCGAACTTGAGCTTGAAGAACCTCCTCGGCCTCGTGGGCTTGGAATCACCCATCTCCTCATCAGATCACTCAAGGCCACAGAAACCATTGATCGGGGCGTCATCTTTTGATTTTGCTATGAGATGTGACAGATGTCTCCGCCGTTGTGGACGGAACCGGGATCGTGATCTGGTCGGGTGTACAAACAAGACGCTTTAGACGCTGGATGTACAAACAGATCTAATCAGAAGCGCGGGCGTCTCCTTCCCGAGCTCATAACAACTGGGCTCTCGTTTCCTTTGAGCCCCCTACTGAGTCTGACCGCATATCACCAGAGTAAACCTTGTACGCATTTTGGTCTCTGACTCCAGGTTTCTGCTCTGATCTGGATGGATTGGTCAGTCAAGCGCTGAAGATATCCTTATGCATTGATGACTGAAGGTTGATTCTGCTACAGGCAATCATCTCGCGGCCATGACAGGATGAACTCTGCACGGTGGTCAAAATTCGGGTCAAGACATATCCGAAGCCGATAAGATTTCTGTGCCTGTGGTCTGTTGCGTTCACTAGGTTGCGCGGACGGCATATTGATCGATGTGTGTGGCAGTCAGACTCAGGAAGACGCAGACCATCGTAGAACATGGGAACATCACACATGGTGTTATAACCGATCAGAGGTACTGGCTCACGCTTCAGCGGAAGATTCAGGCCGTCCCATGCCTTCTCGTCCACCTCCACCGCCGCCGCATCAGGAGTTGATTAGGCAGGCCACCCGAAACTCGCACACAATCTCAGTCCAACCGCGCCGTCCCCACGCGAAGTGCCAGGAGGGTTTGCTAGTTGGAAAGCCTTGATCGAGGTGAGACCCCCATCTGGTTTTGCGGACCGGGGAACCCTATGTTTCTGGATAGTTGACGCTCACCTAGAAACACCAACAGCCGGCGCGCGCGCCTACCATCCTGGATGACTGGTCTGAAACCGTAGTAAGATCCTCCATGCCGCGACTATTTCTGGTGACGACCGACATAGTCAAGCGTCGGGTGAAGATATCGCGCCCTTTGCCCACTTTGTGCAGTCAATGAGGAGGGCGGGACGCGGTGCGAACGCGAAGTCGCGTGCCTGGGCGAGGACAATAGACCCACAATAGACGCTCGGCAGGACACAATTGACCGCCACGTGGGGGAAGCGCGCGTGTCGCCTGCGGGCGTCTAGAGGCCTATTGTCCTGCTCGCCATTGCGTCCCATTGTCTGCAACAGACAAAACAGCCGACAAAAGCCATGGTCCGCCAGTGGCTCAACCCCCCTCCCAGTCCCTCTTTTCCCTTCGTTCTCTCTGCATCCAAGATGCGTCGTCCGACGAACCTCGTCGTCGACACCGACACGACCTCCATGACCTCCATGACCGACGCGTCTTCCATCCACCCCCAGTCCGCGACCACCCTCAAGGCTCCGGTCGAGTCCATCACCTCCCTCCCGGAACTTGCACCACCACAACCTTCCATCTCTCTCCTCTTCTCCCTGATTACCCGCCGCGACTTCTTCTACCTCGTCCTCCCCGCCATCCTCACCTCTCTCATTGCGGGCGGCATCGCCCCCTTCATGACCTACGTTATCGGCCAGTCCTTCGATACCTTCGCTGCGTTCCCTACCACCCCGAACCCCTCCGAAGATGCCAAGCACGCCCTTCTCCACGGCGTCGGCATCGCGGCGCTCGAGCTCGTCGGCCTTGCCGTCGGCGCGCTCGCGCTGAGCAGCCTCACCTCGAGCCTGTGGATTTGGACCGGGGAGCGCAACCTCGTCGCGGTCCGCAAACGGATCTACACCGCGGTGACTCGCAAGGACATGGTCTGGTTCGACATGAAGATGGGCTCCGAAGATTCTGTTCAGGCCGTCGAGGGCGACGGTCCGATCGGCGCTGGTGGCCTCATGGCGAACTTTGCACGGTGAGCACTCTGTCCATTGTTGCGCGCGCGGTGTCCTGACTGGCGCCACAGGGAGACCGACGAAGTCCGCATGGCCTCCTCGCTCGCGGCGGGCATGGTGATCCAGTACACCACCACCTTCCTCACCTCCCTCGTCCTTGCCTTCGTGTGGTCGTGGCCCTCACCCTCGTCATTCTTTCCGCCGTCCCGTCCTCATGATCATCCAAACCCTGTCGCAAATCTTTGTCGGGCCCCGCCTTGCCGCGGAGCGCATCCACAGCGCCTCCGCCGCGACCCTCGTCGACCGTGCGGTGGCCGCCATCGCCACTGTCAAGGCATTCAACGCGGAGCTCCACGAGGAGGAGCAACTCGACAGCGTTCTGCAGAAGATCCGCCGCGCGGGGAATAAGTGCCACACCGTCTGGGGCCTCAGCACCGGCGCGTCCCAATTCACGATGATGGCGATGTTCGTCCAGGCGTTCTGGTTCGGCGCCAAGCTCGTCCGCGACGGCTCGATCTCCCCCGGCACGGTCATGTCCGTCTTTTGGGCGTGCCTCATCGCGACCAGCAACCTCCAGATGGCGGTCCCACAGCTCATCGTGCTCACCAAGGGCAAGTTCGCCATGGTGGCGCTCATGACGCTTGCGCAGTCGGAGACGTCCTCGGCGCCGTACGGCGCCGTCGCTCTCTCGCCCGTCAAGGGCCGCCGCCCGTCGTGGACGTTCCGCAAGATCCAGCCCCAGCAATGCCGCGGCCACTTCGAGGTCACCGACATCTCCTTTGCGTACCCGTCGCGCCCGACGATGCCCGTCCTCCAGAACGTGTCCATCTTCCTGCCTCCACAGGAGACCTCGTTCGTCGTTGGCGGCTCCGGCTCTGGCAAATCGACGCTCGCCCAGCTCCTCCTGCGCATGTACACGCCGACGTCTGGCTCTATCTTCATGGACGACCAGGAACTCGGGTTCCTCGACGAGGACTTCACCCGCCACCACATCGCCGCGGTCTCCCAGAACTGCATCCTGTTCGACATGAGCGTCCACGACAACGTCGCGATGGGCCTCGCGTACCCCGGCAGCGCGCGCGCGCCGGCGGACGTGACGCGCGAGGAGGTCATCAAGGTGTGCCGCGCGGCGCTCATGCACGAGTTCGTGCGCGACCTCCCGGACGGCTACGACACCGCTTTGGGCACGAACGGCGCGAACCTGTCGGGCGGACAGAAGCAGCGTCTCGCTATTGCGCGCGCGTTGCTGCGCAACCCCACGGTCCTTATTCTTGGTGAGTCGCGCCCTCCCACGCAATTGTCTTCGGGCTGACAGGATCGACGCACGCAGACGAGGCGACGTCCGCGCTGGACGCGACCTCTCGCATTCTGGTCTTTGAGGCGATCAAGCGCTGGCGCCGCAACATGACCACCATTGTTATCACCCACGACTTGTCTCAGATCGGCGACGACGACTTTGTGCACGTGCTCAAGGACGGCCAGCTCGTCGAGCAGGGCTTCCGGCAGGAGCTCGAGTCCTTCTCTAGCGAGTTCAGCCGGATGTCCCACGCACAAGAGCTCGAGGGTGGCTTCCGCGAGAAGGACGTCGACGCCGACGAGGCGGAGGAGCTCCCGATCGAGGCCATCCTCGAGCACAGGACGAGGAGAGGCACGAGGAGCTCGAGGCAGTCCAGCTGAGCACGCGGCGCTCCGCCACCACAGCATCGCGCCCTCGACTTTCCGCCCGCTCACTCTCGGCAACTGGATGTTCGACGCGATCGTGGAGCTCACCCACAACGCCCCCGCCCGCAGTCGCGCCCACCGCGAGTCCCGCCCGCTCAGCCGCTTCGTCCCCGCCGCGCAGGCCGACACCGCGTTCCGTCGGCGCACGCTCCACATCGACACCCTCTCCTCTTCCCCCATCGACACCACCGCGCCTCTCAGCCCGACCAGCAACCGGTTCAGCCTTCAGTTCACGCCCACCTCGCCCACGCTCTGCGGCCACCCGTCGCCGAAGCCGTTCGTGACGTCGATGGTCGAGGACGACCTCGCCTTCGAGAAGGAGAAGGCGGCCATGCAGCGCAGCGCGACCACCGCCAACGCACGCCGCCAGAACACGACCCGGCTCGACTCCGTCGTCGTCGAGAAGGCGGAGGAGGGTGCCGGCGCTGAAGCCCCCGCGACGCAAGACGTCGAGGTTCCCTTCTTCCGCCTCATGCGCGCGATCTGGCCGACGATCCCCAACAAGCCGCTCCTCATCCTTGGCCTCTGCATCTGCATTGCTAGCGGGACGGTCACACCCGTGTTCTCCTTCCTCCTCTCCCGGCTTTTCTACGAGGTCTCCATCGGCGCGCGTGACGTCTCGATCATCAACGTCTACGGCGGGATCGTCCTCGCGGTCGCCGCGACCGACGGTATCCTCATTGGCCTCAAGATCTTCCTCATGGAGAACGCGGCGATGGCCTGGGTCACCCGCCTGCGCAACATCTGCTACAAGCGCGTGCTCGGCCAGGACAAGAAGTGGTTCGACAAGCCCGAGAACTCATCCGCCCGCCTGGTGCAGATCCTCATCAAGGACGGCGACGACGCGCGCTCGCTCATCGCGAGCGTGTTCGGCCAGACACTCGTCGTCGGCGCGATGCTCGGCGTCGGCCTCATCTGGGCCCTCGTCCGCGGCTGGCAGCTCACCCTCGTCGGCTTTGCGATCGCGCCCGTCTTCGCAGGCGTCATGGCTCTCCAGTCCGGGCTCGTGTCCAAGTGCGAGATGCGCAACAAGCGCGCGCGCGAGGAGGTGGCGAAGCAGTACTACGACGTGAGTGTCCTTTACCCGTTTGTCGATATTCGCTAGATGCTGACGACGCGCACAGGCGATCTCAAACGTCCGCGCTATCCGCGCGATGGGCTTCGAGGGGCGTTCCGCGAGAAGTTCGATGCCGCTGTCGACACCGCGCACAGCTCTGGTGTCCGCGGCGCGTTCGTTGAGGGCTGCACGTACGGAGTTGCGAGCGCGCTCATCTACCTCGCCGAGGCGCTCCTCTTCTACGTCGGCGCAGTCCTTATCGCGAACGGCACGTACTCGTACCTGCAGATGATCCAGACGCTGCAGCTGGTCGTTTTCTCTGTTTCCATTGGGTCTCAGCTTATGGCATTCAGTGAGTACCTGGTTTCAGAGTCACCGAGAAGCCGTCGCTGATCATTCCATCTAGCTCATCGCATCACCAAGTCTCTCAACGCTACTCGTGACTTCAACCGCCTCCTCCAGCTCTTCACCACCACCGACGAGTCGCAAGGCATCCTTACCCCCGAGCTCTCCGGCCCCATCTCCTTCACCAACGTCTCCTTCTCGTACCCCGAGCGCCCCGATGTCCCCGTCCTCAAGGACCTCTTTGTCGAGATCAAGGAGAACGAGTGCGTCGCCATCGTCGGCGCCTCGGCTCTGGCAAGTCGACTCTCGCCTCGCTCGTCCAACGCCTGTACGAGCCGGAGACGGGATGTGTCGCGATCGGCCCGCACGTCCTGCGCTCCACGGACGTCCACCACCTCCGGAACCACGTCTCGATCGTCAGCCAGCAGCCGCACCTCTTTGACGCCTCCGTCGCGGACAACATCGCGTACGGCAACCCGCTCCTGTCCCGCGCGGACGTCGAGCGTGCCGCCGTCGCGGCGAACGTCCATGACTTCGTCACCTCCCTCCCGCAGGGCTACGACACCCTCATCGGCGAGAACGCGGCGCTGATCTCGGGCGGGCAGGCGCAGCGGCTGCAGATCGCGCGCGCGCTCGCGCGGCCGGCGCGCATCCTCGTCCTCGACGAGTGCACGTCCGCGCTCGACGGCGCGAACCAGGCGGCGGTGATGGAGAGCGTGCGGCACGCGCGGCGGGGGCGCACCACGCTGGTCGTGACGCACAAGCTCCCGCTGATGCGCATGTGCGACCGCATATTGGTCGTGCACGGGGGCGCGATCGCGGAGGCGGGCACGTACGAGGAGCTCGTCGAGCGCCGCGGGGTGTTTGCGCAGCTCGCGCGCGGGGGCGAGTGGGAGTAGACTCGACTCGTTCTCTGTCTCTTTCCGCTCTCTCTTCTCTCTCTTTATCGGTCTGGTGACCGTTTCTTTCTTTTCTCGCTCCCGGATACTGTAGCACCGTCTCTCTACACACAGCACGTTTTCATTACCACACGCCCTCCCTATTCACGTACCGCTACATTCGACCTTCGATTACTACACAGCACCCGCTTCACGACTCATTGTAACATTATCACCTCCACTGTATCGACCTAGGTAATGACTGCAATGATTCATGGCTTCGATGATTGTTAACTTTGGTGTGCGCGTGATCCTCGAGAAGACAAAGGCTGCTATCTGTCGTCTTTTGGCAATCGGCATGTTCTCAACTACATTGCCTCAATCCAACCAACTTCCTGGAGATAAGATAAGATAATATTTGACTATGGTATAGACGCCCATGGCTTCATTCCCATTGGATGAGCGCTCAAACATCTTGACGGGAGGCTTGGTCTTCGAAGAACCAGACCATTGATGTGCAACTTCCGACTAGCTATCAACTTCAGAAAGCCGTCGGCAACTCAGCGAACATGAGTGCCGCCGACTTATCCAAGCTTCGCCGAATGTCCCTCAAGATTACAAAGGCAGGCTTGTCACGATCCACTGAGCTTCATCCCGATTGAGCCGTACTACGCGATACTCAGCAGATGCTAATTAGCCAACATCTCCCCCCTTGATTGTTCAGGCCGAGGCGCCGTCTTGCACATTCACTATCCTTCCGCCCTACCGCTTGCTTACCGCGTTTACCGATTTCCGAGGTCGCACATTCCGGAATCGGCCTGTCACCCACCGCCACCGCCGGCACCCGCAGCACATATACAGCGCGGATCGAGGGCTTGACCCACAAAGGAGCGAAATTCCGATCCCGGGCGTGTCCTCGCTCTGCGCGGACTCGGTGGGCGATCCGATCCGATGGCGCAGCGTGGGGCATGCATGGCCGCGTCAGCACGCGGCCGTTGGATGTGGGCTCGAGGACGCATGCGTCGTGGCGCGATCGACACTCGCCCCTCGTCGGTCTGGAGGGACGCGTCAGTGCTTCTTGCCGGTCCGTACGTGTTGCAGCTAGGTCTGGCCTCGCATCATTGAGGCCAGGTGCTTTGGTGCTTCGGTGTGCCACATGGGAGGGGTACGTACTGGTAAGCTTTATTCTTCGCTCGAACTTCAACTGGCTACTGCTCGGTGTTCATCGCAGCTTCTGGGAGTCAGGTATCGAACACGGCAGTAGTATCTAATGGGACGATCACGCCACCCTCGCACGACAATCCTACGTGTACTTCGCGATTGAGGCTGAGGCATGGCACGAACGCCACGCCTGGTCCGATTTACTAGCAGACGGCGCATCGGCGGCACGGTCACTTCGTCCATCGGGTCGATGTTCGCCAGCGCACCCGCGATTCGTGGCGCGGGGCAATGCCGCATCGCGATCCCGACTCGACTCTGCGCTTATTGCAAATGCTTTGATCGCTGGCGAGTACGAACGCGCTGCTGCCACCGGGCGGCGGACACGCCGCGGCGACGTGTCCGGGGCGGACTCCGGGAGGGGGCTGTGCACTCAATCGGCGTTATGTTTCGGACGCCGCGGGTGCCTTCGTGTACTGCTGTATGACCTCGTTCTGATCGGGGGTTTCGGCGTCTTCTCAATGTGGCACCGCATCGGAGAACGTTCTATTCTAGGCTTGGAAAACAGGTCAGTGTACGCACTCGTGATTGTGTGCGACATTCAAAATCGCCCGTTGGGGAGGAGTGTACGCGCGCTGAAGCCTGTTGGGGAGAACGCACAGCGCAGCCACTCAGAGGCTTCTCAGACAAGCATGTGTTTGTGGAGAGCTGCTGTGCGTGTTGTTGGGAACCCACGTTTACGACAGCCTTGAAGTGGTATGAGGAAGACGGGAGCATTCACATTCCGTTTACACATACCTTTGGTGTGCTACCATTATGTCCGCGGTGCTGCGGTCGTCGCCGCTTGTAGGAGCGCGTGGGGTGCGCTTCGTCGCTAGGGATGAAACGGCCGGGGTTAACGTTTAAGGCCTGAGGACTCGTCGCCGAAACTCACATAACGTTAAATCCGACTTCGGCACTGCGCCAACATGTAGTACTTGTCGTAGCGAGTAGCGCCGCAAAGCACCCGAGTCCGGATGTTCGTCTGAGGGCCTGCCGGTCTACAGTCTGGTTACTGAGAGCGGACCAGTGGCGATGCCGCGCGGTCACGGACAATTGCTCGCTTGAGGCGGGGGTGCGAGATGATTGTGGATTTCCTTCAGGACAGACGTTTGGGGCGGCTGCTGATGCAGATGCGACCGCTCGGGCTGCCGACAGTGATGTGAGTTTCGCAGGCTGTCAGGCACACGAGAGGTATACATGTCCGCGCACCGCGGCGCGAGATTCGCGCCATTGTCGTCCGAGGTCGCGCCCCCACCGAGCACGTAAGTACGGCGGGCACGCTGACTGGCGATGTGCCTCGCGTATTGTGTGCGCGACGCCGAGGGCAGACTGCGGAGGAGCTGTGTCTGCGAATACAACACGCCCGACGCGCGTTGCTCATGCCGGCTGCGTGCGAGGAGGGGAGGCCAGCCGGAGCGCCGGAAGTAAGCAGAGATGACGGGCGCTACGGTGTCGGCGCATATCCATGGGAGACGATCATCGGGCGACGCAGCAGATCGCTATCGGCGTCGCGCTGACGTGAGCCTCGGCTCGATCCAGCGCCTGCGCTGCACCTGGCACCACCAACGTCGGTTTACCCGCCGTGTTTCTCCTCGAGTGCATATATCCACCCTCGCCTTCGCCGATGGTCGCTCGAGCTCGCACTCCCCCAGCCCCTCCCCCCACCCATCATGGCCGACCGCCAGCTCGAGTCCCAACTAGGACGCGACGACGTCCCTGAGCTCCCTACCCCTGCCGACTTCGCACAGCCCCGCCATCACTCCGCCTCCGACAGCCCCAGCGCCCCCTCCTCACCAGTCGTCGCCACCCATGCCCCGAGCTCCTTCCCACCCACCCCCTCCACCGCGCCCAGTCCGCCGGATCTCATGTAGACATCGGCCACTTCGACCCCGAGGGCGTCGAACAGCTCCGCCGCACCCTCTCGCGCGTCTCTCAGTCGCAGCAGGCCATCCCCTCCGCGTCGCACAAGGCGCGCGCCCGCGGGAGCACGCATACAGCCTCGTCCGAGGGACCCTCGCGTCCGACGGCGCGCCGTTCGACCTCGAGAAGAACCTCCGGAACATCATCGAGCGGTACGTCGTCCGATCCCGATTGCAGCTGCTTTGTCGCCGCGCGCCTCGCAGACCGGCATCCCGCCTGCGCTGGCGCTCGCACCACTTCGCCGGCCGTGGACCGTGGACCGCGCGAGCTCACCTCCACTCACAGCCTCGACGCGTCCGACATCAAGCGGAGAGAGATCGGGGTCACTTTCAAGAACCTCCACGTCGTCGGCGTCGGCGCCGCGGCGTCATACCAGCAGACATTCGGATCGGCGCTAAACCCGATCAATTTCGTCCGCAACTTCCAGCACGTTCTCCACCCCGCGACCCGCGACATCCTCTCCGGCTTCGAGGGTGTCGTCCGGCCCGGAGAGATGCTCCGTGAGTATTCGCCTTGTTTCGTCACTCCGTGTGCCGCGTTCCTGACCGGAACGCCTTGCAGTCGTCCTCGGTCGCCCCGGCTCCGGTTGCTCCACTCTGCTCAAGACGCTCGCCAACCAGCGGCAAGAGTACCACTCCGTCACTGGCGACGTTTGGTACGACTCCCTCACGCCCGAGGAGATCGAGCACCACTACCGCGGCGACGTCCAGTACTGCCCGAGGACGACGTCCACTTCCCGACACTCACCGTCGACCAAACGCTCCGCTTCGCGGCGGAGACTCGGACGCCACGCACGCGCATGGACAATATGACACGCGAGGAGTGCATTTCGCACATCACTGAGGTCCTCGAGACCGTCTTTGGCCTCCGGCACGTCAAGAACACCCTCGTCGGTGACGCGTCGATCCGTGGCGTTTCCGGCGGTGAGAAGAAGCGCGTGTCGATCGCGGAGGCACTTGCCACGCGTAGCCTGCTCAACTGCTGGGACAACTCGACCCGTGGTCTCGAGTGAGTGTCACCTCCGATCAATCGTCGTTAACCACAGGTGGTCAATACGATGCATAGCACGTGACTGACGATATGCCCTACATTCCAGCGCTTCGACGGCCCTTGAATTTGTCCAGGCACTGCGCATCTCCACAGACATTGCCCGGCAGTCAACTGTGGTTGCCATCTACCAGGCTGGCGAACAGCTGTACGAAGTTTTCGACAAGGTGTGCGTCATCTATGAGGGCAAGCAAGTCTACTACGGCCCGGCGAACCTAGCCAGGCAGTACTTCATCGACATGGGGTATGAGCCTGCCAACCGGCAAACCACTGCCGATTTCCTCGTCGCCGGTACATCATTCTTGATGTTTCTGTGTGACGGTGACTAATGTTCACCGGCAGTGACCGATCCCAACGGCCGCATCATCCGCGAGGGTTACGAGAACCGCGTCCCGCGCACCGCGGACGAGTTTGTTGCGCACTTCCAGAAGTCCGAAATCGCAGGCGTGAACCGTGAGGACATGGACGCCTACCACGCCGCGTTCGTCGGCAAGCCCGAGCGCGCGCGTCACTACCGCGACTCGGTGCGCGCGGAGCATGCGCGCCATGCGCCCAAGAAGTCGCCCTATATCGTCTCCGTACCCATGCAGGCGCGCGCGCTCATGCGCCGACGTGTGCAAATCCTCCGAGGGGGGATCGCGGCGCAGGTCATCATGCTCGCCTCCTTCGTCCTCCAGGCGATCATCGTCGGCACCGTCTTCCTCCGGCTGAACAACACCTCGGTCACCTTTTTCTCACGCGGCGGTGTCATCTTCTTCGCGCTCCTCTTCGCCGCGCTCTCGACGATGGCGGAAATCCCCGCACTCTTCGCGCAGCGGCCGATCGTGCACCGACAGAGCCGCGCGGCGATGTACCACCCGTTCGTGGAAGGGCTCGCGCTCACGCTCGTGGACGTGCCCATCACGTTCATCACCCAATCGTCTTCGTCGTACTCGTCTACTTCCTCGTCGGCCTGCAGGCGACTGCCGGGCAGTTCTTGTGAGTGACTTCTGCACTGGCGATATTTTTCACCGGCTGACTGTGTGCAGCATCTTCTTCCTGTTCTCGTTTACGAACACGGTCACTATGAAGGCTTGGTTCCGTGCGCTCGCCGCTGCGTTCAAGAGCCCGGCTCCTGCCACCGCCTTCGCCGGTTGAGCACGCTCATCCTTGTCCTGTACACCGGCTACTCGATCCCATGCCCTATATGATCGGCGCTCTCAAATGGATCACCTGGATTAACGTATGCTAGTCGCTCATTCTCTTGCTTGTTGAGGCTGACTCTCCGCTCACAGCCCCTCCGGTATGGCTTCGAGGCGATGATGGCCAACGAGTTCCACGCGATCCACGCCGAGTGCTCTACGCTCGTCCCGCAGGGCCCGCCTACGCCAACATCACAATCGCGAACCAGGTCTGCACCACCGTTGGGTCAGAGCCCGGCTCGTCCACCGTATCCGGCGCGCGCTACGTCGAGCTCGCGTACTCGTACACGTACGACCACGTCTGGCGCAACTTCGGCGTGCTCATCGCGTTCGGCGTCGGCTTCATCTCCTTCCTTCTCATCCTCACCGAGCTCAACCAGAGCCTCGCGGGCGAGTCGAGCGTCATGCTCTTCAAGCGCGGCTCAAAGTCCGACGTCGTCGCCGCCGCCGAGGAGGGACCGCGGACGAGGAGAAGGC